GGGGCCCAAAAAAAGGAAAGAAAATAACATCATGCTTCAAGTATGTTGATATAATGTATGTCTCTTATATTGGATAGTAGGCAGGGAGGGAGGAACCTAGATCAAGCGGAGAGGGGACAAAGCGAGGCGGCGAGGGAGGACACGGACGAGGGGCGGGGGGTGCGAGAGGGAACTAAGAGCTGTCGTCGGCGAGGACGAAGCCTTTGCCGAGGAAGAGAGCGCGCTGCGCGTCGCTGTCGTCGGCGGGCGAGTCGGGCGGGTAGGTCGACGTCGTGAGGCGGATCTCGGGCGGCGGGCCGTAGTGAGAGTAGTCGTGCGTGTGCAGGTGTACGGCGTGGTCGACCTGCGCAGCGCTCGAGAGGGGTCAGGGCCCGTCTCGACCTCGAGAGCCATAAAAAGAGAGAGCGAGACGCACGATCTGGTTCCAGCCAAGCACCTGGGCCTGTACCGCGTTCATACGGGCAAAGACGAGGGAGCTCCTCGCCAGGGCCTCGCTGCAACCGTGACAGGCAAAGACAGGGCCGAGCGCCTCGAGCTTGGCGGTACTCGACCGGTCGTTGGGCAGGCCGGCGCGCTTGAGGACGTTGAGCATCTGCTTGATGAGCGTCGCCGGCAGGACCTTTGCAGCGTCGGGCACGGCCGAGACGCCGTTGTCCCGGAGCAGGCCGTGAACGTCGGGGAAGTGGCTGCGCCTGATCGGGCGCGTGTAGCTGACGACCGTGAAGGAGGCGACGAGCTGGCCGAAGATGCTGTCGAACTCGGCGTCCGTGACGGCGTCGGCCGTGTCGCCGAGGTCGACGACGGCGCCCCTGATGTTGCGCTGTCCATACGCGTAGTAGGCGGACTCGCCCTCGATCGTGCTGAACAGGACGCCCGTCGACTGGACGGGCTCGGCCGGCGCCTCGAGCTTCTTGACGAGGACGGCGTCAACGGGCGCGCCGGCGTCGACGAACACCTCGACGAGCTTGCGCGCGTAGCCGACCTTAATGACGCGACGGGCGAGGTCGACCTCGTCGACGATGGCGGGCAGCGTCGTGTCCCACGCCTCGTCCGACGAGTCGGCGTCCTCGAAGAACCAGAACGGCTCGACACTCGGCAAGGTGTGAAAGATGCTCCACGAAGGGAAGGTCGTCTGCGCCTCGCCGACCTGGAGGGCGAGGAGAGCCTCGTAGCGCGGCTTGAGAGCGGCGAGGCGGCCACCGAGCTGCTGCAGGCGCTCGCGGTAGAGGCGGCTCGCCTTCTCGCTCTCCATGGCCTCGATGATCTTGGGCGAGATGCGGTTCCAGACTGTGCGCGAAGGGCTGAGGTGAGCTCGGGTCTGCAGCGCGCGAGACGAGGCCGGCGAGAAGTGGGCTCACTCGTCTCGGTAAGCGGCGTCGGCTGGTCGACCAGCTTCGAGACGCTCGACCAGATGAGGCTGCGGCAGCTGTCAGCGAGACAGGTGTCAGTCCAGGCGCGCAGGAAGGAGGCGCAGGAAGAGAGGGCGAGGGAAAGGAGGAGGGAGAAGAGACGCACTCGGCCTCGACGTAGCCCAGGCTCAGGAGCCTCGCCGTGATACTGCGCAGAGGGTCGGTCAGTCTCGGCTGCACATGAGGGTGACCGTCGAAAGAGGTGAACGCACGCGTCACGACGAAGCTCGCGGGCGGCGTCGTTCGTCTCCCTGCGCGACGACAGCGACGAGCGCTCCCACTTGACGAGGGCCAAGTCGTCCTGGGGAGACGAGTCCGAGTCAGTCCGAGGTCTGCTTGGCCTCGACGAGAGAAAGAGGTGCGGCCGGCGCACCTTGATGGCGGCTTCGACGTTGTCGCGGCGCTGCTTGACGAACGCGGCGAGCTCGTTGACGGCGACCTCGTCGGCCTTGACCTCGTTGCCGTCCTCGACCTTGACCTGCGCCTTGCGCTTCTTGCTCTCCTTGACCGAGCCCTTGGGCGTCTGCTTGTCGAGCTCGTGCAGCTTGGCGCTCAGGCGCTCGACGTGCGGCGTGCAGTAGTACGCTGCGGACGCGGCGAGCCCGTCAGTCTTTGCGTCACCCATCCGTGAAAGAGGGGAGCAAGGGACGCACAGTTCTTGCCCCACCCACGGCCGGTCGCTGAGCGGTTGGTGAAGAACGAGCACTGGAGCGTCTTGGGGTGCATGTCGTCGACCTTCTTGCGCAGGCGCGACAGGTTGTCGAGGCTGCAGAGGACAGGAGAATGTCAGTGCACGGTTGGGGAGGGCGAGGAACGAGGGGAGGCAGGGCGCACTTGGCGCGCTGGCAAGTCTGAAAGCGAGAGGAATGGTGAGTGACTGGCCGAGACGCGTCGAGCCCGAGAGGAAAGAGGGGACGCACCTTGCACCAGCGGACCCTGAGCGCATAGTCGACGATAGACGCCCTGCCACGGCCGCACAGGTGGCAGTTGCGCTCAAAGACGAGGCTCGCGAGCTGCATCTCGCTCAGGTCGGTCGCCTCGAGCGCCGGCAGGTCGACGTTGGCGCGCGCCGCGGCCCAGATCGGGGCGGCCGAGCGGCGCGCAAACACGCCGCGCACCATCTTGTTGGCGCGCGACATGTACAGGAGCGACAGCGGGTCGAGGTGGCGCGAGATCTCGACGAGGATGTCGAGCGGCATGGCGAGGAACGCCGACAGCTTGCCCGCCCGGCCCTTGCCCTTGCCCTTGGTCGGGACCTTGACCTTGGCCGAGCTGGAGCTGGTCGACGTGCGGGCCTTCTTGCGAACGGGCTCCTCGTCCGCGTCGTCGCCTGTGCGGCGTGACGAGGCGAGGTCAGCTCGAACGCTCGCGACCGACCTGGACAGGAAGAGAGGGGGCGCACCTTGATCCCAAGCACTGTCCTCGTCCTCCTCCATCTCGTGCACGCCGCCCTTGCGCGACGACGACGCGCCGCTCGCCGACTCGCTCGCGTCCGACAGCTCGGCGTCCTCGGCCTCGTCTGCGCTGCTGAGCGGCACGTCGGTGTACTTGATGGCCTTGTGGGCACTCGAGCGGGGTTGGCGAGGCATCGTGCAGCTCGCACGGCCGTGACGAGTGAGGTGAAGGAGTGAGAGCCGCGTGGCTCGGGACGAGGAGGACGGCCGGCTCTCCCTGGCTCTCGGGCGGGCGTACAGACGATGTAGAGTGAGCTTCAAGCTCTCGGGTCAAGCCCTGACCACCCTGCACTACCGCTAGAGCGAGGCGGCCTGCTCCTCTCCGCCTCCTCGTTCTCATCAGCGCGACGCGCTTCCGGTCTCTCCTGGTCTCGTTGGCTCGTCTGGACGGACTCGAAAGTCTTTGCAACGCGACCTTTCGACTTTCGCTGCACCGACCGAGCGGCTTGTCGCGCACGCACTCTCGGAGGAGGCGCGAGCGACAGTGCGCGCCGGTCACCCTTGCGCGGCGGCGGTAGCCACCGCAGCTTGCTCTCGCTTACGCTTCCTCTTCTCGCTCGCACAAGGAGACGACAGAGAGCTGGGCAAGTGAGAATGACGACAAGAGAGGAAGCTACAGATTTGGTGGGGGAGGAAGTGGCGACGAGGCAAGCTCGACCTGGACAACGGAACGTGCACGGACAGTGTCAGGGACGAGCCACAAGGTGCGCGCGCTTGAGAGACGAGGACGACGTACAGGTGTAGAGCGCCGCTCAGTCGTTTCCCCAAGGAAAGCCGTCGCCGGCCTCGTGCGCATCGAGCGCCGCCTCGCTGTCGCGCACGTCGGTCGGGTCCACCGTCTCGACCAGGTGCTCCCACCGGGGCAGAACATCGTCGACGAGCGCGAGTGCGTCGCCGAGAGAACTCGACGAGCGCCTGCACGCCGGAAAGAGCGCCGTCGAGGCGCTCCACGGCGCACCGACCGCGGTACCCGGCGCGCCGCTGCCCTCGACCGCCTCGTCGGCCCACTCGCTCCAGCTCTGGCTCCTCGATGGCCCGCTCGAGTACGCCTCCCTCGAAGACCCGACCGACGCCGACTCGCGGCTCGAGTCGTCCGTGCGCGACGACGACCAGGTCGAGAAGGCCGACAAAAGCGGCGGGCGCAGCGCCGTCGAGTGCGGCCGGATCGTGTCGCCTGACCACGCGTCGAGCACCTGCTCGTCGTGCACGAGGCCTGGAGACGTGCTCGAGCGCGCCTGGGACGCAGCGAGCGCCGCCCGAGGCGAGGTGCGCATGCGCGGGAAAGGGTACGCCGGCGACAGGGGCGTGGTGAGCAGCTCCGGGGACGGGTTCGGCGAGCTGCGAAGGCTCGACGAGCTGCTCGACGGGGGGGCGCCGACGGGCCACACGAGCTCGAACTCTTGGTCTGGCGAGGGCACGACGAGCCCGGTCGGAAGAGGGCTCGAGGCGCCCGCCTGGATGCCCGACGTCGCGGCGCTCGCGCTCGAGGTCGTGCACGACGACGATGGTGTCGGCGGCGTGAACGCGTAGTGGTCGCCCTTCGAGTGCGAGTCGATCAGGTCGTCGAGCTCGTCGAACGAGAACGCGGACGTGGCGGGCGAGCGCGGGACGGCGGCGGCGGCGGGCGGGGATGGGTGGACGAGGTACGTGTCGTAGCTGGACCAACGCGAGTAGACTGTAGCGAGTGGAAGAACCGAGGGAGATGGGGAGGGACATCGGTCAACAGGTTGCGCTGCAAGCACAGAGCGAGTCGATGGGGAAGGCGAGGAGGGTTCGGACTCACCGGCTTGAGGTTGGCGCGCTGTGCTGCTGTACCCGGCGAGCATGTTGGCGGCAGGTCGTTGGGCGAGGTCGGCCGTTCACGACCAAATCGGGCGAGCTCGTCGGGGGTGAAGGAGGTGCCCGCGGCTCGACTCGCGGACCGGCCGCTAGAGGCGCGCGATGGACGGGGCGCAGGCGAGAGAAGACGAAGCGAGCACAGAGAGTGCAGCGTCGACGAGGCAGGAGCCAAGCAGCAAGAGGCCGAGCTGCACGGCGGCAGACGGCGAGGCCGCGAGCCTTCCGAGGCGTGACCCGCATCGCGCTCAGTCCTCTCCGGGGGCGGCAGACCCGGTCCGACGAGGAGCGTGCGTGCGGCTGTCTCGGCGACGGTGTCCGCGTGCACGAGCGCGTCAGGCTGAAACGAGGCACGCGCTGCGGGCGGCGGAAGGAGACGCGGGCAGGAGGAGGAGGAGGCGAGGGGCTCGAGCGCAAAGCGGAGCCCGCCAGCACGCGCCGCTCAGGATCAGAGCCCGATGCTGCGTGGAAGCTGTGCACCGCGGCAGCAGGAAGACGAGGCGCAACAGCAAGCAGAGCCAAGAGGAGAGGGGCGGTGACGAGGCGGTGCAATTCGAGCGCGCAGCTTCGAAGTCTCGCAGCCTCCTCCTTCGACTCTCGCCAGTCCTGCTCTCGCACGCGCACTCTCCGCCAGTACGCATCCCACCCAGGCGCACTCGCACGGCAACAGCAAGCGCACGCCCCAGCACGCGCCTCGTCACCCCGCCTGCTCGTGAATCGCCCAACTTCATCGCCCTCATCTTCAACTCTCGCACCGCCCACGCGAGCCAGCGTGCAACATGCTCGGCTTCCACCACTTCGTGCGTCCCACTGCTCGCCCTTCGAACCACGAGCGTCGCTGACCCTACCCTCTCGCCCCCCTCTTCCCCCTCCCGCCGCTCGACATCCTCGACCTGCCGCGGTCTGTGTCTTTGCCGCACTCTACAGGGCACCTTTCTGCTCTTTGCGGCAACAATTCTGCTCATCGTCGCGAGCATCACCTCGCCCGTCGTCAACAACATCGCCCTCGCACGAGTGAGCCCTCCCTCTCGCCCCGTGCCTCCTCCCTCTCGCCCGGCTGACCCGTTGCTCCCGTTTTCGCAGGCCACCGTCTCGATCGGCGTCAACCAGATCCGCGCCAACTTTGGAGTCTTTGGCTATTGCCTCGTCGAGAACGGGTGCGTCCTTGCCGGCTCCCTCGCCCCACCTCCCTTACCCTCCCCTCCCTCTCTCTCCCCCGAAGCCCGAGGCGAGGACCCCTTTCTGACTCTCTCTTTCCTCGCCGGCGCAGCAACTCGGACGTGTGCACCTCGTCGCAAGTCGGGTACCAGGTCCCTCAAGTCCTCCTCACGGTCGGCGAGCTCACGGGCGTCCTGTCGTCGTCGACCGAGTCGGCCGTCAACGCCACGACTTCTGCGTTGATCCTGCATCCGATCGCGGCGGCACTATCGTTCCTCGCGTTCCTCATCGCGGCGTGCTCGGACCGGCTCGGGTTCCTGTGCGCGAGCCTGACGGCCGCGCTCGCGTGCCTCGTCGCGCTCGCCGCCATGGTGCTCGACCTGGTCCTCGTCGCCGTCGTGCGCAGCTACCTGAACCGCAACAGCGCGGTCAACGCGGCCGTCGACGTCAGCTACGAGGTCGGGACGTGGCTCACGGTCGCCGCGTTCGCGTGCCTGTTCGTCGGCGTTTTCACGACGTGCTGCGCGTGCTTGACCGACCGGCGCAGGCGCCGCAACAAGTACTAGAGCGAGCCACACCGAGGCGTATCATTGCAGACCCCAACTCTCCCCCACCACGATGTACTCTCCCTCTCGCACCCCCCTCTCGTCCCGATACCCCTTCCCTCCCTCCCTCTTGCACAGACACTCGCCGCCCCCTTCTCGTCCGCCCCGCCCCGAGAGTGCAATAATGAACCGGTCCCGCAATCACTCGCACGCCCCGATGAGCCCCCTCCCGAGCCGCCGCGCCTGCAGCTGCGCCTCCTTCATCCGCACGACGCTGCGGTAGCTAGGCGGCGGGGCGTCGCTGGCGCGAGAGGGCGACGAGGGGGAGGGAGGGCGAGAGGAGGAGGACGTGGTGGTGGTGGTGGTGGTGGAGGTGGTGGAGCGCGAGACGGGCGCGAGGGGCCGGTTGGGCGCGAGCAAGTCGGCGAGGGCGGCGAGCGACTTGCGCGGGCGCAGCGGGTGGGTCGGCGGCGGCGAGGCGGCGGGTCGAGAGGCGAGGAGCGCCGAGGTTGACGCGCGGGCGTGCAGCGCTGGACGGGTGGGCGGGACGGTGCTCGGCGGGCGCGAGGGCGAGGGCGCAAGGGACGCGAGGGGCGGCGCCGGCAGAGGAGGCGGAGATTCGGTCTCTGCGCGGGTTCGGCATCAGTCAAGCACGCTCTCGAGAGAGAGAGAGGAAAGGAGAAAGAGGGACGCACGAGCCTCGCCCCGCATGCTCCGCCGCGAGAACCTCCTCGAGAGCCGCCGCACGAGGCTCCTCCCGACGCTCTCGGCGCGCTCGCCCCGCTCGCCCCGCTCGCCGGCGCACGACGACGACGACGACCGCAGAGGGACGCCGCGCACGCTGCCCATGCCCCTCGCGCCCGCGCCCGTCGAGCGCGCGCGCCCGTCCTCGTCCCGCTCGTCGAGGGCCGCTCGGGCCGCCTCGTGCTCGTCGACCTCGACCGGTCCGCACGCGCCCTCGCGCCGCTGCTCCCCGCCCCCGCTCCCGCCCTCGCCCTCGTCAACGACCACCAGCCTTAGCCGCACCGGCCGCCCCTCAGCCCCGTCCCCGTCCGCGACGAGCACGAAAAAGAGCGCCCTCAACTCGCCCGTCGAGCTCACCGTGACGACCTCACGCCCGCCCGCGCCCCCGCCCCCCTTGTGCTCGCCGGCCTCGGTGTCGTCGTCGTCGTACAGGAGCGCCGCGACGCGCTGCTGCGCCGGGAGCGCGAAGAGCGCGTGGGCGGCGCGCGAGAGGGAGGTGAAGGAGAGCGGGTCGGGGACGGCGTCGGCGGCGTCGTCGGTGGCGGTGGCGGTGGCGGCGGTGCGGCACGAGGGGGACGGGGAGGAGGAGGAGGAGGAGGAGGAGGAGGCGGCCTGGGATAGGGAGGAGGGGGAGGCGGCGGCGGACGAGAGAGAAGGGGAGGAGGGGGCAAAGAGGGAGTGCGAGGGCGAGGGGAGCGCGAGGAGGCGTGTGGTCGACGCGTACGTGAGCTTGAAGAGGCGCGGTCGGGGCTGAGGTGGGTGGTTGGCTGGCCGCACAGGCGAGGTCGAGGTTGAGGCGGCAGTCGGTGCGAGAGGCCCGGGCGCATCGCCATCGCGGTCGACGGCGCACCACAGCGTCGTCGTCGTCGACGTCGGCGTCGGCGAGACCGTGAGCGCGCTTTCACCGGCGCCGTCGCCGCCATCGTCGCGCAAGTCGACGGCCTGCGAGCGCGGCGGCTCCGAGTCTCGTCGCCGCTCGAGTGGGGGCATGGCCGCGAGCGGGAGAGGAGCGGAGGGGAACACGAGGCCACGGTTGATGGGCCGAGAGTGACCGAGAGTGAAGGGAAGTGTGTCGACGAGCGCGAGCGAGAGAGATAAAGCCCAGCTCGAGCCTCTCGAGCCCTTCTCGCTCGGCGTCCGCCGGAGAATCCAGTCGGCGCGGCGGAAACTCCGCGGCGAGCCCGAGAGCCGGGGCTCGACGAGAGAGGCGCTCGCCGTCGCCGAGGGGGGTTCGAGCGCGCGCGCGCGCGATTGAGCGTGTGCGGCGCGGGACGGACGGATGGACGGACGGGCGAGACGAGACGAGACGAGACGATCGAGCAAAGGTGCGCGGAAGGTCGAAGTGGATACAGGTGCTGCGACGTCTACAAGTCTGCGAGGGGCAAGAGCGGGTCAGTACCGCGCCTCCCTCGACGTTCGGGGGAGAGAAAGCGAGCGCAAGACGCACCTCGTCGTCTCGTCTGGTTAGCCCGCGCCTCAGCTCCTCGCGAGCCCGGCGGCACCCAATTCACCTCTTGCCGTGGACGTCGCCGACGCGCTTCTCGAACCGGTCGACCATCAGCGCGCTCACCTTGTCCCACACGGACTGGATCGCGGCGGCGTGGAGCGGGGACGCAAAGGCGTACGAGAGGTAGAGATCGACGCGGGTTGAGGGGGACGAGGCGGGGGTGGACGAGGAGGAGGAGGAGGAGGGGGGAGCAGGCGAGAAGGACCAGACGGTCGACAGGTGGCGGAACATGCTCGCGTCTTTGGCCGTGGCCTGCACGAGGGTGGGAAAGCGTGTGAGCGTGCGCCTCGACTACAACTGCATGAAGAGCGGCTCGTCTCCTCGGACGAGCCGCTCAGCGAGAAGGACGAGCGGGGACCGCACCTTGACCCACTTGTGCTTCTCCATCTCGACGAGGCTGACGTAACCCTCGTCGAAGCCCATGGCGCCGATGCGCAGCTCGCCGTCCATGTCCCACCGCTCGCCCTCTGGGCCAGGCTTGAGCCACCCTCGCTCGGCGACGGGCTCGTCTCGTCGCGCACTGGGGGGCCCGACGACAAGGCGCGCGGCGCGCAGGACGCGCGACGACGAGGTGAAGGGGAGGAACTGCTGGTACGAGTCGACGTCGGCGATGACGGTGAAGAGCTCCTCGGGCGAGTAGCTGTGCGTGGGGATCGAGGGGAGAGTGAGTGGCGGTGCAGGGCTTGTCAGAGAGGGAGGGGGCTGGCGACGTACGGCATGAGTTTGTCCTCGCGGTAGTGCCAGATGCCGCCGTGCTGCTTGAGGGTGCCCTTGCGCTGTGAGGACGGCGATGAGGACGACGAGGAGGCGAAAGGGGAGGGGAAGCCGAAGAGGGAGCGCGAGCCGGGTGGTGCGAGGGCGAGGACGCGCTTGGTGGCGAGTGCGGCCATGCTGTGGGGCGTGGGCTCTGGGCGTGAGAGAGAGAGACGGGTGAGGACGAGAGGTTGGCCGACAACGACGACGGCGACGACGACGACGACGAGGCCTCGCTCCTCTCAACCTCGACGCTCGACTGTGCACTGCCACGCACACCACGGGCCATGGACGACCTCCTCGACCTCGACTTTGCCTCGTCGTCGTCGTCTGCCCCGCCAGCTCCCCGCGGCCGCTCGGCATTCGACTACCTCGCGCGCTCGACCGCCTCAGCCCAGCAGCAGCAACAGCCAGCACGCGCACCAGCACCAGCACCACCCCGAGCTGCAGCACAGCCCCAGCCCCAGCCTGCCCGAGCACCGGCGGGCACGGGCGACGCCTTCTCGAGCCTGTTTGGCACGTCGTCGCATCCCGCTTCCGCAACCCCGCCCCTCAGCATGCAGGCCCGCCTCGAGCACGACAGCGCGCTCAAGATCGGTGGGCTTGGTGCACGTGCGGGCTCGGGGGCGTCGTTGGGCGGGCTCGGTGGGGGAGCTCCCGGTGGGAACCGCTCTGGGTGCGCCTCTGCCTCTCTCTCTCTCCCTCCCACGTTGTGCATGCGCGCCGAGACGCACACCTGACTCGCATGTCACCCACACAGCTCGACGCCCCCGCTCCTGCAGCCGACGCAGCAGCGCGGCGCGTCCCCCTCGCCCTCCCTCTTGACCCCCACCTCGCGCACCGCGTCGCCCCTCTCGCCCTCGTTCCCTCCTCCTCCTCACACTGCCTCCCGAGCACCCGCACCCGCACTCGCACCGAGCGTCGCCAAGGGCGTGTGGGACTTTGACCTCCTGACGAGCGCCGTGCCCGTGCCCGTGCCCGCCAAGTCGCCCTCGCCAGCTCCCTCTCGCGCGCCCGCACGACCCGCACCCGCACCCGCCGCCGACGACGACGACGACCCGCTGTTCGACCTCGGCTTCGGATCGGCGCCTGCCCCCACTGGCGCAGCCCGGCAGCCGGCGCCGCGCGACGGCGGCGGCGGCGACGACGGGTTCGACCTCCTCGACGCGTTCGCCGCCCCCGCGCGCCCCTCGCCCCCTCCCACCACCGCCGCCGCCGCCGACGCCCCTCGCCGCGCCACGCCGTCCCCCTCTGCGCCCTCGCCCACCCCGAGCCCGAGCCCGAGCCCGACCGCGCGCCCGCCGCCTCACCTCGTCGCCCACCTCGTCGAGATGGGCTTCCCTCGCCGCGCCGCGTCGGCCGCGCTCGTCGCGTCGTACCGCACTGCGCCTGCATCCGCATCCGGACAGCAGAACGGGTGGGACCTCGAGGCGGCGCTCGAGGTGCTCGTGCGCGGGCAGGACGCCCCCGGGCCCGGGCGGGACAGGCAGGGGGAGAGGGAGAGGCAGAGGCAGAGGGACAGGGAGAGGGACGAGTGGGGCGACGAGGAGGACGTGAGGGTTGGACGGAGGAGGAGCTGGGAGAGGGAGGGGGAGGAGGACGACGACGACCTGGAGGAGAAGGAGGAGCGGCGGACGCGGCAGCGGGGGGAGGCGCAGGAGCGGGAGCAGGCGAAGCGCGGCGAGGAGCAGCGCCGGCACCGCCCAGCTGCCACCGCAGCCGACGCGCCCGTCGCGCCGACCTCTCGGCCGCGCGCCCGCCCGCCCACCACCACCACCGCCGCCGCCGCCGCCGCCGCCGCCGACGGCCCGCCGCACCAGCAGCCGCTCGACGCCGCGCGCGTCCTGCAGGACCAAGCGGGCGACATGCTCCTCTCTGCGCAAAAGCTCGGCTTCAGCATGTTCAAGAGCGCCAATGCGCTCCTCGGCGAGGGCAAAAAAGCGCTCGCGAGGAGGATCGAGGAGCAGAGGGCGGCGGGAGCGGCGGCTGGAGCGGGAGCGGGAGCGGGGAGGGATGGGAGGACGGGCGAGAGGGAGAGGGGGAGGGAGGGCGCCGCCGCGCAGCAGGGAGCGGGGAGGCCGAGGTGGTGGACCGAGGAGATGGAGCGCGAGGAGCAGGAGGACAAGCGGCGCGCGGCGCGCGCCGAGGGCCGGGCGCCGCCGCCGCCGCCGCCGTCGTCGAGCTTCCGGGACGACGACGAGGAGGTCCTCCCCGCGCGGCCGTTCGCCGAGGGCCTCGAGGCGCCCGCTCCTCGAGCCCCAGCAGCAGCGCCGGCGGCGGGCGAGTACCGCTCGCCGTTCCGGCGCGCAAAGGCGGCTGCACCGCCCGCTGTTGCCGAGGCGGACCTCCTCTCGGGCGCACCCGCACCCGCGCCCGCTCGCTCGACGCCGTCGCCCTCCCTCGCGCCGACCACGAGCCGCGCCGGCGCCCCTCCCGCACGCGCCTCACCCTCGCCCTCGCCCTCGCCCTCGACCACCGCCTCTCGCGGGCCGACCCCAACCCCCACCCCTCGCCGCACCGGCGCCAGCGCCCCCTCCTCGCGCCCTCACCTCGCCATCTCCCCCGCCGCCCTCGCGTCCGCCACCTCGCACAAGGCGCGGGGCAACTCTCACTTCAAGCTCGGCCGGTTCGGCGACGCGACCGTCGCCTACTCGCGTGCGCTCGATGCGCTCCCGAGAGGGTGGGTCGGGCGCGTCCCGCTGCTCAACAACAGGGCCCAGGCGCGCCTCAGGTCGGGCGAGGACAAGCTCGCGGTCGAGGACTGCGGCGAGGCGGTCGAGGTCTTGCTCGGCGGCGGCGGCGGCGGAGGAGGAGGAGCGGGCGAGCCGGACCTCGCGGCGCTCGAGGCGGATGGCGCCGAGCTCCCGCCCGAGGTCATCGAGCTGTACGGCGGCGCCGGCGCCGGCGGCGGTGGGGCGTCGGTCGACCTCAAGGACCAGCTCGGCAAGGCGCTCGGGCGCCGCGCAAAGGCGCTCGAGGCGCTCGAGAAGTGGTCAGCGGCGCGCGACGACTGGGAGCGCGTGCAGCGCTCGGGCGACGAGGTGGTCCTGAGGGGCGCCGGCGGCGCAAAGATGGTCGGCGACGGCGTCGCGAGGTGCAGGAAGATGCTCAACCCGGCACCGCCCCCATCGTCGTCGGCTCCGGGACCGTCTTCCACCTCGTCCTCGGCCCGACCCGCCCCGACTCGACCTGCCGCCGCCGCCGCCGCCGCCGCCTCGCGCCCCAAGCCCCGCCCCGCCGTGCAGGGTTCGGGCGACGCCGTGCGTGCGCTCCAGGCGCAGCAGGCCGCCGCAGCCGCCGAGGACGACGAGCGGCACGCGCTCAAGGACAGCGTCGACGCGCGCGTCGCGGCGTGGAAGGGCGGCAAGGAGGCCAACCTGCGCGCGCTCATCGCGAGCCTAGACAAAGTGCTCTGGCCAGAGCTCGGGTGGAAGAATGTCGGCATGCACGAGCTCATCAGCGAGGGGCAGCTCAAGGTGCGGTACGTGCGCGCGATCGCAAAGTTGCACCCGGACAAGGTGCGTCCTCCTCTCTCTCTATCTCTCTCTCTGTCTCTCGCCGCATCAGTCAGGCCCTGACGACGACGTTCGCGCCCCGCAGCTCAACGTCGCCAACACGACCGTCGAGCAGCGCATGGTCGCCGCGCTCGTGTTTGCCGCCCTCAACGACGCGTGGAACGGCATGAAGTGAGTGGAGCACGGCGGCATGGGGCGAGGGCGAGCTGTAGAGCGTATCTTGCATGGCCACGTTGTCTCGATCCGCTTCTGTGCTCGAGAGAGGCCTCCTGGGTGCGCTCGCCAGCTCGAGGGCGAGGATTTGTCGTAGCTCTCTGTCTACCTCTGCGTCTCTCTTTCTCGCTGTCCGTCACGGTCTCTCGTGTGCGACGAGTGTCGTGTCCGATGAGAGCTAGCCCAACAGTGCGAGAGCGAGAGCGAGAGCCAGCGTTGGACCTTCTCAAGTCGAGCCGGCTTGCGCTCGAACTCGGTGCTCGGTCGCCTCGCAGCTTCTCGACGTTCGACAGAGATGCGGGACGAGCAGAGAATAACGACTTTGACAACAGTGAGAGGACTACTGCAAGATGGGGAGAGAGGGAGGAACAAGGAGGGCGGCGAGAGAGAGAAGATATGATAAAGGCGGCTCGAGCGGGGCACTCGCTCGCCGTCAAGTCGCGAGGGCAGGCCCGCCGACCGCTGCGCTCGTCTCAAGGTCCGACTTGAACGCCTCGCCGTCGAGACCGTCGGCAAAACCCGAGTCCTTGCGGCTCAGCTTGCTGTCGTCGTCCTCGGCGCCGTTGCGCGCGCCGGGCACCGCTGCGCCGGCGTCGGCGTGCGGCGACGACGAGGACGATGGCGACACGCTCACCTCGACGAAGGACCTCGGGCGCTCGTCGGTCGCGAGGGCGGCCGTGTTGCGCTGCGTCGAGACGACGACCTCGGTCGCGACCGAGACCGAGTTTGCGCGCGAGATGGGCGGGACGAGGTCGTTGCGGCGGGACCAGCTGCGTCGGACTTGAGCATCAGTGCGCGATCGAGGCCGAAAGAGAGGGCGAGGGAGAGAGAGGGGACGCACCGCCAGCGAGGCTGAGGGACGAGGTCCGTGCATTCCTCCTCCCAGGGGTCGACGCCCTCGGCGCCGTCGATGAGCGGTCGTGCCCGCCACGCCTCCTCGTAGCCCGCAATGCGCTCGATGTCGGCTGCGACGACCATGGCCTCTTGGGCCGTGAGGGACGAGAACGACTCGGGAAGGCCTGGGTCGCGAAGGAGGGCGTCCGGGTTGGCAAAAAGGGTGGCGGTGCGGTGCAGTGCGCCGGCAAAGTCGGGTGGGGTGTAGGCTAGAGGTCGAGTCGGCGCGTGGCGAGCGAGGAACGAGGAAATGAGGGCCGTCGTCTTCTCGGGGTGCGTCGTCCAGCACAGGTGCGGAGCGCCTGGGGGTCCTCGTCGTCAGGATGTGCTCGACGCGAGACAGGGAGGGAGGGACGCACCCGGAATGATGGGCGTCTCGACGCTCGTGGAGCGATACAGCTGGTCGGTCCACCTCTGAACGACGTCGAGGCGCGTGTACTGGTCCTCGCCGCCCTGCGACCGCGATTGTGCCGTCAGCCTCGTCCTTGAGCTTCCTGATCGCTCGAGAGAGAGAGACGAGGACGTACATGAAGCGCGAGTACGGGTTGCTGAATACTCGCGAGCGCCTCGGGCGTCAAATCAACGTTCTGCGGCGTCGACGGCTCGTCAGTTTCCGCTCACAAGTCGAGGTACACGACGAGCTTGGACGCACGAGGTAGGCGAGGCGACACAACTCGAACGAGTGTAGGGCATGACGAGGGTTGTGTCGCTGCAGGAGGGAGGTAAGGTCAGTCTCGCTCGAGGAAGGAGGGAAGGGAGGCGACGCACTCGCAGGAGAAAGTTCATGAGGTCGTCGAACGCGTCGACATGCAGCTCGTCGTTGTACAGGCTCTTGGCTATCATTGAAAAGGGCGAGAGAGAGTCAGGGCTCGTGCGCGTCGAAGGAGAGAAAGAGGGAGGGAAAACGAGGACGCACCGAGCTCGCCGAGCGTCTCGTACAGGTCGGCCGGCTCCTCCGGGTTGAACATGGATGCGTCGAGCGTGCGGAAGCCCTCGACTGTCGTCATGCCGTGACAGCCCGAGACGCCGATGAGGGCGAGGCTCGTGACGAGGTCCGGGAACAGGACGGCGAGCGCGACGGCGATGCGGCCGGCGATGAAGCCTGGAGCGTAGATGGGGCTTGGCGGGAGCTTGAGCGCCTCGAACGCGAACGCGACGTCGGCGGCCGAGACGTAAGGGTCGTGTTCGGGTCGGACGGTCGAAGTCGTGCGGCCGTGTGAGCGCGGCGAGAGCGCGACGATCTGGTAGTTGGCGCGCAAGGACGACCCAGGTCGCATTTGAGGGACGTCCATGAACGTCGGCGAGACGAAAGGGACGAGGGTGACGAGCGTCGGGCGAGTCGGGTCGACCGTCGCAGTGCCGTCGTCCGGCTGGAGGACCTCGAAGCACATCCGGACCGAGCTGGGCAGGTCGAGGAACGGCATGGCGCGAGGTCGTTGTCGTACACGGGCGAGGTGCGCTGAATGGCGAAAGGAGGGAGAGCCGCGAGGAGTCGAGCAGGGCACGCCGGCGGGAGGCCCTTCGAGGTCGGACGGCGAGATACAGACAGGGAGTGGCCGAGCGCGCCCGCTGTCACCGAGGGCACGGCCGCACGGGAGCGAGATTCGCGTGTCTCATTCCGCAGAAACAAGCTCTGAATGCGAGAGGACGACCGGGCTCGGGCGAGAGGAGGATCGGGTGAGGGTCGACTCGGCGCACCGGGCGCCGCCTTGCACGGTCGGGTCGGCGCGGCAGCGACACCGCCGTCGCGCCGTGCCTCTACGCGTGATCGAGGTGCGCGCAGAGAAGTAACCCGGCCGCTTTCCGGACGCGGGCAGATTTGCGCCGGTTGAGGAAGGCTCGTCGCGGGAGGTGGTTGCTCGCGCTCAGCGGCGCGCCGACGGGAGAACATGGCAACGATTCAATCGCACGAGCCGGCCCGTCGCAAAGAGCAGGCGAACAGGGCTGTCGGGGCGAGCTGAGGGGCCGGGAGGAAGTGCCCGCACGCCGCGACGACGGATAAGCGGCCAGGGCGGGACCGGCGAGCGAGGCGTCCCTGCCCGAGCAGCACGGCACACCGGGCAGTGTATCGCGACGGCCCTCGACAGCAAAGCGCGGCAGTTGCGGGTCGCCGGGTTGGGAGGATTGCGCGGAGCGATGAGGACGGGGTCGAGAGGTGAGGCGGCGCCGAGCGGACGGTATGCTTCGCCTGGCCAGAGCTGTGGCAGTGTCGAGCATGTCGGACCAGCCAGATGGCCCGCCGAGAGCATGTGAGGAGAGCGAGAGGCTCGAACTGATGAGGCGACGAGCTTGGTCGACCAGACTCGCCCCCGCGTCGAGCTCGCTTCGCCTCACTCGGCTCCCTCCCAACGGAGCAACGCACGCACACCATGCCTGCACCCAAGCGCTACTTCGACCAGGACAGCGGGCCGCGCGACAGCGGTCCGCACAAGCGCAGCCGCGGCGACGACTTCGAGCAGCGCGGCGGCCGAGGACGCGGCGGAGCACGAGGCGGCGGCGGCGGTCGCGGCGGCGGGCGCGGCGGTGGTGGACGCGGTCGCGGTGGCGCAAGGGGCGGACGCGGCGGCTTCAGCGACGACAGGCCCAAGAAGGAGGCGTTCAAGCCCAAGGAGGGCTGGATCTCGGCCGGCCTCAAGGCTCAGTGCGTTCTCCTTTCGCTCTCGTACTCTCCTGGATGTAGCTCACCCCCGTCTGCACACAGCGCCGACGCCGCCGCCGAGTCGAGCAAGCCCAAGGACGCCAAGGGCGCCGACGCCGACCCGCTCGCCCACCAGACCACCCTGTACCTCACCAACCTCCCTCCCACCCTCACTTCGCCCCAGCTCCAACTCATCTTCTCGTCGTACGCCCCCGTCCGCGCCGCCTTTGTCGTCTCGACCGGCGGCGGCAACGGCCCCAAAGCCGACGACCCGTCGTTCGGCGGCTCGTCCGCCAACACGATCTCGCTCAAGGCCGGCCGCGACCGCACGGGCAAGGTCGCCTCGCGCGGTTTCGGCTACGTGCGCTTCGTCCTGCGCGCCGACGCCGAGCAGTGCCTCGCCGAGTGGGGCACCAAGGAGGGCATCCCGCGCTCGGCCGTGCGTGAGCTCGAGCTCCAGGACGGCCTCGAGGGCCTCGAGTGGGACAAGGTGACGGGCGCCGGCGGCATCCACATGAGCTGGGCCAAGAAGAAGCTCCGCGACGGCGAGAAGCCCGAGGGCGCGGCGGCTGACTGGAAGGAGAAGAAGGACAAGAAGGACAAGAAGGACAAGGTCGTCAAGGCGGCCGCGCCGGTCGAGGGCGGCGACGAGGACGAGGCGCAGGCCGAGGAGAATTGGCGCCCGGGCGTGTGGGACCACAACGCGGTGCGCACCGTCATCGTCCAGGGCCTGCCGCTCCCGGGCGAGGAGGGCTCGACCGAGGTCGACGCCGACGACGACAAGAAGGACGCCGACGAGGGCGACGAGTCCAAGATGGACGTCGACGCCGGCGCAGACGGCGAGGGCGAGGGCGACGCAGCGGGCGCCGTCAAGAAGGGCAAGCTCATCGACTGGAAAAAGGCGATCCGGCAACGCGCCAAGAAGGTGGGCGACCCCGAGGACGTCAAGTTCCCTGTCCGGCTCGCGTCGGGCGAGCAAGTCGGTGCGTCCACTTCTACCTCTCTTCGCGTCGTCGATGCGCGAGTCGCTCACCCATGGCCTCGCCCCGTCCTGCAGCACTCGTCGTCATGTACACGCCGCGCGAGGCGCACGCCCTCATGACCAAGATGAACAACCACGTGTTCCGCGGCGTCATGGTGTCGGCCGCCATCAAGAGCTCCTGGGACCTGTGCCAGCGCCAAGGTCGGGCCAAGGGCGGTGGGCGCCTTCTCATCCGCAACCTCGGCTTCGACGTGCGTCCCCTCTCTCTCCCTCTCCCTCTCCTCTTGTTCTCTCGGCGCCTACTGATTCGTCGCCACTGTCGCACAGGTCAAGGTCGCCGACCTGCGCGCCGCGTTCGCGCGCTTCGGCCCGCTCCACTCGATCACGCTCCCGGTCGACCCGGCCACGTCCAAGGGCCGCGGCTTCGCGTTCGTCTACTTTGTCTCGCGCGGTCACGCCGAGAAGGCGCTCGCGGCCGTCAACGGCACGCGCGTGTACGCCGGCATGGCGGCCGAGCGCGTCGCGACCGAGGGCGGCAAGGAGGGCAAGAAGAAGGAGGTGCGCGAAAAGAAGAAGGCCGAGAAGACGGCGAGCGGCGGCGGCGGCGGCGACAAGGGTCGCGTCGTCGCGGTCGACTGGGCCTTGAGCCAGGAGGAGTGGAAGAAGGCGCAGGAGGGCGAGAAGGAGGGCGCGGAGGCGTCGGGCAGCGAGGCGGACGAGGAGAGCGGCAGCGGGTCCGACTCGGGCTCGAGCGACGACGAGGAGGACGAGGACAGCGACATGTCGCCCGTCCCGGAGGACCTCGACGCCGACTCGGACATGTCGCCCGAGCCCGTCGGCGCCGCAGAGCGTCGTCGCGCCGAGCACAAAGACGACGGCCTGAGCGACGAGGGCGAGGAGGACAAGCCGCAGCAGCAGAAGGGCACGACGCTGTTCGTCCGCAACATGTCGTTCGAGGCGACCGAGGCCGAGTTGTACGACCTGTGCGTCCCGTCCTTCCTCTCCCTCCCGACCATCCTTCTCCCTCGCCCGAGTCGCTGACCTCGCCCTCCTTCCTCGTCCAGGTTCAAGGCGTTCGGCCCCGTGCGGTACGCCCGCATCGTCTACGACCCGACGACCAAGCGTTCGCGCGGTACCGCCTTTGTCTGCTTCTGGAACGACGAGAGCGCGCAGGCCGTCCTCAACGAGTCGCAGGCGCTCAACGAGGGCAACTTTGGCGAGGTGCGTCCGGCCTCTTTCTCAAGGTGCTCCTCGAGCGTCGACTGACTTGCGCGCTCGCCTGCAGACGTCGACCAAGAAGACCTCGCTCCTGATGGCCGACCCGTCCTCGTCGACCGCGTCGCGCCTGACGCTCCACGGCCGTGTCCTCGCCGCCGTCCCTGCCGTCTCGAAGAACGACGCCGACAAGCTGCGCGAGGACCGCGACAAGAAGGGCGCCGCCAAGATGGACCGCCGCAACTTGTACCTCATGCGCGAGGGTGGTGCGTCCCGCTCTCCTTCCCTCGTCCCGACTTGGAGCCCGGCACTGACTCTTGCGACCGCCCCACACAGTCATCTTCCCGACCTGGGCCATCGCCAAGACGCTGTCGGCCGCCGACATGGACGCGCGCCAGTCGTCGTTCGACGCGCGCAAGTCGCTCCTGCGCTCGAACCCGTCGCTGTACATCTCGCGCACCCGTCTCTCGATCCGCCAGATCCCGCTGTACGTCACCGACGGCATGCTCAAGCGCCTCGCCAACTTTGCGATCCGCGAGTTTGACCGCGACGTCAAGAGCGGGCACCAGAAGCCGCTCACGGCCGACGAGCTCGTCACGTTCGTGCCCGACGCGAGCGGCGCCAAAGAGTCGGCGCACGACAAGGTCGAGCGCAAGAAGGGCGTCCCGCTCGGCAAGGTGCGCCAGAGCAAGATCCTGCGCCAGAACGACCGCGTCGACCCGGTGACCGGGCTCGGGCGGTCCAAGGGCTACGGCTTCCTCGAGCTCGGGTCGCACGCCGACGCGCTGCGGTTCCTGCGGTGGGCCAACGCCAACAAGGAGGTGAACCGCCTGTTCCGCACGTGGTGGCGCGAGGAGCTCGACAAGATGCTCGAGCAGGTCGAGAAGGGCGAGGGCAAGCTCGGCAAGGGCGTCAAGGTGTCGGAGAAGGACGACCGCCTCAAGCGCCTGCGCGAGAAGCGCAAGGAGCTCGAGGAGGAGGAGCGCGTCGCCGAGGACAAGGCGTCCAAGCGCGAGGCGGCCGGGCGCGCCCTCACCGGCGAGGGCGGCCGCAGCTCCAAGTGCCTCATCATCGAGTGTGCGTCTCTCGCTCTCTCTCCCTCTCCCTCTCTCTCGTTTCCGTTCGCCGACCTGACCTGTCCCTCTGTCCGCAGTCTCGATCGAGAACGCCGTCACGACCAAGCGTCGCGCCGAGAAGGTCGAGCGTGCGCGCGAGAAGGCTCGCCGGGTCAAGGTGCGTCCCCCTTGTCTCTCTCTCCTTGCGCTCGCCCGTCTCCACCAACTCACACATTCTCTTTCCTCACTCGACAGGAGAACGGCGAGGAGGAGAGCGGCGACGAGGCGGGCTCGGGCGACGACGACGGCGACGACGCGTCGCCTCGGAAGAAGAAGGGCGGCAAGCCGGCCGCCGCGGGCAAGAAGGGCGCTCACGGCAGGAAGCGCCGCGCCGGCCACGACGGCGACGATGACGATGCCGAGGGCGCGTCGCCGAGCAAGAAGCGGTCCAAGAAGGCGCCGAGCGAGAAGGCGGTCGACCCGGACGCGCCGGTCAAGGAGGGCGCGCGGATAGGGAGCATGATCGGCCGCAAGCGCAAGATGAAGGGCAAGCGGTAGAGCCGGTCACGCCTCTCTCTCTCTCTCTCTCTGTTGTAGCGCCGTCCATGTCACCCTCTCTCTCTCACTCCCTCTCTCTCTCACTCCCTCTCTCTCTCACTCCCTCTCTCTCGCATGCTCGCCGCCTCTTGCAGAGGAGACGCGCTCGAAAGGAAAGACGCCCTCGAGGGACTCGCCCGCCGCTCGCTCTCCTGTACTGCCGGACGCTCGTGACGGAGCATTGCGAGAGTCGCGAGCGAGTACCAGGACCTCGCGCCCGAGCTCTCAAAGTTGCCGCGCCTCGCTTGACCAGGTCGCTCTCGCCGAGGGACGGCACAAAGACCTTACAGAGAGCGAGAAAGAGGACCTCGTCTCAGCCACAGTCGCACACCGAGCTCCACAGGTGCCACCTCGCCGGGCCCTCGAGGCCCTTGGCCCGCTTCGACCGCTGCATCTCCTTGTCCTTCTTCTTCCGCACCTTGCCGCCGCCGCCGCCGCCGCTGCCGCCGCCGCGGCGCACGTACTGGGTGTGCACTCCGCTCACCTCGGCGCTCGTCTCGTCCGTCTCATCGACGGGGAAACTCGCGAGGAGGCGGCCAAAGCGCACCTGGGCGTCTCGGGGCACGTCGGAGAACAAGTGGGCGTCGATCGACACGAGGTGGTGGTCGTAGTCGAGCTCGCCGTGAGGGGCCTCGGTGTCGACCTGGGCCCAGTCGGGGAGCGAGACGGCGACCGACGAGTCAAAGACGTAGCGCGGGCAGTCGGGCGCGAGAGGGAGCGTCTCGACGAGCGCGAGGCGGAACGACTTGAGGAGCGACTTGATGGCCTGTGGGGTCGGTCGGGGCGCGAGAGAGAAAAGGTCAGGTGTACGAGGTCGTCGAGATAGGCGTGCTTGAGAGAGAGGGCGAGGGACGCACGTCGCGATGGTCGTCGAGCAAGCCCTCGCCGCCGCCAAGCGCCACAAACCCGTTGTTGCACGCGTCGCACGTCCCAAACTCGTCGAGGCGCAGGGGGACCTTGTCGTCGGCGCAGTCGACGAACGCGCGCCTGGTCGCCGACCTCGTGCACGCGCGGCACTTGCACAGGTCGCGCCCGGCGTTGTGGCAGCGCCACACGAGGGCGTGCTCGGCGTCCTCCCACTCGGCCGCCATGAGGTGCACCTTGATGAGCTGCCACACCTCGCCCGGGACGCGGTGCAGGACCGACGACGACGACGAGAGGGACGACGGGCGCGCCTTGCCCTTGACTTTGACTTTGAGCCGGCCCGACTCGCGCAGGCTCGAGATGCGGTTGATGGTGCGCGCGAGGCGGCGTCGAGCGGGCCAGGCGTTGGCGGCGATGACGAGGTCGAGGGCCGAGATCGTGATGCCAAAGTACAGGCGCGCACTGGCGACGCACATGTTGCTCGGCGGAGCTGTGCCGGCTCGGGTGCGACGAGAGGTGGGGGAACTTGAAGTCGAGGGGAGGAACCGCGACGGCGAGCTCTGGGGGCAGGTAGAGCGAGTCAGTAGCTTGCCAAACATGCTGAAAGACCCCTCCGCTGGACGCACAGGCTCCTGGCACCCGTGGACCGTCGAGAGAGAGCCCTTTGTCGAGAGAGCTGATGAAGATGACGAGGCTCGCGTGGGCCGCGCGCCGGCAGGAGGAGCGCTTGGGAGGGGCTGCAGCAGTGCAGCCAGGTGGCTCTGGTGGGTGTAGAGCAGCGCTCTCAGGCCGAGGGGCGGAGTGCGCTGAGGAGGAAGAGGAGGGGGGGAGCCGTCGCGGCAGAGTCGCAGTCGCAGTCGGCGCAAGGTGGCGCAACACGCTCTCGCTTGGAGCTTTCTTCTCTAATCTCACTCGATGCGATAGCTAGAGCACGACTCGAGAAGTCTCAAGTACAGTCGGACACGCTCCCCCAGAGGTGCCACCCGGCCGGCTCGACCTCGCCCTCCTCGCCGCACGCCGTACCCACGCCCTCGTGTAGCCCAACTCGACCCTCCCGTGTACCCACGCCGCTCGGGACCTCGTGCCCGAGCCGGCACGTCCGGAGGAGGCGCCGAAAGCGGTCCTGGGCGTCGGGCGGGACGATGAAGAAGGACGGGTCGAGGCGCTGCACGGCGTTGACCCAGCCGCCAGAGCCGTGGCTGGCTTCTGCACAGACGGTCGAAGAGACAAGGAGCCCGATGGCGGCCGTGGCGTCGAGGTCGATCACGGGGTTGTCCCGGTAGCTGATGGGGCGGTCGTGGACGAGGGCGAGGTCGAACGCGTCGAGGAGATGGTTGATGTCCTGCTCGCGTTGCAGAGTCAGTCCGCGAACCTCGAGGCCCAGGCCAAGTGAGAAGGAAGAGAGAGAGGGGCGACGCACCTCTTTTTGGTCCTCGAGCATCTCCTGGATCCCGCTCACCTCGAGGAAGCCCTCGTAGCACAGGTCGCACGACAGGACGCACGGCCAGTCAAGAACCGGCGAGTCGTGCCCGAGGAGCGTCAGGTTCTCGTCCCTCGTACACACGGCGCAGCTGCAGTCGGCGGACCCGGCGCCACAGGCGTGCATCGACTTGATGAACCGGTGCTTCTCGTCCTCGAACAGCGCGAGCGCCGCGTGCGACTCGATGAGGTGCCAGATCTCGGGCGGGACGCGCAGCAGGCCGGGGGCGATGCCCTCGGAAATGACGAGGCGCCCTTGGTGGCGTGCGAGGATGAACGACTCGAAGATGATGCCGAGGACCTTGCGGCGGGGCCAGGCGTTGGCGGCGACGACGAGGTCGAGGACCGGGACGAGGATGCCGAACCAGAGGCGCGATTCCGAGAGGCACATGTGCTGGGCTCGCCGGCTCGAGGAAGAAGAAGAAGATGGGCTGTGCTCGGCGGCGAGTCGAAAGAGAGATGAGGTCGCGAGAGATGCTAAGTCACGAGGCCAACGGTGAGGTCTACCTGCGAGGTGGGGGGCAGTGCCTGTCAGTAGGGGACCAGGGGAGGGCGAGGGAGGAGTGCACGGACTCACACAAGCTGTAGTAGGCGCGCAGGACGGGCTCGTTCGAGATGAAGGACGGCGATCGAGATGAAGACGAGGCGAGGGTCGGGACGAGAGCGAGCAGGAGCTGCGCGGCTGGATCGAGGTGCAGGGTGCAGCAGTGCAGTGCTCGGCTAGCTGACCAGCATGGACAGGCAAGCACAGCGAGTGAGAGGGGAAGAGGAGAGAGGAGACGGCATCATCGCTCGACCTTGGCTTCCACCTCGACGTCCCTCCCCTTTCTAGAGGGCACAGCGACCGGGCCATGGTGAGCCCAAGCTCTCACTCTGTGCCCCTACCCGCGCTCACCCACGTCCCTCGCAGTCCGCAACCTACCTCCTCGCGTCCGTCTCGGAGCCAGACCCAGCGTCCACCACCCTCCCCGGCCGCAGCGCAGCGCAGCCAGGCCACGCAGGAGGCGAGCGAGGGCACGCCGACGCCATCTGGTCGTCCAAGTGGGCTGCGACCCAGGGAGGAGGCGAGGTCGTCGTCACGGGCTCGGCCGACCACACCCTCAAGCTCTGGTCCGTTCGCCCTCCCCCCTCTCTCTCTCGCCCTGGTTCTTCTTGACTCACGGCACACCCGCCCGCAGGAACCCGCAAGCGCCCGCCGCCCCGACCCGCACCCTCCGCTCGCCCAAAGGCCTCGGCGTCGTCGCCGTCGACGTCGACAAGCACGACCAGGGCGCGTCCTTCCTCGTCAGCAGCACGCTCGACTCGGTCATCACCCGCTGGAGCGTCGACGGCGAGCACGAGGCGCGCAAGACGTTCGGGCCAGGTGCGTCCCCCTCCCTCCTCCATTTCCCCACTCTCTCTCCCTCCTTTACCGCAGCGCAGCAAGCTGACCCCTCCTGCGCGCCACGCCCTCGCAGCTGCGTCGTGGGACATCTCGCTGCATCCACGGGCCGAGACCATGTCGACCGGCGGCGCCGACGGCAAGGTCCTCGTCCTGTCGTCGGCCGTCGACTCGTTCGGCGACGAGCTCGCCACGCTCGAGGCAAAAGGCTCGTTCGTCACGGCTGTCGAATACGTGCGTCTCTCTGCTTCGTTCTCTCTCTCTTTGCGACCGAGGAGAGGGAACTGACGACGTTGCGCGGTGCAGAGCAAGGGCGGCAACCTGCTCGCGGTCGCGACCGACGCGGGCTACGTGACCCTGTTCGACGCCGAGACGGGCTCGCTCATCTCGTCCTTCCCCGGTACGTCTCCCTCTCCTCTCCCCTTGCCCATCCCCTCGAGCCCCGCCAGGCCTGACCTCTCGCACCCCCGGCCGGCCCAACACAGCCCACTCGGCCCCGATCCGCTCCCTCTCGTTCACCTCGACCCTGCTCATCACGGCGTCGGACGACCGGCGCGTCAACGTGTTTGACCTGCGCGCCCTCACGTCGTCGGCGGCGTCGGCTTCGGGCGGCAGGAGGGGCCAGGTCGCGAGCTTGGGCGGCCACGAGGGGTGGGTCGTCAACGTCGCGGCGAGGAACGAGAGGTTGCTCGCGAGTGGGTGAGTCACATGCTCCCTTTCTTTCTCTCTCTCTCTCTCTCTCTCTCTCTCTCCCTTCCTGCCCCGTTCCTCTCCTGCCCACCCGCTCGCCGCCTGGATCGTCCCTTTCGCGCCCGTCCTCGCTCGACCTCCCTCGCTCGAGCTCTCACTGACCGCCCCCCTCTCCTCCTCCCACGCGCGCGCGCGCGCAACAGCTCGTCAGACGGCACCATCAAGCTCTTTGACCTCGCAGCGCCCTCTCTCGCGCTGTCGACCCTGCGCGACCACACGGGCGACGTGTGGACCGTCGCGTGGGCGCCCGAGCGCGCGAGCGGCGCGGCGGGTGTCGAGGGCCTCGGCGGCGCGGTGGCGGGACTTGGCGGTGGGAGGATGGTCAGTGCGGGAGAGGACGGGCGCGTCAGGTGGTGGAACGGCGGGGGCTGAGGGACGCCACTTGTCCGTCGCCTCGTCCCTCGTCTCTCTCTCTCGCTCTCTCGTACAACCTAGACCTGCATAATCCTCGTTCGAGCCTCGCGCTTCTCTCTCTGTCGGGCGCGGGCGAGAGAGAGAAAGAGAGAGTGGCTCTGTGTCGCTGCAGACGAGGCCTGCTCTACTGCGACCGTCTGAACTTGCGCCGCCTCGCGCTCACAAGCTTGCTCGCCGGGCCCCTCGGGCCCTTCCCTGCCCCTCCTCGCGCCCCTCCTCCGAACCCACCCTTGAACCCCCCCTTGAACCCGCCTCCCGCCGGCCTCCCCGAGCCTGAGCCCGAGCCAGAGCGCCCCGACCCCGGTCTCGCGCCCGCCGCGAACCGCCTCGTCGGCGCTTTGGCCACCTCGTGCCCGCGGCGCTTGATGTCGCGCACGCGCGCCTGGTCGGCTTTGGTGGCCTTTTTCGACTGGTGCGACGACTGGAGGTCGAGGGACGAGGCGAGGAGGGCGAGGTGGGAGAGGTGCGAGGTGGTGGCGGACTGGACGGGGGCGTCGAGAGGGGAGGAGGAGGGCGAGGGCGAGGGACCCGCGGCGGCGGGTGCAGGAGGTGCGTCGTCGGCGGCGAGATCGAGCGGCGCCGATGCAGGCTCCGAGTCGAGCGCAGGAGCGGCCGCTTGTGACGCCTCGACCTCGACGGCGACAGACTCGGCAGCCCTCGGCGCCTCGCAGCTCAAGTACCCGCACCTCCTCTCGGTCCTCTCCCACAGCAGCTCCTTGGCCTCGCCCTCACCCACCTCGACGTCGTCCCCCTCTCGCATCTCGCGCGCATCGTCGACCGCCTCGCCCCCGCGCCCGAGCCCGTCGAGCGTCCACCGCCCGAGCTTGCCCTCGCGGAACGCCTGCACGAGCCACCTGCCGGCGAAATCGACGTCCGGGTGGCCGCCGCGCCGGACGGCAGAGAGGCGCGCCGCGAGCGCCGTGAAGAAGGCGGTCGGGTCGGCGAGCGAGGTCGAAGAGGGGAGCGAGAGGCGGTCGAGGAGGTCGGCTGCGCGGCAAGGGGGCTCGGACGTGTCAGGCGCAAACTCCCGAGGGTTAGAGAGAGAGAGAGAGAGAGAGAGAGAGAGAGAGAGGGAGAGAGAGAGGGAGAGAGAGAGGGAGGGAGGGAGGAAGAGAGAGAGGGAGAGAAAGAGAGGGAGGGAGGGACAGAGAGGGAGGGGGCGAGAGACGTAGAGAGAGAGGGAGAGAGGACGCACAGTCTCGCCACCCCTCGTCGCGCATCTCGGACCGTATCCGCAACCGCCACAGCAAGTACTCTCCGAGGACCTCGCGCTCAAACAGGCTCTCCTTGATGCCGCCCGTGAGCGCGAGCTTGAGGGCCGCCTCCTGGCCGGCGACGCCGCGCCCGAGGAACGGCACCATGATGCCCGGCGTGTCGTAGATGTAGACGGGCGGCGACGTCGCGATCTTGATGACGGTCGACAGGCGCCGAGTGTGGCCCGGCTCGGACGAGGTCGAGGCGGCTTTGCCTGCGTGCGCGCGCACGACGGCGAGAGTCGAGTCAGTTGCGCGATTGAGGGCGACAAGACACAAACGAGAGAGAGGGAGAGAGAGCACGAGAGCGCACCTTTTTTGACGCCGACGCGACGCAGGGCGTTGAGGATGCTCGACTTGCCGACGTTGGGCATGCCGGCGACGAGCATGTTGATCTTGTCGTCCGGGCCCTCCATGGGTCGTTTCGCCATGCCTGAGCGACGACGAGAGGGCGTCAGTGAGTGCGAGGGTCTCGAAAGGGGCGAGGGAGGAGGAAAGGAGGGACGCGCGGATGGCGGCGCGCAAGAGGCGCCGGACCTCGGCGTCAGAGCGCGAGTCGGTGAAGAGGACCTCGTCGTCGCTGTGCTTGGCGATAGCTCGTCGCAGAGGCTGCGTTCCGTGGGTGCACGAGGTGAGCTGCCGTGCGAGAGGGTCGCACCAAGGGAGAGGGAGCGCACCTCCTGGAAGCAGTCCTGGGCGAGGTCGGCCTTGTTGTACACGATGAGGCGCTTGGTCTTTGCCATGCCGCCGGTCGCTCCCGGTGCGGCGCCAAAGCTGCGCCCTGCCTGCTCGGCGAGGAGGCGCTCAAAGGCCGGGTTGATGCTCGACAGCGGGAGGCGGGCGTCGCGCGTCTCGATGACGAGGTCGAGCGAGTGCGACTGGACGAGGTAGGTGATTTCGCGCATGGCGCGGTGCATGTGCCCTGTCCACGCACGGAGGTGAGCTGTGTTCGTTGATCGAGCTGATGAGGAGGACGACGAGGGGCGCACCGATGTACCACGACTGGGGGAGCAGGGCGGGAAAGTGGAACGGCGGAACTGGTGGCGGCATGGCAGAGTACAGCTGGAGCACTCGAGCAGCACGGCTCGGCCTCGTCGACAAGGAGAGAGAGCGACGAGAGAGCATCGCCTCGTTGCGTTCTTCTCGACCGCCACACCGCTGCGCCCTGTGCTGGGCCGTGCGCTAGCTCGAGCACCTGCTCAGACTCTGCTCGCCACGATCCAGCCGTCGATGAGCGCAACCAGCCTGGCTGGCGCCCCTCTCTCTCGCGGTTCGTCCTCTCATCGTCCTCGCCCTCTCTCTCTCGCCTCGACAACGGGCCGAGCTGACAAGGTCGTGCATGCACTGCAGCCCTGATCCTCACGTCGGCCGTCGCGTCAGTCGCGGCAGCCATCACCAACTCGCAGCACTGGTTCCACCTCGCGCTGTCGCCCCACCTCTCGCGCGACCACCAGCTGTACCGCCTCGTCGCGCACCCGCTCGTGTACGCCAGCTCGGCAGAACTCTTCCTCGGCACCCTCGTCCTGTGGCAGACCAGCATCGCCGTCGAGCGCATCCTCGGCACGAGGAAATACGCTGTCCGTTCCCTCTCTCTCGCACTCTCGCACAGCCTCGCAACTGACACCCTTTTGCGCGCGCACGCAGTCCTTCCTCGCCGTCACGACCTTCCTCTCAATCATGGGCACCTTTGCCGCTCTCGTCGCCGCCTCGGTCGTCACGCGCGGGCGGTTCAACGTGCTCCCGTCCGGCCCGTTCGCCGTCACGTTCGCCATCCTGTGCGTCCCTCGCGCCGCCTTTTATACTCCCGGGTACCCTCACTGACCCGACCATGCGAGACAGGCACCAGTCGCACCGCCTAACGCCGACGCTGTACACCTTCCGCCTCTTGCACCCGTCGCTCGTCCTCCCGACCCGTTTCCCCGCCTACCTCCTCTCGCTCCTCCTCGCGCTCTCGCAGCCGCCCTCGACCCTCGTCCTCGCCCTCATCGGCCTGTGCGCCTCGTCCGCCTGGTCCCACAACGCCCTCGGCCTCGCGCACTACCGCATCCCGCGCCGCGTGTACCGCGCCCTGTCGCGCCTCTCGCCCGCCGACGGCGCGAGGGCTAGGATCGCGAGGGGCACAGAGGTCGAGCACGACGAGGCCATGCTGAGGACGCTTGCGGGCGGCGGCGGGGGCGGCGGCGTGACGGGCTTTGCGAGCGCGGCGGGAGGTGGGGTCGATGTTGGGGGCTTGCGCGGGAGGAGGCCCGGTGCGGTGACCCAGGCGGTTGCGCCGGCGACTGCGGCGCCTGCTGTTACTTCCGTGGCACCGCCGGCGAGCGCCGCAGAGCCGAGCGACGATGCCGTCGCCGCCGCCGCCGCCAACGCCGCCGCGCCCGCTCCACCACCCTCAGCGCGCCCCCTGCCGTCCATCTCGGGCACGAGCTTCCTCCGTCAGTGGCAGGCAGGCCTCACCGGCGCGCCCGACGGCCCGACCCCTGCGTGCGTTCCCCGCCTCTCTCTCCTCCTCCTCCTCCTCCTCCTTCTCGTCGTCCTCGGACCGCCGCTGAACCTCGCGTCGACGCGCCTTTCGCACATTCGCAGTCAGATCGCCGAGCTGAGCAGCATCTTCCCTGTGCGTCCTCGCCCCCTCTTTCTCGCTCTCGCGTCCCACTGACCCTGCCCGCCCCTCCCGCTCCCCCTCGCGCGCTCCCTCCCACCGCACCCGCAGCACCACTCGCGCCAAGCCATCGTCGCCGCCCTCCAATCGAGCGGGCAGAGCGTCTCGCGCGGTGCGTCCCGTCTTTCCCTTTCCTCCACTCTCCCTTCCCTCCCTTTCCCTTGCCTCCCTCCCTCTCTCGCTCTCTCGATCGCTTGTTCTCGGGCGTACTCTCGGGCCGGTACTGGTACTGACGCCCTCGATTGACTGCAGCGGCCGAGTTGCTCGTGAGCGAGGGAGGATAGATGCGGTGGCTGGGTGCGTGCGTGCGTGCAACGAGGGCTCGGGGTCGCGTTGTGAATCAGGGCCCGGGAGAGGGTCGAGCGTCGAGAGAGAGAGACAAGTCCTCGCTCGACGTCGCTCGACGTCGCTCGTCTCGCGCAGCTCGCTCTAGCTCGAGCAAAGTACATCGTTACAGCCCTCTCCCTCCAACACGCACACCCACACTCGCTCGCTCGCTCACGCCGCCTCGCGCTCGGCGTCGCCCTCACCCTCGCCGTCGACGCCATACTCGTCGAGCAAGAGCCTCTTCTGCCGCTCGACGAGCACCTTTTCGACGTCTTTTGCGCTCAGGAGCTTTGGCGGGAGGAGCATGTCGGCCGTGAAGACGCTCTCGAAGCCGCCGCCGGCGCCGGGTGCGGGTGCGGGCGCGACGGCGGCGGCGGTGGTGGCGGCGGCGGTGGTGGAGGAGGAGGAGGAGGGGGTGGTGGAGGACGAGGCGGCGGACCCATCGGCGAGCTTGGCCTTCTTGCCGCCCTTGGTCGGCGCGGGCGCTTTGCGCTTGCCGCCTGGTGCGTCGGCGGCGGCGGCGGCGGCCGCGGCGTCGGTCGCGTCGGGTGGCGGTGCGGGCGCGAGCGAGATGAGGGACCGGGTCGGGAGCGGGAGCGAGGGGATGTCGTCGATCTCGCCGTCGAGGTTGTCGACCGCGTCCTCCCATGCTGCATCGAGGCGCGCATTCACCGCAGTCAGAACGTGTACGCCGAGCGAGCGCACGAGAGCCGACAGAGAGAGAGAGCGAGCCAGCGCGACGCACCTTTCTCCTCGGCCTCCCTCTCCTCCTCGAGCAGCTGTCTCCCCGCCTCGCCCTCCTCGGCGCCGTCGCCATAGTAGCTGTTGGGCGCGCCGTCGAACCGGGTCACCTTGAGGACCTTGTACGACTGGAGCTCGTCCTGGTCGGCCTTGGCGCTCGCAAACAGCTCGCGCACGCCGGGCAGGTCGCGCGCGCGGCCAAAGTACCTGCGGGGTGCGGGAAAGGTGTGAGCGTGTGCGCTCGACATGGACGCGTTCCACCACGTGGGGCAGTCTCTCGACCAAAGACGAGGGACCGCACGACGAGTGAGAGAGAGGGGCGAGCCACGCGGACGCACTTGTAGCCCCTCTGGCCGGGCACCTCGCGGCCGTCCTGGTCCGTGATCTTGCCCGCCGCGCGCTTGTAGTTGGCGCCACCGAGCGCAATGATCTGGTTCTCCCAGTGGTGCTTCTCGCGCAGGAGCTTGTTGATCTCGTCGTTGAGGTCGCGCACCTCGTAGTCGGTCAGGCCGGCTGCGGGGGGAGGCGGCACGCGTGGGGCGAGGGCGGGCGGGAGGGGGAGCGGTGAGAGGGAGATGCGAGAGGGGGAGCGGTGAGAGGGAGATGCGAGTCGACAGGATCCGAGGTGGCGGGCGCGGCGAGGGCGGAGAGAGGGGCGACAGGGCGCGATGAGAGGTCGCCGCACGAGGGAGAGGGAGGGGGGGAAGGGCAAGTCAGGTCGGCTGCGGCGGCGGCCCTCCGAATCACACAGCGAGAGGTGGGACGCACCGTCCTGGATCTTGGACACCTTGCGGCTGATGTCGCGCAGGATCTCGCCCCTCCACCGCTCGCACTGGCGCAGGTCCTTGCACGAGCTCGCGACCCTCGGGCGGCGGTCGCTGCGACCGACGAGGCCGAGCTCTGCGGCCTGGGCCTCGCGGAAGCGGTACAGCATCGACTGCGACTTTTCCTCATTGCGGGCCACTGTTTGCGATGCGACGGGTGAGCGGGGGAGGGGGAGGAGGGGGGAGGCGGAGGAGGGAGGTGTCGAGGTCAGGTCGTGGCGCATGGGCGAGTGGTGGGGGTGCTCCGAGAGAGGTACAGGATGATCAGTTGACTCACTGCTGGACGATCAGGCTTGTGGGGGCGGGTACAGGTTGGTGGTCGGACGAGGTGCAGCTGATGAAGCCCCGGTGGACGAGGACGACCTCGGGACGACAGCGGGCGGTCGCGAGCGGGGTTGATGAAGCTCTGGCTCTGGGTTTGACCGTGCAGCAAGGGGCACAGGTGCGGTGGGAGTGACAGGAGGAGAGCGAGGGTCGGGTCCCTTCCACTCGCCGCCCTCGTCGCTCCTTGTTCAACCACAACAACCACAAGCGGCTGCTTGATTGCCCTGCCGAGCACCGACAGCTACTCGCTCTCAATCCCGCCACCCGCCTACGATTCAAGCACACATCGCCGCCCTCTCGCCTCGTCCCCCGTCGCCCCTCCCTCAACGTCATCCATGTTTCGACCCGAGACCAGCCGCTACGAGTGCCCCGACTGCCCCAAGACGTTCAGCACAGACGGCTACTGGCTCCGTCACTGGAACAAGTACCATGCCAACACCGACGAACCAGGTGCGTCCCTCGTCGCCCTCGTCCAGCTCTCTCGTCCCCCTCGCACGCTCACGAGGTCGCCTCCCTTCATGTGCGCAGAGCCGTCGGCCGGGCAGCAAGCTCAACCTCCTACCCAGCGGCAGAAGAAGGTCGAGTACCGTCCTACCCGCAAGGACGGCGACGAGAACGAGCGGCCGAGTGCGTCTTGCTGGTTCTCTCGATTCACGTGTGCCTCTTCCAGCGCGCGACTGACTCGTCGAAAATCTCGCTCGCAGTCGAGCATCGCCCCAAGCCCGCGATGAAGCCGACCAAGCCCAAGTCGAGCGCCCACCGCGCCCCGCTGAAGCCCAAGCGCTCAAACCCGGTCGCGTCGCCGCGCAACACCGGCGCTGCAGCCCGTCCGCACCAACGACGCTTCGAGCGGGTCGACGGCTCTTGCGCGCTCGCCTGCTGCGCCCCGCGTCGCAGATTCGGCCGGACGGCGCCCCGACGCCGCCTCGGCATCGTCGGCCGACCTCGACACGGACCCGTTCGCCCATCCTGCCGTCCAGGCCAAGATCGACTTGTTGGAGAAGGTCTGTTCTCTCTCTTTCTCTCTCTCACACACTCTCTCTCTCGAAGGCGCCAGACTTGGGGTCGCTCGAGACCGAGAACTGACTCTCGCCCTCTGCCGCCTCGCCGCAGGAATTCGCGGTCGTATGGGACGGCTACATCGAGCTCGCCCGCCTCTTTCATCGGACGCACGGCGGCGAGCCGGACTCGGACAACGACGCGTCGGGCCCGTCGACCAAGCGCCGTAGGACGTCCACCTCGACCCCAACCTCGCTCTCGCCCGAGGACGAGGCCGTCCTCGCCGAAGCCGCCGGCCGCCTCGTGTACCTGCACAAGCCCTTCCTGTCGGACGCCGACCTCGATGCGCTCAACGGCGTCGTGTCGTCGGGCAACCCGGTGCGGGTCGGTGCCGCCGTCGAGCTGCGCAGGACCGTGCGGGGCTTGCTGCCCGCCGGGCCGCGTTGGGACGACTTGACGCGCGAGGACCTCGTCGTTGTGCGTCCTCTTCCTTCCTCTCTCTGTCTCTCTCTCGTCGCGCAAACCGGCCCGCCCGTACTGACTCACACCTCCCTCGCACGCCGCCCTCGCAGCTCCAGGACCGCGTCAACCGGCACCGCCGCAAAGTGACGCACGTGGTCCGGCTGCACCTCGTCGACATCCTCGGCGTGCGCCTCGGCGACCTCGTCGGCGGCGACGACGAGGCGGGCGACAAGATGCGCGCCCAGTTGACCGAGGACGGCGGGCTCGCGTGGACGTATGCCGGGCCGCGCGAGAACGGGTTTGGGCTCCAGTCCGACTCGGTGACGAGGGTGCGTCGCCGCTCTTTTCTCTTTCTCTTTCTTGGAGGAGCGGCGGGCGCCCCTCGAAGCGGCCCCGACCTGACCCTCGTCCCTCCTCCTCCCGCCGCACCCGCAGGCCATCTCGACCATCCTGTACGGCCCGAGGTCGATCGCGATGACGACGGCCGCCGAGCGTCGCACGGCGGGCAAGTCGTCCAAGGGCGCCGTGTGGAACGTCGACTGCATCACGCCGCAGCTCGTCGCGCTCGCCGTCACGATCGTGCGTCGCGCTCTCTCTCCTCTCTCTCTCTTCCTCTCTCCCTCTCTGCGCCCTTTCAAAGCGCCCACTGACCCTGGCCTTGAGCCCGCCAACACAGGTCACGTCCTGCCTCCGCAACGAGAAGCAGTTCCTCATCGCCGACGACCCGCGCAACGCCAACTTTCAGCTGTTCAACCGCGTCGTCGAGCTCCTCGGCCCGTCGTCGTCAGGGTTCTCGTCGGACGACATCGAGCACGTCCTTGGGCGGCTCGGGCGGGAGCTCATCCCGGCGGAGCGAGCAGGTGCGGGACAGGGTGAGGAGGAGAGGGAGGAGGGGAGCGAGGGGGGCCCGAGCGGTGCGCTCGGTGGCGTCGAGCGGGTTGGGGAGGGCGGCCTCGACTCGGAGGAGGAGGCGATGATGCGCCCGCCGCCCGCCGGGAGCTGCCTACTCTGTCCGCCGAGGACGACTTGAGTCGGCGCGCGCGCCGGCGCAACAGGTCCCTGCCTCTCTCTCGCTCTCTCGCCCTCGCCTCTCTGTAGATAGCCCCCAGACTCGCACACACAGACACTGAAAAGAGTAACGACTGTCACGATCTACCCAGAAAAGCGGCGACCCGAGAAACCCAAGAGAGAACCTGAAAGCGACCTTCCCCTCCCCCTCTCTCCTCCATCCTCCCTCTCTCGCCGCCGCCGCCGCCGCCGCCGAGGTCTGCGACTCAGAGCTTGGACTCGCGCGCGAGGAAGACACGGGTCGAGGTCGGGTGGTGCACCTGCGAGTCGATTTTTGAGAGGCGGGTCAGGACCGCGCAGCTCGAGAGAGAGAGAGAGCGAAAGAGAAACAGAAAGGGAGAGGTCAAAGGCGCACCTTGCTCGGCTCGCTCCCCCTCTCCTTCTTCTTCTTCCCCTGCTGCGCACCCTCCTCGCCCCTCTCCTTCATGCCGACATAGTTCCTCTCGCCCTCGCCGACGTAGACCTGCCTCGGGCGCCAGATCTTGACGGCGGCGGTGCCGGCGAGCATCATCTGGCGCCAGTGGGCGAGCCAGCCGACGACGCGCGGGACGGCGAACAGGACGGGGAAGAAGTCGGTTGGGAAACCGAGGACGCGCTGTGGGTGCGGGTGTTGAGGAGGGGAGGGGAGGAAGGGAGGGGAGGAAGGGAGGGCAGGGAGAGAGGTGAAAGGGAGGGAGGTGGAAGGGAAAAGAGGCGGTCACTGAGTAGTTCGACGAGGAAGAGGCTCGAGCGGGACGACAAGCTCTCGGCGCACATAGATGAGGCCGCTCTGCATTACGGCGCAACCCAACCCGTCAGTTCATCGTCCTCAAGCTCCGCGAGAGTCTCCCAGGGGGAGAGAGAGAGAGAGGGACCCACAAAAAAGTCCACGTTCGGATAGAGACGTCTCGAGATAAAGTACGAGTCCTTGAGCGCCGCGTCGCGCAGCGCGAGCGCCGTGTCGAGCAAGGGGTCCTTTCCGGTGAGCGCAAAGACGTCCTCGGCGATCCTGCGGGGGAGGTGGCGAGGGAGGGGGCGAGGGAGGGGGCGAGGGAGGGGGCGAGGGAGGGGGCGAGGGAGGGGGCGAGGGAGGGGGCGAGGGAGGGGGCGAGGGAGAGTCAGTTGAACGCTCGAGAGAGAGGAGGAGTGCGACGAGGTGCGCGAGGGGGGACACGCACTTCTGGATGATCTTGCTCCTCGGGTCGGTCGCGACGTAGACGCGGTGCCCAAAGCCCGACAGGACGGCCTCCTTGCGCTTGACGCGCTCGATAAAGGCCGGCACGTTGTCGGGCGAGCCAATGTCGACGAGCATGCGAATGACGGCCTCGTTGGCGCCGCCGTGCGAGCTGTGGGGGCGTAGGGAGGGAACGAGGACCGGGTGGGTCAGGACTCGGTCGTGAGGGGCGAGAGAAGGTGGCGGCGACGGGAGGAAGGGAGCGAGAGAGGGGAGGAGGAGAAAGGGAGAGAAAAAGAGAGGAGGGAAGAGGGAGACAAGCGGGCCGATCGAGAGAGAGACGAGGAGGGACAAGGGGGACTCACGGTCCGTACAGGGCCGCACAGCCCGCCGACACGGCCGAGTACGGGTCGACGAGCGTCGAGCCGACCTGGAGCACGGCCGCGCACGACGCGTTCATCTCGTGGTCGGCGTGCAGGAGAAAGAGCGTGTCGAGCGCTTTGGCGATGGTCGGGTGCGGGCGGTACTCGCTCCCCTCGTTGAGGTGGTCCATCATGTACAGGAACGACTCGGCGTAGCCCATGCCCGCGGGCGGCGCGACAAACTGTCGACCCTGGCGCATGCGGTACGCCATGGCAGCAAGCGTGATGCTCTTGCCGATGAGGCGAAAGATCTGCTTGTCGAGGAGCCGCAGCGCAGCGTCGGTCGGCGCCGTGTAGATCTTCTGGCCGGCGAGCGCAGGGTTGCCCTCGGGCGAGTAGGCGCCGAGCGCGGCGAACGACGCCGTCAGGATCGCCATCGGGTGCGAGTCGAACCGGAACGATGCGACGATGTCGGCCATGTCGCGGTGGACGAACGTGTGGTGCATGACCTCGCGAGAGAAGAGCTTGTACTGGGCCGAGGTGGGCAGCTCGCCGTACAGGAGGAGGTAGGCCGTCTCGAGGAAGGTCGATTTGTCGGCGAGCTGCTCGATCGGGTAGCCGCTGCAGGACTCGAGAGGGTCAGTACGTGCGAGTTTGACATGGGCGAGGAGAACGACCAGAAAGACGCGAGGAAGAGGACGAGGAGGGCGTCGTGAGGGCGACGAAGGACGGGGAGGTGTGCGAGGGCTGCGCTGGACGAGAGGAAAGAGACGACGCACCGGTGACGCAGGACGCCCGCCTCGCCGTCGATGAACGTGATGGCCGACTGGACGACCGCCGTGTTCTGGTACCCGGCGTCAAAGACGCGCAGGCCGCTCTGTTCAGGTTCGAGGCGAGAGAGAGTCAGTGACGGTTGGCCACGGTGCACGCCAAGCGAGTCGCACAGAAGCGAGCCCGCTGCATGATCTGCTACGCCATACGACGAGCGTGCGACCCAGGCCGCATCCCGCGTCGCTCGAGGTAGAAGGGAGGGTGCGGGCTCACCTCGACCTCGTCCTCCGGGCGGTCCTGCCCCTCGCGGGCCTTTGCGAGGCTGAGCTTCTTGAAGGCGGTGGCCGGGACCGAGTTGCGGCTGATGGGGATGTCGACCGTCTTGCCCGTGCGGTTGTCTGCGCGCAGGGAGGCTCGTCAACTGGGGTTGGGTGAGGAAGTGGGGAGAGAGAGGGGGGGGCTCACCGGTGACGGTGAGCGAGTCGCGGGGCTTGTGCGGGTCGTCGAGCGTGAGACCCATGGCTGCGCAGAGGTCTGGGGAGCACACAGGAGAAGAGCGAGGAGCGAGCGGAAGTTCAACGGCGCCGCGGCGGGGCGGCAGGTTCCGGTGGGAGAATGGCGCGCTTCGCCTCGAGCAAGAGGGGATGCGCCCACAAGTCGAGCCTGTGTACTACAGCCTCGCACGCGTTCTAGCCTTACAAGCTCGCTGCAAAGAGGTTGAAGCGGCGATCCGGCTCGACGCGGTGACGACGAACGACGTCCTCCGGCAACTGTTCGTCTCCCTCCCTCCCTCTCTCTCTCGACACCGCTAGCCCAGCAGAGCCCGCCAGCCACGCCATGCCGTCCGTCGAGCTCAACCCTGCCGCCTACCGCGCCGTCTTCTCGTCGCGCGGCTTCTACAACATCCTGTGCGCCCCTCCTCCTCCCCCGCCCTCTCCCGATCGCCCGCTCACTGTTGCCTCTCCCTCGCCAGCCTCGGCAACGTCCTCGGCGCCACCGTCTGGCATGGCTTCTTCGGCGGCCCCATCGCGTACCGCATCCTCGGCCGCAAGCCCTTCTCGACTCTCCAAGAGGTGCGCCACCTCCCCTCCCCTCGGCACTCCTCCAGGACCGTCCTTCGCTAACCCTGACACACCCACCCGGAGGCCATCTTCCCGAAGCTGTTCCTCCTCCAGACGGGCTCGGCCGTCGTCCTCGCGAGCCTGTACGGCCGCGGCTCGACCGCGCTCACAAAGGTCGAGTGGACGCGCTTCTACCGCTCGAGCGACCGCAACGTGTGGGCGCTCGCCATCATGGCCGGCTCCGGGCTCGCCAACTGGCTCGTCCTCGGGCCGTGGACCACGAGTGCGTCGAGCGCGCTCTCTCTCTCTCGCGAGAAGGCGTCACTGACTCGTGCTTGCTACCCGCAGAGGTCATGAAGATCCGACACCGTCGCGAGCGCATCGAGGACAAGGAGTACAACGACCCCAAGGTGCGCCCCTCCCTCTCCCTCTCACCTCTAACGATCCAAGTCCTGACGCTCTCCCCCCTCCTCCCCCTCGCCCCTCCCCGACCCTCTCTCGCCACCGCCACCGCCTCTCCCGCCCACCCGCCCACGACCGTCCCACCCGCCCGCAGGCCTCGCCCGAGATGAAGCAGCTCAACCGCCGTTTCGCCGTCCTGCACAGCGTCGCGAGCCTGCTCAACCTCGCCTTTATCTCGGCCGCCGCGACCCACGCCGCGTACCTCGCCGCGTTCCCGCCGGCGTGAGTCGCGCGCGAGGGCGAGGGCGAGGGGGCGATGTGTGTGTGTGCTGGGGAGAGGAGGGGCGAGGAGGGAGGAGGGGGGAGGTGGGAGGAGTGGGAGCGGGTGAGCGAGCGCGGGAGGAGGACCGAGCGAGGGAGGCGCCCGAACCAGATGAGGCGCGCTGTACAGAGTACCTGAAACCAAGCGTCTGTGTCGTCTATCTTCCTCTCGGGATTCGGAAGAGAGCCTCTGACAGCTCGAAGAGATGAGAGTAGGCTCGAGCGCGACGACGGTCGAGTCGCGCTCGTTCTGGGGAGCGGCCGGCTCTCTCGCTTTCCTCTCGCCGGTCGCCCGAGAGACCCGCAGGACCTTCAAGCGTCACTGCAAGCCCGTTTGCCCTCGCCCGCTAGATGCATGAGTCCCCCTCGGTCCACAGCATCCACCTCGGCTCGCTCGCGAGCCTCCTCGCCATCGCTGCCGCCTCGCGCTTGTGCTCGCGCCGCTGCACGTCGCTCATCTGCTCCCCCTCGCGCTCGTCGTCGTTCATGTCGTCGGGCTGGAGCGCTGGCGCCGTGACTTGCTCGGCGCGAGGGCGGATCGTGCCGGTCGTGAGCGAAACGGGCTCGAGGATGGGAAAGGTCGAGAGGAGGCGGCGGAAGCGGGCGTTGGCGTTGTCGGGGAGGACAAATGTCGAGGGCGAGATGGCGGAGAGGGCGTGAGCTGCGCCGTACTCGTGGCGTAGGGGCGTCTTGACGGCCGGGAAGGAGCGGTCGGCGCCGTGGGCGAGAGGAATCGCGATCGCCCAAGCCGAGTCGAGGTCGCTCCAGGGCGACTCTTCGAGGCTGATGAGACCGTTCGAGGCGAGGCAAAGGCCAAAGTCGGCCAGAAGTCGCGCGACTCGCTGCGTGCAGGCAGGGTCAGGGTCGACTCCCTTGTCCAGAGGTCCGGAGAAGAGGCGGCGCACCTCGCGGTATCGATCGATCAGGCCCGTGACACCCATCTCGACGAGCATATCTATCGCCCAGTCGCAGTTGAAGGTGTCGACGACGCGGCCGCCGACCTTGCCGACCGCGTCGCAGCAGGTGCCCTTCGGCTTGTGCAGGTCAAAACGCTTCTCGAAGCGCTTGCACGCGCTGTCGAACGCCATGTCGATGAGCTCGGCCCTGACGAGGCTCCACACCTCGACAGGCAACGCGCGCACGTCGGTCGTGACCGAGTCCTTGACCTCGAGGCGACCTTTGGCACGGCGCGCGAGGATGAGGTCGATGGCTAGCAGGGCGGGACGGCTGCGCTTGTACGCTGCGGCGACGAGGCAGAAGTCCATCGCCTTGACCGTGATGCCGTACAGGAGCGTCGCCGTCGCAGTGCACATGTGGCTCGCGGCGGGTGCGGGGTCGAGGAGGGGGACAAGGAGGAGCGTGTCGGGCTCACTGCGCTGGAAGAGGCCTGCGCAGGGTGCAAGAGTCAGTTGCAGGTCCCAGTAGCTCGCTCGAGCTGCACACCCCCACGCAGGAGGGGTGCTCACCGAGAGAGAGTCGCTGAAAGTCGGCCGCGGTGATGAAGATGAACGACGCTCAATGTGGTCCTTGAAGCTGCTCGACAGGTACAGGTAGATGCGCTCGGTGCTGTTGAGCTGTGCAGCTATGCAAGGCGAGCAGTGCTGAGCAGTGCAGCTGAGGTGGACAAGGGCGAGAGGTGCGAGCCGCCGGCGTCGCCAAGTCCGGAGCGACCGAGCCGTGTCGGGTACTCGCGTCGACCCGTGCCGCTCTCAAAGCTGTCCGGCCTTCTCTCAGAGCTCACGCGGAGAGAGCCACTGCCGAACAGACGACTCGCGGAGCGAGGCCGCGCCGAGAGAAGTCGGTTCATGCAAGCTCTCAAGCCTCTCGATGAGGGGACACGAACGACAAGCGATTGACAAGCTGCTCCTCCTCGCCCGACTACGAGCACGTCGAGCCTGACCCGATGAGCATCCACCCAGGCTCCCTCGCCGCACGCTTCTTCTCCTTCTCCTGCTCGCGGCGCTCCTCCTTGCTCAGCTTCGCCTTGACCGTCTTCTTCTCGGCATCGCGCTCGACTTGCGACGAGCTCGGCGGCCTCGCAGGCGGCGGGCGGATCGTGCCGGTCGTGTGCGAGGTCGGGACGAGGGCGGGGAAGCTCGACAGGAGGCGGCGGAAGCGGACTGGCGCGTTGGTCGGGAGGTCGAACGTCGAGGGAGAGATGCGCACGAGGGTGTGCGAGGGGTCCGCCTCGTGCGGGATCTCGGCGTGAACGTGCGGGTACGCCTTGGCCTTGTCGCCGTCGCGAACGAGAGGGATACCGACCGCCCACGAGGCCGCAAAGTCGAAGTACGAGCTCTCCTCCTTGCTGATCAAGTCGACCGTCGCGAGGCAGAGCCCGAACGCCTCGAGCATGTCGACGACACGCTGCAGGACGCGAGGTGGTCAGTACGCGCTCCTTTCGCAAGGCGTAGTGAGGGCAGGGATGGGGGCGCACCGTCCTGCAGTCGTCGGTATACGAGCGGACGCCACCGTCCTCCATGAAGCTGTCGAAAGACATCTCGCCCTGCAAGGCGCCGACGAACTTGAGGCTGTCGCCGCCGCTTGGACCGTCGTACTCGGACTCGGGCCAGTCGGAGTCGGACCAGTCATAGGCGTTCTCGACGTTGAGCCACTGCTGGAGGTAGCCCTGCCGCGTGACGTGACGCTCGACGAGGTCCCAGATCTCGACAGGAATCGCGCAGACGGTCGCACGGCGCTCGGGCGTGCTCGTGTGGAGCGTGCCGTTGGCCTTTCTCGCGCGGACGAGGTCGACGGCGACGAGCGCGGGCTTGACGGCCTTGTACGCCGCTCCGGCGAGGCAGAGCTCGAGAGCCTGGAGCGTGATGCCGTAGACGAGGGTCGCGCTAGAGGTGCACATAGTCGGCGAGGTCGGGGTCGAGGGCGAGGCCGAGAAGCTGAGGGCGAGGTCGAGGAAGAGGATAGACCAGGTCGATCGACAGGATGCAGTGGCTCTGTTGCGCCGAGGCTCTGTGTGCGAGTCAGGTCAGAGAGCCCTCACGAGCCTGCGCAGGGCGCTGGGAGAGAGGGTGCTCACGGGCTGATGAAGAGGAGGCGAGGCGGTGCTGCTCGACTGAGGGTCGTGCGGCAGGCGCAGACGGTATAGACAGGCTGTTGAGGATCTGCTGAAGAGGCTGGGCGTGCTCTTCGCGTCGCAGGAGGGCGAGGCGGGAAAGCGAGTGAGGAGAAGGAAGGAAAGAGACGAGACGGCGCGACCGCGAACGGCGGTCGCCGACGAGAGCGGGCTCGGCGAGCTGGCTGGGCTGGACAGCTCGAGTCGCAAGCTCAAGGAAGCTCTTGCAGGGCTCGTAGAACGAGGCGCTGAGCAAGAAGCCGAAGCGCGACGAGCGAGAGTGGCTCGGACCCCCTCCGTCGAGTCGCACACTTGCTCGAGGCCAGGCTCTTCTCCTCGCTCTCACCTCTCGGCAACCCTCGTGCACCCTCTGCACTGCACTCTCTCTCCTCCTTGCGCGCTCTACGCCGCCGCCCCCTTGCGCTTCTTGCCCTTGGGCGCCGGCTTTGACCGCTCGACGAGGTCCCGCAACTCGTCCTCTTGCGCGCGCAAGAACGCCTCGACGTCGGCGATCGTCGCGACCGGGTGGGCGAGCTGGAAGCGGACGATCAGGTTGAGGATCGAGGGCATGGCGGGGGAGGACTTGGTGAAAGGGAGGAGGGCGTTGAGGGATTTGCCCTGCGAGGATCGAGCGATGGGGAGGGTCAGTCGAGGGACCGATACGAGGACGCTTGGCATGAATAGAGAGATGAGGACGCACGTCGAGTAGAGGATGGTCGAACGCGCGAACGTGCAGCTCGTGCGCCTCGATGAGGCCGACGAACCGGTTGTAGGCGTGCACGAGCCGAGCCTGCTCGGCCGGATCTGCGGGCGTACGACGCGCAGTGAGCGACCGTCGCGTACAGCCACGCCAAGAGAGATAAAGAGAGCCCGAGGACGCACCTGCTCGCGCCTCGACGAGGTCGACGCAGAGGGCCCACAGGAGCGACACGTTCCACCGCTGGTGGAGCCCGTCATGCACCGACGGATGCCGCATGACCATGCCTGCGAGACGGCCGACACACGCAGTCAGTCATCCTGCGCTCAGAGGCGCAGAGAAGAAGAGACATGAGAGATCGAGCCCGACGCACCAATCTCGGCCCTCAGCTCGCCCTCCTCGAGCGCCCTCCCGCTCCCCTCCTCTCCCGCAAACTCCCTCACCGCGCCCCTGAGCCCTCCCATCGCCTCCCTCGCGCGCTTGGTGAACGCAATGTCGACCGTCGGGCCCTTGACGCCGTCGCGCACGACCTTTTCGCCGACCCACACGACCTTGCCCTTGTCGAGCGTCGCGAGCGCGTACAGCGGCAAGAGGCCGCACGACAGGAAGAGGCGCTTGACCGTGCCCGGGTAGACGCACGACAGGAGAGGGGTGGTGCTGGGTGAGGGCGATGCGAGCGGGTAGACGGGCGGGGCCGAGGTTGGTGGGGATCGGGGAGGGGGACGGCGACGAGCTGGAGGAACGGGTGGAGCGGCGGAAGGGGTGTTGGCGAGGCAGCGTTGAGTGACGGCGACAGGAGCTGGGTGAGGACGGCGGCGGCGGCGACCGAGAGCGCCGTGTCGGGTTCAGGCGGCGCCGGCTCGCTCGGATCGGGCCCGAGGACAGGTGACGGGGCGGTCGCGCCAGGCGGGGTTGCCGAGCTGTGCGACAGTGGTGCGGGGGCGGCAAAGACCTTGTCGTGCTCGTAGAGGAAGATGAGCGGGTGCAGCTCGAGGCGCTCGATGAGCTCAAAGGCGTAGAGCGGGTCGCGACCTGTTGCGAGGACGTCGACTAGGGTGTCAGCGCCGCCTCTCTCCGACAAGTCTCGAGGGAAAGAGAGACTCACCGAGGAGCATCTTGTCGAGCTCTGCGCCGACGCGCTCGCGGCTGATCTTGAGCGGGTTGCGGAGCGCCTCCTGCGAGCGTCCAGTCGCCGAAGGTCAGTCTCGCTCGGTTCGGCTCCTCAACTGCGGGGGCGAGAGTGATAAAGGGACGCACCTTGATCTCGTCGCGCTTGATTGCCCGCTCCATCTCGGCATCGAGCTCCCACTCGCGCCCAAACCTCGCCGCGAATCGGACGGCGCGCACGACGCGCAGCGGGTCGTCGTGGAACGTCTTGACGGGCTCGAGCGGGCTGCGGATCTTGCGCGGCATGCCGGGGACAAAGCCGAGGTCGGCGAGGCCGAGCTGCGTCTGGTCCTCGATGAGGCGCGTGCGCAGGTTGTAGAAGAGCGAGTTGATCGTGAGGTCGCGGCGCTCGGCGTCTTCGAGAGGGGTGCCGAAAGCCTGTGGGAGGATGCAGTGTGTCAGTACGGGCGTCGAGAGCGAGAGAAAGGGAGAGAGAGAGGGACGCACGACGGTCGGGATGCGGCTGCCCTCGGTGTAGACCTCCTGCCCTCGCTGCTGGACCCAGTCGACCGACAGGTCACACACCCTCGCCGTGGCCGTCTCGAGATGCTTCGACTGCTCGGGCTTGGCCTCGATCTTGGTCAGGCGGCCCATCTGTGCGCATGGGTCCATGCATTCACGAGTCAGTGTGCGCCCGCAAGGCAGGTGCAAGGAACTCGACGAAGAGAGCGTACGACGCACCAGGTCGCGCTTGCCGAGAGTCTCGAGGTACTGCTCGAACAGCATGGCGAACTTGAGGCCCGTGATCGGGTCGGGCGAGGTTGAGACGTCGATGTCGTCCGACTGGCGGCCGAGGAGCTGCGAGGCGAGCGAGTGGCGGGTCAGTTTACAGGTCGCTCAGCTACACTCGTTTCCCCCTAGGCCTGAAGCTCTGCCCGGAATGGACATCGCACAGGCCTGGGGCGCGAGTCGACAGAGCGAGACGCAAGCCGGCGCACCTTGTCGCGGACCCACCCTCCAGCAATCCTCAGCTCGACCGGCTCGTCCCCCCTCTCTCGCCCGACCCACTCGCCCGTCACGTCGTCCTTGAGGCGGAGCGCATCGACGAGGTGCGGGTTGTGGTCGACCCAGTCTGCGCACCCGACGAGGAGGTCGACGAGTTTGTGCTCGTCTGGGGTGAGAACGATGGCGGGGAGGACGGGTGGGACGCTCATGACGGTGCTGGTGGTGCGTATGGCGCGGCTCTGGGCGTGCGCGGGTCGGAGGAAGGGAAGTCGGGCGCGAGCGAGTCTGCGGAGCGGGGCGACGAGCATGCACCGGGACAAGGGCGCCGGTCGCTCTGAGCTCGTGTGGTGGCTGCACGACCTTGTTGAGCTGATCAGGCGAGCTCCTCGGCGTGTGAGCGGTGTGTGGGCGAGAGCGATGATGCTCCTCGGGCGGCTCTCCCTCTTTCGCCTCGTCCTCGCTCGTCCCCACTGCTTTGCGCCTAGTGCGACCCGCCAGATCTACTCATCAGGTTGAGCCTGCATCCTCCAAGCCATCCCGCAACTCTCCCTGAGCTGTCGTTCCCCTTCCAACTCCCCCTCTCCGCTTTCCTCCCTTCCTCATCTCCCTCGCCCCCTGTCTCTTCGCCACACTCTCTGGGAGCATGGACTGACCTCTAGATCTGCGCGCAGACTTCTCCGCGACCGACTGCCTCTCGCATCCGGCCCTCGAAGATGCCGCCTCCTCCCGCCATGCCCGCTCAGCCCGGCGCACAAGAGCCTTCCGTCTTTCAGAAGCGTGCGTCCACCGTTCTCGCGCTCAGCGATGTTCTGCAGGTTGCCGGGACTGACACGAGCTCCATGGCGACGTGCATGCGCAGTGCGAATGGGCATGCTCACCGGTGGCCTGTCCGTCCCTCGCCCTCTCCCTCTCTCTCTCCCTCTCCCTCTCGCACCTCGCTGACCCTGTCTCTCAAATCCGCGCAGTGTCGGCCTGACGATCGGCTTCATCTTTGGCAACTTTGCCATCATCTCGTGCGTCCCAGCCTCTCACTCTTTCTCTCGTTGCGTGCGCGCCGGCCGGAACTGACCTCGTCCCGACTCGACGACCTGCAGCGGCGGCGCAGGGCGCGGCAAGGGCTACTTCCCGACCCTGTCGACCTACATGCTCTCGTCGGGCGCAACGTTCGCCTTCTTCATGTCGAGTGCGTCCCTCTTGAACTCCCCTTTCCTGCCTCTCTCGCTCGAGCGCCCTGACCCTCTCTTCCTCCCCTCTCTCGCGCCCGCACCCTCAGTCGGCACCGTCATCCGCACCGACGGCCTCACGATGCAGGAGTGGGCGGCGCAGCAGGTGCGCGAGGGTCGCGCGATCGGTATGCCGGGCGTTGTCGGCGCTCAGGCCGTCCGGGAGCGCATGGAGCGCCGGGAGAAGCCCTAGAGGCTCGGCGCTCGCTGAGTAGAGGGACGACTGGGGACGTGCAACGAGAAAGACTGAACACTGGTATCGACACGATGCAGGGCGAGAAAGAGAGAGAGAGAGAGAGCTACAGCGTCTATATACAGCAGCGCTCAGGTACGCATGTCCTCGTCCTCGTCCTGCGCCACCGCTCCTCGCTCGGCCTCGTCCTTCTCCTTCTCGTCCGCCGTCGCCGTCGCCGTCGCCGTTGCCGCCGCCGGCTCGCCCTTCCACCACCCCATCCTGCCCGCCCTCGCCTCGTCGACCCACTCGCCGACCAACCTCGCCGTCTCCCTCCCGAGCGCGTACGTGCCCGGGCTCTTGTCAAACATGTTGACGTGCGCCGTGATCTCGTCGCGGGCGCTCGAGTCCTCGGCGGGCGAGAAGCGCGCGTTGAGCGCCGGCGCGGGTGGGACGACGAGAAAGGTGCGCGAGGGGCTGCCGTTCTTGGCCGGGAGGAGCGTGTAGAAGCTGCGCGTCGAGCACACGGGCGGATCAGTCCAGGTCGCTTCCTCGAGAGAGGAGCGCTGCAGGACAGAGAGATCGCTCGACGCACCAGTGGAACCCGACGCCCTTCTCGCTCGCGCCGACGACCTTTTCCAACCGCCGCTCGAGCTCGTCCGTCTTCCACAGCTCGCCGACAAAGCTCAGGTGGCTCGTCGCCCACGTCCAGTGCTGCGCGAGCGTCTCGCGGTTGTAGTACGCGCCGAACGCGGCGCCGGCGGCCGTGAGCCCGGCGGCGGCGAGGTACGGGAGCGAGAGCCACGACGACGACGACCCGGGCGTCGCCGAGGTCGAGGTGGCCGGTGGCGGGACCGAGACCTTGTCGTTCGACGACGAGGACGACTTGGTCGCCGAGCGCGAGCTGCTCGCCTTGGCCGACGAAGACGAGCCCGAGCCCGGGGAGGGCGCGCCTGACAAGCTCGAGCCGCCGCCGCCGCCGCCAGTCGCCGTCTTGAGCAGGCCGTACCCGGCACCGAGCGCGGCGAGTGCCGCCTGGCCCTTGGACGCGACGTCGAGCGCCTTGTCGAACGTCGACTTGAACACCTGCGGGTTGAGCCCGACGAGCGGCGAGTCGTACATGATGAGGCCGAGGATCGGGACCGACGAGGGCGAGAGCGTCGCGAGGAGCGAGTCGGCGATGACGAGGCCGCCCATCCTGCGTGCGGTCGAGGGGTCAGTTTTCGTGGAGAGTGTGGGCCGAGTCGAAGAAGGAGGGAGGGGGGACGCACGAATGCCCAAACAAGATGACCCGCACCGGCCCCGTCCCTCCTCGGCTCCTGAACATGGCCTCCTTCTCCTTGACGAGCTCCTTGAGCCACGTGACGTGGTTCACGACGGCCGTCACGAGCTCGCCACGCGTGTCGTACGCCGGGTAGACGACCGGGTCGAGTGCGATGCCGACAGGCTCGAGGATCGCCTGCAGGCGCATCGGGAACTCGGCGAAGCTGTGGACGATCGGGCGGGTCAGCTTGTTGATCCGGGAGGAGTGTGCGAGGAGGGAGAGGGGACGCACGTGTCGGCACCGCCTTTGAAGCCGTGCAGAAAGACGCCAACGACCAGCTCGGGCGGTATAAGCGGTGACGGCATGCTGGGTCGTGGCAGCACGCTGTACAAGCCGTGCAGGGCCGGTGTGGGTGAACGAGATGAGCCTGTGGGGGAGGAGGAGGTGATGAGAACGGGGACGGCCGCGAGGCCGCGGACGCCCGCGCTGAGGACGAGTGGAAGGATGACAGGGGTGTGGACGCACCTCGAGAACCCACAGAAGCTCCTCCTGCTTCGACCCACTGGTTGTGTCGAGCGAGAGGTCGGGTTGGAGATGAGAGGGCGAGCAGCTGGCGACGACGAGGTCGGGAGAAGGCGCTGCGGCTGGGCGCTTGGCCCTGTCGAGTCGTAGAGTTGCCGGGCTGTGCAGCTGCGCTGTGCGAGCGGCTCTTGCGCGTGGTTGTGCTCTCTCACCGTCAGCTCGCCGCCGCCCGCCGCCGCCGGCGACGCCGAGGTCGCACAGTTTTGACTACGTTCGATTCTGGCGCGGGCTCGCAGTGCCTGGGTGCGACTCGCACTCGAGCTCTGATGCAAAGCTGCTGTGTGCAAGCCTGCTCGCGCCCGCGGAAGAGTGCAGCCGCGGCCGCCCACCCTTACGGCGGCGGAGCGGTCCGCGGTCGGCACATTCCTCCACTTTGTCGATGCGCCCACTCGTTCTGATTCGGCCGACGCAGTGCCGACGCACGCTCTCAGTCCGGTGCTCCACCTTGATCGGACACCGGTCGAGCGCTAGTAAACTTAGGTGGACGCGACCTCCCTGCGACTCCGTGCTCGTCCACGCTGGCCCGCCGCCGCGAAGCGTGGACCCAGGAAAACTGTGCTGGCTCCGCGCTTGCTTCTCTGCATCCCCCCGCCATCCTCCAGCTCGCCTCTCTCGACCCCGCCCACCTGGAGGACCGCGCACCACCGGCAGCTTCCTCCGCACCGCGCTCATCCACCCCTACCGCTCCACGCCCACCGCCCGCCATGGCCCACGACCTCAAGCCGACGTCCTCGAAGGAGCAGGACGCGTTCGAGGAGCGCGACGAGCGCGCCGAGGAGGAGGCCATCACCCTCACGCCCGACGAGCGCAAACGCCTCGAGCGCAAGCTCGTCCGTAAGATTGACGCCCGCTTCTCGATGTGCGTCCTCCTTTCTGCATCTCTCGTGGCGTGCGGGGCGAGCCGGCGCGAGGCGGCCGTTCGAGAGAGTTGGGCGTTGGGCCGGCGAGGGCGACTCTCGGTCTCGCGGTTACGAGCGCTTCGCTGACCCTCCTGCGCACCCTCGCCTGCAGCCTCATTGTCATCTACATCGTGCGTCGACGTCTGAGTCTCTTCCGCACGAGCCGGCGACGAGCCGGCGTCGTCAGGATCGTCGCCGCTCGCGCACGAGCCGCTCCCGACGTAGTTGCCTCGGACGGTCACTGACTCTTCCCTCGTCGCTCCCTCGGCTCTGCAGCTCAACTACATCGACGTGCGTGACTCTCTCGACACCCTCAGGAGTGGGCAGCAGACACTGACTGTCGGAAACCCTCCGTCGCCTTCTTCCTCCCTCTTCCTTACCTCCTCGCCCCTGGCCGTCCTTCCTCGTCCCGCCGCCTGGCTCGACTTCTGCAGCGCAACAACGCCAGCGCCGCAAGGACCAAGGGCCTCGAGGAGGACCTGGGCCTCAAGGGCAAAGAAATGGACACGCTTTTGAGCATCCTGTACGTCCTCGGACTCGCTCCTGAAGCTCTGGATGTCTTCGGACGTCGCTCGTGACGCCCTGGGGCTGCTCGCGGTCTACCAAACTAACCCTTTCTCTTGTTTAAAGCTACTTGGGCTACGTACTAATGCGTAACCGCGCTTCCTTTTACCCTCTCAAGACGGTTGAGCCGGCTGACGACCCTCTTCTCTCCTCATCCCGGCCTCGTACCTGCCTACCTCCTCATATAATGAAGAAATTCCGAGCAATATGGGCATCCAGTATTGCGGCCGTCCTTCTATCGTCATACCGACGGCAGTGCTGCTGTGGGGAGCGGTGTCGACCGGCATGGGCGCGACACACTCCTTCGGCCCGGCGCTCGCCTGCCGCTTCCTCCTCGGATTCGTCGAAGCCGCGTACGCTCACCCTCTTCCCTTCACTCGGTCGTGTCCGTACTGACCTGCGCTCGCTCGCAACAGCTTCTTTCCAGGCGCGTTGATGACGCTCGCAGCCTGGTACCCGAAGCGGTCCCTCGGCAAGCGCTTCACCGGGCTCTACGTGCGTCTCTTTTCTCCTCCTCTCTCTCTGACGTAGCTGACCTGTCTTTCGCAGTGCGGATCGCTAATCTCGAACGCCCTAGGCCCGGTCCTCGCTGTGCGTCGACTCTCACCTCCTCTCTCGTCGACCGCACTGACCTCGCCTTTTTGCAGGCCGGCATTCTGGGTACGATGGAAGGGAAGGGAGGTGTGAGGGCATGGCGCTGGCTCTTCTACGAAAGTTAAAGTCTTTTACTGCTTTTGCGAGCGACGCTAACAACCTCTGCCGACCGCAGATCGAGGGCTCCCTCACCATGGCCGTTGCCGTCATCGCCTTCTTCGTCCTCCCCGACTTCCCGCACAACACGCGTTGGGGCTTCAGCAAAGAGGAGAAGCAGCTCGCCGTGCAGCGCATGACCGAGGACGTCGGCATGAAAGACGACACGTCCAAGATCAGCAACTGGGAGGCGCTCAAGCTCTCGCTCTGCGACTACAAGCGTACGTCCCCTCCTTACGTCACGCTTTACGTCTCTCGACGACGTCGACGAGGCTGCGTCCTCGTTACACGCGACGAGATCCGGCGACTGACGACCTTCTCAAACAGTCTGGATGATGGCTCTCGCCCTCACCTCGGTCACCGTCGGCCTCTCGTTCAACCAGTTGTGCGTCGAGCTTTCCTTTCACTGTCACGAATCGTCACTGACGCCCTCGCATTTGCCAGCTTCCCGCAAATCACCAAAACCCTCGGCTACTCGAACACGGCGTCCCTCCTCCTCTGCGCACCTCCCTTCCTGTTCGCGGCCATCTGTGCCTTCCTCGTGTCGGCGCACAGCGACAAGGTCGGCGAGAGGTACCTCCACATCGTCGTCCCGTTCGGTATCGGCATCATCGGATTCATCATCGCGGCGACGACCTCGAGCTTCGGCCCTCGCTACTTTTCGCTCTTCTGCATGGCCCAGAGCTACAGCGGCTTCGTCTGCCTCTTGGCGTGGATCTCGTCAACGTACGTCGCCTATCTTCACCGGTTCAGAGCGCTCAGGACCGAGCGTGGCAAGCTGACTCTTCCCTCTTTCCCTCTCGACAGGTTCAGCCGGCCAGCCATGACCCGCAGCATCAGTCTTGCCTTTGCGAACGCTCTGAGCCAACTTGGCAACATCGCCGGCGCGTACTGCTTCGACAAGCGGTGGGGCCCGTCGTACACGCGATCGTGGGCAATCTGCATCGGTGCGTCGTCCTCGCCTCTTCCCCTCGGGAACCCTCTCGAACTCGAGCTAACTCGTGCTCCCTCCCTCGACACAGCCACTTTCGCGTTCTCGATCTTCGTCTGCACCCTGCACCGGCTCAACCTCGCGCGCCTCAACCGCAAGCTTGCGGCTCGCGACGAGGTCGAGGCGCACGGCAAGGAGCACGCCGCGGTCGACGCGCTGGACTACCCGGCCGGGTTCCGATACATGCTCTAGAGCGTCACGTGGCGAGCGTCGAGCGTACTCGCTTGCCAACTCGTCGCCTCGTCGTCCCCTCGTCTTCGTCCTCTCGTCCTCTCTTCCTTGTCCCCCTCTCTCTCGGTTCTCGTCTACTGCAATAGTCTGTCTCTCGAGTTCTCTTTTGTTCGCCGCCGCGAGAGCTGTGGCTGCACCGAAAGCCGAGAGGACGAGAAACTCGAGAGCGGTCGGTGACCTTCCCAAGTCCAAGTCGGCCTTCCCAAGTCGACCTTGCGAGCTCTCGCTCTCCTCGCACGGGCTGCTTCTTGCTCTCGGCGCACGCTTTCAGGTGCTCTCGACGACTGCTGCGACGACTCTGCCATCCTGCTGAAGAGACAGGTCCTCGACGGTGCTCGCTCCAGCCCCGCACGGACCCTCCCTCTCGCCTCTCGCTCTCCTCGACGCGTGCGAGGCGTGCTCGCGGTCTCTCGACCGACCGACTCACAGTGCAAGCGAGAGTGTCCATAGCAGAGAGTGTGCTACTGAGAGTGCGAGGGGTACTGACTGACGAGGGGTGCGGTGCGAGGCAAAACGAGGAAGGGAACGAAAGGAAGGGAAGGAGAGACCGCCAGACTAGTTCGAGCCCTTGGTGTGCTTGAGCATGTTGCTGATCGCGCTCTGCGACACAGGAGGCGACGCGCCCGAGCCGATCATGACCTTGGTCGACTTGGACGGGACGCCGTCGGCAAGAAGGTGCAGCCACGCGGGGCCAGGCTGGAAGATGCCTGTCGTCTTGGGCGCCGTGACGGTGAGCTTGTTGCCCTTGAGCGTGCACGCGAGCTCGACCATGCGTTGAGACATGTGGACCTGCCGTGAGAGAGGGTGAGGAGGGAGGCAGGGGCAAGAGGGAAAGAGGCGGAAGTGGGAGAGAGGGGAGGAGGGACGAGGGAGGAAAGGCGAGGTCAGGCCCGAGCCCGACGACGCTCGACGACGAGAGAGAGTGGACGCACGCCGTGCGTCGAGTAGCCGAGGTCCATGATGAACGCCTGGACCTTCTTGGTGCCCGAGGGAAGCGACACCGTGAGGACGTAGTTCTTCTTGTACGCCATCTTGGCCGGCTGGGCCGAGAACGACGGGCGCTTCATCGACATGTAGGGCGCTGTGTGCGGGAGAGGAGGGGCGTCAGGGCGGATCGTGTCGAGGAAAGAGGGAAGGTCCGGGAGGAGGACACGCTCGACGAGGGAGAGAGCAGGGGACGCACGCGAGAGCATCTCGACGTTGTACCTCGTGCGGTACGTCTTGGTCGAGACGCCGTCGTTCGGGTTCGAGCCGGCGGTAAAGATGCGGCCGTCGGGAAGGAGCGTCGCCACCGAGTGGTATAGGCGCTCCATGCCCGCGTTCGGGAAGCCGCGCGTGAAGCGCTTGCCCTTGACGCCGTCTGGGTCGTACAGGAGGGGCTCCTTGGCGGGCGAGCGGGCGTTCGAGGCGCCGATCTCGTCCTTGACGTTGCCGTAGCTGTCGTCGGGAGGTGCGAGAAGGTCGTCAGTCGAGAAGGTCGAGTGGCTCGACGAGAGGGTGAGACGAGGGACGGGGGACGAGAGGAGAAAGAGAAGACGACGAGGAAGGAGCGGAAGGGGGAAGAGGAAGGGGGAAAAGGAAGGGGGAAGAGGGATGAGGAAGAGGGAAGAGGAAAGAGAGGGACAAGAGGGATGGGGAGGAGACGAGGAAGACGAGGACGCACCCGGCGATGCCAGCCTGAGCGCCGTTGACGATGAGCACGTTGCCGTCGGGCGTAAGGATGGCGTCGCCCATGACGCGAGGGAACGGCATGTTCTCGGTCTGCCAGCCCTTGCGCAGGCCGGCCGCGTTCAAAATCATCCTTGAACACTGCTTGCTCGCAGGCGCTTTGGCGCTGAGCTGCGACGGGTTGATGTCGAGGTTGGCCGTCGTGCCGCCGCAGAAGAGGACCTGCAGGACGAAGAGTCAATACGAGGAGGCTGCGGCGAGCCGCAGAGAAAGTCGAGGAAAAGCGAGGGCGCACCTCGGGCTCAAAGTTGTTGGCGATAGTGAGAGGCAAGAGGACGCTCGCCGAGCTGCCCGGGTCTGTAAAGGGGCGCCAAAGAGACGTCAGGAGGGCTCGAAGTGAGAGAAAGGGCGAGGGAGGAAGGGCGAGAGACAGAAAGGGCGAGAGTGAGAGTGGGACGTACACGTGATCGTGACGCCATTGGGCAGAGGCTTGAGGCGACGCTCGATGTTCTTCTTGGCGTCGTACAGCATGGCCATCTTGTTGGCGGCGATAAAGACGTAGCCCGACGGGAGCGTGTACATGACCGGGAACAGGTTCGACTTGAGGGCGTCGTGGAGGAACGACGAGTAGACGGGCAGGCCGTCGCCTTTGGGCGGGAAGAACTCGAACGTCGGGTTGTCGGTCGCGTCCTGGTTCGAGAAGCCCCTGACCACCATCCCTCCAGCGATCATGAGGCTGCCGTCGACGAGCCGGACGGTGCTCGGGTACCAACGAGGCGACGTGAGGCGGATGCGGGCCGGGTTCTCGTACACGTCGCAGCGCTCGTCGGCGCAGGGCGTGAACAGGCGGAGCGCGGCGAGCCCGTCCTCGGCCTTGTCGTTGATGTACGTCTGCTGCGGGTTGCCGCCGACGCTGACGAGCGTGCCGTTGCCGATCCAACCCCCACCCGCGCAGAACGCGTTCGTGACCACGTTGAGCGCGCGGACCTTTTTGGTCGAGATCGTGTACAGGGAGGCCCATGCCGAAGCGCCCGACGCGTCCTTGAGAGCGTTGTTTTCTGCTTTGTCGTAGATGAGGATGTGGTCATCGTCGACGACCGTGACCTGCAGGTGCGGACGTGAGAGCCCACCCACGTCGAGAGCGAGAGAGAGAGAGCGAGACGCACCTGCATCGCCGCGACGCCCGTCGAGCCGGCCGAGGCGAACTTGGACTTGCCGGACCACGCCTTGCCGACCGTGCGCTTGTCGAGGCCCGAGTGCGACGCACGCTTGCCGTACAGCGAGTGGGCGTGCCAGCCCTTGGCGAGGTTGCCGTCGACGGTGCGCGCAAAGAGGCCGCTCTGCTCGTCGACGGGGAGGAGCTCCTAGTCGGCGGGCTCGGGCTCGGGCGCCGGCGGGGCAAGGTCGGCGTCGTCGAGGAAGGCGTCCGAGGCCGTGTAGTCGAACAGGCCCTCGCTGTCGAGGGCGGCGAGGTCGAACGTCGGGGCCGAGGGCGACGAGGCGAGGGCGGTGTGGAGCGAGAGGAGGCAAAGAGCGACGAGGGTGAGGGAACGAGTGACGGCGGGCGCCATGGTGGTGGTGCGCCTTGCGTGTAGGACTAGCAGGCAAGCACACAAGTCGACAGGGGAGCAGAGAGCGAGGAGCGAGGCGCCAGCTCGAAGGCGAGGTTCCCCGCACTTTTGCTCGCGCCGCCTCGAGGAGCGTGCGGTGCGAGGCTCAATGGCTCCACGCTCGGCAGCAGCGCAGACGCATTTGGCTCAGCCGGCCTCCTTCGCAGCAGCGGCACATCGAGGTGGGAGTCGAGGAGAAGAAGCGCGAGCTGATGAGGCCGGCGACGACGAGAGGGCAACTTACTCACGCTCTGGTGGTGTGCAAGCTGCTCTCAAGGGATCATGAAGCCCTTGTGGACAGATCCCGGCCATCACAGGCACACCCGGAGCGAGAGCCAGCGAGTCGTCCTCGTCGTCCAGAGCCGGCTCCTCCTTTCCCTCACAAGCTTCACTCGACATCGCAGGACGGGCTCCGCGATGCCTCGCCCTCGCCGCTCTGCTGCCGCCAAGGCAGTCAAGTACAACGACGATCCGCTCAGCGACGAGGTCGACGACGAGGACGCCGCGTTGACGGACGCGGGCGAGTCGGCGAGCGGCGCGTCGTCGTCGCGCAAGGGCGGCGTGCACAAGGCGCAGGATGACGAGGCGTGGAGCCAAGGTGCGTCCGCGCTGTTCAGCTCGGTCGCGCGACCTCGTACTGACCTCGCTGCCCCCGTCTTTCCTCCGCAGGCGACGACTCGGACGACGCGCCCGCCCGCAAGAAGGCCCGCACGTCGACCAGCTCCAGCTCGACCAAGGGCAAGGGCACGTCCAAGGGCAAGAGCAAGGGCAAGGGTCGGGCGGGCAAGCTGTCGGCCTTCCTCGCCATGCCGCTCGACATCCTGGTCGAGATCTCGCGCCACCTCGACCCGCCATCGCTCCTGTCCATGTCGCGCGCCAACAAGATGATGCGCGGCGTCTTTGCGCACCGCTCGGCCGCCCCGATCTGGGCCATCGTGCGCGGCAACGTCGACCTGCCGCAGCTCGAGGCGACCGACCTCTCCGAGATGCAGCTCGCGAGCCTCGTGTTCGAGCGCAACTGCCACCTGTGCGGCCGCGGCAGGGCCTCGATCGTCGACTATGCGCTCAGGGTCCGCTGGTGCAAGGTGCGTCCCCTTTTCCCCTCGGTCTCGGCGCCCGTCGACCGGTCCCTGACTCGTCCTCTCGCCCTCGCTCGCAGAAGTGTCAGCGCGCCAAGTCCGTCCTCTCCCGTCTTCCCGCCTCTCGAGCATTGCCTGACCTTCAGGCCTCGCTCTGCAGCCTCGACAACCAGTCGCGCATCCGCAGGAAGGTCGAGGACCTGCACGTCAACGCATTCGAGTGCTCGCCGTTCACCTTCCACTCGCTCAGCGGCTACAACTCGGGCAAGAACCGTGCGCTCTCGTTCCTCCTCACTTTCCCCTGTGCACACGAGCCTGACACGCTCGCCGTACCCGCAGCGTACTACTGCACGCCCGACGTCGAGCGCATCAGCGCCCAGCTGTACGAGGTCGAGGGCAAGGCGCCCAAGAAGCCGCGCAAGGCGAAGAAGAAGAAGAGCAAGAAGCGCAAGTACGAGGACGAGGACGACGAGAGCGACGAGGAGGTCATGGACGAGGACGACGTCGCCAAGCTCGAGGCGTTCGTCAAGCAGCGCCACGACATCGTCGCCGCCTCGCAGAGAGTGCGTCGCCCGTCTCTCTCTCTCTCCTCTCTGTTGAAGAGATAAGGCACGTGACTGATCCTCGTAGCACCTCGACAGGACGCGGTGGCGCTCGTCAAATGGGAGCGCTCGTCCATCACGGCCCGCAGGGAGTCGGGCGACGCGGCGCGCCAAGCTCGCGAGGAGGCGTGAGTCTCGCTCGATCTCTCTGTCTCTCTCGAGTGAGCGGGCAGGTACTTATGCCCTGCTCGTCTCGCAGCATCCGGCAGAAGCTCCTCGCCCTCGGCTACTCGGACGCCGAGTGCGTCGCTCCTTCCTCCACCTTCTGCCTCCGCGGGCTTTTCTCACTCACGTCCTCGTCGCCTGCAGCTGCATCATCAACCCGTACTCGAGCGTGTGGAACCTCGTCGACCAGCCGACCAAGCTCACCAACTCGAGTACGTCCCTTCCACCCGCCTCGTTCTCGCGAGCGAGGACTGACTTCCCGGCCGACACAGTCTGGACCCGCATCTCGCCCAAGATCATCGAGCACGTCGAGGCCCAGAAGAAGCGTCGTATCGCCAGCGAGACGGCCAGCCGTTGCCGCATTCGCCACGCCGCCGTGCAAGGTCGCTACGAGCTCCTCCTCGCCGCCGAGAAAGGTGAAGCCTACCTCACCTTCCCTTCACCATCGATGTTCGCTGCGCTCCCGAGCGTCGAGCCGTTCTGGGTTCCCGAGGGCGCTACCTTGACCGACGACGCGTGGGCGGCAGCCCTTCCGGCCATCCTCGACGAGGTCAAGCTCGCCCGTCGCGCCATCAAGGTCGGCTACGCCCGCAACATCGTCAAGGTGCTCGTCGAGGCGGGCGCCCCTATCGCTGCCGCGCTTGTCAAGAAGCTCGAGCCGTCCGAGACTGCGCCCGTCCGGCCCATCGGCGTCTTGCGCGACGCCGCCGAGAACCACGACATGGTGCGCTTCGGCTTCTCGAGCCTCGACCTTGCCGACACGGCCGACCACGTCGGTGACGCCGAGCTCGACGCCCTGTTCTCGCGCCTGAGCGCGACTTTCCTGTCGACCAAGTACAACGACTCGAAGCTCGAGCACTTCCCCGACATCCACCGAGTGCTGCGCGACAACCGTCGCGCAGCGGACGTCTCAGACGCAGTGCTCCCAACCGTCTGCTTTGTCAAGGAGGTCCTCGACATCCTCAAGCGCACGAGCTTGCCCGACGACCGATCCAGCCGCCGCAAACTCGAGCGGCTCGGGCCCGTCTTCCGGTGCCACGGCTGTGATCCCGAGCGCCTTGACTACGACCCCTTCTACTTTGGGCGTGGAGCGCGCGCGTCGGACCGGAGCGAGAACCTGTACTGGAGCGACATGGTGCGTCCTCATCGTCACCCTTTCCGTCTCCTTTCTTGCCGATCGAGCCTGACGTCTCACCCCGAGCAGATGGAGCACGTCACGAGCCGGCACCGCGACACTTACATGCAGCGGTACATGTCGCCGCACATCAAGCACTCCGAGATCCGCCTCTCGACGTCGACCTACCCACCTGTCCCGCTCCAGCAGCCCGTGCCCGCCCGCAAGCCCGCCACGCCTTTCGTGCCATCCCGCGACCCTTCGTCCATCGAGGACGACGAGCTCGAGGCCTGGTTCGACGCGGCGTCCTCGGACAAGCCGTCGACCTCCGGCGACATCGAGCTCGAGCCCGTCGACGACGAGCTCGAGGTCGCAGACTACGAGCTCGAGGCGTGGTACACGGCCTCGCGCTTCGGCGACGAGTCGACGACGACGATCGCCGACGACGAGTTCGAGGCCTGGTTCGACGAGGCGTCCGTCGACGACCCGACGGCCGTCGGCGACGACGAGCTCGAGGCCTGGCTCGCCGACACGGGCCTCGACGGGCCGCCGTCTTTCGCAGACGACGACATCGGAGCCTGGCTCGATGCCGCCGTCTGAGCGCTTCGGCGGACCCTGCGCTCGTCGTCATCGTCCTCCCATCCCCCCTCCCGCATCTCCCTCCCTCTCCCTCTCGTTCCTCTTCCTCCCTCCTCGTACCCCTTACCGCTTTGCCCGCCCTTCGTCTCCCGGTCCTTCCCTTCTCTAGCACCGCCTCGTCCTCCCCTCCCTCGCTTGCAGTATCGCTTGCCGTACTCCTCCCCCCCTTGCGCTTGAACCCCCTGCCCCGCTTGCAACGCCGTGCCGTCCGTGCTTCTCTTCTCACTCTCGCCCTCGTGAGTCGCGAGAGCCTGCAGCCTGACCGTCTCGCGAGGAAAGGCGAGAGCTTGACGGTCGAGCGCGAGAGAGCGCGACCTCGGCGGTCCGTGCGGCGTCGCTCGGGCTCGCAGAACCTGTCGCTCGCAGAGGATGCCGCTCTCGCGTGCGCGCACAGAAGAGAAGGAGAACGAGTATTGACAAGACAGACCCAGGAACGAGGAGGACGAGCGCGCGAGAGAGAACGAGGAACGAGGCTGGCAAGACTGATTTGGCAAAGCGGGGACGAGGTAAGGAGGAGATGACGATGGAGAGCACAGAGGTGTGTGTGTGTGTGTTTGTGGTGGATAAGGACGAGAGTGAGGGCGATGCGAGAACGAGACAAAGTGAGTGGGAGAAGTGCGAGTAAAGGGGGGGCAGAGGATGGGGGGGATGAGGGGCGAGAGAGAGAGACAAGGGCGAGAGGGGTATCATGGGGAATCTAACGAGCGCACAGATAGAGACCGAGAGCGACAAAGACCAAGGCGAGGGACGCCGACCGACGACGACGGCGACCCAGCTCCTCCCACCCGAGGAGACGAGTTCGAGGCGGCGACGACGACGATGGAGCCCGGCACGAGCGATGCGAGGTTTGCGAGCGTGCGATGCTGCGGGTGGGTGTGTGCGGTTGATGCGTGCGAGCATGCGGGGCGCGTGTGCGGGTCCAAGTTGTCGAGCCTCCTCCCCTCGCTTCCTCCTCCTCCCTCTCCTCCTCCTCCTCCTCCCTCGCTCGCGCCGCTTCGCGCCCGCACCTCTCTCCCATCTCCCTCCACTCGAGGCCGACGAGCGTCGCCGAGCGTCGCCTCACGCAGCGCTCACGCCGCCCCAGCTCCAGTTGGCCTCGCCGACGCTCGAGCCGCCGGGCAGGCCCGCACCCTGCGTCGTCGGGCTCGCGAGCGCGCCCGGGAAAAAGTCGGGCGCGGTCGGCGTAAAGGCGTGGCGCGAGTTGGCGTTGACGGGAGGAGGGAGGGAGCGCCCGGGCGGCGAGCCGACGAGGGCGCCGCCGTTGCCCTGGCCTTGGCCCTGGCCGCCGAGGTGGAGCGACGAGAACGAGTCGTCGAGCGACGAGCCGCCGTGGTGGCCGTAGTGGGCGCCGCTGCCGTCGTACACGTGAGGCTGCTCGTGCCACTTGCCCGCGCTCGCGCCGCCGGGGAAGCCAAAGCCCTGCGGCTGGTACCGGTCGGGCCCGCCGTGACCGCCGTGCGCGAGGCCGTGCCCGTGCTGCTGCTGCTGCGCGTGGGAGTGCGGGTGCTGCTGCTGCTGCGAGGGCGGGCCGGGCATGAAGCCGTTGGGCGAGGGCCGGCCGCCGTCGGCAAAGTCGACGCGCTCGTACGGCGACTGCGTCGGCGGCTGGACGAGGTACGACTCGGGGCGGATGGCCGTGTAGGGGCTGTGGTGCATGCCGACCGGCATCGACTGCTGCGGGTACGCCGGGTGCTGCGACTGGTGGTGGGCGAACGACGAGCCGCCGTTGGCCGGGCCGGCGGTCGGCGGCGGCGACATCGGGAACATGCCGCCGCTGCCGACGACGTGCTGCTGCTGCTGCGGCGGCTGGTGGTGGTTGGCGCCGCCCTGCTGCTGCTGAGCGCCGAACGCCGACGAGAACGACGACGGCGACACGCGCGAGTACGGGTTCGGCCCGCCCGGACCGCGAGAACCGCCGCCCTCGGCGCCCGACGACGGCGCCGACCCGGACGCGCCGCCAGCGTTCGACTCGAGGCTCGTCGCCGAGCCCGTGACGGCGGACGAGCGCGCGAAAAAGTCGCTGCTGGCGGTCGAGTTGCTGTGGCTGCTGCCGCCGTTGGCGTTGGCGCCGTTGCCGCCTGCGCCGCCTGCGCCGCCGCCGTTGCCGTTCAGGCTGTGGTTTGGGAGCGGGTGGGCGGCGAGGAAGCCGTTGCCGTTCTTGACGAGGTCGAGCACCTCGCTCTCGCTCAAGCCGGCGGCGTTTGCGACGGCGCGCAGGTCCATGCGGCTCGCGAGGCTCGCGTCGACCGAGCGCGACTGCTGCTGGTGCTGCTGCGGCGGCGACGAGCCGCCGCCGGTCGACGACGACGAGCTGCCGTTGGTCCCGACGGCGCTCGCGATCTGCTTGATCGTCGAGTTGTCCTGGCCTTGGACCATGCGCCAGACGGCGTCGAACGGGACGCCGAGCGCGCTCGCGAGCTTGCGCACGTGCTCGACCTGCTTGTCGCCCTGGGACCGGCCCCACGACAGGCGGATGCGCGACTTGCCGTGGATCGGAAAGTCGTTCATCTTGGCGATGGCGAGCTCGGCGTCTTGACGGCGCACGAACTGGACAAAGCCGCAGCCCTTGCCCGGCGGGATCTTGCAGTACGTGATCTCGCCAAAGTGGTGGAAGAAGCTCTGCGACAGGGAGGCGAGCACGCTCGTCAGGATCAGGACGTCGAGAGAGGGAGAGGGAGAGAGCGAGAGCGGGGCGCACCTTGAGCGTCTCCTCGCTGATGCACGCCGGCAGGCCGCCGACAAAGACGGTCGTGTTGTTCGGGTCGCCGCCGGGCGGCACGGCACCCTGCGGGATCGGCGCGCGCACCTGCGGCGTCGACGAGTCCCTCGCACCGGCGCGAGGAAGGCCGGGCGACGCCATCGACTGGGCGCCGCCGCCGCCGCCGAGAGCAGGAGGCGGGCCGCCGTAAGGCGACAGCGGCGACGGGTACGACGCGGCGGGGCCGCCGCCGCTCGACGACGACGACGGGTGGCCGTAGGGCGTGCTCGCGAGCGCGGGCGAGGCGTACGAGTGGTGGTCGGGGAAGGGCTGCTCGACGAGCGGCGTCGTCGGGTAGGGCGGGAAGTAGCCCTGGGCCTGGGGCGGCGCCTGCTGCTGCTGCGGGCCCGACTGCTGGCCCGACTGCTGCTGCTGCTGCTGCTGGGCGGCAAAGTGGCCCTCGCCGCTGCGGGTACGAGTGCGCTCGCGCAGGTGCGGCATGCCCTCGACGGCGTTGGGCGGCGGCGGCGCGTTGGCGGCGGCGCTCGAGCCGGGCCCGCTCGCCTCGCTGATGCGGATCGTGCGGCCGTGGAGGAGCAGGCCCGAGTGCGCGTTGGCGCCGACGCGCAGGGCGCGCGCCATGTCCGACTCGTCGGTGAACCGGACGAACCCGTAGCCGCGCGAGAGGCCGGTCGACGGGTCGCACATGACCTTGGCCGACTTGGTCGACGGGAACAGGGGCGTGAAGAGCGTCTGCGAGGCGATGAGAGGTGTCAGTGCCACCGCCCAGTCCGAAAAGTCCGTCGCCGAGCGGCGCTGCTCGGCGAGGGGACAGACGAGAGGACGAGCGGACGCACCATGAGGTCGGCCTCTCCCACCTCCCTCGCGAGGTCGCCGACAAACACGCTGAACTCGCCGTCCCACCGCGGCTGGAGCCCGGGAAGGCCCGTCCCCCAGTTGAGCTTGAACGTCCTGCCGCTGCGGGGCATGAGCATCGGCGGCTGGCTGTTGAACCGCTGGAGCGCGCGTTGGGCGTCGGCCGTCGTCGGGAACGTGAGGAAGCAGTAACCGCTCGCGGGCGACGCGCCGCGCGACATCTTGATGGCCGACACGGCGTCCCAGCCCATGAGGGCGCAGCACTCGCGGACGTACGCCTCGTCCATCCACACGTCGAGGTCGCCGAGGTGCAGGGTCGCGCCCTTGCTGCCCGGCGGACCGGCGGCGCCCTCGCCCGAGAAGGCCGACGACGGCGGCGAGGTCGACGTGGGCGACAGGAGCGCGCTCGACGAGGTCGGGAACGACGACGACGAGGGCGTCACGGCGGCGCTGCTCGAGTCGCGCTGCGACTGCGCTTGCTGCTGCTGCTGCTGCTGAGCCGCAGGGACGAACACGGGCGGCGCGAAGAACGGCGCCGACGACGCGGCCGAGCCGGGCGCGAGGCGCGCGCTCGCGAGCGGCGGCGAGAAGGCGCTCTTGCTCGCGGCGCTCGACAGGCGTTGGCTCGCGCTGTCGACGAGCGACCGACGCTGGTGCTCGCGGTAGAACGCCTGCTCGTCGGCAGCGCCGTCGTCGTTGCTGCTGCTGCCGAGACTCGACAGTCGGCTGCTCGTCCCGCCGGCGGCGCGCGCGTTGGGCTCGGCGGCGGCGGCGGTGCTCGGCGCCGTGAGCGACGCGAAAGCCGACGCTGTGGCGAGGATGGCGCCGTCGGACGCGGCGCGCGTCGTGCGCTGCGCGTTGTCCTGGCCCTGGCCGGCGAACGAGCGCGACGAGCCGGTCGACGACGAGCCGACGTCGGCGGCGGCGCTCGCCTTCCACCCGTCGGCCATGTACGAGGCCGAGCGGGCGGGAGGGATGGGGCGACCTGCCGAGGCGGCGGAAGGGGAGCGCTCAGAGAGCGGGGTGGGGACGTCTGGTTGAGGGGTGGTGGTGCTGGAGGAAGCCGAGTCGCCGGCGGGCGCGCCGTTGGGCTCGACGGCGTCGACAGGTGGGGACGAGGCGGTCGGGATGGCCGGGGCGAGTGGGGAAGTCGAGGTGGGAGGAGGGGGAGAGGAAGAGTCGCCGACGGGCGGGGAAGGGGATGGCGACATGGCGCTCTCGCGAGAGGCGGCGAAGCTAGATCTGTGTTTGGCGAGGCAAGCATGTCAGTACCGAGTCGTGCGTGGGCATGTGAGGCGCAGAAGGACGAGAGTTGATCGCGGCGGGCGCGGTTGATAAGGGGTTCCGGTCCGCCGAGACGAGCGGAGAGGGGAAGGGGAGGGGGGGCGGAGAGCTGAGAGGGGGTCGCCCGTCCGAGCGAGGGAGGGACTCACGAGGGTCGGAAAGCGCACAGGTCTACTCGATGGTGCTCGCTGGCACGGTGCACGCGAGTCGCGTCCTCGCTCGATGCGCTCGGCGGGCAGCAGCGGCTCCGAAGGTCGAGATGGGGCACGAGATCCGAGTCGGGCGGCTGGGTGCGTCGGCGACAGCTCGCGCGCGCGTCGTTGCGGGTCGAGTGGGCCCGGTAGTACTCGAAGGATGCGTCGAGCGCGCGTCTGGCTCGCCCGAGGTCGAGGTCGTCGAGAGGTCGGGTGCTCGCGCGAGGTGGAAGGGGGACGCGGCGACCGGGCGCGAGGCAACGGCGAGGGTGCGCTCTTGTGCGGTGGGCGACGCGCGTACAGGGTACAGCTGCACGTCGAGGTCCTGCTGAGCGTCTGGCCTCGAGGGCGGCGGTTGTTTGCTGGACCTTGTCCCACCTCTCGTCCTCCCCCTCCTCCTCGAGGCTCGCGTGGCCGTCTCACCTTTTGCGCGACTCGCCCGCCTTGCGGGACCGCGCTTCCTAGTGTGCGCAGCATAATACTGCAAGGGGTGACCACTACTCCGATCTGCCGCTCACGAACCATCGTCTCCTCTCCTCATCGAGCCTGCCCGGCACCACGATCGTACACGCTCGCGCCGCTTCATTTCCTCTCGCAAACTCTCTCTCTCTCTCTCGCCGATGAACAGCAGCGAGACTTGCGCTCGACCCGCGAGTCGTTGCAGGGACGAGGAGAGATAGGCAAAGCAAGAAGGCGCGCGGCCCTCGTCGTCCGTCGCGCAGCCACTGAGGACCAGCCTCAGGCTCTACAGCTCCCACTCGTCCGTCGCTGTCGACAGGCGCGCAATACAGTGCTCGATCTGCGTGCGCGAGCCCGTCGGTCAGTGCTGCGCGCCACAAGCCTACATCCACGGCGGCGCTCGAACCGCGTCGAGCGCCGACGAGGCGAAGAGAGGACAGGGACGCACCTCGTTGCGCAGCTCGGCGCAAAACAGGTCGAGCGACAGGTCGCTGTCATCGACGCCGAACGGCTGCAGGCGGGCGGGAGAGGCGGGCAAGGGCGAGGAGAGGGGCGGGGCAGACGACGAGAGGCGGCGAGGGAGGCAGGACGGCGTCAGTTCCAGCTCGTTCGGGCGAGGCCGGTGGGAGAGAGGCGAGAGAGAGCGAGACGCACCATCTCGAGCCCGGTTGCGATAGCCTCGATGCCGACAAAGATGAACGAGATGACGGTGACGCTGCGTGGGTGCGGTCAAGTCAGGCTCGGGATTCGACGGCGGCAAGAAGAAGAGAGACGACCGCGAGACGCACAAGGGGATCATCTGCGCGAGGTCTGGTGAGTCAGGGACGGCTCTGAGGCTGGGCAGGGAGGGAGGGGAGGAGAGAGGACAGGACAGGACGGGCCGACGTACCGCAAAGCCCATGAGCTCGACGAGCACGAGCGGCAGCGTGAACAGGAACAGGCTCGTCGCTTGCTTGAGGTGAATGCCGTACACGGCCGGCACGCCAACCTTGGCGATGCTGTCGCACGTCGTGAAGCACTCGACGAGCTCGCTCACGCTCGCGTTGAGCGCGTTGAAGCCGGCAGGGCCGATCGCCTCGAGGAGGTTGCGGCGCTTGCACCTGTAGCGAAAGTGGGTCAATGACTGGTTGAGGGCGATGGAGGAGAAAGAGAGAGAGGGGCGCACGAGGCAAAGTAGAGGGAGAGCTGGTGGGCGATGATGAGCGGGAGAGGGAGCGACGGCTTGGCCATGTAGTCGCTCAGGATAACCTGCGAGCAGTGCGAGAGGGTCAGCCACCAACTAACTCCTGTACGCGCATCGAGAGAAGCCCTCGGAATGGGCGAGGGAGAAGGCGAGAGACGCTGACGCACCGTGCTCTCGGCCCCGGCGTTCTTGGCCCTCCTCCTCCTCAGCAGCGGCGTCCTCTCCTCCTGCCCCTTCCACCCTCCCGCAGCACGCCCCTCGCCCCGCACCTCGGCGCTGCGGAAGCTCCTCGGGCTCGCCAGCGGCGGCGGACCGTGCGCGTGCTCGGGCTCGTGCGCGGCCTCCTCGGCCGACAGGAGCGACGTGTGCGACGCCTGGGAGCGCAGGCGGCGGATCTCGGAGCCGACACCCTCCGGGCCGCCGTTCGAGGTGTGCGAGAGGTTGGCGGCGCCATTCGAGTGGTCGGCTGCGGGCACGGGCGCGAGTCAGGGTCGTCGCGACGAAGGGGAGGGAGGGCCACGAGGCGGGAGTGAGCGCACCTTCTGCAGCGCCCCAGCCGAAGCCAGTCGTGCGGGCGACATCCTTGAGCTTGAGCGGCTGTGGGCGCGAGGAAACATCGTCAGGTCTCGGTGTCCGACATGCAGACAGGCTCGAGCGCAGGAGCTGCTCTGCGTCTCGGCCGGTCGTCGCGGTCATTCAGAGAGAGAGGACACACAAGCACGGGTTCGAGATCTGCGGGACGCGAGAGCGTCAGTCAGGGCTCGAGGGGATGGACGGCGGGACCAAGAAGAGAGAGACAAGTCGTGCGGGCCAAAGCCTCGGGACGCACCTGGCCAGTCGACGCCGTACTCGCGCCGGACGTGATGCTTGACGGCGACAACGAACGCGACCATCATGCGCAAGACCTTGACCTTATCCTCGTGGTCCTCGGGCGACATGCCCTCGTCCTGGTGCGGGCGCAGCGTACCGTCCGACGCGAGCCTGCCGCGCGACGGCCCGGCGGCACCGACGTTGATCCACACGGCGCGCGACAGGGAGCGCACGATCGAGGTCATCTTGGCGAACGTCTTGCGGCCCTCGTCCCACCGCGTGTAGGCCGACCCGTTGCGAAAGACGAGGAGAAGGCCGACGACGACCGAAAGAAGAGGCGTGACGTTGTTGGTCAAGCTCAGGGTGCGGCCGTACGACAGGTCGACGATGGCGACGGCGGTGGCCCACAGCGTGAAGATCGAGCACGACTGCCACGAGTGCGAGATGGTCGAGCCGCGCACTCGCCAGACGTCGCGCCACCAGCCGATGCGCGAGGGGCGGATGCGCTGCGGACCGGACGTACGCGAGTGAGTGCTTGGGACGGAAAGCGAGAGCGAGAGGGAGGCAGGGAGGAGTGTAGGAGGGGAGGAGGGGAGGAGGGGAAGAGGGCCGGCGCACCTTGGCGTCGTCTTCTTCTGCTTGCGCGAGCTGGCTCAGGCTCGAGAAAGCATTCGCTGCGACGTGTCGAGCTGGTCAGCACGCGCCCTTGTCGAGGTGCACCGCTTGTAATCCGCGCCAGAAGGTTCGACACGAGGAGGCGGAGGAGAGAAGGAAGGGAAGAGCTCGGGACTCACGCAGATCTGGCAGGACGCCTGTCACGGACTCGAACACAGCAGCCATGCCGTGCACAAGCTCGACTAGCGTGGAGAGGAGAGCGAGAGCGAGGCAACGTCGACGGCGAGGACCCGACTCGAGGTTCTGAGCACCCAGACCCGCCCACAGCGCAGGGCTAGCTGTACTTGACCTCAGCACCGTCAGACTACCTCATCAGTCACCCACAACCGCGCTTCGAACCGCCCCGTGCCATCGTCGCCTCGTTGGCTTCAACTTCCCCACCTCCTCCTCCTCCCCCTCCTCCAAGCGCGACCATGAACTTCCAAGGCGCCAGCACGACCGCAAGCCGACACAAGCAGCTCGGCGACGACCTGTACAAGCGCTCGGACAAGGTGCGCCCCCCCTCTCCTCACTCTACCCTCCTCGTCCACAGTCCTCGGAACTGATGAGCCTCTCTCTCGCCGCAGGTCAACGCCGAGCTGTTCACGCTCACGTACGGCGCTCTCGTAGTCCAGCTCGTCAAGGACTACGAGGACTACGACGAGGTCAACAAGCAGCTCGACAAGATGTGCGTCCTCTCGCTCCCGCTCCCTCCTCACTCGGCAACGCGAGCTGACCTCGGTCGCGGCCACACACTCGCAGGGGCTACAACATCGGCGTGCGACTGATCGAGGACTTTCTCGCGAGGACTGGGCTCGGGCGGTGTCGAGACTTTGCCGAGGTCGGCGAGGTCATGTCCAAGGTGCGCCCCTGCTGCTCCCCTTCCGCTCTCTCTCACCTCGCCGACTGACATGCCCTCGCCCCCTCCACGCCCAGGTCGCCTTCCGCTCCCTCCTCTCCATCACGCCAACCCTGATCCAGCACCCCGCCTCGCCGCCGTCCCAGCCCCAACCCGCGTTCAGCCTCGTGTTTGACGACAACCCGCTCACCGACTTTGTCGAGCTGCCAGACGAGGCGCTCGAGGGCGGGCTCGTCTACGCAAAGATCCTCGAGGGCGTCATCAGGGGCGCGATGGAGATGGTGCGTCGCGCGCGGTTCCCTCCTCAGTCTCGGCGTCGTGCTCTCGAACTTCTCTCCTCGAGGGCCTGCAGCTGATACTTGCCGGTCGCGCTGGACAGGTCCAGACGAGCGTCGAGGCCAAGATCGTGTCAGACACGCTGCGAGGGGACGACAAGACCGAGCTGCGCGTCTCGTTGGTCCGGTACCTCGAGGAGGAGATGCCCGCAGGCGACGACTAGCGCGACTCGTGCAATACAGCCGCTCGGTACTCTGTTCACAAAGTGCTCGTTGCACGAGAGAGAGAGAGAGACGCTCGCTCTACAGCTTGGCCCTCGGCGGCTTCTTGCCCAAACCTCGCTTCTCCCACTCTGCCGTCGCGAGCTTCTTGACGTCGCCCTTGACGACTTTGCCCGTCGCGTTCTTGGGCAGACCTTCTTCCTCGGCGCCGACTTCGATGAGAATGACGAGCGCGGGGACGGCGTGTCGGGGGAGGGACGAGGCGGCGATGCTGCGCAGGGCGGCCTCGGTCGGGGGAGGTTGGCGGGCGGATGAGGAGCGGGACGGGTGGGTCGAGGGATGGAGGACGACGACGGCGCTGTGGGAACGAGAAAGAGGTCAGGGTCGGGTCGAAGGAGGGAGGCTGGGAGAGAAGAGTGAGAGAGAGAGACGCACGCGACTTGCTCGCCGTGAACCTCGCACGGCACAGGGACGACGGCCACCTCGCGCACGGCGTCGTGCGCGAACAGGGCGTTCTCGACCTGGACCGACGAGATGTTCTCGCCGCTGCGGATGATCTGCGAGCGAGAGGAAGGCGTCGAGGGAGGCGTCGTGGAGGAGAAGGGGAGAGGGAGGACGAGGGCCGAAAGGGTGTCAGTCAGACTCGGCCGGTTCTGGCCTCCGGGATAGAGAGAAGGAGGGACGCACAATGTCCTTGGCCCGGTCCGAGATGTAGAGGAAGCCCTCCTCGTCCACGTAACCCAGATCGCCCCTGCGCGCGGTGGAGCAGTCAGGCCTCTTCTTCCCCCTCTAGAGAGAGTGAACGAGACGACGCACGACCTGAACCACCCCTCGTCGTCGAACGCCTTGCGCGTCGCCTCCTCGTCGCGCCAGTAGCCCTGCGAGACGTTCGGGCCGTGGATGCAGACCTCGCCAACCTCGCGAGGCTTGAGCGCCGGCGCCGACGAGATAGGCATCGGCGCGGTCGGCGGGATGATCTTGATGTCGACGGCGAGAGCTGGGAGGCCGCACGAGGTTGGGCCTGCGAGAAAAGGGGGAGAGCGAGTGAGAGGGCGCTGGGTGGGCCGAGGGGAAGGGGTCAAAGCGCACGGGCGAGGTAGTCGTCGCCGGCAAAGACGGTCGCCGCCGAGTTGACCTCTGCGAGCGACGCACGGCCGAGGTCAGGGACGGCGTTCGAAACGAGAGAGAGAGAGGAAGAGAAAAGGACGAGCGACGCACCGGTCAAGCCGTAACCCTGGGCCATGAGGGCGTTGGGCAGCCTCGTCCTCAGCTGCTCCGGCAGCCTCGAGCTCGGCGGCCCGCCACCGTAGCTCAACGTCTCGAGCTTGACGCCCTCGGCATCGTGCGGGATCTCCTCGAGCAGCTGCGAGACCTGGCTCGGCACGCCGCTCGCGTTCGTGATGCCCTCCTTGACGACGAGCTGGGCGCCGAGAGACGGCGAGAACTTGCGCATGAGGACGATCTTGCCGCCCATGGCCGACACGGGCCCGAGGAACGAGTGGTTGCCCATGGCGTGGAAGAGCGGGACGACGAGGAGGACCGAGAGCTGCGGCGCGTTCGGGTCCGGCGCCGGAAGGGTCTCGCCCTTGCGCAGGAGGGCCCGAGCACCGCTGCACGCCGAGTTGAACATGTTGCTGAGGTACTGGCGATGCGTCGACAGGACGCCCTTGGGCAAGCTCGTCGTGCCCGACGTGAAGAAGATGCACGCGTCGTCCTCGGGCAGGATCTCGGATCGCGGAAAGTCGACCGACGTGTGGGCCTTGAGCGCGTCGACGAACGACTCGAAGCCTGCTGGAAGGGTCGTCGAGCGCGCGACGAGGAAAGTGCGGCACCCGAGCGAGCGCAGGTCGCCAACTTTCGGCTGGAGGACCTCGGCTCGCTCGGCGTCGACAAAGACCGCCGTCGGGGTCGTGATCGAGACGCAGTGGTAGAAAGCCTCGGGCGTGAGCCAGGCGTTGACGGCGACGGCGACGGCACCGAGGAGCTGACAGGCCCACCAGCTGCGAGGGAAAAGAAGGTCTGTGAGTCTGCGCTCGACGTGCAGGAACGACGACCGACGTCTCCTCGACGGCACAAGAGAGAGTCGTGCGTAGTCGACGCACGTGATGGCCCACTCGGGGATGTTGCGCATGGCGATGGCGACGCGGTCGCCCTTTTTGACGCCGCGAGCGTGAAGGAGCGACGCGAGGCGGACCGCGCGCTCTTGCGCGTCGGCGTACGTGAGCCGCTCGTTCTCGTAGATCAAGTACTCGCGCTTGGCGAACGCCTGCAGGACGGAGGAGGTCAGTCGGGGGTTCACAGGCGCGAGCGTGAGAGCGAGAGAGCGCACCTCGACGGACGTGAGCCACATGTCCCGGATCGACGCGGGCAAGTTGCGGTACACGCGCACTCGACGCTTGCCGATCGTGATGGTGTCGGTGACGAGAGGCCTGTCGCGCGGGCAGAGAGGTGAGCCGGACGGGGTCACGCGGCCGAGAGCTCGAGGAGAAGGAGGAGGGGCTCACGACTGCGGCGACTGCAAGATGGCGTCGCACTCCTCAATGGAGCGCACAGGCTCAGGCGGGACGTAGCTCATGCTCGTAGCTCGCACGATGCGGTGGTGAAGGAGAGAGAGGCGACGAACCGAACCGCTTCCCCACTCTCGAGTGAAGCCGGCGGAAGTGGTCCCCCGGGTTTCGGTCCGTACCCAGGCCTCAGGCCCCTTCCGTTCGGCTCGCTCGCGCCCCTCGCGCCTCGTGAGCAACTCTCGCGGCAAGCGGGGACGAAAAAGCGGACGGTTTCTCGACGAAAGCCGGACCGTGCACGCTCTCTCTCTCTCTCGCAAGGGATGCGCTCCTCGTGGTGCACAGCGGCTCTTTGCAGTCACGATCTATCTCTACAGCTTGGCCCTCGCCTGCTCCTCCTTGCGCGCCGGCTTCTTGCCCAGCCCTCGCTTCTCCCACTCGGCGGCCGCGACCTGCTTGACCTCGCCCTTGACGACCTTGCCCGTGCCGTTCTTGGGCAGGCCTTCCTCCTCGGCGCCGACCTCGACGAGGATGACGAGCGCGGGGACGGCGTGTCGGGGGAGGGACGACGCGGCGATGCTGCGCAGGGCGGCCTCTGTCGGGGGAGGTTGGCGCGCGGACGAGGAGCGGGACGGGTGCGTCGAGGGATGGAGGACGACGACGGCGCTGCGGGTCCGAGGGAGAGGTCAGGGTCGAGTCGAAGGAGGGAGGCTGGGAGAGAAGAGAGAGAGAGAGGGACGCACGCGACTTGCTCGCCGTGGACCTCGCACGGCACAGGGACGACGGCCACCTCGCGCACGGCGTCGTGCGCGAACAGGGCGTTCTCGACCTGGACGGACGAGATGTTCTCGCCGCTGCGGATGATCTGAGAGCGAGACGAAGGCGTCGAGGGAGGCGTCGAGGAGGAGAAGGGGAGAGGGAGGGCGAGGAGGTGGTCAGTGAGGCTCTGCCACTTCTCGAGGCCGAGAGAGAGAGAGAGAAGGAGAGACGCACAATGTCCTTGGCCCGGTCGGCGATGAACAGGAAACCCTCCTCGTCGACATAGCCGAGGTCGCCCCTGCGCGCAGTCGGACGGTCAGTGCCGCGCCTTTCCCCTCGAGGCGACAGAGCGAAACGAGACGACGCACGACCTGAACCAGCCCTCGTCGTCGAACGCCTTACGCGTCGCCTCCTCGTCGCGCCAGTAGCCCTTGGCGACGTTCGGGCCGTGGATGCAGATCTCGCCGACCTCGCGAGGCTTGAGCGCCGGGGCGGCCGAGACGGGCATGGGGGCCGAGGGCGGGATGATCTTGAGGTCGACGGCGGGAGGCGCGAGGCCGCACGAGGTCGGGCCTGCAGGGGAGAGGGGGAGAGTCAGCGAGACCGTGCGCGGGAGGGAGGAGGAGAAAGGGTCAAAGCGCACGTGCGAGGTAGTCGTCACCGGCAAAAGCGGTCGCGACCGAGTTGACCTCTGCGAGGAGTGTGGACGAGAGACAGTCAGTGAGAGAACAAGGAGTGCGAGCGAGAGAGGGAGAGATGGAGGACGCACCGGTCAAGCCGTACCCCTGGCTCGTCAACGCGTTGGGCAACCTGCGCCGCACCTCCTCGGGCAGCCTCGAGCTCGGCGCCCCGCCACCGTAACTCAGCGTCTCGAGCTTGACGCCCTCGGCGTTGGGCGGCAGCTCCTCGAGGAGCGCCGAGACCTGGTTCGGGACGCCCGACGCGTTCGTGATGCCCTCCTTGACGACGAGCTGGGCGCCGAGCGAAGGCGAGAACTTGTGCATGAGGACGATCTTGCCCCCCCCGACCGTGAGCGACACGAGGAACGAGTGGTTGCCCATGACGTGGAAGAGCGGGACCGTGAGGAGGACCGACGGAGGAGGCGCCTTTGGGTCGGGAACGGGGATGTCGCCGCCTTTGCGCAGGACGGCGCGCACCTTGCCACTCGCCGTGTTCCACCGGTTGCTCAGGTACTGGCGCTGGGTCGACAGGACGCCCTTGGGCAAGCTGGTCGTGCCCGACGTGAAGAAGATGACGGCGTCGTCGTCGGGCGACAGGTCCGGGCGCGGGAACTCGCGCGGCTCGTGGCGCGCGAGCGCGTCGACAAACGGCTCAAAGCCAGAGGGCGGCGCGGCCGAGCGCGCGACGAGGAACGTGTTGCAGCCGAGCGAGCGCAGGTCCGACACCTTGGGGCACAGGATCCCGGCGCGCTCGGCGTCGACGATGAGGGCCACCGGGGTCGTGACCGAGACGCAGTGGTAGAACGCCTCGGGCGTGAGCCACGCGTTGACGGCGACGCCGATGCCGCCGAGGAGGTGGCAAGCCCACCAGCTGCAGGCGCGCTTTTTTGAGTCAGTGAGGCGCCTCGACGTCGAGGCAGAGGAGTCGGCGCACGAGACGGCCCACTCGGGAACGTTGCGCATGGCGATGGCGACGCGGTCGCCCTTCTTGACGCCGCGAGCATGCAGAAGCGAGGCGAGGCGCAGGACCCGCTCGTGCGCGTCGGCGTACGTGAGGCGCTCGTTCTCGTACACGAGGTACTCGCGCTTTGCAAAGGTCTGTGAGAGAGTCTGGGGGTCAGTACGGGATCGAGGAGGGAGGTCGAGAGGCTCAACGCGAGAGAGAACGCACCTCGGCGGAAGCGAGCCAGAGGTCCCGGACCGATGCGGGCAGGTTGCGGTAGGCGCGCACTCGACGCTTGCCGATCGTGAGGGTGTCGGTGATGAAGGGCCTGCATTGCGTAGGCGAGGGTGAGCGTTCGCGAAGCCGGACGAGGAGGAGGAGGAGCGGGCTCACGATCCAGGTTGCTGCATGAGGTCGTTGCACTGCTGGACGGACCGCATTGGCTCTGGCGGAACGTAGGCCATATTGAGCGGGTCGCAGCGATGCGGTGGTGTAGCGAGAGGGAGAGAGGAGCGAAAGAAGTAGAGCGACAGGTTCCCCGCGCCGGGCGATTCGACGCCCGGGCGCCGACGAGCCGGACGAAGCTCGCACCGCCCACCCTCACTCACCCGCTCGACCAAGCTCACACAGTTGCAGCTCACCATGCTCAGCCGCATCGCACCGACCACGACCCGCACTCTCCTCGCCGCCCGCGCTCCTCCCGCCGCCGCCATCCTCGTCCCCCACTTGAGCCGACACCTCTCGGCTGCACCAGCACCAGCACCGCAGGCCACGCTCGTCCGCGCAGAGGGCGGCCTCACCTTCCTCGAGCTCAACCGGCCCCAGGCCAAGAACGCCCTCAGCGTCGCCCTCGTCGATTCGCTCCGCCAGCTCGTCGAGGAGGTCCGCTTTGACGGGTGCGGCTTGCCGTCCTCCCACACTCTCCCACCTCCTCGCACACGAGCACGAACGAGAGCTCACCTTCGCACGGCATGCCCGCAGCTCGACCCGCGCGCTCGTCCTGCGCTCGGCCGTCCCGAGCGCGTTCTGCGCCGGCGCCGACCTCAAGGAGCGCAAGGCCATGTCGCAGCTCGACGTGGCCCGGTTCCTGTACAACCTGCGCCGCCTCCTCGGCGAGCTCGCAGACCTGCCCGTGCCGACCATTGCCGCCGTCGACGGGCCCGCCCTCGGCGGCGGGCTCGAACTCGCGCTCGCGTGCGACTTTCGCGTCGCAGGTGCGTGAGGCTCTCTCTCTCTCTTTCACACCGAGACCGACCTTTTTCTCTCCTGCGACAGGCTCGTCCGTCACCAAGCTCGGCCTGCCCGAAACGCGCCTCGCCATCATCCCCGGGTCCGTCCTCTCGTCCATCCCTCCCTTCCCCCTCTCGCCCGTCGACTGACTCGCTCGCGCGCCCGCTCCCGCAGAGCCGGCGGCACGCAGCGCCTGTCGCGCCTGATCGGGACATCGCGCGCCAAGGACCTCATCTTCCGCGCAAAGGTCATGGACGCGCACGAGGCGCTGCAGCTCGGTGCGCACGGCTCTCTCCTTTCCCTCCTCTCGTGCTCTTGTCCCGGCGCCGCGAGCGCGCAGGGCTCGGCAGCTGACCGACTCGAGCGTTGTACGCAGGGATCGTCAACTATGTGTCGGACAAGGGCCAGAGCGCAAGCGACAAGGCCGAGGAGGTCGTGCGGGAGATGCTCGAGGCCGGTGTGTCGTCCCCTCTCCCTTGTTCGGCTCGAGCGCGCGCAGGCGCACGAGAGACTGATAGTGGTTGTGGGGACGCTCACAGGCCCTCTCGCACTACGCGCCGCCAAGGTCGCCATCGACGTCGGCGCCGAGGCAGACCTGTACGTCCTTTCCCTCCTCGCCCTCCTCCACCGACACCGACTCACTCCTTGCCCGCTCGTCCGCAGCGAGTCGGGCCTGGACGTCGAGCGCCTCGCATACCAGACGATCCTGCAGACCGAGGACCGGCTCGAGGGCCTGCGCGCGTGCGTCCACCAGCGCCGTCCCTCTCTCTTTCCTGGAGCAGCTCCGGAGCTGACCCGCTCGAGGGCGGTCGTGCAGGTTCGCCGAGAAGCGCAAGCCGGTGTACAGGGGACAATAGAGCCGATTGGTGCAACACAGAGTGCAGTACAGCGTCTCTGGTGCGAGCGGGCGAGCGAGAGAAAGGAAGCCGAGGACGAGCGAGGGAGGAGGACGAGGAGGTTGCCTCGAGGTCTGGAGGTGGCGTAGCGCGCGTCTGCGAGGAGCCAGGAGAGGGCTGATGCAAGGCAAGGCGAGCACACGCTGCACGACCGCGAGGTGGTAGGGCGGAGGAGGGGAAAGCCGTCGTCGTCGTCCCCTCTCGCACCTCCTCCCCTCGTCACCCGCCCTCCTCACTGGCTGAGGCAGTACTGCTACAAGGCCACCGGCGAGCCCTTCTACAAGCAGCATACGCGTACCGCTCAACAGCAGTGCCGCCAACACCTCGCTTCTCTCGTCGTTCCCCCACAGCACCCCGACGCGACCGCCCCGCCTTCATCATGGTCAAGGACGACATGCGTGGTCTCACGGTGCGTCCAAGACTCGCTCTCTCACGACTGCGCTCACGCCCGGACCGAACCTGACCCTCCCCTCCCTCTCGCTCTCTCGCTCGCCTCCCTCCCCGTGCGGACAGCAATACATCGCCGACCTGCGCGCGTGCAGGGTGCGCGAGCTCGAGGAGAAGCGCATCAACAAGGAGATGGCCCACATCCGCCAAAAGTTCAAGGGTGCGCCCCCCGACCTTCAGCCCCCCCTTCCCCCTCCTCTCGGCGCCGACCTCGGCTCACCCTCGCATTCCTCGCGTGCGCAGACGGCAACCTCGACGGGCGGCAGAAGAAGAAGTACGACCCTCACGACGACGCCCCCTTGTGCTTGTCAGTGCCGCTACTGACGAGCTCCGTGCGCCGCAGGTACATCTCGAAGATCATCTTTACGTCCATCCTCGGCTACCCGGTCGACATTGGCCACATGGAGGCCGTCAACCTCATCTCGTCGACCAAGTACTCGGAGAAACAGATCGTGCGCCGCCCTGTTCTCCGCCTCATCCATCCCGCCCGTCCTAACGCTCTTCCCGACGCACAACAGGGCTACCTCGCCCTCACGCTCCTCATGCACGAAAACTCGGACATTGTGCGCCTCGTCGTCAACTCGATCCGCAAGGACCTCGACGAGATGAACGAGACGACCAACTGCCTCGCGCTGCACGCCATCGCCAACGTGGGAGGGCCCGACATGGCCGAGGCGCTCGCGCCCGACGTGCACCGGTTGCTCATCAGCCCGTGCGTCCCTCGTTTCCGCCCCTCTCTCTCTCGTGCGACCTAGACCTGACCGAGGGAATGCGCGCCCGCAGGACGTCCAAGTCGTTCGTCAAGAAGAAGGCGGCCCTGACGCTCCTGCGCCTGTACCGCAAGCACCCCGAGGTCATACCTGCCGCCGACTGGGCCCTGCGCATCGTCTCGATCCTCGACGACTCGGACCTCGTGCGTCCCGCTCTCTCTCGCTCTCCCTCGCCTTTTCTGTCGGCCTTGGCGGTCGCAGTCGGACTCACGAGCGTTTCTCTTTCCTGCAGGGCGTCGTCGTCGCCGTCGCGAGCCTCGTCCTGGCCCTCGCGCAGGACAACCTCGAGGCGTTCAGCATCTGCTACCAGAAGGCCGTCAACCGCTTGAGCAAGGTGCGTCCTCCTGCGCCTCTCTCTCGCACCGCGCGCCTCGGTCTGACTCGTCGTCCAACGCTCGCAGATCGTCCTGCAGGGCGAGATCTCGCCCGACTACGTCTACTACAAGATCCCGATCCCGTGGCTCCAGGTCAAGCTGCTGCGCCTGCTCCAGTACTACCCGCCGTCTGGTGCGTCCCCCCCTCCCGCCCGTCTCGAGCCTCGTCGTGCGCGCTCTGACCCCCTCGAGCCCTGACCGTTACAGACGACCCGACCCTGCGCCTCGTCCTGCACAACGTCCTCGAGCGCATCCTCAAGAACTCGGGCGACCAGCACCGCAACGTGCAGCAGAACAATGCGCAGAACGCCGTCCTGTTCGAGGCCATCAACCTCGCGATCCACCTCGACACCGAGTCGGCCGTGGTGCAGCAGGCGGCGCACCTCCTCGGGCGCTTCATCCTGTCCAAGGAGACCAACGTGCGGTACCTCGGCCTCGACACGATGGCGCACCTCGCCGCGAGGAGCGACAACCTCGACGCGATCAAGAAGCACCAGGCGACCATCACCCAGAGCCTGCGCGACAAGGACATCTCGGTGCGGCGGCGCGGCCTCGACCTCCTGTACTCGATGTGCGACACGTCCAACTCGAAGGCGATCGTCGGCGAGCTCCTCAAGTACCTCGTCGTCGCCGACTACACCCTGCGCGAGGAGATGGTGCTCAAGGTGGCCATCCTCACCGAAAAGTTTGCGACCGACTACGAGTGGTACCTCGACACGATCCTGACGCTCATGAGCACGGCCGGCGACCACGTCGGCGACGAGGTGTGGTACCGCATCGTCCAGATCGTCACCAACACCGAGGAGCTGCAGGAGTACGCCGCGAGGCGCGTGTTCGAGGTCCTCCTCAAGCCGACCGTCCACGAGAACCTGATCAAGGTCGCGGCCTACATCCTCGGCGAGTACGGCCACCTCGTCGCCGACGAGCCGGTGCGTCCTGCTCTCCCTCTCTCTGGCCCCCCTTCACGCCCGGCGTCCTGGAGCTCACCTCCTCCTTCGTCGTCGTCCACAGGGCCGCAGCCCGATCGAGCAGTTCCACCTCCTCAACTCGCGCCAGCCGCAGTGCGCCAACCCGACCAAGGCGCTCCTCCTGACGACCTACTTCAAGTGGCTCAACCTGTTCCCCGAGATCCGGCACGAGCTCATCGCCGCGTTCGACAAGAGCTCGCGCCTGCTCGACGCCGAGCTGCAGCAGCGCGCGTGCGAGTACCTCGCCATCGCCAACTTGCCCGACGAGGAGCTCCTCCAGGTCGTCGTCGATGAGATGCCGCCCTTCTCGGAGCGCGAGAGTGCTGTGCGTCCCTCGATCTCTCTCCCTCTCTCCGCCCCTGCCTCCCAAGAGGCACGGTCACTGATAGGGTGCTTGACCACGACGCGCAGCTCCTGAGCCGGCTCATCAAGAAGACGGGCGACACGCACGACAAGCGCACGTGGTACATCGGCGGCAAGGAGGTCAACCAGGGCCAGGACGCGGCACGGTACGGCGCGTTCGGCCGCCGCAAGGGCCGCGACGGGCACGCCGCGACGCACGAGGCGCTCGGGAGCGGGACGGCGGCGGGCGGCGGGCAGGCGCCGTTGGGCAGCGGCACGATCGCGGACGACTTGCTCGGGCTCGACCTCGGCGGCGGCGGCGGCGAGTCGATGGGCCCGGCATCGCCGAGCGAGGTGCGCTCGCCGGCTACGGCGGCAGCAGCGTCGTCGCCGGTGACGGCCACCAAGCCGCTCCTCGCGACGCCGACGGGCGCCGGCGCCGGCTCGAGCTCAGCAGCAGCAGCGCCGACGCCGCGCGCCAAGCAGCAGGTGACGCACGGCGCCGACCGGTGGCTGTCGCGGCTCGTATACAACTCGGAGGGCGTCCTGTGGGAGGACGCGCAGCTCCAGGTCGGCGTCAAGTGCGAGTTTCACGGGCACCTCGGGCGCGTCGCGCTCTACTTTGGCAACAAGGTGCCCGTCGCGCTCGAGTCGTTCACGGCGACGGTCACGGTGCACGGCGACGACGCCGAGCGCGAGGCGCTCAAGGTGACGCTGCCCAAGATCCCGACGCCCCACATCAGCGCCCTCTCGCAGGTCCAGCAGCTCGTGCACGTCGAATGCAAGGACCTGTTTGCGCACCCGCCGCTCCTCCACATTTCGTACCTCGCCGGGTCCCTCCAGACCCTCACCCTGCGCCTCCCCGTGTGGCCGACCAAGTTTGTCGAGCCGGTCAAGCTCGACGCGGCCGCCTTCTTCGAGCGGTGGAAGCAGATTGGCGGCGCGCCGCGCGAGGCGCAGCAGATCTTTCCGCTCCCGGGCTCGGGCGTCGTCGACGCCGAGAAGAACCGCCGGGTCGTCGGCGGCGCAAGACTCGGCGTCCTCGACGGCATCGACCCCAACCCGAACAACGTCGTCGCCGCGGGCGTGCTCCACATGAGCAACGGCGGCAAGGTCGGGTGCCTGCTTCGCGTCGAGCCCAACGCCGAGGCCAAGGTGCGTCCCTTTCTCTCTCTCTCGCTCCTCTCGTCGCAAGCGGGACCTGACGAGCCACTCTCTCCCCCTCTCGCAGCTGTGCCGCCTCACGGTCCGCACGACCAACGAGGCCGTCTCGCAGGCCGTGCTCAAGGTGCTCGTCGCGTCGCTGTCGGGCAAGTGAGGGAGCTCGTGCGCAATGCAGTCGGCTCGTCGTCGTCGTCGTCCGGGGAGAGAGGGCTCGAGCGAGCGAGAGTGGCTCCCGCAAGCGCGGCTCGCTTCAGCTTTGGCTCTCGCAGATACGAGTGCGATGAATGGACCGAGATGGACCCTTGTCTCGGGCGAGGGCGAGCAAGGCTGCGGCGCGACGAGGCGTCGGTCGAGGTGAGGAGGCGGGGAAGAGAAAGTCGGCTCCTCCTCGTCTCGCTGCGCACAGCAAGCCGACCCGCCTTCGAGCTTGCGCGCACTTCTCGACTCGCCTGCCTGCACCTGTCGCCTCGCCGCCCTGCGCCAGCCTCGTCGACCCTCGTCGCCCCGCCCCCACTCCGACAAGCCGAGCCCCTCGTCCCTGTCGACCCACAGCCCTCGGGGCACGCCGTGCAGCAGCCATGGCGCTCTTTGTCGACCGCCGCTCTGGGTCGGCCGTCACGGCCAAGCTCAAGGAGGTCTCGTCGCCGCTCCCGTCTGGATGTGCGTCAGCTCGCCTCCTCCCACTCTCTCCCTCTCCTCGCACGCACGAGCTGACCGCCGATACACCCGAAACAGATCCGATCTACGAGCTCGACGACTCGGACGCGACCTCGACCTGCTCGAGCGACTTTGGCTCGGACGACGACGACGCCTCGTTCGCCGACGCCCTCGAGGAGCAGCCGGCACCGCGTGACCCGCTCGTCGTGCCCGAGGAGGTTCTCGAGATCGTGTTTCGAGCGACGCAGCGGTGGGTCGACGACTCGGAGACGCTCAAGAGCGCGGCGCTCGTGTGCAGGTCGTGGTCGACGCCGGCGAGGAGAATGTGCGTCGACTTCTCTCCTTCTCCGACCTTTTCTCGAGCACATCCGCTCTAGGAGGGTCCGCAGGTATGTCGAAGCCGGTCTGACACGCTTCATCTGCTCGCAGCCTCTTCAGCCAGAACATCTACATCAACTCGCCCGAGGCGGTCAAGCGTCTTCGGCACGTCGTCGACTCGCGCCCAGAGCTGCGCAGCGCCATGCAGCACTTCGACCTCGCCAACCCGTGCAGCACGTACGACATCCGCCTCAACGAGACGTTCCGCCGGGCGGCCGGCATCCTGCGCCTCGCGCTCTGCGTCAAGACGCTCAACCTCCTGCACGTCCCGCTCAGCGACAAGGTGCGGCGCCTCAGCTCTCTCTCGCCAGAGCTGTCCGACGCGCCGGCACTCACTCGTCGCCGAGCCTCTCGCAGACTCGCCGCAAGTTCTTCGGCGCGCTGCGCGCACTCCCGATGGAGGAGGTCCGCCTGTACGCCGCCGCGAGCCCGAGTTACGGCCCGTTCGGCCCGCGGCGGCGGTTGCGCGGTACGGCCGACGTCGACGTTCTGCCCGGCCTGCTGCAGCAGTGGTCGACGCTGCGGTCGCTCACCCTGTCGGGCTACTCGACGTACCCGCGCTTGTTCTCCGGCGCGCTCCTCCTGCGCCCGGTCCCGCCCATGCCGACGTACCGCCTCGTCGAGCTCAACCTCGTTTCGACCGACCTGAGCGGCGCGACGCTCCTGTGGCTCCTCGGCGACTCGCTGGCGTCCCTGCGCGTCCTCAACCTGTCGACGTGCACCGGCCTCACCAAGGACGTCCTCGAGCACGTGTGCGCGTTCGTCGGCCCGACCCTCGAGTGCCTGTACCTCGCCCTCGACCTCGACGACCTCGACCCGGCGTCGGCGTCCGCCCCGCTCGACAGCGCCATCCTCGCCCCGCTCGTCAACCTCGCGTCGTTCACCCTCAGCAGCGACACCCTGTTCCCCGACACCCTCCTCGTCCAGCTCGTCGCCCTCCCGTCCCTCTCACTCATCACCCTGTGCTGCCCCTCGTTCTCGCACGACATCGTCAAGCGCGCCGTCGCGACGCTCCCGGCGCCGTCGGCCTCGTCGTCGTCGTCGTCGGGGAGCGCGGGCGGCGCCCGCCGCAGGAGGCTCGAGCAGCTCACGCTCGATGCGTGGGAGCTTCAGGCGCTGTGGAGCGAGGAGGAGCGGTGGGAGGTGCTCCAAGCTTGCGAGGACAAGGGCGTGCAGGTCGTCATCAACGGGCTCGCGCGCGAGGACATCGAGGACGGTGCGTCGTCGCTCTCTCCTACTCCCTCCTCTTCTCTCCCAACGCTCGGGACTCGACTGACTCTCTTCTACCCATGCAGAGTGGTACGGCGAGGACATGACGGACGCGTGGCACGCGCTCGAGGACCTCGGCCGTTCGTCAACGGCGAGCGACTCGAGCTGGAGCTCGCGGTGGGGCCGAGGGAGCGTCGACGCGCTCGGTCGGCGCGCGAGGTGAGAGGCTCGGGAGGTGTTTCCAGGTTGCGCTCGTTCGCGGCGGTCGTCGTCGTCGTCCCCTTTGTAGCTGCCTCTGCTTCCGCCATCGTGCTCTCTGCGGCGCGTCAACTTGTCGTTGTTCCTCGTCTCTGCTCTTGTCGCACTGTGAGACCATCGAGTGAGTCCCGGACTGCTCTGCACGGCGAGAAAGAGCCGGCACGCGAGAGACGGCGAGCGCGAGGCCTTCTCCTCGTCGCACCAGCGCGACCCGCTTTTGCTCTTCTCCACTCCACGCTCACAGCTCGTGCGGGCTGCCCATCCAGCGAGCGTGCTTCTACAGCCTTACGGCCCGCCGTCAAGTGCCTGTCGCGCGCCCAGAGCCGCTGTGGACCTGTCGTCGTCATCAGCTCGCCTCGAAGGAACTCGGTCTTTGTCTCTCGCCAACGCGCTGCAGCAGGTGCGCACACTCTCACTCGACTCTCTTACTGTGTTTGCACCGGCTGACCCACTCGGACAGCCCGCAGGTGCCGCCGACTCGTGCTCGCTCCTCCCTCCTCCCCGCCCTCGTCCGACTTGCCCTCTCTCTCGCCCACGCGTCCTCTTCTCCCACCGCCGCGGCTTCTTCTTCTCGTCATCATGTGCGACTCGCATGCGTACGTCGCCTACGGCATCACGGTCACGACCGAGTCGGTCCTGTACGCCGTCGCCGCGTGGCCAAAGCTCCAGGGCCCGTTCGCGTTCCTCGACCTCGTCGCGCTCCGCAAGCGCAAGGGCACGCTCGTCGCGACCAACGCGAGGGGCGCACCGCGCTCGCCTGTCGAGGCGATCCCGATCGAGGTGTGGGACGTCGTGCGGCACAAGGTCGTCGACCTCGAGCTGAGGGCGGCCGAGATCGAGCACGTCGACAGCCTCCTGTGCTACGAGTGCCGGACTGGCGGCGTCAACGCGGAGACGCTCAAGTGGGACGAGGTGCCTCGGTCCTGCGACCCCTACGGCACGATCTTTGAAGGTCTCGCAGGTGATCCTCAGGTCCGTCTCTCTATTATCCCGCGCCTGCGACTCGCCCTACTTCTCACTGATGCTCAGCATGTACGCAGGCCGCAAGAGACTTGGTGCAGGCCTTTGGACTCGCCCTGCCGACACTCGTTCCGATCCGGGCGGACCCGCTCCGAGCCGACGACTCGTTCACCCACGCCTCGGACCCCAACACGGCGACCATGATCTCGCTCCCCGGGCCTGCCGACGCCGAGACCGACACATTCGGCCTTCACGTCGAGTGCGGCGGCGACCACGCTCCCGACGGGCAGGCCATCGTCGACATCTCGCTCTCGACGCCGCCGGACGCCAAGCAGCGCTTTCGCAGCCTCGTGTCGACTATGCACCTTCAGCCCGTCTACGTGTCGGACGGCACGGTCGTTAACGCCGGGACCAGCAGCGCCGAGCGCGTCAAGGACGTGCGCCGCGAGGAGCGCAAGTTCAAGGAGATCTCGGTCGACGCGCTCAAGCCGAGATGGAAGTTCATGGCGATGGCGACGACGAGATGGTAGTGGAGGCTGGGAGGGCTTGCAACGAGTGCTTGTTGTTCCTGCGTCGTCGCCTGCCTCGAGTTCCGCGTCGCTTCCGCTAGTCAGCGCACTCGAGTTGCCCTCGCCGCGCCTCTTCTCTCTCGCTCGGGCTCGCCTTCTGGCTTTGTTCGTGCATCTTCGGCGCGCACCTGCCGACAGCAGATCGAGCTACTCGAGCGAGCATGACCTGCAGCACAAGCGCGGCCTCGAGCTGGACCGCGAGCAGAGAGCGAAGCAGGCTCGAGGCGACCGTGAGGCGAGGAAGGCTTCGGCCGAGGCTCAAGCGAGGTGCTCGCAGACATTCCTGCACAGCTCCCAGACCCTGCGCGAGCGCTTGCACGAGCTGCGAGACGCTCGCGGGCTTGCGTTGTCCTCCGCAACTCGCGCCTCGCTCGTCGTCCACTACCTCACCGGCTCGCGCTCCTGGGCTGAGCTGCAGAGCTCGTGCGAGCCTGAACTAGTACTCGTGACCCGTCCAGTCGCGCAGCTATCGCCCAGGGTCGCCGTGGCATCATCGCCGTCATCGGTCGTCTCGAAGGAACTCGGTCGTCCTCCCTCATCAACTCGCTGTAGCAGGTGCGCACACCTTCCCTCGACTCTACCCGTGCGTAGGCAGGGACTGACCCCCCGCCACAGCCCGCAGCTGCCGCTGCCGCCGACCCGGTCTCCCGCCTCAGCGCCGTTCTCCGACTCGCGCTCTCGCACGCCCTCCCTCTCGCCCTCGCCTTTGCTTCGCCCGCCCAGCATGGCCGAGGCGAACGCCTTCCTCGCCTACGGTATCACGGTCACAACTGAGTCGCTCCTGTACGCCGTCGCTGCATGGCCGAGGCTTCAAGGCCCGTTCGCGTTCCTCGACCTCGTCGCGCTCCGCAAGCGCAAGGGCCAGCTCGCCGTGGCAACGTCGCAGGACATGTCGCAGTCGGCGGTCGAGATGGTTCCACTCGAGATCTGGGGCGTCGTGCGGCACAAGCTCGTCGACCTCGAGTTGCGCGAGGCCGAGTTTCGGCAGGTCGAGTGCTACCTGTGCGAGAGTGGGCGTGCTCCAGGAGTGTCTGCCGAGAAGCTCAAGTGGAGCGACGTCCTGTCCAGGTGCGGCGTCGAACTCTTCGGCTTCGAGGGCCTCGAAGACTCGGCAGCTCGACAAGTGCGCCAGTCTGTTCCCCGAGTCTCTCGTGCTCAATCTCGTCCAGTTCATTGACCAGACTTCACCCACAGGCAGCAGACATCATGCTCTCGGTCTTCGGCCTCGCTCTGCCTTTCGACGTCCCGATCTTCCGCGCCGCGCCCGACAACTACCCGCCAGCCTCGCACTGGTCGTCGCCCGACACGTCGATGATGATCTCGCTGCCCGGACCGCCTTCCGACGAGGACGATGGCCTCGCGATGCACGCTGCGTGTGGCGGCGACGTGTGCGCCGACGGCCAAGTCGTCGTCGACGTCTCGTTCGCCATCCCGGCCGGGGCCAAGCAGCGCTTTCGCCGCCTCGTGTCGACGATGCACCTCGACCTTGTCAATGTCACCGACGGCTTCATCGCCAACGCGGGCACGAGGGCCGCCAGCAGCGGCAGGGCCGTGCGCTGCAAGGAGCGCGAGTTTGAGAAGGTCCCGCTCGCCAAGCTCGAGCCGAGGTGGAAGCTCGTGACGATGGCGGAAACGGAGTGGTAGTGGAGCTTGAGCGGGAGGGACTGCAATGGACGCTTGTTGTCTCGTCGTCGGCGTCGCCGCTGCAGCGTCGCCCGCTGCGCCTCCTCGTCCGCCTCTCCTTCGACCTCTCTCGCCTCTCGCTCCCTCGCGAGCCGACCCGGAGGCGGCCTGTACCCTCGTCGAGTCGTCGTATACGGCCTCGCGTTGTCGACCGAGCAGCTGTCGAGGTCCGAGCCGCACCTGCTCTCGATCGTCTCGTGGCCGTGCGCAGTCGCCGGCCTCGGAGCAGCTCAACTCGGTGCGCCTCTCTTCCTCTCTCCCTCTCCCCATCACCTCGCACTCTCGACCCGCCGACGAGGTCCGTCTTGTCGCTCGGCCTCGTCACGGCGGTACCGCACTGACCTCTTTCGACCCTCCCTCGCAGATGCGCCGCTTCCTCCTCGCCACCCTCTTCTTCGCCCTCTCGCTCTCGGTTCTCGCCGTGCCCTTCCCTCAAGCTGTCGACGACGGCTCCGGCGCCTCGACCTCGTCCCTCTCGACCTCGCCCGCCGACTCGAGCGGCTGCGTCTCGTACGACGGCGACGGCTTTGCTGCCAATGGCCGCGATCGTGCCGGTGCGTCCTCTCTCTCTCTCTCTAGCACCTTTCTCCGAGCAAGACACTGACTGATTCGCGACGACAGGGTACGATGGCGACGGCCTCGACCAGGACGGCTTCGGCAGAAACGGTGGGTCCTTTTGTCGCTCGTCTAGCGCGAGTCCTGCCCACTGTGAGTTGGACTCGATTTGACCTTCTCTTGGAGCTCTACAGGCTTCAACGTGCAAGGCCTGAACCGCGACGGTGCGTCTCTCGGTCCCTCCCTCGCCTTCCTCGCCGTCAAGCGATCTGACCTTTTCGTCGCACTTGCCCGCAGGCCTCGACAAGGCGGGCAAGCTCAACGGCACGTACGCGCTCGACAAGGACGGCTACGACTCGCAGGGCTACAACCTCGCCGGCAGGAACAAGGACGGCTTCAACGCGCTCGGTCCGTCCTCTCTCTCTCTCTCTTTTGGCGAGCCGGTCCGTTCCCTCTCGGTCAGCCCTGACGCTCTCTCGTGCCACGCAGGGTACGACAGGGACGGCTACAACGCCCAGGGCTACGACCGCAACGGTGCGCTCGCGTCTCTCTCCGTCTCGTCACCGACGCACTGACCCTCCTCCTCGTCAGGCTACGACAAGGACGACCGCGACCGCAACGGGTGCGCTCCCTGCCCTCTTTCCTCCCCTCCAACGCCCACAGAGCTGACCAACCTCACCGCGCCGCAGCAACTCGTGCTCGTCGACCTCGAGCGACTCGTCGTCGGCCAACCCGTCCGACCTCGCCGCGCTCGGCATCGACCTGCCCGACCTGTCGGACAAAGATGGGCGCGCTCCCGATCGACACGGCGGCCTTTGTCGGCGACGCGCAGCCGACGGGGCCGGACTCGGGCGGCGAGGGAGGCGCGGCGACGGCTGGGGCTGCGGTGGGAGGGGGGCAAGGGGCGGGTCCGACTGCGGCGGCGAGGGCGAGGGCTTGAGGTGGACGGCGGTGACTCTCTCTCTGTCTCTCTCTGCCTCTCGATGCCCCTCGTACTGACGAGCTTCCTCGTCCGCAGGCTCTCCTCGACGCTTTGGCCCCTTCTTCCCTCCCTCCTCTCCCTCCCTCTGCCGTAGCTTCCCCCTCTCCTGCATCGTCGCACCTTCTTGCTCTCGTCTCAACGTCCCGCTCAGAGAGGAAGAGAAGAGCGAGCGCGGGCAAGCTCTCGGCTCGTGCAGGCGCCGTCAAGCTGTGCGCTCTCCTGCTCTCGCATTCCGGTCACTCTCGCTGGCTCTCGTCTGAGGAGCTGCACCTATCGAGAGCGCGACGATTGGACAAAGCGAACGTCTGTTGCAGCGCGCGGCAAGGGGCTACAGCACGAGGGAAGGGAGAGCACAAAAGGAGGGAAGGAGGGGAACGACGAGGGCGACAGTCCGCGGTCGAAAGGTCAAGCTACACGACGAGGAGAGAGAAAGAGAGTGGGAGAGAGGTGTTCGGGAGAAGGTCGCCTGCGAGCGCCGTCGAGAGCGAGTCAGTGAGGTCGGAAGAGAGAGACAGGGAGGGAGGAGGGGACGCACGCGCGAGAGCTGGCTCGTCTACCAGCCGTAGCGGTACGGGCGGTACGGGCGGTAAGGGCGGTAGTGCCACGGGCGGTAGCCTGCGAGAGGGAGGTGGGCGAGAGCCGTCAGGACGGCGAGGCGAGAGGAGGAGGAGGGGAGCGGGCGCACCGTAGTAGGCTGCGAGGCGAAGAGGTACGGTCAGTCGAGGTGCGAAGGAGAGAGAGAGGGAGAGGGCGAGGACGCACGGTAGGCCTCGGCGGGCTGAGCGGCCGCATCGACCGGCTCGGCGACGGCGGCGTTGGCGGGCTCGGCTGCGGCCTCGACCGGCTCGACGGCGCGCGCCTCGAGGTCGGGCGAGTCGGAGCGCTTGGCGAGGTCGTCGGTCGTGGCCTGATCAAGGTCGCGCTTGTAGAAGCCGCCGCCGACGAGACGGCCGCCGCCGCCGCGCGACGATTAGCCGCTCGAGTAGCCGCCGCCGACTGCGCCGTAGTAGCCCGAGTTGTAGCTCGAGCGGTCGTACCCGTAGCCGCCGTAGCCGCCGCCGTAGCCACCTGTGAACGCGTGAGGGGACGGGTCAGCTCTCGATTGAGAAGGTCGTCGACGAGGAGGAGGAGGAGGAGAGAGGGACGAACCGAACTGGCGCTTCTCGAGCTCGGCCGGGTGCACTGCGAGAGAGGAGGGAGAGCGTCAGGGACGGGCGAGGGCGAGAGCGAGGAAGAGAGTGGGACGCACCGTCACGCTCCTCGATCGGGAACGAGTCGCGCTTGACGAGGCCCTCGGCGTTCGGGTGGCCGTCGAGGTCCCTCTTCCACCCGCCGCGCCAGCCGTAGTAGCCGTAGTCGAGGTCTGCGAGTGGGAGAGGCGAGGGGAGGTCAGCGCGCGTAGACGGGGACGAGAGGGGGAGGGACGCACCGTCGAGGGCCCAGAGCAGGTCGGGCGAGCGCTTGGCGAGGTCGACGTCGGGGTGCTCTGCGTGCGGGAGAGAAGTCGTCAGTGTCACGGTCTAGGGAGAGAGAGTGGGAGGACGAGAGGGCGCACCTTGAGCGACGACGGGAGCTGCCGTCACGGTCGACACGAGGCCGAGGGCGAGAGAGGCGAGGACGAGGGCGAGCGAGTTGACCATGGCTCGAGTGAGGGAGAGTGAGGAAGAGTGAGAGGAAGGAGGGAGAGAGGCGGGCGCCCGACGCTGGCCCTCGTCGTCGCCTCCCGACCCAAGCTCCTCGGTGTCGGCTCATCCCCGCGGACTTGCTCCGTCAGCCTCCTGCGCACCTCGAGGAAACGCCCCCAATCGAGTAGCTCGTCGATTCGGGCGAGCGAGAGAAAGCCAGCCGGGCAAACGCAAGCCGGTCGAGCGGGTGCGAGGAGAGGGACGAGGAGAAGCAGAGGCGAGCCAGCCACGGGCTCGCGCAAAGTTGACGGTCGCGCGGCACAGGTCCCTCGAGCACTGCTCAGAGCTCAGTGCACACGCGCGCAACGGTCCAGAGAGTGTATGCGACGAGGACGACGCGGTCCGCTGATGAGGATGCGACAGGAGGCGACAGGGGCGCTCGCTCGCCAGAGAGGCGCAGCGCCGGCGCGCAAAAGCTCAAGGGCACAGCACAGAAGCTCTGGAGCGCTCTAGCCTAGCCGCAGCTGCTGAGGGAGCGTGTCGCCGGTCACCAACCTCGACGCCTCTCCTCGTCAGAGCCGGCTCCTCCTCGAGCTCTCACCGACACTCCGCTCCAGCGAGCGAGCAGCTGCTATGGCCTCGCATCAGCTGCGAGCGACAACCGACGCTACCCGCGACACTGCCGACACGGTCGCTCGCCCTGAGCGCGAGCGCGACGACCACGAGCAGGAGGACGCCGGCTCGAGCAACAGCCTCTCGCAGGCGGGCAAGCGCGGCAAGGACGACGGCGACAAGGACAACACGCAGGCGCAAGGTGCGTCCACACCCAGCCCCTGGTCCAGCGACCCCCTCCTGACCCCTCCCTCTCCCTACCTGTGCCCGCAGACGACGACGAGCAGGACGCGCAGCCTGCCGCCAAGAAGCGCCGCACCACCTCAAGCACGACCAAGGTCAAGGGCACCGCAAGGGTCAAGGGCAAGAAGGGCAAGCTGTCGGCGTTCCTCGCCATGCCGCTCGACCTCCTCGTCGAGGTCGCTCAGCACACCGACCCGCCGACCCTCCTCGCCATGTCGCGCACCAACAAGCTTATGCACAACCTGTTCGCCCGTCGTTCGGCCGCCCCGATCTGGGCCGCCGTCCGCCGCAACGTCGACTTTCCCGAGCTCGAGGCGTCCGACCTCTCCGAGATGCAGCTCGCGTCGCTCGTGTTCGACCGCAACTGCCACCTGTGCGGCCGCGGTCGGGCCGTCATCGTCGACTATGCGCTCCGGATCCGCTGGTGTAAGGTGCGTCCCGCTCCTCCTCTCCTCCTCTCTTTGCGCGCCCGACCACTGACTCGTCGTCGTCCTGCAGCCCTGCGAGCGCGCCAAGTGCGTCCTCGCCCGCTCCCCGGGTTCTCGTCGTGCCTCTTTCGTCTCACTGACGCGCCTTTGCGCCCGCAGCCTCGTGCGCAAAGGCGACCTGCGGCTTCAGGAACCCGCCGTCCACGTCCACAAGCTCGCGCTCGCCTGCAGCTTCTTCACCTTGCATTCGGGCAAGAGCCACAGTGCCACAATCGACCGTGCGTCCCCCTCACTCCCTCGCCTCTCTCGTCGAGCGCCAAATTGACCTCGAACCTGGTGCCGCAGACCATTACTGCCTGCCGCAACTGCGCGCTGCGAGTGACTGCCTGTACTAGCTCGAGCGCGGCGACGACAACGTGCACTACGCCCACGCGAGCGACATCCCCCGGCGCACACGCCGGCCCGAGGACGAGATCTTGAACGCCGACCCGACCTCGCACGACCTCGTCGGGAAACACGTCGTCGACCGCGTGCGCCTCGTCAAGCTCGTGCAGGAGGTGCGTCCCTCGCTCTCTCTACTTCTTCGACAGGCTCCTGACGTCACCTTGTCTCTGCCCAGGACGCTGCAACACTCGCCGAGTGGGACGGCGCGACGCCGTCGGCTCGCGAGGAGGCGTACGCCGCCGCGCACGCCCTGCGCAACCGCAAAGCCCTGTGCGTGCCCTTCTGTCTCACTCATCCTTTTGAGTGCGGCCCTGACTCCTCTTCCCGCAGCGTCAAGCAGAAGCTCCTCTCCATGGGTTTCGCCGACGCCGAGTGCGTCCTCTCGCCCGCCTCGATTTCCGGCGTGCCTTACTGACCCATCGACCCGACGCAGCATCGCCCTCAGCTCCAGTTCGCCCATCACCGAGATCATCGCCAAGCCGACGCTGTCAGAGCAGCTTTCGGACGAGGGCAAGTCCGCCTCTGCGCGCCGAGGCCCATGATCAACCAGCCTGACTCGCCCTCTCTCCCTCTTCCGCAGACTGGAACGTTCTGTTGCCGACTATCATCATCGACGCCGATCGCCGCCGTGCTGCGCGCCTCGACCTCGAGCGCGTTTCGCGGATCTGGCGTCGTCACGACGCGCTCAAGCTCCGTTACTCGATCATGCGCTCGACCGGCGATGACGAGCCCGGCCTGTCGTTCCCGTCCTGGTCCAACTTTCGCCTCCTGCCGAGCGTCGAGAGCCTGTGGGTGCCCGAGGGCGACGTCGTCTCGGACGAGCAGTGGCAGGCCGCCCTCCCGTCCATCCTCGTCGACCTTGTCACTGCGCGCAGGGTGCTCAAGGTCGTCTACGCGCGTGGTCTGGTCGGCCCTTTAGTCCGGGTGGCGCCCTGAGCGACAGCAGCCTCGTCGACAAGCTCAAGAAACCCGAGGCGCCGCTCAAGCCGACGGGCGCCCTGTTCTTCGAGGCCGACCTCGGCAGCTTTGACCGGCGCCGCCAGCTGTACAGCCGCATGTACATGTACGGTCCTGTTGGCTTCCTCGACTTTGGCGACACGGCCGACGGCGTCGACGAGGCCGAGCTCGACGCGCTCCTCTCGCAGGCGGTCGCCACGTTCATCGGCATCAGCTCGGGCGTGCGGGCGACCCTCGTCCCGTACTCCGACATCGTGCCCATGCTCGACAAGTACTGCGGGTCGGGTGGATACACTAGCTTCGACGGCCTCTTCCAAGCGCCGTCGGTCCGACTCGTGCAGGAGCAGCTCGCCGTGCTCAAGCGCGCCGGCCTGCCCAACCACCGGTCGAGTATCGCCAAGCTCGAGGAGCTCGGCCCCGTCTTTGAGTGTCACGGTTGTGACGCTGCGCTCCCGAGATCCGCGAGGAGGTCCCACCTTCGCGTGGTCGTCAAAAGCACTTCCTTGTCCTGGAGCGAGATGGTGCGTCGCGACGTCCTCTCGGTCTCTCTCTTCAGCTGTGCAGCAATGACTGACACCTTCCTCGACCCAGGTCTATCACGCCTGCACGGCCCACTACGACCTCTACGCGTCCGACGGCGTCCACACGCTAGCTGCCACGCCCGCGATCCGCCTCTCGACCTCAACCGACTCGCCTCCATCGTCCTCTCCTTCCCTCCCCTCGACGACAATGACCGCCACCGCCGACGCCCCCGTCGCTTAACGTGCGCCCACGCGACTCGGCGCCGCCGACCGCGCCCGCGCCTCTCTCTCCCTCGCTTGACCGCCGCTTGAACCCTCCTCGTCGCCTCGTCCGCTTGTTCCTCGTACCTCTCTCGCAATTGCAACTATCTTTTTGAGTCGTCTCGTCCGTCGTGCGCTGCCTAGAGCAGTCGAGCGAGCCCGCGAAAGCGCCCGCCTGATGAGAAACCGAGAGCAGGAAAGCGAGGCAGCACACTGCTCTGAGGAGCGCAGGCGCAGCTCGATGCAGCCACGGTCTCGGCCTGAGCTCCTCAGCACCGCTTGCAGCTGCAGAGAGAGTGCGGCCTCGCTGGTCGACGCGATTGCTCCTCGCCGGCCTGCTCGCGTTCGCTCCGCTCTGCAGTCGCGTCCAGGCTCAGTGCGGTCTGCTCAAGCTCGAGATGCCGTGCGCGTGCTGCGCCACAGCCTGGTACCAACCCGTCGTCGACCTCGCCTGGCCGCTCCTCCTCGCGCTCGTCACCGCCCTGGTCGGCCTCTACCGCCGTGCGACCACCTCCAAGAGCCGCACCACTGCGCGTCAACCACCTGCGGCCAAGTCCAAGGGGAGCTGAGTGGGCGGCGTGCGCCGAGTGGGTCGCGCTGGCGGGTCTGCCTGGAGGCGAAGCGGCCGTCGAACGTCGAGGGCGGGTAGCTGTGGACCAAGGCAGGTCCGTCGTCTGCTTCTCTCCCTGATTCCTGGAGCAGCACGGGACTCCCGCTGACTTCGAGCCCGCAGCCGAGCGCACGAGCCGCCGTGTCCTCGACCGCCTCTCATGCGCCTCCAACGACCGTGCCGCGCTCAACCCGAGTCGACTCGTCCCGCCATCGAGGTCCAGCAATCTCTCGGCACATTTCTCGCGCTCTCAGGAGACTCTCGAGTCGTCGCACACGTCAGGAACCGTCGGCGAGGACGGCAGAGCGGACTGGCAGAGGGAGTACGAGGACGATTTGTCAATCCAGTTCCGGTTCTAGACAATCTCGGACTCGCTCGTCACGCAGAGAGTGCCGCGGCAGGCTTGACGAGGCCGAGCGGGTTGGGCTGGCCGTCGATCGGCCACGGCTTGTCGACCGGGTCGCTGCCCTGGAGGTGGCACTGGTGCATGACTCTGAGGGAGAGTGACGAGCCAGGTCAGTGACTGTCTGTCAGAGAGAGAGAGAGAGAGAAGAGGGAGAGAGAAAGAGAGAGAGGGAAAGGGAAAGAGGGAAAGAGGGAAAGAGAGAGAGAGGACGCGCCGAGGGCCGTACGAGGACGGGTACTCGACGGGCGAGTGCCGGCACGCGCGGTTGAGCCAGATGGCGAGGTCACCCTGCTCTTGAGGCGCGACGAGCACGTTCGACGGCGTGAGGAACGGGCGCTGCAGGCTGCGAGGGACGACGGGCGCGCGGGAGGACAAGGTCAGGAAGGGGTCCGAGCGACGGAACGAGAGGAAGGGCCGGGACGCACTCGTCGAGCATCTTGCGCACCTCGCGCAAGTCGTCGATGACGCGGTACTCGCCGTCGTCGCTCGTGCGGTAGTGGATCTTGCGCACGATGATCTGGTGAAACTGGAGCGCCTTCTCGCCCGTGACCGGGTTGAGCCACACGAGCGGGAGGCGCTCGGCCTGCGACTCGGGGAGCGGCAGGTCCTCGATCGGCGTCTCGAGGTCGTCGGACGAGATGCCAAAGCCGTTCGAGAGGCCTTTGCAGTTGATGATGAACTCGTCTGCGAGGTGGACGGCGACAAGGTCAGGCCCCGCTCGGACCCACACGACGAGGTGCTCGGGCGAACGAGGACTCACAAGGCGAGGGAGCGTACTCGACGAGGCTGTGAGAGTAAAGGAGAGTCAGTGCCGGCACCCGCAAGGCGACGAGAGCGAGCGAGAGGCGAGCGCACCTGTGGTCGACCCACCGCTTGTCCTCGTCGCTCAGCGCCTCGTACATCTTCGTCGCGTCCATGAACGCCGTGCGGCCGGGCTGGGCGCTCATCGTTAAGCCCGAGCCGTCGTCCCACCGGATCTTGACGTCGGGCCCGTGCGGGAGCGTGTGCGCGTAGATGGTGGTCACGCGCGCCGTGTGGTTGCCCGGCTTGTACTGCGCATCTTGGTGCCAGCGCTGCGCAGGGATCGAGGGCATGGTCAGTCACTCGTCCTCGACGGAGAAGGGGAGAGAGAGGGAGGGTCCGTTCTGCGGGACTCGAGGACGCACCGAGAACCTCGTGTCGCCGCTCGCGAGCTCGTCGTCGCTCAACGGCGTCTTGTGCCACGCCTGGTGCGACCCGGCCTTGAGCTCCATCGGCTCGGTCGTGCCGTAGTGACCGGCGGGGAGCGTGCCGCGGCCGACGATGCGCACCATCTCGCAGTCCGGGACCGAGGGAAGGCCGCCCGTGAGGTTCTTCTGCGAGGGGACGGCGGCGTGGCAGGCAAGGTTAAAGGGATGTCGACGACGAGAGGAAGGTTGCTGACGATGCGAGGGAGGAACGAGGGAGGAGAGAACGAGGGGGAGGCGCACCTTGCCCTTGAACTCCTTCATGACCTCCTTGGCGTCGCCATGCTGCACGACCGCACGACCAATACCGTCAGTTCGCCGTCCTCACGACGACGAGAGAGAGGGAGGCGAGGCGACGCGACGCACCCCATGCTTGCCTGTCGCGTCCGGGTCGAACAGGCAGTTGATCCGGTACTGCGACTCGGGGCGCAGGTCGGGCTGATCGCGCACGACGAGCAGGCGGTACTTGTACAGGGCGTACTCGATCTGGGGGGGTGCTCGAGGGTCAGGTCGCTCGGACGGGAGGAAAGGAGAGGAGGGGAGAGGGAAGAGGAGGACGACGCACCTCCTTGAAGTCCTCGCGCGAGAGCTGGTTGAGGTCGACGCCCGAGACGGACGCGCCGAAGCCGGCCGAGTGCTCGAGAGGCGTGATGGTGAGGCCGGTGTCGACGCTGGGCATGGCCGTCGAGGCCGCGAGGGACGACGAGGGGGGAAGTCGGCGAGGCGGAAAGAGGCCCGAGCGAGGGAGGGTCGAGCGCGCACAGGGAGTGCGAGAAGCGCAAAAGGGAAGCGTCGAAGCGAGCTGCACGTAGCGAGAAGCACAAGAAGAAGAGAGAGAGAGAGCGCGAGCGACCGATCCGCACGAGCGAGAGCCGCGAAAGTCGGCCGAATCTCGTCGGGACCCGATAACCCGCCCCGCTCGTCCCTTGCCTCGCCCGCCGCGCACCGAGGCGTCCAGATCTATGCCGTTCGAGTTGCACACAGAGAGACGAGAGAGAATGAGATGAGGATATTGTGGAGAGGACGGAGGAGGAGGAACAGAAACGCCGAGACCTCGAGGCACGTTTAGACGAGGCCAGCCGCCTTCATCGCCTGCAGGGCCGGGCACAAACGAGGCAGGGTCAGAACAGGGTCGACAGAGAGGCAGGAGGGCGACAGAGGGACGCACCTTGTGCAGGGCGGTACCGAGCTGAGCGGGCGAGGGCACCATGATGACGCCGGCCTTCTCGAGCGCGGCAACCTTGTCCTCGGCCTTGCCCTTGCCGCCCGAGATGACGGCACCGGCGTGACCCACTGTGACGAGAGAGAGAGAGCGTGTCAGCGACGGGCGGACCGCGGCGAGGAAGAGCGGGCGAGAGGGGACGCACTGCGACGGCCTGGGGGAGCGGTGCGACCACTGCGTCGGGGAGGTAGGGCGAGTCAGTCACGGGGCGGCGACAGGGAGGAGAGGGAGAGTCGGGACGCACGCGATGAAGCCGACGACGGGCTTGTTCTGGACGTTGTACTTCTCGAGGTACTCGGCCGCCTCCTCCTCCATCGAGCCGCCAATCTCGCCGATGAGCACGATACCTGTGCGTGCTTACACGGGTCAGCCCAATCCTCGTGGCTCTCGAGGGTCGAGAGGGGACGAAGAGAGAGAGGGGGATGCGCTCGCGCCGACGCACCCTTGGTCGCCTCGTCCTCCATGAACACCTTGAGGACGTCGATGTGCTGCGAGCCCGGGAACGGGTCGCCACCGATGCCGACGCAGAGCGACTGGCCGAGACCGATCTTGGTCGTCGCGTCGACAGCCTCGTACGTGAGCGTGCCCGAGCGCGAGACGACACCTGCAGGGGTCGGTCGGGCGGGTGAGCGACTGTTCCTCAAGTCGGACGGCGAGAGGGAGGGGGGACGTACCGACCGAGCCGGGCGTGAAGATGTTGCCGGGCATGATGCCGATCTTGCAGCCGCCGCCGCCAGGAGCCGGGGCGATGATGCCCGGGCAGTTGGGGCCCACGAGGCGCGACTTGGTCTGCCTGCGGAGCGCTTGCGCGACCTGTGTGCGTCGTACTCTCTGAGTAAGTCCATTGCTCTCGCTCGAGGAGGGAGAGGGAAAGGACAAGAGGGGACAGGGCGACGCACGCGAACCTCGTCCTGCTGCGGGATGCCCTCGGTGATGCAGACGATGAGGGGAATCTCGGCCTCGATGGCCTCGATGATGGCGTCGGCAGCGAAAGGGGGAGGGACGTAGATGACGGTCGCTTCGGGCTTGACCTTGTCGTTGGCCTGTGGGCGAGCGGGTGAGTGAGCGGCGAGGACGACGGAGAGGGGGCAGAGGGGAGGAGAGAGCGGACGCACCTCGCGGACCGAGCCAAAGACGGGAAGGCCGAGGTGCTCGGTGCCGGCCTTCTTGGGCGAGACGCCGCCGACGAGCTTGGTGCCGAACGCGAGCGCCTCCTTGCAGTGGAAGGTGGCCTGCGGAGGAAGACGAGGGAGGAGACGAGGTCAGGTCCGGGTCGCGGGTGAGGCAGAGGAGGACGAGGCGCACAGTCTTGCCGCTGCAGGTTGGAATGCTCGGGTCAGTCCACGGTCGAATGGCGGTTCGAGCGGCGAGAGGGAGCTCACGTGAAGCCCTGGCAGATGACGGTCGAGTCGGGGCGGAGACGCAGGTTCGGGATCGACTTGTCGTACAGGCTGAGGTCCTTGGCGGCCTTGGTGGTCGAGAAGGCGCGCTTGGGCACTGGCAGGGCGGTAGCAGGAGGTGGACGAGGCGCGAATCGGCGACGAGGGGGAGCAAGGACGAGACGGGGAGGGAGACCGTCAGGCCACGGCTCGGCGCTTGGAGGGGAGGGGGAGGGGACGACGCACCCTGTTGGAGGATGGAGCGGGCAGCGAGCTTGATGGCCATCTTTGCGAGAGGGTTGGTGCTGAGGGACGAACCAGGCTCGAGGCGGAGCGCGCAGCCGGAACGAACCGCTCGAAACGCCAAACTCTCGCTCTCGACAACGCTGCCTGCTCGCTCGCGACAGTCACTGTTCTACTCGTTACACTGTACCGGTCCTGCGAGGCCCACCCACGCTCCTCCCACCAGATCCCGCTCCGACCCTCCTTCCTCAGCACACCCGCTTGAGCTCGCCGTTGCTCACCTGGTACACCCACCCCGAGATCTTGTCCTTGCTGTCCGGGTGCACGAGCGGGTGCTCGCGCAGGAACGCCACGTCCTCGGCGACGCTCTCGCGCGGGTCCGTGAACTCTTGCAGCGACACCTGGTCGACCAACGGGTGCGCCGCCGGCTCGGTGCGAGCCTTGAGCGCCTTCTGGATGACCCACGTCGACGCGTGCGAGTAGCCGCAGTCCCTGCGAGCCCGGGGAGAAGCGTCAGGCTGGCGCTCGAGACGTCGCTCGACGAGGAGGAAAAGGTCGAGGGCGCACTCGTGGTGGATGACGATGATCTCGCGCGTCTGGAGGGCTGCGGAACGTCCTCGACGTCGTCAGTGTCGTGCTCGAGAGGCAGGGTAGGTCGGTAGAGGACCGCAGGGCGCACCTTCCTGCGAGCCGATCAAGCTCCTGAGCGCGTCGGCCGCCCTGCCACCGCCGTTCCTGCTCGGACGAGTCGTCAGTCCCTCGATCTTCTCGATTGGACGACTGAGAAGAGGAACGAGGACGGACCGGATGATGTGCGCGTCGCCCACCTCGAGGCCGAGCATGGCGTTCGGGTCGAGACGCTGCGGACGAGCAAGGGGTCAGGCTCCTCGAACGGCGAAAGGCGGTCTCGGGCGGACGCACAGCATCCATGCCTGCGAGCACGAGGGCGAGGTTCAGTTTGTCTCGCCAGGGAGGGAGACGGGAGAGAGAAAGGTGGACGCACAGCACAAGACGGCGATTCCTCGCTTGGGCATGAGGTGAGCACGGCCCTTGTCGCCAACGAGGACGTCGTACGTCTTGATAAAGTTGCTGTTGTTGACGGCGAGCTCGGCGTCGGCGAACGACGAGCCTTTGAGGTCGGGCGCGTTCTGCGAAGAAAGGGGAGAAGGGTCAGCGCTCGGTCCATGGCGGCTCGTGGGGGCTCGTGGCGCCTGCGCCGAGGAGAAAAGAGCCACAGCAGACGGCTGAGCTGCTCGGCTAGCTCCTCTACGGTCCGGCGAGGAGGAAGTGGCCTCGAAGTGGAAGTGGGGAGATGAGGTGGAGGAAGAGAGACGGGGACGCACCTGAGCCTTCGCGTAGGCAGTGGCCGCCATGGATGCGACGTGAGAAGCCATGATGAGCGGTACCAGGTGATGGAGAGACGAAGGAAGCTGTTGCGGGCGAGCGCGAGGCCGACGAGTTGCCTGACGTCGGCGAGCGGACGAGCTGGTGGGGGACGCGCACAGCAGCTTGTTTGGCTTGCAGACGCAGCTTCCTCGTTCGCCGTGATCAGGCTCTCTTTGGCGAGCGAAAGAGCGGCGAGTGCGAGCTCCTTGCGCACGAGCCTCTCTCGCTGCTCTCGGATGGCAGGCAGCCTCGCCTCGTGGACGGGCTCAACAGATGACGAGAAGGCGCACTGAATGTTCCAGTGAAGCTACAGACAGAGACAGAAGAGCGAGGGAAAGAGGGAAAGAGGGATGGGACGAGAGAGGACGAAGAAGTGGAGACGACGACGGCGACGGCGCGAGCCCAGCCGCCCGACTCGCGCGGTACGGGACGCCGCGTGCGCCTAGAAGGCGGCGATGAGGTTGAGGTCCATCTCGTGCGAGCTGCGGGGCGACCAGAAAGGGTCAGCTCGGCCTCGTCGAGGTCGAGGGGGAGAGGGCGCGGCGGGAGGAAGGGCGGGACGCACCACGCGAGCTGCGGCTTCTGCTCGTACTTCTTGATCTCGTCGCGGATCGTGTTAAGGAGTTGGCTGCGCGTGGCAGACGGCAAGGGCGAGTCAGTTCGAGTCGCGCGAGCGCGTCTCGAGGGAGGTCGGGGAGGGAAGGGCGGGACGCACAGCCAGGTTTGCTCTGCAGGGGCGTGCGACGAGCGCGGTCAGTACGCCTCGAACACGAAGGGAAGTAGGGAGAGAGGGCGCGAGAGAGGAAAGGAGGAGGGAAGGAGGAGGAAGCCGAGGAGAGGAGGTGACTCACGAGGGTACTTGGTCAACGACGAGATGAGGCTCCACGACATCGCTCCAGTCGCCTGCACGCAGCGTCAAAGAGCATGTCAGTACCTCGTGGGCGCTGTGAGAGGACCTAGGAGGCTCTCGGGAGGCCCTGGGGGCCCAGAGAGACTCCCTCGGCGGGCGCAGGAGGCGCGCGACGACGAGGACCACTTACCTGGCCTCCTATATTGGCATCGGCGCTAGTCTGTGAATCCTTCGAGCCACTAAGCGTAATGACATCTGCGTTGCTGGACCGGGTCTGCTTGGTGACCTCGGTGGCCTTGTCGCCGTTCATGATGCGCTTGCCGACGCTCGTGAGCGACTTGAAGACGCCGCCCATGTCGCCGCGCAGGTACGACGTCGCGGCACCGAGCGCACCCGAGCCGGCGTCGGCGAGCATGTTGGGCTCCTTGAGGACGCCCTTGGTCGAGTAGGTGTAGGGCAGGTCGAGCGCCGAGCCAGAGTGGCACTGTGGGGCGCGCAGGCGTGTCAGACGGGCGCAGACTGGGGCTCGGGAGAGAGGGAGGAGAGGGAGAGAAGGGAAACGCACGCAGTCAAAGACGGCCGTGAGGCGGCAGCCCTGCGGGAGCGGCGTGACGAGGATGCGGTGCATGTCGTTGTCGACGATCGTGCCCGCCGTCTTGTGGTCGAGCGGGTAGATGTTCTCGTCCATGCCGTCGGCCTCGTCGCCCTCGGTCGCACGCTGCTGGCCGCCGTGACCCGAGTCTGCCGAGGGGGAGGGGGAAAGGGTCAGTCGACGGCGACGATGGCGACAGAGGCTGCGAGAGCTCGGGACGCACAGTGGAAGAAAAGCGAGTCGTTCGGGCGAGCGTCACGCACGAGCCACTCCATGGCGCGGATCTGCATGACGAGCAGGGTCAGGACCTTCCCAAACTCGCCGGCGCGCCCGAGAGAGGGAGGGGAGGACGCACAATGTTGGCGCGAGTCGGGATGCTCATGGGCGCCGCTCCAGGCGAGTCGAGGAGCATGACAATGTCGTCCTCCTTGTAGTTGAACCGCTCGCACAGGAACTTGGAGATGTTGCGCGCGTCGTTGTGGCAGCCGTTCAGCTGCGAGCTCGTGCCCGTGTCTGCGTGGGGCGCACAGAGTCAGTTCTGGGCCCTCGACGACTACGCCCTGAGCGAGAGGAGTACCTCTCGCCGCAGGTCGACGCGCAAGAAGGCGAGAGGGACGCACAGTTGATGCCGATGCAGAGCGCCTTGCGCTTGCCCGACAGGTTCGAGTAGTAGCCGCTCATGTTGGACGGCGGCGCCATGTGCATCTCGAACTGGCCGCCCTGGTACTGCGGCGGCCCGTCGTAGCGCTGGGGCTGCGCGCCGTAGTGCGTCGGCGGCGGGCCGGGCGGCCCTGCGCCGTACTGCTGCTGCTGCTGCTGCTGAGGGTACGGGCTCTGGTTGCCGAAAGCAGGAGGCGCGTTGTACCTGTGAACGAGGACTGTGTCAGAATTCGGCTCGAGTCGAACGAGAGGGAGGAGAGAGGAACAGGACGACGCACTGCTGCTGGCTCGCGTGCGGGTGAGTGTACTCGCCGCCGCCGCCGCCGTGGCTCCTCCCGCCCTCGTACCCGCCGCCGCCGTACCCACCGCCGCCGCCGCCGTACTGACCGGGCGGCGGTCCAGGAGGAGGAGGCCCGCCGTACCCGCCGCCGAACTGGGCCGGAGGAGGAGCGCCGTACTCACCGCCGCCGCCGAACTGAGGCGGTGGGCCGCCGTACTGCGGCTGGCCACCGTACTGAGGCTGGCCGCCAAACTGCGGCTGGCCGTAGGGCTGCTGCTGCTGCTGCTGCGGTGCGCCGCCGAACCTGCGACGAGACCGGGGTCGGGCGAGGGTTAGCTCTGCCTGGTCTCGCAGGAGAGGCAAGGGGGAGGGGACGCACTGCTGGCCCTCGGGGATGACCGTGTGCTTGTAGCCCATGTGGTACTTGGCGCCGGGATACATGGCGAGCGGCGGTGACGATGAGGAGGGGAGCGGAGGCAAGGAGGGGAGAGCGGGTCGTGTGCGCTGTGCGGTTGTCGGTGCGAGTGGTCGGTGTGGTCGCTGTGGGTGCTGGACCGATGCGCAGGCAAGTCGAGGTGCAGCGCGGTCGAGTTGAGAAGGCGAGGAGCGGGGACTTGGGTGCGGAGCCGGGCGACGACGCTCTTGACGTCTCGCGTCTCTTGCTGCTCACACTCTCGGGTGTGCTGCAGCTCGGTACAAGCTGGATCAAGGGACACGAGGCGACCGCCGCTCGTCGACCTCGACAACCTCGCTCTCTCGCTTTCGAGGCGTCCGTGCACGACCGTCTCTCTCGCGCGGACGACGACGACGAGGTTCAGCAAGGAGAGGTCACATTCCAAGAGAGCACGCGAGGGAGGGGCAATGTCTATCTACTCAAGGGAAGGGGGAGGGGAAGGTATCGCACGACGAGGGAGGGGGAACGAGGGAGGGAAGTACAAGATGCAGCTAAGCAGACTTCGACCGGCTCGAGGGGGTGACGGGAGAGGGTTAGTGGGAGGGAGGGAGCTAGTACAGGGACAACTGAGGGTGGGGGCGAACACGGTGCGAGGGAGGGGGACCGGAGCAGCCGAACGAACGGCTCTCGCGCGCCGTGGGGAACATCGACAGGAGGGCGAGGTGTCCTTGAGGTAGCGACCTGGGTCGTTGGGCGATGAGGAAGAAGAGGAGCTCCTTGAGAGCAGGCGAGGCGGCGCGCAGAGAGGTGACGAGTTGCTGAGGAAATAAGTTAGTCGAGGGAGGGGGGGCGAGGAAGGGAGGTTGGCGAGGGCGACGGCAAGGGCGAGGCGGGGATGTGCTAGTTGTACAGCTTGACGCTCGTGACGAACGACGGCGGCGAGGGCGAATGCGTGGCGGTATGACGACGAGGGAATGCTGGGCGATGCGGGAGGTGCGAGAACGACAAGGGGACGAGGCGAGGTCGAGGCGGGTCGAGCTTGGCGCTCAGACGCACTCGGTCGCCATCGCATTGACGCTCAGGCCCGGCACGCACGACACTGCGGCAAGGAGGGAGACAGAAAGAGAGTCAGGAACGCTCGGGGCAAAGTCGAGCAACTTGGGAAGGTCGGGACGCACGGACGAGGCAGCGACCGGCCTCGCACGAGACGCTCTCGACGCCAAAGATGGCTGTGCAGTCGACGCCCGTGCCGTCGGTCGTGCAGCCGCCGCACTGCTCGAGGTTGGTGTCGGCGTCGATGCACTCGAAGCCGTCGCCCAGGCCGGTCGAGCACGCCGTGTGGTGGGCCGGGCACGCCATGTTGGAGCGCTTGCGGTTGCGGGCAGCGGCCGAGGCGGCGAGGGCGCAGACGGCGTTGTCGGAGCACCAGCCTATGACGACGAGGAGGGCGAGTCGGTCAGTCACCGAGCGCGACAAGGCGGGCCCTGGCTCGAGGGAAAGAGGGGACGGACCCGAGGCGCAGATGCTGTCGCCGCTGCAGCCGAACCCGTTGGGGACGCCGGCGGCGGGCATGGCGGCGCACTTCTGGGTCGACGCGTTGCACGACTGGCTGACGCACTGCTGGTCGGGCGAAGGGATCGGGTTGGCCGGGTCGCCGTTGGCGCACGCCGCGCCCGTACCGCCGCACATGCCGTCGGTGCCGCAGAAGAAGAAGGCCTGGCAGTCGTTGTTGGACGTGCACGCGTCGCCGAGGTAGCCCGCGCAGAGGCCGTCCGAGCCGCAGGAACCTGCGGACCGCGACCATCGCCAAAGAGAGGGTCAGCTGCGTGTTCAGGCCGTCCCCTCGAGTGGGCGAGCGAGAGTGGTGCGCACCGTAGTCGCACTGCGAGTTGGACGTGCACGCCGCCTTGGCGTAGCCGCAGTAGCTCGCCGACGGGTTGATCGGGTCTGTGTCGTCGCGAAGGGTCAGTCGGTCTCGCTTTCTGCAGAGACGGACAGGGGGAGAGGGTGAGCGTACCGGGCTGGCAGATGGCGTCGGCGGAGATGTCGCCCTGGGCGTCGGCGTCGACGGCCCACGCGGCGCACGACTGGGCGCCGTTGACGCCGGCGCACGGGAAGTCGCCGATGGCGTGGACGGTGGTCGCAGCCGCGAGGAGGACGGTGGCGAGCGAGAGGATGCGGGCGGACATGGTGGGCGACGAGGTGCGGAAGGTCCGAGGAGGGAAAGGTTGAGTGAAGATGGGGAGGGACGGAGGAGGGTCGCTGGTCTGGTTGGCTTCGACGAGTGACGGGGATGGATAGAGTGGATGGTGCGGCTCGGTGCTGTGTGCGTGCGTTGTCTGCTTGCAGCAAAGAGGTGCGAGGTGCGAGGAGGAGCGATGTTCAAGAGGGAAAGAGGCGAACGAGCCCGCCGCGCCGACGAGGCCGACGCGCGCCTCGCCTCGACAGGATCACTCAACTTGTTCGACCGGCCCTCGATCTCGCTGTGCTCCTCGCTCGATCCTGCACTCCCTGCGCAGCTCCTCGAACTGCGCACTCTCGAGAGAAGTCGACCGCCGACGACCAGCTCGCTCGTTCGCGCGCACTGCGCACCGACCCACTCCGCCCGGCGCTTCCTCCTCGACTCGAGCGGCGAGCAGCGAGGCCGACCCCTTCGAGCTCAGCGCTTGCCCTCTCCGCAATGACACGTCGCTCAAGAACGAGCGCGCTTGGCGAGCGCCGGCTCAATTCACCGCTCGGCCCGCCTTTGTTCTTCTCCGCTTCGACACGAGCTCGTCGCCCGCTCGCTCGCCGCCGTCGCTCTCGTCTCGTAGACACTGCTCGCATCTGCGCTCCCACTCTCGCTCGCCGCTCGTGCGCTTGAGAAAGGGTCGTGACGGCTGAGAATACAAAGTGAGGGCACAGAGAGAGAGTGTGAGGGAGAGAGAGGGGCGGGCACAGGTCTAAACGACGTCCACCGCTCAAGAGAGAGAAAGGGGGAGATAGAGAGAAGGCAGGCCGAGCGACGAGGACGGGCTCACTGCCCCTGCTGCGACGGTGCCGAAAAGTAGCCGTGGTGAAGGGCCGAGGTGCAGTCGAGGCGCCGTGCCGGGTCGAATTGGAGGAGCTTGTCGAGAAGGTCGAGCGCTGTAGGGTCGTACGAGAGAGCGTGAGCTCGTGAGGCGTCGAGAGAAGGAGGACGAGGCGGGACAGACCGAGAGGAGTCGCCTTGGGGTACAGCGACGCCCAGGGGATTCGGGGCATGCGCGGGAACGGGCGCAGCTGGACCTCGGGCTGTAGGAGACATGGCGAGTCAGTGTGACGACTCGGCGACGACGAGAAGGAGAAGGACAGGGGAGAGGCGGACGCACACTCTCTGACGCGATCCTCCTCAGGGTCGCCTCGTCGGGGGTGCCGAGGATGCGGATGATCTGGTTCAGCTGGTCGTTGTTGTCGCGTCCACGGAACAGGGGCACGCCCGAGATCATCCTGCACGGCGAGAGGACGCGAGGGGCGAGGTCAGGGCGAGAGCTCGAGGACCGAGTCGACGAGGAAGAGGAAGAGAGGGACGCACTCGGCCATGATGCAGCCCGCGCTCCACACGTCGATGCTCGTCGAGTAGGTGCGCGACCCGAGGAGGACGTCGGGTGCGCGGTACCACAGCGTGACGACCTCGTTCGAGAACGTGTTGACCGGGATGCCGAACGCGCGCGCGAGGCCAAAGTCGGCCAGCTTGAGCTCGCCCTTCTTGTTGATGAGGAGGTTCTGCGGCTTGAGGTCGCGATGCAGGACGCGGTTGTCGTGGCAGAAGGCCGTGCCCTTGAGGAGCTGCCACATGAAGGACCGGACGACGGCCGGCTCGAGCGCGCCTCGCTCACCGTGCGAGTCCATGTACTTCTTGAGGTCAAGGTCCATGTACTCAAAGACGAGCATGAGCTTCGACTCGGTGTGGATGACGTCGTACAGGCGGACAATGTTGGGGTGCTTGAGCTCCTTCATGAGGCTGATCTCGCGGATGGCGGTCGACGGCGTGCCCTCCTCGGCGTCGAGGTGAATCTCCTTGAGCGCGACGAGCTCGTTGGTGATCCTTGACCGGCCCTGTTTGCGGTAGTCAAAAGGCAGTCGAGGACGGTTGCGCAGGTCGAGGGCGGCACGAGTGGAGGAGGGAGGAAGAGCGGGAGGTGGTCGGGGCAAGGGTCAGGGCGAGTGCCGCAGAGGCTGGAAGAGAGGGCAGGCTGGACGCACCTTGTGCACCGTGGCATACTGCAGGAGGGCACATGCGAGGGTCAGCAACGCTCGAGAACCCGATCAAACGTGCCGTAGAGAGCAGGCTCACCGTGCCCTCGCCGAGCTTCTCGAGCTGGATGTAGCTGTGTCGGGGGAGGCTTGTCAGCTGTGCGCAGACGGTCCAGAGAGACGGGCTGGACTCACTTCATGTCGAGTCGAGAGGTCGCTCAGTGATGAGGTGGGGCGGGCGACGAGGCGGCGGTACGGCGACAGGCGGAGCTGGGACTGGCTGCGCTGTGCTTGGACGAGCACTGGCGGGAGCTTGTCGGCGAGCTCGAGCTGCTCGAGGGCGAGGCGAGCGAGGTGCAGAAGCTGTGTGAGCTTTCGAGGCTTCCCTCTTCCCCGCGCGCAACTCTGCCCGTCGAGCGCATTGTTCGCCGAGACGAGCAAGGGCTCTGCAGCGCGACTGTGTAGCCTCGACTCTGCGCCGCCCTGTTACCGCTCGCTGTCCACTCGCTCTGCTCCTCTTGTACCTCCTCGACTCGGCTTCAAACTCTCTCGGTGACGACGAGCGATGAGAGGCTGAGAAAGCGACTTGAGCTGCAGGCGACAAAGGAGTGGGACAGAAAGAAGGGGGGAAAGCTACGGGCGAAAGACGAGGGCGAGCGGCGGGACGCTCGAGGAAGGAGGAGAGGGTTCTCGACACGGGGGGGAAGCAGGTAGGACCGGCGACGACAAGCTGAACCAGGGCCTGCGAGGGTACGGCGGGCGAGAGTGTCAGTGGCTGGACTCAGGAGAGAAGAGAGAGGGCGAGAGGGAGAAAAGGGAAGACGCACCTCCTCGAGAGGCCTCCCTCCCTGCCGAGCGCTCTCCCTCGACCCTCTACATCCACCACGCCGCCGGCGGGCGCCTCGCGTCAAGTCGCCGCGGAACGCGTCGCGGCCGTTCTCGGTCGAGGCGAGGATCTGCTGCGCGCCGACGAGGTCCGCGCGCCTCGTCGACGCCGACGCCGCCGCCGCCGTGCCGGTCGACGAGCCGGCGTCCGAGCTGTCGCCGATGATCCACGAGCGGACCTGCGCGGCGATGAGGTCGGCGTAGCTGTGGGTGTGGCGAGAATTGCCGAGGAGGCAGAAGGGCAACGGCGGGGAGGAGAGGGAGGGCGAGGAAGAGTTGGTCAGTGCGGTTCTCGACATGGGGCTGTCGGCCTGTGCGTCGCGCCGAGCCGATGGTCGAGGGAAGAGAGAAAGGGGACGAGTCGATGGTGGCGCGACGAGATGGCGAGATGGCGTGGCGGGCGGGCCTGGGCAAGTCGGCGGGCTTGGAGGGAGAGGGGACGAGGAGAAGGGGACGCACAAGACAGGGGCGACGACGCTGACGGCGCGGTTGCAGCGCTGGAAGGAATGCGAGAGTGCATGGACCGTCGCCTGCAACTCGTCGGGCCTGCGGGCGAGGACGGTACGGGTGAGCTTCCGTCCTCGAGGAAGGGGAGGAAGAGCCAGAGGGAGACGACGGCTCACGACATGCCCACCTCGTCGACGAGGCACGTGTACCGGGTCGCGCGCGTCGTACCGATAAGCGCCGAGTGCGAGGCGGCGTAGAAGTCGGCGGCTGCAGGTGCGGCGAGAGGAAGAAGGTAAAAACGGGTCAGGACCTCGTCGCCAGAGGCGCCGACGCAGTAGAGAGGGACAGAGGGGAGGAGAGCTGACCATGCGGGTCGACGACGTCGCGGTCGAGGACCGTGCCGGGAAGGATGTTGCTCGTGTTGCGAGGGTCGCTCGCGTTCGGGACGAACGCCCGGATCGAGTGACGCTTGAGGGCAGCGACGAAGACGATCTGTGAGAAGGAACGAGGCGAGGGTCAGGCGCAGGACGAGGGCGAGGAAGTGGAACGACTCGGCGCACCTTGGGGTTCCACGCCCGCAGTTCCTCCTTGCCGCCCTGGCCGCGGGCCTTCTCGAGGACGCTCTCGAGCTCCTTGTCGGCCTTGATGATGCGGCACGCCTCCTTGAACGCGGGAACCTCTGTAGACGCACGAGAGGTGGGTCAGATCGGCCGACGAGAGGACCGAGAAGGAGGAGCAGACGACGCACCGTACGACAGGACGCTCTGGAACTCGGACTCGCTCACGCCGTCCCTGAAGACAAGAAGCGATTTGGCGGCGCCTGCCGAAGCGAGAGGACGCGACGCCTCAAGAGAGTCTGCGGGCGACGACGGCAGAGTCAGTACGCGCTCGAGGGGAGGAAGCGAGGCGGGTAGGACGCACCGTCGCCATCTTGCACGTGTCGACGACGATCTCCTGCTTGCGGGCCCTCCCTGCGAGACGGAAGAGGTCAGTCGAGGCCGAGACGAGGGACGAGGGACGAGGGACGAGGAGAGGAGGGACGAGGAGAGGAGGGACGAGGAGAGGGGAGGAGGGGCAAGGGACGAGGGACGAGGAGAGGAGGGACGGCGTCGACGGACCGAGCGGGTTGCCCTGAGGCGGCTCGGCCAGGCCCTGGATGGAACACGTCTCCTCCATGACGATCGCCGCGCCGTGCATCGAGGCAACCATGGCGGCGACCGAGGGCTTGTCGATCTCGTGCGACAGGTCGATGCCGAACAGCATGGGCGCGTGCGTCTCGATCCACCCGCCGAGCGTGTTGCGCTCGAGCCGGAAGGCGTAGCCGTGCAGCTTCGAGTTGAGCTTCATGGCGACGCTGTCGTTGGGGGACAGGTGAGCGACCGTGGCAGGAGAGGAAGAGGCACGAGAGGACGAGGCACGACGCACTTGACGGCGACCTGGACGCTCAGCTTGGCGATGAGCTTGCTCTGGAGGGCCTGCGAGGCGATCCCGCGGCGCGTGCACTCGTACTTGAACGACGGGTAGTCCTCCGAGTTGGCCTGGGTGAAGACCCTGCGTCGTGGGAGAGGGAGAGGGAGAGGGAGGTCAGTGAGGCTCGTCGAGTCGAGGGGAGAAGGCGAGGTCCGAGCGAGAGGTGGGCGCACCACACGATGAGGTCGGGGCACCTCCCAAAGATCTCGTCGCCCTCGTTCATGGCGCGCAGGACCTCGTCCGCGACAGTGCGGCGGTTGCGGACGAGGACGACCCGGTCGAGGACGCCCTGGCGCAGGTTGGGGAAGCCCGAGAGGTCGATACCTGCGAGGAGGGAACCGAGTCAGGCGTGCGCTCAAGGGTCCACCGTCGGGCGCCGCAGACGCAGAGAGAGATGGACGCACCGAGCGCGCGCATCTTGGGGAGGAGCTCCTCGAAAAAGGTGACTGCCGCCCTCCTGTCCCTCTCCGACTCGACGATGACCATGATCGAGCTCAGCTTGCCGCTCGCGACGAACGTCTGGGCGAACGACCCTTGCGCGAACTGCATCATCCACGCCGAGTCGACGGGCGTGACCGACGTGAACCGCGACCGGTCGGGGCCGGCCTTGTACTCGATGCGCGGCGGCGGCAGGATCCGGCCGACCGTCTCCTTCGGGTCGGGGTCGAGGCTCAGGCCGAAGATGGTCATGCTGCGCGAGAGCGTCGAGTCAGTGAGCTCGTCGAGGTTGAACTGAGAGGGACAAGAGAGAATCGCAGGACGTACAACGGCTCGGACACCCTCGCGACGATGTTCTTGCGGGCCGCCATGATGGCGCCAAACTTCTCCGCCGGCCTGCAAAGGGACGAGGGAGGGGATGAGCAGGGTCGCTCGACGATATCGAGGGAGAGACAGCTCTGCCGTCGAAGGGGACGGAGAGGTGGACGCACACGAGCGTCTGGAAGGACGAGGCGAGGTTCTGCTCTTGCGGCGACAGGCGCTTGGCGTACTTGTTACCCTGTATGCGCGACGAGACGAGTGTCAGTCGGGCTCACTAAGTCGACGAGGGGCCAGGACGAGGGAAGGTCGATGACGCACCTCGACGAGCCGGACGAGCTCGAGCGGGTAGAGCGCGCCGGGCTTAACCTCGACGAGAGGCCAGTCCGGGTTGCGCAGGCGGACCTTGAACTTGTCGGCAAAGTACTGCTCGACGCTGAGAGGCCCGTTCTCGGTCTCGAACAGGTGGTCGCGCGGCGCCTTGTTGACGATGCCCGCGCCGCGAATCTTGATCTTGAGGGCCGGGACGGTGCTGCCGCGGTCGGCGACGACGATGAGCTTTTGCAGGAGCCGGTTGACCTTGATGAGGTCGCTGCCGGCGAGCGAGCCGACGCGAGGGAACCCGGGCGGCTCGCGCGAGCCCTTGGCGAGGAAGAAGCCGCGCAGGAAGGCGCTCAGGTCGCCCGCCTTGTAGAACGCCGTCGAAGTTGTGTTCAGGTTCATCAAGAGCCCGCCTGCGCACGCGCGCACCGACCTGTTGCGGGAGGAGTCAGTTGGGAAGGCGCAGGACGAGAAGGGCGGCGAGGGGACAGAGGTGGCGACGCACTCGAAGTAGCCGCCTGTCGACGACAAGGAGAGAGAGTCAGTACGTCGCGCTTGATGAGAGAGTAACGAGGAGAGAGAAAGAGTGCGACGCACGCCAGAGTTCGACAAAGTCGGGAGCGACCGTGACGCTCTTCTTCTCGACGCCAAGCATGTTGAGGCTCGTCGCGGCCTCGTCGCCGACAAAGAAGGCCGTCCTCGTCGCGTAGAACAGGGACGCCGGCTTGTGGCCGATGACAACGTTGAGCGCCTGCATCGCCTCGGACAGCTCGCCGACGTTGTACGTGGCGCCGGGCCCGCCCGTGAAGTACGAGCGGACCGAGACGAGCGGGATATTGACGCCATTGTGGATGACGATCGTGAAGGTCTGGCCCGGGCGGTCGGGCGCGGCGTACTTGGGAATCTGCAGCGGGACAAGGAGGTTCAGAGGGGAAAATTCGGAGAGAGAGGTCGAGCAGGACGGACCCAGATGCGGCCCTTGTCCATCTTGAGGGTGCGCGACGTGTAGAGCGCGTTGCGGCCGTCGTACGCGGGCTGGACGCCGTCGAGGTAGTTCGACCGGCCGGCCTTCTCGTTCTCCTCGAGGCTCGACCACACGGCGCGCAGGACCGACTTGGGCGGCGGACCGCGAGGAGGAGGCACCGAGCCGTCGGCGCGAGGGCGAGCGTTGACCGTGATGACGATCTGCGAGGGCAAGAAGGCCGTTGGTCAGGGCCGCGCGAGACGAGCGGGCACGAGCGAGTCGTCGACGCACCTCGTACTTGTACCACGTCGTCTGGTTGTCGGACAGCTTGAGGTCGAACGTGTTGGTGACGAGCTTGACAGCACCGCCGGCGCTGGAGGAAGGAGGGTTGGTCAGTCTCGAGGCTGCACGAGGACTCGAGGCGAAAGGACAGGAGACGTACGAGCCATACGCCCGCCTCGCGACCGGCTCGGGGACGAGCGCGCCCGTCTGCTTCGCCGGGAGAGCCGGTACCGCGTTAGGGAGCGGCACGAAGACGGGCGGCAGTGCCCGGCCGTTGCGGCCGCCGCCTCCTCCTCCACCGCCGCTCCCGCCGCGCCCGCCGCCGCCGTACCCGCCGCGACCGCCGCCGGGTCCACCGCGTCCGCCGCGTCCACCTCCACCGTAGCCGCCGTTGTGCCCGCCCGACGGCCCGCCGCTCAAAGAGCCGCCGCCGTTGTGCCCTCCTCCTCCTCCGCCGCCGCCGTGGTGGCCGCCGCGCTGCGCGCCCCACCCTCCTCCTCCTCCTCCGCCGTGCCCGCCCTGCGAGCCACGGTCGTACCCGCCGTGCTGCGCGTGCCCGTACTGCCCGCCGCCGCCGTACTGCTGCTGCTGCGGCGGCCCGCCCTGTCCGTCGCGGCTCGACCCGCCGCCGCCGCCGTAGCCGTGCGAGTAGCCGCCGTTGCTGTGCCCGGGCGGTGCGCCGTAGTGCTGGCCGGCAGGAGGAGGAGGAGGCGGGCGGGCGGGTCCGCCGCTCGGTGGTGGGTACCGAGGCGGGGACGAAGCGCGGTTGTCGTGGCTCGGGTGGTGGTTGCTGAAGCTGTAGCCGCCGTTCGAGTGGCTGCGGTGGCGGTCGCTCATGCTGAGCGCCGGCTCGGGAGGCGGGCGAGGAGGGAGAGGGGGGAGTTGATGGAGGGGATCTGATGGAGGCGGAGGGGCGGGGAAGTCGACGGGGAGCGGGTGTGGGAGGGCGAGTAGTTGTGGAGCGGGTGCTGTCGGAGTGCGAGAGCAGGTGTACACTATCGGTGGGTGCACTCGAGGTGAGGTGAGGTAGCGAGACGAGGAAAAGCCGAGCGACCAGCTCGTCACACCAACTTCCCGACCGACGGACGAATGTCAATGTTCGTCACTCTCAGAAAGCTCGACTGAGCTGCCCGGCTACGAGGCCCGCCTCTCTGGAGTCTATCGCCGTCGTACGAGCTGCCAAAGCGAGCTGCCGCCGGAGCACTCGTCGATGCTCTTGCTCGACCGGCTTTCGACGCGTCTCGCTCTCGCTGCACCTGCTCCGAGCAAAGCGCTTTCGGGCCAGACGCGATCAAGAGACGGCGAGGGAGACCGGAGCCCAACAGCAAGCTGGTCACGCCCCTGTGAGAGGAGGGAAGGGCGCGCGACACGGCGGCCCGACCGCGCAAAGCAGCTGTCGCCCGGCCACGACGCTCTCGCTCGACGGGCGGGCAAGAAGCTCAAGCTCGATCATCGTTGCACCTCTGCCCGCTCCTGCGCTACTCCCGCACCGGCCACAGCGGCGCAATCGTCCAGCGCGGCCCCATGTCCTCGGGCCCGACCTTCTTGAACTCGCGCTTCTCGCCGGCCGACTCGCTCGGGCTGCGGCCCGGGCGGCACAGGATGAACTCGGACGTGACGATCGACGAGGTGTCGACGGGCTGGAGGTGCATCGTCGAGACGAGGCGGTGGAACCGCTGCGCGGCGTCGGGCGGGACGGGCGGCACGTCGCGGAAGACGAGGTGAAGTGCCGCGATGGGTGCGTCTGCGGGCTCGGGCAGGACAGGAGGGATGTAGACGGGCTTTTGTCGGCTCGGGAATGGCGATTCTGGTGGCGCTGTTTGGGTCGCATTCGACGTACTGCCAGAACGGGCCGTCCTTGTCCAGGTACGCGCTCAAGGGAAACATGAGGGGCTGCGCTAGGCGAAAGCACCATAGAAGGTACATCGAGTTCTGTAGAGTGAGCGAGTCAATTAACGTGGGACAGGGAGATAGAAAGGAGGGGCGAGCGACGCACAAGGTAACGGTTCATGAGGAGGCCATCCTGGACATTTCCAGGCGGGAAATCCGAACATGCGGCCACCGTGTCGTTCCAGCTCAAGTCCTCGGCCTTGAGACCCTGTCCTTTGAAGCAGCTGCACGTGTAGTGCTCGACGTGCTCCACCTCGGCCTCGCGCAACTCGAGGTCGACGACATTGTGCCGCACGACGCCCCAGATCTCGAGCGGAATCTGCTCGATCGCCGACTGCGACATGTCCTGCGACGGGGCCACGACGAGCTTGCCCTTGAGCTTGCGAAGCGCGACGAGGTCGATGAACGCGAACGGCCCTTGAAGCCTCGGCCAGGCGGCGACGGCGTACAGGAGCGACTCGGTCGTGACCGTGATGCCGTAGGCGAGGAAGGCGTTCGACTCTGTCATGATGAGCGGGCGAGCCAAAGGCGAGAGCGAGGGCGAGGAGAGAGAAGGCGCAGAGGGCGAGTCGGAGAAGGGCGGGGACGAGGGGGAGCGAGCACGAGTTGGCCGCAGCTGCGGGATGTGAGGGTGGGTCAGCCGGTGCACGTACATCTCCAGAGTGGAGTGAGAGTGTGCGCACCTGCTTCAGGGAGCCGAGGAGACGAGGACGACCAAGTTCCTTCGACGCGAACTGATGACGACGACAGGTCCACAGCGGCTCTAAGCGGTTGGCGCGAGGCTGCACGGGCTCTTGAGCGACCCAGCTAGGCACAGAAGCAAGCTCGAGCACGTAGACGTAGAGAGTGCGAGTGAAGAGTGAGAGAGTCGAGCGAGGCCGGGCGGCGTGCGGCCGAGAGAGCAAGCGGTCGACCTCCTCGCACCTTGCTTCGACCGCTCTCGTAGCTGCACCGACTCGCTCAAGCCCCTCTGCCCGACGCTGTTCGAGACCTGCGCGAAGAAAGCCGCTCTCTGTCCCTCCTCGACACCTCGCCCGCGAGCACCTCCGTCTCGCTCGTCTCGCGCGCTCGCACACGCCCTCGATCGCTGCAGCGCGACCTGCGAGTGCATTGCGCGAACCTGTGCTGCTGCGGGTGCTGTACAACAGAAGAGCCTTCCCCTCCTCGGCCCTTGCCCTCGAACCGCCTCGAAACCGCCCGCTCGTCTGCCCACCCACCTCGCCTCACTCGTCGTCCGAGTCCTCGTCGCCTGCGCGGTCGACGAGTCAGTCTTGAGAGCACGGGAAAGGGAGAGAGAGAGAGAAAGAGAGGAAGAGAGAGGGAGAGCGAGGACGCACCCGACACCTCCTTGTTCTCGCGCGCGACGCGGTCCATGAGGGCCGCGAGCTCGAGGTCGTCCGTCTCGCTGACGGCCTTGGGCTTCATCTTGACGTTGAGGTGACCGCCCTCCTCGCGGCGGATGACGTCGCCAATGCGCTCGATGGCCATCTCGAGGCGCTCGACCGCGCCCTGCTTGTCGGTCGTGTTGGACACCATGACGTACAGCGGCGGGGCGACGAGCCGGATCTTGATCGGGATGTCGTCGGTTGAGAGCGACTCGCCCGCGGCGAGCGCCTCCTGGATCGTGAGGATGCCGTTGTAGCTAAAGTTGGTCACCTCGAGGTCGGCGCGCACCTTGACCGGTTGCGGCGTGAGGCGCTTGGCAATGTTGGTGCGCAGCTCGGCAAAGACGTCTTCGGGGATGTCGAGGCCGGCAAAGACCGTGTCGGGCTCGCTATGGGGGCGCGGGCGGGAGAGTGTCAGTTGGCGTGTCCAGGGGGCGCATGCGAGAGGGGAGAGGTGGCGAGGAAGGAGAGGGAGGACTGGGACGAGAGGGAGAGACGAAGAGAGGGTGGCCACGGGAGGGAGGGAGGGAGGGAGAGAAGGAGAAGGACGAGAGAGAGAGAGAGCGAGAGGAGGACGGACGTGATCGAGAGCTTGAAGGCGTCGTACGCGTGGCCGTACTTTTTAAAGAGGGGCCACGCGACGATCGAGTTGACCTCGTCCATGTCCTTGTTGGTGCGCTCTGCGACGTGGCGCATGATGGTGTGGACCGTCTTTGACTTGTTGTAGCGCTCCTCGCACTTGATGACGTCCTCGGGCGAGACGCGGCGCTTGGACAGGTCGATGTAGCCCTTTTCCTTGTCGACGCGCATGACGACGACGACCTCGTTGCGGCCGACGCGGATGAGCTTCTGGATCGAGCGGATGCGGCGGCGCGACAGCTCGGAGAGGAGGATCATGCCCTCGATGTTGTCGTACTCGAGCTGCGGGCGGGGGTTCAGGTGTCAGGGATGGGCGTGTGTGCGACTGAGAGTGGACTGGAGAGTAAAAGGGGACGGACGAGCTTGACGTAGGCGCCCATTTCCTGGATCTGCTTGACCTGGACCATGACCACATCCTCGACCTGGGAGAGAGCGGGTGAGGGGAGGGTGAGTTGACGTGAGGACGTGATGAGGTGCAAGGGAGAGAGTGCGCACCTCGGGGAACCTGGCAGGGGGGAGAGAGGGGGTGAACTCGGGTGAGCGCGATGAAAGGGGAGGGAGAGGAGGGAGGAGGGCCAGTTTTGCCCAGCGAGGGGCGGGGCGAGTGGGACGAAGAGGGGAAGGGGCTCACCGTTGCTCGTAGTAGCGCATCGTGAACCTAGTTGTGCTCTGGCGGGTACAGGTCGGGCGAGGCGAGGACGAGCCACCTTTCGACTCAGCGCGACGACGACGATTCAGAGACGAGCGACCGACCACGCCCCTCTCTCCAACGACGTCAAGGACCACCATGGCCAGCTCGGAAGGACTCAAGGTCGCACTGTCAGTCCCCACGAACTCGTCCCCCTCTCCCGCGAGCCACTCCTCACCTCCCTCTCCCCCCCTCCTCCTCCTCCACCCTACACCTCGGACCCCCCGACAGCCACCCGCTCGCCATCCTCCAGCAGAGCGACCACTGGACCCGCGTCTCCCTCCAGTCCCGCGGCACCGCAACCCGCGGTCCGTCCCCCCTTCTACCTCCCTCCTCCTCCTCCTCCTCACGGCTCACCCCCCCACCTCGCACCGCGCAGTCACCGGCGCCCTCCTCGGCACCCAGTCGGGCCGCGACGTCGAGATCTTCAACTCGTTCGAGCTCGTCGTCAACACAGACCCGGACTCGGGCAAGCTCCAGCTCGACCACGCCTACTTTGACACGCGCCGCGACCAGTGTCCGTCCTCCTCTCTCTCTCCCTCTCATCACGCCACACAGCCTCACCCCTCGACCCCACACAGTCAAGCAGGTGTTCCCGACCCTCGACTTTCTCGGGTGGTATAGCGTCGGCCACGCTCCCTCGCCCGACGACACGGCCCTCCACAAGCAGGTCCGTCCCTCCCTCTCTCCCTCTCTCTCTCGCACGTTCCACATTCTCTGACCCGCTCCGATCGCAACAGTTCTTCGTCTACAACGAGTCGCCCCTCTTCCTCCAGTTCTCGCCCCCGTCCTCGTCCACCTCGTCCTCGTCGTCGCCCGCGTCCAAGGACCTCCCCGTCGCCATCTACGAGTCGGTGATCGAGCTCGTCGACGACGCGCCCGAGCCCGTCTTTGTCCCCTGCGCGTACGAAATCGTGACGGGCGAGGCCGAGCGCGTCGCGGTCGAGGGCGTCAGCAGGCCTGAGGAGGGGACCGAGGGCGGCGCGGGGGGCAGCTGTGCGTCGCTCGCTTTCTCTCGCTCCTTTCCCTCTCTTTCTCTTCGTTCTCCCCTCCTCTCTCCTGTCTCCCTCTCTTCGGCTCGCCTCCTCCTCGCCTCGCCCCTCTCTCCCTCTCCCTTCTCCCTCGCCTCCCTCCTCCTCACCCCTCCCTTGTCCCTCGCCCCACTCGAGCTTACTAACCCCTCACCCCCTGCGCCGCCCACAGTGATCCTCACCCTCACGACCCAGCGCGCGGCCCTCGCCATGCTCGCCGACCGCATCGCCGTCGTCGTGCGCTACCTCGAGGCCGTTACGCGCGGCGAGGCGCGCGCCGACAACGAGACGATGAGGGGGATCGCGGCCCTGCTCGGGAGCTTGCTTGCGAGCGGCGAGGGCGAGGGGGAGCGCGCGGGCGAGGGAGCGGGAGCGGGAGCGGGAGAGGGAGAGGGGCGCAGGGGCGAGGGCGAGGTGAGGAAGGAGGGCCTCAGGGGCGAGTTCATGACGGTGCGTCGCGGCTCTCTCTCTGCGCTTCACTCGCCTCCCTTTACCTTTTACAGGAGGAAAGCACTGACCGCTCGAGGACAACGCGTCGCCCACGCAGGAGTACAACGACGTCCTCCTCACGACCTACCTCGCGACCCTTACCAAGCAGCTCCAGACGGCCAACAATGTGCGTCCTCTCTCTCCCTCGCGCGCTTTCTCTCTCTGTCTCTCCCTCTCCCTCCCTGTGCCCTCAAGGCGTCCTCGGCCTCGCCCCCTCGCCTCCCTCCACCCCCTCCCACTCCCACTCACTGACCCCCTCCCTCCCCTCTCGCCCGCCCCACAGCTCCTCGACAAGCAGCTCCTCGTCGTCCAGTCGTCGAGCAACACCAACACCACCGGCGGCGACCCCCGCGCTGGTGGTGGCGGCAAGGACGGCGGCGGCAACTCGCGCGACCCGTTCGGGTTCGGGTTCGGCGGCGCCGGCGGCGGTGGGCGCTCGGCGCGCAGGAGCGGGAGGCACGTCGAGTCGTTTGCCTGAGTCGAGTCGGCGCCGTCGACACGTCCGCTTTTGTCCCCCCTCCCGTATTGTCCCCCCTCCTCGACTCGTTCCTTTGCACGGACCTTGTTCTTTGTACCTAGTCTGCCTGCCTCCCTTCGCACCCTCGCCTCGCACCCACTCGTCGTTCCTCGCTTTCGTCGCCCCTCTCTCTCTCTCTGCACCCCTCTCCTCGTTCTGTACCCCTTCCCTCCCTCGCCTTGAATTCCCCCGCTTGAACCTGCAATCGCACCCTTCCTCGTTTCCTCCTCCCGACACACACACACTCTCTCTCTCTTGGGCACTCGCTCTCTCGCACTCTGCTGCACGCTCTCTCGCACGACCGAGAAAGAAAAGAAAGGAACCGCAGAGAAATCTCACTGCAAGCAAGGCCCGCTCGGTCCTCGCGCCCACCCCGGACCCGGACCCGGACCCGCACGTACGCTCACGCCCTCACGCCCTCCTCGCAAACGGGCTCGCCCTCCCACCCGCGCCGCCCATGCTCGCCCCCAGCCTCGCCGGCGTCCCGTGCGGCCCACCACCGCCCGCGCCGGCCGTCGCGTTGACGCGCCCCTGGACGCCCGCGACGCGCGCTTCGAGGTCGCGCACGGCGCGGCGCAGCTGGTCGGTCGAGCCCTCGATCCAGTTGAGGCTCCCGAGGTGCGCGTTGAGGATGCTTGCAATCTGGGCGAGCGGGTCCTCCGACTGGCCGCCCTGGCCCGGGCGCTGCGCGTTGTCGCCGCCCGAGGAGGACGAGGTGGCCTGGTGGTGGTGGTGCGAGAACGAGGGCGAGAGGGCGTTGAGCGTCTGGATGAGGCTCGTGAGCGATCCCGAGGTCGAGTCGAGCGAGCTCGAGAGGTGCGCCGCGAGTTTGTACGCCCCCTCGCGCTCCTTCTCGGCGCTGCTCCCTCCCGCGCCCGCGCCGCCGACGCCCGCACCGGCGGCGCCGCCGTGCACGCCGCGCGACGACGCATTGGCGCCGAGCGCGCTCTGGTCGACGAGATCCGGGAGCTGGGCCTCGTACGCGTCGAGGACGTGGGCGAGCTCGGCCTGCTGCTGCTCGATGTAGTCGAGCGACGACGTGACCGAGCTCTGCAGCGGCGACAGCGGCAGGACCGACTGGTACAGGGCCGAGATCTGCGTGCGGTGCGCGAAGGCCAAAGGTCAGGATGCCTTTGTACGAGAAAGGGGCGACGACCAGAGAGAGAGGACGTTGCGCGGGACGCACCTGCTCGCCATTCTCGCGCAAGACGCGGTCCCACTCTCTCACCTCGCCGGCGACGTCGCCAAAGTCCCTCGCGCGCTCGTCGAGCTCGGCGCTCCACGCGTTGACAATCTCGTCGAGCGTCTTGCCGCGCAGGAGCGACGGCGTCGGCGCCGCGGGAGGCGGCGCCGTCGACGAGCCCGCCGCCGGGGTGGTGGTGGCGCCCGGGGCCGTCGTGGTCGAGGCCGGGGCGCCGAGGCTAAAGGAAGGGGCGGACGCGGGCGTCGAGGTCGGCGGCTTGGGGGCGCCGAACGTGAGCGCCGACGAGGTGGCGGGCGCGGTGCTAGCGGCGGGAGCAGCGGGCTTGGGCGCGCCGAACGAGAGCGCGGGAGCGGCCGATGCGGCGGGCGCGGCAGTCGACGCGGCGGCGGTCGAGGTGGACGTCGCTGCGGGCGCGGCGGCGGGCGCGCCGAACGAGAACGACGGGGCCGACGCGGCTGGTGCTGCAAAGGGGGGCGCACGAAGGGAGACTCAGGTTGGGGCTGAGGGTGGACGAGGACAGGGCGAGGGCAAGCTCACCAGGAGCCGAGGTCGAAGTCGAGCTGGTCGGGGCCGCAGGAGGCTTGGCGCCGAAGAGGTTGAGCGGCGCGGCAGGCGCAGCTGTCGTGGGCCAAGAGCGTCAGTCTCTCTCCTCGAGTGAGAGGCTAGGCAGATAAAGAGGGCTGGGACGGACCGGCCGGGGTCGTCGAGGCGGCGTTGTCGGCCGGCTTGGCGCCGAACAGGTTGAGCGGCGCGGCAGGCGCAGCTGCGGCGGCGGGCTTGGGCGCGCCGCCGAAGAGCGAGGAAGCCGCCGAGGCCGTACCTGCGGGCGGGAGGGAGTGTCAGTGGGCTTGGAGGCGGGAGGACGAGAGAGAAAGGCGGAAGAGGGAGCGCACCGGCAGCTGGAGCAGTCGACGTCTCTGCGGGCTTGGCGCCGAACAGCGATCCACCAGCAGTCGCACCGGCGCCGAACAGGGGCTTGGGCGCCTCGGCCGGCTTGGGCGCCGCCGCCGCCGCGCCGCCGAACAGGTTCGTCGGCGGCGGAGCAGCGGCCGGGGTCGACGACGCCGGCGCCGCCGACGAGGCAGCAGGCGCGCCAAAGCTAAACGTGGGCTTCTTGGCCTGGCCGCCGTCGCCCGCCTGCGCCGGCTCGGCCTCGCGCTTGCTGCCAAACAGGCCGCCGCCGGTCGTCGCGCCGGCGCCGAACAGGGACGGGGCCGGGCCGGGCGTGCCCGCCGGCGTGGTCGTGCTGCCCGCCGCTGGTGCGCCGAAGAGGCCGCCTGCGGGTGCTGCGGGCGGCTTGGCGGGCGTCGAGAAGAGGCTGCCGGCGGCGGCGGCGGGCGCGGCGGGGGTGGACGAGGCGGGTGCGCCGAACGAGAAGTTCGGGGCGGACGAGGCGGCGGGCTTGGGGGCTGCGGCTGCGGCTGCTCCGCTGCCGAACGAGAAGGTCGGTGCGGCGCTCGCGGTCGGTGCGGCGGATGCGGGCTGGCCAAAGAGTCCACCGGCGGCGGGAGGAGGAGCAGAGGCGGCCGGGGCGCCAAAGAGGCCCGTTGGGGCGGACGCTCCGGGTGCGCTGGTTGATGTCGAGGCTGCAGTCACACGGCACCTTGTCAGCTGCGCTCGTGGGCGAGGGCGAGGGCGAGACGAGGCGAGGGGAGCGGACCTGGGGGTGCTCCGAACGAGAAGCCGCCCGCTGGCGCGCCAAAGCTGAACGCTGCAAGGGGGTGGACGTGGTCAGTCAGGGGGCCTCGATGACCAGGACAGGCGACTCACACATGGTCGTGAGGGTGGAAGAAGGAAGAGGGCCGCAGAGTCGACCAACTCCTCATCGTCGTTCGGCCCTCACGGTCTCCCTCTCGCTCCAAGCTGGCTATGGACCCCACAGAGACCCTCGCTCAGACTATTGCTCGTCTCCTGCCAAACGGCCTCGGCGCACGAGGCGACGAGGAGCGAAACCCGGTCACCTTCCCCGACCGCTCGCTCCACGTCCTCGTCGCCCTCAGCGGCAGCGTCGCCTCGATAAAGACTCCGCTCATCGTCCGACGACTCCTCGAGGTGCGCCCTCGTCCTCTTTCCAACCCCTCACCGTGCGTTGACACCTGCTCCTCCTCCTCGCGCAGCACGACCAAGTCGACGTCCAGGTCGTCGCAACAAAGGGCGCAACCCACTTCTTCGACGCTCAAGAGCTCGAGGCAGAGCATGGCGGCAAGGTCAAGGTCTGGACCGACCAGGACGAGTGGGCCGTGCGTCGCACCGCTTTCCTCTGTCCCTCCTTCCTCCCTCGACGAGCCCTGACTCGCCCCGCTGCACGTCTGCAGGGCTGGCAAAAGGTTGGTGATCCCGTGCTGCACATCGAGGTGCGTCTCTCGGTCCCCTCTCTGCGCCAAGTCGCCTCCTCCTCGGGCGCGCGAGCCTCACCTGTCCTCCCTTCCCCGCCGCAGCTGCGACGGTGGGCCGACGTCGTCCTCGTCGCGCCCTGTTCGGCCAACACGCTCGCCAAGATCACCCACGGCATCTGCGACAACATCCTCGTGCGCCCCACTGCTCCCTCACGTGACGCCACGAGCGAGCCTAACTCGTTCTCGGTCCTCGCGCGCGCGCAGACCTCGTTCCTGCGCGCCCTACCGACCTTCGTCCCCGTGCACCTCTTCCCCGCCATGAACACGCACATGTTTGCGCACCCGCTCACGGCCAAGCAGCTCGCCGTCGTGCGGGACGAGCTCGGGTACAACGTCCACGGCCCGATCGGCAAGAAGCTCGCGTGCGGCGACATTGGTGCGTCCTCTCTCTCACTCTCACTCTCTACCCTTGTCCTCATGCATAAGAGCACTGTACTCACGAGCTTAGACTACAGGGATCGGCGCCATGACCGAGTGGAGCGACATCGTCCAGCTCGTCGTCGACGAGTACGGGCTCGACCGGCGGGAACTGTGAGTCGGCGAGTCGAGCTTTGCCTGAGCGCCGCCGGTTGTTGTACTCTCTCCTGCATTCAGACCGTTCTCGCGACGTCTGTTGAGTCTGCTCGAGAGGTGGCTCGTCCGCTCGTCGTGAGAGGCTCGCTCGCTCTCTCTCGCTCGGACCGCTCGCTCTCGGTGCGCCTCTCGGCGAGAGCAAGGATCAATGATGCGGTGCAGGTGCGGATGCGAGTGATGCAAGAGCGACGTCTCTAAACCCGGCTCCTCACGACACGCTCGACCAACTCGCGCTGCTTGTCCTCGAGCCCGCCCTTGCCCCTCGGGACCCTTCCGGCACGGAACGCGCCGAGGAGCACGCGGCGCTCCCACTCGACGAGGTCGAGCTCGCCGCGGTCGCCGACGACGTTCTTGACGGCGCGAGGGAGCCGCTGGTGGAACGCCAAGAGGTTGGCGTCCTGCGCGAGCGCTGGCCCCTTGGCCTCGGCGCCCTCTTGCTGCTCAGGTGCCGCTCCGCCGTCACCGTTCAGCCCGACCGCCGCCGCCGCGTCGCCGTTGACCTTGTGCGCAGGCGGTACGGGCACGCGCTTCTTGGGCGCCTTGCCGGCGCCGCCGGCGCCCTTGACGAGCTCGCAAAGCTCGAGGCCCTGGAGCCGCTCGATCTCGTCGAGCGAGACGCCGGCCGAGGCGTAGTACCGCCCGAGGAGCGACTGGGCAAATTCGGTGGGCCCGCTCGGGAGGATGGCGCAGCGGCGCTCGAGCTCGTCGACGACCGAGTCGGCGAGGCGCGACAGGAGGTCCTCGAACGACGACGACGACGAGGACGAGGACGAGGTGGCGAGGTCGGGGAGGTAGAACGAGGGGTTGGCGTCGAGGCGGCGGGCGGCGAGCGTCCACGAGAGGAGGTCGACGAGGTCCTGGCGGTCCTGGATGCGGCCGTCGACGATGTCGCCGAACACGGTCGCGGCGAGGAGCGGGTCGAGCGGGAGCGCCGACTCGAGGACGACGCCGTGCTGCAGGTACTTGTCGTACAGCTCGCTCTGGTCCTTCTGACACAGGACGAGGAACTCGGCGCTCGACTCGGGCGAGGGAGGGACGGCGAGCGACTGCATCTGCAGCACCTCGGGCATGCCGTAGTCCTGGATCTCGCGCTCCTCCTGCCCGTCGTCACCCGTGCGCAGCGCGACGTACTGCGCGCTCATGAGCACGACGAGGCTCGCGCGCACGGGCAGCGTCCAGCACGCCTCGCGCGACGCGACGAGGACCCGCACGACGCCCGACCCGAACAGCTCGAGCGCGAGGCGCTGCTCGGCGGCGGGCAGGCCCTCGTGGAAGACGGCGATGCCGTGCGTCAGGGCCTCGGCGAGGTCCGGGTCCGTCACCGTCTCGGCGTACGTCGACACCGTCTCGAGCGCGCCGTCGGCGACGAACGAGCTCTCGAGGTCGCCCGCCGACTGCGTGACGAGGTCCTTGGCCGTCGCGCGGCACTGCGACCTCGACGGGACGAACGCGATCGTGCCGCCCGACGCCGTGCGCATCGCGTCGTACGCCGGCTTGACCATCTGGCGCAGGAGCGCAAACGAGTGCGGCGACGAGAACGGCTGCAGGTTGGTCGTGAGCGCCGACGTGCGCGTGCCGGGCGAGAACGAGTACGTCGCGTGCTCGGGCACGTCGAGCCACTCGGCGAGGCTCGTCGCGTCGGCGAGCGACGCGCTCGAGCCGACGATGCGCACGCCCGGGTAGGCCCACCGCAGGCGCGCGAGGACGAGCTCGTACGCCGGGTCAAGCGCGTGCAGGTCGTGTGCGACGACGAGGTCGAGGCTCGAGAATGGGCTCGGCTCGCGGCGGAGCCGACGAAGGAGCGGGTTCGGGGACGAGACGCCGATGGCGGGCGAGGCCGAGACGACGCTGTCGGCGTCGGCGTCGCGCGTGACGAGGTAGACGGGGATCGAGGAGGTGCGGGTGAAAGCCTGCTTGAGGCGGAAGGTGACCTGGCGCGCGAGAGCCTTGCGCGGCGTGAGGAAGAGAACGCGCGACGACGGCTTGATGCCGAAAGTGCGCCTGCGAGAGAAACGACGTCAGTGACGCTTGAGTCGAGGACAAGAGAGAGTGGACGCACCACATGGCGAGCTCGAGGAGGGTGCCACGGCTCGGGGCGGACGGCGAGCACAGGAGGACGTTGCTCGACGAGTGGAAGACCGTGTGGAACGCCTGCGTCTGCGCCGGGTCGAGCGTCGGCGTCTCGTGGCCGTACAGGTCGCGCAAGTGCGGCTGCTTGCCGAGGGCGTCGCCGGTCGCGACGAGAGGAAGGTCGAGGAGCGGGAGATGCGGCGGCGCGACGGGCGGGAGGACGAGCCCGTCCAGGTCGACGTAATGCTCCTCCTCGGCGCCGATCCAGCGGTCCGAGATGGCGCGCACGCACAGCGACTTGGGCGCCTTGGCGACAGGGATGGTGAACGTGAGGTGGATCGTCGTCGAGTGCGGCCGCACGAGCGTGCGCGCGAGCTGAAGGATCGACAGGTTCTCGTCGTCCTCGACCCAGACCCAGAACGCCTCAAGCGACCCGTGCTGCTTCTCGGACCACTCGAACGTCTTGCGCAGCTCGATCCGGACCCGGAGGAGGTCGTGCGCGAGAGGTTGCAGCGTCGCCGAGATGGCGAGCGACGGGAACTGGCGGGCGGCGGCGACGGCAAAGCTGCCGAGGCGGGCGTTCTGGTGGACGAGGGCGCCAAAGTCGGCGTCGGACATGACGGCGATGTCGGTGATCGGGATGTCGTCGGCCCAGCGCTCGATGTTGTACAGGAGGTCGGGCGGCAGGCTGAACTGGGCCAACGGGTGGCTGAACGGCCACATGCGCTCTGCGAGGGGTTCAACGAGTCAGACACGGACCAGGGAGGAAGAGAGAGGTGGAGGTCGCCGAGGAGAGAGAGACAGAGGTGGACGTACTCTCGATCGACTTGCTCATGTTGAGGAGCGTGAGCGTGACGGGCGCCCACCGCTTGGCCATGGCGATCTCGAGGAGCGCGCGCACGATGCGGCCGGCGTTCTGCGCGACGTAGCCCGTGTCGGACACGAGCGCAAAGTCCTCGATGTAGGCGCGCGAGATGTAGGCCTGGAGGAGGACGTTGACCTTGCCGCCGCTCGTGTCGGTCCCGCCGCGCACCTGGCACGGGCACGACGTCTCGATGAGCTTCTTGAGCTCCTCGACCTCGTTCTCGCGGACCTGGATCTGGGCAAACTCGACGCTCGCCGCGATGAGGGCGAGGACGTCGGCCTCGCTCATGCGGGGCCTGAACATCTTGTTGAAGATCTCGATGGACGCGTCGCGGATGTAGTACCGTGCGGCGATGCGGCCGAGGTCGGTCGGCGTGAACGTGCCCAGGTCCGGGTCGTGCTTGATCATCTGGACCTCGACGAGGCGCTTCGCGGCCGTGTTGATGAGCGCGAGGCGCTTGCTGCCGAGGAGCGGGTCCTGCTCGACCTCGGCGGCCACCATGCCGTACAGGAGCGGGTTCTTGCGCATGCGCACGAACAGGTACGAGTAGCCGAGCCACCGCACGCCCTCGTCCATGTTGGTGACGGTGCCGAGGCTGATCTCGGCGTTGAGCGAGTCGACGAGGCCGGCGATGAACCTGCGAATGGAAAGAGAGGGTCAGTGTCGTGCACGACGAGCGAGTAGGGAGGACGTCGACGGACTTGGACTCGATCGGATGCTGCTGCGTGATGGTCGAGACTGTGCGCCGGCGAGGACGAGGTCAGAGCCGGTCCCGACGAGCGAGAGACGCACGAGACGCACCGTAGTGGTCGAGCTTGTCGCTCGTCGTGCAGATGTAGCCGACACCTTGGTCCTCGTACTGCGGGCGACCGGCGCGACCAAAAATCTGGAGGACGTCGAGGATGCTCAGGTCGACAAAGGCGCCCTTGCCGGCGTCGTACACCTGCGTGCCCTTGATGACGACAGCGTAGGCGGGCAAGTTGACGCCCCACGCGAGGGTGGCCGTGCAGCACAGGACCTGGGAGGAGGAGGAGGGAGGTCTGGGTCAGGAACGAGGTCTCGACGACGGCGACGCGAGAGAGTTGAGAGGGCGAGGGGCGCACCTTGGTGACGTTGTTCTCAAACATGCGCTCCGAGATGTTGCGGTCCGAGCGGAGCATGCCGGCGTGGTGGATGCCGAACCCGCTCGCGGCGAGCTCCTTCATCTCGCGGTTGCGGCTCCCGGCGAGGTCGCGCTGGAACCCTTGCCACTTGCCGCTCGTGTCGTCGCCGACGTTCGGGTCGAGCAGGTCGATGATGCCCTCGGCCATGGCCTTCTCGCGCAAGGTCTGGGCCGTCTTGACCGTGTCCTTGCGAGCGTGGACAAACACCATGCACTGGTGGCCGTCCTTGACGAGCTGGGCGACCTTGTCGAACGCGGCCTGGTCGAGATTGGTGCGCGACTGCATCGAGCCCGGCTTGCCCTTGACGCCGACAAAGTGCTGCTCGAGCGGGACCGGGCGGAACGACGAGTCGAAGAAGAAGAGGCCGGTGTGCCGGTTGACACCGAGAAAGTCGGCGACGTCGACGTAGTTGGGCAAGGTGGCCGACAGGCCGACGATGCGGATGAGGCTCTGCATGCTCTCGACCTGGCGCTGGGTGCGGGCGACGATCGACTCGATGACGGCGCCTCGGTCCTCGTGCAGGAGATGGACCTCATCGATGATGAGGAGCTTGACCTTCTGCTCAACATGCGGGTAGTCAGTACAGTGTCCTCAAGGGGGACGAGAAGGGGCAAGGCGAGGAAAGAGGGGGACGCACCTCGGCCACGTCACCATCGCCGCTCCCGGCGCCCTTGCGCGTCACGACGTCCCACTTCTCCGGCGTCGTGACGATGACGCCCGTCTCGTCGACCTCCTTGCGCGTGAGCTTCATGTCGCCCGTCAACTCGCGCACCCGGACGCCGGCCCACGCGAGCCGCTTGGCGAACTTTTGCGTCACCTCGGCGGCGAGCGCCTTGAGCGGCGCGACGTAGACGATCTTGTAGGACGAGGCAGGAGGAAGGGAGGGAGGTGCCGAGAGCGAGGTGAGGGGTTGCGAGGCGAGTTGCGACAGGCAGCGCAGGATGGTGAGGAGGGCGACGTCGGTTTTGCCCTGCGCGCTCGATGATACGTGAGTAGGTCACTCAGACGGCTTGAGGGAGGTGACGGAGGACGTACGGCACCGGTCGGCGCGCACACGAGCATGTTCTCGTTCGACTTGTAGCCGACAGGGAAGACGATCGACTGCAGCCGATTGAGCGTCTTGTACGCCTGCGAGCGAGGAGGCCCGACGTGCGAGAGGGTCAGTGAGTGTTACACGCGTCAAGGCGAGAGGAGAGAGGAGGCTGCGACGCACGTGGAAGGTGCGCTTGCCCCAGGGATCCATGTCCGAGATCGGCACGAGCTTCTCGTTGAAGCGGAAAGGCACGGCTTTTGGTGCCGGGATCGTGATCTCCTCGTAGTACTGCGCACGATGAGAGCGGTGAGCAGGATGCTCGAGTAAAGGCGCAAGACCGGCGCGCGCGAAAGAAGGAAACGAGGGACGCACCTCCATGATGTCCCGGGTCGTACCGACGGGCATGGCGAGCTTCTGGCCGGCGAGACCCAGGCCCGAGTTCTTGGCCGAGATGTAGACGTTCGGGTACTGCGGTGCGTCCTCGACGGCGGCCTGCGAGATGAACGAGCGTCAATTTGACCCGATCACACACTTGCGCGGGCGACAGAGGGCCTGTCGCCCCGCTAAGAGATGAAGAGGACGAGTCGACGCACCCTTTTGCCCGACACGAGCGCGCCCGGGCCCCTCGCGAGCTGCTCCTCCCTGATCCTCAACCACTCCTCGACGTCCGGCTCGCCGTCTGCGCCGTCTGCCCGGCCCTTGCCCTTGTCCCGCTTGGCCGCCTTGCGCGCCTGCTTGGCCGCCTGGACCTCCTCGGCCGTCGCGAACGTGAGCTGCGACCCGGGGACGTAGTCGCGCGCGTGCGGCGCCGACGAGAGGTGCGCCGACTGCTCGGCGCTGCGGCGCTCGACGTGCTCGGCGAGTGCGCCCGCCTCGGCGACGATGTCGGCGCGGCGCTTGACGGCTTCTGCGATGTCGTCCAGGCCGTCGAAGCCCCAGATGTCGAGTAGGTCGTCCTGGATCTCGGCGTCGGATCGAGCGCTCTGGAGGACCTGGAGGGCGAACGCGGCGCGGTCGTGGTCCTTGAGCGACGAGTGTAGCCATGCGACAGCGCTCGTGCTTGTGCTCGGGCTCGTGCTCGAGTGGGACGCAGGCGGTGCGGCCGAGGCGGTCGAGGTGGACGGGGTCGGCGGCGAGAGGAGGGTGGGGAGAGGGTCGCGGTCGAGGTTGGCGAGTGGGGCAGGTGCCTGGGCGACCGAGAGGGGTGCGTTGGGCGGCAGGAGGTCCCGCACGAGCTTGAGAGCCTCGTCGACGCCGTGTCGACTCGATGAGGTCGACGAGGATGATGAGGCGAGTGCGGTGTACAGGGCGTGAGCCGCCGAGCCGGGCGCATGGCTCGCCATTTTTGCCGCGAGCTCTGTGAGCAGCTCTGTGCTGTCAAGCGGCTAGTCGGTGTAGCGGCTGAGGAGCGAGAGCGAGGTGATGTCGTCGCCGTCGAGTCGACCTCTCTCTCTCCGCCTGATCGAGTCCTTTCCACTCGCACTGGGCAGTCGTTCAGGGGCTTGCGCAGCCTTTGTGCTGCCTGGGCTCAGGCTCTCCTTTCTCCTGTGCAACAAGGCCGCGTCGCCGCTCTACTTTCGACGCTCGCATTCTCATCAACGAGCCGCTCTCGAAGCTCGCGCCAACTCGCACGACCGAATCTGAGAGAGGGAACGACCGAGAGACGGCGTGCATTGCGAATAAGAGTACGAGGAAGAGGCGGTGGAGGCGAGAGAGAGGCGAGCGCGCAAAGGTGCCGGCGCGACGGGCGGCGACGAGTTGCGCGGGTGCGCGTCAGGCGGTGGCGACGTCGGCAACGGCGGTTGTCGAGGACGCAGGAGGAGGGACGGGCGAATCGGGCGGGTACGTCGAGGTCGACAGGCGGATCTCGGGGACGGCGCTCGGGAGGTGCTCGCCCGAGGCGGCGTAGAAGTCGCGGTGGACCGTGCAGGCGTGGCGAAGCTGCGTAGAGAAGAGGTGTCAGTCGTCATCGTACAGGCAGGAAGGGAGGAGAGGAGCGGAAGAAAGGCGAGGAAAGGCGAGGGAGAGAGGACCGAGCGACGCACCATCTCGCTCCAGCATAGAGAGCTGCTCTTGACGCCGTCCGAGGCGGCGGGCGCTGCGACGCCGCAGCCGTGGCACTCGAAGACAGGGCCGAGCGCCTCGAGCTCGGCGACGCTCGAGCGGTGGTTGGGCAGGCCGGCGCGCTCGAGGACGTCGAGCTGCTGCTGAATGAACTGGACCGACGGCGTCTCGAGCTGACCGTCGTCGACCGCCTCTGGGCGTGAGCCGTACTTGTCGAGCATGGGCACGATGTCGGGGAACGGGACGAGCGTCGCCTGCCCGCTCGAGCCGACGTGGACGAAGGTCGCGACCGCCTGCGACAAGAGCGCGTCGAGCTCGAGCTCGTCGACGCCGTCGGCCTTGTCGCCAAGGTCGAGGAAGCCGACAGGCCCGTCCATGTACATGCGGCTGAAGTGGCGGTGGACCCGTTCATAGTCGCCAAAGTCGGTCTCGTCGAAGAGGGCGCCGGTCGGCTTGAGCGGCCGCTTGGACGCCTTGAGCGCGTCGGCGAGGCTGCTGTCGGTCAGGGCGCCGGCCTTGACGAGCGGCTCGACAACGCGACGCGCGTAGGCGACCTTGAGGACCCGGCGCGCCGTGGCGAGGTCGGCGAGGATGGACGGGAGGGCGGCCTGCCACTGCTCGTCCGACACGACGTCGCCCTCGGGCAGCCACAGGGGTTCGACGCTCGGCAAAAGGCGGAAGTTGGACCACGACGGGACCGACAGGCGGATCTCGTCGGCGCCGGTCGAGCGCAAGACCGAGTAACGGGGCTTGAGCGCGTCGTGACGACGCCAGATGCGCCAAACGCGCTCGCGGTCGAGGCGGTCGACACGATGTCCCTCGGCGAGCATGTGGATGCGCGCCAAGAGGGGTTGCAAGTCTGCGAGGGAGGGAGAGACGGCCGGGTCAGGGCGCTTGGACATCTGCGGCGGTCGCTGGAGCTGACTTGCCCTCGTCGCTGAGCAGCACGGGAAGCGTCGGCTCCCTGATGAGCTCGAGGATGGGCGAGCCGCGACGAATGATCATGCTGCGCCGTGTCGAGGGGTCAGGAGATGTCTCAAAGAAGGAGAGAAGGCGAGGACGTACTCGGCGTCGTCGACGTAACGGGGGACAAGCACCCGCCTGACACTGCGGCGAGATGATTCAGTTCGGTTTCGAAAGAGTCCGAACGGCAGGGAGAGGCACGCACAAGTCCTTGCGGTACCGCAGTTGATCGGCGGCGACAAGAGCCGCCTCGCGAGCTAAAGGCGTGGCGCCGTCCCACTTGACGAGTGCCGCGGCATCCTGTCGACGCCTGGTCAGGTCAAGGATTTTCTGCAAGGTGAGAGGGAGGACTAGGGAACGCACCTCCTGCACTTGGTCGGGGAGATGCCGGCACTCGACCACATGCTTCTCGACCAGGCTGAGCGCGGTCGGGTCGGCCCACATGATCTCGCGCATCGGCCGCGGTGCTGCACGAGGCATGCCGAGCGCGAGCTCGGCGTGCAACTTGTCGTCCTCGGCCTCGAGCTTGAACAGGTGGTCGCTCACGGCGCGCAGTTGCGCGACGCAGTAGTAGGCTGCGGCACGGCGACGTGAGTTTCGCGTGCGCAGAGAGAAGAGAAAAAGGGAGGTGGACGCACCGCTGCCGACGATGCGGTTCTTGCCCGAGTGGAAGGTCAAGAAGCTGCAGGCCGGGGCGAGGCGGTGCAACTTCAGACGCTGTAGATCGGTCTCGCGCACGAGGCTGTGGGCGCAAAGGCGCGTCAGTGAGACGAAAGAGGCACGACGAGAACCCGGGGAGCGGGCGAGGACGCACTTGGCGCGCTCGCAGGACTGCAGGACGGCGACGGGTCAGTGTTCGGGCTCGCAAGAGAGGTGTGGGGGAGGAGGACGCACCTTGCACCAGCGGATCCGGAGCGCATAGTCGACGATGACGGCCCGACCACGGCCGCACAGGTGGCAGTTGCGGTCGAACACGAGCGACGCGAGCTGCATCTCGGAGAGGTCGGTCGCCTCGAGCTCGGGAAAGTCGACGTTGCGGCGGACGGCGGCCCAGATCGGGGCGGCAGAACGACGGGCGAACAGGTTGTGCATGAGCTTGTTGGTGCGCGACATGGCGAGGAGCGTCGGCGGGTCGGTGTGCTGAGCGACCTCGACGAGGAGGTCGAGCGGCATGGCGAGGAACGTCGACAGCTTGCCCTTCTTGCCCTTGACCCTCGCGGTGCCCTTGGCCTTGGTCGCGGTCGTGCTTATGCGGCGCTTCTTGGCGGCAAGCTGCGCGTCGTGCTGGTCGTCGTCTGCGGGCAGAGGGAGGGAGGGAGGGGTCAGGAGGTGGTCGCTGAACCAGGGACTGGGGTTGGGCGCACCTTGCGCGTGCGTGTTGTCCTTATCGCCGTCGCCCTTGTCACGCTTGCTCGCCTGGAAGAGGCTGTTGCTCGAGCCGGCGTCCTCCCGCTCGTGGTCGTCGCGCTCGCGCTCAGGGCGAGCGAGCGCGTCGGCAGTGTCGCGGGTAGCGTCGGTTGTCGCTCGCAGCTGATGCGAGGCCATAGCAGCTGCTCGCTCGCTGGAGCGGAGTGTCGGTGAGAGCTCGAGGAGGAGCCGGCTCTGACGAGGAGAGGCGTCGAGGTTGGTGACCGGCGACACGCTCCCTCAGCAGCTGCGGCTAGGCTAGAGCGCTCCAGAGCTTCTGTGCTGTGCCCTTGAGCTTTTGCGCGCCGGCGCTGCGCCTCTCTGGCGAGCGAGCGCCCCTGTCGCCTCCTGTCGCATCCTCATCAGCGGACCGCGTCGTCCTCGTCGCACACACTCTCTGGACCGTTGCGCGCGTGTGCACTGAGCTCTGAGCAGTGCTCGAGGGACCTGTGCCGCGCGACCGTCAACTTTGCGCGAGCCCGTGGCTGGCTCGCCTCTGCTTCTCCTCGTCCCTCTCCTCGCACCCGGTCGACCGGCCTGCGCTTGCCCGGCTGGCTCTCTCTCTCTCGCCCGGATCGACGAGCTACGCGATTGGGGGCGATCCCCTGAGGCGCGCGGGTGAGGCTGACGGACCAAGTCCGCGGGGATGAGCCGACACCGAGGAGCTTGGGTCGGGAGGCGACGACGAGGGCCAGCGTCGGGCGCCCGCCTCTCTCCCTCCTTCCTCTCACTCTTCCTCACTCTCCCTCACTCGAGCCATGGTCAACTCGCTCGCCCTCGTCCTCGCCTCTCTCGCCCTCGGCCTCGTGTCGACCGTGACGGCAGCTCCCGTCGTCGCTCAAGGTGAGCCCTCTCGTCCTCCCACAAACATCTCTCTCTCTACCGTCGCCTGACCTTCCCCTCTCGCATGCAGAGCACCCCGACGCCGACCTCGCCAAGCGCTCGCCCGACCTGCTCTGGGGCCTCGACGGTGCGTCCCTCTCCCTCTCGTCCTCTTCGACCAACGCTGACCGAGCCTCGTCTCTCCCACTCGCAGACCTCGACTACGGCTACTACGGCTGGCGCGGCGGGTGGAAGAGGGACCTCGACGGCCACCCGAACGCCGAGGGCCTCGTCAAGCGCGACTCGTTCCCGGTCGAGGAGCGTGACGGTGCGTCCCACTCTCTTCCTCGTTCTCTCCCTTACCCGTCCCTGACTCTCTCCCTTGCCTCTCGCAGTGCACCCGGCCGAGCTCGAGAAGCGCCAGTTCGGTCCGTCCCTCTCTCCTCCTCGGCGACCTTCTCAATCGCGAGCTGACCCGTCCCCTCACGCGTTCACAGGTGGCTACGGCGGCGGCTACGGCGGCTACGGATACGGCCGCTCGAGCTACAGCTCGGGCTACTACGGCGCGGTCGGCGGCGGCTACTCGAGCGGCTACTCGTCGCGCGGCGGCGGCGGCCGTCTCGTCGGCGGCGGCTTCTACAAGCGCGACCTCGACCAGGCGACGACCGACGACCTCGTCAAGCGCTCCGACTCGCCCGACCTCGAGGCGCGCGCCGTCGAGCCTGTCGAGGCCGCAGCCGAGCCCGCCAACGCCGCCGTCGCCGAGCCGGTCGATGCTGCCGCTCAGCCTGCCGAGGCCTACCGTGCGTCCTCGCCCGCTCTCTCTCTCTCCTTCGCACCTCGACTGACCGTAACTCTCGCCTCGCAGCCTACTACGGTGCGTCCGCTCCCCTCCTCCTCCTCTCGTTTCGCCGTACTGACGGCTCTCGCCCACCTCCTCGCTCTCGCAGGCTACCGCCCGTGGCGTTACCGCCCGTACCGCCCGTACCGCCCCTACCGCTACGGCTGGTAGACGAGCCAGCTCTCGCGCGTGCGTCCCCTTCTCCGTCCCTCCCCTGTCTCTTTCTTCCGACCTCACTGACTCGCTCTCGACGGCGCTCGCAGGCCATCTTCTCCCGACCACCTCTCTCCCACTCTCTTTCTCTCCCCCTCGTCGTGTAGCTTGACCTTTCGACCGCGGACTGTCGCCCTCGTCGTTCCCCTCCTTCCCTCCTTTTGTGCTCTCCCTTCCCTCGTGCGGTAGCCCCCTCTCGCGCGCTGCAACAGACGTTCGCTTTGCCCGATCGTCGCGCTCTCGAGAGGTGCAGCTGCTCAGACGAGAGCCAGCGAGAGTGACAAAAACGCGAGAGCAGGAGAGTGCACAGCTTGGGGGCGCCTGCACGAGCCGAGAGCTTGCCCGCGCTCGCTCTTCTCTTCCTCTCTGAGCGGGACGTTGAGACGAGAGCAAGAAGGTGCGACGATGCAGGAGAGGGGGAAGCTACGGCAGAGGGAGGGAGAGGAGGGAGGGAAGAAGGGGCCAAAGCGTCGAGGAGAGCCTGCGGACGAGGAAGCTCGTCAGTACGAGGGGCATCGAGAGGCAGAGAGAGAGAGACGACGCACCGAGAGAGAGTCACCGCCGTCCACCTCAAGCCCTCGCCCTCGCCGCCGCAGTCGGACCCGCCCCTTGCCCCCCTCCCACCGCAGCCCCAGCCGTCGCCGCGCCTCCCTCGCCGCCCGAGTCCGGCCCCGTCGGCTGCGCGTTGCCGACAAAGGCCGCCGTGTCGATCGGGAGCGCGCCCATCTTGTCCGACAGGTCGGGCAGGTCGATGCCGAGCGCGGCGAGGTCGGACGGGTTGGCCGACGACGAGTCGCTCGAGGTCGACGAGCACGAGTTGCTGCGGCGCAGTGAGGTTGGTGAGCTCCGTGGGTGCTGAAGGAGAGGAGAGAGAGAGAGGGGCGCACCCGTTGCGGTCGCGGTTGTCCTTGTCGTAGCCTGACGATGAGGAGGGAGAGAGGGGTCAGTGCGTCGGTGACGAGGGTGAGGGAGACGCGAGCGCACCGTTGCGGTCATAGCCCTGGGCGTTGTAGCCGTCCCTGTCGAACCCTGCGTGGCACGAGAGAGCGTCAGGGCTGACCGAGAGGGAACGGACCCGCTCGCCGAGAGAGAGAGAGAGAGAGAAGGAGGACGGACCGAGCGCGTTGAAGCCGTCCTTGTTCCTGCCGGCGAGGTTGTAGCCCTGCGAGTCGTAGCCGTCCTTGTCGAGCGCGTACGTGCCGTTGAGCTTGCCCGCCTTGTCGAGGCCTGCGGACGAGTGCGACGAGAGGTCAGGTTGCTCGACGGCGAGGAAGGTCAGGAAGGGGCCGAGAGACGCACCGTCGCGGTTCAGGCCTTGCACATTGAAGCCTGTGAAACGCTCAAGGAACGCCAAATCAAGTCCAACTCACACAGGGTTGGACTCGCGCTAGACGAGCGACAAGAGGACTCACCGTTTCTGCCAAAGCCGTCCTGGTCGAGGCCGTCGCCGTCGTACCCTGTCGTCGCGAATCAGTCAGTGTCTCGCTCGTAGAAAGGTGCGAGAGAGAGAGAGAGAGCGAGGACGCACCGGCACGGTCGCGGCCGTCGGCAGCAAACCCGTCGCCGTCGTACGAGACGCAGCCGCTCGAGTCGGCGGGCGAGGTCGACAAGGACGAGGCCGAGGCGCCGGCGCCGTCGTCGGCGGCTTGCGGGAACGGCGCGGCGAGGACCGAGAGCGAGAGGGCGAAGAAGAGGGTCGTGAGGAGGCAGCGGCGCATCTGCGAGGGAGGGTCGGAAGAGGTCAGTGCGGTGCCCCCGTGACGACGCCGAGCGACGATACGGACCTCGTCGGTGGATCTAGAGTACGAGGTAAAGGAGAGAGGGAGAGAGGAAGAGGGACGTACCGAGTTGAGCTGCTCCGAGGCCGGCGACTGCGCACGGCCACGAGACGATCGAGAGCAGGTGCGGCTCGGACCTCGACAGCTGCCCGGTCGACGTCGCAGCGAGGTATGCGACGACTTGGCGAGGGCAGGGGCCCACCTCCGAGACGGCTTGCGAGGAGCGAGAGGGAAGAGAGGTCGAGAGGGAGGAAGGAGAGGCGGACGAGGAGGCGCAAGAGACGACGCTGCAGCGAGGACGCCGACGACGAGACAACAAGCGTCCATTGCAGTCCCTCGCAAGCTACACTACCTCCGCGTCCCGGCCATCGTGACGAGCTTCCAACTCGGCTTGAGCCGGTCGAACGCGACCTTGCGGAAGTGGCGGCGCCCGTCGGGGTAGCGCGCGCTCGCGTGCTTCTCGGCGGCTCTCGTCCCTGCATGCGCGACAATGCCGTCCGTGACCTCGACGAGCTGGAGGTGCAGGGCCGAGACGAGGCGGGCGAAGCGCTGCTTGGCGTTCGACGGGACCGCGAACGAGACGTCGACGATTTCCTGGCCGTCGGGGTCGGGCGGGTCGCCGAGGCTCGCGTGCACGGACAGGCTGCTTGCCCCGGCGTTGGACGAGTCTGGCAGCGAGATCCACGTCGCCGAGTCGGGGTCCGACACGAGCGGCCAGGTGACGCCGAGGATGTCGGTCGACCAGAGGGGGGTCGGCGTCGGAAGTGCGAGTCCGAAAATGGAGAGAAGCTGTACGACGGCCTGTACGAAGGGAAGTAGGTCAGGGCTGTGTGCGCCGCGACGCAAGTCGAGGAGCGGGCACGCACTGCTTGACGAGCCGCGTTGCGCAAACCGTCAAACCCGACCCACAGCTGGCAGTCGACCTCGTTCACGAGCGAGGTCCAGGTGTGGGCCAAGGCCGAGATGCCGAACTTGACGCAGCTCGGGCACAGCATGCTCGCGACGTGCGCGTCTCGGCCGCGCGCAGCTCGAGGTCGACGAGCTTGTGCCGCACGACGTTCCACACCTCAATCGGCACCAGCTCGACTGCCGAGCGGGGTGCGCCCCTCGCGTTGGTCGCGACGAGCGTGCCCTTGTGCTTGCGGTGTGCGACGAGGTCGAGGAACGCGAACGGGCCTTGCAGCCTCGGCCACGCGGCGACGGCGTACAGGAGCGACTCGGTCGTGACCGTGATGCCGTAGGCCAGGTACGCGTTCGACTCTGTCATGATGAGCGGGCGAAGCAAAGACGAGAGCGAGGGCGAGGAAGGAGGAAGTGCGAGAGGGCGACTTGAAGAAGGGCGGGGACACCAGGGAGCGAGCACGAGTTGGCGGCAGCTGCGGGCTGTAGGGGAGGGTCGGCCGGTGCACGTGCATCTACAGAGTGCAGTGAGAGTGTGCGGACCTGCTACAGCGAGCCGAGGAGGGGAGGACGACCAAGTTCCTTCGAGGCGAACTGATGACGACGACAGGTCCACAGGGGCTTTGGGCGGTGGATGCGAGGCTGCACGGGCTCTTGAGCGTCACAGGTAGGCACAGGAGCGAGCTCGAGCACGTCGAGAGTGCGAGCGAAGGAGGAGGGAGTCGACCAAGGTCGCGCGCCGGACTCGCCCTCGCGGCCGAGAGAGAAGCGGTCGACCTCCTCGCATCTGTCTTCGACCGCTCTCGTAGCCGTGCCGACTCACGCAGACAGCTCTCGCAGATCGCTCGCAGTCGTCACGCAGAGAAAAAAAGATGCAGCTCGCGCCCGCTACACCTCCTTGCACTTGCTGAGCAAGTCCCTCTCCCACTCGAGCCACCCGTCGGCATCGCGCCCCTCGACCTCGGTCCCGCTCTTCTTGGCCTCGTCCTGCGCCTCGAGCGCCGCCTCGAGCAGGGTCCACTCGACGCACCCGCCCGTGAACGTGTCGAGCTCGACGGGCCCGGGCGCGGGCTCGTTCGCGCCGTCTGCTGCTGCTGCTCCTGCTGCCGCCGCACCCGCCTCGCCGTCCGCCTTGACGCCCTCTGCGCCCTCAACCGCTCCCTCGACCGCCGCCTTCTTTCCGCCCTCGCCCGCGCTCAGCACCGTGCTCGCCTCTGGCGGGTCGAGCACAAACTCGCCCTGGCGCGTGCGCGTGAGCTTGACGACGTGGGCGGCCGAGCCGAGCGCGAGGCCGAGGTCGTGCACGATCGAGCGGACGTAGGTGCCGGACGAGACGGTCATCTTGATCTCGAAGATGGGCGGGCGGGCTGCGCGGTGGGTGGGGGAGGACGAGGTCAGTGAGGGGAGGGAGAGGGAGGGGGGAGAGGGGGGCGCACCTGTCGGCTCGGTGGATGTGGGCGCAGGTTCAGACGCGGCGGCGACCTCGTCCTCGGCGGGCACCTCTGTCCTGCCCTCCTTGACCATCTTCTCGAGCCGCTCGAGCTCCTTCCTCGCCGGCTCGTCGAGCTCGTCCTCGGGGTACGCGTAGTCGTGCTCGGCGCCGTCGACGAACCGGACGAGCTCGAGCGAGAAGACGGTGACCTTGCGCGGCGGGATCGGGCGCGGCAACGGCGTGTTGGTGCGCGCGTACTCGTACAGGGGCTTGCCGTCCATTTTGAGGGCCGAGTAGCTGCGCGCACGTGCTCGTCGTCAGTAGACGTACGAGGAGGAGGGAAAACGAGAGCATCGGACGCACATGGGCGGCGTCTGCTCGATCTCGCCGCGGAAGCGTGCGAGCGCGTCCTCGACCGACTGGCGGTTGACGCCGTCCCAGGCGCAGGTGCGCACGCGCTTGCCCTGCGAGTCGTAGCTGTCGGTCGAGCACCCGACGAGGCCGATGGCGCGGTACTCCTTTGTGCAGTCGAGGAAGCGCGACAGCGACTTGGTCGCCGCGTTGGTGCCGACGACTGCGGGCGCGTGCGGGTCGGGTGAGCGTGTGGACGCGTCGAGAGAGAGGAAGGGACGGACGGACCGAGGACGCCGTCTGCGAGCGGGTCGAGGGTGCCGCCCTGGCCCATCTTGACCTTGTCGTCCCTGCGGCCGCGCCCTCCTCGTCGCCCTCCTCGGCCGCCGCGCTTGCCCGAGTCGTCTTGTTGGGGCTTGTTGGGGTCACGGAAGAGGGCCGAGGCGGAGAAGAGAGGCTGGAGGCGGTTGAGGAGCTGCCGGGGGTTGAACGAGAGAAGTGAGCTGACAGGGCGGAGCGGGACGAGGAGGAGAAGGGGGACGGACCGTCATCGAGGGGATGCCGGTAGGTTTGTTGAGCGCAAAGAGTGCGCTCAAGGGCGTCTTGGCAGCTTTGGGCATGGCTGCGGCGGTGGTCGCTGTTCGGGAGCTCGAGGATGAGACGGAGAGAGGAGCGACGACGACGACGACGAGAGCCACCATCTCCCACCTCACCTGGCACCAGCTGCCACCTGCGAGACTCAAGCGACACGCACCCACGATGCAGACGCTCCGAGACAAGCAGCTCGAGCACCTCACGGCCTTGCTCCACCTCAACTCGCCCCCACCGACCACCACCACCTCATCAGCGTCCCACTCGTCCTCGCTCCCGACCTGGAAGACGCTCGTCCTCGACAAGGCCGGCACCGACATCCTCTCGACCTCCCTCACCGTACCCGCTCTCCGCGAGGCCGGCATCACCCTCCACCAGTGCGTGTCCCCCTCCCCCCCCCCCCTTCGACGCGTCGCCGTCCCCACACCGAGGGACCCGCACGGCCCACACAGTCACTGACCAACCACGCACCACCCCCACAGGCAGCTCCACTCGGACCGACCCGCCCTCCCTGACGTGCCCGCCATCTACTTTGTCTCGCCGACGAGCACCAACGTGCAGCGCATCGCCGCCGACCTGCGCAAGGGCCTGTACGCGAGCACCTACGTCAACTTTACGAGCGCACTCGGTCGCAACTTGCTCGAGGAGTTTGCCGAGACGGTCGCGAGGGACGGCACCGTCGAGGGCGTCGAGCAGGTGCGCATCACGAGCTCTCCTTCTATGCCTGTGCCCGACCGCGGTCCGGATGCAGTACTGATTTGGGTATTCCTTGATGCGCAGGTCTACGACCAACACCTCGACTACCTCGTCCTCGCGCCCTCCCTCTTCTCGCTCGCACCCTCCCTCTCGACCCCTCTCCCCTCGTCCTCCTCCTCTTCCTCCTCCTCGACCGCCGTCGTCCCGAGCGCGAGCGCAGCAGATGCCCGGACAACGTACGAGAAGCTCAACGACCCGAGGGCGGCCGAGGCCGACATCGAGGACATCACGGACCGTGTCGCGCGCGGCCTCTTCAGCGTCGTCGTCACCATGGGTGAGCCCACCTCTCTCGCCCTCTCTCCCTCGTCAGGGCGTCGCACTGACGTCCCCGCACGCATGCGCCCGCAGGCCAGCTCCCGATCATCCGCGCGCCGCGAGGCAACGCGGCCGAGATGGTGGCGCGCAAGCTCGACTCGCGCATTCGCGACCACATGGCGAGCGCGAGGGGCGTCAACGCCTTCACGCAGGGTGGCGCAGAGGGCTCGTTCGGGCGACCGTGTGCGTCGGCTTGGTTTCGCTCTCTCTCTCTCCCTCGTCCGGCCGAGAGCAGGGTCGGGCGGCAGACTGATTGAGGCGTTTGGATGCCGCGCAGTGCTCGTCATCCTCGACCGCAACGTCGACCTCGTGCCGATGCTCAGCCACAGCTGGACGTACCAGGCGCTCGTCAACGACGTCCTCGGCATGAAGCTCAACCGCGTCTCGGTCGAGGTGCGTCCTCGCTCCCTCTCCTCCCCTCTCGCTCTCTCGCTCTCGTTTCCTCTTCTTCCCTGTCACTGACGAGCCCTCGCCGTCGCACCCCGCAGGCGCCTGACGGCGGCAAGATGAGCAAGAAGACGTACGACCTCGACGCCAAGGACTTTTTCTGGGCCAAGAACGCGCAGAACCCGTTCCCGCAGGTCGCAGAGGAGATCGACCTCGAGCTGAACAAGTGCGTCTCGCCGTTCCCGCCTGTCGTGTTCTCCGTCTTGTCCTCGGGCGGTCGTCGCGCTGTGGCGGCCCGCGAAGTGTCGGCGTTCGAGAACGATCTGACTGGTTGCCCGCCTCGACAGGTACAAGCAGGACGCCAACGAGATCACGCGCTCGACGGGAGTGAGCGACGTCAACGACCTGGCGCAAGTGTGCGTCCCTCTCTCGCCCTCCTTCTGCCCCGACCGACCTTCCCAGCTCACCTCCTCCTCACGCCCTCGTGCAGCGACCTGACGTCGAACGCGGCCAACCTCAAGGCGGCCATCACGGCGTTGCCCGAGCTCACGGCGCGCAAGACGACGCTCGACACGCACATGAACATCGCGACGGCGCTCCTGCAGGGCATCAAGGACCGCGGGCTCGACACGCTGTTCCAGATGGAGGAGGCCATCACCAAGCAGGTGCGCTCGACTCTCTCTCTCTACCTCGTCGACGGTCGAGGTTGAGCGCGCGCAACCGACACTGACCGTGGCTCCCTCGCCCGCAGACCAAGCGCGACCTGCTCGAGGCCGTGCGCGACCCGTCCAAGCACTCGCCCGAGGACAAGCTGCGCCTCGTCCTGTGCTTCTACTTCTCGTCGCTCGCGTCCGGGTCCGACAAGGGCCTCTCGAAGGACGACCTCGCCGAGTACGAGCGCGCGCTCGCCGACGCCGGGTGCGACATGGGCCCGTGGGAGTTTGCAAAGCGCCTGAGGGACGTCATGCGCATGAGCAGCCTCGGGGCGGCGCCGGCGCAGCCGGTGGCGGGCGGGGCGGGAGGCGACCTCATGCGCGGGTTCAGCTCGCTGTCGAACCGGGTGCGTCTCCCCTTTCTCTCTCTCTCTTCCCCTCGAGCTCGTTCAGCAGCAGGCCGGGCCACTGACATCGAGCCCTCTCCTCCTCCTCCCTCTCACGGTCACAGTTGACGGACCGCCTGCGCGAGAGCGGCGTCGGCGGCGTTGGCCTCGACAACCTCATCTCGGGCGTCAAGAACTTCCTCCCGCAGCGCAAGGACTTTCCCGTCACGCGCCTCGTCGAGGCCCTCATGGACCCGTCGTCGGCGTCGACCCAGGCCCTGCAGGACACGGACGACTACCTCCTGTTTGACCCGCGCGCGGGCGGGCGCAGCGCGCGGCCGGCAGCGGCGACCCAGGGCCGCGGCCGGCAGCAGTACGCCGACGCCGTCGTGTTTGTCGTCGGCGGCGGGAGCCTCGTCGAGTACGGCAACCTCGGCGAGTACGTCCAGCGGAGCGTGCCCGGCGCGCAAACGGGCGGCGTCACGGGAGGGGGAGGGGCGCCCGCGGGCGCGACGGGCGGCACGGTGCAGGGGACGCCGACGCGCAGGGTCACGTACGGCAGCACCGAGATCTTGACGCCGAGCGAGTTTGTCAAGGCGCTCGGGAACCTTGCGCGGGCGGGCTGAGCCACGTCGGTTGGTCGGTCGTCGTGCGCGCTCAGCTGTCTCTCGAGTGCAACGCCGTCCTCTCTTTTCCCTCTTTCCCTTCTCCTTCTCGCCCCGAGTTGCGCTCGAGAGTGTTTGGTCTGCAGGACTGGCCGCCCGAAAATAGCGAGGGGAGCGACTGCGAGAAGGCGGAGTCGGAATTTGGGACGTTCGGCGAGGAAGGCCGCGCTGCTCTTCTTGCCTCCGCTTCGCTTTCCCTCCTCGCTCTCTTCCTCGACCAGAGCTTGCTGCGATGCCGACCGCACCGAGCGAGTACGACTACCGCCACTCGAGCCTCGACGAGGACCGCCGTCGCGCCAAGGAGGTCGAGGACCGCGTCGAGCGCAATCGCCGCCAGCGTCGCTCAACCGCCGACGAGGGCGACGGGACAGCTCAAGGAGGAGACGAGGCGGCAGCGAGGGCGATCCAGGGTCACTACAGGTGCGCCCTCTCTCTCTTTGTGACCCGGGATCAGCGCCAGAGCGGAGGCGGGAGGAGCGAGGAGGACCATGTGGGGAGGGAGGAGGCCACCCCTCGCTCGCCGTCACAGAGCTTCTCGAGCCGCAGAGCTGTTCGCCGCGACGAGCACTGCAGCTCACGGTACTGACCACCCTCGGATCCATGGACGACAGGGCCCACGTCAAGCGCCGCGAGGGCCACGGCTGCAACCTGTCGGCTTCGGATCGTTGGTCCGCCGGCATCCAGCAGCGCCGCATGCTCGATGCCGCCCAGGACCAAGACGACGGCAAGAACGACCCGAGTGCGTCCCCATGCCCCCTCCTCCCTCTGTCGCCCCGCGAGAGCGGACGACGAGCTGACCACCCTTCACGTGATGCAGCTTCTCGTTGGCGTCGCGGCCAGATCTACGCCTCGAAGCTCACCGAGGGCAAGAAGGGCGGCAGCGACGATGGAGAGCTCAGTGCCGAGGAGGAGATGAACCAGTTTGGGCGGGTGCGTCCGACGCTTCCCCTCGTCCCCGTTCGACGAGGAGGAGGAGGGAAGCCTGACACCTCCCTCGTGCGCGCGCGCAGAATGACAAGGAGAAGCAGCGCATCGAGCAGGAGCGCAAGGCGGCAAAGACGATGGAGGCGCAGTACTACCTCGAGCTCGTCGACCGCAAGCACCGGTACGCGTCCAACCTCAAGCACTACCACGCCAAGTGGAACGAGACCGACACGAACGACAACTTCTTTCATGTGCGTCCTGCGTGCCTCTCTCTATGCCGTCGGTCCACCTGACGCCTTGCTCCCTTCCGCAGTGGCTTGACGAGGGCGACGGCAAGGAGCTCGACCTCGAGGTGTGCCCGCGCCGGCGGCTCGAGTCGGAGCGCATCCGGTACTTGAACGCCGAGGAGCGAGAGCTGTACCGCGTCACCGTGTCGGACGATGGCCTGCTCATCTGGGCCAAGGACGGCACGCCGCTCGACACGACCAAGCTTCACGCCGACCGCGGGCCCGAGCACGGCGGCATCGTCCCGATCTCGCAGGACGAGTACGACGAGAACCAGCGCAAGGAGGACGAGAAGCTCAAGGCGATGCAGGACCGAGGCGAGATCGACAGCGACTTGAGCAGGAGCTCGTCGTCGTCCTCGGACGAGGCGGACGAGATTCGCGAGGGTGTTCAGCCGTACAGCGACAAGGTGCGCCCCTCCTTCTTCTCTCTCTCTCTCTCTCTCTCCCGTTCTTGTCGGCGTCGAGACGTCGCAGAACTGACGAGCGACTCGTCACGCAGGGCGGCACCGCCGGGCAGGGCAAAGGCGTCCACCAGGCCAAAGAGCGAGTCAAGTACTACCTCTCGCCGCACGCCGTCATGGACACGATGCTCCGCAAGACGATCAACAAGAACACGTGCGCTTACACGCTTCCCCTTTCCTCTTTTCTCCTCCTCTCGCGCAGTCTCTTGACCTTCTACGATCGCTGGATCTGTCACTCCGGCCGCACCAGGTGGCTCTACGTCTCGGACCTCCAGAACAGCCTGTATGTCGGCATCAAGAAGGTCCGTCTCCTCGTCTCGTCCTCCCATCTCCTCTTCTCCTCCGGTCGTCGTCGTCGTCGCGCAAAAGTCGCAGACCTGACAACCCTTCCCTCCTCCTCCCGTCTCCCTCTCTCGCAGACGGGCTCGTTCCAGCACTCCTCGTTCCTGTACGGCGCGCGCGTCACGAGCGCCGGCTTGATCAAGGTCTCGAAGGGCCACCTCACGTCGCTCTCGCCGCTGAGCGGCCACTATCGCGCCGGGACGATGCACTTCAAGGCGTTCGTCCGTTCGCTCGAGGCGCAAGGCGTCGACATGGGCCGAGTGTCCATCTCCAAGTCGGTGCGTCCCCCATTCCTCCTCCTCGTCCCCCTTCCTCGTCCTCGTCGCCGTTCCTCCTCCTCCTCGACCTTCCTCTTCCTCCTCGACGTTCCTGCTTCCTTCCACTCGTACCCCCGCGTCGATATCTCCCCCACCGTCGAGCGACCGTGCGTCCTCGAGTCGAGCCCTGACCCGTCCTCGTCCACCCTCCTCCCCTTTCCCTCTTCTCCTCGCCCTCTCCCTCGATCCCGCCCGTCCTTCCTCGCCCTCTCTCTCGCTCGCACCAACAGATCCTCACGATGCGCGGTATCGAGAAGTACGGCGCGGCGACCAAGAAGAAGAAGAACCTCGCGAGCCGCATCAAGGGCGTCTTTACGCGCCAGCCTTCCGACCAGGAGAAGCAGGCCGAGGAAGACGCCTCGGCTCGGCAGCGCATCCACAAGGCCGAGCAGGACGAGGGCGCCGACGCGCACGAGCGCGAGGTCAAGCGCGGCGAGGCGCGCATGCGGCGCGACGAGGAGGACGAGAACCGGCCTCTGCCGGGCGAGGGCAAGCGCGCCGAGGACATGACCGAGGAGGAGCGCAATGAGCGAGGGGTCGCGCTTGTGCAGCGGGCGTTCGAGCGTGGGCTCAGGCTCGAGTCGAGCGGCGGCGACGAGCGGAGGTAGCGATGGCGCCGCTTCCCTTTCTCTCATCCTCTTTCTCTCGATTCCCTCCTCTCTCGCGGTCGATATCCACGTCTCGAAGCTCTGTACATGTCGTTGTCCCCCCTATTTGTCAAGCTCTCCTCCCTGTGCAACGCCGGCGCTCTCTCTCTCACTTGACCTGCACCTTCGAGCCGTAGAAGGCGACGTAGTTCTCGATCGGCTTGGCCTTGTCCGTCGTCGTGGCTGGATAGTACCAGGCGGCATCCTTGACCTCCTTGCCGTCGACGTTGGCGTTGTAGTAGCTCGCGACGCCCTGCGATTTGCGAGGTGTGGTCAGCGGCCGAGACAAGTGCAGGAGAAGGAGGGCAAGGGGCGCACCTTCCAGCCACACGTCGTGTGCGTGTTCGAGTCGGTGAAGAACTCCTTCTTGACGCTGTCGGGCGGGCTGTGCGCGAGATGGGCGAGGGTTCGGGTCGGCGGCGGCGGGGAAGGTGGGGGGGAGAGCGGTCAGCATCGCGCCTCGCACTGCCCTCGTGGCGAGCGGTGGACGCACAAGTACTGTTGCGAGGGGGCACGAAGGTCAGTTGGGCCTGCCTGCGAGAGCGCACGGGCAGAGGGGCTCACGTGGTTGCCCTCGACGACCTGGGTGTTGGCCGACTCGGCGAGGACGGTGCCGTTGAGCGTAGCCTTGACCATGTTGTGCGACGTGGACGAAGCGCGTTTGAAGATACGAGAGAGCGACGTGGTGGAAAGCGGGAGCTGGTTGGTGAGCGGGTGAGAGGGAGGAGCGAAAGAGCTGACGGAGCGAGCCCGCCTTCGGCGAGCCGGGAACAAGTCGGCTCGTGCGGGACCGAGCGTCTCGAGCGTCTGTGCAGAACAATCGAAAGAGCGAGACACGCGCAAGTCGAGATTTCCGAGAGCGGGCGGGCGAGCGCCGCACGGCCCCGCTTTTGCGAGCGAGCGCCTCAACTTGAGAAGGTCGCCGACAGCTCTCACTCTCTCTCGAACAAACGACGGCCTGCGTGCTGTGTGGCCCTGATTCACATTGCAGGACGAGACACTGCTATACTGATACACCTGAAAGAAGGCCGAACGCCCCAACCGACGTCCAGTAGAAACTTGCAGCCGCGCCTCCTCCTCACACCTTCTCGCTCGCAGCGTGCGCGCCCGGCGCCTCGTGCCGCAGCGAGAGGAGCGCCTCGAGATCAGAGAGTGAAAGCAGCCGCCTGAGCCCAGATGTAGGCGATGCCGCTGCGCCTGAACGTGTCCGAGATGACCGACGAGACGAGGTCCGTGAACTGGAGCATCTGCGCGTTCTGGCCGTCTGCGAGAGGGACAGAGCCACGTCAGGGCTCGTGCCTCGATGATCTAGAGGAAACGTGAAAAGAGGACGCACACTGGGGCCAGGTCGGGAAGCCAGGAACGTTCGGGTCGAGGTTCGAGGCGAACGTGATCCAGCGGGTCTGCATCTCGCGCGAGGGCGGTAGGCCGTTGTAGCCGAATACGCTCAAGACCTGCAGGTACGAAGGAACTGGGTCAGGACCGGGACGCCGGGGCCGAAGGAAAGGGAGGGTCGAGCGCACGTCGCTCGCGTGAAAGGTGCCGAGGAACGGCGTGGCCCGAAGCTGACGAGACAGGTACGACCAGGTGTTCTGCGTCGAGCGTGTGTACTCGATGAAGGCGCGACGAGGGCTGCGAGGGCGAGGGGCGCGAGGGCGAGCCGTCAGTCCGGGACGTCGAGGCGGGAATGGGCTCGAGCGCGCGGCGGCGGGCTCGACGCAGGGCCCGACGATGCTCAAGCGCGCGGCGGGTGGGCTCGACGCAGAGCTCGACGGTAGGAAGGGGTGGAAGGGGAGACTTACGCCTGGAATACGAGGTCGCCGACGATGGCGTTGATGCGCTTGTTCTGCGGCGTGAGGACGTTCAGGAGGCCGGTGTCGAACGGCGAGCCTTGGGTGGGGTCGGCCGGGTACTCGTTCATGAGCTGGGCAGGGACGAGGGGCGTTAGTCCAAGGTGCTCCTGCAAGAGGACGATCGACGAGAGAGAGAAAGAGGGACGCACGCCCTGGATCTGGGCGTCAGAGGCGCGCGGGAACCAGTTGGTCTTGAGCCAGCCGAAAAGCTGCGCCGAGGTCGTGATGTTGAGCGTCCCGAGGGCGAGGATTGTGCCCTCGTCGGCCTGGTCGCCGTTGATGATCGGCACCTTGGCGTACCGCCCGCTGCGCGTCAACTCTTGAGGAAGGTCCGGGACGAAGTCGCCGTCGGTGCGAGGAAGGAAGGGGAGCGAGGCTGAACGGTACGAGACGATGCTGGGCAGCGTGTCTGTAGAAGAGGAGTGTCAGTGTCGTTAACGCAGAACGAGTAGGCGGGAGACGCACTCGTCGCCGCGACCATCTTCTCGTAAGGGAGCGCGCGCAGGCAGGCGACCTTGTCGCTCGCGCTCGAGCAGCCCGACGCGCTCGTGAGCTGATCAAAGACCCACTGCCCGTTCTCGGCGGGACCAACAGGGATAGGCTGCGAGGTCGAGGCGTCAGGGCTGAACGAGGTCCGAGCGGGAGGGAGAAAGTCGGACGCACGCTGCCGCTCTCCATGATGGCCGCCCGGAACAGCGGCTGCCCGCTCGTCTTGGAGGTGATGTCGCCGCCGTACGCCAACAGCTGGAACGCGACCGAAATGGCGCCGGCCGACTCGCCAAAGATGGTGACCTTTTGCGAGTCGCCGCCGAACGCGGCGACGTTGCCCTGGACCCACTCGAGGGCGAGGCGCTGGTCGAGCAGGCCGGCATTGATCGAGACAGTTGGATCGGCGCCTGCCTCCTTGCCCGGGAGGAAGCCGAAGCTGTTGAGGCGGCTGTGGAAGAAGAAAGTCAGTGACGAGGAGCGGTTTGAGAAGGTCGACGAGGGACGCACTAATTGACGGTTACGAAGATGGTAGGCTTGCCGATCGATACCGAGCGCTGTACGAGACCGCCTGCGTCGTACATGGACGTCGCGCCGAACACGAAGGCGCCGCCATCTAGGAGGAAGAGGAGGTCAGTCCCGAGTCGTGCTCGACCGGCCGCCGCACGCTCGCCTCGTCGACAGGGGACGAAGGACGCACAGAACCAGACCATGACGGGGAGCTTCGCCGAGCTAGAGACGCCGGCTGGCCGAAAGACGTTCAGAGTGAGGCAATCCTCGGCCGCACTGCGCACGAGAGGAAGGAGGGTCAGGACGAGTACTTCATGCGAGAGAGGGAGCGGAACGGGCAGACGCACGTGGTGCCGGCGACCGCGCTCAGGATCGGGAGGCTCGTGATGGCGTCGAGCGTGCTCTGCGCGACGGCGTTGGCGATCGGGCCCGGGAAAACGCTGCTGGCAAGGTTCGACTGAGGGCACGAAAAGCCGTACTGCGTCGCATCTCGCACGCCCAGGTTCGCGGTCGTCGCAACGGGCGGCGCGAACCGCAAGTCGCCGACGGGCGGCTCGGCGAACGGGATGCCCTTGTAGCTCTCGACGCCGAGGAGGGCTGAGCCGAGGAACGTGCCCTGGGACGAGGTGACGGACGGGCCGGAGGTAGGAGCGGTCGAGGCAAGGCTGGAGAAGGAGAGGAGCACGGCCAGACCGGCGCGCACGACGACCATGACGGGCGAGGGAGAGGGAGAGCGCGAGGGAGAGGGCGAGGGAGAGCGCGAGCGAGAGGGCGGGCGGGGGTGACAGTCGACGAGTAAGGAGTGCTGGGTGCGGAAGAGAGGGTCAGGAGGTGGTCGCGACTCGCTAGAGGGAGCGCCGTGGGGCTCATGCGGAGGATTTGACCGTGAAGACCGGCTAGTTAGCCTCGTCGGCAAGCGGCGACGTACCCGACAGCAAATTGCTGCCAAAGCAGAGATCAAGCCGCAAGAAGGCAGGGGCAGAGCCGCTCAGACACGGTCCTCGAGGCACACGGCGAGGTCGACTGGTATGTACTTCCCTCGTGAGGCTAGGCCGTCGGGATGTGGGGCAGCTCGGTCGCGTGCAGCGGTACCGCGAGCGCTCTCGTCGAGCGCGTGCGCCGTCGGGACGAGCATGCGAGGCGAAGCGCGAGGACGAGCTGGGCGCGCCGAGAAGACGACCGAGTTCCAGGGACGAGCGCGATGTTTACTTGACCGGCTCCTCCTGGCCGAGCTTGCCCTGCGCGACGAGCTCGCCTTTGAGCTCCGAGATGACTGTGGGCGCGTGAGAGTCGGTGAGGGCTGAACGACATGGCGAACGGGGTGAGAGGAGGACGTACCCTCCTTTGCCAGCTCTTGCAGCCGCTCCTCCTCCTTGCCGATGAGCGACACGTCGACGCCGCCCAGGAATTTCGGGTAGCTGCCGACACGCTGAAGAGAAACGAGTCAGGGAAGGTGCAGGAGGATGTCGAACGAGAGGGAGAGGTGCGAGCGTACAATGAGCTCCTTCTTGACGCGCTCTTGCAGGGTTGTGAGGAACGGCGCGATCGAGCTCTCGGGCAACCTGTCACAGAGAAGAGTGTCAGTGGCTGTGGCGCATAAGGAGAACAAGAGAAAGAGGGAGAGAGGGAGTGAGGGAGAAGAAGGAAGAGAGGGAGAGGAAGAGGGAGAAGGGGGCGCACTCGGTGTGAACGAGGACGCGGTACGGCTTCTCACTGCTGGGCGGCAGCGGGACGTAGGTCGACAGGAGACCCTCGACGAGACGCTCGAACAGGCGAGGCACGCCTGGCAAGATGCAGACCTTGCCGGCGACTCGCACGACGGGGACCCAGCTGCGCAGGACGAGAGGGAACAGGGGAGGAGGAGAGTGAGCGGTCGAACTTCTCGAGCGAGCGAGAGGGAGACGGCAAGGGAGAGGCGAGACGCACAGGTCCTCCTGAACGAACAGCACCTCGGCACCCTTGGGGAAGAGGGCCATGCGCAGACGGGCCGTCTTCTGCTCCTCGGTCTGCTCGTCCATGTTGTACCGGTGCTTGCCCATCTCGTGCATGCGGTGCTTGGTCTCCTCGTGGTACTCGAGGCCGACGTCGCCAAAGGCCTTTGCGATCGAGGAATCTGATGCAGGGCGTGCGGGATCGGGGTCAGTCGGCTGCTTCTCCTCGACAGTACTGAGCATGCGCAGCTCACACGTGATGTCGTCGTGAGTCGGCCCAATGCCGCCCGAGGTGATGACGAGGTCGTAGTTCTTGTGCATGCGCAGGACTGCCTCGGCGATTTCCTCCTCGTCGTCGGCGATGACCTCGATGCGCTGTGGGCGAAGGCGAGTCAGTTTGCGCTCCATGGACATGTGAATGCCTCAACGGTGCGGAGCTCGCTGTCGACCGTCGAGGAGAGTCGCCGAGGAGAGCGTGACCGGTCCGGCGAGACGAAGAGAGAGAGGCGGGCTCACCTTGAGCTCGACGCCGAGATCAAAGAGCATCTTGGCCAGGTGGTTCGAGTTGGTGTCGCGCGTCTTGCCTGCAGGGCGCACGAGCGATAGTCAGCTCCGGCTCGCAAGTGGGGGAAGAGGATGACGAGGGGGGAGGAGGGCGAGGGCAGCACAGCTCACCGTTGAGGACCTCGTCGCCGATGATCAAGCAGCCGGCTCGTCGGACCACGTTGTCCTTGTTTTGCGGCACCGGCGAGCGAGGGAAGGTCGGAGCGGTCGCCATCGTGCGAGGTCGGGGAGGCTGGACGAGAATGGGACGGGCGAGGTGCGAAGAGAGGAGGCGAAGGCGAGCAGGCGACGCAGAGAGCATCCAGCAAGGGGATGCGACTAGTTTCGAGGTGCTCGTGGGTCGTGGGCGAGCGAGGGAGGTGTCGGAAGTTGTGGCCGAGGCGAGGAGCTGATGAGAATCTCTCACGATCGCGCAGCTTTCCCCTCTGCGCGGTCGAGGTCTACGAGTGCTCAGGCATCGACGTTGCAGTGAATTGCAGGGCCCGGGAGCCGCGAAACTGTCCATGAGGAACTCGGAGAGGCCAAAGAGAGGCGAGCGCGGCGCGAATGACGACGCGAGCGAGGAGGGGAGGAGTGCGAGTACTACAGCAAAGGCGGGTCCAGAGAGAGTGTCTAACGAGGGTGGGGAGGGACGAGGCTCTGCGAGAGAGAAGGAGGAGGATCTACCAGATCCACGAACCGCGCAAGTGGCTGCGCGACGAGCGCCAGAAGGTCGGGCACTTGAACGAGCGATGGCTGCGCAGGTTCCACCTCGACGTAGGGCGCCACCAGGTTGCGCGGTGCGCGACCCACCAGCTCGGCGGCGAGTAGTCGGCCGACGGGAGCTGGAAGCTCTTGCAGGGCTGCCAGCCGTGCGTGCGACCGTACCACTTCCAGCCGAGCGTCGCGCCGGAAGGGCGACCGTGGCCCTGGTGGTCGAAGCTGCTCGGAGCGAGGCGGTCAGGTCCGGTACGAGGGCGAGGAAGGAGAGAAAGGCGGGAGGGGACGCACTCGTAGCCGTCCTCGCCCGAGCCGTTGCACTGCCACGAGGCCGACGGGATGCGCGTGTCGATCCAGCCCTGCGACGTCCAGTGCGTCGGGCAGTCGACGCTTGAGGGAAGCTTGAACGACGGCGGCGGCAGCCACCAGCTGATCTGGCTGCTGATGATGACGGTGACCTGCAGCGACGACGGCTGCCACGACGAGCTGCACGACCAAGACGCCGAGGGAGCCCAGCCGATCGCGCTTCGAAGGGAAAGGAGGATCAGGGTGTGTGCCGAGGGAGAGTGAGGAGGGGAAGAGGAAGAGGACGCACACGCCGAACCAGTACCATCCCTCGGGAAACTCGGCCGGCCGGCCGTTGCCCTTCCAGTCGACCTGAACGACGAGGCAAGGTGTCAGGCTCGGTCAGAGGGAAGGAGGAGAAGTCGGTGGGCGCACCTCGTAGCCGTCCTTGCCGGACCCGTCGCACGACCACCCCTGGCTCGGCCGGCCAGTCGGCTCGGGCTGCGAGATCGAGACGGTGCGCGTGACGGTGACGATGCCGCCCGGGATCGTGACAGTCGAGGCGTCGCCAATGTCTGTGGGCGTTCGGGCGTCAGGAGTGCTCGGGCGAGAAGAGAGAAAAGAGGTCAAAGCGCGACGCACAGGTCACCGTCTTGGTCGTGCCGGCCTTGCTCGTCGTGACAGGCTTGCTCGTCGGCATCGACGGCTTCTTGGACGTGGTGGTCGCCGCAGGCTTGGACGATGTCGTGGTGGCCGGCTTGTGCGAGGTCGAGGTCGAGGCCAGCTTCTTCGAGGTGGTCGAGGAGGGCTTGCTCGACGAGGTCGTCGCCGGCTTCTTGGACGTGGTCGCCGGCTTCGACGTCGACGCCGACGAGGTGACAGGCTTGGCCGAGGTGGTCGTCGCGCGAGCGGTCGTGGTCGTGTGGGCGATCGAGGTCGAGGCTGGGGCACGCGAGGTGGTCGTAATGCCGGCGTCGCCGGCGCCGCAGCCGCACGAGCAGCCGCACTTGTCGACGCCCCAGTGGGTCGGGAGCGAGAAGCCAAAGTCGTGCGACTTGTGCTTGGTGATCCAGATCGAGGGAGGCGCTGCGCAGGAGGGAAGGGGCAGAGTCAGTCTCTGCGACGACGAGAGGCTGGCGGCCGAGGATAGAAGGCCTTACTCCACCAGGTCGCCTTCGAGCAGGTCTTGCGCCACTGGCTCGGGATGGCCCAGGTCGAGGGGCAGGAAACAGGCTGCCAGCCGACGCTTGCGCCGAACCAGGCCCAGCCCGACGACGGCACCCACAAGGGCGCAGCTTGACCGTTCGAGTCGACAGGGTAGCCGTCGCGACCGCCACCTGCCAGAGGAGGGGAGAAAAGGAGATGAGTCAGGCGCCGCAAGAATCGAGTCGAGGCGGCGAGCGGACGCACCGTTGCACTGCCAGCTCTTCGAGGGCGTGATGGCGATGCCCCACCAGGGAGGCGGGGTGAAAGAAAGGCCGACGCCGGCGTGCGCATCGATCCAGGCGTTCGACGGCTCTGCGGGGCGAAAAAGGCGGATGGACAAAGAGGAGGGTCAGTGCGCGCTCAGGTCGAGAACGAGAGGGCGACGAGGGAGAGGAGAACGGCGTACTCCACCAGGTCACGAGGTGGATGATCTCGATGAACGCGCTCGGGAGCTCGAAGGACGACGAGCACGACCAGCCGACAGGAGGAGCCCAGCCGATCGACGAGCCAAAGTAGAGCCAGCCGACCGGGACCGACGAGGGACGGCCGCCGCCGTGGATGTCGACCGAGAAGCCGTCCTTGCCGTTGCCTGGGAGGTGTACGAGCGTCAGGAGGAGAGGTCTCGAGGCGCGAGAGGGAGAGAGAGCGAGAGGGACGGACCGCTGCAGGTCCAGCCCTTGGAGGGCGCGAGGATCAGGCCCCAGAACGAGGGCACCTTGAAGCCGAGGTCGACGCCGACGTGAGCGTCGAGCCAGCCCGACGAGGGCTCTGTGGGCGAGGAAGGAGGGGAAAGGAGGGACGAGGTCAGTGCGCGTTCCCGCCACGGGGGAGCTCGACGAGAGAGAGGAAGGGGACTCACTCCACCAGGTGACAAGGTGCGCGACGTCGAGGAACGCGCTCGGGAACTCGAACGACGACGAGCACGACCAGCCGACAGGAGGAGCCCAGCCGATCGACGAGCCAAAGTAGAGCCAGCCGACCGGGACCGACGAGGGACGGCCGCCGCCGTGAATGTCGACCGAGAAGCCGTCCTTGCCGTTGCCTGGAGGCCGTACGAGGCGTCAGAGGGAGGGTCCTCGACGCGCGAGAGGGAGAGAGAGGGAGACGGACCGCTGCAGGTCCAGCCCTTGGAGGGAGCGAGGATCAAGCCCCAGAACGAGGGCACCTTGAAGCCGAGGTCGACGCCGACGTGAGCGTCGAGCCACGACGAGGGCGGCGTCCACCACGTGATGAGGTCGAGCTTGCCGTGCATGGCGGACGGGATCTGCCACGACGTGCCGCACGAGAAGCCCTTTGGCGGCGCCCAACCGACGTCGGCGCCGAACCACAGGAAGCTGGCGGGTGCCCATGACGGGCGGGTATTGCCGTTGTAGTCGACCGAGTAGCCGTCGCGGCCGGAACCTGACGCGAGGGAGGACGAGGTCAGTGCGGGCTCGACTCGAGGCGACGAGGTCGAGGAAGGGGACGGACCAGAGCATTTCCAGGAACGGGAAGGACGGTGGCAGAAGAGGCCGATGCACAGGTTGATGCCGCCGATCGAGAGCGAGAGAGGCGAGCGCGCCTCGAGAGAATGAGCGGTGTGAGCCGGCGAGACGTCGAGAGGCTGAGGGTGGGCCGAGGCGGCTGCGCCGAGGGCGCCTGCGCCCGCGGCGAGAAGAACGGGCGTGAGCCGCATGGCGGCGGTGGGCGAGGAAAGGAGAGTGGGAAGGAGTGTGGGTGGTTCGGAAGAGAGGGTGAGGAGGAAAGGCAAGGGAGGGCGAGTCGAAGGGTGGGTCGGGTCGAGCTGCTTCGACGAGGCGGCGAAGCGTACGCACGCTCGACGCGAATGGCGCGTCCGTGCAGGTTGACACGGCCATGCGGGTCGAGATGCGGACCCTGCTCGCCATTAAGGCGCGGGAGGACGGCGAGCGAGAGGAGGAACGAGCCCCGTCCTCGCGTCACGCCGAGCGGCCTCGAGTTGGGCCGTCGAGCTCGGAGATCAGCCCGAGGGGGCTCGTTGCGCTCGCACGCGACGAGGTCGAGCTGAGCGCTGAATGGCGGCGATTGAGGAAGAGGGGAGCGGGAGCGAGGTGGCCCAGGCGAGGCGCATCGGTGCAGCCGATCTGGCAGCCAGCTAATCGCCCGGGGAGCGGACAGCTGCTCGACAGCGAGGCGGAGCGGTGGAGGAGGAGGACGAGCGAGCGAAGTGGGAGGAGGCTCTCGCTCGCCCGCCACCCTGCACTCCCCGGCTGGAGCAGACGAGCTGCACTGCGGCATACTCGACTCGACTGCGCACAGCACCACAGCGCGACCCTCGCCCGCCGCGGCGGTCCCTCGTCTTTCGACCTCATCAGCAAACCGCGTCGTCCGACCGTTCTCTCGACTGACGACGACGACCTGTGGACCTGGACGCGCTTGTCGAGGGCTCGATGAGGCACAGCGTGCACTCTGAGCGTGGCGGTGGCGCTGTCTGGGACGCGGGAGCAGGTGCGTCCTCCTCCTCCCCTCCTCCCCGTGTTTGGCGCCCTTCTCCTTCTCCCTCTCCCCTCGCCCACACTGCCACCTCGTGGCACACGTGCGAGGCCTCACCGGGCTGACTTGAGCCTCTCTACAGGTTGAGCGGGCGCACAGGGTGATCGGGCGGGTGTTCTCGAGGCGTGCGGCTCGCTGTCGGCATCGAGCCGGTCCATTCAGATCCTTGTACGTCCCTCTCCCTCTCTCCCTTGCCTCCAGCAGATGCGCACCGGTCCGCAGCTCTTCCCGAGCCCCGCGCTGACCCTCTCGACTCGGCGCCGCAGGTTAGTCGAGCCCTCGATGGCACCTCCTCCCCCTCTCGCCCCCGAAAGCTTCCCCTCGTACCCTTCCTGCGCACCTCGATGGCCCCTGTCGACGGCGACACGCCCTATGTAGGACATGGGCGGGCCCCGGTGGACCAAGCTGCCCGCCCTGCGACTGTTACTCGTCCCGGCGGCCGCCCAAGCCGAGCTGCCGAGGACGGGTCTGACGAGGCCGCGCCCGCCCTCTTTGCCCTCGACAGGCAGCGGGCGCACCCTGGTGAGCCGTTGCGCACGGCAGCGCCCCTCGGGGCCCGTCCGTGCGCCCGGGTGCGCACCCTCGCTCAAACGCTATCTCTTGATCCAGCAGGATTGGCGCCTTCTGCGCGCGCCAGATCGAACGAGGAGGTGTCTGCGGTGCAATTGAGCGCGATCCGTGTGCCCTTTGGTCGTGTAGAGCGCGAGTTCGCCTGCTTCTCGAGTCCGAGGTCGACGAGGTCGAGGGAGCTCCCTCCGCTCGCTGCTTCTCTCGCGAGCGCTCTCTGTATGTGTACACTCGTGCGGCCTGCACGAGAGACGATACGCTGCCCGGTCGAAAAGGCGGGAATTGGTGTCGACCGGCATCTCGTGCTGGCGTCGCCGGTCCGGGCGAGACGCGCTGCAGCATTCTCCGCGCTCCTGCTGCTCTCGCCCACCCTCTGCGAACCGAGCACACAGCTGCCACCCGCTCTCCACGACCACTCGACGCGCCCCAACCCGCCCACACAGCGTCCGCTCGACTCGCCCCCACCTCCCGCCGCTCTCATCTGCCCCGCCGCCTTCCGACCACCTCCCACCCTCACGCACGCCCACCATGGTCGCCGTCAGTGACTCTGCAGTGCACGCCATCTCTGGCGCAGCCGGTGGCTGCATCGCCATGGCCGTGTGCGTCCCCTCCCCCTCTTCGACCCCTTCGACTTCCCCTCGCCTCCCTCCCGACGGCACGCGACGAGGCACGCGCAACCACGACCGCTGACCTTGCGCCCGCGCGCCACACACAGCACGTACCCGCTCGTCAACCTGTCGACGCGCTCCCAGGTCGAGGCCAAGACCAAGCGCGAGAGCACCCGCTCGGCCGTCCTCAAGGTGATCCAGCGCGACGGCGTCGCAGGGCTGTACGACGGCCTGAGCTCGTCGCTCGTCGGCATCGCCGTCACGAACGGCATCTACTACCTGTGCTTTGAGGAGGCGCGCAACCTCGTCCTCAAGTCGCGCAAGAGCAGCCGCGCGACGCTCTCCATGCTCGAGTCCATCTTCGTCTCGGCCGCCGCCGGTGCGTCCCTCTCGCGCCTCTCTTTCGACAGCCCGTCCGAGCCTGACTCTCTTATGCTCCCACAGGCTGCGCCACGTCGGTTCTGTCCAACCCGATCTGGGTCGTAAACGTGCGGCTCGCCTCCTTCCCGCGCCGACCTTCTCGAGCCGCAACCTGACGCTCTCTGCCCTCGCAGACTCGGCAAACCGTGCGCACGACGGTCGCGTCCGACACGTCGAGCGGTGCGTCGGCCAAGAAGGTGGTCGAGAAGCGCCGCACCATCTGGCAGACGATCCTCGACATCCTTCGCTCGGACGGCCCGGGCGCCTTCTTCCACGGCCTCGGCCCGGCGCTCATCCTCGTCTCGAACCCGATCCTCCAGTTCACCGTGCGTCCCCTCTCCCTGTCTCCTTGCGTCGCCCCCGAGCCTGACCGCTTCGACCTCCACGCTCGTCCGCAGCTGTTCGAGCAGCTGAAGAACCTCATCCTGCGCCGTCGCGCCCTGAGGCTCACCAAGGGCTCGGCCGGCGCACCGCCCCTCACCGACCTCGACTTCTTCCTCCTTGGCGCCGTCACCAAGCTGTTCGCGACGAGCGTCACCTACCCTTGTGCGTCTCGGCGCTGTTTTCGCTCGCTCGGGCCTGCGACCGGCGCGTGGCTCGTGCCGCGCGCTGTCGTCGCTGCGACCTTGTCGACACGCGTCGCTGACCTTGTGCTACCCCATCGCCGCAGACCTCACCGTCAAGGCGCGCATGCAGGCCGGCAACGCCGTCGGCAAGTCGTACACGTCGTCGTTCGACGGCCTGCGCAAGATTGTCGCCGCCGAGGGCCCGCAGGGCTTGTACAAGGGGATCGGCCCCAAGCTCACGCAGTCGGTCGCGACGGTGCGTCGTCTCTCTCTCTCTCTCTCGCGTGCGCGCTCGAGGAGGTCGGCGGCGAGGAGGGGCGCCCGAGCCGGGACTGACTCTACCTCGTCGTTGCCCTGCAGGCTGCGCTCCTGTTCCTCGCCAAGGAGAAGATCTACCTCGCGACTCGCAAGGTGCGTCCCCGCTTCTCTCGTTTCGCTCGGCCCGCTCTCGGCGGTCCGTGCGTCGTCACGAGCCGGCGAGCGCGCGCTCACCTTCTGCCTCTCCTCGGCGCCTGCCACAGGCCCTCATCAAGACCGCCGCCAAGGCTGTCGCCTGAGCCTGCCGCCGACTCGCCTCGAGGGAATGCGCCGTCGAGCCGAAGAGGCCGACGAGATCTCCCTTCCCCCGTCGCTTTGGGCCCTCTCTCTCCCTCTCACTATGTCCTCTCTTTCCGCCTGTCGGACTGTCGAATCACAAAAGCGTTGTATCGTCGCGAGCTCTGTGTGCGGGCGAGGTCGCCGAGAGGGAGGAGAGAGGAGAAGCGAGAGGAAAGCCGAGCACGAGCAAGCGGTCCGACATCTCGCTCTCTCTCTCTGCTGCAGCCGACTCTCGAGTATCTCACGCACGCTCGACAAGAACGCTCAAGTCCATGATGCTGTTATTTGTCTTTTTTACGCCTCCCCCTGCTGTATCTACACCGCCGAGTCTCGCTCCGTCTCGCCAGCCTCGCCCGAGTGGACGACGCTCAGAGCTCCTCGTGGCGGAAGATGTCGATGGGCTTGACGAGCCACGGGTCGACGGTCGGGTTGAAGGCTGTGCGAGGGAGGGCGGGAGACGAGGCGGGGCGAGGAGGAGAGGGGGAGAGAGAGGGGGAGAGAGAGGGGGAGAGAGCGAGAGGGTTGGGACAAGGGGCGAGAGGGAGGACAGTCAGGTCGGCTACTCGTCGAAAGAGGCGTCGACGACGCAAGAGAGAGAGAGAGAGGGAAGTGGGAGACGCACTGGCCCAGTACGGGTTCGAGAGGTGCTCCTCCTGCGAGCTCTCCTTCATGAAGCGCTCGACGATGGTGAACTTTGTCGGGTCGTGCACGTCCTGCATGACGAACCAGTGGATCGTCTCCGAGTCCTTCTCGTACACCTCGCGCGCCTCGCGCAGCTTGGCCGCCATGTCGTCGACGTGCTCCTTCTTGACCTGGGCGTGGCAGACTGTGGGGCGGCGCGCATGCGGCGGTGGGCGTGGGCGGGTGCGAGCAGGCGTGCAGGGCGGGTGCGCGCGTGCAAAGGTTGGAGCGGGTTCGGCGAGGCGGGGAGGGGAGGGTGGGGGAGGAGAGGGGGACGAGAGATTCAGCGACGCGCGCGTGCGAGGGCGACGCTGCGCGGGAGCAGGGGCGCACCGAGAGTGTAGACCATGGTGCTGAGCGTGTCGTGGAGCTGGGGAGGGAGGAGCAAGAGGGAGCGAGGCGCAGCTTGTCCTCCAGTGAGCTTGTCGATGAACAGCTCGGCTCGACGAAGCGGGGCCCGGCCTGTGTCACCAGCGAGCCAGCCGTTCGAGCAGAGCAGGCAGCTGGGAGCAGACGTTGTGCGGCTCGACCCGCACAGCAGGCAGTCGACCGCTCAGCCGGAAAGCGCAGCTGCTCTCCAGACGACGACGACGAAAGGACGGCAGAGCGTGCTGCCGCGTCGGCATGACGGCTTTGGATGCGATTGCCAGAATTAATCTCGAGCTCGGCGTCGAAAGTAGCGCTTGTGCGGGGTGGTGGGACAAGGGGCGGAGAGAGAGGTTCGAGGAGGAGGGAGGGACGTGCGAGGTGGCGCGCAAAGGACTGGCGATGCAGGGGAGGGACTCGGACAGAGCAGGGCGCGTTTGAAAGGCTGAAATCGCTGTTGCGAAGAGCGAGGAAGGAGTGAGCGCCCGGGGGACAAGAGGATCGGCACAGCGAGCGACGGTGGACGAGGCGAGGGCAAGCAAGCAACCTCCTCGCCCCCTTCCTCCACCTCGCACCCAGTGCTGCTGTACCACCCCGTCGACGCGCCTACCAGTACGACCAGCACCCTCGCCACCCGCATCACCTCGCCCAAGCCGTCCTCCGCCATGGCACCCCGCTCGCGCGTCGTCTCGAGTTGGCGCCTCACCGCCCTCGCCCTCGCCGCCGCCTCGATCGCACACGCCGCACCTGCAGACGACACCATCGAGATTGTCGGCGACTCGGGCGTCAGGTGCGTCTCCCCTCTCTGTCTCTCTCTCGTGCGGTGCGAGCGAGGTGGGACGAGGCACGGATCCCCATAGTCGCTCCCCTCCCCCTCGTCGGTGTCACGCCCGCTCCCACGCCGCCCGGGCAGCAGTAGGTGGCGCAGGTGGCATCGCGTGGCACTCGGGCGCGCACTCGAGCAGCGCAGGGCCTGTTCGGCGGCAGGTGGGCGAGCGAGTGGCCAACGAGGCGCGCTCGAACCACCCCGCTCGGCAACTCCGACGCGGCACTCGCAGCCTCAAGGGTTGCTGTCGCCGCGGTGACGAGCCTCGCTGTGCGGTCCTCGAGGCTGCCGAGGCCAAGCAGCATCCGCACGACCTCCCGCACGACTCGTCGACTCACCCTCGCCTTGCCTCCACCCTCTCCCCCTCTTCCTGCAACAGCGCGCAACAGCTGTTCCTGAGCCAGAACAACCAGGTCTACATCGTCGACAAGACCGAGCGCAACCCGATCAACGTGACGGGCGCCCAGGGCGAGCACCCGGCATGGGCCGTCGAGTACGACTGGCAGACCAACGAGTACCGGCCGATGGACATCGTCACCAACTCGTTCTGCGCCGGTGGGAATGTCCTCGGCAACGGCACGTGGATCAACATCGGCGGCAACCAGGCCATCGGCTACGGCGGCCTCAACGCCAACCCGTTCGCGGCGCCGTACAACAACGGCGACGGCGGCAAGGCGACCCGGCGCCTCGACTGCAGCGCCGGCAACGACGCGTGCGAGTGGGTCGAGGACACGGCCAACTACATGACGACCCGGCGGTGGTACCCGACGCTTGAGACGCTCGAGGACGGCTCCATGATCGTCGTGCGTCCCCTCGCCTCCTCCCTCTCCTCGAGTCTGCTCGAGCACGTCACTCACCCTCTCCCACTCCCTCGCAGATCGGCGGCTGTGACTGGGGCGGGTACGTCAACGACGAGGGCCAGAACAACCCGACGTACGAGTTCTACCCGTCGCGCGGCGGTCCTGTCGGCCTCAACATCCTCACGACGACGCTCCCGGCCAACCTGTTCCCGCTCATCTGGCTCCTCCCGTCGGGCAACATCTTCCTCCAGGCCAACTGGGGCACCGAGATCTTTGACTACAAGAACAACGTCGAGTACCCGCTCGCCGACATCCCGCACGCCGTGCGCACCTACCCGGGCTCGGCCGCGACGGCCATGATGCCCCTCACGCCCGCCAACAACTGGACGGCGACCATCATGTTCTGCGGCGGCACCAACCTCCAGCCCGACCAGTGGACCCTGAATTGGAACGTGCGTCCCCCTCTCTCTCTTTGTCTTTCGTCGTCGTCGTCGTCGCCGCGGCACCTCGTCCTGACCCCCCATCCCCTCTCGGCCTCGCAGATCGCCGGCTACCCTGCCGACTCGACCTGTGTCTCGATGACGCCCGACGTGTCGACCGACTGGGTCGACGAGGAGCCGCTCCCCGAGGGCCGCGTCATGGGCAACTGGATCCTGCTCCCCGACGGCCGCCTCGTCCTCATCAACGGCATCGGCAAGGGCACGGCCGGCTACGGCAACACGTCGTGGGCCATCGGCCAGTCGTTCGGCGACGAGCCGATCCACACAATCCGGTACTACGACCACAACTCGCCCCAGGGCTCGCGCTTCTCGAGCGCCGTCGCCAACTCGACCGTCGACCGCATGTACCACTCGTCGGCGACGCTCCTCCCCGACGGCTCGGTCCTGTCGTCGGGCTCGAACCCGAACGCCGACTACGTGCCCGCCGGCGCCCCCGGGTACAAGTACCCCTCGGAGTACCGCGTCGAGCGCTTCTACCCGGACTACTACACGGCGCGCCGGCCCGAGCCCCAGGGCCTCCCGACGACGCTCACGTACGGCGGCAACTACATTGACGTGACGCTGTCGGCGACCGACGTCGGCAAGGCGGACAACCTGGCCAACACCAAGGTGACGCTCGTCCGCCCCGGCTTCTCGACGCACGCCATGAACTTTGGGCAGCGCCTCGTCCAGCTCAACTCGACCTACACGGCCAATTCGGACGGCTCGGCCGTCCTGCACGTGTCGCAGGTGCCGCCCAACCCGGCCATCCTCGTGCCCGGCCCCGTCCTCATGTTTGTCGTCGTCGACGGCGTCCCGTCGCAGGGCGTGTGGGTCAACGTCGGCAACGGCGAGCTCGGCGACCAGCCCGTCTCGGCCGTCCAGGAGCTCCCGGCGTCGTCCGGCGGGCCCGCAGGCTCGCTCCCCTGGAACGCCGGCAACCTCGTCAACACGCAGACGACGGCGGCCGTCACGGCGGCGCCGACTGCCGCACAGTCGGGCTCGTCGAGCTCGAGCAACAAGGACGCCGACTCAGCGGCGACGGCAACCGGCGCCAACAAGGCGGCGGCCGTCGGCGTCGTGCTCGCCGCCGTCGGCTCGGCGGCCATGTTCGCTCTCTGAGCGCCGTCGAGATGCGCTGGTAGTGGATCGTCTCGACACGCTCCTTCCCTCTCTCCCTCCCTGTCTCTTTTACGTCCCTCGCTTTACGCCCCATCCCCTTCCTCCTCATCTCGTCACGCCCCTCGTTCTCCCCCGCCCGGCCTGTCGCGTCCCTCCCATTGACACTAGCCTCTCAATTCGTTTTCTCTCCTTCGCTCCGAGTGGACGGTCTCTCGATACCCCTTGTCCACCCGCCGTTCACCTGCAAGGAATTCTATGCAACCCCCCTCTCTGCGAGCGAGCGGTCGAGAGGAAAGCTTGCGAGAGAAAGGGAGCGATCACTGCATGCTCTCGGGACCAGTCCCTCTCTAAGGCCGTTGCGAGAGGGTCGACGCACGAGCCAGAGTTGGCCCGAGTCGGGAGCGAGGGAGGAAGCGAGGACGAGGCGAGCGAGAGGTGAGTTTGAGGAGCTCGCGCTCGCGGCCGCTTCGCAGGGCTCGCTGCGACGGCGCCAACGGTCGTGCATGCTGCTGAGGGCACTGTGAGAGCGAGCGGGCGCCTTTGAGCTTGCGAGTGTCGAGCTGCGCGTCGGCGACGAGGACGAGCTCGTCGCCGCACGGACCCCTTCCTCCTTCCTCCTCGCAGTTCGAGGCTCGTCCCTCCCTCGCCGTCAGACGAACGCCGCACGTTGGGCGTCGGCACCGTCGCCGCGTCGCCGAAGCCTCTTCTTCCTTAGCGTCGACGCGGGGCCGGTGCGCTAGAAATTAGCGCGACGAACGCGCGCTCGTCTCCCTCTTCGCGCACAACAGCTCTCGCTGTTCTTTGGGCTCGCTGTCGCTTCTCTTCTCTCTCTCCTTCACTTCACTTTGTCGCTCTCGTCGTTCGCCGTCGTTTCCTCGCGCCCTCCCCCGACCCGATTCGCTCCTTCCTCCACCTCGTCTTTGCTCGAACCTCTTCGTCCGCCTCGACATGTTCGCGTCGCCCTCGTCCCTCCTCACCTCGGCCTTTGCGCTCCTCGCCCTCTCGTCGGCCGCCTCTGCCAAGTGTGTGTCCCCCCTCTCGCAGCCTCGCAACACGTCGAACGTCGCGCTGACTCACCTGTCGACCCTCGAGAGCAGCGGCGGACGGCGTCTTTGACGGCGGCAAGGGCGCGCAGAGCAAGATCGACTACCAGCCGCCGTTCACGGCGCCCAAGGGTGGCGAGGTGTTCATCGCCGGGCAGCAGTACACCGCGTCGTGGTGCGTCTCGCCTCTCCTCTTTTGCGAAGGTCAACTCGAGGAGGTCGACGTCGTCGAGTCGCCGAACGACCTGACAAACACCGAGAGCTGACCTTGTTCGACGCACGCAGGAACCAGGAGATCCCGAGCGACGTCCCGGCGGGCAACATCAGCAAGACGGCCGACCTCGTCCTCGGGTACGACGACGAGGGCTCGACGTCGCTCCACCTCAGTGCGTCCTCGTTTTCCGTTCATTGAGCCGCTCGAGGGCACCAGGCTGACGACGTCGACGATGCGCAGACTGGACCCTCGCGAGCGACCTCGCGCTGTACGCGCCTGCGCCCGACTCGGTCACGTTCGTGATCCCGGACGACGTTCCCTCGCGCGACACCTAGTGCGCTCTCTTCCTCTCTCTCTCTCGACGGTGCATGTCCAATCACAGAGACTGACTTTCGTTGACCCTGCGACGCAGCTTCCTCGTCCTCCTCGGCTCGACGCGCAACCAGTCGCCCCGCTTCTCGGTCGTCGGCAACATCCTCCCCTCGCAGTCGACCGGCTCGGAGCCGTTCCCGCTGTCGGACTCGCCGTCGAGCTCGAGCGCGTCGTCGGCGAGCGAGCCCTCGGCGACCGAGAGCAGCGCGACGCCGTCCGCGAGCGCTCAAGCCGGCGAGGGCGAGGGCGACGCGGACGAGGGCCTCGCGGGCTTCTTCCACGGGCTCGGGCTGCGCCGTGTGCGCCGCGCCGAGGCGGGCAAGGCGCGCCTCGACAACTGAGCGCCGCGCCGAGTCGAGGAGAGAGGGGGTGCGCCGCAGCTGGGCTGCGTGCGCCTCTAGCGAGCGGCGCGAGCGTCGGGGTTGACCTCCTTCCTCGCCGCCTCGCTCCCTCTTCCTGCCCTCCCTTTCTCTCCTCCGTCCCTTTAGACCCTTCTCGTCGTCCGTGACCCCACTCCCAACGCCGTGCCGTACATATCCTGGCCTCCTCTTTCTCGACCTTCTCGCGCGCCGAGCGCAACACAGACAATTTTTCGGTCGCCCTTCGAAGCCGCAAGCTAGCGAGAGACGTCCGGGAGAAGCTCAGGGCTGCAGTACAGATGCAGCCGAGAGCGAGAGAGGAAGCGGTTGAGCCGGCCGAACGTAGAGCGAAGCGCGCGAGCGCGAAGGCGCGTGCCGAGATTGGCCAGTCCGGCGAGGAGAAGCCGGGGGGCGAGCTGGGCGCGGCAGCGTGGGGGGAAGGGAGAGGCGGCAGCGGCTGGTGCAGGCTCTGCTCGGGGGGCTGCTGTGCAGAGCGCACCACCGTACAGCCGCACTCCTCGAGAGAGACGAGGTGAGGAAGTCGCCGCGCCGAGCCGACACGCGCCGCTGTCAGACGATAGCTCGCTCACCTCCTCCCTCCCAACAGCCAGCCATGTCCGAGACCAAGCAGTATACCTGGGACGACCTCCGCACCGAGGGCGCAAAGTCCAAGGACGGCCTCCTCATGCTCATCCACGGCAAGGGTGCGTCCCCCCTCCTCCTCCTCGCGCCACCACCTCGTTCTCACCCACCTCCCTGCCCCGCAGTGTACGGCATCTCCAAGTTCCTCGACGAGGTGAGCTCTCCAGCGTGTCCTCCACCACCCTCTTCCACAGCCCCACGCGAGCTGACACACGCTCTCCCTCGCAACAGCACCCGGGCGGCGACGAGGTCCTCTTTGGCGAGGCAGGGCGCGACGCGACCGAGGCGTTCGAGGACGTCGGCCACTCGGACGAGGCGCGCGAGATCCTCGACAAGTACTACGTCGGCGAGGGCCCCGAGGTGAGCTCTCACTTTCGTCTGCCTCGTTCGACCGGGAGCAGGACGGCGACGAGGTGCGAGGTTGCCGGACGCGGCGCGCCGGCCTCGGTCGCGCTCGTCTCGAGCTCAGCTGCAGCCGTGTGCGCGCCTGCACTGCTCTCCGTGCGGCTGGTCGACCCCGGCGACGTTGCCGCGGCGGCGCGACCTCCTCTCGACACCGCCCCCTCCTCCTCCTCCGGCACCGCGACCCAGCCCTCCTTTGGCCGAGCACTGACTCGTACTCTCTGCGCCGCAAACAGGGCACGGCCAAGGGTGCCGCACCGGCAAAGTCGGCGCGCGAGGCGGCGGGCAAGGCAGAGGGGTGCGTCGGCTCTCTCTCGTGCCTCTCGGCGCACGCGCACTTTCTCGCATGCGTGAGCCGAGTAGTCCTCAATGCGGGCCTGACCCACTTGTGCTCGTGCAGCGGCGGCTTCACCTACCTCCTCCCCTTGGCCGCCATCGCCGCCTGGTTCGCCTACAAGTACGCCCCTCTCTCTCTCCCTCGCTCCTCTTCCTCCTACCTCGTACTGACGCCTCGTCCCCTCGCGCAGGTTCTACTCGTCCAAGGACCAGTAGACTCGCTCTCGGTAGACGTCGACCGGCTCGGTGGCCCCCCCTTTGTCGTTTCCTTCCCTCCTCTTTCCCTTTCTCCTCTCGCAGTAGTACCCTTGGCCCTCCCCTTCCCCTCTCCCACACACTCTCTCTCGGTCCACTCCAGGGCGGTATAGCAACCTCGTTTGTCGCATCATCTCGTCGACCGTCTCGAGCGAGGTAGAGAGAGCGTGAGAGCGAGTGCAAGGCTCTCGAGACAAGGGCCCGATGAGGTGGACGAGGGTCTATGATCGAGTGGTTGCAGGGGCGAGGGCGACGAGGAGGGACATGAAGGGAGTGGTGCGCGGGAAGGACGAGACGGCGAGAGGGACAAGAGGGCGAAAGGGCTGGGCGCGCAACATTCACCTGCCGTGCCGAGGGTGCTGTGCGGACGCGTGCATCGAGGCGAATCAGCACGTCGCTCATCTCGAGAGCGAGAGAGAGACAGCCGAGGCCGAGGGAGAGAAACGATCGCGACGCACCCAAGTCCCGTACAGCTGCCCGGCGCTCTCCTTGCCCGTCACGGGCCTGAACGCGTCGAACGGCTCGACAACATCGTCGAGCCCGTCGTCCTCGGGCACGGCCATGGTCGGCGGCGCACGCCCATGCGCGGTGGAGCTCGTGCGCGCGCGAGCGCCCTTGAGCGCGCTGCGCAGCGGGACGTCGCCGGCCGAGCTCGAGGTCGACGTGGCCGACGACTCGGTGCCCGAGGCGGACGAGGACGAGGCGGGGACCGAGGCGGACCAGGCGGCGATGCGCGAAGCTTTGGCCGGTGGGAGGAGCGGCTTGGGCGGGAGGACGGGCGGCGCAGGTGCGGGTCCGGGCGGGACGGGGCTCGAGCGCGGCCGGCGAGAGGGGAGGTCGAAGCTCGAGTCGGCCTCAGGCGCGAGGAGGCTGTCGAGAGGAGCGATGTCAGTCGGTGACTGAGGGACATGAGAAGCGTCGAGGGAAAGTGGGACGCACTGGTTCTGCCGGAACGAGTCGCCGATGCTGCGCCTCCTCGCCGCCGACGACGACGACGGACGCTCGATGCGCTCCCACTCGGCGTCGCCCGTGTCGTCCTCGTCGACGTACTGCTGGCGATGCTGCGGCTGCTGCTGCTTGTGCCGCTGCTGCTGGGCGAGCTTGGTCGAACGAAAGCGCGCCTCGATGAGGTCGGCTTCTTCGCGGGCAATGCGGCTGCGACAACATGTGGTCGTAGTCAGTCCGGGCTCACATACAGTGAGAGAGAAGGACAGACGAGAGAGAGGTGGACGCACGCAGCAAGGTCCTTGCGCTCCCTCAAGAGCGCCGCCTCGTCCTCCTTCTCGACCCTCGCGACGCTCGCACGCCTGCCCCTCGCCGCCCCACCCTTGCCGAGCGACCGATACGTGTTGTACCCGTCGTCGTCGTCGCCGCGTCCACCGCCGTCGTCCCGCCCTCGACTCGCCGAGCGGTCCCTGCCCCGGCTCGACGACCGCTCTCGGTCCCTCCTCGAGCCTCGCCCACCTCCTCCACCACCGCCGCCACCACCGCGCCGCCCGTCCCGCGAGTCGGCCTCGCTCGCGTAGCTGTCCCGCCGACCGCGCAACGATGCCCTCGGCGGCGGCGGCGCGGCGTCGTCGTCGCTCCCGGACCCCTCCGAGCCCGAGTCAGACGGCGTCGGCGCGCGGTCGCGGTACCGCCCTGCGTCGCCCCGTGCGCCGGCCCGCGATGGAGCGCTCCGCGTTGCCGTCGAGGCAGGCGCAGGAGGAGGGGCGTAGTCGGCGGGCGAGGCCGTCTCGTCCGAGTAGTCGCTCGGGGCTGATGGCGCCGACGGGCGCGGCTGCTGCTGCTGCGGCTCGCGAGGTGGCGTGTACGAGCCGTACGACGAGGACGGAGGAGGAGGAGGATAGGCCGCGTAGGACGAGGGAGCGGGAGGAGGCGGCTGAGCCGGGTACGGCGGCGCGCCTGGAGCGGGGGGAGGTGCGCCGGGGTAGTAGCCCGGCTGAGGCTGAGGCTGCTGCGGCGCCGGCGGGTACGACGGCACGGGCGGCGCTCGCTGCTGCTCGTAGTACTGCTGACCGGGCGCCGCCGGCGCAGGAGGTCCGGGCGCAGCCGGCGGGCCGTACGAGCTCGCGTGCTGCAGCGTCGGCGGCGGCGACGGGTAGCCGAGGTGCTGCGGCTGCTCGACAGCCTGCGCCTGCGGTGGTGCGACAGGTGCGGCGACAGGCGGCGGCGGCGGCGGCGGTGCAGGTGCAGGCGGCGTCGAGATCTGCCAGATCCACTGGCCGTCCGTGCCGGGCACCCATTGCCCGACCGAGCCCTGCGACGGCGGCGCACTCGCCGCTTGAGCCGGCGCAGGTGCGGGTGACGTCGCCAGCTGTAGCGGTGCGGGCGCTCGAGCCGGCTGCAGCGACGGCGACGGCGCGCCGTACGGCTGCGGCGACGCCGAGAGGGCCTGCGGCGGCTGCGGCGGCGCGCCGTAGTAGCTCGCCGGGCGCGCAAGTGCGGGCGACGGCGCCGGCGGCTGGCGGTACTGCTCGGCCCAGTAGGGCTGTGGCGGTGGCGAGGGTCCGAGCGGCTGAGCCGGCGTCGACGTGCGCGGTGGGGCGAACGAGGGGAGGACGGGTGGAGGTGGGCCGGGAAAGGGAGGGTACGACGCGGGTGGCTCGCTCGGCGCGGGCGTCGGGGCGTACCCGCGAGGAATGCCCTCGCCGTAGGTCGACGCCGGCGGCTCGTGCGACGCGCCGTAGCTCGACGACGGGTAGCGCTGAGGCGGCAGCGGCGGGCTCTGCGCGCTCGGCGGCCAGCCTGGCTGCTGCTGCGCAGGTGGACCTTGCTGAGGCGGCTGCGGTGGCCAAGCCGAGTAGGCGGGACCGGGCTGTTGGGCGAGGCCGGGCTGGCCCTGGGGCGGTGCGCCCTGCTGGCCGTAGTAGCTCGGCTGCTGCTGTAGCTGAGGAGGAGGCGAGAACGCCTGCTGCTGCTGCTGCGGCGGCGGTGGCGGCGGGTAGCCGAACGATGGCGCTTGAGGCGGCGGCGCGCCTGGTTGGCCGTACGGCGCGCTTGCGGACGGGTAGTTGGGCTGACCGTACTGGATCGAGCCGCCATAAGAAGAAGGAGGGGCTGCAAGAGGGAGAACGGCCGTCAGTTGCGGACGCTGAAGGAGAAGGGGAAGGAGAGACGCACCAGCCGGATAGCCCTGCTGACCTGGCCCGCCGTACCCTCCCTGCCCACCTTGCCCTTGCCCCTGCCCGTAGCCTCCAAGTCCTGCTGGCGCCGCCTGCTGCCCTGCGCCCGCTCGGCCCGCCGTCGCCGGCCCGCCACCGCCTGCCGCCGCCCCGTCGCCCGGCCACGCATCGTCGGCGTACGGGTCTCCTGCCGCATCGTCGCCGCCGTAGCCCGTCGCAGCTGGCGCCGCACCGCGCGACTTGCGGCTCGACGCCGTCGTGACCGACGAGGGCGGCGCCGCCGTGCTCCTCCTGCTCGAGCGCGACGGCACCGCCGAGAACGCGTCGTCGTCCGTCGCCACGCCGTCGCCGTCGCCGTACGACGAGTCGTCGACGGCGCTGTCCCGCCGAGACGAACGACGCGCCGACGACGAGTAGCCGTCGTCCTTGACCGCCGCGCTGCTGCGTGTCCTCGACCGCGACGAGCGGCGCCGGTCGCTGCGGCGGTCGCGCCCGTCGTCACGATCGCGGTCGCGGTCGCGGTAGTCGTCGCGGTCCCGAGTCGAGCGAGACGAGCGCGTGCGCGACGAGGATCGGTCCCGGTCTCGGCGGTCGTCTCGGTCGCGGTGGGACGACGAGTACTTGGACGACGAGGAGGGCATGCGGTCGATGGAGGATGTCGAGGACGAAGAGGATGGGAGGCAGGTGAGAAAAAGGAGGCGACGGCGGGCCGAGGTAAGGACGGCGGAGAAGCCGCGGACTGGCGAGACGAGCCGAGTCGAGTGCGGCGGCGAGGACGACGACGGGAACCTGCTGGACGACGAGCGGTTCAGTGCGGCTCGGCGAAGAGAGTAACAGGACAAGCGACGCACTGACACGAACCCTCCTGCACTGCACAGCGAGGACGAGGAAGAGGGAGAGGAGCGGCGACACCGAGGGCGACGGCGGCCAGCCGCAGCCCGACTCCTCTCTCCTGCCCCCTCGCGAGCCGGTCCGCGGACGTTCCGGAGGACAGCCGCCCGCCGCTCGCCGCCCGCCGCCGTCGCCGTCGCGCCGTCCGTCCGCGGCCCGTGCGCGTGTCGCACGTCTCCCCACCTCCCTCGCGCCCTCAGCGCCGCTCCCTCGACTTTCGACAACGAGCACCTGCACAGTGAAAGACGACGACACCGACGGCCGACCCGAGTCAACGACGGCGCGCCTCACGCCTCGTGCACGAGCGCCGTTCGGGCCCTCGCGGGCCGACCGGGCGCCCGCAGCGCCTCGAGGCGGCGATCGCGCTCGTCCTGCGCGCCGACGGGGTCCGTGTCGGACTTGGTCGGCGGGACGAGCTTGGCGGGCGCGGTCGGCGTGGTCGGCGTGGGCTGGGGGGACGAGGTGGACGACGCGGACGAGCGCGGGAAGAGGGAAGGGGAGGGGAGCGAGTGGAGCGTCTTGAGCGCGGCCGAGAGCTCGCCGAGCTGCGTTACACGTGCGGTCTCAGTGTCGACCGAGAGAGAGCGCGCTCGAGAGAGAGAGAGAGGAGGGGGCGCACCTGCGCCATGATGCCCTCGACGCCCTCCTCGCGGCGCGCAAACTGGTCGGCGCTGTCCTCGTACGCCCTTGCGACGCGCTCGCGCTGCTCCTTGGTGCGGTCGCCGAGGCCGCCGTCTCTGCCCGCCTTGGCCGCGCCCGCTTGCGGTGGGGACGAGGGCGCTGCAGTGGGGCGCTCGGCGGCGGCGAGCGTGTCGATGGCCGGGATGCGCTCGAGGCGCGAGTGGGCCGAGGCGATGCGGGCCTGGATGGCCTTGACCGTGTCGAGCTGGCTGAAGATGCGCTGGGTCGACGACAGGGTCGAGGTCGGCGAGTGGTGGGGGGATGAGGACGAGGGCGACAGCGGGTAGGCGACGGGGCCACGGTCGATGAAGCTGCCGGCGTCCGAGTCGGCCTTGAGCGTGCTTGACTGGCCCTGAGCCGCGTACTGGCCTCGGCCGAGCTGCTCTTGCTGGCGGTGCGGGTCGTCGCTCGATGAGACGAACGAGGCCGGCGAGTCGTGCAGGCCTCGCTCTAGCGGCTGCGAGGCATGGCCGAGGTCGATCTCGAGGTGCGGTGGAGCATGCAGCGGCGTCACAGGGAGCGACACGCTCATGTTGGCGGGTCGAGTCGGGGGCAGACAGCCGAGGAGGAGCCCGCCCTGCTCTCGCTCAACGAACGAGCCTCTCTTTCTCTCACTGGGAGCGGTCCATGCACAGGCTAGTATACGACAGGGAGAGAGGCAGCTCTACAACTTGGACCCCTTGTGTGCGCTCGACTCGTCGCTCTCCTTGCGGTGCACGAGCGTGCTCGGCGCGACGCCAAACTCGGGCGGCACCTCGATCCCTTGCTCGGTCGCGATCACTCTGCGGACAGCGATCGCGTGTCAGTGTGCAGGACGGGCGAGAGGAGCGCAGGAGAGAGGCGGGACGGACCGGATGAGGGCAAAATGGTGGACTGCGCGCACGCACTCGGTGTCAGCTTGGCGCAGTCGAGAGGGCGTCGTCGGAAAGGAAGGAGAGGGACGCACCGGCATGGAAGCTCGCGAACCACAGCTCGCGCGCAAACGAGCTCCCGACCTCGACCTCGAACGGCGTCGTCGCGTGCAGGCGGACGGCGCGCTCCGGGTCGACGCCGTGGCCCTCGCGCGTGACTTCGGCGAGTTGGGCGCGCAGCTGCTGGAACGACTCGACGCACGCGGCGTGCGACGTCTCGGCGGCGAGGTTGCGGGACCGGATGTCGTACGAGAACTCGATCGGCGAGGACGACGACGCGGAGGCGCGAGAAGTGCCGTCGAGGAGGAGGCGGTAGTGGTCGGCGAGGTGGCGAGCGTGCTTGCCGATGGTCGAGCCGCTGCTGAGCTGGCTGGCGAAGGTGATGTGCTCGTCCGACGTCACGCTCGTCGAGAGGAGCGAGATGAACGAGTCGATGAAGTGGAGCGCGACGAGGTACAGGACCTCGGTCGGGTTCTGTGCGCCGGTTGCGGCACTGCTGAGTGCCTCTGCGCTGGCGAGTGCGGCCATGAGGCGACGAGTGGCGGGACACAGAGCCAAGTCCGACAGGCGCGAACCGGTCGCTCGGGTCGGCTACCCGCCAGCGCTTCGTCAGCTAGCAGGCGGCTCTTGCACTGCATGGGGAGACCTCTGTACACGCTGCAGAGCAGCCGCGTCGCGTCCCGGTGGTGTCGTCGCTCCTCCTCGCCTCGCGGCCGACCTTCATCTCTCCGAGCCTCTCTGCCCCGCGCGCCTCGCTCGGCTGCGATCAAGTCGACGGTATTGCGCTCAGACCAGCTACTGCTTTGCCGACGCGGAACGGCCGCGCCTTCCGACGAGGACTGCCGCGCGAGGCGATGTCCTTTTCGTCGCCTCGGCCGCTCGCCTCCGTCTCGTTGCCTCTTCTCCTCCTCGCCCTCGCTCAGACGTGCTCAAGCTTCGCCATGCTCCTTTCGACCCTGTTCTTCGTCCTGAGCGCCTCTCTCGCCCTCGCCGACGTCAGTCACGGTGCGTCTCCCTCCCTTCCTTTCCTCTCCTTCTCGCCGACTGACTCCCTCCTCGGCCCAGCAGACGACGGCAAGACCGCGATCTCCGACTCGCAGTCCCGCAAGGAGGACCTGCGCGACATGTCGCTCAAGGAGATCTGCTACCGCAACCTGTACGCCGACGTCGGTGCGCCACCTCTTTCCACTCGTCTTTTTCGCCGCCTCGGAGCGCGCACTGACACCTCGCCCGACGTACAGACGCCTTCACCGTCAAGCACTCGACCGAGGCGCTCATCTCCGACAGTGCGCCGACCTCTCCCCCAAGCCTCATCAACGCGCACGCACTGACCCTCGTCCGCTCGATCCTCGCAGCGCACGGCAAGGCGGTCTTCCTCTCGGACGGCATCAAGAAGGCGTTCGACGACGTCGAGTACTACTACGAGGAGTTCTGCTACAAGAAGGTCAAGGCCCGCAAGCGCTCGGACGACGGTGCGCCCCCTCTCGTCCTTTCTCTCAGTCAGGCCCGACACCTCGCTGACCGCCGCCTCGCCCGCCTTTCTCCCATCTCGCCTGCCCACCCATAGTCTCCAAGCACTCGGGCCTGCTCGTCGGCCGCCAGCTCGGCGTCCCCGTCACGCAAGGCGGCCTCTCGAGCTCGTTCGGCGACGACGTCGGCGGCGTGCCGCACTCTTCGGCCGACTCGATCCTCGCCGACCGCAGCACTGGCCTCAACGCCGACGGCGACCAGCTTACGGCCGATGGCAAGACCGGCGCGAGCTCGTCGCCCGTGATCCTGCGCCTCAAGGCGCGCCAGGTCGACTCGACGCAGCTCGGCGCGGGCAAGGGCGTCGAGCGCCGCTCGCCCGGGTGGATCGTGCGCGTGCTGCGCATCGTGTCAGGTCAGTGGGACGGGCACGACGACGGCGACGAGGGGGCGGGCGGCGAGGGAGAGGGGTGCGAGGAGGGTCAGGAGGAGAGGGGCGTCGACGACGGGCCGCAAGGGTGCGTCCTGCTCTCTCTTTCCCTCGCCCGAGTGGCGTACGTGGCGTGACGAGCGTGAGCTTACACTGGCTTGCCCCTGCAGAGGCCTCCTGTTCGAGTGAGCGCACCGAACCTCTCCTCGTTCTCTTTCCCGCTTGGCTTTCTTCCCCTCTCGCTCGTCCCTCCTCCTCGTCGGTACCTCGTCGGCTTGTCGTGCTGTAGCGTTCTCGATCTGCATCCTTTCTTTCTCTCTTCTTCGTCGTCCCGAGAGATCTCGAGCGAGAGGAAGCGGCGCTCCGGATCTTTCTCTCGGTCTCTGTCGCTCACGTCGTCTCGCCGGGCAATCGTCGAGACCGCACAGACTGCAGCACAGAGAGACAGAAAGCTACGGTGGGCAAGAAAGGCAAGAAGGGTCTGTCGCCGGCTCGAGAAGAGGCTTCGTAACTGCGACCGCAGTGAGAGAAGGGTCAGGCGACGAAAGAGAGACGGCAGGTCGAGCGGGGACGTACGTCGAGGGCTCAGGTCGTCGCGTCGAGCTTGTCGAAGGCGTCGGTGCCCGTCGGCGAGTTGGCGAGGGCGGCGAGCTCGTGCGAGCCGGGGCCCGAGGCTTGGTCGACCGTCTGGTTCGTCGCGACTGTGCGTACGAAGCGCTCCTCGATCAGTACGACGCTTGAAGGAGAGCGCAGACACCGAGAGAGGAACGAGCGCGACGCACCGCTGCCGCTCGTCGACCCGACCGTGCCCGCCTTGACGCTCCACCCTGCTCCTCCTCCCTCGCCGCTCGCACTCCTCCCTACCGCCGCCCACGCCCCAGGCTCGTAGCACGCCTCCAGGTAGACGGCACGCGTCGCGTTGAAGGTCGTCTTGCGGCCGGACGAGAGGTGGAAAGGGGTGCCGCCGGCTGCGAGTGGACGAGGGACGTGAGCTCGACGGCGAGAGAAAGATGGAGATGCGGGGACGCACCGTCTTTGAGCGAGAGAGAGGCGAGGAGGTCGACCGAGAGCGACACTGCGGCGTTCGGGGACCGAGAATAGGTCAGCCCGTCGCCCGAAGAAAGTGGCGCTCGACCCTCTCGAGACCGTCCCGACGCACCCGCACCGCCGAGCACCTCTCGGATGCACACCTCCCTCTCGCCCTCGCTCCTCTCGAACGCCCTGTGGTCGAACACGAGCGCTCCGGCGCTGTCCTGGCGCAGCGCGGCCGGGAAGGACGAGGGCGAAGACGGCTGGCTCGGGGGAGGAGAGGGCGGTGCGGGCGAGTCGAGCGGGGCGAGAGGGTAGGCGCGGTAGGGGGCTGCGACCGGCGCTGTGGGTACAGTAGGTCAGTGTGAGGCGAGAGACTGAGAAGAGAGAGAGATGAGGGCGCACCGAGGGCGAGCGCTTGGGCGACGAGGAAGAAGGGCGCCAGGACGACGGCGACGGCGCAAACGCGGAGCATGTCGGCTGGCGCTCGTCCGGGGAACGACGAGGTCGACGGTGGTGAGGGCGAACGAGACGAGGGAGAGGACGAGCCGGTGACTGCGAGGGAGGGTCATCAGCCCGGGGAAGAAGTCGGGACGGACCCGGGATTCACGGCCGGAGCCTTCCAGACGTCGTCGCACGATCGCCGCAGCGCAACGAGCAGCTCGAGCCGTGATCGAGAGCTGCCGCGAGAGAGCGGTCGCCAGCTCGCGACGAGAGGCGGAAGCACCACCCGGTGTGACGGCGCTCACGCTGCTGTGCAGGCGCTCGAGAGCAGAGCTCTGAGGCACTATGCGCAGCACACCTGCCGGCTCAGAGGCGAGTCGCGGCGGACGAGGGCGGGTTGAGCGAGTGCGAGCGAGGACGAGGAGCGCGAGGCAGCATCGCCCAGCGGCGCGCCAGAGTTGCGCTTAGACGCTCGAGGACTAGCCTGCCTGCAGCTCGAGCAAGCCCGCACTGGCAGCAGAGGCAGGCGAGGACTGGGAAGGAGAGGAGGACGCCGACGACGACGACGCGACTACTCGTCGTCGTCACACGACCGCTCGCTCTCGCTGAGCTGCTTGCAGGAGACGCCGACAGTGTTCAGTGTGGTCTGATTGACCAGCTCGAGCAAGTCCTCGCCCTCATCGGGTGCGTCCTCCCTCTCCTTCTCCTCTCCCCCACCTCGAGCCTCACCCGCTCACTCTCGGCTGTCCACAGCGTCAAGCGCCGAGCATGTACTTTCCCTCGCCCCTGCCGACCACTCGCCTCTCGGTCTCGACCTCGGCGCTCCCCGTCGGGCCCGCCCCAGCCCAGCCGACGCGCCCGTACAAGACGCCCGGCCGGCCGTCCAAGGGCAAGTTCAAGGACTCGCTCGGCGGCCTGCTCGAGGAGGAGGGCGAGGAGATCATCGACATTGCGCGCGGGCCCGACTGCGACAACGACGGCGACGGCGACGACGCGGCGTCGCTCCCAGCCGGCGCGAGGTCGCTCTGGGCTTCGCTCGGCAGGGAAGAGTTCAGCGTGTGGTCCACTCGGGTGCGTCCTCCTTTCGCTCACACTCGTACCTCCACCTTTGCCCCAGCTGACCGCGCCTCATGACGGCAGCCCAAGGTCGTCCTCGCCAAGCTCCGCCGCACGCCCTTCTCGCTCCGCACCCACGGCTCGAACGCGTCCATCCACTTTCACGGCCCGACCCGCATCATCGTCACGACCTCGACGGGCCACCACCTCGTCTACTCGATCGTTCCCGCCTCCACCGCCGCGACGACGGGCCGGCGACCGACCACCAACGAGGTATATGTCCTGCCCGGCGGCGACAAGGCGCAGGAGGCTTGGCCAAAGGGGGCGGGAGAGGGGCAAGAGCTGCAGGGGATCGTGATCCGCGGCGATGGCGAGCGAGGGATGGCGATTGGCGAGGGCGTCGGCTGGTGCGTCCCCTCCCCCTTTCCTCCCGCGCCAACGAGCGCAGCAGGCTGACCTCTCCTTCCCTGCGCAGCGTCTGCGTCACCCCGTCCGATCTCCTCGTCGCCGTCCAGGACCCACCCATCCTCCGCATCGTGCCCTTTCCCTCGCCCGTCGCCCCCGAATCGTCCGCCTCGACCTCGACCTCGCGCCTGCCGACGTTCGGCAAGGCGCCCGCCGCGCCGAGCCTCCAGCGTCGGACGAGCGGGTGGGAGAGCTTGCCGCAGGGCTTGGGCGCGCAGGAAGGCGCGAGCGACGCGGTGCCGCTGAGCGAGTGGGAGTGGCTCGTCGGGCGGGATCGAGACGACGGTGCGCCCTCAACCCTCTTGCGCTCCTCCTCTTCCTCGTGCCTGACATGAGCTCTTCCACACAGTCACCATCACCTCGCTAATCGCGCTCGCGCCTCCACCTTCCGCCACAACGCCCGACGCGCCCAGCCCTCCTCCTCTCCGACAGCAGCCCTCGTACTCGTCCCTGCGCTCCCACAGCAGCGTCCCCCCTCCTCCGCCCCCCACACCTCGTCAGCCGACGACCTTTATCCTCCTCACCTCGGACGGCCGCGCCTACCTCGTTCGCTGGGCGCCCCCACCTCGTCCTCCTCCGCCATCCGCGACCGCCACCCCGACGGGCGCCTCGGGCTCGCTCGCGCGCGCGCACGCGGCAGCAGGCGCGAGCAGCACGAGCTTGCTCCTGTCGCCGTCGTCGGAGAGCGGCGGTGGCCCGTTCGCGTTCGGGCCTGGGCAGGGGCCGGGCACGCCCGGAGGAGGAGGTGGGGCGGGCGCCGGCGAGCGGTGGACGTGGGAGGGCGTGTGCTTCCACCCGAGGGTGCCGGTGGGCAAGAGCGGCAAGGGCGAGGACGAGCGGGAGGGCCAGAGCGGGCTCGACGTCGAGAAGCAGGAGAAGGAGCTCGACCGGGGCAAGGGCGCGAGCTGTGCGGCGGTCAACGAGGTCATGGGGCTCGTCGCTGTCGGCTGCGAGGAGTACGTCCTCAATCCTTTCAAGGGCTCGTGTCCCTCGGCCTCGAGCGACGAACTGACCTCGCGCCGTTCGTCCGCAGCGGGAGCGTCGCGACCTACAACCTTCTTCCGCCGCCAGGCTCGCCGCCGAGCTCGCCACTCGACCAGCTCTCGCCGCCGAGCCTGTCGCACACGTCGGCGCTGCGCGACTCGCTCAACACGACGGCCTCGGCGCTCGCGACTGGGCCGGTGACGTGTCTCTCGTGGTGCGTCCTCGCCTCGCCCTCTCTCTCTCTCGTGCACGAGGAGCCTCACTCATGCCTCTCGCTCATCGACCGCAGGACCTCGGACGGCTACGCCCTCGCCTCGGGCTTCGCGCGCGGCTACGCCCTCTGGTCGACCTACGGCCGGCTCGGCTCGTGGTCGGTCGCCGGCGCGCTCGACTCGTCGTCGTCCGGCGGTGGAGCAGGGCACGGCGTCGAGGGCGACAAGAGCGACGCGTTCGAGGACCACTTCATGGAGGGCGTCAGGGCGTGCTTCTTCGCCCAGGGCGACGCCGAGCTCGTCGTCTTGTGCCCGCCGCCGGTCCACCCCAAGCGCAAAGGTGCGTCACGGCGTTCTCTCTTCCTCTCGTTCGGTGACTTTGCGTCACAGCAGAGCATGGTCTTGACGAGCTTCGTTCCACAGCTCACGACGAGCAGCTGTTCGTCATCCCGTTCGCCAAGAGCGCCGTCACGGCGTGCCACGCTCCCGACAACACCAAGAACGCCTTCCTCCAGACCGATGACCGCGTCCTCGTCTACCGCGGCGCCGATCAGCCCGACATGAGCGTCATCAACCCCGAGAGCGACGTCTGGCAGCACATCAAGGTGCGCCCGCGAGCCTCTTCCTCCTTGCGGCGGCGTCACCTGCCTCGTCGAGCGCCGACTGACTCTCTCCCGCATGGCGTTGTCGCTGCGGTCGTGCACAGATACCCGCCGCCTACATCGCCTCGCAGTACCCGCTCCGCTACGCCGTCATCTCGTCCGACGCCCGCCTCATCGCCGTCGCCGGCCGCCGAGGCCTGACGCATTACAACGCCCTCAGCGGTCGATGGCGCCTGTTCGAGGAGGAGCGGGACGAGGAGGCGCTCAGGGTGTGCGGCGGCATGGTCTGGTGGGGCAGCGTGCTCGTCGTCGGGTGCGAGGTCGAGGGGGAGTATCAGGTGTGTCGGCCGTCCCTCGAGCTGTCGGCGCTCTTCTGAGCCGTGAAGGAGCCGGACTGACTTCTTGACCCGCCGGATCTACAGCTGCGCCTCTTCTCGCGCGACAAGCCGCTGTCGCTCGCCGACACGCTCGAGATCGTCCCGCTCGACTCGGCGCCCCTCGTCCTGAGCGTGTTCGACTCGTCCCTGCTCGTCTACACGGCCGACAACACGTTCCACCACTTCCTCATCCGGTCGACCCGGAGCGGCGGGCCGAGGTTGCGCGTCTGCGGGAGCATCGGCTTCGAGGGGGTCGTGCAGGACCCGAGGAGGGTCAGGGGCCTGAGCTGGCTTGTGCCCAAGTCGCAGCAACGTGCGTCCCACCTCCTCCTCTCGCAGTGAAGGCGTGAGACTCGTCGAGCCGGACACCGACTCGCCCTCCTCGTACTCGCAGGGTTCGGCGACCCGGCCGACGACCTGAACGTCGCGACGATCATCTTCCTCATCTCGGGCCGCCTCGTCCTCCTACGCCCTCGTCGAGCTGCCCACGAGGAGGTCAAGTACGACCTGCAGATCTTGGCCGACCGCGTCGAGTTCTACTGGACGCACCTGCGCGGCATCGGGACGCTCGAGAACTCGCTGTGGGCGTGGGACGGCGCCAAGATCCGCGTGTGGCTCGACGCGCTCACGATCGAGAAGGTGCGCGTCGACGCCAAGCGCGACGCGTACGAGACGGTGCGCGAGAGCGTCGCCATGCCGCTCGACTTTTACCCGCTCGGTCCGTCCCCTTCTCCCTACCTCTTCCTCATTCGCCAGCTCTACGAGCCTCTTACTGATGACGGTCATGTGTGTGTGCGCAGCGGTCCTCATGGACAAGGGCATCATCGTCGGCGTCGACCAAGAGACCTCGCTCCGGCGCTCCCTCGACTTTGCCCTCTTCCGCATCATCACGACTGTGCGTCCTCTCCCCGCACCCCTCGCGCCCTCGTCCGCAGCAGTCATTGACCACACGAGCCTCCTGCTTCCTCCCGCAGACGCACCTGTTCCTCCATCACGTCCTGCGGGTCCACCTCGACCGCTCGCAAGCCCGCGAGGCCGTCCTCTTTGCGTCGCACTACCAGCAGCTCGTCTACTTCCCGCACGCGCTCGAGATGCTCCTGCACGAGGTCCTCGAGGACGAGGCCGACTCGGTCGCCGCATCATCGTCGTCGCCGAGTGCGCTCGCACCCCCTCCCGGTCAAGGAGGCCTCCTCGCCCGCGTCATCGACTTCCTCGACCACTTCGACGACTGCCTGCAGGTCGTCGTCAACTGTGCGCGCAAGACCGAGGTGACGAGGTGGGAGCTCCTATTCCGCATCGCCGGCAAGCCTCGAGAGCTGTTCGAGGTGCGCCGCCGCCCGTCCTCTTTCCTCGTCTGCCGCGCCACAGCGGTCCGACTGACTCTTTTCGCGTCGTGCACCTGCAGAAGTGCATCGCGTCGGGCTTCTTTAAAGTCGCGGCGTCGTACCTGCTCGTGCTGCACAACCTCGAGCCGGTCGAGCAGTCGAGCAAGGTGAGCCCTCTCAGTTCCTGTCTCTCCTCGTGGGCAAGCGCGGGACTGACTTTTCTCCTCGTTGCGCAGGACACGGTGAGGTTGCTCAAGGTGGCGATGGAGGCCGGCGAGTGGACGGTGCGTCCGCATGTCCTCCCCTCGACTCGCTCGGCGTCGCCCCGATGCACGGTTCCTGACCGGTCAGCGACTTTCGAATGCAGCTGTGCCGCGAGCTCCTGCGGTTCCTGTACTCGCTCGACCGCACGGGTCAGATTCTGCGCACGGCACTCAGCGAGAGTACATCCGCGTCCTCCTCTTCTCCCTACTCCCCTCCTCCCTCCCCTTCTCTGCCCCTTTCCTCGTCCGACGCCTCGTCGACGACATTCTCCGACGCGGTACGGCCCAGTACTTGCGTCCGGTTCGGCGACTGACCCTCTCGTCGCGCGCGCAGGCTCGGCCTTGCCTGGTTTCTTCCCCTCGTCCTCCTCCGCCGACCTCTCCCCGAGCGACTCTCGCCGCCCGCTCCTCGCTTCTCCTCCCTCTATCTCTGCGGCACTCGACGGCCGATCAAGCATGGACGGCGAGCGCGGCGTGCCTGTCACGGGCAGGCTCGGAGGCGACGGGCTCGGGCTGAGAGGGGTCGGCGGGAAAGATGGCGGCGGCGGCGGGACGTAGAGCGTCGGCGCGTGTCGCCATGCACCTATTCGAGTGGGACACATGGCTGGGCTGTCGACGTCCGCTGTCGAGCGCTTGCGCGCGACCTCGTCGACGCGAGAGGCTCGCAATTGCTCGATTTGAGAAGGTCGTCTCGCGCTCGCCTCTAGCACTCGCTTCGCACAGCTGTTCTCAGTCTCCTGTCGTGCTCTGGCTCCTCTCCTTGTCGCGCTTCGACGGTTGGGGTAGCTGAGCTCGGCCCCGGAGGCGCGAGCGGACGGACGGCGGACGTCGTCTCTCGCTCGCCCGCCGCCTCCCTCTTTCTCTCCTTCTTCTTCGTCGACCTCGCCTCGTCTCGCTCGGGCTCGCTCGCGGCTGGACCAGCGCGGTCAGACCCGGCTCGCACGGCTCTATAAGAAGGTGCGCCCCTCTGCCTCCCTCTGCTCGCCCGCACGCGCCCTGACCACTTTTTCCCCCTCCTCCTCCTCGCGCAGCCTCGAGTCGTGACTTGTCAAGCTCGTGCGCCTCAACTCGGCTGGTGGTCCCCTCGCCTGCTTCTCGGTGCACAGGTGCGCCCTCCTCTCTCTCTCGCCGCCGTCGTCGTATGACTCGCGCCGACCTCGTCTTCCTTCGCCCGCAGCTTCCTCGAAAAAACGACCCTCCTGCCCGACTCGCGGCCCGTCCTTCGTCGACCCTCTTCGTCCCAACCGCCGCCATTTTCCCGACCCTCTCCCGACGCCCTCGCGACGCCGCGCGAGGGTTGTGGTCGGTGAGCCTGTTGATCGCTGCCAGCATCCCCTCGACAAGGTGGTGCAGACGAGGTGCGCTCTCTCTCTCTCTCTCAGCCTCTCTCTCTCGCGGGTCTAGATCAAACCGAGAGCCTCACTGACGCCCCGTGTCCCCCCTCTCGCAGGCTGCACCGGGCTTTGGGATGGCCGTTCGGGCGAGGGCGGCGAGCGCCGGAGGAGAGGGACCCCGAGCGCAACTCGGTGGCGGGTTTGCGCACGTTGTTATGGCGAGCGGTGACAGGAGCCGGGCGTCTCCAGGCGATGCGACGGGCGACGCGCGAGACGGCGGACGTGCAACGACGACGGCGGGTGAGAGTCCTGAGTGCTGCGTTACTTGAGAGTCGACAGACGAGCGAGCACTTCTCCGAGAGCAAGCGCACGGCCGTCGCGCTTTGACCTCGCCCTCGCGCACGCCCGGACCTTCTCAAATCGCCTCAGGGCGAGTTGCTCGCGGTCTCTCGCTCCCACTTGCTCGACCGCTCTCGAAACGCTCTCGCCGGCACAAGAGAAGCAGGAAAGAGCGCGATGCAGGAGAGAGAAGGACGAGGAAGGAAGAGAGAGGGAGGCTACGAAGAGGTCAAGAAGGAGGAGGGGGAGGAGGCGAAGAGAGGCGAGAGAGGAGAGTGAGCTGCAGGCCGGCGAGGGAGAGGTCAGTCTGGGGAACGAGTGACGAGGAAAGAGAAGAGAGAGAGAGACGCACCGGACTCAGTGCCTCGAGACGGCGACGCGGCGCGAGAACAGGACAAAGCCGCGCTTCTTGACGCCGCCCTCGACCTTGCCGTCGCCCTTGCCGTCGTCCTTGTGCGACGCGTCCTTGTCGTCGCCGCCGTACGCCTTGCCGTCGTCAACCGGGTGCTTGTCGTCGCCCGAGCCGAACGAGCCGCCGCCGCCGAGGAGCGACGAGCCGAACGACGAGCCGTCGAACGCGCCCTTGCCGCCGTCGTGGTCGTCGTCGTGCTGCTGCTGATCGCCCTTGGCGTCGACGCCGTCGTCCTTCTTGCTCGACGACGAGTCGCCCTTGGACGAGTCGCCCTCGGACGAGTCGCCAAAGTCGAGGCCAAAGTCGCCCATGCCGTCGCCCTTGGAGAACGTGTCGAGGAACGAGCCCTTGCTGAACAGGCCGCTCGCGCCGCCAAACTCGCCGTCGCCGCCGCCGCCCGACTTGGACGACGAGGCGCCGAGGCCCATGCCGCCGCCGGAGAAGTTCGAGAGGTCGCCGAGGCCGAGCGAGGACGCAAAGTCGCGCTTGCCGACGAGGATGCCCGAGGACGCGTCGTCTGAGGGAGGGCGGGAGAGCGAGTGGACGGGAGGGCGCCGAGAGAGGTCAGTTCGGGAACGAGGGAGAGACGACGACAAGGGAGGAGTAGACGCACAGTCGTTCGAGTGGGAGCGCTCCTTGTACTGCTTGTAGCAGTACTCCTCGTAGTAGTACTCGACGTCGTCGTACGCCTTCTTGAGGCCGTCCGAGAGGAAGACCTGGGCGCCCTTGGCTGCGAACGAGGGAAAGGGGGACCGAGCGAGGGTCAGTTTCGGAGGTCGCCGTCGACGCGAGAGAGTCGGAGAAGCGAGGCCGCACAGTCCGAGAGGAGGAGCTCCTTCTGGTTGTGGACCTTGAAGTAGTCTGCGCGACGACGAGGGACGAGTCAGTCGCCTGCTGACCCTGGACGACGCAGAGAGAGAGAGAGCGAGGGACGCACCGACGTCGGCGTACAGGTTGCGGTAGCACACTTCTTTGTACTCTACCTCCTCGTCGAGGTCGTGCACGTTCTTCGAGCTGACCGAGGCGAGCTTGCCCGTGTCCTTGTCTGCGCGAGGAGGAAGGTCAGTCCCGCCGACGACGACGACGACGACGACGACGACGACGTGGGGAGGAGAGGGAGGGGGCGCACCGTAGCCGATCGACGCGATGGCCGAGCCGGAGAAGGCGAGCGTGGCGAGGGCGAGGGTCGAGGCGAGCATGGTCGAGGTCGGGGGAGGCGAGGGAGGGAGAGGGCGAGGTCGAGGGTGGAAGGGAGGGAAAGGAGGGAAAGAGGCGGTCCGACAGCTCGGCGGCTCTTCTGTGCTACCGAGGTGCTGCGCAGATGGCCCTCGTCTCGCCAGCGGCCGCCGCTTGATCGAGGCGAGGCTCGGCGCGCAGGGGAGGGCGAGCAGTCAAATGGCCTCGGAGCGCTTACTCGCTCGGGCAGTGCCCTTGTCAAGCTCTTCGAGTACGCCATGAAAGCGCTCCGAAGCCCTCAGAGGGCGAGATGCCAGCGTGAGGAGGCGGAGCGATGACGGCGAGCGCAGGCAGCGCGGCGCCGACGCCAAACCCTCAGGGCGGGTTGCGCGTGCGCCCAGGGCCGCACGAGACGGTCAAGCTGGCTGATAGACCCGTCCCGAGCCCACCTGGTTGGGTGGCCGAAGCTGTGCGAGCGAGAGAGGTTGCCGGCGGGGAGGACGACAGCGGTCCATCCCGTTCCCACCAGCTCCTCGGCCCCTGCTGCCGGACCGAGCATTCCAGCCTGCTGCAAGGAGCTCACACGCCAGCCAGTCGAGCGCGCAGGACGCCCCGAGCCGACGCCGCGTATCTCGCGATCCTCATCACCAAACCGATTCCTCCTCGACCACCACGGCCCTCACCGACTCGCTAGACTAGGTGCGCCGCCTGTCTTCTCCACACGGTCCTGGAGAGGACGCATGCACTGACAGCTACGCACCGCGCCGTCTCGCAGCTCGTCATGTCGTCGGCGCCCGTCTGCCGCTTCTACCAGCAAGGGCGCTGCTCGTTCGGCGCAGAGTGCCGCAACTCGCACGGCAACATCCCGACAAAGGGCAACCCGTCCACCGGCCCCGCCCCCAGCTTCAAGTGAGTCCTCGTCCTCGACCTCTCCTCGCCTCGTCGTCCCCTCGACCCGCGAGCTGACCCACCTTCGTTTTCCCGCACGCGCAGCCGCGAATCGATCGAGACCGACCTCACTGTCGAGCTACCACGGTGGGCCCTGTCGTCGTACGGGCCGGGCAAGGGCGAGCCCAACCTGCTCAAGGACCAGGACGTCAGCCCCGACGAGCTTCGCGTCCAGTTCTACGCCGCGCGCACCCAGAACAACCCGAGCCTCTATGTGCGCCCCACTTTTCGACTGTCAGGGAAGGCGGGGACAGAGTCACTGACACGTTGAACCCGCAGCCGGAGCAAGCGCTCGCGGCAAAGGCCGAAGCCGCCGTCCAGAACGCCCTCAACAACCTCGACCAGGCGCACCAGTTCGCTCTCTCCCAGTCATCCACCTCGGCCTCATCCACTGCCCCTTCCACCTCCTCTTCTGCGCCCAACCCGTTCGGCGCCGCCTCGACACCCGCTCGACCAAGCGCGTTCGGTGCGTTCGGGTCCGCCACGCCCTCGACCCCGTCCGCGTTCGGCACCAAGCCCGCCACGACCGCCTTCGGTACCCCAGCCCCCTCGGGCGGCGCCTTCAGCGCCTTTGGCTCCTCGGCGAGCAAGCCGTCGGCGTTCGGCGCGCCCGCACCAGGCGCCGCACCCGGCTCGGCCTTTGGGGCGGGAGGGACCGCCGGCTCTGCGTTCGGGGCCGGCGGCACGTCGGCGTTCAAGCCTGCGACCGGCTTCGGTGCGGCGGCTCCTGGTGCGACGAGCGGCGGCGGCGGGTTCGGCGCCTTCTCGAGCAGCGCGGGCTCGTCGTCGTCGACGCCGAGCGCGTTCGGCGGCGGCGGGTCCGCGTTCGGCGCAGGTGGAACGGCGCCTAAGCCCGCCTTTGGGGCTTCGGCGTTCGGCGCTGGCGGGACCGCAGGCGCGCCCGCCGCGTCCAATGGGTTCGGCGCTCCAGCCTTCGGGTCGAGCGCGACGCCCGCGTTCGGCTCGTCCGCCTTTGGCTCGTCGTCGTCGACGCCGGCGAGCGGCTCGGCGTTCGGCCAATCCGGGTTCGGCGCGGCGGCGTCGACGCCGGCGAGCGGGTCCGCCTTTGGAGCGTTCGGCACGGCGCCGAAAGCGGCGGCGGCGGCGACACCGGCGCCAGCGCCAGGCGGCGGGTTTGGCGCGTTCGCCGCAGGCGGTACTGCTGCCGCGAGCGCGCCGGCGTTCGGCCAGAGCGCCTTCTCCTCGGGCGGGACGGCGCCGGCGACGAGCGCGTTCGGCAGCGGCGGCACGGCCTCGACTGGGTCGGCTTTTGGCGCAGGGGGAGCGGCGCCGACAGCAGGGAGCGCGTTCGGCTCGGGCGGGACGGCGGGCGGTTTCGGCGCGTTCGCTCAGCCGGCGACGGCGCCTGCTGCCCCCGCCGGGACGGCATCTGCGTTCGGCAGCGGCGGGTTTGGAGGGTTCGGCTCCGCTCTCGGCGTCGCGCCGTCAGCGCCTGCGCCTGCGCCCATGCCTGCGTCGTCATCGTCGTCAGCAGCAGCAGGTCCTGATCCATACGCCGGCCTCGAGGAGGAGCAGGAACGAAGCGAGGAGGAGATGGCGATTTGGCGGGCGCCGCGGTTCGAGTGGGGCATGATTCCTCTGACGGCACCGCCCATCTCAGTCAGGTGAACTGGCGGCGCGTGCGTCGGAGCGTTATCTCGTGCGTCCTCTCTCCCTTTCTTTCTTCCCTTCTGCCGCCTTCTCTCCCTCGTCGTCGCCGTTAGTGCAAGACGCTCACCGTCTTTGTCTCTAGCAGATCCTGTCGACTGCAATGCCGTACTTCTGCTTAAGCATGGACCTGTCGAGAGCCGAGTCGTCGAGCGACGAGAGCGACGCTTGGACCCCCTCTCTTTCCACCGCGCTCTCGCATTCTCTCTCCTCGTCGGCAGCAGCTGCGCCGAGCGGGGCGCATCGTCGTCCAATATCGGCGGCGACAACCAGGCCATGGACGACGGCAAGGGTGACTACAAGGTCGAGGGCGGCGTCAAGAAGCGCGGCTTTGTCCTGTTCTCGCGCCGCGTCGCCGTCTCGAGGCACTGAGTCTGGTGCGTCCCTCTCTCTCTCTCTCTCGTCGCCTCTCGTTCCTGACTCTGACCTCTCTCTACCCGCCCCGCAGCTCACTCTCGCCTCTCCTCGCCTCTCTTCGCCTCCTCCCCCTCCCCCTTCTTGACCTCTTCGTAGCCTCCCTTTCTCTTCCTTCCTCGTCCTTCCCTCTCCTGCATCGCGCTCTTTCCTGCTTCTCCTGCCCCGACGAGAGCCTCTCAAGAGCGCCTGAGCGAGTGCGAGCGAGGGAAAGCCGTGGGCTGCTCGCTGTGAGGCGATTTGAGAAGGTCCGGGCGAGGTCAAAGCGCGACGGCTCTGTGCTTGCTCTCGGAACGTGCTCGCTCGTCTCTCGACTCTCGAAGAACGCTGCACTCGAGGACTCTCAACCGCCGTCGTCGTTGCACGTCCGCCGTCTAAACCAAAGCCCGTCACGTCGTCGACCCCCTGCCTCGTTCCTGCGCGCTTGAACATGGCGGCACCTCTCTGAGGTGCCGAGATGGAAGATCTGGGGCGTCCCGTACAACGAGGGCGCACCAGGAGGGAACGAGAGCGCCGTACAAGGCGCACTCGTCGAGCGGGAGCGCCAACATGGTGCTCGCGCCCATGTCTGCAGATTGTCCGCGAGTTCAGCGCCCGAGCAGTCTGTGGGTGGCGTCGGAGGGTCAGTAAGGGTGGTGCTGCGGAGAGAGAGCCGGGACGGACCGTCACTGCTCTTGTCGTTGCGCCCGTAATCGGACGAGCTGGCTGGACGGGCCGTCGTCTCGACGGCGAGTCCCGTTGACGAGTCGTCGCTGCTGCTGGCGATGCGTCACGTGGGCGCGGAGGAGGACGAGGGATGACGATGGTCGAGGCTAAGGAGGTGGACGAAGGACGGGCGGCGAGTCGGGCAGGAGGGTCGTTTTTTCGAGGAAGCTGCGGACGAGGAGGACGAGGTCAGCGTGAGTCGTGCGACGACGACGGCGAGAGGAGAGAGAGTAGGGCGCACCTGTGCACCGAGAAGCAGGCGAGGGGACCACCAGCCGAGTTGAGGCGCACGAGCTTGACAAGTCACGACTCGAGGCTGCGCGAGGAGGAGGAGGGGGAAAAAGTGGTCAGGGCGCGTGCGGGCGAGCAGAGGGAGGCAGAGGGGCGCACCTTCTTGTAGAGCCGTGCGGGCCGGGTCTGATCGCCCTGGTCCTGCTGCGAGAGAGCTCGAGCGAGACGAGGCAAGGTCGACGAAGAAGAAAGAGAGAAAGAGAGATGCGGCGAGCGAGCGAGCACAGACGACGTCCGTCCGCTCGCGCCTCGTGGGCCGAGCTCGTCCCCGCGCTCGAGCGAAACAGTTCGACAGTATCGAATTTGCGGCAGAAGCGGGCGCGCAGGGCACGAGGGGGCGCGCGAGCTCGCTGCTCCTCGCACTGCGCGACCTTCGCAAATCGGACTCTCTCTCGATTCCTCTCGACGGCGGCAGGAGTAGACGACCAAGAGGAAGGAGCTTCGACGCAGCTGTACACAAGCTAACGCCGACGACGAGAGAGCGGGTCCAGAGACAAAGCGGTACAGAGAGAGAGAGGTCGTCGACGACGACGAGGTCGGGCGAGGAGGAAGGTCGCGAGATGCCTTTTTGTCGCGAGCTGCGGGCATCGAAGCTGTCGAGAGAGAGTCAGGACAGTTCTGGAGGCGAACAGAATGAGGCGGGCGCACCTTAAGCCTCGCGTACCAAGAGAGAGCGACGTCCTCAGGCAGCGCTCGCACCCAGGCCCGCGATCGCCGTCGTCGCCTGCGCGGGGAAGCTGGCGCCGGCGAGGAAGTTGTTGAGGTCGAAAGTCGACGCTGCGGGCGCGAGAAAAGAGAGTCAGTCGGGCGTCGAGAGCGCGAGGGACGAGAGAGGGTGGACGTACGGGTCTCGATGGCGGACGCAGCGGCAGTCGCGGTAGCGGCGGCGAGGACAGCAGGATCGGTGATCGAAGCAGCTGTAGGTGAGAAGAGGGAGATAGGGTCAGGCAGGGTCGAGTGGAGGAGAGAGAAGAGAAAGAGGGGACGCACAAGTGGCGACCTCGGGCGCAGCCGTCGTCGTCTCGACGGCGAGGACCTGCGCGCTCGTCTGCGTCGGCCCGCCCGCACTGCCCTCGAGGCTCATGCCGCTCGTCATATCGGTCGCCTGCTTGATCGACGCGAGTAGGCCGCCGAGAGGAGCCGCGCCGCCGCCTTGACCTTGGTCCGCCGGCGAGTCGCCGCCAAAGTTGCTGAACGCCGGCGACGGGTTGGACTCGGCGTCGACAGCGTCGGCGCCGGCGCCGTTCTGCGACTGGAGCTCGTTGAGGTTGCCGAGGAGCTGCGACAGGTTGGCGCCCGGGTTGGTCGTGTTGGACGACGTCTCGTTCGACGACGACACGTCGGGCGACGGCGCGGCCGGATTGATCGAGAGGGTCGAGACGGGCGTGTCGGCGACTTGAGGAAGGGGCGAGGCGACCACGAGGGCGCAGGCGAGGGCGACGAGGATGCTGATGCGGGCGAGCATGATGAGGTGGCGAGGTTTGACGGTGGCGGCGCGCGAGGTGGACGAGCGGTGGGTGGAGGGAGAGAGAGAGAGAAGGAATAGAGAGGTGCGCGAGCGGGGTGGGCGTGCTGCGAGAGAAGCGGCTGCGGGCGAGAGGAAACGAGTGAGCTGCGCCGGAGGAGGAGGCTCGAGCGGGACGCACAAAATGGCTCGGAGCACGCAGGTCGGCTCGACCTGCGCAAGGCCAAGTCGAAGGAGGCGAGGCGGTGCGTCTCCGAGAGGGCTTGGGCGGCGCGATGAGGAGGACGAGTCGAGGTGAGCCGACTTGAGAAGGCCGCCGGCGAGACGACGTCGAGCGCACGGCTTTGCGCGAGTGCTGGCCCGGGTAGAGACGAGTCAGGCATCGAGGAGGAGGGCGACGATGTGGCGTCCGAGAGCGACGAACGAGGCGAGGCGACGCTGGGACCTCGTCCGTCTCGAGCGCGACGGCCACCGACCTGCGAGGGAAACCTTGTCTGCGATACAACCCGGGTTTTCGACGTGTACAGACGGTGCAGTGTATGACAAGGGAGGGAAAAGCAATGCGTGCGAGGGGTGTAGAAGGGAACGAGGGTGCGCGAGGAGGAGGAAAGGGGAAGATCTAGTTGAGGCGGAAGGTCGACTCGTCGGGCAAGCCCTGGGTGCGGAAGAGGGGCGAGTGCAGGGGAGGGAGGTTGGCCGTCGGCGCGGCGAGCGTCGAGGTCGAGGCGGTGGCCGACGATGGGCCGGCGCCGGCGTTGCTCGCCTGCCTCGAGCGGGACGAGCGCGAGGCCGGGCTCTTTGAGCGCGCCGAGCCAGCCGGCGTCTGCGCCCGCTTGCCGCGCTTGGCCTTCTTGGCGGCGCCGTTGGCGGCCGACGACGATGCGGCCTTGCCAGGTCGCGAGGTGGACGAGCCGCCCGTGCGCTTGACCGGCGCGAGGACAGGCGACGTCAACATGCGCGACGTGATCGAGCGCTTGCTCGTCGACGCCGCGTGTCCGGGCGAGCCGAGCGTGTGGTTGAGCGTGTGCGCAGCCTTGTAGTCGCGCAGGATCGACGTCGGGACCGCCTTGCCCGGCTTCTTGCTCTGCTTCTTGCGGCCGCCCTTCTCGGACGCGGCGGCGGCCGCAAAGACCTGCGACGGCGCCGAGCTGCCGCCGCCGCCCATGCTCATCGTGCGCGAGCGGAACGCGCCGATCGGGATGCGGCTCCACCGCGAAAAGTCGGACAGGGCCGAGCCGGGCTTGGGCGTCGCGCCGTCGGTCGCTGCGCCGTCGGCGTCCGAGTCGGACGACGACGCGACCGCGTCGGCCTCGAGGCTGTCCTCCTCGAGGAGCGACTCGTTGAGAAAGTCAAAGTCGACGTTGGCGAGTACGGGCGAGCCCACATTCGAGTTGTCGGCGGCCGACTCGGCGCCAGACGTGCCCGAGGTGGTCGACACGCGCGAGTTGGCTCGGCTGCGGCGAGACGGGGTCGAGTCGTACTGCACGAGGAAGAGGAGGGTCGGTCTACATTCGGCATGGCAGGGAAAAGAAAGGGGAGAAGGAGACGCACAACTCGTCGCCGCGGCTTCTTCTGGACAGCGAACGGGCTCGGCGCCGGGACGCCGCTGTCGTCGATGACGACGACCTTGAGGCCGCTCGCGTTCTTGTCGTCGTCGGCCTTGGGCGCCGACGGCTCGAAAGAGCCCATGACCGGGCCGCGCCGGGCAGGATGCGGCTTGCGGATGGTCGGAACGGCGACACGGGCGGCGGTGGCGGCGGCGGCGGCGGCGGCGGGAGCGCTCGAGACAGGAGGACGAGGTGGGTGCGCGCGCGACGAGCCGTTCTCGGGGATGGCGGGCAGGCCCGCCTTGCTCTTGCCCTTGCGCTTGGCGGCGGCGGCGGCGGCCTTGGACGACGGGGCCGGCTGCGGCGGCTCGGGCGTGTCGGCGTTGAGCGACGCGAGGTCGGCCGTCGTAGGCGCCTGGACGGCCGACAGGGCGCCGGTGCGAGGCGCGTACCGGTAGATGTCGGTGTCGGAGCACGACGAGTCGGTCTGCTCGTCCTCGGTGACCGACTCGCTCATCGTCTCGTCGTCGTCCTCGATCGTCGCCGCCGTACCGTCCTCGCCGCCGGTGCGCGCGCGCTTGCGCCGGTCGGCGTCGTCGAGCGCTGCGCCGAGCCGCACGAGGTCGAGGTCGTCGTCGCCGCCCAAGTCGGCGATCGACACGTCCGAGTCGGTCGCGTCGCCGTCGTCCTGGTCGTCCGACTCGCCCGCGCTCGACTCCTGGACAGGGCGACGGCGCTTCTTGCCCCGGCCGAACAGGCGCGTGAGCTCGCCGCTCGGGCCGAACATCATCTCGGCGTCGACGTCGTCGGTGCCGCTGCCCGACGCGTCGTCGTAGTCGTCGGCCTGGCTGTCGTAGTCGTCGGCGTCGACGTCGGTGAGGGCGGCGAGCCACATGTCGCCGAGGTCGACCGAGTCGTGCTGGATCGGGCCGACGACGGCCTCGGACAGGGCAAAGAGCTGCTCGAGCTCGTCCTCGAACGAGCCGGCGATGTTGTCGTCGTCGTTGTCGTCGTCGTCGTTAAGGGCGAGCGGCGTGTCGACGTTGGGCAGGTCGGGTCCGCCGGCGGCGGCGGTCGAGGCCGCGAGTGCAGCGGCGAGCTGGTCCTCGTCGACCTCGTCCTCGTCGTCGTCGTCCTCCTCGTCGAACTCGTAGTCGCTCCACGTGACGACGCCGAAGCCGTTGCCGGGCGGGACCTCGGTCACCGCCAGGTCCGAGTCGTCGCCGTCGTCGTCGAGCGTGGCCGACACGCCCTCGAGCGACACGTCGGCCGCCGCCGCTGCCGCTGCAGCTGCCGCCGCACCTGCGCCTCCCGACGCACGACGGCGGCGGATGCGCTCCATCGCCTGCACGTTGCGGTCCCACGCGACGGCGAGCCCGTCCTCGTCCTCGTCCGTCTCCTCCTCGTCCTCGTCCCCCTCGTCCGCCTCGCTCCCGCCGTCGACGAGCATCGCGTCAGATCCCTCGTCGCGGCCCTTGCGCCCTCGACGGCGGTCGAGCTCGGCGCGCATGACGCGCTCCTCGGCCTTCTCAAGCTCGCGGCCGAGTCCGCCGGCGCCGCCCTGGTCCATCGCCGCGTCCTCGTCCGGGTCGCTCAGGCTGCTCAGCTCCGACTCGTCGTCGGCGTCGTCGAGCTCGAGCTCGCTCACGTCGCTCAGGCGCTCCTTGCCCTTGCCGTTGCCCTTGCCCTTGCCCTCGGCCTCGGCCTGCGCGCGCGCGGCCGCCTTGTCGCGCTGCTGCTGCTGCCGCTGCGCCGCCGCGAGCCCCGCCGACCGCCTGCTGAGCTCTGTCGCGTCGGGCGAGTTCTCGCGGCTCGTCTCGGACCGGCGCGCCTCGGCCTCGCTCGCCTCGGCGAGCGACAGCGCGAGCACCTGCCGCAGGCTCATGCGCCCTGCGCCCGAGCCCGCCGCCGCCGCGCCGGCTTGTGCGCTCGCGCCGCTCGGCGAGCCGGTGCGCGAGGCGCCGGCCGTGTGCGGGACGTACGGCGCCTCGAGGGGCGAGGCGGCGCGCGAGGGCTTGGGCGGCTTGGGCGGCGCCGACGAGCTCGACGGGGGCTGGCCGTCTTTGCGGGGCCGGCCGCGAGGACGAGGGGCGGTCGGGGGCTTGGTCGTAGTCGAGGTGGTAGAGGAGGAAGGCTTGGGTGCGACGGCGGGCGAGGGCACAGGCGAGGGCGCAGAGGTCGAGGCGACGGGCGCGGGTGCGGGTGCGACGGGTTTGGGAGGAGGGGGAGGAGGTGGTGGAGGTGGTCGCCGCGAGCCTGGTGGTGCTGGCGAGGCGGAGCCGAGTTTAGGTAAAGGAGGGAGGGCGGGGAGCGCAGGGAGCGCAGGCAGGGCCGGGAGGGCTGGCAGGCCGCCCGGACCGCCGAGGAAGACGGCTGCGGCCGACGGCGGCGGCTGTGCCGCCTTGGGCGCCTTGGTCGCCTTGGTCGCCTTGGTCGCCTTGGTCGCCTTGGGCTTGGGCGCCTCGTCCTCGGACGACGACGAAGACGAGAGGGGCTCGGAGAGCGTGTCGTCGTCCGAGAGGGTGATGGGGAGAGAAGGGAGCGGAGCGGGTTTGGGCTTGGCCGGCGAGGGCGGGCGCTTGGGCTTCTTGCCCTTCTTTGCGACCTTGGGGATGCGCGGGAGGCCGGCCAGGCGGTTGGCGGGTTCTGCAGAGAGGGGTTGTCAGTTCGACTCGATGCAGTGGCGAGCTCGACCCACGCGCGAGTGTCGCAGGCGGACGCGCTCGAGGTCTCGCTCGCGGCAGTCGACGCAAGAGAGAGTGCACGCACTGTTGCTGGACGTCATGAGGCGCTAGGTGCGGCGATTGTGGTCGACTCGCGAGGGAGAGATGAAGATGAGGTGGACGACGAGAGGCGCGAGTCGGCGGCTTGGCGCGCGGGTCGCGGGTCGTGTGGCCGTGTCGAAGGTGGGAGGAGGTGCTGAGGTGGTGGCAGGGATGGCTCGAGGCCGAGGGAAGCTAGTGCGAGTCGACGAGGCGCACGGACGAGGCGGTGTGGGCGCGGGGGGAAGTTGGTGAGGGTGCGCTCTACGGGCGTCGGCCAGCCTCGAGGCGGACAGGGGCGGTGGTGGTGGTCGGTGCGGGACTGGTGCTGCTGTTCTGGTTGTGAGGCGAGGGTGCGAGGACAGGTGGGGCACAGCTCATCGAGCACGATGAGCGAGGCGGGTCGCGAGGGCGCCGAGGCGAGGGCCGGTGGACGGGTCGTGTGGTCGCAAGTGGCGGTGTGGTGCAGCAGGTGTCGATCCTGGTCGAGTAGCTGGTGGTGTCGAGGCGAGGTGGAGCGTTGAGGGCTCGTCCAAGCTCTTGTCCAGAATCCGGGGAGACGACGCCGACGACGCCGACGACGACGACACGACGGCGCCTCTCGCTCTACGCAGCTCCAAGTTCGCTCCGCACCTCGACTGAGCTCAGCTCCAGCGACTCGACCCGCGACACCGCCTGCGCCCTTCACCTCGCCTCGCCAACTCGCCCGCCCCCACCTCGTTCACCTTCGATCGTCGTCCGTCGTCCCTCGCCCACCGGCACCATCCAGCTCGGTGAGCACCCTCTCTTAAGTCAGCGACGACTATCGGGCGAGCCAGCCGCGCAACCGGACGACTAGGCGGCGGGGCTGTGAGGGAGCACTCGACATCTCGTACACCCTTCTGACCACCTCGCACCGTTCGCAGAGCCATGGCCGACACGTTCAAGGCCGAGGGCAACGTCGCGTTCGGCCAGCAGAAGTGGCTCAAGTCGGCCAAGCTGTACGGCCGGGCCATCGCCCTCGAGAAGGACGACACGGCAAAGGGCGCCCTCTACTCGAACCGGAGTGCGGCCTACGTCCAGCTCGGCAAGCTCGATGCAGGTGCGTCGACAACCCTCTCACTCTTGCGGTCCCTCCTGCCTCGCTCACTCTCCTTCTCCCGCCGCAGCTCTCGAGGACGCCAACGACGCCGTGCGTTGTCGCCCGCAGTGGTCCAAGGCGTACGCCCGGGTCGCCGAGGTCTGGGGCCGTCAGCAAGAGTTCAGGCAGTCGATCAAGAACTGTGCGTCCCCTCTTTCCCAGTCACCGTCGTCGGCGCGCCCCGCCCTGACGTGTTCCCCGACCCGCATACGAGCGCGCGATCGAGCTCGCCGAAGACGACGCGAGTCGGGCGCGCTACGAGGCGTCGCTCAAGACGCTCGAGGCGACGCACAAGCGCGCGGCCGACGCGACCAACGCTGCGCCCAAGCCGTTCGTCGTGACGACCAACCCGGGCGACCTGTGGCTCACCAAGGTGCAGCAGGCCGTCCTGTCGGGCTCGTACCGGCTCGACTACGACAGCGGCGTCGGCATCTCGTACCACGCGGCCCAGAGCTGCGCGCGCGGCATGATGCAGCTCGACCAGGCGATCGAGCCCACCGACAGCACGGGCTTTCGCGGCACGGCCTTCACGAACGCGCTCGGCGACATCTGCGAGTGAATCATCACGGACAATACGCAGTTCTTCCTGCAGGTCGGCTCGCACTCGGACCACCCGCTCAGCAAGAAGCTGCAGACGCTCATCCAGTTCGAGCTCGAGCACGGCGGGTGCTTGAAGTACTTTACCGGCTCGAGGTGGTCGGCGCGCGACATCATCGACGACCTCGACAAGCGCATCGAGACGGACGGTCGGCAGCGGTGCGCCCACCTCCCCTTCTCCCCTTCCTCCCGCTCCTCTCCCGCACTGAGCTCACGCCTCGCGCCCTCTCTGAACAGCATCCGCATGTTCAGCTCGTCCCTGATCCGCACTCGCGTCATCTCGGCGTTCCTCCTCTCGTATTTTCGCCGCGAGATGGGTGCGTCGCCCTGTCCTCCTTCCCCAGGCCCGAGCGTCGCGAACGCAGAGCTCACCCTTTTACTCGACCGCTCGCGCAGGCCCGGCCATCCTCGAGGCCAAGTTTGCTGTCGCGCTTCTCGATGAGGGCAACAAGAAGTGGGCGCACGAGTCGTTCGAGGACAAGGTGCGTCTCTCCCCTTCTTCCCCCCCCTCCCGCTCGCTCGGACCCTCGACTCACCCTGTCTCTCTCCCTCTCTCCCAGGGCAACACCTTCCGCCCGACGTTCGTCCGCAACGCGCGCGTGTTCCTCATGAAGGAGCTCCTCGGCGCGCACCTCGGCGCGCACCTCGACGCAAAGACGCCCTCGGCCAAGCGCGCGTTCAAGCTCGAGGACCTCGAGAAGCTCGCGCACGACATCCTCGAGGTGCGCCCTCGCTCCCTCTTTCCTTCCTTCCCCCCTTCCTGATGGAGCTGTGTCGCAGGTAGAAGGCGAGCTGACCGGCGAGAGGTCGTCGTGCGCGTGCAGGAGTGCCCGCCGAGCAAGTGGCCGCCTCGGGACGGGAGCCAAATGTACCTCGCTTACGGGGTGCGTCCTCTACCCTCTTCCTCTCTCCCTCCTCGTCTCTCCGTGTCGCTCGACGAGGCGCCCTCGCTGACCCCGAGCTCGCCCACCCTCCCCTTGCCTCTTCCTCCTCGTCCTTCTCAATCTCTCTTGCCCCTCCCTCCCGCAAGGCCCTGCCCTGTTGGGAAGCCTACGGCGCTCTCGCCTACGTCCACGGCGTCCGCCGGCGCCTCCCGCTCCAGCTCGCGGCCCAGCCGGGCGATTCGCGCCTCAAGATGCCCGACGTCGGCGAGATGAAGAAGGCGGCCGAGTACTACGACAAGGGCGTGGCCATCATGCCCGACGACTGGGTCGACATGTCGGCGTACAGGTGGTACGGCCTCGAGACGTGGTTTAGGGCGGGAGGGTTGACGGTGCGCGAGCTGAGGCAGAGGGAGCAGGCGGCGCTCAAGAGCGAGGTCGAGTCGCACCGGTTTGGTGCGTCCCCTCTCTCTCCCTCTCTCCTCCTCCCTCTTCGTCCCCTCGGCCTCATCTTCGGCGGCGGCACCCTCTCGCCTTGTCGTCCTCGAGCGCATCCTCGAGCGCATCCTCGAGCTCGCCCCTCCTGCCCCGGCCAAAGCTGACCTCGCCGCCCTCCTACAGCCCCGCGCCCGCCCGACCCCAACTACCCGCCGCGCATCTTCTCGCAGAAGCAGAACCGCGCCCTCGCCGAGCAGGTCGCCGGCATGGGCCCGCAGGCCGACCGCCTCACGGTCAAGGCCGTCCCGACCATCGACGCGAGGGGCATGCCCATGTCGTGGAACGGCGCCGAGCTCTTCACGCCCGAGCTCGCTCAAGAGTACCCGGGCGAGATTGGGCTGGCGGACCTTGTCGGCTGAGCGCGTCGTCGAGTTTGAGTAGCGGCGGTCGAGGAACTTGCAGTGCGATTTCTCATTCACCGTTCGAGCCTGTCCGCCCTGCGTGACTCGGAGCATCTTTTGAGAGAGTCTTGCACGCTGTAACGCGCCGAGAGGCGTACGGCTCGACATGAGCGACAGGAGAGGCCCGTGCGCCGACCGCGAGTCGCCCGACCGACGGCTCTCAAGAGACCTTGCCGCGCTGTACGACTCTGGTGCAGCCTCGTCGTTGCGCCACGAGACGACGACAGCAAAGGGACAGCGGCACGAGTGGTACCAGGAACGAGAGACGCTACGAGGAGAGGCTCGTGCGGCGCGCCGAAGAGGAGAGGTCCGCCCAGCTCGTCTCGCACGGCGCCTTTCCTCGCCGCTGTTGTCACCCGACGTCGCCTGTGACCCCTGGGTGGCAAAAGTAGAGTCGTCGCCGTGCTTGACCGTGCGGGAGATTGCAAGGAAAGCTTCCCGCGCGAGGCAAAAGTTGATGGCCCTTTCCGGGATTGAACCGGAGACCTGCAGAATTGTGCGCCGGATTGAACCGGAACTTCAGTCTGTCGCTCTCCCAGCTGAGCTAAAGAGCCAGTTTGTATACTTGGGAGTCGAAAATAGCGCCCACAAAAAAGTAGTCGGAAAAAAAAAAACTGACAGGTGAGGAGACCTTCTTTCGCTTCGACGAGACTATCTGCTCGCTCTGGGGTGACACTGACGGTCGCCGAGCAGTGTAGAGAGTGCGGAGCGACGGTGCAGACCTTTCCGGGGAAGCGAGAGCGTCTCTCGCCGAGCCGCTCGGACCTCGCTTCAGCTCAACTCTCTCTCGCGCTCTCTCTCTCTCGCTCGAGAAGGGCCAAAGACCGAGACCAAGCAATTGCACATCGGAGAAGAAGTTCTACACAGAGAGAGGCAGACGGAGAGTCGGTGACAAAGGTGGAGCAAGAGAGAGAGAGGAGAGGGAGGTGCGGCGAGGGGGAGGGGATGAGAAGCGGGACGGCGAACGACGTTAACGACGCCGGCTAGGCGTGCTCGCGCTTGGCCATGGTTGACGACGAGGACGTGCCAGGCGTCTTGGTCGCACGCGAGGCGAGGTCCGACAGTCTGCGAGGCGGCGAGCCGCGGGCTCAGCGACGGCCGCAGGCGGGGCGACTGGAGAGAGGGGGCGCACCTTGGAGCGACGCTGCACCATCCTGCGAGTCTTGAGAGCGAGAACGACGGACGGGCGGCGCGTGCTCGCAAGCTGCGTGTCGACGTCGTGCTCGTCCTCGCGGTCGAGGGCGTCGTTAAACTAGGCGGCTGTTTTGACGGCTGCCGCACGCTTGGGTCGCTGCATGGCGCTGCTGGTCTCGCGACTGGCGAGAGGGAGAGTGACGAGGGAGGAGCTGAGCGGAGGGAGGCGGAGCGGGAGGACGACGCTCACGCCGCCGCTCACCTCTGTAGCGCTCGAAGGTGGACTGTGGGCAGAAATGGGGGCTTCCAATACCTATCGAACTGCTCGATTTGCTTGCAGAGCGCGACGACGCGCCGCTGTCGCCGTCTCAAGATTGTCATCAGCTGCGTGACGAGAGTCGTTCCCTCCCTCTCACTCTCTCTCGCCAGAGTGTCGCACGATGCAGCGACCAAAGCGCGCAGCCGCTTCTAAGCCCATCAGCTACGCCGACGCCGCCCCCAGCAGCGACGACGACGGCCAGGCGCAGCGCAGCACACGCCGCCCCGCCAAGAAGCCTCGCTTGTCCACCACCGCGACCAAGGGCAAGGGCGAGGGCACAGACGCCGCCACGACAACCGCCAAGTCGACCCGCCGCCGCAAGGGCCAGCTCTCGGCCTTTCTCAACCTCCCCCTCGACCTCGTCCTCGACCTCGCGTCCCAGGCCGACCTGTCGACCCTGCTCTCGTTGAGCCGCGCCAACAAGCTCCTGTACGGCCTCTTTGCCAGTCGCTCGGCTGCCCCGATCTGGGCCAGCGCCCGCAGCAACAGCGGCATCCCCGACATCGAGGCGGCCGACCTCAACGACAAGCAGCTCGCGGCCCTCCTCTTCGACCGCGACTGCCACTTGTGCGGCAAGAATCGATCCGTTCTGGTCGACTATGCGGTGAGAGCTCGTTGGTGCAAGGTGCGTCCCGATCTCTCTCTGTACTCGCTCGAGCACCCCACGCCGAGAGCTGACCTCGCCTCGCGCCCGCAGAACTGCCGCGTCAACAAGTGCGTCCAGTTCTACCCGTAACCCCTTCAAGCAGTGCCTGATTACTCCCTGCCCCGACAGCCTCCTTACCGCGTCCGAGCTACACGCGCGCGGCGTCGTCAAGCAGATGGACTCGTGCGCCCGCGAGTGTTCTCTCTCGTTCTACCACGAGCGCAACCGCACGAGTGCGTCCCCTTTCGCCTCTTTCTGTGGGGCGTTCGATATTGAAACGCCCGCCGACACAGCCTACTTCCGCCTCGAGGACGTCCAGTCGACGAACGACCGCCTCAAGCAGCTTAGAGCCAAGCTCACGGTCGCGCAGCGTCTCGCGGAGTCGTCTCGGCCGTACACGAACAGCCGCAGAAACCCTGTCGAGCAGGCCAAGGTCGACGAGACGCTCAAGAAGGCCGCTCAAGCCGTCGTCGCGGCCGAGCAGCCGCTCGGCACCTTCATCCGGGAGCGACGCGTCCTCGCCGAGGCGGCACGCAGGGTGAGCAGCGCATACCTTCCTCCACCTAGTCTCTCGTACTCCGAGCCGCAACCTGACTGTCAGTACCCGACAGGACGCCGACGCGTGGGTCGAGTGGGAGCTTCGGTCGGCGCAAGCTGTTCAGCGCGCCGAGATTTTGGAGTGTGAACGTCGGCGGATAGTGTGCGTCTCTCACTTCTTCCTGGGCTCGAGGAGAACTTGGACGGGTCGCTGACTCGTCGCTCCGCAGCGTCACGGACAGATTGATCGCCCTCGGGCACGACGCGTACGAGTGCGTCTTGATCCGCCTAGACTTTTTCTCGACCGACCTGCTCCTCGGTCACAGTTCCTGACGCATCATCCATGTGCAGCTGCATCATCCCGAGCTCGCTCTACCCCATCATCGACGGCGCCAAGGAGCTCACGGACGACAGCGAGTCTTTCTTCTTGCCTGCACCCTCGAGCGACGGACCCTGACTCGGCCGCTGCACACAGTCTGGACCCGCATCTCGCCTACGCTCATCGAGGCCGTCGAGGAACACAAGGTCGAGCGCGTCGCGCGCGCACTCGCCTACGTCCGCCTCGGGGCTATGCGTGCCCAGCACGAACTCGTCCGCCGACGCCACAAGGCGCTCTTCCAGGCGCAGCAGGGCGAGGCGTTCGTCACCTGGCCGGCCTTCGAGGTCTTCCAGCTGCTGCCGACCGTCGAGCGCCACTGGATCGGCGACGTCGTGTCGAAAACCGAGGCCGACTGGACGTCCGACTTGCCGGCCATCCTCGCCGAGGTCGACGCCGCTCGCCGCGCCATCAAGATCGGGTTCGCGAGGGACGTCATGAACAAGCTCCGTGCCACGGGCGTGTACGTCGACGAGGGCCTCGCCGTCAAGCTCGAGCATCCGCGTCAGCGGGTCACGCCCATCGGCGCATCCATGCGCTCGACGCCCATCCCGGATTGTCGCCACCTCGAGCGCCTGTTTCAAGCCGGCCGGGACATCTCTGTCGACCTCGGCGACATCGCCTCGGACGTCGACGACAGCGAGCTCGACCGCCTCTTCTCGCACCCGTCCGCCGTGTTAAAGATCAAGGACCGGCGCAAAGAGTTCGCCACGCCGTTCCGGTACCCGCAGATTCACGCCGAGCTGCGTGACCGCGGCGCGATCGGCACGGCGAGCTGCGCGTCGTTCCTCTCGGCGGCCGACCTCGCCCTGTCGCGGTTCCAGGTCGACGTCCTCGCGCATGTCGGCTTGGCCGGCCTCGCCCCGACCGACCCGACGCTCTTGACCCGAGGCCCTATTTTTCCCTGCCTGCGCTGTATCGCCGACGGCCGCAAGCCGTCGATGATGGCGAAGCTACGAGGCTGGGCCGGAACGGTGCGTCCTCCTCGTCCCTTCCCGCCCTGTGCCCTCTCGCGACCTGTATTGACCCATCACTCCTGCCAGATGGACCACTACGACGCGGTGCACGCCTAGCCGGCTTCGAGCGTCGTCCCGCTTCCCTCCCTCCTCCCTCGCCTTCCTTTTTCTCGCCAGCACCTCCCTCTCTCTCTCTCTCTTGCCCCACCTTCCTTCGTCCACCTTCCTTCGTCATCGACTCTTTGTCTACCTCTCTCTGTGGAGTACGTCCTCCTTCGACCTGCAACCGCTTGGTCTCGGTCTTTGGCCCTTCTCGAGCGAGAGAGAGAGAGAGAGCGCGAGAGAGAGAGTTGAGCTGAAGCGAGGTCCGAGCGGCTCGGCGAGAGACGCTCTCGCTTCCCCGGAAAGGTCTGCACCGTCGCTGTGCAGCCTCTACACTGCTCTCGGACTGTCAGCGCTCACCCCAAAGCGAGCAGAAAGCCAGATCGAAGCGTAAGAAAGTCTCCTCACCTGTCAGCTTTTTTTGTTTCGGCTGTTTTTTCTGACCGTTACTTTCGACGGTCAGACCATGCGAACTGGCTCTTTAGCTCAGCTGGGAGAGCGACAGACTGAAGTTCCGGTTCAATCCGGCGCACAATTCTGCAGGTCTCCGGTTCGATCCCGGAAAGGGCCACCAATTTTTTTGCCTCGCACCGGAAGCTTTCCTTGGCACTCTGCCGCACGGTCGAGTACGACGACGATTACTTTTGCCACCGAGGGGTCACAGGCGACGTCGGGTGACAACAGCGGCGAGGAAAGGCGCCGTGCGAGACGAGCTGGGCAGACCTCTCGTCGTCGGCGCACGAGCCTCTCCTCGCACCGTCTCTCGTCCCTGGTACCACTCGTGCCGCTGTCTCTTTGCTGTCGTCGTCTCGTGGCGCAACGACGAGGCTGCACCAGAGTTGTGCAGCGCGGCGAGGTCTCTCGAGAGCCGTCGGTAGGGCGACTCGCGGTCGGCGCACGAGCCTCTCCTCTCGCTCACATTGTCGAGGGGCGCGCCTCTCGGCGCCTCATAACGGCAAAACTGACCTCGTCCCTCGGTAGCCGGCGTGGCTCGCAAGGTCCTCGTCAAGAGCAAAGAGCGCGAAGCGGCCTTGCTCTCGGCGAAAGCGCGTTCGACAGCGCTCGCCGACAGTCAGGCCCGCTTCTCGGCTGCTCTCGTACTGCGGACAGAGCTTTTTGGCAGCTGTCCGTCGGCTCGTGAGCTTCGAGCTCACGCGCGCTGCAGATCATGCGGCGTAGCGAGCTTTGCAGGACGCTTGCTTAGGTTGGCTCGCTCTGCGGGTCCATCGCTTTGTCGACCGCAGGACATGTCGATGCGGCAGGACCTCTCGGGCTGCGCTCGAACGAGCTTGGCGAGCGCACGCCTCGCTGGATATCACTGTCGCAGAGCGAGCGAGGCGGCGCCGGGCAGAACGTCAAGGTCCAGCTCACGCCGAGCGCAACCAACCGCTGCCAGCGATGGACGGGCTCGCTGGGGCGGCAGCCGAGCAACAGTGACATGGCAGCATGAACAGGTCCAAGCAGGAGCAGAAGCCGGAGCAGGGCCGAAGCGAGGAAGGTCGTCCGCAGCGAGCGAGAGGGAGGACGACTAGACGCCGCACAGCATAGCCAGCGGGGGGCCAGCCGGTCGACAGGGTCTCTGCTGCAGTCTGTGAAGCTCGCATGCAGTCAGGTGCGCGCCGCGAAGGCTCGCAAGGCGAGAGTCGCGCGTGGGAGGAGCGGGGAGAGCGGCGAGGCGACGTCGACGAGCGGGGGCCAGCGCGCGGCGGCTGGGCAGCACTGCCGTATGCGCTTGTATCCAGCCAGTGCAGGCAACGCACAAGCGCGAGTGAGGACGGAGAGGGAGCGGGCTCCTCTCATCTCCCCGCCTCGTGTTTGCTCCGCCCGCTTCGGCTCACGACAGCCGTTCGAGCTGCGAGTCTCGCCAGGCAGCCCTACAGTCCCGCATCTACACCCGTCGCACCGCCTCGACCGCCGCAGCCGCTGCCGACTTCCCCCTCCTCCTCGTCCCTGCGCCCAGCTCCCCGACCGCGCCGAGCGACGTTCAATCCGCCATGCCGCTCGCGCCACACGTGCAGCAGCCTCTCGGCGAGCTGCTCAACGCGCTGTACCACCTCGAGACGTCGGCCGGTGGCGGCATGAAGCGCGCCTACTCGGCCATCTTCCAGGACCTCCCCGACCGCGGCGAGTACCCGGACTACTACCTCGTCATCAAGGAGCCCCGGTGCCTCAACGGGATCTTCGTGCGTCCCATCCTCCTCGAGCCTCCCTCCCCGTGTCGTCCTCCCGGCCGACGCCTCTCCTGCACCGCCCGCTCGCCGGACGAAGCTGACTCGCCGCGGCCCCACCTTGCAGGAGAGCCTCCAGCGCGGCAGCTACTCGTCGCCGCAAGCTGTCGCCTACGACCTCTTCCTCATCTGGTCCAATGCCCGCGAGTACAACGAGCAGGGCAGCATGGTCTACGCCGACGCCGACAAGCTCGAGGTGCGTCCCCGAGTGCTCCTGCGCTCTCGCGCTCGATAGGGCACACATACTGACACCTCGATGCGTCGCCGTGCAGGGCTACATGGAGCGCCTATGGCGAGAGCGAGCCCCTCCTCTTCCTCCCTTCGAGTCGCTCCCCCGACCTGGCTCGCTTCCCGCGCCTCAACCCGCCGCACCCGACGCCGAGCGCAAGCCCAAGCGCATCAAGCTCACGGGCGCACTCGCTGGAGGGCCCTCGACGCCCTCGCCCGGCCTCGTCCCGCCGGGCGCCGTCAAGCACCGCAACGGCCCGTCCGCCTCGCCTGCTCCGGCCTCGGCAACGCCCAGCCTCACGCTCAAGCTCGGCGGCAGCCGTGCTCCCCCCACCCCGGCACCTCCTCCTCCTCTGCCCAACCTCCCGAGCATGCCGTCCCTCCCGTCAACCGCCATGCCCGACCTGCCCGTCGCCTCGACCTCGGCGGCCGGCCCGGCCTCGCGCGATATCTCGGTCGCGCCGGTCCCCGGCGCACATGAAGGTGGAGCAGAGGGTGAGGAAGGCGCGGCTGGGACGCCGGGTCCATCCTTGCCGACAATCGGCGACGTCGAGTCGGGCTGGATGTCTGGCGACGTGGTGCGTCCCGCTCTCTCTCTCTCGTCTCGTCGGGCGTTGCCGAGCTCGAGCGCACGAGACCGACCCTTGGACCACGTGCAGGGCCCGAACCCGACCCAGGCGTACCTCGACATCCTCGACAAGATTCGCAAGTACACGGACGCGACGTGAGCCGCCTCGTCTCTCTTCCTCCGCACCCCTTCCTCCTCCCGCCACGGTTTTCCACTAACTCATCTTCTCCCGACATAGTGGACGACCACTCGCGACGCCGCTCATCGACGTCCCGGACCGTGCCGCTCGACCCGACTACTACCAGCTCGTCGACCGCCCGCTCTCGCTCAACAGCATCGAGGTGCGTCCCTCGCTCTCTCTCTACGGCTCTAGTATACGACACTGATACGGCCTCGTACTTAGGCGAACGTCCACGCGGGCGTCTACGGCTCGCCCGAGGCGTTCGACCAGGACCTGCACCACCTGTTCTCGATCGCCAAGCTCTTCATTCGGCCCGACTCGCCCGGGACCGTCTACAGCGACCTCATGGTGCTGCAGGTGCGTCTCTCGATCCTCCCACTCTGCTCCCGACCAGGCGCAGCCACTGACTCGGAGCCTTTCCCTTCCTGCAGCGTCTCTACCAGGAGCTCACGAAGCAGGTCAGCCCGTCGGTGCGCTCGGCCGTCATCGACGACGCCGCCGCGCTCGCGTCGGTCGGGGCGGGTCCTGGCAACGTGCAGCACGCCAAGGGCGACGAGTCGGCCGTCGGGACCGACTTCAAGAGCCGCGCGACGACGCGGCCGACGACCAAGGACAAGGTGTTCCTCGACGGCATCAACTTCAAGGGCGACTTTCTCAAGACGGGTCCGTCCCGTCGTGCCCATCGTCCGTGCTCGAGAGGATCCGCCGACTGACCTGAGCGAGCTCTCCCCGCAGGCGACTGGGTCCACCTCCTCAACCCCGACAACCCGGGCAAGCCCATCATCGCCCAGATCTGGAAGACGTACAAGCGTCCCGAGTGCGTCGACGAGCTCCCTTGCCTCGCATCGCCTCGAGCCGGTTCAGCACTGACCGTCTCCTCCCTCTCGCAGCTCGGCTCAGCGCTGTCTCTCCGTCTGCTGGTACTACCGCGTGCGTCCCGCTCTCTCTCTCTCGCCCTCGTGTCGACATTACTGACCCTGGCCTTTGCCCTGCAGCCCGAGGAGACGGTGCACCCGGCTTCGCGCACTTTCTACGAGAACGAGGTGTTCAAGACGGGCGTCTTTGTCGACCAGTACGCCCTCGCTCCTCCCTCTCTGTCCCGCTCAGGCCTCTCGAACTGACTCGTCCACCTTCACAGCGTCGTCGAGGACTTTGCCGACCGCTGCTTCGTCATGTTCTTCACCAAGTACACTCGCGGCCGCCCTCGAGCCCCGGCTTGGACGCCCGCCATGCCGCTGTACGTGTGCGAGTTCCGGTACAAGGACGACGTCAAGGCGTTCAAGAAGATCAAGAGCTGGTCGTCGTGCGTGCCCGAGGAGATGCGCAAGCACGAGTACGAGTTCGAGCCGTACCCGGACGACCGCGTCGACACGCTGCACAAGATCAAGAGCCCGTTCGTCCGGGGCGTCGCGGGCCCTGGTCGGCTCGACGTCGGTGGCGGCGCAGGTGGTGGAGGTGGCGCAGCAGGTGCGGCGGCGGGCGCGGCGGCGAACCCGACGTACCACTTTTCGCAGGACGGCAAGCCGGCGACGGCGCAGGAGGTGCAGGACGAGGGACACGCTCGCGACCTCGTCGTCGGCGGCGGCGACAGCATGCAGGTCGACCCGAGCAGCGGCTCGCTCGCCGTCGACGCTGCGCTCGCCTCGTTCGGCGGCCCGCAGCAGCAGCAGCCGATGATGGCGGGCGGCGGCCCGAGCGCGTCCGACCTGTCGACGAGCGCGGCGCTCGCCGCCCTCTCGTCGTCGCTCGACATCCTGCCCGGCTCGACGTCGGGCACGGCGTCGACGCCGACTGTCGAGCTCGCGAGCGCGCCTGCCGCAGCGCCGACGCCGGCTGAGCTCGCCGCGGCCAACGAGGCGTTCTCGCCTCTGCCTCCCTCGATCGGTGCGTCCCTCTCTCCTCTCTCTCTCTCTTTCCTTTCCTCTCTCAAGTAGCCCGAGACTGACCTTGCGCCCCGACCACAGCGTCCAAGTTCCGCTCCGACACGTTCGGCGACGTCCTCTGGTTCACGGCGCCCGGCGCCACCCCGCCAGCCTCGAGCGCCGCTCCCGATGCAGGCGCGACGCACTCGCTCGAGTACCTGTACTGGCGCGCGATGCAGAAGCGCGAGACCGAGGGCGCTGCGGCGGCTTGAGGAGGTTTCTCGAGCGCGACGCGAGAGAGAGAAAGGAAGGGTTGCAAAGACGATTCGAGTTGCACGGTGCGACGAGGAGAGAGAGGGAGAGAGAGAGAGACCGAGAGCGGGCACAGAGTGAGGCGAGGGGGACTATGCGTGCGAGAGAGTGGTACAGGGGGGGACAACAGCTCGAGAGACGGGATCGGGGGACCGAGAGGATCGAGGAGGAGGCTCAGACGGCGTCGGCGTCGTCGACGGCGACGTGCTGCTTGGCGGCCCTCTTGCGCTTCCTGCGGGTCGGAGAGGAAGAGAGACAATGTCAGTCACGGACCCTCGGCGGACGAGAGAGGGAGAGTGGAGGAGAGCTCGGACGACGCACTTCTTGGCCTCGTGGTCCCTCACGCTCTTGCGCACCGCCTCCTGCAGGTGCATGAGCTGCTTGGGCAGTTGCTCGCCGCTCCTGAGGCCGCGCAGGAAGCGCTGGCGGACCTGGTGGTACGCGCGCGTCGGGCACAGCTTTGCGACATTGTCCCACGAGCACCCGACCTGGATGACGGCGCGCAGGAGCTGCTCGTCCTCCTGGAGGTTCCACTGCGAGCGAGAGGGCGAGTGGCGGCGACGGCGGCGGCGAGAGGGAGGAAGCGGTGGAGGAGGGCGAGTCAGTCTCGCGAGCTCAAGGGGAGAGAGAGGTCCGAGCGCACCTTGATGTACGGGCTGCGCGGCTTCTTCTGCCCATCGGGCCCAACAGCCGGCACCCGACTGCGACTGCTCGGCACGCCCGCCTTCTTGCCGCCCTGCTGCGCCGCCGACCCCTCGGCGTGCCACCCGCTCCCGCCCTCGTACAAGCCCCGCCCGTGGTCCGACATGCCCATGCCCTCGTGGTCCATCTCGGCCGTCGCCTGCGCGAGCACGTCGAGCGCGCTCAGGCGCTGCCCGAGCGCCTGGCGCGGGTTCGGGTGCGGGTGCGGCGCCGCCGACGACGACGAGGCGCCGCTTGGGCCGGCGTGAGGCGCGCCGCCCGGATACGGCAGCTCGTACGCGTAGGGCCACGCGCTCGGCCCCGCTGCGGCTGCGGCTGCGGCTGCGGCGGCCGGCGGCGGGCTCGGGAGGTAGTCCGGGTCGTCGTCCGGCGCCGCACGGCCCGCTCCTCCTCCTCCTGCGCCGAACCCGCCGCCGCCGCCGCCGGGCGCCACGCCGGCCCGCATGGCCAAGTGCGGCGGCGGCGGGTCGAGCGAGTACGGGTTGTAGTGCGCCGGCGGGACGGGGAGCTCGAGCCCGCCCATGGCCGCGTCCTCGCCCTCGCCCTCGTCCGCCTCGCCGTCCTGCCCCGCCCCTGACGCTCCGCTGCGGCTCGCGCGCCCGCGCCTCGAGCTCGTGCGCAGCGCGCGCAGGCTCATGCTCGAGCCCGGCAGCGCGCCAGGCGCGAGGTCCTCCTGCGACGACGCGTTGGCGAGCTGCATGAGCCCATCGAGGCCGTCCTGGCCCTGTCCCTGGCCCTGGCCCTGGCCCTGCCGCTCGCCGAGCCCCGCCGCCGCCGCGTGCGCTCGTCCGTTGCCGTCCCTCGCGCTCGCGCGCACAATGTCGTCTGCACGCTCGGCGATGGCGCGCGAGAGCGGGACGCGCGTGACGCGGTGGACGTGCGAGAGCGTCTTGCCCGCGTGGAGGAGGAGCTCGGCCTCGGCGTCGGCGAGGGCGACGCTGCGCGGGGTTGGGCGCGACGCGCGCGACGAGGACGACGACGAGGTGGTTGGGGCTGGGGCGTCGAGCGAGGGAGGGAGGAGCGGGTCGGGAGGCGAGGCCGGCGAGGTTTGCGAGGCTGGTGGCGAGGGGAGCGCGATGTCGGCTTCGAGAGTGACAAGGGGCGAGCCGTGGAGGAAGTAGGCGCGCAGGCTGCGCAGCTCGTGCGACAGGCGCTTGGTCTGCTGCTCGGCGATGTCGAGCTGTTTGCAGAGAGCAGCGTCAGTACACGCTAGGAGAGTGCAGAGGGAGGGAGAGGGGAACGCACGCGGTCTTGGAGGCGGTGGACGTCGACGGTGAGGGCGCGCTTGTCCGACTCGAGCTGGGCGATGGTCGCGTCGCGCTCGTACTCGTCAACCTCGGTCGCCTGGCTCGCCGTCTCGTCCTGGTCGTCGTCGCGCTCGTCATCGTCGTCGTCGGCGCGCGCCTTGCCCTTGCCCTTTTTGACGGCGACGAGCGCGAGCTTGTCGGCCTCGAGTGTGGCGACCTTGCGGGCGAGGACGGTGGCCTGGGTGCGCAGCTGGAGGTTGTCGCTCGCGAGGCGGTCGTGGTCGAGCTGGTTGCGCGAGGTGTAGTAGGCGGGGAGGGACGCGAGTTCGGCGCGCAGGCGGGCGATGGTCGCGTTGGCCTCGACGAGCTGTCGGGTTGGGCGTGCGTGCGTGCGGGTCAGTGTGGGGTGCGAGGGGCTAGGATTGGGGCTAGAGGAGGGAGCTCACGTCGGTTGCGGGGGGCGAGTCGGCGGTCGAGAGGGGAGCGTGTGCCTGTCGGAGGGGTGAGGGGGAGGGTGCGGGACGAGGCGGTCAGCTCGTGCTCGGTCAAGCGAGAGAGAGAGGCAAAGTGGGACGTACGAGTTCTTGAGGGAGGCTAGACGGCATCGGGGCCTGCACGAGGGGCGTTGCCGGGCGTGACATGCGGGCGGCGATGTCAACACGAGGCCAGGAGGGAGACGAGGGACAGGGGGCGCACCTGGGCAGGAAGTGGCTCAGCCGAGGGAGGTTGAGGCTCGTCGTCGCTCATGGTGGCGTCTGGCACAGGCTCGTGGTCGACGTCGACCGGCGGCTGGCTGTCAACCGGACGAGGCGAGGTCGAGGTCGAGGTCGAGGTCGAGGGGGAGGGGGAGCGGTGCGGGTCGGGCTGGTGCGGGTCGGGGTCGGGGTTGGGCGAGGGCATGGCCTCGAGTGGGCACGGTGAGCGCACTGGTCGAGGTTGACGAGAGGAGCGAGGTGGGGAGGGAGGGAACCCGCGAGCGAGGTGCCGGCGGCCGTCGTCGACGCGCTGGGCTGAGCTGGGTGAGTGTCGGGGTTGCTGGAGAGTGCAGCAGTGTAACAGCCGACCTGTCCGAGTGCTCTGGCCTTCGTGAGACGAGGTTGCTGTCGCCTCTCCGCCTCCGTCGTCGCCTCTCTCGTTCGTGGCAGGCTCGCGTCGGCTCTCGCTCCCTCCGACACCAGCCGCCATGCTGCTCGACATCAACGTGCGCACCGACACTCTCTCTCCCTCTCACCGACCAACCTCACCAAACCCCTGCCCCCACAGCGCAAGCTCTTGACACGGTGTGCTCGCGTCAAGTCGGTCGACTTCCACCCGACTGAACCCTGTACGTCCACTCTCCTTGCCCTCTCTAGCTCCCGTGAACCCGCACAGACCACACCCTGACCTCGAACCACGCGCGCAGGGTTGATGTGAGCTTCCCCCCCCCCTCCCCCTCCCCTCACTCGCATCTCCGGCTCACCTCTCTCCCTCGCTCTCCCCACAGCACCGGCCTCTACACGGGCAACGTCATCATCTACCATGTCGACACGGGCGTGCGTCCTCGCTCCCTCTCTCCTCCTGTCGCGGACCCAACTGACCTCGACCTCCGTCGCACCCACGCAGGCTATCATCAAGACGTTCGAGGTGACCGAGGTCCCCGTGCGCTGCGTCCGCTTCATCGCCCGCAAGAACTGGTTCGTGTGCGGCTCGGACGACTTTCACCTGCGCGTCTTCAACTACAACACGGGCGAGAAGGTGACGGCACTCGAGGCCCACCCGGACTACATTCGCTGCCTCGCCGTCCACCCGACCCAGCCCCTCGTCCTCACGGGCTCGGACGACATGACGATCAAGCTCTGGGACTGGGAGAAGGGCTGGAAGTGCATCCAGGTGCGTCCCCCCTCCTTTGCGCTTTCGTTCCGCCTCTCTGTTTCTGTCGCGCGCGCGCACCTGCCCCCAAGTCGCCCGTCGAGCACGCTCTGACACACTCCCGGCCCCCACGCAGATCTTCGAGGGCCACACGCACTACATCATGAACCTGTCGTTCAACCCCAAGGACTCGAACACGTTCGCGTCGGCGTGCCTCGACCGCACCGTCAAGGTGTGGAGCCTCGGCTCGCCCGTCGCCAACTTTACGCTCGACGCGCACGACAAGGGCGTCAACTACGTCGAGTACTACCACGGCGGCGACAAGCCCTACCTCGTCACGACCGGCGACGACCGCCTGATCAAGATCTGGGACTACCTGTCCAAGTCGTGCATCCAGACGCTCGAGGGCCACACGTCCAACGTGTCGTTCGCCATCTTTCACCCCTCGCTCCCGATCCTCGTGTCGGGCTCCGAGGACGGCACGGTCAAGATCTGGCACTCGTCGACGTACCGGCTCGAGAACACGCTCGACTACGGCCTCGAGCGCGCGTGGTGCGTCGCGTACGCCAAGAAGGGCAACGACGTCGCGTTCGGGTTCGACGAGGGCGCCGTCGTCGTCAAACTCGGCCGCGAGGAGCCCGCCGTGTCGATGGACGGCCAGGGCAAGGTCGTGTACGCGCGCAACGCCGAGGTCCTCACGCTCGCGCTCCACTCGACGGCCGACGACACGGTGCCCGACGGCCAGCAGCTGTCGATCCCGAGCCGCGAACTCGGCAACACCGAGGTGTACGCCTCGACGCTCGAGCACTCGCCCAACGGCCGGTTCGTCACCGTGTGCGGCGACGGCGAGTACATCATCTACACGGCGCTCGCGTGGCGCAACAAGGCGTTCGGCCAGGGCGTCGGCTTTGCGTGGGCGAGCGACTCGAACACGTACGCCGTGCGCGAGGCCGGGTCCAAGATCAAGGTGTTCCGCAACTTCAAGGAGCGCACCGGGCTCGTCCACGTCGCGTACCCGACCGACGGCGTGTACGGCGGCCCGCTCCTCGGCGTCAAGGGCATGGGCTTCGTGTGCTTCTACGACTGGGAGACGGGCAGCCTCGTGCGCCGCATCGAGGTCGACGCGCGCAACGTCTACTGGTCCGGCACGGGCAACCTCGTGTGCATCGCCGGCGACGATTCGTTCTACGTCCTCCGGTTCGACCGCGACGCGTACCAGGACGCGCTCGACCGCGGGACCGACCTCGGCGACGAGGGCGTCGAGGAGGCGTTCGACCTCGAGTGCGAGATCTCCGAGGCGATCCAGACGGCCAAGTGGGTCGGCGACTGCCTCGTGTACACGACGGCCGCGCACCGCCTCAACTACCTCGTCGGCGGCCAGGCGCACACCATCACGCACTTTGACGCGCAGATGTACCTCCTCGGGTACCTCCCGCAGCACAACCGCATCTACCTGTGCGACAAGGACGTCAACCTGTACGCGTTCAGCCTGTCGCTGTCCGTCATCGAGTACCAGACGGCCATCCTCCGAGGCGACCTCGACAGCGCCCAAGAGCTCCTCCCGCAGGTCCCGCAGGACCAGCGCAACCGCCTCGCGCGCTTCCTCGAGACGCAGGACCTGCGCGAGCTCGCGCTCGACATCTCGACCGACCCGGACCACAAGTTTGAGCTCGCGATCGCGCTCGACGACCTCGAGACGGCGCTCGCGCTCGCGCGTTCGAGCCCGCACCTCGGCTCGCAGGCCAAGTGGCGCACCGTCGGCGACCGCGCCCTCGCCGGCTGGAAGGTGCAGCTCGCCGACGAGTGCTTCAAGCAGGCGCAGGACCTGTCGGCGCTCCTCCTCCTGTACACGTCGACGGGCTCGCGCCCCGGGCTCGAGTACCTCGTCGAGCGCGCGACGGCCCAGGGCGCGTTCAACGTCGCGTTCGCGGCCGCGCTCCAGCTCGGCGACGCGCCGTCGTGCGTCGACACGCTCCTCGCGACCGACCGCGCGCCCGAGGCGGCCCTGTTTGCGCGCACGTACGCGCCGACCGAGGCTGGTCGGGCCGTCAAGGGCTGGCGGCAGCTCCTCGAGCAGGCCAAGAAGCCCAAGCAGGCGAGCGCGCTCGCAGACCCGGACGAGGACCCGCAGGAGTTTGTCGAGGGCTGGGCCGACGCGCTTGAGCGGCAGCGGGCCGGCGCACAGCCCCAGCAGCTCGAGTACGGGCAGGGTGAGGGCGACGAGGGCGAGCTCGTGCAGTACGGCGACGAGGAGGACGAGGGCGCGCCGAGACGGAGCGTTGACTCGGCGGCGTCGGCGGGGCGAGGAGGGCTCGAGCACGCGACGAACGGGATCGAGGGCCTGTCGTTCGCCGATGCACATGAGCAGGACGACTTGATGGGCGACGAGGCGGGCAGCAGTGCGTCCTCTCTCTCTCTCGTTCTCCCCTCGTCTCCTCGCCTCCCCACCCGTCCCTCCCGTCCCTTCAACTCGACCTCTTTCCTGCCCTCTCCTTCTCCCCCCTTCTCTCTCTCGAGACGTCAACTGACGCGCCTCTCTATCGTCTGCAGCTGGCCTCGCACCGCCTGTGCCCGTCGTCAACGGCGCGCCGCCAGCGCACGACGACGAGGACCTCCTCATGTAAAGGCCGCCGCGCCCGCCCGCACTTGTTCCTCTCTCTCTTTCTCCTCCCTCATCTCGCCGTCCTCGTCTTCTTCTCCTCGGTTGTGCCCCCCCCCTCTTTCTCGCCCTTTGTCATCCAAAAGCGCGATTCCTTGCTGTCGCCGTGAGCCGTCGAGCTCGTTCGTGAGAGAGGATCTGCGGGACGCTCTTCTCGTGAGAGCGACTCGACTGCGCAAGCGATACGCAAGCACGAATCGAACGCGAGGAGCCAGTCCGCGAGAGCGGCCGAGAGAGGCGGCGAGGCAGCTGGGCACCCTCTCCGTCCTCGGCAACGCTCAGCCAGCTACTCAGACTGCTAGTACAGCTCAGACAACTTCTCCAGATCCTGTGCGTCTCTCCTCGTCCTCGCTCGTCTCCCCCTCCCTCCTGTCCACCGAGCTCCTCGCCCGCCGACTGATGAGGATCCAGCGGGGCGGCGGCACACGCTGGCGAGTGGGCGGTATTCTCGCGAGGTCTCATGAGTGTCGAGGAACTTGGCAGGCGTGCCCCTGGACCATCTTGTGCAGTTGTCGTCGTGCGCCGCCGTCTGGATGAGGCCCCGCCGACGCGAGCCTCGTCCTCACCCTCCTCAGCACACCGAGCCTCTCGTGCGACATACACTGACACAGAGTCTTCGCCCTCGTACAGCATGTCGGCGTCATCAGCCGCAGCCGACACCGCCAGCTCTACCGCGCAGCTCCTCCGCCAGCAGGGCAACGTCGCGTTCGGCTCGTCGCGGTGGCTCGAGGCGGCCAACCTGTACACGCGCGCGATCGAGGACCTGTCGCGAGGCGACGTGTCCGCGGCCTCGAGCAAGGAGGACCTCGCTGCCTTGTTCTCGAACCGGGCCGCGGCAAGGATCAAGCTCTTCCAGCTCGACCTCGGTGCGTCGCAGCCCTTCTCAGTACCGCGCACCTGTCCTGACTCTCTCTTCGTCCCGCAGCGCTACTCGATGCGGCCGCCGCCAAGCTCCTCAACCCGACATGGAGCCGTCCGCTCGCGCGAGAAGCAGAAGCGCACCTCGTCCTGCAGGACCACTCGGCCGCCCGAGCTAGCTGTGCGTCGACTGGACCCTCTTTCACGTATCGCGACGGCCCACTGCTTAACCCCTCGACAGACACGGCTGCAGCCCGACTCGCCGAGGACGACGCGACCCGTACGCGCTTCACGACGAGCGCCACTTCGGCCGCCGCCTCTCTCGACGCCCAGGGCGCCTCGCTGTTCGGCGAGGCAGAAGCTGCCGTCACGTTCGCCGAGCGGTACGACAACTACGTCAAGGCGGGCGGCGACCCCGAGAAGGACGAGCTCGTGTCGGCGGCGACGGCCGTTTACGCGTGGACGACGGCGGCAAAAGCTCTCGAGCAGCTCGACGACAAGCTGTGCGTCCAGCTCTCGTTCCTCGTACCGCCCTCTGTGATTGACTCTACGCCTCGAAGTGACGTCAAGGAATCTGGCGAGGTCGAGGCGTCGTCGCCGAGCCCGGTCCTGGATCTTGCAGGTGCGCCCAGTCTCTCTGTCTCTTTCTCTCGTCCTCGCAGCTCGAGACGCCCTTCTGACGCTCGACTCTCTCGCAGACGCCATCATCACCGACGCTCGAGGGTTCCACGTGCCCAAGGGCAAGTCGCACGAGTTGCCGCTGTCGGAGAAGCTTCGTCTGCAGCTCGCGTGGGACGCTCGCGTTCTCGAGCTGGACCAGTACCTCAAGCCGGCGACGGTGCCGCGCGACGTCATCGACTCGTTCGACGAGCAGGTCCAGCGAGAAGGGTGGCAGAAGTACGTCCGACTGCGTCCCCACCCTGTCGTCCACGAGCCCACTCTCCTCGCATGGTCACTGACTCTCTCCTCCTCGCGACAGGCCCAAGATCGCTCTGGCCCACCTGATTCGCGGGTCCTTCGTCGCGGCGTACGTCAACCAGATTCAGCTGCGAGCAGGTGCGTCCTGCGCCTCGTCCTCCTCTTCCTCGAGGTTCCTCCTCAAGCTCTTCCTCCTCGGCACCTACTGATACCCCTCTCTCGTTCGTCGCAGTCGAGGCGGCATCGCAGTACCGCTTCGTCCTCGGCCTCTTGAGCGAGGGGCGAGCACGGTGGCAGGACGTCGCCGAGGAGGACAAGGGCTCCACGTTCCGGTTCACGTTCGAGCGCAAGGTCAAGATGCATCTGATCGGTGCGTCCAATCTCTCCCCTGTTCTCTCGAGGCGCCGACCTGACATTCGAGCGCCGTCCTCGCAGACACGCTCGTCGACGGCCACTTTCGGTCGTCGACCCCCGACGAGCGGGCGCGCTTCCCTCTGCTCGAGGTGCAGGGTCTCGCCGAGCAGCTCATGGACGACTGCAACTCGGAGAAGGCGCCGCACGACCCGGTCTCGACTTTCGCGTTCCAGGTGCGTCCTCGTCTCGCAGGGTCCGTGCGCTCTCGGCCCCTCGACTCACCTCGCCTCGCTCGACAGGTCCAGCCCGTCGTCTCGGCCGGCAAGGCGTTCGCGTACGCGTTGCGCACTCGTGCCGCCCTGCCCGAGCACCGCATCGAGTTCGTGGCTGGGCACTGGATCAACTGCGGCTTGAGCAAGGCCGCGGCGAGAATGTGTGCGTCCCCTTCTCTCTCTCGACCCCCTCGACCCGACAGAGACGACGAACTGATGTCCCTCGAGCCTGCAGACGCGACAGCAGGGCAGCTGTTGCCTCGTGACGACCCTGAGAAAGCGGTCAACCTCTTCAACTCGCTCGCCTTGTGCGTCCCCTTCCTCGGCCCTTTCCTCCTCCCTCCTCGCCTTGCTCACGCTCATTCTGCCCCTCTCGCAGTGATCTTCGAGGTGGTGGCGTCACGTTCGACCAGCTTTTCGCGCGAGCGACCGAGGCAGAAGCCGCTCTCGAGCCGCCCGAGGAGATCTGTGCGCGCGCCCCTCTCTCTCTCTTCGGCCTCTTCTCCTTTTGAGGACACCCTCGCTTATCCTCTGCCCTCGTGCTCGCAGTCGGCCCCTCGCCGCGCCTGTTCGACTCGCGCCAACTCGTCCGACATGCCTGTGCGTGCGCGCGCGACTCGCTGGTGGCGCACTTGCCCGCCCGCCTCTCGGCCTCCGCCTTTCAGCTGGTCATCAAGCCGGTGCCGGCCGTCTTCCCCGACCGATTGCCGACGGGTCGCGAGCGGTGGGAGGACTGCCTCGAGCCCGAGCTCCGGTGCGACTTGCCCGGCGACCTCGCCGTCGCAGAATTCGTCGAGGCGAGCGGGCGCTCGTAGCAGCTCTCGAGAGGGTCGAGCGCGAGAGGAGCAGGACTGCAATGCAAAAGCTCCAGCACCGCATTCAGGCTCGCCGTCGGTGACAAAGGGGAGCGAGAGCGAGCGGTTTGAAGCGATCTTCGAGTGCGAGTGGCGAAAGCCACCTGGGCGGTGATTGGTGCCCAGCCGGGGATTTGGTCAACCCGGGCTTGAGACATGCGTTATCCGCTAGCGAGAAAGCTCTGGGCCGTTTGCCCTCGCGACGCTCGAGCGGTGCTCTCCGGTCCTTCTCTCCTTCACTCCCCTCTTCCTCTCGCGCCACTTTCCCCTCCGTTCCGCCTCTCCCCCGACTCGTGTGAGTCTCCTCTCTGCGCCGGTGTCGCGTGCGTCGCCCAAGCGCGCCTCACTGACCCGCTCTCTGAGCTTTCTTTCTGCAGGACCCCGGACTTTCTCTCGCTCCGCCGCCACGTTCACCCCCTCCCTCTCCTCCCCCAACCCCTCGACCTCGCCCCCGTCGACCTCACCGACCACCACGATGGCCGCCAGCACCCTTCGTCAGCGCACTGCCGCCGCCGCGCCGCGCAAGGAGAAGGAGCACGACGTCCTCGCGTCGTCCGACTCGGAGGAGGAGCACCAGGACCCGCTCAAGGCGCTCGAGAACGAGTACCCGCCGTTCGTCGTGCCCAACCTCACGATCAAGGAGGTCCTCGGCGCCATCCCGGCCAAGTGCTTCGAGCGCTCGGCTCTGCGCTCGTCGACCTACGTCGTCGGCGACTTCCTCATGGTCGCTGCCCTCGGGTACGCCGCGTACCACATCGACCCGGCGTTCTCGTACACCGGCGGCAAGCACCTCGACGGCTGGGCCGGGTTCGCCGCCAAGTGGGCCGCGTGGAGCCTGTACTGGACCCTCCAGGGCTGGGTCATGACGGGCATCTGGATCCTCGGTGCGTCCCTCGCCTCTCTCCCTCGGGTTCTCGTACGAGGACCGACAACTGACTCTCCCCTCACTCGCCCCGCAGGCCACGAGTGCGGCCACCAGGCCTTCTCGACGTCCAAGACGATCAACAACACGATGGGCCTGTTCCTCCACTCGTTCGTCCTCGTGCCGTACCACTCGTGGCGCATCTCGCACGCCAAGCACCACGCCGCGACCGGTCACCTCACGCGCGACGAGGTCTTTGTGCCCCGCACCAAGTCGACCCGCAACCCCAAGCCGACGGGCAAGAAGCTCGAGGTGTCGCGCAACGTCGAGATCGACGAGCTCCTCGAGGACGCGCCCGTGTACCGCCTCGGGTGGATCATCGTCCAGCAGCTGTTCGGCTGGCCCGCCTACCTGTTCACCAACGCGTCGGGCCAGCTGTGGTACCCCAAGTGGACCAACCACTTCGACCCGTCGTCGCTCGTGTTCGACGCCCGCCACCGCAACCAGGTCCTCATCTCGGACGCGTTCCTCGTCGGCATGGTCGGCCTCCTCACCCTGTTCGGCTCGGTCATGGGCGGCTTCTCGGCCGTCGCCAAGTACTACATCGTCCCCTACCTCCTCGTCAACCACTGGCTCGTCATGATCACCTACCTCCAGCACACGGACCCCCAGCTGCCGCACTACTCGGCCGACATGTGGAACTTCCAGCGCGGCGCCCTGTGCACCATCGACCGCAACCTCCTCGGCCCCGTCGGCCCCTACCTCATGCACGGCATCACCGAGACGCACGTCGCGCACCACATCTCGTCCAAGATCCCGCACTGTGCGCCCTCTCCCTCTCCCTCTTCTCCTCGAGCGAGAGCCTCTCACTGACGCTCCCTTCCTGCCGCAGACCACGCCTGGGAGGCGACCGAGGCGCTCAAGTCGTTCCTCGGCGAGCACTACCACGCGACGGACGAGAACATGTTCGTCTCGCTGTGGAAGAGCTACAAGCAGTGCCGCTACGTCGAGGACGAGGGCTCGGTCCTGTTCTACAAGGACGCGTACGGCCGCGCTCGCCGCAACTACGTCCTCCCCGACGTTCCCTCCGACTCGGGCGTCGACGTCGAGTAAAGCCTCGTCGTTTGTCCCCCTCCCCCGCATGCACCCCTCGTTCCTTTCCCCCTACACGCTCTCTATCTATCCCCCTCTTCTTCGGTAGTGCCGTCAGCGACGGCCAGGTTGTTCTGTCAGTAGATGGGCTCGCTTCCTCGAGCCTCGCCGCTTCCCCTCCTCCTTCCCCTCTCCTCCCCTTTGTACCCGACCGTCCCTCGCGACGGTGAAATCCACTTTGGTCGTCCCAGTTCTCGCGTCCGTTCAGAGAGACAGACCGACAGCTCCGTCGCCTGCTCGGGAGCGCTTGGTCCTCTCCCGCATCGACGAGATCGGCAGCGCGTCGGTTGGCTCGACAATCTCGACAAGGCCGTCGAGCGCGACGCCTTTTAAGCTCTCTCGAGGCTCGAGGGAGGTGAGCCGACGACGCGCGACGCGAGGTCGGCGGCGGCGAGAGAGACCAAGGGGCACGCGCTTCTCGCTTCTCCCACACTCGCTCTCTCAGCTCTCTAGCCCGCTCGACCAGCACCCCGACGAGCTCCAGCATGAAGGTCATCAGCATCCAGGTCCTCCACGTCGGCAGCGGGCCCTCGAACCCGGCCATCGCCGTCGCCGCCGCTCAGGACCTCAGCTCGTTCTCCTTCTACCAGCGCGGCACGTGAGTTCCTCGCCTCTCTACTCGCACGAGCTCTCTCTCCACGCTCGAGGTCGCGCACGAGCTGCACGGAGCGGTGGCGGGCGAGCAGAGGTCGGGCGAGTCGCCGCGTCATGGAGGCGCGCGTCGAGGTGGACGACACAGCGCTCTGGCCGGGCAGGACGGACTGCGAGGGGCCTCTGTGGCCTCATCGGTGGCGCGTCGAGCGTCGCCGCAGCAGCCTGGCGCGGTATTGGTCGTGCGGCCCTCACGCTCATCGAGGAGCGACGAGGGCGCCGGGTCGAGCCCGAGTTGGCGGTTGAGGTGGGCAGTGCGCTCGACCAGGCCCACATGTCGAGTTGCAGCACCGCGACGAACCCGCGCTCAGTCCCAGAGCACCCGTCACTGACCTCTCGTTTGCCCCCCTCCCCCGTGCGACAGCGTCGGCGAGTTTATGACGTTCCTCGCGCGCACGGTCGCCGAGCGCACGCCGCCCGGGCAGCGCCAGTCGGTGCAGGAGAACAACTACACGGCGCACGTGTACCACCGCCAGTCGGACCAGCTCGCGGGCGTCATCATCTCGGACCAGGAGTACCCGGTCCGCGTCGCCTTCTCGCTCCTCAACAAGATCCTCGACGAGTTCACGACCAAGGTCCGGAGGGACGAGTGGGAGGACAAGGCGCGGCAGGGGCGGCAGACGGGCAAGCAGGTGCTCGTCGAGTACCCGGACCTCCCCGTGTACCTCCAGAAGTACCAGGACCCGAAGCAGGCCGACGCCATCATGAAGGTGCAGCAGGAGCTCGACGAGACCAAGATCATCCTCGTGCGTCCCTCTCCTCTCGTCTCCTGAACCAGGGCCTTGACGACTGACCCACCTCGGGCGCCCTGCAGCACAAGACGATCGAGTCGGTCCTCGAGCGCGGCGAGAAGCTCGACAGCCTGGTCGACAAGTCGGCCGCATTGTCGGCGAGCTCCAAGTCGTTCTACAAAACGGCCAAGAAGCAGGTGAGCTCGCCGTCACCTCGCCTCGTCCCCCTTGGCCGCGTCCTCGGCGTGTGCCCTCTTGCGCACTCGCTCACTCTCGCCTCCCTCGCCGCAGAACTCGTGCTGCGTCATTGCCTGATGCACGTTCGACGCCGTCCCGTCGGGCGGGGTGCCCTCTACAGGCCCCGCCGCATCTCGCCGTCGCCCTGTTCGCTCCCTCGTCGTCGTCCTCCCTTTCTTTCGCCGGGTCGTCCCGGCAGTATACCTCGTCCCTTCGACTCTCGCCGTCACTGCAGCGTCATATTCACCCTAGTCTTGCGCCCGCTCTCTCGTCCATCGTCTCGGTGCACTTGTACCCCCCCTCTTCTCTCCCTTGTAAACGACCGCGTTAGTCCTCCTTTGCCTCCGAGCGAACGTTGCGAGAGATCATGCAGGAGCTCAGAGAGGCGAAAGCGGACCGCCCTGTGCGGTGGGAGCGGACCCTGCGACACGCGAGTCGGGATGAGCGGCTCGCCTCGCTTGCTCTCGACCCACCCTCTCGACCACCGAATCGGCTCTCGAGCTCGCGCACCAGCCGGCCTGCCTGCTTCTACGATCGCCTGCAGCACTCGACTCGCCGCCAGCGAGTCGCCGCCCCGCCGAGCGAGATGTCGTCGATCCGGGTCGCCCGCCAGCGCCCGCTCTACGCAGAGCTGTACCGCGCCTTCTCGGCCCTGCGCCCGACCACCAGCACGAGTACGGCACCACGAGCACTCGGCCTCGCCTGGGCAGCGGCGGGCGGGCCGGGGCAGCGCGCCATGGTGCACTCTGCGGCGGCGGCGGCGATGAGGAGCCGAGGCGCGATGTCAGCGCTCGCGACGAGCCAGGCGCGGCTGCTGCAGGGGCAGTGGGACGCAGGGGGCAGCTGTCAACGCGGCGGCGCGGTCCTCTCTCGCCCCTTCGCCTCGACCTCGTCCTCCTTCACCGCCACAAGCTCGCCGCCCGATCGACCACCACCTCCCCCTACGCCCAAGTCGACACCGACACCTGCGCAAGTCGACCAACATGCCCTCGCCAAGCCCGAGCCGCACCCGCTCGCCAAGAGCGAGCCGCACCCGCTCGTGACGGCCGCCTCGCCGTACCCGGCCTACCTGTCGTCCCTGTCGCGCTCGATCCGCCGAGCGGCGGCCAGCCTCCCATCAGCAGCAGGTCGGCCACCGCCCAAGGACCAGCTCCTGAGCCTCACCAACTCGTTCTTTGAGCGGCTCAAGATCCGGTTCAAGTGGGCGACGATCCGCTCGTACCGCCGGTTCCGCGCCGACGACTACTCGGCCTTCTTCTCGTTCGGCATCCTCGGCACGCTCGGGTGGTTCCTCCTCAAGACGACGTCGGCGTTCGCCGTCCTCTTCTTCGTCGTCAACTCGCTCTCGCTCCAAGAGTGGCTGGCCGGCAAGCTCGGCGCCTACCTCACCGACTCGACGGGCGTCAAGGTCGTCTTCGAGTCGGCCATCGTCCCCAAGTGGGGCATCTTTGGCCAGGGCGGCAGCCGCATCGTGTTCAAGAACGTCTACATCTCGCGCGGGCCCGTCAAGGGCGAGCTCGGCGTCCTGCCCGTCCCCGAGCACGAGCGCACCGACGAGTCCGAGGACGAGGCGCGCCTGCGCGAGATGGTCGCCCAGTGGACCCACTTTCACCTCTCGATCGACACGGTCGAGGTCAGCCTCAGCCTCGGGCGCTGGCTCGACGGCAAGGGCTTGATCAAGGACGCGGCCGTGCGAGGCGTGCGTGGTGTCATCGGTCCGTCTCCCTCTCTCTTTCTATCCCTCAGTCAGCGCGTACCGGTCACTGACGTCGCGCTCTCTCGCTCGCAGAGCGCTCGCACATCACGTACGACCCGAACGCGCCCAAGGACCGGTTCGCGTACCGCAACAAGCCCAAGCCGGGCGACTTCTGGCTCGAGGGCCTCCAGATCGAGGACTTCCTCGTCACGATCTACCAGCCCGAGAACTTCCGCCCTGTGCGTCTCGACCGTCGCCGCCTCGCCCTCGTCTCTTTCCCACCTCGACTGACGATTTTCCCCTTGTCGCCGCCGCAGTACACCTTTTCGATCTTCCACGCCGACATTCCTCGGTTCCGCAAGCAGTGGCTGTTCTACGATCTCATGTCGGCCGACTCGATGACGGGCCAGTGCGACAACTGCCTGTTCAGCCTGCACCGCCCTCAGTCGATCGGCCGCACGAGCGAGGAGGAGATGAAGGATGCGAGGTGGGCCCGCATGGTACGCTCTCTCTCCCTCTCTCTCTCGTTACCCGAGAAGCCGAGCCTGACCCGGGCACTCGCCTCCCTCGCGCAGTCTCGGTTCCGCGTCGACGGCGTCCCGATCGACCACATGCAGTCGGCGTCCGACACGAGCGTCCTCTCGTGGATCACGTCGGGCCGGTGTGACCTCGTCGCCGACATCCGCTTCCCGCGCGAGGACACCGAGCTCGACCTGTCGGCCCTCGTCGACCACCTCGTCGACGAGATTGGCGGCGCGCTCGGCGCCGACTCGTCGTCGTCGTCGTCCTCTGCGTCGACGGCGGCGACGAACCGCATCCCGGGACGACGCACCCTGTCGCGCGACGCGCTCACGGCGCCGCCGACGACCGAGCAGGACGTCGAGCAGGCCAAGGCCGAGCGCCAAAAAGCGCTCCGGTTCGCCAAGGAGTCGGAGAAGGCGGCCGCGGGCGACTCGGTCGACGACGAGGACGACGACGCGCCGCTCGAGGTCGGCGAGACGGACGAGGACAAGATCGTGTCGATCGACCTCGACGTGCGGTTCAAGGACCTCAAGGCGTCAGTGCCCGTGCGTCGCAGTCTTTCCCTCTCTCCCTTTCCTCGAGCTCTCTCAGAGACCAGTCTTGACGCCGTCGTGAGTGCGCAGTACTTCCCGTCGCACCTGAGTTACATCAACAGCGCCCTGATCCGGCCCATCGTCGCCTTCATCAACCGCAACCGCACCCTCATCCCGATCCACTGCCACATCGACCTCGGCCTGAGCGAGTTCAACGGCTCGTGGACGACGTACGACGTCGGCATCCTCGACCGCATGTCGGAGCAGGTGCGTCGTCCTCTTCCTCCCTCTTTCCCCTCCTTCTCGCCTCGTCTCGCGAGCCGAGCGTGTCCCTGACGCTCTACCTCCTCCTCCTGCAGGTCTATGCCGCCCTCGCGCACCACGTCGCCCAGTCGAACGAGCAGCGCCTGCAGACGGTCGGCCTGTGGACGCTCCAGATGACGGCCAACAGCCTTCTCAGCACCCTCAAGGCCAACTTTACGCTCGCGCCGTACTAGATCCCCTTTGCTATGCACTCTCATCACTCTCGCGCTGTCCGTGAGAGATTGTCGGAGACCGAGAGGCAGGCAGAGAGGCAGACAGAGCCGAGCAAACTCGAGCAGGAGGAGGTCTTGCCGGACGGCGAGCAGAAAGCGCTCGACGGGTCTCTCTCTCTTTCGAGGTTGAGCAGCTTCGAAAAGCAAAGTGACCTGCACTGCACGAACTGCTACCGACAAGCTCCTCACAAGCGTGGGCCCGAGACCCTCCCCTCGTCCTTGACCAAAGCCCTCTCCTCGTCCTCAAGCGCGGCCCGAGCGTCGACCCTCCCTCACGCGCCGTCGTCGCCGCCGTACCTGCCCGCCCAGCGCAAGTTCTTCTCGTGCTTCCTGCGAGGGCGTCACTGCGAGTGAGCTCTCGAAAATCGAGGACCGAGAGATGGCGCAAGAGGGAAAGAGGGCGACGGACGCACTTGAAGACGCGCTCGAGGGCCTCCTGCCTCGACTCGGCGACGACGTCGTCCCACACCGCTTGTCCTTTGCCGTGGTACAACATGATGTGTTCCACCTGCAGAAAAGAGCTGAGTCAGTGGGTGGCTTAAAGGGAAACGAAGAGGGAGCCCGGCGGAACGGGCGACGTACCATGTTCTGCCAAGGGACGGCCTCGGCGCTGATGTTGCTCCCGCACAAGCACGTGAACGTCGAGCCAAGGGCGTCGAGCTCCGAGCAGGGCGCGTCGGCGTCCAGCTTGCCGGCGGCGAGCAGGCTCAGAACGGCGGCGATGCCCGCCTCCTTGACCTTGTACTGGGCCAGGCTGCACGAGGCCGGGACGAGAGCGGGAGGCCAGTTCTGCTTGCACTTGTGGGCGAGGATGCGCGGGAAGACGTCGACGAGCGAACAGGTGCCACACGTGAGGGCGCAGCACGCGAGGCCGACAATCACGTCCTCCTCGTCGGCGCTGAAGCCGGACGGGTCGGCAGGCTCGAGGATCGACTGGATCGCGACAGGCACCTGCTCAAAGGCCGACAAGATGCCGACGAACTGGTTGACGAGGCCCGACTTGAACGCGGCGTGCAGGGCCGACAGCTCGTCGGCGATGGCGCTCGCCTCGGTCACGATCGTCGGGTAGTCGTCCTCGTACGCCTCGTCGATCGTCTCGACGTGCCACAGCTTCTTGACGACGGCGAGCTGGCCGAACTCGGACCAGGGCGGGAGCGGGTACAGGCCGAGCGAGGTCGCCAGCTGGCGGTCGGCGACGAGGCCGGTGTGCTCCTGCTCGACCTCGAAGAGCCGGCGCTCCTGGACGACTGCGATGTGCGCCGCGTCACGCTCGGCCTCTTGCGCCTGCAGGAACGTCTCGAGCTTGCCGCGGATCGAGGACCAGACTGCGTGTGGAGGAAGGAGAGCGAGTGAGAGATGGTTCGGGCGGGTCGAGATGATGCGGAACACGCACTCTTGTCGTTGAGGTCCCTCGCCATGTTGACGAGCGAGTGCGCCTTCCACTCGGGGCTGTCGAAGCTGCAGGGGCAGGTGTCAGAGCTCGTGCGCGACGGTGCTCGGACCCCTCAGGAGAGCGGGACGCACTGGTGAGGCTGCCACCCACGCTCGACGAGACGCGCCTCGATCCTGCAGGACACGGAACATGGTCAGTCAGAGGCTCGTCCCGGCTCGAACGAGTGCAAGAGAAGGGGACGTACGCCTCGCGACGCTGCACACGACGAGCTTGGCGAATCTTGTCCTGCTCGATGACGCGCTGTTGCTGCCACTCGATGATGGCGTCGCCGTCCTGTCAGAGGGGACATGAGAGCGTGAGTACGGCGAGACGACCCTAACCTCGAGGCGAGAGTGAGAGCGTGCTGGCGCACCTGGTCGCGCAAGATGCTGACCTGGAAGCAGCGGTCCTTGAACTCCTGGAACGTGTAGTCCTTGCCGGACTCGATGAAGCCCGCGCCCTTCTCGATGCGGATGACGTTGTGGACGCCGGCCTTGATCCAGCGCCTCTTGCAGTCGGCGTGAAGTCGAGGTCGCGGATCAGGTACTCGGTGTGCTTGCGCGTGCGGCCCGAACCTTCGCCTGCGTGTGGAGATCGAGTCAGGCGTGCTGCTCTTCGAGTCTCGGACCGCGCCGAGAGAGCGAGACGTACGAGTTCCGGTCGGGCACAAGGCGGTGTCGGCGAAGTTGTCCAAGGGGAAGTCGAGGTCGCGGTCGTCCCAGATCCTGCACGCACAGGCAATCACGTTAGTCGGGACAGCTCGAGTTGACGAGGGGGATCTGGAACGAGGGGGAGGACGTACAGGTTCTTCGAGCACGCCTGGCAGAGGCGTACGCGCAGCAGGAAGTCGGCCTTGGGCGTCGTCCTCGCGCAGTTCTGCAGGGCACGAAGGACGAGGGGGCATCGGGTACGTCAGTAGAGGCCTTGTACGGCCCCTCGAGGATAAGAGAGAGAGAGCGAACGCACCTGGCAGTACTTGCTGAACAGGAGGTTGGCCAACTCGACGGTCGAGAAGCACGGCGCCGCGAGCTCGGGCAGCCCGCTCTCCTCGCGCGCCCACTCCCACAGGTACGACAGGGTCGAGTTGCCGCGGAGAAACTTGAAGAAGCGCTTGTTGAGGCGGGACAGGTGGAAGAGCGTCTCGAGGTCGAGGTGCTCGCAGATGCCGGCGAGGACGTCGAGCGGGAGGTCGAGGATGCCGCACAGCGTGCCCTGCAGGGACAAAGAGTCGGTCTCGCCACCGCTCGTGTGCAGGACGTTGCCGGGGACAGAGGCGCACCTTGGTTCCGCGAGCACCTCCTCCCGACGAGCGCAGCTTGGAGGCCCGGGGCGACGCGCCCTTGTTCGAGTCTGCAGGCGCAGCAAAGGTGAGCATCACCGTACAGGCCAGGACGCAGAGCCGAGTGGACGCACCGGGCGCCTCGTCCTCGTCGCTGGACGAGTCCAACTCATGGAATGGCTCGTCCTCGTCCGACTCGCGCATGGCGCGCTCGGCCTTGGCGGCACTGTGGCGGCGTGATTTAGACCGAGGCATGTGTGCGCTGGCAGCAGTGCTCGAGCGAGAGCGGCTGTGTGAGAGCGAGTCGACGTGTGTCGTCGCCGAGGACGAAGTGGAGCGCGGCCCGAGCAAGTCTCGTAATTTCGCTCCAACGTCTCCCTCTGGCTGAGCGCGGTTTCCCTTGCTCGGGACGCACAGGAGTGGACGAGCTCGCGAGCGAACGAGCCAAAAGGAAGAGCTCTCTGGACGTCGTCGGCCTTCGAGAGGCAGCTGGCCCACTCGCGCTCCACACGACAAAATGGCTTAGGAAACACGCTCGATTGCACCGCAGACACCTCCTCGTTCGATCTGGCGCGAGCAGAAGGCCGTAACCCTGCTAGATCAAGAGCTAGCGTTTGAGCGAGGGTGCGCAGGATCCCCCTCTTTCGAGCAGGTGGCCGGGCGCACGGGCGCTCCGCAGGGGTGCGCGCCGTGCGAGCGGCTCACCACAGTGCGCCCGCTGCCCTCAGGGGCACGAGAGGGCGGGCGCAGCCTCGTAAAGACCCGTCCGCGACGGCTCGACTCGCTGGGCCGCCGGGACGAGTGCGACGACGAACAAGAACTCTGTGCGGTCCGGGAAAGCTCGCGAGGGACGAGGAGAGCTTTCGGAGAGGAAAGGTCACCGTCGCGCGGCGCAGGAAGGGCGCGAGGGGAACTTTCGGAGCCGAGAAGGGGGAGGTGCCATCGAGGGCGCGGCCAAACTGCGGCGCGAGGTCGAGAGGGTCAGTGCGCGCGTCGGCGAGGAGCACAGACCCACATGAAGGTCCTTCAAGGGAGAGAGAGTGCGCGCAGGACGTACAAAGGACAAGACGAGCCGCCTCGAGGTCAAGAGCCCGCCTCGCGCCGCCCAGAAGGCCGCCCTGCTCGCCTTGCGCAGCCGTCCCGCCTGTGAGGTGACCGAGTCAGTCCATTGAGACCCCTGCACCGCGTCGCGAGGTGGCAGAGGGGGCTAGGGGAGAGGGAGAGGGGGGCCAAACACGAGGAGGCGGGGAGGAGGTGGACGCACCAGTCGCCCACAGCCCGCACGGCGCGGCCGCCTGGCCCGGTAGTCTCCTTAATGCTGATATGGCCCTCGACGACGATGCCCACAGGCCCATGAACCGTTGCCGCCAGTCGAGAGAGGTCGGACGACGCGGTTTGCTGATGAAGATGCGACGCGCTCTGCGTCGTCGGCGGGCGCTTGCGGCGAAGCGGGTACGGGCGCAACGCGTGATCGGGGTGTGCAGCTGCTCAGGCAAGCCGACTTGAGCGGGCCCAGTCGTGAGGGTCGAGGTGGAGGAGAAGCAGAGGCTGCCGCGCCTCGCTTCTCCCTCTCTCTCGCTCGGCTACTCGCCGCTCGCGGTGCGCACGCACTCACAGCTGGAAGGTCATGCGCTTCAGCCTCCCGCCGTCACGCGTTGTCGACGTGGCTGCTCCTCCCGCCGCTGCCACTCCCCTTCGACCCGCTCGCTCCCGACGGCGTCTCTGCCGACTCGGTCGCGCGTTCCTGCTGCGCAGCTCCCGCACAGGCCCCTGATAACTGCTCGCCGAGCGGCCGCGAGCCGGGCCGGACTGCGCGCGCCGCGGCGACGCACAGACGTTCGTCACCGCGGGGCGCCGACGAAGCTTTCGCTCGCCTCGCTTCTTTTGCTCTCTCCCGGCTGCGTCTCGACGATGTCGGCGGCGGAAGCGAGCTGGCTCGACGAGACGTCGGTCGAACACCTCGAGGGCATGGACGAGGAGAAGCTCGCGGATATGTGTGCGTCCTCGTCGCTCCTCTGCCTTCCTGGTCGCACCGTCACTAATCCTCTCGCACGACACAGATCATCGGGGTCCGGCAAATCTCGACGCTGCGGCGCGAGACGAGGGCACTGACTCTTCGTGCGCTTGACGCACTTCCTGCAGGCTATGAGTACAGGGAGAGCCCAGCGGCGCGAACCAGGCTCGTTAGCATCGTGCGTCTTCTCGCTCGCTTTGTCGCGACACGTGTCGAGCCTGACGGGAGTCTTTTCACAGCTCGTGCACCTGCGCGACGAGGCGGCCCGGTCGGCAGAAAACGCTGGCGCCCACCTCGCTGACACGCTCGGTCCGTCCCCATCTGACCCTCTCGCACGCGCTCAGAACGCCGACTGACCTCGATGGCACACAGTCAACGGCTGTGAGCCCACTCCTGCGCCGACGAGGCCGCCGACGATCTACTGACGCCTCTCACGGCCGCAGACCAGCACCAAATCGCGAGCACGAGCCTGGAGGCGCTCAAGCACACGCTTGCGGCTCGTCGAGACGGCATCGTGAGCCCTTGTCTTCCCTACCTGCGCCAGTTCGACCCACGAGACCGCCGGCGCACCGCTCTGACCCCTCCCTCGCGCGCAGCGCCTCGCGCGACGGCGGGCGAGCCAACGGAGCCTGGGCGAGTCGAGCCGGACGCGCAGCCGGACTCGTGCGGGCGAAGGCTCGTACAGGATGCGGCGCATCTACTTTGGCGAGGGCTAGAGGTGTAGCTCTGAGCGTGGTGCAGCGTGGAGCGACCCGTCTTCTCCTTTGCCTCGCCCGTCCCTGACTCAGCGAGAGCGGCTCAGCGACAACGGAAAGCCGTGCAGGAAGCTGGAGCTGCCGCAGAGAGAGTGAAGCGCAGCTCTGCGCGGCCCGCGAGCGTTTACTTGAGCGAGCGAGCGAGCAAGCGAGCGTGGGAAGAGGTCCGAGGCCGCGCCCTCGCTCGGCCTCGTGCTCGAGGCAGGACCGCCGTGTCGGGCGTCGAGAGGTAACACGCACGCAGACGCGACGAGCTCGGCCGCTTTGGCGGCTGTGCCCCCGTGCGAGGGACGCGAGCGCTGAGGCGAGGAGCGCGAGGAGAGGCGAGTACGCCGGCGAGGAGGCAGCGCGCTGCGGGCTGCGCCTGTGCAGCAAAGCAGGAGGGCAGCTGAGCAGCATCTCGCGCCTCGCAGAGCAAGTGTTGTCGCGGGAGACGAGGAGGAGCATCTCGCCTGCCGTCCATCGTCGTCGTCGCTCAACCACCGACTGTCGACCTCGCTCAGAGGCACTTGATCCAGCATGGAGTACGTCGAGCACCGCCACTGCCACGACGTCCACCTGTCCAGGCGAGCTGACCTCTCGCCCCTCGTCCAGGTCCCTCGGCGGCTTCGCACCCACCCCGGCCGACACGCCCCGCTCTCGCACCCCGATGCAGCGCCAGGACAAGCCCGCCAGCGACACGCCCAGCTCGTCCACCGCCTCGACCGCGACCACCGCCGCCCAGGACGACTCGCCGCTCTCGACCACGACCAAGTCGCTCGGGCTCGACAAGGAGGTCCAGAGCGTCGTCTCGGGCTTCTCGAGCTTCTGGGGGTCCATCAAGAAGCAGGTGCGTCCTCTGTCCACTCTATCTGGCAGCGCTCGGACGCGTTGGACGGCTAGAGAGGCGAGGCGAGCCAGGTGGGGCCACTCGGGAGGCGGGTGCAGCGGGAACCACAAGGCCTGGCGAGCGAGGGTGCGCTCGGGGCGCCATGCTTTCCGCGGTGGAACAAAGCCCTTGCGGCACTGTTCAAGAAGCGCGCCTGGAGCAGGCGAGCGGGACGGCAGCGTCTCTCGGAGCAGCGCTCGCGAGCGTGTCGAGCTCTCCCAGCTCGCAGCTGCTGACCGAGTTTGTCTGCCGAATACAGGGCACTGCCGCACTGCAGACCGCCGAGAAGCAGTACGAGTCGGCGCGCGCCGACCTGTCGCCCCTCATCTCGCAGGCCCGCGCCAACCTCGACCACCTCGGCGAGCAGACGCGCGCCGAGCTCCAGCGCCTGTCCGAGGCGCCAGCGACGGGCCAGGGCATCGTCATCGGCGCCGACGGCATGCCCGTCATCATCGACGACGCGCCGCCGGCGGCCGTCGACAAGGGCAAGGGCGTCGACCGGTCGGGCGACGGCGACGGCGAGGGTTCCGGCGCGGACACGGCGAGCGACGTGCAGCAGCAAACGCCTGCAGCCGCCGCGTCGGCCTTCTTTGCGTCGCTCGCCATGAACCCGAACGTCCAAGAGCTCTCGCGCAACCTGTCGACCCTCCAGACGGGCGTGTCGCGCAACCTGCACCAGATCCAGTCGCAGCTCACGCACCTCGACCTCGCCGAGGGCCAGAAGGTCGCCGAGGACTACCTCCACAAGGGCGAGCACTGGTTCCAGGACTTTTCCCACGAGGTCAGCAAGCTCGCGAGCGACGCCCTCAAGGTCGTCCCGCCCGACGCCTCATCGGCGCGCGATGGCGCCGCAGGAGGCGACCACTCGGGCTCGGGCCGCACGAGCATGGACAAGTCGGGCGCGGCGAGCGCCATGAGCCGCCGCGAGCTCATCCTGTACAAGCTCCGCACCGACACGGCGCTCCTCCTCGCCGACCCGGCGGCGTCGGCCGACTCGCGCGACTCGTTCGCCGCGTTCGTCGCTGCGCGCGGTGCGCTCGACGACGAGGCGTCGCAGGCGCAGGTCGGGCGCGAGCTCGAGATGGGCGGCGAGGCGCTCCAGGCGACGCACGACGCGCTCGTGCCCGCGCAGCTCGACGACGAGACGTTCTGGGTGCGGTACTTCTGGCGCAAGGAGACGATCGAGGCCGAGGAGGAGCGCAGGAAGAAGGTGCTCCAGAGTGCGTCGCCCTCGTCCCTTCTCTTCCCCCCCCCCCCCCCCCCCCTCGCGCCGTGCCGAGCCAACCTGACCGGCTTGCCTCCTTCCCTGCGCAGTCGCCGACCAGAGCGAGGACGACTTTTCGTGGGACATGGACGACGAGGACGGCACCTCGGCCGCTGCGTCGCCCCGCCTGTCCGTCGTCGCCGGTATGACGGCCGCCCCCTCGGCCTCGCTCGACGCCGCCGTCTCGTCCGACCCGGCCCCCTCTTCCGCCTCTGCTGCCGCACCTCCTCGCTCCGCCAACGACACGCCCACGCTCGTCTCGGCCGCCTCGCCCGCCGACTCGAACGCCGCCGCCGCCGCCGCCGCCGCCGCGCCAACCGCACCGACGGGCGCGGGCCCGAGCGCGTCGTCGCAGCACCCGTCGCCGACGCTGTCGCTCTCGACGACGGCCGAGCGCAGCCCGCGCGCGAGCAGCGACGGCGCGGGGAGCTACGACGTCGTCGACGCCAAGAGCGGCAACCCGAGCGGCGACGAGCTCGGTGGCGACAAGGGCGGCGCGGCGGACAGGGCGCGCAGGGACTCGGCGGCGGGAGCGGACGAGGACGAGGACAGCGACTGGGAGTGAGAGAGGAGGGGCGGTGGAACGGCGTCGCTGTGGCAGATCCAGCTTAGCCGGCGCGGCCGGGTGTACTCTAGTGCTTTCTCTTTCGTCTTTTCCTCTCCCATCATTCCCTACCTACCCATTCGAACGACCCACATCCGTGCAGTGTACTCGTTGCGACTCTCGTCGACTCTCGTGAGCTATCTGCGCGCGCTCAAGAGAGAGAGAGACAAGGTTGCAGCGCTCCTCGACAGGCTTTGCTACGCCGCAAAGTTCATCTGGACGACCTCGAGCACGAGTCCTCCCTGTCGCACCGCGTCTCTCCCTCGTCCCGAGCTGTCCGCCGTGCTCTCCCAAAAGTCGAGGAGGACGACCATGCCCCCCTCGCCGCGCACGTACCTCCTCCCCCTCGCCCTCGCTCCTCCCCCTGCTCCCTCGTCCTTCCCCTCGCCCACGCCAGCTGCCACCGCCGCAGCAGTAGCAGCATCGGTAGCAGCGAGGCGTCGCAGGCCCCGCAGGACGAGCTCGTTGACGCCGCGCCAGCCGAGGCCGAGCGAGGGCGCGCCGAACCCTTTGGCGGCGACCGAGGGAAAGAGGAGCGGAAACGAGGCGCAGGAGAGGTACGAGATGCGGTGAGGGAGGGGGTCGGGCGTCGAGAGGGGGTGCGGGCGGGCGTCGGTGGCGGTGGTTTTGGCAGCGGAGGATGAGGGAGGGAGGAGCGGCGAGTCGGGCGTGAAGAGCGAGAGCGCGAGGGCGGCCTTCTTGGGGATCGCGATGGGTGTCGATAGACCGTACTGCATGTCGAAAGGGCGGGTCAGTGGGGCGGCAAGAAGAGAAAAGGCCGACGGTCGGAGAGAGAGAGAGAGGGAGAGAGGGAGAGAGGGAAACGCACCCAGTCCTGGACGAGCGTGTCGCGCCCGCCGATCGTGGTGCGCCATGCTGCACGCGAATCGTTCGGCCATTCAGGCGGATGCAGGCCACCTGTCGAGCAACGAGAGCAGTCAGTGTTCGCTCTTCCGGTTCGAGCCAAGAGTCGGCGCCGCCCGGCCGACACGAGTGACGAGGGCGAGCACGAACGACTCACGCTGCGTGTCCCACCCGAAGCGACAGAACATGACGCACTTGCCGCGCACCTCGCCGAGGGACGGCCAGCGGTCTTCGTCGTACCACAAGGCGCGAGAACGAGAGGTGCGGTCGAGGAGGGCCCACAAGGTCTCGGCGAAATGTGGCGCCGGGTTTTCCTGCAGACAAAGCGAGCGTCAGTCATGCACTGTGTCGTAGAGCGCGTTCGACCCGAGCGCGCTCGAGGATGGCGCAGGGGACGAGGACGAGCCGACGCACCTGCTTGCAGCTGACGACGACGCACTCGCTCCTGCCCTCGCCCTCGAGCCAGCGGTACACCTCCTCGAACGCGTCGGCCGCGCTAAGTCGTTGCGGCACGATGCCGTGATAGGCCCACAGCTCGCCGTCGTCGAGGAGCGAGAACCTAAGATCGAGGAACCGGATGCCGCCTTTCAGCTGGTTGAGGAGCGGGGTCGACTGGCAGATTGAGGACAGGAGCGGATAGAAGAGGGCGAGGGAGTCCTGTATGACGATGAGAGGGTGAGCGACGGCGGTGGACGAGGGTGCCGGGGCGAGAGAGGAAGGGAGAAGGGACGCACATGGGTGCCGGGCAGGTAAAGCTCGTCGAGCTTCGCTTCGTCGGGGACGTAGCTCATCCAGCAGCTCGTGTCGACCGAATGACCGACATGAAGAGCTTTGGCCTGTGAGCAAGGGACACAGCGTCAGTCCCGGAGCGAGACCAGTAGGCGAGAGAGGGAGAAGCGGACGGACCTCGAGCGGCACACGTTTCCTCCTGCGCTTGACGAGTCCCGACAGGGTGGCGAGCTTGTTCCTCGTTGGCGTGACACTGAACACTCGAGGCTCTGCGGGCGAAGCGAGCGTGCGCTCGTCGTCGTCGAGAGGTGCCGAGGACGCAAGTTGAGGCGGCGGTGACGGGCGAGGGCGGGTCGCTGTGCGCTCTTGCGCCGCTCGGCCGGCGGTCACTTGCTGTGACGGCTGAGGGTGCACATCGTGGCGCTGGACGAAGCAGCGTGCTCGAGTCGGCGAGGCCGAGGCGGGTGGGGAAGCGGTCGGCGAGAGGTGCGTCGGGCGAGCTGAGGCTTGGTAGGCCGGTAGTATGGACGTAGTCGGTAGTACTGGTGGCATCAAAGCCGAGCTTGAGTCGAGAGGAGTCGGGCGAGAGGAGCAGATGGACTGCCCCCGTCATCAGCTTGCAGGCTTCCCCCATCTCGTCCTCGTCACACTCTCCCAGCATGCCTGTCAGTACCTCAAGCCCACTCAGAGCACCTCCGAGTACCCGCCTACTAACTGCCTGCCCTCCCTGCGCGTCGCCCCCGCCCCGCAGGCCTACCACTCGTCGTGGAACGACGACGCACAAGGCGCTCGCCAAGTCGGCAACCTGGCCCTCCTGCCCTTCTCGAGCCGCATCAGGGGAACTGCGCCGACGCCAGGTGTGTCCTCCCGCTCCCTCCCTCGCCGCCCACGTCCTCGTCACCCTCGCCCACCTCGGGCCGAGCGGGGCTGCTCCTCCCCTCTTCCCCTCGCACGTCAGTATGAGCCCCGGCACTGACACAGTCGCGAACACACAGCCGACACGAACCAGCCCGACATCATCGACGAGAGCCTCGCCCTCTTCCGCCCAAACTCGCTCTTCCGCAACTTCGAGATCAAGGGCCAGGCCGACCGCGTCCTCATCTACCTCATCCTCTTCATCGGCGACTGCCTCGGAAAGATCGCGCAGGGTGCGTCGCCGTCCACTTCGGCTTGGGGAGACGACCGTGCCCCCCCCTTCCTCGAGCGGGCCCTGACCTGCTCCCCTGCCTCCGAATCCGAGGACACACAGCCCGCACCTGGACCTCGCAAGACGCCCTCAAGCATCTCACGACGCACGCCCTCGGCCACTTTGCGCTGCCGGGCGAGCCGGGCTTCCCGATGAATCAGGTCTTCCAGGGCCCGGCCGCCGGCGACCGCGTGTCGAGCGACGCCCTGCGCGCCTACCTCGTCCATGCCCGCCAGGAGACGGTCCTGCGCCTCGTCGAGCAGCACGTGTACAACCCGCAGGACGAGAGTACGGCGGGCGGGTCCAAGCCGAGCAAGTGGTGGATGGCGTTCCAGGTGCGTCCCCCCTTTCTCTCCTCCGTCAGCGACTGCGAGCAGGTGCAGCTGGGGTCGCGGTCCAGGTCGTTGGACCGCGTCCCCTATTTGGCTCCGCACGGTCGCTGACACTCGATCCGCACGTGCAGAAGCGCCGCTTCATGGGCAAGCAGCTCGGGTCGTGAAGAACGCCTTGGTCGGGGCGGCGGTCGTCGTCGGTCGTCGCCTCGCTGCCGACATCCGCCGTACCTCTTCCTCGATCCACGCCGACCCTGCCGACAGACCCTCCTCATTCGCCCCGAAAGAATCCGCCTCGCGACGGCGCCGATTCCCTCCTCCCGCCTTTCGTAGATCTTACACCGCCTCGAAGCCTCTTTTGCCGTGCCCTCGCAATGTATATCCTGCCCTCACGCACTGTGTCGGTCCCGACGAGGAGAGCGAGTCGGAAGCGCTCGAGCGAGTTGCTCTCGGCCGCCGCAGAGTCGGACCAGCGGGATCTCCCTCGTCTTGCTCTCCATCTCGTCCACTGCCTCTGCTGAAGCGCAGCACAGGACCCAGTCGCCACTACCCCCAGCCGCGACAGTACACACCGCACCGCCACTTCCCTTGAACCCTTGCGCGAGCTCGACCCCGACTTGGCGTCATCTCGACCCTCATCTCACTTGGCCGCTCCCTCCTCCCACACCCACTCGAGCCCGCCAAAGATGCTCGCACCGACACTCGCACTCGTCGCGCTCAGCGCCAGCACCCTCGCCTCGCCCCTCCAGCTCCCCTTCCTCTCGCCCTCCTCGTCCCCCACCTCGGCCCTCGTCAACTCGACCTCGAAGCCGGTCCACGTCGCGCTCGGCGTCATGTCGCGCTGCCCGGACGCTTCGCTGTGTGAGACGGTGTGGGACCGCGTCCTCGAGGAGCGCCTGCCGACCAAGTTTGGCTCGGGCGTCGTCGCCGACCTCGTCGACATGGAGCTCGTCTTCATCGCGCAGTGCGTCCGCTTTTCTCTTCCTCGACCTCGCCCTCATGCCCCAAGAGACGACGCCCTGACACACACCGACGCCCACAGCGAGGACTCGTCGGCCCCGTACGGCGCGACGTGCATGCACGGCGAGCTCGAGTGCAAGGGCAACGTGCAGCAGCTGTGCGCGGCGCGACACTGGCGCGCCGGCTCAGAAGGGCGCAAGAAGAAGGGCGTCGACGGCGAGGCCGAGGCGACGCTGGCGAGGGAGAAGAGGGCATGGGAGGACTCGTGGAACGTGCGTCGGCCTCTCGCTCGTTCGGTGGCGCGTTTTCCGCCTACTGATTGCCCTTGCCTCCCTTCTCACAGTTTGTCCAATGCATGAACTATGGCGAGACGTCCCGGATCGGCAGCGATGCGGCGGCCAAGCGGTGCGCGTCGGTCGTCGGGCGAGGTGCGTCTCCTCCTCTCCCTCTCTCTCCTCGTCCGCCCTCTCCTTCGCGTAGCGCCAGACTGACCCTCTCGTCTCCCGCAGAGTGGACCGACACGCTCGCGTCGTGCGTCGAAGGCAAGGAGGGCCGACGCCTGCTCGTCGACAGCCTGGAGCGGGCCGAGCGCCTCGCCGTCAAGAGCAGCTGCACCATCCTGATCGAGGACAAGCCGATCTGGTGCGTCTCCCCCTCTCTCTCTGTCCTTCCCTCGCTCGTCCCTGCGCGCTCGTGTCGCACGTGCAGGCGACGCAGTAGAGCCTGCATCTGGCCGCACGTGCTGACCCGCCTTTCCTTCCTCCCCTTCCTCCTTCCTCTCGTTCGTCCCTGCAGCATTCACGACGGGTCGTGGAAGCAGTGCCCGGGCGGCCACGACGTGCGCGACTTTGCGCGCGAGGTGCGCGACACGTTCGAGCGGCTCAACTCGGAGCGCGGCGTCGGTGCGGACGACGAGTAGAGGTTGGGGGGCGCGAGGGTTTTGAGTACATGAGGCTGCAGTGCAACTCTGTCGCTCAAAAGGGGAGAGCGACCGGTCGAGAATAGTGAGACGCGACGAGATCGAACTTGGCTCCGCTCGCGCTCGCTCTCCTCCTCCCCCTCCTCCCTCCTCCCTCACCCCTCCCTCGGCTCTTGTCCCTCACGATGGCTTCTGTCGACCCCACCGCCGCCGCTACCGGCACCGCCTCGAAGCGCGCTCGCGGCCACTCTGCCATGGTGCGTCCACCCGCCCTCCCTTCTCGCCCAACGTCGGCCCGTCCTCCCCCCCCCTCTCGCCTCTCCTCGCCCCGCCCGCCTCTCGCCCGCCGTGGACGGTGCAGCAGTCGGTGGATGGAGCATGTGGGCTTGCGGTGGACCTCGCTGCGCGGCAGGGCGAGCTGTCGTCACCGAGGGAGGGGGCAGCTTCTCGCCCGCGAGGACGGCGCTCCACGCTGGGCGGACCTCCGCCCTCTCGGCCCGGCGGACCCGGCCGTTCGAGCGCATCGCTCGCGTCGAGTCTCTCGGTGCAACAGGTGGCAGCTGGGCGGGCGCGGTGCTCGACTCGCTGCGAGCGCGGCGAGGGCCACCTTCCCAGCGTCGGCGGGGCGTGGGGGAGGCTGCAAGGGCGGGGAGATGGAGCGATCCTCGTCCGGTGGGGACGCCTCGCTCGCCCTGCAGCGCCTGCGCATAGCCAGAGCAGCGTCGCGATGTCGGCGGATCAATCACCAAGGCGGCGAGCCTGCACTCGGAGCACCGTCACTGACCTCCCGCTCGCGCCCCCTCCTCCTCCCCTCCTCCTTCCTTCTCGCGCTCTCCCACATCTCGCAGGACTTCAAGTCGGCCGCCACGGGCGTGTCGGCCAAGGCCATGCGCAACGAGCTCAACGCCATGATCCAGAACATCCAAGACCCCGAGTACAAGAAGGTGCGTCGGCTCGCTTCGAACACTTGGCCGCAGCCTCTCTCGTCCGCCTTGGGCGAGAGTGGGAGACCTCTTTTTCGCTTCGCGGCGCCGTACTGACACTCTACCGCACCTGCATGCAGGCGTTCGAGGCCGAGATGCAGAGCTTCTTCATCCTGTTCAACCGCTACCTCGCCGAGACGGCCAAGAACGAGAAGATGTGCGTCCTCGCCGCCCCCCTCTCCCGCACTCTCGAGCGTACACCTGACCCACACGCTCCCCCTCGCAGTGACTGGGAGAAGATCCAGCCGCCGACGCCCGAGCAGGTCGTGCCGTACGCCGAGCTTCCCGAGAAGACGGACCCGTCGCTCCTCGACAAGCTCGCCGTCCTCAAGCTCAACGGTGGCCTCGGCACGACCATGGGCTGCGTCGGCCCCAAGTCGATCATCGAGGTCCGCGAGGGCATGACCTTCCTCGACCTGTCGGTCCGCCAGATCGAGCACCTCAACTCGCAGCACAACGTCAACGTGCCGTTCATCCTCATGAACTCGTTCAACACGGACGAGGACACGGCCGTCATCATCCAGAAGTACGCCAACCACCGCATCGAGCTCATGACGTTCAATCAGTCGCGGTACCCGCGCGTCAACCGCGAGACGCTCCTCCCGACCCCCAAGTCGGCCGTTGAGGACAAGGGCGCGTGGTACCCTCCCGGCCACGGCGACCTGTTTGACGCCATCATGAACTCGGGCCTGGTCGACAAGCTCCTCGCGGCCGGCAAGGAGTACCTCTTCGTGTCGAACGTCGACAACCTCGGCGCCGTCGTCGACACGCGCATCCTCGAGCACATGCACCAGAGCGGCGCCGAGTTCCTCATGGAGGTGACCGACAAGACCAAGGCCGATGTCAAGGGCGGCACGCTCATCAACTACGAGGGCAACGTCCGCCTCCTCGAGATTGCCCAGGTCCCGTCCGACCACGTCGAGGACTTCAAGTCGGTTCGCAAGTTCAAGATCTTCAGTGAGTCGGCTTGTTCCTCGGCCCTGCGCGAGCGACGGCTCGGCGTCGACGAGCCGTCACGAGCGCTCCTCGGCTCTCGACGCCTCTTACCTCTTCTCGCTCGCGCGCAGACACCAACAACCTGTGGGTCAACCTCCGCGCGATCAAGCGCATCATGGAGAACGACGGCATGGACCTCGAGATCATCGTCAACCAGTGCGTCCAGCGTCGTCCTCGTCCACCCTGAGCCTGCCGGCGCCTCACCTGTGCCGGCTCGCCCTGTCCGCCGACCGTGCCTGACCGTTCTACTTCCCCTCTCCCGGCCCACAGCAAGCAGAGCGACAAGGGCGAGGCCGTTATCCAGCTCGAGACGGCCGTCGGCGCGGCCATCAAGCACTTCAACGGCGCGCACGGCATTAACGTGCCGCGCTCGCGGTTCCTGCCCGTCAAGAGTTGCAGTGACCTGCTCCTCATCAAGAGTGACCTGTACGAGCTCAGCGGTGCGTCCCTCGTCCTCCTCTCACCGTTCCCGTCCGGCGCTCGAGCCTCGAGGACGGAACTGACTCGGCTCTCCCTCACGCAGGCGGCGCCCTCGTCATGAACCCGGACCGCATGTTCCTCTCGACGCCCGTCATCAAGCTTGGCGACGCGTTCAAGAAGGTCGCGGCGTTCCAGAAGCGGTTCAAGACGATCCCGTCGCTGCTCGAGCTCGACCACTTGACCATCTCGGGCGACGTCTCGTTCGGCCGGGGCACCGTCCTGCGCGGTACCGTCATCATGTGCGTCCCCTCTTCCTCCTTTCCCTCCTCGAGCTGCGCCTGGCGGCCCGAGTCGGTCCCTGTCAAGGCGGGCTTGTCGAGCTAACCCTGTGCGCTCGCGCCCGTGCCTCCCCCTCCTCGCAGTGTCGCCAACGACGGCTCGAAGATCGAGCTTCCGGACGGCACGACCCTCGAGAACAAGCTCGTCACGGGCCAGCTCTCGCTCCTCGACCACTAGACGACGTTCGACCTCCCTCTTCCGACCTCTCTGGCTCCCTCTCCCTCCCTCCCTCCCTCCTGCCGCACTGTCGCATCCTCCCTCTCTCCTCGTAGTTAGTTTTCGTGCCCAACACTTCGACTCTCTCTCTCTCTTCGTCCTCGTCGTTCTCGAGCGTGCGCGGACGCGAACGAGCTGTCGCCGCGAGCGAGAGCCAGCAGAGGGAGGGGTCTGCGTCGATTTGAGAGCTCGGCGATGCTGCGCTGCACGCTCACGAGCGGGAGAGTCTGCTCTGCACGCTGGCTGGCTCTGCTGGCAAGAGCGAGCGAGGATGCGGTCATGCTCGTTGTCGGCCGCCCGACCCGCACTCTGCTCTCCTCGTCCGTCCGCTCGCCTCGCTCTTCCGACCAGCTTGAGCCAGCGTGTCCTCGCCATCATGCCGTCAGGCCTCGCTGCCGACTTTCTCCCGCACGGCGTCGCCCACACCGAGGACCACGGCGCGTCCTCAACCGGGTCGTCCAAGGGCATGGCCTCGCTCACTTGGTGGGTCGTCAAGAGCGTGCCGTGGTACCTGTGGGCCATGTATGCGCTGTACCTGTACGGCCGGCACGTCCGCGGCAATGGCAGGCGCGACGAGCGCACCAAGTCGAGGTGAGCTCCCCCGCCTTGCTCTCGCCGCCCTCGCAGCGCCGCACAGCTCCTGCGAGGTTGTTCAAGGCGCCATACACGCCTTTTACGGTGTCTGTGGCGCGCGCGGCCACCGCGCAAGGACAACGAGCTGACTCTCTCCTCCTCCCACAGACGTCCTCTTCCTGCGTCCGAGAACGCCCCTCGCCGACCTGAACTGCCTTCGCGAGATGTTGTCTACCGTTCTGGGTCACCGCTCGCCATGCCGCGCCCGTCCTCGCCTAGCGTCGAGCGCCGCGGCAGCTACCGCCGGTACTCGAACAGCTCGATGCCCAACATGGAGGAGCGGCCGAGAGCCAGCTCGGGCCTGAGAAACGGTGCGCACCCTCTCTCTCCCTCTAGACCGACGAGTGGGACATGCACTGACTCTGTTCCCCATCCGCAGCCTACACGCCCTCGCGCTCGTCGCTCTCGTCCCCTCGTCCCCCTCCCTCGATCGAGCCACTCCAGCACCAAGAGCCGCACGCCTACTCGACCTCGGCCCTACCACGCTCCAACGCCGTCGCCAGCACCTCTGCCCTGCGCAACGCCTACCCGTCGTCGTCCGCCCCTGTCGTCCCGACCGTCTCGTCCTCGAGGGCGCAGCAGCGCAAGCGCGCACACGACGACGACGAGTCGGGCGAGGCCGAGAAGCGCTCTCGCGTCGACGACAACGGCGCGTACGACTTTGCCCAGACGGACGACGACGAGCCGACGAGCATGCAGCTCGACAGCGACCACGCCGACGAGGCGCACGAGCCTGTCGCCGTCGCCGCGCTCAAGCGTGGAACCAAGCGCCGAGACGCCGCACGCGACGACGAGGTCGAGTCGAAGCGCACGCGCACGAGGGCGCCCGACGTGACCGTGCCGGGCTCGTCGCGCGCTCCGCAGCAGCAGCAGCAGGGCGGCAAGAAGCGTCGCGCGTCGTCGTCGGGCTCGTCGCGCCCCTCCTCGCCGGCAACGTCGCCGAGGGCCGAGGGCCACCAGCAGAAGAAGAAGAAGGCGCGCAAGGCGGCGATCGGGACGGGCAGCGTCCGCGACAAGCGCGCCATCGACGACACGTCGTTCGACGCCGAGGTCGACGACGACGCGCTCGACTTCAGCGACGACGACGCCGCCCACGAGCGCAACGCCGACTCGGACGTCGAGTCGGGCGACGAGCGCGAGGCGGCGCGCGAGCAGGAGCACCGGTCGGGCGACGACGGCAAGCCCGCCGTCGCCGGCCAGGTCAAGCGCTTCCGCTCGCGCCGCGACCGCAGCGGGTCCGACAACGACGACCTCATGGGCGACGTCGAGCCCGCGTACGGCTCGTCGACGGCCGTGTCGAGCGCGTCGTCCTCGGCGCCCAAGAGCGGCGGCGCCCGCAACGCCCGCCTCGGCCGCCTCCTCGCCAAGCAGTCGCGCCCGTCAGTCTCGTTGTCGAGGACGCCGCAGCGCGCCCGTGGCGGCGACCGCGACCACAAGCGCGACGTGTCGCCGACGCCGTCGAACGAGGACGTCGAGCTCGCCGCCGCCGCCGAGTCGGGCACGCCGCGCAAGCCCGGCGACGAGTGGACGTCGTTCGAGGGCGACCGGTACCGCATCGACGCCGACGGGACGCAGCGTCGCCTGTGCGAGGTGCGCGAGAAGCGCCTCAAGTTCCGCATGCCCAAGGACTCGAAGCACCCGGACGCGAGGGCCACCCACGTCGTGCGTCCCGCCTCTCTCCCTCTCCCTCCTGCGTCGAGCTCGTGCTCGACGTCGTCCGCGCTCAGCGACACCGACTCACCATCATCCTCTTGCCCGCAGGTCATTGTCGAGCGCTGGTTGACGGCCGACCAGTACGAGCAGGCGTTCGAGCACCGCAAGCTCGCGTGGCAGACGACATTCGAGGAGGAGGCGCGTCAGCAGCGCATGCTCGAGGACGAGTCGGCCGCCGCCACCGCCGCCGCCGGGCCCGACAGCCCTGCCGCCGCCGCGGCCGCCGCCGCCGCCTCGGCCAACGAGCACGAGCGCTCGGTCTACTTCACGCGCGGCGTCGGCACGCCTCTGCGCGCGTACCGCAACCTCGGCGAGATCCTCGCGCGCCCGGGCTCGGCAGCCGGCGCCGCCGGCGGTGCGTCGTCGACCTCGGTGCCGGCGAGCCCGCGCGCGTCGCCGCTCCTCGCCAACGGGCGCATGCGCCTCGCGAGCGGCGCCGGCGCGTCGTCGTCGTCGTCGAGGACGGGCACGCCGGGCAGCACGAGCCGCAAGTGGAGCGAGTACGAGGTCAAGAAGTTGCTCGAGGGCGAGGAGGCGGCGCGCGCCGAGAGGGAGAAGCGCCGGCTCGGGTACCTCGCGATGGGTGGCGACCTGTACGAGACGGAGCAGGAGCGCAAGGAGCGCGAGGACAAGGAGCGCAAGGAGGAGCAGGACAAGAAGGCGCTCGAGCCGGCCAAGATCAAGCTCGCCGACTACGCGGTCGCGGCCAAGGAGGACGGCAAGGTCAAGAGCGACAGCAAGCAGACCAAGGTGCGCCCTCTCTCTCTCCCTCTCTTGGCTGTCGTGCGGCATCCCTGACGCTCTCGACGACGTCCATAGATCGCCGCACCTGCACTCGCCCTTCCCGCACCTGCGTCGACCTCGAGTGCAACCAAGCCCGCCGCGCCCAGCTTCTTCTCTGCGCCCACCACCTCGACCTCGACCTCGACCTCGTCTGCCACGCCCGCCGAGGCCAAGCCGGCCGCCGCTCCTCCCGCCTTTTCCTTCGGCGCGCCGGCCACTCCCGCCGCGGCGCCCGCCCCGTCGATGCCGCTCTTCGGTGCGACGCCGAGTGCGCCCGCGACGAGCGAGAAGAAGGCCGACACGCCCAAAGCGGCGTTCTCGTTCGGCGCGCCGGCCTCGACTGCGCCCGCTCCGCCTGCGGCCGACAAGAAGAAGGACGAGGCGCCCAAGCCCGCCTTCTCGTTCGGCGCTCCGCCGGCAGCCGAGAAGAAGGAGGAGGCGCCAAAGCCCTCGTTCGGCTTCGGCGCGCCCGCCTCGGCGGCAAAGCCGGTCGAGCCGGCCGCTCCTGCGGCATCGCCCTCGCCGTTCGGCGCTTCTGCGCCCTCGCCGTTCGGCGCGTCCGCAGCGTCGTCGACATCGGCGCCGTCGTTCGGCGGCTCCGGTGCGACCTTGAGCGCACCGCCGGCAGCCTCGGCCCCGTCGCTCAACTTTGGCTCGTCCTCGACGCCCAAGCCGGCCGCGCCGCCGTTCTCGTTCGGCGCTCCTGCCGCCACTCCTTCCTCGTCGTCGACTACCCCCGCCGCCGCCGCCCCCTCTTTCACGTTCAACGCCGCGTCGGCGCCTCCTCCCGCCCCGAGCCCGGCCGCATCCCCGTCGACCGGCTTCGCGTTCGGCCAGGCGCCCGTTGCGAGCCCCGCCGCCACATCGACCTCGGCCGGCGGCGGCTTCAACTTTGGCGCGCCGGCCCAGGCGGCAGCGTCGTTCGGCTCGACGCCGGCGAGCCCGGCCGTGTCGGGCACGGGCTCGATGGGCTTCAACTTTGGCGCAGCGAGCCCGGCGCCGGCTAGCCCTGCCGGGAGCGGGACGTTCTCGTTTGGCGTGAGCCCGACGGGAGCAGCTGCGCCGACGAACCCCTTCTGTGCGTCCCCTCGTCCTCTCTCTCTCTCTCTCTCCCTTTTCCGCTCCTGGACGGACTCACTGACTGACCTCGGCCCTATTGTCTGCAGCGTTCGACGCGGGCTCTGGCGGCGGCGGTGCGGGTGGAGCGGCGACGCCGCGCAGGATCAAGCGTACGCCGCGCCGGCCGTGAGAGAGGAGCTCGAGGGAGTTGAGAAGGTGGAGGTGAGGAGGAGACGGGGCCCGAGCGGCAGGACACAGGGGCTTTCACTTTGCCGAACGGTGCTATCCATGAGCTGTGTTGTCCTTGCACTCGTGCTCAGCAGCTTGTGAGCGGTCGACGACGAGCGCGATAATTGCTGAGACTCGACGCAAAGTCCCCGCTCGACCTGTGCCCCACGCAAGCTAGTGTCGCTCTCTCGTCCCACGCACACGCACTGCTGCTGCTGCTGCACGGCATGTTCCTGCCTCGATCCCTGCTCGTACTCGTCGTGGTCGCCTTTGCCCAGCACGCGGTGCGTCCGACGGTTCCTCCACTCGCGGCCTCGATCAAGGAGACGGCGCGCCCGGCATGCAGATGGGGCGCTCTAGAGGGCACAGGGGAGCGCAAGGGGGGTGCAAGGAGGGTCTGAGGGACCTGTTTGAGGTCGTGCGCGGTCACCGACGAGCCCTCGTACTCAGCAACGCGCGCTGACCCTCTCCTCCTCCTCCTCCTCCTCCTCCTCCTCGTCCCTCTCCTCGTCTCACCGACTCGCCCTCCCTCGACTCGCCTCGCCCCGCCTCATCTCGCCGTCCTCCAGCTCGCCGCACCCGCCGCACCTCGACTCGAGCGGCGACAGGCCAACTCGCTCACGTCGATCCAGTCGACGTCGCAGGTCGCAGCCTCGACCGGGCCCTCGACCGCTCCTGCCGCCACCCCGACCGTGAGCGAGAGCGTGACGGGCACGGCCAGCGTTCCCTTCTTCTCGGCACCCGACACGTTCACCCCGACAGCGACCGGCAGCAGCGCCGTCCCTGGCTCGTGCGTCCCTCTCTCTCTCTCTCTCTGGTTGCCGGAGGCTCGAGCCTGTCCGCGTCTCGTGCGCTCACCCTGCCTCCCCTTCCCACAGCCTCATCACCATCACCAACGGGCCTTACACGAGCGACGTCTTCACCTACACCGCCGCCGCTTCGACCGTCCCGCCCACGGGCAACATCACCAACCCGGGCGTCGCGGCTTCGGCAGGCGGCGCAGGCGGCAACACCGACCTCGGCGCAAGCCCGACCAACCTTCAGGTGCGCCCCCGAGTTCCTGCGGCGGCGTTCACCTGCGAGCGAGACAGGGTCCTGACGCACGTTCCTCCTCGCGCTCGCAGATTGCCGGAGCGACGACGACGCGCTCTCTTGCCTCGACTGGCGCACTCGGCGTCGCGCTCATTGCGTCCCTCGGCCTGTTGGTCGGCTGAGCGTAGAGAGCGCTTGTACGGACGCGCTCTCGCTTCGACGGTCCTTTCTCGCTCCTCTTGTCTGTCTTTCGTAGTTTCCCACTGTCCTTTCCTCTCCTCTAGCCTCGAGCTGTAACGAGTAGCGCCCCTTCTTTCCTTTTCCTCGCGAGCGGCAGTACCGAGAGCACAGCAGAGAGCTTCGAGCGCGGCGTCCGCCGAGAGGGCTGCCCTGCTCGTCCTCTCGCAGCTCGCTCGAATCGACGAGAGAGAGAGAGCGCGCAGCAAGCGCGACATGATCCGAGAGGCACTGACTATGCACACGAGGCACTACACAAGATGACAAACTGAGAGCGCGAGAAGCCGTTTTGTCCGAGTCCTGCTCGACCCTCCTCTCCGCCGACGCACGGTCCCCTTCCCACGATCCAGCACTCAGGCCCCCTCGCCGACCGCCTGCACCTCGACGACCCACGGCCTGACCTCGTCGTCCTGCTGCGCCTCGCCGCCGGTGCGCTCGGCCTCGACCTCAGGCGCAGGCCTCGAGCCGACCGCCTTGTTCCACGCGCCCTCGAGGTCGACCTCGACGAGGAGCCGCCGGCCGCCCGTGTCGGTGTCGTCGAGCGACGTCGACCGGACAAAGAGCGCGTCGAGAAGAGCGCCGTCGAGGGCGAGGCGGACCGGGAGCTGCTCGGCGGACGAGGCGGACGAGGACGGGGTCCGTGCGGCGGGGAGCGAGACGTAGAGCCCGAGGCGACCGACGTAGTCGAGCTCGATGCGGAGCGTCTCGCCGTCGTGCGTCTCGCCGTCGTGCGTCTCGACCGGCATGCACTCGAGCTCGGCCGGCTTGCCCTCGCCCTCGAGCGTCGTCGACGCCGGCGCCGGGCCCGCCGTGACCGCCGGCCTCGTCTGCCCGCCGACGCTGCGCTGGCCGGCGCCGACCGCCCACAGGACGGTCGCCCAGCCGAACCCGACGAGCGCGCGCACCTCGCCAAAGAGGGTGCGCAGCGGCGAGCGGAGCGCGTCCTGCGCGAGGCCGGCGAGCTCGCTGCGGGGCGTGCGGCGCTGCCCGTTCGCGGCGGCGGGCGTCGAGCGGTAAAAGGCGCTCGCAAAGTAGGCGAGGAGGAACGAGAGGCGCCCTTGCGGGACAGGGAGGGTCGAGCGCGGCGAAAGAGGGCGAGGCGACGACGATGCCGGGGCGGCGACGGCGTCGACGCGAGGCGGCGCAGGCCCGCCGTTCGACGCCGTCGACGATGTCGGGGTCGAGCGGGAGGACGTCGCGTTGGCGGCGGCCGCGGCGGCCGGGCTCGACTCGACGGCCTTCTCGAGCTGGCCGACCTTGGGAATGCTGCCGACGCCGACCGCGATCGACCGCACCGCCGCGAGCCCGACCGTCTTGTCGACGAGCCCGACGCTGGCGACCTTGAGGCTGCTGCCGGACGCCCGGCTCGACGTCGGCGAGAGCGAGAAGAGCTGGGCGACCGTGACGATCTGGGGCGACTTGTTCGTCACGAGGACGCTCGCGAGCGGCTTGGCGAGGGCGCGAGGGAGGTGCTCGAGGGCCTTGACGGCCGAGCAGGCGAACTCGGTGACGGCGCTGCCCTGCGGGGCGAACAGGACGAGCTCGTCGCGAGGGGCGAAGGTCGGCCCGAGGGGCTCGAGCGCGTCGGCGACGTCCTTCTCGTCGAGTGTGGCGCGCACCTCGCGGTCCGAGGACGTCTCGTCGAACGGCGCGCAGTCCCACACGCCGATGTGGGCGCCCTTGGCGCTCGGGACGGGCAACCCGACCTTGAGCGGCTCGGTCGGGCCCTCGAACCGGCCGAGGACGTCGGCGCCGATCGACGACGCGAGGACGGCGCCTGCGACGCCGGGCGTACGAGCCTGGAGGACGCGCACGCCGTGCTTGGTCGTCGCGAGGAGGGCGTCCCAGTCGTCGGCCTTGGCGTCGCCCTCAGCGCTCGGCGGCGGGTCGGTGCCGTACACCTGGGCGGTCGAGAACGCGCGCAGCGGCAGGTGCGCGCCGGCGTACTCGCACGCACGCGCCGTCTGAACCATGTCGAAGTCGGGCTCGAGGCCGAGCGCCTGCGACGCGAGGAGCGACGCAAAGACGTTGTTGGCGACGTGCCACCGGTGGGCGTCGCGCTCGTTCGGGAAGAAGTCGTCGCTCGTGCGCACCGTGTTGCCGCGCTCGAGGACACCGCCCCAGTGGCGCGGCGACGAGGCCATGCAGTGGATGATGCCGTCCTTGCCGAAGCACTCGACGGCGGCGGTGCGCATGCAGTCGAGCATGGCGGCGCGCAGTGCGCCGGGTGCGTCGGCCGTCGCCTCAGGCTCCTCGTCCTCGCCAACCTCCTGCGCGTAGATCGAGTCGACGAGGATCTGGTCGTCGACCTTGACAAAGTCGACGCCGGCGGCGGCGAGCGACGAGAAGTAGTCGCGGTAGTACTGGGCGAGCTCGGCAACGGCGGGCAGGTAGACGTGGCCGTTGTACTTGTCGAAGCCGGCGTGCCGAAGCTCGACTCGGCGGAGCGTGTAGACGTCGGCGAGGGCGCCCTCGGGGTGGATGCCGTCCCAGTACTGCGACACGAGGCGGCCGAGCTCGTCAATGTTCGGCTCGTCGAAGCTCGTCCGGGAAGAAAGAAAGGCTGGACGCACCCCTGCAAGCGTCATCCAGACGCCGACCCGCTCGATCCCCCTCTCCTTGATCCGCCGCACGACGTCCCGCAGCTCGACGCACACGCCCTCTCGCGGCTCGCCGATCTCCCTGCGGCGCGTGACCGGGCTCGCCGCGAAGCCCGAGTCGCGCGACAGCTTCTTGGCCGCCTGGGCGCGCTGCATGCGCTCGTGCTCCTCGTCGGGCGACTCGTCGTCGAGGTCGTACCAAGCGTGCGCGCACTGGAAGCTGCGCAGCGCTCGACGCTCGCCGTGCGCCGCATCGACGCCCTCAAAGTCGACGTACGGCGCCGTGTCCTGCCAGCCGTCGTCGAGGAGGACCGTGCGCACGGCGGCCGAGGCGAGCGGCGAGCCCGACGTGGACGGGTCGAGGAGCGCGTCGAGCCACTCGAGGAGCGACGACGCCGTGTAGGGCTCGTCGAACTCGGCCGACAGGGCGTTCCACGTGCACAGGGCGAGCGGCTTGGGCTCGTTCAGGGCGCGCGAGTCGACGTTGGCGGATGCGCCCGACTTGGCCGACCGAGCCGCGGCGCCGACGGCGGCGAGGAGCGCCTGCAGCGACGGCGAGCCCGGCGAGCCCGACGACCACGCGACCGCCGCCTGCGAGTGGAGCTCGTTGCCGTCGTCGGCGTCGCGTTCGACCCGGAGCTCGACGCCGCCGTTGCCGTCGCCGTACAGGGCCGAGCACGCCTCGGGCGTCGAGATGGGGAGGAGGGCGAGGGTCTGGGCGAGCGGGTGCGCCTTGGTCGGGGTCGAGCGCAGGATGAGGAGCTGGGCGGGGAAGGAGGTCGAGAGGGTCGAGAGCGGGGAGGACGGCGACAGCTGACGTGGCTGGATCCAGGTACGACTGCGAGCAGAGGACGTGTGTGAGTGCGCGCGATTGAGAACGTCGAGGAGACCGACTCGGCGCAGAGAGGAGGAGGAGGACGCACGCGGTCTGCTCGAAGACGATGCCGGCGGCCTCGCGCCACCTCTCGCCCCTCACGAGCCCGCTCAAGTCCGAGGTCGCCCTCTCGCCCTCGTTGGCCGATGTCGCCGCCTTCCACAACTTGACGCCCGCGCCGACGTCGCGCCAGCCCTCGCCCGCCGTCTCGAGCTCCTCGCCCGCCGTCTCGTCGACGCGCACGATCTCGACACGCCCGTTACTGCCCTCGCTCCCGAGCCACTCGACGTGATCGGGGTTGTCGTCGGCCCGCAGGCGGTACGTGTACTCGAACGAGCCGGAGCGGTCGGCGGCGAGCGGGACGCGCGCGACAAAGACGCCCTTGGCGTGCGGCGAGGGCGAGAACGGGACGGCGTGCCACTGGGGCTCGTCGGGCTGCTCGCCGGCGCCGGTCGACGTGTTGAGCGGGAGGGACGTCCAGACCTCGGGCGTCTTGCCGGCGACGAAGCCGTTGGAGGGGACGAGGGTGAAGAAGAGGGTTTGGTCGGCGGCGGCGGGCGGATTGGAAGGAAAGATGGGGAGGATGGTCGTCTGGCCAAGGGCCGGCGTGAAGCGGTGCGGGGCCATGATCTGCGGAGGTGGAGGACGGGCGGACGAGGGAAAGGGACGAGGACGAGGTCGAAATCAGTGTCGTCGCCCGGGTCTCGAGGTGGCTCTTCTGGCGACGAGTGACCTGGTGCTGCGCCCAAAATCGCTGGCGCTGCCCCTCTCTCTCAGCCGACCGTCGAGGCCACGAGATCCCTCCCCTCGTCAGAGGCGCCCCACCTGGAACACGCCGTCACCCCTCCCGCACCCTCGCACCGGCTCCTCGACGCCAGATCGCGCGCTAGGTAGACTGCAGCGCACCTGATCGAGCGAGGCCGGGGTGTCGCACGGGCTGGCGAGGTCGTTGCGAGGCGCGAGGACGATCGAAGGTCGCGCGGGGCGATGAGGCGTGGGCGAGAGTCGTGCGAGGGCGTGTGGTGGCTGTTGGCGTGCTTGCGGGTCGTACAGCAGTCGTTGCTGCGGTGGCGAGCGGGCGCGCAGGAGCTGCGTGTGTGAGGCGAGGAGAGTAGGGCTCGCGAGCCAAGGCGGGCGACGACCGTCGCCTGTCTCTCGTTTTCCTCGCGCTCGACAGCTCTCGAAGAGCTTGGAAAGGTGCACTGAGTACTGCAAGCCACCGCGCGCGAAAGTAAAGACAAGCCGAGAGTCCATGTCGCGTCCGCCTCGGTCCCTCACAGCTCGAAGCTCTCCTCCCACAGCGACACCTCGCGCGCGCCCTGGCCCTCCTTGCCGCCGAGCGCGCCCGTGACGATGCCGCGTTGCGCACGCGCGACCGCCCGTGACGATGCCGCGTTGCGCGCGCGCGACCGCCTGCCTCGCGGCGGCGAGGAGCGACGCAGGGCCGCAAGCTGCAGGACGGCGAGAGTCAGTGAGCGCCCAGTGACAGAGAGAGCGAAAGGGCGACGCACAGACGACTGCGAGGCGGCCCGACGTGTTGTGGATGACTTCGTCGACGATGCGGCCGACGTCGGGCCTCGAGCCGCGCAGGATCGACACGTTCTCGAGCTTGTCGAGCGCGGTCGCCGATGACAACGAGGCAGCGCGCTTGTCCTCGCCCGACGCCGCAGCCGACGGCATGTCGCGCGTGGCGTAGAGCTCGACGTGCACGCTGCGCAGCGTCGAGCCGACGAGCGCCTCGCGCGACGCCGACGCCGACTTGGCGCGACCGACATCGTCGACCGACTCTCCCTCTGCGCCCTTCTCGCGCTCGGCGCTCGTCGCACGCTCGAACGCCCCGAGCGCGCGCTCGAGCTCGGCCGCGAACCAGCCGAGGCACTCGTCGCACGGCACAGCCCACACGAGGTGCACGCGGCGGACGACGTGCAGGTCGGCGCCGCCGCCGATCTCGAGGAGCGCGGCGAGGACGGGCAGGACGAACGACATGCCCGTGCCGCCGGCGAGGAGGAGGACCGCGTCGGCGCCTTGGACGATGGGCGAGAGCGACGAGGGCCCGTACGGCCCGTCGAGGAGGACGGGGAACGTGCGCGAGGGGTGGGTGCGAGCGAGGGCGGCGAGGCGGGCGGTGAGGCCCGAGTAAGGGCGGAGGACGAGGCGCATCGTGCGAGGCGAGGCGTTGGCGACGGCGGGGAGCGACCAGGGGTCGGGCGACGCGATCGTGAACGGGTGCGTCGACCACGGGTGGAGCGTGAGGAACCGCACAAAGACGTGCTGCCCGGCGCTCCAGCGCATGCTGCTCTTGACCTCGATCTCGACGGCGACCGCACCGTCGCCGAGCGACTCGAGCGTCGCGACGTCCGGGCGAGTGAAGCCGCGCGAGAAGAAGCCGACGACGCCGATGCGGTACAGGAAGGCGACGCCGACGATGACGACCGCCGCGTGCAGGTATGCCCACGAGCCAAGGAGGGCTTCGAAATGGAGGTAGCACGTCGCGAGGAAGACGAGGGCGGCGACGACGTGCATCGGGTAGAAGAACTCGTGCGACAGGCGGCGGACGGGCCCGAGGCTGAGCGCGCACAGCCAGAAGAGGGACGCAAGGGCGGCCTGCAGTTGAATGTGCTTGTCAGTCTGGGAGGCTCAAGCGAGAGCGCCAGGGAAGAGAGGGAGGGAAAGAGAGAGAGAACGAGGGACGCACCCAAGCCGACCACCCGTACTGCGAGTCGGTCGCGACCGTGACGGCCCACGGCTGCTGGCGGTTGGCGCGCACGATCATGGCGCCCGTATGGACGACCGAGAAGAAGAGGGCGAACCAGGGCAGGACCTTGTGGAGCGACATGAGGCGGGGGAAGGTGACGCCCGAGAGGTACGACAGGGCGTTGCGCTTCATGGCCGTCGCAAAGATCCACACGATGAGCGCCGTCGCGATCCACTCGGAGCGCAGGCCGCTGTGTAAGAGGAGAGGACTGTCAGGCCTCGGGCGCGAGCGGGGCGGGAAGGGGAAGAGAGGACGTACAGAGGCGACGAGCCGAAGTTGCGCGGGCGGTAGAAAGGCTGAATGCCGAAGCAGACGACGAAGCTGAAGATGGTGAACGCGACCGTGACGATGATGGTGCCGAGGGTCGGCAGGAACTTGTACGGCCTCGGCAGGTCGAGCGTGCGGAGGGAGGCCTTGAGGCGGCTCGGGATGGCGAACGGCGCCGGCACGGTAGCGTTGCTGCGGACGAGGCGGACGGCGCCGAGGTCAGCAGTCGAAGGAGAGGAGAGGGACCGAGGATGGGACGCACCGAGAGAGGATCTCGAGACGCTCGAAGCCGTTGACGACGGCGGCGAGGCCGAACAGGGCGACGAGGAAGTAGGTCGTCCAGAGGCCGTACTTGGACGAGGCGCTCCAGGGATCCTGAGAAGAGTGAGCTCGAGTCAGTACGCCGTTGCCGTGACATCGTGTGGGGAGGGGAAGGGAGCCCAAGACGCACATTTCCTTGCTGGCAGTTCATCATCTCGGCCATCGTCGGGACGTAGTGGCCGTACGCGAACGTGCCGTTGCCGAGCGAGCCGTCCGGGTACGTGCCGTTGTGCTCGCCGACGTAGCAGCTGTGAGCGATGGGCAAAATCGAGATCAGGTCGCGCGACGAGGAAGAGGGGTCGAGCGAGCTGGGCTCGGGACAAGACGGGACTCACGCGTCACTGCTCGACAGGCTGTTCGACATAACCATGACGCTCTGGTGCTGCTGTAAGGCTGCAGGTGCGACGAGGAGGGCAGACGAGGCGAGGGCGACGGCGGGTCGAGGACGAAGTGAAGGGAAGGAGGAAGAGAGGCGGGCGGGCTCGGCGTGGGCGGGAAAAGCTGCGGCGCCAGGTGACCGAGGGGGGTCGTGCCGTGCGACTGACGAGGGGAAGGGTCGTTGGCGGGCCGAGCAGGGCGAGGTCGAGTGGTGGACGAGGCGGAGCGCGTCTAGTCGACCTCGCGGCGGGGGACGAGGACGACAAGACCGCTCGAGCGAAGTTGTGGCCAACTCGACGGGCTCGTGGCAGCTCTTGTGCGGGCACATGCAGCGAGTCGGGCTCAGTCGAGGATGGCGAGGGCTTCATCGCGGCCGTCGCGTGCTGGAGCGGGGCCGACGAGGCGGGCGAGGTGGGTGCGGCATGGCGGACGGGTGCAGAGGGTGCGGCAATTGTGCGGGTGCGTGCGAGTGACCTGGTCGAGAGCAGAGGTGCAGCAGGGCCGAGTTGAGCGGCACCTCGTCGTGGTCGAGGGCCGACCTCTGAGTTGAACGACGAGGACGAGCCAGCGCCTCGGCTGTGCGCCATTTCCGCCTGCGCCAGAGCCGACTCTACCGAGGCCATGCCGACCTTGCAGCACGCGCTGCTCCCACCTTGAGCGCAGCGCGGCACGGCCACCGCCTCCACTCCCGGCCGGCTCCTCGTCCGTCCTCGCTCCTCTCGACCACGCTCGCTCGCCTCGTCGACTACGCCAGCACCTCCCGCGCACTCGACCATGCCCGCCACTTCGACCTTCACCCTCAACACGGGCGCACAGCTCGCCTCCGTCGGCCTCGGGTGAGAGACTCCCCGCCCGCCGACCGCTTACGCGAGCCACACTCACCCTCGCAACCACGTCCTGCAGCTGCTGGATGGGCAAGCCTGCCGGTGCAGGCACGCCCGAGAACGACGAGACGCTCGCCATGGTCAAGAACGCGCTCGAGGTCCGTCCCCCTCCTTCCCCCTCCTCTCGCCTCTCTCTCCCTCTCGTCGCGACAGCTAACGGTCGTACTCGCAGGCCGGCTACACCCACTTTGACACGGCGGCGGGCTACGGCAACGAGGAAGCCGTCGGCAAGGCGCTGCGCGACAGCGGCAAGCCGCGCTCGTCCTTCTTCGTCACGACCAAGGTCATCGATCACGCCGACGTCGCCCGCGAGCTCGACAAGTCGCTCGCCAAGCTCGACATCGACTACATCGACCTGTTCCTCATGCACTGGCCGCTCGTGCGCTCGACCTCTCTCTCTCTTGCTCCTGCATGCCGTCAGCCGCTCACACGGACCTCCTCTCCCTCGCGCAGTCGATGGACTTCTCGACGGGCAAGATGACGGCGTTCGGCGAGTCGCCGACCTTCAGCGAGACGTGGGCTCAGATGGAGAAGCTCCTCGAGACGCACGCCGGCAAGGTCAAGCAGATCGGGTGCGTCTCTCTCTCTCTCTCTCGTGCGACGACCTCTCCTGACGCTCGACCGGCCGCCGCAGCGTGTCCAACTTTTCCGTCAAGAACCTCGAGATCCTCCTCAAGACGGCCAAGGTCGTGCCCGCCGTCAACCAGGTGCGCCCCGCTCTCGCCCGAACGCTCCTCGAGGATCCCGCTCACGCTCCTCCTCGTTCGCCCGGCACAGGTTGAGGCGCACCCTTACTGCCCGCAAGAGCCCCTGCGCGAGTACTGCGCCGCCAAGGGTATCCACCTCACCGCCTACTGCCGTGCGTCCGCCTCTCGCCGCTCGAGCCTCAAGCCTAGGTGACTGACCTCGTCGCGCGCGCCCGCCCGCAGCCGTCGGCCAGTACGACTCGCCGATCCTGCGCGAGCCGCTCATCAAGGACCTCGCGGCCAAGTACGGCAAGCCCGGGGGCACGATCCTCCTCTCGTGGGGCGTCCAGCGCGGGTTCAGCGTCGTGCCCAAGAGCTCGAACCCGCAGCGGCTTCGAGCCAACCGCGGTGCGCCCGGCCTCTCTCCCTATTTCTCTCCTGCCTCGAGGGCTCGCAGACCTGACTCGGAAGCGCCCCCCGCACACAGACCTCGTCGAGCTCTCGGCCTCGGACCTCGCCGCCATCTCGTCGCTCCACCTCGAGCCGCACAAGCATCGCTCGCTGTGCGACTTTGGGCCGGGCCTCGCCGAGCCGGGCAAGGTGTGGGGCTGGCGCATCAGGGAGGACCTCGGGTGGGAGTACGACGTGCCGAGTCGGGAGGGGGCGGCGTTCCGGCTGTAGCTGCTCGTCTTCTCTCTCTTTCTCTCGGACTCGGCCAACGAGCGATGCAGTGCGATACCCTTCTTCATTGCCCTCGTCCCCGTCCCTCGACCGACAGAATGAGAGAGAGAGAGAGCCCGTCTAGCTGTTGAAGACGCGCGTAAAGAGCTGGTCGTGCCGGCTCGCGATGATCTCGCCCAGCGGCCAGCTCGTCACGGGCCCGCCCTGCACGCCCGTCCCGTCGTCGGCGCCCCACGCGATCTTCCACGCTGGGTCGTCATCCCACCAGTCGGCGGTGGCGGTGGCAGGCGGCGAGGGTCGAGCGGGTGCTGGAGGAGGAGGAGGAGGGGGAGGGGGAGCACAGGTCGCAGCGACGGCGCCGTCGACGAGGGCCTTGACGTCCCACAGGAGGAGACGGTGCGCGACGTACGGCCCGACGTTGTTGAGCCGGACGGCCGACGAGAGGAGGGACCGCGCGTGGAGGAACAGGAAGAGGTCGATCGAGGCGTCTGCGCGCGTCGCCAAGAACCACCATCAGCACTCGCCAGGGCGAGCGTCGAAAGAGAAAAACTAGCGCTGCGCACCTAGTCCGAGCCCGACCGCGGCCGTCATGACAGCGAACGCGACGCTCATGTGCCCGTTCCCACCCTCGACCGCCTTTCCGCCGCCCTGCCCGGCCCTGATCGCCGCCCTGTACCTCGCCACCACCTCGCCTGCCGCCGCTGCTCCCTTCCCGCCGTCGACCGCGCCCGGCGGTGGTAGCTCGGGCGCGAGCGCGCGCTCGTACAGCGTGAGTAGCGCGACGCCTTGCGCCGTGCTCGCCCGGCGCGCCACGTGGTTGAGCGTCATGCACTCGCACAGGGCGTCGGCGGCGAGGACGTGCTCTAGGGCGGTGTCGATGTCGGTGGGCGAGGGGCGGGCATGGTCGGCGGGTGGTGGTGCGCCGGCGGGAGGCGGGGACGAGGACGACGAGTGGAGGGACGAGACGGCGGCGTGGGCGGACCGAAGGAGGGGCACGTTGAGCCTCGCGTACGAGTGCAGCGAGTGTGTCACGAACGCGAGGAGCGCCGCTTCTGGCTGAGGTCGGGTCTTGAGGGCGGCGGTGGGGAGATGAGGCGACGGAGCGGGCGAGGCGGACGAGGTCGCGGGCGCAGGTTCGGGTGCGGCGAGGGCGAGGTTGCCGTGCTGGATCCACGACTCGAGGCCGGACGAGGCGACAAAGCCTCCCGTCGGCAGGTTCGAGTCCGACAGGAGGAGGAGGAGGTACTGCTCGAGCGACGAGGGCGACGGGGGCGACGTCGCCTGCCGTCGCGGAGCCGTCATTGCGGCGCGTAGATGTTATCGAGCGCGTCTCGCGCTGTATCGAGCCGAGTTGGCGAAGTGGACGGAAGCGGAGAGGACGACGAGGTCGGAGCGGAGGTTCTCTCTCAGGGAAAGGCGGCTCTGCCTCGGTCGCGCTCGCGTTTCCAGTCTAGACGCAGCGTCCATGTCTACAGCGCAAACTCCATCTCGCCCGCACCGCCCGCCGCCTTCCTCGCGCGCTCCATGACGGCGAGCCCGACCCCCTCCTCGCGCACCGCCTCGACAAAGATCAGGTCGACGCCCTTGCCCTCCTCCTCCTGCTGTCCCTCGACGCGCTCCTCGCTCACCGCACCGAGGTCCTCCGGCAGCGCGTCGAGGAACCGCAGCCCGGCAAAGAGCCGCTGGGCCGCCTCGATCGGCCGCTCGCGGTCGCCGAGCGAGAAGCTCAGGACGTCGACCTCGTCGAGGTCGGGCAGGTTCGACTCCTCACCGACGGCGAGGTTGGCGAACGGCGACTCGGGCGCGGGCGGGAGGCGGATCAGGGCGCACGACGGCGTCACGGTTGACAGAGTCGAGGCGGACAGGGCGGCGAGGGTCGAGTCGTTGAGCATGAGCCCGACGCGGAACCTGGGCGCGGTCGGCTCGTCGGCCGTCGACATGTTCGACGCCGTGGTGTCGTCGGCGGGCGGTGCGGCGACGGGCGTGTGCGTGAGCGCCGTGAGCTGGATCAGGTCCTGGAGGCTCGGGAGCGGGAAGTCGCCCGCGTCGGCGCTCGAGACGGGCTTGACGAGGATGACCTTGGCGTTGCCCGGCGCGTAGTGCTTGTACTTCATGCCGGGCGTCGTCGGCTTGTCCTCGAGGTCCTGGCTCCGAAAGTCGCGCGAGTAGACCTGGATCCGGCCCGAGTCGCCCTGGGCCCGTGCGGCGAGAAAGCCCGCGTCGGCGAGGCACGCCTCGATGTCCTCGGCCGAGACGCCGCCCGCGCGCAGGATGCGCAGCTCGCCCTCGCCGCCCTCGGCGGGCTGGACCCAGTCGACGACGGTGCTCTCGACGCCGACCTCGCACTCGCCGCCGTCGAGCACAGCGCCGACACCGCGGCCCTCGCCGAGGTCGGCGACGACGTGCTTGGCCGTTGTCGGGCTTGGCCGGCTCGACAGGTTGGCGCTCGGTGCCGCGAGCGGCAGGTTGGCCTGGCGGATGAGGGCGAGCGCGAGCGGGTGCGACGGCATGCGGACGCACAGCGAGTCGTGCCCTGCCGTCACCTCGGGGGCGACGGCGAGTCGAGGCGGGTCGACGGCGCGCCCTTTGCCCTTGGCGTCGCGCGCGACGAGCGGGAACACGAGGCTGAGCGGGCCGGGCCAGAACCGCTTCATGAGGGCGTCGTACATGCGCGGGACGGCGGCCGGGACCCGCGCCTGCTCCTGCTCTTGCGGTTGTGCGTCTGCGCCTGTTGCGGCGTCGGGCGAGGTCGAGGGCAGGAGGTCGAGGAGCATGTCGCGGCTCGAGACGTGGACGATGAGCGGGTTGTCGCTCGGCCGGCCCTTTGCGGCAAAGATGCGCTTGACGGCGGTCGACGACAGGGCGGATGCGCCGAGGCCATAGACGGTCTCGGAGGGGAAGGCGACGGGGAGGTGGGCGTGCAGAAGGGACGAGGCGGTCTCGAGGGAGGAGGCGAGCGTCGAGTCAGGCGAGGTCGCGAGGAGCTGTGCGCGTGCTGGAGGGTCGGCTGGAGGTGTCGAAGTCGATGCCACCGGGCTTGCGCGGGCTGATTGGGAGGCCATGGTGCGGACGAGCTGATGAAGATGAGGCGAGAGTCCGCGGACGAGCATGCAGCGATGGCGGCTCGGGGTGCCTTGCGCAGCTCTGCAGACAGTGCGAGGAGAGTCAGCTACAGGCTCACTGGCTCGCCTGTCCGCTCCACGCTGTGCCTGCCGACGAGGCTCAGCTCGGCACCGCCCCGCTCAGAAAAGTGAGGGCTCGGCGTCGACGGCGGCTGCTCGGGCTGTGAGGAGTGCAGAGAACGAGGACACACATTGGCCAAGTAGTTCTTGCCGGCAAAGTGGAGCTCCGAGCGCGAGGTCGGCGGATGGTGGACCAGGAAGGCCAGCTCGATCCTCTCTCTCTCGTTGACCCGCTCGAGTGCCGCACCAGGCTGCTCGTCTCTCTGTGACTCTTGCCTCTCCTCCAGTGCAAGCGAAAGAGCGTGATCCCAATAGTGTCCTTTGCACTCGCCGCGAATTCGCGTTCTCGAGCCCAGCTCGCGTCCAACCGCACGTCCAGCTCCTCCGTGCTACCGCACCTTGTCGCTCCTCGGCGGCGTCGGCGGCGGCGTCCACGCTTGCGCCCTCGAACCCTCGCCGTCGCCCTCAGCGTTCGCCGTCCCACTCGCGCTCGGCGGCCGGCCCTCGAGCGCCGCAGCCGCAGCGGCGCGCGCGCGCTCGACGCTCCTCCTCGGGCGGTGCGGCGCCGTCGGGCTCGGCTCATCGAGTGCGGCGTCGCTCGGGCGCGAGGCCGGGTCGCGGGTCGGCCCCAGAGGGGACCAAGCGCTGGGAGAGGCGGGCGAGACGGGCGTCGAGTACGCTCGGCTCGGCGAGCGCGGCGGCCGAGGCGGCGGCGTGCCCGAGAGGCCGAGACCTTGGCCTTCGACGCCTGCTGAGCGGCGGCGAGAAGAGAGGGACGGCGATGGGGCGGGGCGGACGGCGATCGGGGCAGGGGGTGCGGCGCGACGAGAGGGCACCGAGAGAGGTGCGCCGGCGCGGCTGGCGGGACGAGGTGCGGCGGGCGTGGCGAAGAGGTGCTGCATCGACGGCGGGAGGGAGCTCTCGGGCGCCGGCTTGTCGGCGAGGAGCGGCCGCGAGCCGAGGACGGGGCTGCTGCCGCCCATGGCGGGGCTCGGCGGAAAGAGCAGCCCGCCGTCGCCGCCGTCGCCGTCGTCGGCCGCCGCGAGGACCGAGAGCACCATGCCCTCCTCGCTGCCGAGCGAGAACCGGCTCGAGCCCGACGAGGTGCGCTCGAGCGCTGGACGCGGCGGCGGCGGGAAGCCCGAGATGGCCGAGGGCGAGAACCCGCCGAGCTCGCCGCCGTGCGCCTGCGGGAAGTGCAGCGGCAGGGCCTCGTCGCCGTCACCGCCTGCGTCGACAGCGACGAACTCGAGGACGTTGAGCGGGCCTCGGTCGACTTGAGCGGCCGGCGCTCGGGGCGGACAGGCGGCGACGGACGGCGCAGGGCAGTCGGACTGGCGGCGAGAAGTCGAAGGAAAGAAGGAGGTGTCGGAGGCACGTCGCGAGGCGGAGAGGGCATGCGAGTGCGCGCTGGACGAGCGGCGAGAAGAAGAGGGTGGCGACGCGGGTCGGGGCGAATGCGCGGGCGACGGCAGCAGCGAGCTGAACGGCGGGGCGTTCATGTCGTAAGGAAGTCGAGTCGAGGACGACGTCGCCGACGAGGACCCGGCCCTCGCACCGTCCTTGACCGCGCCGAGCCCGATGATGAGCACCTCGTCCTCGTCATCCGCGCCGAGCTCCTCCTCGCCTCTCGCGCCCCACATGTCCGCCCAGTTCCCTGCCGACCGGCTCGCCGCCCGTCGCTCCTTGCCCGCCTCCCTCCACGCCGCGAGCTCCTCGTCCGTGACCGTCCCTGCTGCGCCGCCCGCCGCGCCGCTCTCGACGCCCGGCCTGCTCGACGACACCGAGAGAAACTCCTTCATCGCCGCGAGCGACGTCTTCTTGCGCACGCCCTTGGGCGGCGCCGGCTGTGGCGGCGCCTGGGCCGGCACGGCGAGCTCGTCGATGCTCGGACCCGCTCGAGCGCCGCCGCCCGGCACACGCCCACGCGCGAGCGTGAGCACCGAGCCGAGCGAGTGGCTGCGCCCGTGACGACGAGACTCGCCGGCCGACGACGAGGATGGCGGCGATGATGCGGCGGCGCGAGGGAGGAGCGGTCGGCGCCACCTCGTCGGGCTCACGCTCAGGCCCGTCGCCGCCGCCGCTGCTGCTGCTGCGCCGTCGCCCGCCACCGTGCTCGTCCTGCCCTCCTCCTGCCTCGCCGTGGACGACAGGGAGAACGGCCCCGAGCCCCACAGCATCGACTGCGGGCGCGCAGCCGGCGCGAGGCCAGGCGTGCGGACGCGGGCGCGAGGCTGCGCCGCGTCGGCCGAGGCCGACTTCTGCATGGCTGGGGCGATCGTCGAGGCGTGCAGGGATGCAGACGAGGGCGACGGGCGGAGGAAGGCGCGCAGGCGGGCGGACGAGGACGAGGTCGAGAGGAGAGGTTTCGAGGTGGTTGAGGACGAGGTGAGGGCGGGGCGGGGCGCGGTACTGGGCACGCCGCTCGCCCGGTGCAGTGCTGAGGATCGTGACGGCGGTCGTGCGGTAGCGGCGGTGCCCTCCTGCTCGAGCGGACCCGGTGCGCCTCGTCGTCCGTCGCCGACGAACGAGGTCTCTCGCTCGCGCCCATCTCCCTGCTCGCCCGCCCGCTCAGAGTCCTCAGGGCTCCTCGCTCCACCTTGCGCACCGCGCACCGAGTTGGCGAGCGAGATCTCGAGCGTGCCGGAGCGCGTCATGCTGTGCGAGGCGGCGGCGGCGTCCGGGGTTGGCGGACGTGGAGGAGGAGGGCGCGCGCCCGGCGCTGGCTCGGCGAGCATGGCGGGTGAGACGGGCAGTCGGCTGCTGGCGAGCTGGCGGTGGTGGTGGTCGTGGTGAAGAGGGGAAGCTGCGCGCGAGCCAAGGCCAGCCGCGAGCGCCAGAGTGGGGCACGCTCGAACTCTGAGGTGCGGACGCACTTGTTGCCTCGCTCGGTTGGACGGTTCTCGACAGCGGGCAGAGCGTCGACAGCAAGAGCAGCCGCTGTGCTCGCTGAGGACCAGAGGCCTCGTCGATCGCGCGAGTTGCACAATTGCCTTCATCAAGGATAGCTCGCTCTCGCTGGACAAGGGCTCCGAATGACGACGACGAGGAGGACAACGTGCTTTGCACAGAGAGCGACAACAAGGAGAGGATGCGGACGACGACGAGAGAGCGGGCGAGACGACAGGGGAGGGAGAGGCGGGAGGACGAAGGCGTCAAAGGACCATGGCGTCGCCGTCGCCGTTCGACGCCGCGGCCGGCTTGTCGGCGAGGAGCGCATGCAGGTCCCCTGTAGATGCCCGCGCAGAGTCAGTACGTATCGAGAGGGCAGGGCGCTGAAAGAGAGAGAGAGAGAGAGAGGGACGCACACTTGGGCCACTCGACGCCCTTCTCGGCCAGCAAGCCCTCGCCCCACGTCATGACGCTCATGAGCCCAGGCAGCTTGGGCTCGGCCGGGTGCCCCTGCGCGTTGAGGATGGCCGCGTTGAGCTCGCGCGCCGTGCGCAGCCGCTGCGACGGGTCGAGGAGCGACGAGATGTGCGGCGGCATGGGCGGCAGCGCGTCGGCTGCGGCCGCCTTCGACGTGCCCTTCTTGCTCTTCTTGGCGCCGGCGGTAGAGCTCGATGCCGTACTTGCCGCCGCCGCGCCGGCTGAGCCCTCGCCCGTCGCCGAACCGCCCGCCGCGCCCGTCGCCGCCACCTCGCCGTCGCCGAGCACGGGCAACTCGAACGCGAGGAGCGCCATAGTGCGCTCGAGCTCCTTGAGGAAGCGCGGGTGCTCCTCGGCGAGCGGCGCGAGCTCGTTCTGGGCGAACGACAGTGCGTGGCCGACCTCGCCGGCGCGGATGAGCTCGATGAGGTGCTGCTGGAGGAGGTGGAAGTGAAGCGACGGGTCGAGATCGAGGATCTGTGTGCGGCGCACGAGGAGCGAGAGTCAGTGACCGTATCCTCGAGCGAGGCTGCTGCTGCTGCGGGTGCGACGGCTCGGGCGACGACGGCGACGGCGGCGACGGCGGCGACGGTGGCTCTTGCCTCAGTGTTGACGTGTTTGGTTGTCCTATTATCATCTTCGCCGAGCACGAGCAGGGTCGTTACAACCCTGCGTTGGCCCAGCTGAGAGTGGTGCATAGTATAAATCGATCCTTGGCGAAGAGCGCTCGCGCTCACGCCGCCGGCCGCCGCACATGGGGGAAGAGGGAGAAGAGGAGGGAGAGGGGGGCGCACCTCGAGGTCTAGGTCGACGACCTGGTCCAACGCGCTCTCGACCTCGCCTCGCAGGACGGCTCGGCGGATCTCCATGCGGGTGCGGATGCTGTCTACGTCGCCGAGCGCGGCGCCTGCGCCCGAGGTGGTGGCGCCATCTGCTGCTGCTGACGACAGGCCGGCCTCGCGGGCAAAGTTCTCGGCGGCCGAGAGGTAGCCCTCGGTGAAGAGGTAGTTGGCGACGAGGAGGTTCAGGTCACTGCGGGCGAGCGAGGCAAGTCAGTGCGGTTGCTCGGTAGAGGGCAGGAGCTGCTTGTCGTCGTCGTCGTCGTCGTCGTCGTGCGCGCACAGGTCGCGGGCGCGCGTGGATCAGGAATGAAGTATAGTTGTGTCCTCTTTGACCCGCTCCTCCCGTGGGGGGCGGCTAGCGTGGATTAGACGCAAATCGTAGGAGAGATTCCCACTTCGAAAAGGGTATCATCAGGTGCACACGGGGCGACCCTGTGGGTTCGTGCTGGACGACGACGACGAGGGGGGAAAAGGTTGCGAGAGGGGGACGCACTCTTTCGAGACGGGGACGTCTTCGAGGCGTTTTGCCCAGTCTTGCGGGGTGGTTACGGGCCGTTTGGACGACTGCGAGGCGGTGGAGGAGCCGAGGAGGCCATGGCGAGGTGTGGGAGGAGAGAAAGGTGAGCGCGCGCGCCCAGGGAGGGAGAGAGAGAGGCGAGCATGCACGCACCATGGCTCCAGCGGGGCGAGGTGCGTAGCCGAGTAGAGCTCGCAGGCGGTCGGTGTGGGCCTGCTGATCCACCGTTGGACCCGCGGCGAGCGCTCGACACGAGGGAGGCCGGAGGTGACGAGGTGGGGGAGGCGGCCGGTCGCGAGGCACACGGGCGACGCGCGCTGTTGGTGTGCGGCGGGAGTGAGAGGGTCGGCGAGTGCGGCTGAGCTGGGCTGGCTGGCAGCAAGGGCCTCGCAGCGAGTGTGGTGAGCAGAGACGAGGAGGTCCGCCGCCTCTCCTCGTCCGACAGCCTCTCTCGACCGCGACCGTGTGCCCAGCCGGCAGGCTAGCTGCGAGCATGATGCACTCGGACTGCTTGTCTCGCTGCGAGTGCTGCACGAGACTCTCCTCGCGCCCGCACGAGCCTCGCTTCCCCGCTCCCTCGTCAGCTCGTTGCCTCGCCTTTCTCCCACCGACGCCTCGCACCAGCGCTGCATCCTGCAGCTCGAGGCACTGCTCATCATGCCTGGCGAGCTGCCCACGCCCGCCGCTGTCGCTGCTGCGCTCGCCCTGCGCCCCTTCGCCGCGTCCACGACTCGCCGCGACCTCTCGACCACCACAACCGCGTTCCGCACCGCATGGGCAGCCCTGTCGCAAGCCCAGGTCCTCCAGCAGACCTGCATCCGCGTCGCCGAGCACGCCGCAGCAGTGCTCTGCGCCGTCTTTGCCCGCCTCGACGAGGTCGAGCACGCCGAGCGCGCAAAGCTCCAAGGCAGGGTCGTCCTCGAGCGCTCGTACGAGTTCCAGGCGGCGGCTGAGGGGGCACGAGGAGGAGCAGAGACGGTATTCAAGGTCCAAGCGTGCGTTGTCCTTCTCCTCTCGCCCGCCCCAACCTCCTCCCGACCTTCTCCCGACCTTTCTCCCTTTCATACAGCGCCATGCTCGACCTCCAAGCCTTCTCGACCGACTTCCTCGCCCTCTCGACCGGCCCCTCGCGCCTCGACCTCCTCGTCCTGTCCCTCCCAGCCTCGCAACGCGCCCTCACGACCCTGTCCTCCTCCCTCTCGAACCTCGTCGCCCACTACGGCGTCCCGCACCCGTCCTCGCGCGCCAACTGGGCCGCCGAGATCGCCGCCGCCGTACGCGACGACGAGCGCGCCCTCCCGCGCCTGTTCCAGCGCGCGCTCGCGCTGCGAGGCGACGCGTGGCAGCGCTTCCTCGCCGAGCAGCAGCCCTCGTCGACGGCTGCGGCGGAGGCGGGACCGGGCACGCCGAGCCAGCGCAGGAGCGCGTTTGTGGCGTGGTGCGTCGAGCGGAACCCGCTGCTCGGCGCGTCCGCGGGCGAGCGAGGCGAGGAGGGCGGCTGCGCGCCGAGGAGGAGGAGGCAGGAGGCGAGCTGGCCGCCTGCGCCGCCCAGCCCAACGCCGTCGACGCCGGGCGAGCGACTTGCCTCAGGCTGTCTGGCGAGCGGGCTCGGGGCGGCGCCACCGATGAGGAGGGCCGTCTCGCAGCCTGCGCCGTCGAGCGGTCCGAGCGAGGCGGTCGACCCGTCGTCACCGAGCCGCGCCACGACGCCGCCATCGCCTATCCCTCTTCCCTCGACGGCTCCTCCTTCGGCAGCCCGCCTCGAGCGCGAGGCGCCGCCGCCGCTCGAGCAGCTCGCTCCCCGGCCTCCTTCGCCACTGCCGCTCCCTCAGCCGCCAGGGCCGGCCAAGCAGGCCTCGCCACCAGCCTCGCCGCTTGTCGTCGCCGCCGACGACGTGCTTGCCGCCCCCGCGCCTTTTATCGACGAGGCCGCGCCGCTCGACGGCGTCTCGGCGACGCCGACGCCCTCAACCTCGGACCCGGTCGAGCCGGTCGAGCCCGCCGTCACCGAGCGCGCGCTCGATGCGCTCCCGACAGCGTCCTCGCCGATCTTCGTCGACGAGTCGCCGAGCGAGGCGGTTCAGCAGCCGGCGCCGCACGACGAGCCCGTCGTCGACGTGCCCGCCATCGTCTTAACGAGCGACGGCGGCGAGCCAGTCGAGCTCGCGCACGAGCCGCGCCTCGTCGACGATGCTGCCGGCGACGAAACGGCGGGCGAGGACGCAGCACTGGTTGAGGACGTGCCCGAGTCGTCGCCGTCCTCGTCGTCCGAGCCGCCCGTTCAGCCGTCGACCGCCGCCGCTTCCCTGCGCATCCTCGCCGTCGACGGCGGCGTCCTCCTCGGCCCCATCCCTCAGCTCGACCTCCTCTCCTCGCTCCTCCATCCTTCCTCCACCGCCAACTCCTCCCCGTCCCGCTCGACCGCCGCACCCTCGCCCGCACAGCACTTTGCCCTCATCGCCGGCACCGCCTCCTCAGCGCTCCTCGCCGTCCTCCTCGGCCGCCTCGCACTCGACCTCGACGCCGCGCACGCGCTGTACGTCCGCATCGCGCAGCGCGCGCTCGCTCTCGACGGGCCGGCGGGACGCGCCGCTCGAACCGTCGCCCAGGCGCCGAGGCGCAGGCCGAGCCGCTGGTCGCGTCTCTTTCGGCGCTCGTCGGGCCCGCACGACTCGTCGTCGACGGCGACGGACGAGCGCGAGACGGGCGCCGACGGGCTCGCGGCCGCGAGAGGCACAGCGCTGGCCACCGCGCTCGCCGAGCTCCTGCCCGGCGCAGACGAGCCATTCGCCTCGTCCTCGCCTCGTCAGGCGCGCACCTCCCTCCTCGCCTTTCGCGCCGGCCCCTCGGGCCGCGTCGAGCCCGCCTGGCTCGTTAGCGACGACCCGTCGAGCGCGCGGGGGCTCACGGTCGTGCAGGCGGTCCTCGGCTCGGCCGCCGCCTCGCCGCTCGTCGCCTTCCCAGGGTGGTGCGCGAGCCCGACGAGCCTCAGCACCCCGCAAGGCGCGCTCGAGCTCGGTCTTGCGGCGGCGGCGGGGCGAGCGCCGGTCGAGCTCGTCTCGCTCGGCACGGGTTACGCCTCGCTGCGCCTGTCGGCGGCTTCGGCGAGCTCGAGCCCGACGAGACGTGCCGCGATCGACGCGACGCAGCAGGCGGCGGCGGCGAACGCGGTCGCGGTGGCGGCGCTCGCGAGGAAGCTTGACGGGCGTGACGACGTCGAGCTGAGGCGGCTCGAGGGCGACGTCGCACGGAGCGGGGTGCTCGACGGTAGGGAGGAGTGGGAGACGAGCGCAGCGAACGATGGAACGGGGCCGAGGGGTCGAGGGGCAGAGGGAGAAGGTCGTCGAGGAGGTGGATTTGGGAAGGCCGTTCAGCCAGGTGCGCCCCTCTTTCTCTCTCTTTCTGCGAATCCTTGCAGGGCATCGACTGACCGAGTAAGATACGCGTATAGCTCCGCTCCACCTCGACGACCTCTCCTCGCCCACTTCGTCCCGAGCCCCGCTCAAAAAGCGCGCCTCTCGCCTGTCCTTCCTCTTCGGCGGCGGCAAGAGCCGCGACGCAGGGCCGGCCTCTCCCTCTCCCCGTCCTCACCAAGCTTCCTCCTCGTACCACCCACCCCGCCACCCGAAACCCTCGTCGCCACCGCATTCCTCGTCCCTGTCGCCCTCCCTCGCCATCCCGCGCTTGCGCACCTCGATCTCGCTCGACGACCTGCGGCGGCGCGATACGGGCGCGAGAGGCGGTTCGACGTCGAGGGAGGGGAGCGGCGGCCTGTATGCGCTCGGGGAGGACGCGTGGGGCAGCAGCGCAAGCATCAAGAGTGGGTGAGAGGGGAAGGAGTCCGTGCAACTTTGTCTTCTCTCCTGTCCTCTTCCTCAAATCTCTCGGTGACTCGCTCGAGCAGCAGAGAGCGGCTCACGACGCGTTCGGATGGGACGAGAGAGCCAAAGATGATAGCGTTTTCGAGGTGCGAGCGCTGGGCCGAACGGCTCTTTCGTTGTGAGCGCGCAGAGAATCGAGAGGCGTGAGCGGGACCACTCTCTGACGTAGAAGAGAACGTCAAACAGAGAAAGCTTGCACGCGCTCTTCGAGAGGAGGGAGGGACGGCGACGAACAGCTTCGACGACGACGAGGGGACATACACAAGGCGAGGAGAGAGAGGGAAGGAAAGGAGGCAGAGAGGGGAGTACGAGGGGATCTATAGGTTGCGAGTGGTTGGGGGACGAACGACATTGGGGTGCGAGGCGAGTCGAGGCAAAGGCGAGGCGAGTCGAGGACGGACGAGCGGGGAGAGGAGAGGGGAACGACGGGGACGAGTACAGAGGGGCAGGAGGGGCGACGAGCGCCGAGGGTATCGTGGTGGGCGAGGGCGACATAGATAGGTGTGTGTGTCGGCCACAGGCGGGACGGGGTGGGCCTTGACGAGGAGGGGAGGAAGTGGGGGGGTATCGACCTCGGGCCCGGTCGACGACGGCGAGTAGACGCAGCGAGCGACGACGACGGCGTGCCGTTCACTCCATCATGGCGTCGTCGTCGTCGTCTCGCTGCGTGTGCGACGAGCGCGCCTGGTGCTGCTGCTGATGCTGCTGGTCCTGCGCCGCCCTCCTCGTCGACGACCGGAGCCGGCCCTTCCAGCCGTCGTCGGCCGCCGCCGCTCCTCCTCCTTGCGTCGCGCCGCCGCCGCCCTGCGCCGGGACGCGCTCGCGCGAGCACGCCGGCGCGCGGTGACCGGGCGAGGCGGCGGCCCACGTACCGCGGGCCGCTCCACCCGAGAGGGGCGAGCCGACGGCGGGTTGCTGGGCGAACGACTGGGGGGAGGGGTAGGCGTGCTGGTGCTGGTGCTGGTTCGAGAACGAGGACGACTGGTGGTGGTGCGGGAACGACGAGGCCGATTGCGACAGGGCCGAGGCGGTCGAGGCGAACGACATGGGCGAGCCGTAGGGGACGGCGACGCCCTCGGCCGGGGCCTTCCACCCGTTGGCCCACGCGGCGCCCGAGGCTGCGTTGGCGAGCGTGAGGCCCGAGTTGAGCGCAGGCGGATGCGCCGTCGAGCCTCCGGCGGCGGCGGCGGGGAGGACGCCCTTGAGGAAGCTCTGGAGGCACAGGAGCTCCTGGTCGCGCTGCGAGTCGAGCTTGAAGGCGCCGAGCGACAGGAGGTCGTCGTCGTCGAGGGCCGAGGACCCGTGGTGGTGGTGATGGCTCGACGATGCGGGAGAGGTGGCGGCGCCGGCCGGACGAGGAGGACTGGCGGCGGCGGGCATGAGCGCGGGGTGGAAGGCCGTGGAGCTGGCGACTGCCGTCATGCGCAGTGGGTGCGCCGGTGCTGGTGTGCTGCACGGGGTCGCTGGCGGGAGTGGGAGCGGGGAAGCGGGTGGAGAAGGGGGGAGGAGCGACGACGACGGCGAACTTGGCCTCAATTGCTCGCTCTTGAAAAGCGGACTATCCCCCCCACGCTCGCATGCTCGTCGTCGCGCGATTAGCCTCTCCTGAACCACGCTCGTCCGTACGTTCAAGGGCACGCTCCTCCCGGTCTTCGCCGAAGCTCTCCTCTCATCCGGCTCGAGTCTAGCTCTCTCTCCCCCACGCACGACGTCGACGGACAGGGGCTTTGTCACCCACTCTCTCAAGCGTATGGACGAGGGCGAGCTAAAGGAGACGACGACGAGCGCGTGGGGGATCAAAGTCCGGTGGGAAGCCGACGTTGCAAGCGCGAGAGTTTGTCCGGAAGGGGATGGATGCCGGACGGCCGGTCGACGCGGGTGCTGATGTGTGCGACACTGCGAGGGGAGGTGCCGAGAATGAACAGGGAAGAGGGAAAGTACGAGAGGCGAGGCTGGGAGGAGAAAGAGAGGACGAGGAGAGGGGAGGAAAGGGAGGACGCGACGACAACGACGGCGGCGACGACGGGCTCGGTCGGATGTCTTGCCGCTGTCTTTCCACCTGCGATGCGCGAGGATAACGGTCAGGCCACGTCGTTCCAGCCACGCCGGAAGAGGGAGAGAGGGGAAGAGAGAGAGAGGGAAAGAGAGAGAGAGAGAGAGAGCGCACGCACCCCTCGCCGTCCACCTCTGCTCGTCGGCCTCCTCGAAGTCGCGCTTGAACGGCTCGACCAACCTGATGAAGACGTCGAGGTGCTCCTCGCCCGGCGCGTCGAGCCCTTGCGACCACGCGAGCGCCTGCGGCGCGCGGAGCGCGTTCTCGATCTGGCGAGCGACGAGTGCGCCGCGAGCGACGCGAGGTGGGTCGACGAGAAGGCGTCGCTCTGGTGGTTGTGGATCTCGTCACGGGCGAGGAACAGGTTGCGAACGTCGACGCTCGGGTTGTCCTCGAAGACGTCCTCGCACGACTGGAGGGCGGGCACGTCGCGCAGCGAGTCGACGAGGGAGGCCGAGTGGAGGGCGACGGCCACGCAGTCTGCAGGAGGAGAGGCGTGAGACGGCTGTCGTAACGGTGAGAAAAGAGACGCTCGGACGCACCCTCGAGACCGGCGAACTGGTGCGAGCTGGGGCAGGAGCGGTGCGAGACGGTGAACAGGTCGCGCTAGTTCTCCTGCTACTGCTTGATGTGCACGCCGACCACGTCGCCGCCGCGCTCGTTCTCCTGGCCCTCGTCCCCGGTCCTGCTCGTCGTCGTCCGTGTCGACCTGGAGCTCCGACCGGTGCGAGGTGAGGCTGGAGCGCTCGCGGTTGGTCTTGCAGCGCGGCGACGGCGGCTCTGGAGGGATGGGCTCCTGGTCGGCGAGTGCTGGCCTCAGGGCAGAGCCGAGGGCGTGGTAGGCGAGGGTGGACGCGGGGGCGAGGAGGAGGAGGGAGCTGGGCGCCGAGAGCAAGGTGCGCGATCAGGCGGTCGTCGCCATGGCGGGAGCTGGCAAGCCTTCAGGAGTGCTTCAGGGCTGCGCAGGAGGCGCTCATGTGCGAGGCTGGGTCGAGGTGTAGAGCAAGCCGCGAGCACCGCCTCGTCCCCCGCTGCCGTCCTCACCACACCGCTCGAGCACGATGAGCGACCCTGCACAAGACCCTGCTGCTGCGACCGCACCTCCACCCACTTTCAAGCGCAAGAAGCGACCCGCCCAGTCGAGGACTGTCGACTCGACGCCCCTCCTCGGCTCGAACCAGGACGACCAGGACAACGACCACCGCGACTCGACCAGGTGCGCCCGCTTGTCCTTGTACGGCCTCTCCAGCGACTGTTGACCCTCGCCCCCCACCCGCAGCGAGACCCTCGACGAGCTCCTCGCCCTCCGTCGCCTCAAGCGCTCCACCGCCGGCCTCGAGCTCGACCGTCTCAACTCGGGCGAGCGCCGAAAGCGCGCAAAGCCCACCGCGACCCCGGGAGACGGCGCACCAGCAGATGGCGGCACCGTCCTGCGCGAGGACGGCACGGTCGAGGGCACCCAGGGCGGCTTGCGCTCTGGTGCCGGAGGCGACCGCCTGCGCGACGACGCCGAGAGCCACGACGCTCGACAGCGCAAGATCATCAAGACGGACAACTTCACCGGCCAGACCAACACGGTCGACGTCGACAAGCACATGTGCGCCGCCTGTCTCTCTCCCCGCCTCTCTCTCCTCGTGCGCCTGACCGCTCACCTCTCTTCCTCGCCCCTGACAGGCTCGCCTACATCGACGCCGAGCTCGCCAAGCGTCGCGACCCGTCCTTGGCCTCGGGCGCCGACGCCGGCGCGTCCAAGAAGGCGCTCGACCCGCGCGACGAGCTGTACGCCGTCGCCGACAAGTACAAGTTTGCCGACATTGCCGCGGCCGAGCAGGGCAAGAAGGACCGCGACGAGGACGAGGGCAACGTGACGTTGAGCGCGAGCATGCTCATGGGCATTCCCGAGGTCGACCTCGGCATCGAGTGCGTCCCTCTGTTTCTCTCTCTCTTGTGCGCTCGTCCTCGCGCAGGTTCACTGACTCGCCCGCTCTCCTGCCCCACTTCTACCCTGTTCCTGTCGCTACCACTTCGCCTCCTTTTCTCCCCTTCCTCGTCCCCACCCTGCTCGTGTCCCTCGCCGGTCCCCCTTCCACCCACTCTCGCCCGCACGTCTCGGCGCCACCGCAGCACCAAGCTCGCCAACATCGAGGCGACCGAAAAGGCCAAGCGCCAGCTCAGCGACGCCAAAGCCGCAGCACGGGCGGCCCGACTTGCGCACGACGAGGCCGACGAGATGGCCGCCGACCGCTGTGCGTCCCCCTTTGCCCTTGTCCTCTCCTCCTCCTCACTCTCTCTCTCGCACCGACACGTCCTGCGACACCGAGCACACGTCACTGACTCGCACTGCCGCCTCCTCGCCGCAGTCTACCGCCACCGCCGCCCGCTCGAAAGCGACACGGACGCGCTCGAGCGCGCACGTGCCGCCGCCCTCGCCGCGGCCGACCCGGCGCTCGCCGACCCGGACTATGCGCTGCGCAAGGCCAAGCCCAACGGCGGGCGCGGCGGCGGCGGTGGTGGGGGAGGAGGAGGGAGGAGGGAGCTCGCGACGGACGAGATGGCCATGGCGAGGTTCAGGAAGAGGGAGGGCGGCAAGAGGTGAGCTGAGGGTGCACTGCAGAGCTGTTGTTCGTCACTGAGCCTCGTCGCGCGCAAGGGAGAGAGAGCGAGCCTCGAGCGAAAGGTGAGCCGCGAGGTCACGGAAGCAGGCTCGCGCAGGCGCTCTGTGGCTCTCCTTGGCACGGCACAGACAGAGCGATGCACGAGCATAATGTGGTTGCACAACAACGGCGTCTAGGCTAGCATGGCTCCCTCGCTCCCTCGCTCCCTTGCTCCTGCCGCTCGATCTCGCTCGGACCCTCAGATGAGGCTCTCCTCTGCGCCGTCCTCCTCTCGCACCACCTTCTCCTCCCACTCGTGCTCGTCCCCTCCCGCCGCAGGAGCCGCCACCTCGACCGGCCGGTCCTCGCCCGCCGGCGGCGCGCCGAGCTTGGCGACGAGCGACGGGACGGGCGGCACGTGCACCTCGGTGAGCGACGGCGAGTCGTCAAAGCCCCACTCGTCGTCGTCGTCGTCGTCGTCGTGCGCACCGTGTGCTGCAGGAGCGGGCGCGTCGACGAGCGGCTCGTGCGCCGGCTCGACCTCGAGCAAGGTCGCCTCGGGCGCAGGCGCGGCGGCGTCCTCGCTCGGCGCTGCGGGCTCAGGCGACGCCGAGGACGCTGCAGGCTCGTGCGCCGAGGTGAGTGCGGGCGCGATGGCGGGCGCGGGCGCAGCCGAGGTTGGCGCGGCCGCTCGGGCCTCCTCCTCGTCGTCGACGGCGCCGGGCACCTCGACCTCGCCCGTCTCGTGGTCCGACAGGCCCCAGTCGTCGGCCTCGTCGTCCTCGATGATGGGCGCAGGTGCGGGCGCGGTTTCTGCGACAGGAGCGGCGTCGGCGGCGGAAGGCGGAGAAGGGTCGGTCGGCTCGTCGCCGAGGAGGTCGACGAGAGGTGGTGCTGGCTCGACAGGCGCAGGCGATGCGGGGGAGACGACGACGTCGTCGAGGTTGACGGACGGCGAGATGGCGGCGTCGGTGGCGGCGTCGGCGGGGGCGTCAGGGGCGTCGAGGCTGGACCGAGTCAAAGGCGCGGCCTCGGGCGACTCGAGAGGAGGAGAAGACGGTGCGGCGGGAGGCTCGTCGTCGACGTCGACGTCGAGGAGCGACGCAGGAGCAGGGGGTGGGGGCGAAGCGTGCTGGGGAGGCGGCGGCGAGTCGGCGAGGTCGAGGAGGGAAGGAGGCTCGTGCGCTCGCGGCGCCGACTCTGCCGAGGCCGTCTCCTCGGCACCCTTTTCGTCCGGCTCGGGCACCGTCGCACCGTCTCGCGCGCCCGCAGACGGGTCGGCGACGTCCTCGACCGGCTCGGCTGCGTCGGCCTCGCCGTCGAAGCCCCACTCGTCGTCGTCCTCCTCCTCGGCGGCACTCGCGCCCGACGGCGGCACGTCTGCGGCCTCGACGAGCTGCTCATGCTCGCTCGAGTCGACGCGCCGCTCCTCGTCGTCCTGCTCGGCAGGCGCGTCGGCCGGCGCGCCTTGCTCGACCGCCTGCTCCTGCTCCTGCTCCTGCTCCGGCTCGATATCCTCCTCCGCTGCCCCGCCCTCGCGAGACGACCCGCCCTCGCTCGCCTCCTCTGCGCCGCCGAGCTCCTCGAGGTCCTCGGCCTCGCTCAGCACCGCCGCCGGGTCCTCCTGCGCGTCGCGCGCGTCCGGCTCGCCCTCGAGCGGCTCGTCGGCGTCGGCAACGGGAGAGGGTGCGGCGGGAGGAGATGGAGGGGGCAGCTCGGTGTGCTGCGGCGGCGGGGACGGCGAGCGAGGTGGCACGGGAGGAGAAGGCGGCGCGGCGAGCGGGCCCGCGTCGCCGTCGAGCTGGACGGGCTCGGGCTCGACGGCCTCGTGCTCATGCTCGTGCTCGGGCTCGGGCTCGTCGACGTGCTCGTCGCCGTCGAAGCCCCAGTCGTCGACGGCCGAGGCGGACTCGTCTTCCGCCTCGACGACGGGCTCGCTCGAGGCGGCGGGAGGCGACGGCGCGCGGTCGAGGTCGACGGGCGCCGCATCGAGAGGAGGGGACGGTGCACGAGCAGGCTCGACTGCGGGTTCTGGTGCGCTCGGCGGCGGTGCAGGCTCGTGCCCGACCTCGTCGCCCTCGCCCGTCACCTCGGCGTCGGCGTCAAAGCCCCACTCGTCCTCCTCGGCGGCGAGCTCCGACTCAGGCTCGCGCTCGTGCTGCGGCTCGGTAGCTCGTGCGGCGCCGAGCGCCGCTCCTGCTCCTGCTGCCGTCGCGCCGACAGCGACAGCGGCCGACGCGAGCGGCGTCGACGAGCGCGGCACGGGCGTCGCCGCGCCCTCGTCGGCGTCTCGCGCCACGTCGCGCACGTCGTCGGACGAGATGGACGGGCGCGAGAAGCCCCAGTCGTCGTCGTCGACGACGGCGGCGGCGGGCGACGTGTGGTCGGGCGAGGGAGCACGCGGCGCGAAGAGCGGCGGCGAGGGGTGCGGGAGGGAGGGGGCGCGTGCGGGCGCGTGGAAGGGTGAGGGGGCGCTCGTCGGCTGGGCGGAAGAAGGTGGTGGTGCGGCCGAGTGAGGGGGAGCGGCGAAGGAGGGAAAGAACGACGACTCGGCTTCGGGCTCGCCCTCGGCGCCGAAGCCCCAGTCGTCGATGCTCGGCTCGCGCGCATGCACAGGGCCGGTGCTGCTCGTGTGCACGGGCGCAGGCGGAGCAGGTGCTGGCGCCCCTCGTGCTGCTGCCGAGCCCGACAGGTCGACGAGCGGGATCGCCTTCTGCGCGAACCCGCTCGGCGCTGCACCGCCTCGCGCGCCCGACCCGCCGCCGAAAGCCGGCGTCGACTCTCGGTGCGCGTGCGCGTGCACCTCGTCGTCGTCATCGCCGTCGAGGAGCCCGCCGTGCCGCCCGCGCTCGCCGCCGTGGCTCGACGCCGCGTCGCTCCCGTCCCACCCGTCGGCCCACGTGTCGTCCTCGTCCTCGTCGTGCGCGTCGCCCGCGTCGTGCAGGACGTATTCGGGCGCCGGCAGGGCGTGCGACAGGCGGCGCGGGAGCGCGGGCGAGTCGGCGCCCTCCTCGAGGGCGAGGAGCGCTCGCGCCTCGTGGTCGTCGCCGTCGTCGTTCTTGCCCGACGACGCCGAGGGGCCGGAGCGCTGCAGCGTCGGCTTGCTCGAGCGCGAGGGGGCGTGCGAGCGCTCGTCATGGTCGTCGTCGTCGTCGTCGGACATGTGGCCGTCGAGAAAGCCGCGGCGGAGGGCCTCCTCGTCGGTGTCGGCGAGGTCGGCGAGGGCCGACGAGGGCTCGTGCGACTTGAGGAACGAGTCGACTGCGAAAGGCGTTGTACGGAGTGTCAGGGACTAGGTCGCGAGAGGGGAGGGGAGAGGGAGGGACAGGGCGAGGGAGAGAGGACGGACCCATGAGGAACTGAAACAGGTTCATGACGAGCGGGAGGACGAGCATGACGAGGACGACTTGGGCCTCGTCCGAGGGAATCCACGACAGGAGCCAGCTGACGCCGTCCTCGAGGAGCGGGAAGGCCCACATGAAGAAGACGACGACGGCCTTCATGGCGGCGAGGCACGCGATGTAGACGGCGGCCTGCTCGCCCCACTTGTGCCACGAGAAGTGCGGGTGGCCGTAGAAGCCCTGCTGGTACTCGGGGGCGACGTGGGCGCGCATGAGGTGGGTCGCGAGCGCGAGGAGGTAGTAGATGAGGAGGACGCCGAACGTCGTGTCGATAAGGATCTGGGCGGCGTAGAGCGAGCACGGGTTGACGCTCGTCGCCGAGGCGATCAGGTCGGCGATCAAGACGTTGCTCGCGTGGAGAAAGAGCTGGCCGACGACCTGCTTTGCGACGTCGGCGAGCCACGTCTTCCACTTGCGGCGCGGGTGCTCGCGCATGCGTTTGACGACGAGACCAGACAGGACGATGGTGCCCATGATGGCCTGGGCGACGAGGCCGACGGGCCCGAGGAGGCGGCAGGCGTCGAGGTCGACCTCGTTGCCGATTTCCTCGAGGAGGGGAGCGCCGATGGTCGAGTTGGCGATGGCGCCGAGGGCGAGGCCGACGGCGTCGGTGGTCGAGTCGAAGGTGGTGGTGCCCGTGTCGAGCATGGCGTCGTCCATGGTCGCTGCGGGGGCGGTCGAGGTGATGAGGGCGAGGTCGACGAGCAGGCGGGCTCTTGTGGCGAGAGCGACGCGGTTCGACGAGGTGACCAACTTTGTGCGAGTCGAGCTGACCAGGCCCTGTCCTCGCTCGAGCGGCGAGAGTGACGGGGATGGGCGACGAGAGGTCGCGTCGTCGTCGTCGCCTCTCTTGGCCTCTCGCTCTTGACAACTCAGCCGCTCGCCCTCTAGAGCAGCGTGCACCACCACCACCACCGTCACCTACACCCACTCCACCATGAGCTGGTTCTCGCGCCCCGACTCGAGCGGCCCTCCCCCTCCCTCGCAGCAGCCGCCGCCGCCTCCTCGGCACCACCAGGCCCCACCTCCCGGCGCCTCGTCCCAGCGCTCTGCCGTCCCGCCAGGCTACCAGCGCCCGGCCTACGAGGCCTACGCACCCGTGCCCACCACCTCGTACGAGAAGCCCCAGCCTCAACGTTCCCGCCCTCCTCCTCCTCCCTCTGGCGGTGGGGGCCGCTTCTCCGTCGTCGAGGCCCCCTCGCCCTCGCACGCACTCGCCAACCGCATCATCCTCAACGACCACGACTGGCACGGCGTACCCTACGTCTCGGTCAAGGGCCAGTACCTCTACTCGACCATGTTCGACCCGGCCGTCCCGCGCGGCGCCATCGGCGCAGCACGCCTCGTCCGCCAGTGGGTCGGCTTGAGCCAGAGCGGCGACGTCGTCGACGTCGAGCCCTTTGACCCAAACTCGCTCGGGTCCGACATCTACCTCGCCTCGCTCGACCTCGAGGTGCGCCTTCCCCCTCTCTCTCGCGCGCCGTGCCACTCCCTCTCTCTCTCGCGGCCCGTCGTACTGACTCTCGCACCTCGACAGATCGGCTACTGGTTCGAGAAGAGCGCCCGCCCCGACACGCCCCCATTCTCGGCCGACGAGCTCCAGTCCGTGTTCCGCAAGGCCTACGACGGCCTCATCGTCACGGTCGGCCAGCCCCTCGTGTTCGACTTTCACGGCCAGAACCTGCGCGCGACGGTGCGCTCGATCGCGAGCCTCGGCCTCGGGGCGGCCAAGAACGGCGGCGGCAGCATGCGCAGCGGCATCCTCACGAGTCAGACCGAGGTCAACTTTGTCAAGGACCCCGCGAGCGCCATTAAGATCAAGTCGAGCTCGAAGAAGTGCGTCCCCTTCCACTCTCTGTGCGGCAGCGAGTACTGGACGTGGCGCTCACCCTCGCGCGTGTTCTCTCCGCAGGGCGCCGCCCAACGCCATCTTGGCGCCCAACTTCAAGTTCGAGGACATGGGCATCGGCGGCCTCGACACCGAGTTCAGCGCCATCTTCCGCCGCGCGTTCGCGAGCCGCATCTTCCCGCCTGGCCTCGTCGAGAAGCTCGGGATCCAGCACGTCAAGGGTGCGCCCCCCTCTCGCTCTCTCCTCTCCTTCCCGCTCGCCCGAGACTGACCTCCCCGTCTCCTCGCGTCACAGGTATCCTCCTGTACGGTCCGCCGGGCACGGGCAAGACGCTCATGGCGCGCCAGATCGGCAAGATGCTCAACGCGCGCGAGCCCAAGGTCGTCAACGGCCCCGAGATCCTCAACAAGTTTGTCGGCCAGAGCGAGGAGAACATCCGCAAGCTGTTTGGCGACGCCGAGAAGGAGGTGCGTCGGCTGCGTTCTCCCTCTGTCCGTGCGCTCGCATGGGCCTCTCGGTGGGCCCGAGCGAACGCTGGTTTGAGGTGGCCGTGTCCTCACCTGCTCCCTCTCGTCCCGCAGTACAAGGAGAAGGGCGACGAGTCGGGCCTGCACATCATCATCTTTGACGAATTGGACGCCATCTGCAAGCAGCGCGGCTCGACCAACAACGGCACCGGCGTCGGCGACTCGGTCGTCAACCAGCTCCTGTCCAAGGTGCGTCGTCCCTTTCCCTTGGCCTGCGCACTCGAACCGAGTCGACGACGCTCATGTCGGGTGGTGACGATCGCAGATGGACGGCGTCGACCAGCTCAACAACATCCTCCTCATCGGCATGACGAACCGGCTCGACATGATCGACGAGGCGCTCCTTCGCCCCGGTCGCCTCGAGGTGCACATCGAGATCTCGCTCCCGGACGAGCACGGCCGCGTCCAGATCCTCACGATCCACACGTCCAAGATGCGCCAGAACGGCGTCATGGGCCCCGACGTCGACGTGGCCGAGCTCGCGAGCCTCACCAAGAACTTTAGCGGCGCCGAGCTCGGCGGCCTCGTCAAGAGCGCCACGTCGTTCGCCTTCAACCGCCACGTCAAGGTCGGCACGCTCGCGGCCCTGAGCGACGACATTGACCAGATGCAGGTCGTGCGCGAGGACTTCTTGCACGCGCTCGACGAGGTGCAGCCCGCGTTCGGCGTCAACGAGGAGGAGCTCGCGGCCGTCGTCCAGAACGGCATCGTCCGCTTCGACCACCACATCGAGGTGCGCCTCCCTCTCTCTCTCTCTCTCTCTCCTTCTCGCGCTCTCTCGGGGACGGACCTGACACCCTCGACCGCTCGCAGGACATCCTCCGCGACGGCCACCTGTTTGTCGACCAAGTGCGCACCTCTGCGCGCACGCCCCTCGTCTCTGTCCTCCTGCACGGTCCGCCGGGCAGCGGCAAGACGGCGCTCGCGGCCACCATGGCGCTCGCGAGCGACTTTCCGTTCATCAAGCTCGTCAGCGCCGAGAACATGGTCGGCTTCAGCGAGCAGCAGAAGGTGCAGCACCTGTACAAGGTCTTCAGCGACTCGTACAAGAGCCCGTTGAGCGTCGTCGTCGTCGACGGCATCGAGCGCATCCTCGGTGAGTCGCTCGTGTCTCCCTCGTCTCGGTACCGGCTCGTGCATGACAGCGAGCTCGTACTGATGCTTCGACACGGCCGAGTGCAGACTGGGTCCCGATCGGCCCGCGGTTCTCGAACGCCGTCCTCCAGGCGCTGCTCGTTCTCCTCAACAAGCGCCCGCCCAAGGTGAGCTGCCCCCTCTCGCTCTCCTCGCGCCCTTTCTCGTTCCTCTCAACCGGCTGCAGCTCGTCAGAGCCCTTCTCTCGAACCTCGCACTGACCCCTCGCTCCCCTCCTCCCTGCTCCTCGCCACGCCGTCCTCCTCGCTCCACCGCCACAGGACCGCCGCCTCTTGATCCTCGCGACGACGTCGAACCGCGCCATGCTCACCGAGATGGACGCCATGGACGCCTTTGCGACGACCGTCTCGGTGCCCGCCCTCACGTCGCTGTCGCAAATCTCTGCCGTCCTCGACTCGGTCGGGCTCTTCCCCGCGTCGTCGGCGCAGAGTGGCGGCGAGAAGGACCGCGTCATGCGCGCACTCGAGCAGGCCGGCATCGAGCAGGCGGCGCGCGACGGCAGGTGGGCCGTCGGCGTCAAGCGGCTCCTCGGCGTGTGCGAGATGTGCAGGCAGGACGGCGACCGCGCCGGCGACAAGCTCGTCGCCGAGCTCGTTGGCCTCATGCTCTGAGTCGAGCCGAGCGACGAGCGGGCGGCGGCGGCGAGATGTGCAGGCAGGACGGCGACCGCGCCGGCGACAAGCTCGTCGCCGAGCTCGTTGGCCTCATGCTCTGAGTCGAGCCGAGCGACGAGCGGGCGGCGGCGGCGGCGGGCCGAGGCGAGGTTCGGCTCGAGGAGGAGGAGGAGGCTCGAGCGCGAGCGAGGGCGGACGAGACGGACTTTGTAACTGCTCGAGGCGGCCCTCGTGTGTAACTAGACCGAGATCTCTATGTTCTCTCGGGCTCTCGTGCGGGAAAGAGAGACAGAGGCGCGACAGGGAGAGCTCAAACCAAGCTGCGAGTTGCACTTGCTCCACCCAACGACCTTCCCCGCGACCCCGAGCCGCTCGCTAAGCGCCCTGCACCGACTCTCAGTCCCTCATGCGCACGTCATCGTCGACTGGGCGCCTCCTCGGCGGTGGCGGCGACGCACGGCGCGCGCCGGGCGAGCGAGAGCGCGACGAACGGCGCCGAGGCGGTGGGGGTCCGTTCGCGGTGGACGACGAGGCGACGTGCGGCGGCTGCGGTGGGGCGGCTCGAGTCAGTGAGGGGTCCGACAGAGGAGGGGAGAGACGAGGATAGAAGGAGGGACGCACCCTGTCGCGAGGCCCGTCGCGCGAATCGTACCCTCCCGGGCCCCTCCCGCCGCCACCGCCGTACGGTCCAGCCGCGCCTCTCGGTCCGCCGCCAAACCCGTCCGGCCCATCGCTCCTCCTGCGCCCACCCTCCGCGCCCCACCCGTGGTCCGCCGCACCCGGCGCGCCTCCCCTCCTCGGCCCGCCCGCGCCGCCGGCAAGCATGCCCGCGCGCGCAGGGTGCACTGGCGCGCCGCCACCTGGCCCTCCCGCGCCCCCTCGAGGCCCGTAGCCCGCCCCGCCTGGTCCTGGTCCCGCGCCAGCTCGCGGCCCAAACCCGCCCGGACCACCACGACCGTGCGGCGGGCCGCCGGCCCCGACGAGCGGCGCAAAGTTGCCGCGGCCGCCTGGCGCAGGACCGTGTGCACCTGGTCCTGCTCCTCCTCGAGGCCCGTGTGCGGCAGCGGCGCCGCGGATGCCGAACGCGGGCGCGCCGGCGGGGCCGAGGGCGGCGGTGGGCGCGAGCGCGGTGGGCTCGGCGGCGGGGACGAGGAGGGCGAGGTCGACGAGGTCGCCGACGACGTACTTTGCCTCGGCGAGGGTGCGGTCGAGCCTCGCTGGGGTGGTGGCGGCGCTCGACGTGGACGAGGACGAGGGAGGGGTCGCGATCTCGCGCAGGGTGAAGTTGGCGAGGTCGGTCGAGCGGAAGCGGGTCGAGTCGGGGTCGTAGTAAACGAGGCGGAGCGAGATGCGGGTCGCGTGGTGCAGGTGTTGCGGGACGGGCGGAAGGGCGTCGAGTGCGAGGAGGGCGAGCTCTCGCAAGGTCGAGTCGGGCCAGCAGAAGAGGGCGAGCTCGTCGCCGGTGGTCGGGAGGCGGTCGACGGTGTAGTCCGAGTCCGGGTGGTGGGAGCCGGTGCGGGCAAAGACGCGCAGGAGCGAGGGCGAGACCTGTGCGGAGGGGGGAGGTCAGCGGGGGAGGGTGAGGAGGAGAAGGGGGAGGGAGGGGACGCGCCTTTGAGCGGTCGACGCGCGGTGGGCGGGAGCGTGCAGGTGGTGGCAGTGGGGCCATGCTGTCCTAGTCGCTGGTGCTCGGCGAGGTCGAGAGTGGGAGCGAGAGCTGGTCGTCGTCGTTGTCGTCCACCTCGCCTCCCTCGTCCTCTCCACCTCACCCACCCACTACCACCAAAGCTACCATGGTGCGCTCCCTCTCCCTCCATCAGGCTTCACAGAGCCTCCCGCCTGCAACTCGAGCGACTCCCGCTGATCCTCCTCCCCTCCTCCTCGTCGTCGTCCCCGTCCCCTCGGCCGCGATCAACCTCGGTCCTGCCCACAGTCGGGCGAAGCGTGGCTCTACCTCTTTGCCGTCATCCTCTCGGCCGCACTCCTCTTCACCTCGGTCTTCTTCGTCCGTCCCTCGTCTCCCCTGTCGAGCGTGACGCACCCGCACCCTGGCGCCTCGTCGACTGACTCTCTCGCTCGCCTCGCCCGCCGCCGCAGATCATCATGTTCTCCGACCTCGAGTGCGACTAGTGCGTCCCGCCTCTCGCTCTCTTCGACATCCTGCGAGCCCCGACTGACCCCCTCCTCCTCGCGCGAGCAGCCTCAACCCGATCGACCTGTGCAACAAGCTCAACCAAGTGCGTCCCCTTGCCACCGCCCAGTAGCCGACACTGACACCGTCCCTCTTGACCGCGCAGTTCGTCCTCCCCGAGATGATCGCGCACGCCTTCCTCACCGTGTGCTTCCTCCTGTCGTTCCAAGTCGTGTCGTTCCTCCTCAACGCGCCCCTGCTCGCCTACAACGTCAACAAGGTCGTCAACCGCAACCACATGTTTGACGCGACAGAGATCTTCCGCACCCTCGGACAGCACAAAAAGGGTCAGTCCGCTCTCTCTCTCGAAAGCGCTCTCGTTGGCCTGCTCGACTGACCCGGTCCTCGTCGTGCCCACAGAGTCGTTCTTCAAGCTCGGCTTCTAGTGCGTCTCGCGTCTCGGGCCGTCCCCCTGGCCTCGCCTGCCACGTCCACCCGAACTGACCCTTCCCCTCCCTCACCTCCCCTCGCAGCCTCGTCTTTTTCTTCTACGCCCTGTACCGCATGATCGTGCGTCCACACCCACTTTCGCTCCCTGGCGCCGTCCTAGCTCGAGAGAACTGACCCTCGCCCTTCCTGCCCGCGCGCAGCTCGCGCTCGTCGCCGAGGACTGAGCGCGTCGACTCGGCCTCGTCGAGGAGGGATCGGGCAAGGAGTGGCCCGGGCCGCTGTTGCCTCTGTGTTGGGCTGGTCGAGCTGAGCAGAGCGCGCGAGATGGTGAGAGGGGGAGGCAAGAGCGGGCGCAGAGGACGCGCGAGGAGGTGGACGAGCTGGAGGCGCGAGCGGCGCGCAAATGCGGCGGCACGGGCACGCGCAGTACACGCCAACGTCGCACGGACTCTATAATGACGCTCTCTCTCTCTCCTTCTCTCTCGTAAAGAGTCGCTCGCCGTGAGGCTCGAGAGGGAGAGCTGCACCTGGCTCTCGTTGCATGCCCGCCAACACCCTCACTCGCCGCCTCCTCCTCGCGCTGCCGCCCGACCGACGACCCGCAGCGCCTCCTCGACGTCTACGACGCGCGCGCCCTCTTCCTCGAGCTCGCGCAGGACACGCTCTGACCGCTCTGGGTCGACGCCGCGTGTCCCCTCGCGCACGACGAGGACGTGCCCTGGCCCTGCTGCGCTCGTTCCCGAGTCTCGCTCCTCCGACGACGCCGTCGACGAGCGAGCCCAGGGCAAGGAGAGCGCGTCGAGGACGCTGTGCCGCACGCAGAAGTCGGTCGCGAGGCCGACGACGACGAGCGTGTCGATCTCGGCGTCTGCGAGCGGGGCGAGCGGGTCAGGCTTGGGCTCTGTGCGTGAGGAGAGAGAGGGAGAGAGGGGGGCGCACCGAGGAGGAGCTGGGTGAGGGGAGAAGGCGAGGACGAGGGGTGCGAGAGCGGCGTGGCGAACGACGAGTAGGCATCGAGGTCGCGGTCTATGCCCTGTGCGACCTCGCCAGCCAGTGAGTCAGTGTGTGCCCGGTGACGACGACGGACGCGGCTCGTCTCGAGACGCACCTTGCGCACCACCTCGCACCTCGTCCCGCCTCCTCTGCGCGCGTCCATCCTGCTCTTGACGCCCTCCTCGATCTCGCCCCCCCTCGTCCCCTGCACGCAATGCTCAGGCCACAGCTCCTGCTCCTTTGTCTTGTCGCGCGTGCCCGAGCGAGGGTCGGCGACGTGGGTGGTCGAAAAGGCGGGCAGGTCGTGGGTCGAGGCGAACGAGATGTGGGCCGAGGGGTGGTAGTCCTGTGCGGGGGCAATGAGTCGGTGGTTCTGGTCGCTGAGAGTGGCGGGAGAGAGAGAGAGAGAGTGAGCGCGGGGCGCACCTGCGAGGCGACGACGAGGGCCCAGTCGCCGCGGTCGAGGAGGTGGTGGCAGACGGGGAGGATGTGGTCGCCCGAGGGGACGGCGAGTGCGCCCTTGGGCGGGAGAAAGTCGTGCTGGACGTCGACGACGAGGAGCGCGGCGGGCATGGCGGTCGCGGGCGATGGCGACCCGGTCGGAGGTGAGGACTCGGAGGCGGAGGTGGGGAGGAGTTGAGCGAGGGCGAGGACGGGTGGGCCGCTGGGCTGTCGCGTGTCGAGTGCGCTCGTGAGTCGCTAGGGCGTGCTGGTGTGCGTCCAAGGCGAGTGTGTGCTGAGGGAGGAGCAACTTGCGAGCGAACCTCGGAGCTGACCTTGTCGTCGCCCTCCCGCTCGCACTGCCCTGCCTCTGGCGACGTGCGCTGCTGCACAGTCTGCTCCCACAGCCCTATACTCGCCGCACGACCAGCGCACCACCCGCCCTCAGCTCTCCCCGTGTCGCCTTCGTCCTCATCTCCCAAAACCAACTTGGGCCCGACTCGACCACCAACACCCCTGGCAGCCGCCTGTCCAGCTCTATCTCGCGCCCACGACCTCCAGAACTCCGCACCGGCCTGCGCCACAGCTCCAACGTCGACTCGACGCACCCACCCTCCTCGCCGCCTGCACCGCCCCGTCCGCATCCTCCTCCCCGACTCGCTCGCACCACATGCTGGCCTATCGAGTCGCTCAAGCACGAGCATCGAGGGTGTACAGCTCGAGGCGGCGAGGAGCACATGTTCTCGAGGCGGCGAGGCCGACTCGCAGCCGCAGCCAGTTGCGACGAGCCGACCTTCTTCGTCGTCCGCCCGGCGCCCGGCTCTCTCGCCCTCGCCGCACGCACAGAGCTGCAGAGCCTCGTCCTGCTCGGGGCTCCTCTCGGCGGCGGGCACGAGGACGAGGTGGCGGACGAGCGGGCTCTGCCAGGCGTCGGGGACGAGGCGGACGGGCCGCGGGAGCAGCGGTGGAGCAGGGGCAGCGTGCCTCGGGAGCAAGGGTGCAGCGACGATTCGCTCGACTCGCTCGACGCGGCGACGCGGCGCACCTGCTGCAGCTCGCTCGCTTGCTCGCTCGCGGGCGGACACGAGCGCACTCGCCCGATCCGGGCTCGCAGGCGGCGCAGAGGGGACGTCGGGCGTGCTGCAGGCGGTCGGGGCGTCGAGTCGATGGCGACGAGCGATGAGAGGTGCTCGAGGGCGAGCAAAGGCAGAGCGGCGGAGCTGGGCGGCACGAGGAGGGATGCCGCGGCACGAGGGCGGGCCTCGAGAAGGGCGTCCAGCTGTTCTCGCGCTTTTTCTGCGGCCTCCTCGAGCCCATGGAATCGTCTGCTGGGCGTGTGCGTGCCGGGCTCGGGACGGGGGCAAGGGGGAGGTCGGCCCGCCAAGGACGAGAAGGCTCTGCTTCGACTCTTGTCGCCTCGCTCGCCGAGGAGCGCTGCCCGACGCTCTCAGCTCTGCCTCTCGAGCCGATTCCGAAACCTGCCCTTGCGACAGGCGCTCCCCGATCAGCTGGGTCGAGCGGGACGAGCGGGCCTTGGTCGAGGTGAGGAGGAAGTACTTGGCTCGGGCGGCCGCTTCCGCAACGAGCGACCGGGCCCACGCTTTCCGGCACTCTCTCTCCTGGGCGTGCGCGCGCGGATAAGATGGCTACGGGCGCCGCGAGGACTTTTTGGCCTCGAAGCCGGACGTGCGCGGCGCGCCTGATCAAGCGCACGAACCCTTGGGTCGATCGGCTCGAGCGCCCGAGTCGAGGCCAACGCAGTCGGCGTGCCGGTCCACCGGGTCCAGCGTCCGTCCTCCCCGCGGCGGACGGTCCTCGGTGTGCGGAGTTTCCGCAGAGAGGGTCCGTGCACATTCTGTCGGAGTCCTCTTCCTGCTACCTACGAGAGGGAGAGCGCGCGCGCGAGGGAGGAAAGGTGGATCAGCGGCACTGGCTAAGATTGGACGCAGCGGGCGAGGGCTTGGCTTGGCACTCGACGGTCCCCCCGCGCGTTCCTCGAATCCTCGCCAAGGCGGCCTTGGATTCTCTTGTCCCGCCCTCGTGCGGCCCCCGTTCCCCTCCCTCTGCCTCTCTCCCTCTCCTTCCACCATCCACCGGCCCTCCTCGCACACACGACCGCACCGCAGCCCCGACTCGACTCGACCTCGTCTCTCGCCTGCACGGTTCCTATTCCCGTCTCCCGTCTCGCCGACCTCGCCTCGCTCCCACGCCCTCGCACCCTCGATGCCCGCCCCTGCGACCGCCTCGATGCCGTCGACCACCACCTCGACGATGCGCCCGGCGCCAACCGCGGCCAAGGACGAGCTGGCGCAGCGCGCGATCACGCCGACGGCCGCGTCCCCGGACCCCGAGGCGGCGCTCGTCTCGCCGTCGCTGCAGGCCATCTGGCAGTCGTTCAAGGAGCACGGCCACGGCGACACCGAGCTCCTCAAGCTCATCCTCTCGGCAAAGCTCAAGGAGGACGAGGTGCGTCCGCTTCTTCTCTCTCTCCCTCTTCCCTCGAAGGCGACATGACCTGACCCACTTTCCTCGCACCCGCAGCGCCTCAAGTCGATGGACGACCTCCGCGCCGAGCAGCTGCGCGCTCAGCAGGCCATGTGGCAGTACACCATGTACCAGTACATGCTCGTCGCGTCGGCCCAGCAGCAGCAGGCCGCCGCCGCCGCCGCCGCCGCGGTCAAGGGCGGCCCGGCCCCGTACTCGCCCCTGTCGCCGCCCCCGGCCGAGCTCGTCCCGCTCAGCAACAACGGCACGACGTCGAACAAGCGCCCGAGGGCGTCCAGCAGCGCGTCGAGCGCCTCGTCGACGAGCGACGCGGCCAAGAAGGCGCGCACGGGCACCCACTCGCTGCCGCGCACGACGGCGCTCGCCCCGGGCCAGAAGCCGTCGCACGCCGACGTCATGGACGCCCTCCGTCGCAAGTGCGAGGCCAACAAGCAGACCCAGCAGCCGACCGCCGCCGCTGCCGCCCTCTCGGCCGCGCGCACCTCGCCGTCGTACCCGCACCGCGCCCTCGCTCCCGCCCCGACCTCGTCGGCCCGCACCTCGATGTCGCCGCCGCTGTCGACGACTGCGACGCCTGGGTCGACCGCGCGCCGCCTCTCGCCGCCGCACGTCGTCCCCGGCCGCCACACGTCGTTCCTCCGCCCGGCGCCCCCTCCCTCGGACGCCTCGTCGTCGGCCTCGCAGCAGCACGCCTCGGCGCCGAGGCCGTCCTCGCCTCCTGCCCTCGCCTCGGTCCGCGAGCACCCGACCGCCGAGCCCGCGCAGGCCCTGCCGCGCAGCAACAAGCTCGCGCTCCTCCTCCACGCGAGCGAGTCGACGGCGTCGCATTTCCACACGCCGAGCTGGCTCCCGCAGCCGCAGCAGGCGACGAGCGACGTGCGCGGGTCGGTCGTCCCGGCGCCGGCCGTCGTCGCTGCCGCCGACGCCTAGTCTCTCCCTCGTCGCTCGTCCCTCGTCGCACTGTACCACTCGACGGTTTTTGCCAAACCCCCCCTCTCGTCTATCGCCGTCTGTGCCCTATGTTGTCCTCCCCCTCCCCTCGCTTGTGTAGTTTTCTCGAGCAGTGCGCTGCAGCCATTCGTGCCCTTCTCCCTCCTCGTCCGCCTCGACCGAGAGAGGCTCTCATTCGCTCGCCAAGCTCTCTCGCGAGCCTCGAGAACGACCCAGAGAGAGCACGTGTACAGAGTAGCAATGACAGCGGGACGCGCCCAGGAGCTTCCCAGAAGTCAGAGCAGGTACCGCCAAGTCGCCTCGCTCGATCCCTCGCCTCGTCCCTCGGCTCCCGTCACGCTCTCGCCTCCCTCGTCCCGCTCGGCCTTTGAGCCCTCGAGCCCAGGTGCGCGTGCCGCTCGGCCAAGGAAACGCGGCGCTGCGCGAGGGTCGACGAACCCGAACAGGCGGTCCCGCCGCCGGTTCTCACGGATCAGGAGGCTGCGACGTGGGCGCGAGAGGGCGTTGAAGGTCGTCGTCCGGCTTTGAGGGTGACCTCGCTGAGGCTCGAGGCCTGAGAAGGAGGAAAAGGGGGGACGCACAGCCGGAGGAGGACGGCGAGGAGCGTGACGAAGAACATGAAGCCGCACGCGATCGACATGCCCTTGACGTAGTACGGCCTGCAGGAGTCGTCGAGAGTGTCAGCAGGGACGAGAGAGAGAGCACGAGAGAAAGGCAGGACGCACCCTTCGTGAGCCGGGTAGAGCCGAGTCCCGCTGCGAGAGGTGCGAGGAGGGTCAATGAGAGGGTCCGAGCGGCACGAGAGACAGCGCTCTGGACGCACAGGAAAGGACCACATTGCCTGCGGCGACACGTGAGAAGAGTCAGTGAGGCCTCCTCAGCGCGCTCGCGAGAGGGGAAGAAGACGGACCCGATGAGGTTGAGAAGGACGAAGCCGGCGCCACGCTTCGAGTCGTTCTCGTGCATCGACGCCGTGAGCGGCAACGCGAGGCCGATGACGGGAAAGATGCCCGTCGCGCAAAGGAAGATCGCAAAGTACCTGTGGACCCGAGGGAGAGCGCGAGTCAGGGCAGGTCGAGGAGGGGAAGCGCTTCGACGATGGGCGAGGTAGGGACGAACCGGACGCCTGTCGTCTCGACGAGGGCGAGGATGAGGTACCCGATGGCGCCGACGAGCGAGAGCGGGATGATGAGGATCGTGCGGTCGCCCCACCGGTCGCTCAACCAGCAAACGAAGACGATGACGAAGAAGGCGGCGAGGTACGGCGGCGCAGACAGGCCTTGCGCCCGGATTGATGAGTAACCCATCTCGGATAGGATCTGCGTAAGGGAAGGGCGAGTGAGCGGCGGCGGTCGAGAGAGGTGGAGCGAGAGGGACGCACGGTCGGGAGGAAGACGGGCAGGCTCGAGTACGAGACGTTGCTGCTGAAGTAGATGAGCCTGTGGGCGACGTCGACTGTCAGTCCCGCACACGTCGAAGGAGGCGTCGAGGAGAGAGAAAGTAAGGGGCGCACGCCGTGATGTAGGCCTTGGGGTCGCTCAGGCCCTCCCACACGTTCTTGAGGTCGAGCCCGCCCTCGCGCCCGGTGCGGCCGTCTGCGCCCGACCGCAGACGCGCGATCTCGCGTTCTCGCGGCGTGAGGAACCTCGCCTTGCTCGCACGGTCGGGGAGAAAGAAGTAGGCAACGACGGCCATGGGGAGCGCCGGCGCGCCCTCGATGAGGAACAGGGCCTTCCACGCCGGGATCGCCGGGTTCTTCATCTGCGTGATGCCGTATGCGAGAGCGCCGGCGTAGCAGGACGCGATGGCGGCGGCGCCAAAGTAGAGCCTGCGTCGACGAGAGCGAGTCAATCCCTCGTCGTGACGGGGCTCGAGGAAGGCGACGGACCCTTGCCGAAAGCCGACCTGACGCCGATCGTAGAAGAACGACAGGTAGAACGTAACGCCTGGCGCAAAGCAGGTCTCGGACACGCCCAAAAGGAACCGCAGAGCCATTAACCCCTCCCACCTCGCGGCACTCTGCAGGAGCGCAAAGCCGCCCCACAGGAGCGTGAGCGCCGCGACGAGGACGTGTGGCGGTATGCGCTTCCACAGGAGGATCGACGGGGTCGCGACGACGTAGCCGATGTAGAAAATCTGGCGAGAAGTACGAGGTCAGTCGACGACCTTCTCAAGCTGAGCTCTGCGACCCTCGAGCCGGCAAAGCCTCGCAGCTTCGCCGGCAGGACCGACAGGAGGAAGTTTGACGTACAGTGAGCAGCCACTGGTACTGGGCGTCGGTGATGTCCAGGTCCTTGGTCATGCCGGCGGTTTTCGCGTCTGCGCGCGTGCGGCAGGGTCAGTTCAAGTTCTCTACGAGCTGTGCGACCGTGGACAAGGCGACGTACTGCCGATGTCTGTGGGAGTAGAGAGGCAGGTCAGTGAGGGGTATCGCACACGAGGAAAAGACGGCTCGACGCACTCGAGCGGTCGAGAAAGGACAACCTGTGGGCGAACGTGGCGAGGTGAGCTCGCGGTCCATCGACGTCGCATAGAGAACGAGAGGCAGTATGGACGCACATGAAGAGGGCCCACAGGACGGGCATGAGGTTGCGGTCCGTCTTCTTGACGACTCGACGCTCCTCGTCCTCGGTCCAGGTAAACTCGCCGTCGTGGGCCGAGAGGGCGTCCTCGTGAGCGTACGAGCCCTTGCCGACGTCGTCGACGGTGGGAGCGACGGAGGAAGGTGGGGAAGCTGGTGCGGGGCCGTCGTGAGGCGGTTGACGGCGAGGAGGAGGTGGCATCGTCGTCGAGGGGAACGAGCGGCGGGTGGATGCGGCGAGAGGGAGTGGAGGAGAGAGAGAGAGAGAGAGTGAGTGCCGGACCACACAGGGAACCGTCGGCGAGAGTCAAGTGCGAAGCGCCAACCAACTTTGGCGCACCCGGTGGACCCGGCCGAACGGCGAAGGGGAAGCGAGGGGGAGAAGCGGGGCTTGAAGACGGCGTTTAGCCTGCTCGTGACGCTCCTCGTCCAGCAGCATGCCAGCAGCACAGGCTCACAGCAGCCGCGCGTCGATCGTGCGTCTCTGTCTCCCTCTCCTCGCTCCCCCTCAGCCGAGCTGATGGCGCCTCCCCACGCAGGCGGCGAGCTTGGCGAGCGAGATCTTGCGCGAGCTCGTGCTCGACGTGGCCATCGAGGAGCACCGCCTGGCCGCGCTGCGACGGTCTCGAGCTGCAGGGTGCGTCCCCCGATCTCGCTGTGGTGCCGGGTCGACGAGGCGGACAGTCGGCGGGAGGACGGCGCCAGCTGACGACGAGCGTCGCACCACCGCAGGGCACACGCAGCAGGGTATGGCGCACTCGCCAACGGCTTGCTCGGTCCCGCTCCAGCCAACGGAGCGAGCCCGTCGCCGACCAAGAAGGACGACGGCTTGCACGAGTGCCTCGTCTGCTCTCGCCAGGTCCGCCCTCTCTTCTCCTCGGCCCTTTTCCCCAGGCCATGCACGCCCAAGACAGAGCTGACCTGCACCTCGAGCCACACAGATCGCCGCGCCACGGTACGCGAGCCACCTGAGCGGGTGCATGGGGCTCGGAGGGTCGCGGCGAGGAGCAGGCAGGGCAGCGGCGGCAGCGGCAAACGGTCGTGCGAGCAGCGTCTCGAGGTGCGTCCTACTCTCTCCTACTCGGCGACGAGCTCGCGGAACTGACTCTTGGAGACGGGCGCACGCAGGCCAAGCTCGAACGGCAGCGACACCGACACGGCGAGTGCGTCAAAGCGCCGCCATCCCTGCGTCTTTTCTCGTCCTGACCTGGCCTCGTACCTGCAGGCAAGGCCAACGGCATCAAGCGGGCGGCGACCGCTTCACCTGCGGGCGGCGGGCCAAAGACCAAGAAGGCCAAACCTGCTCCGAGTACGTCCCCTCTCTCGCGCTCACGGTCCGTCGACGCGCCCCCTGACGTCCCTCTCAGTCGCCATGTCGCCCTTTCCAGCTGTCGGCCAGTTCCAGCCCCCACACACGGGCTCGCACCCGCTGTCCAAGACCATGTCGCTCCCCTCCTCGCCGCTCGACTCGGCTTCCTCGCCCTCTGCACACGCCCTCGCCGTTCCTCCCGCCTCGGCGCACGCCCTCCCCTCTCAGCAGCACCTCGCCGCTCCCCCGATGCAGGCCCGCAAGTCGCTCCCGGGCTCGACCGGCGCCTACCCTCAGCAGCCCACCAAGTCGCCCGCCGCCAACCGCCCTCAGCACCCTCTCGCGCACACGACGTCGACCCCTACCTCGGCGTCGACGACGAGCACGTCGACGCAGCCGTCGAGCATGATGCCCATGTCGGACCGGCCCGACTCGGACTCGGAGGACTCGGACGCCGAGGTGCACGTCGCCGTCGTCCACAAGCCGCAGGCGCAGAAGACGCCGCGGGTCCCGCCGGGCAGCGCGCCGCCTGGTGCGGCGGCGCATGGAGCAGGAGCGGCGGTGGGCGGCGGCGGAGGACCAGGAGTGGCGGGACCGGGAGGAGGCGCGCCGCAGAAGGCGCCGAGGAAGGCGATGCCGCCGGGGAGGAAAACTGTCGCAGGTGCGTCTCGCGCCTCTCTCTCGCCGTCGAGCTCGTCCTCCCGACGAGCCGCACGTCTTCTCACGGCCAGGCGGGCGTTGAACCTTCCCCTGTCTGCAGCTGTCGACTCGGGCACCGACTCGGACGACGTCGCCTCGGCAGGCTCCGACTCGGACTAGCTGCCTCGCCCGCCTCTCTCTTATACTCTCTGTCGGACTTAGCTATAGGAGCTGTGCTCTCCCTCGTTCCGCATTTTGCATTTCATCCTGCGTGTCGTTCCTCGTTTCCTCGTCCTCGTCCTCGAGAGGCTCTTTCCGAGCTCGCGAGTCTCGCAAAGAGAGAAAGAAAGAGAGAGAGAGAGAAATCTGTCTACGATCCATTACTGCACAGCGTGTACGGGTATGAGTGTCTATCAGGCCCGCCTCTTCCCCTTGGCCTTGCCCGTCGTCGTCTCTCGCTCCTTGTCCTTGCCGCCCGCCGACGTCCCGCCCTCGAGCGTCTCGACCTTGGCCCCGAGCCACCCACCCTGCGCACCATAGTGCGCGACGAGGTCCTTGACGCCGTCGAAGAAGGCGAGGCGGTCGACGAGCCCGCGCTCGAGCCGCTGCGGCGCGCCGTCCGGCACGTCGTACCCGGCGGAGCGGTGCGAGGCGTCGTGCGTCGGGTGCAGCGAGAGGAGGAGCTCGAGGAAGAGGATGCGGGTGTAGTGGTAGTCGAACGAGGCGAGGATGTCGTCGAGCTGTGCGCGAGGAGGGGGGAGGAAAAGCGAGGTCAGGTCGGCTCGACGAGGTGCGGTTCGAGAGGGAACGAGAGACGCACTCGGCCCTCGATGACGTCCCACACGTCCTGCACGTCGGGCCTGCTGCCGCCGTCGTGCGCGTCGACGTCCTCCCACACCTCTGTGCGCTCCTTCTCCTCGGCGACGCCGGCCGCCGCGCTGATCGCCTTCTTGCCCGCCTCTCCCGCGCCCTTGGCCGCACCCTCGGCAGCCTCCATCCTCACCGCCTCACGCGCACCCGCACCGGCACCCGTCCCGACCCCTCGCCCTCCCTCGCCCGCGCTCGAGCCCCTCCCTCGTCGCTCGCCCTCGCTCGCCGACGGCGCCGTCGAGCGCGCGCCGAGCCACAGCCTCCACAGCTCGAGGCGCTGACGGTCAATCTTGGCGTGCGCCCTGACGACGCCCGTCGCGCGGCGCCAGTTGAGCTCGCGCACGGCGTCGCGCCAGCGCGGCTCGTGGGCGCTCGCGCGCTCGGTCACCGGCAGCGCGCCGGACGACGCGGCTTGGACCTTGAGGGCGCGGTACGACAGGAACGGGTTGGACGGCGGGACGACGTTGGTCAAGTACGAGAGGGGCGAGGCCGACTCGGTGAGGAGGGCGGCGCGCTCGGCGGCCGGGAGCGGGAGCGCGGCGCACGCCGTGTGCAGGTCGGCGATGGTGCGCGTGTCGGACGGGTCGTAGGCGGGAGGTGGAGGTGGGCCCATGCTGTCGAGGGCGTTCTGCTGCGACTGGGCGGCCGCGAGGAGCGGAAGGTGCTGAGGGCGGTAGACCCGGGTGCGGATCCACCGACGGCGGCGGACGAACGACCGCATCGTGTAGGCCTCGCCGCGCCAGAACCGAGAGCGGAAGCGCAGGGCGTAGGACCAGCCTGCGGCGCAAGTTTGAGAGAAAGAGAGGGTCAGTCGGGAAAGTGGCCGAGACTAAGAAAGAGAGAGAGAGAGAGTGGGCGCACCTTCTTCGTCCTTGTCGCCGCCCATGTCGACCATGAACTCGCTGTCGCGCCACACCCAGTAAGGCGGAAGCGGGTACGTGTGCGGTGTGAACGCGCTCGGTCTGCTCGAGGGAGACGAGGATGGGTCAGTGCACGGCGACGAGACGGATCGAGAGGGTGCAGGCGCGAGCGCACTTGAGGTCGTTGTCGCACCACTGTGGCGGGTCGACCTGGAACAGGAGGTTGCTCGAGAACTTGGGCAGGCCAAAGACGACGAGTCTGCGCGAGCGAGGAAGGAGGGGAAAAGGCCAGTCAGGAAGGGCTTCGTGCGCAAAGAGAGGACGTGAACGGCGGACGCACCCTCGTTGATGCTCGTACAGGACGTCGACGACGACCCGGTCCTCCTCGGCGACGAGGACGCCTGCGTCCTTGAGCGCCTGCGCGACCTGCTCGTCGAGTCCGAGCGCCTCGGCCGTCGCACTCGCCGCCGCCGCCGCCGCCGATGTCGCCGCGCCCTTGTGGTGCCGCCGCGCAAAGTGAGGCCGACCTGGAAGGTGCAGGCCGCGCTTGCTCGCGGCGTGGTGCAGGCTCGCGAACGTGTCGCGGCGGATGACGGGAGCGATGTTGTCGTCGATGGTGAGCCGGCGTGAGGGCGGGTCGGGCGTGAAGGTCGAGGCGGGAGGGGATGAGGACGCGGTCGAGGTGACGGTGCGGAGGGCCGTCAAGGTCGAGAACGAGGGCTGAGAGAGGGCGGGCGGGCGAGTCGAGGAGGAGGACGAGGGGACGAGTGGGGCGAAGGTGGGCAGCTCGAGGCTGACGAGCGAGTCTTGAGACGACGACGTCGGCGTGAGGCGAGGCTTAAGGTCGCCGTTGAGGGACGAAGGAGCGGTCGAGGGCGCCGTCGTGCGGCCGTCGTCGCCGTCGTCGAGGTCGAAAGCGGCGTCGTCGTCGGCCTCCTCGATGACGATGCCCGGTGCGCCCTTGCGAGGCTTGCCGCGCAGGGTGCGCTTGATGCGAGTGCCGGCGCGTCTGGGCACGTTGGCGATCTTGAGGCGCACCTTGTGCGAGTCGTCGCGGTCGAGGGTGAAGAACGAGTCGTCGACCTCGTCCTTGTCGTGGTCGAGCGAGAGTTTGTCTCCGATGAGCTCAAAGTTGGGGCCATGCTGGTGGCGGCGGCCTTTGGTGCCGAGGTGCTTTACGCGGTGGTGGGACTTGAGTTGAGCGATGCGGTGCAGGGCGGCGTCGATGGTGTCGGCGTCGCGCTCGCAGTGCGGGAGGGCCGAGAGGGCCGGGTCGGCCGTAGCCATGGCGTTCGGCGTGGCCGGGCAGTCGAGCGCCTCGTCCTCGGGCAAGTTGAGCGAGGGGAGCAAGTGGTTCGAGGCCAAGGAGGGGAGGGTGGTGGACGGCACCTCTCCCTCGGCTCGCACACTGCTCCAGCGAGTGCCCGACCACTCGCAAGAGCACTACATAGTACACACGCACACCCACTACAAGTCGCCGCGACCGCCCACCTTGTGCGCGCATCCCTCTCCCTCGTCATCACCACCGGTCACTGATCCTCCTCCTCGTCACCCAGCTCGCCTTCAAGACGCGCCACACCATCATGGCCCCGTCCCTCAACCTCGACTGCATCGCCGAGGTCCTGCGCCAAGAGACCCTCACCGACGGCGACCTCGCCAGCGCCTGCCTCGTCTCGCGCGCCGTCTTTCGCCTCGCCAACAGCCTCTTGTACCACGACCTCGCCCTGTGCTTCTCCGACAGCGGCGACTACACCGACGACGGCCGCCTCTTGTGCGCCATCGAGGTCCGCGAGTCGGAAAAGGCCGAGGCCTTTGTCGACCACCCGCGCCTGCGCCCTCTCTTGCGCCGCGTCGAGGTCGCCTTCGACTCGCTCGAGCGCGACAGGTACGTCCGCTACGACCAGCCCGAGTACCTCATCAACGACATCGTCAAGGTGTGCCCAAACATCGACGACCTCGGCGCCGACGAGGGCGCGTGGTTCCCCGACATGGCCCACGCCGTCGTCGAGCACGGCCGGCGCCTGCGCACTATTCGCGGCCTCAAGCTGTGCGACGGCTCGTGGGAGATGCTCGCCAAGCAGCCCATGCTCAAGCACCTCGGCATCTCGCGCCTCGAGCACGACCCGAGCAACCGCGACGTGCCCAAGCCTCCCGAGGTCGAGCTCCCGTTCGCGCTCGAGCACCTCGCCGTCGAGGGCGCGCCCGCTCGCCTCGATCCGGCCATCCTCGAGCCCATATTTGCGTCGTCGGCACACACGATCCGCACGCTCGAGCTCGAGTTCAACGCGGCGACCCCGCCCGACCTCTCGCGCTTCACGGCGCTGCGGTCGCTCCACCTGTGCGTCGACTGCAAGCGCAAGGCGGACGGGACCGTCAATGGCCGGGACAACCCGGACCGCGTCGCCGCCTCCGTCATCGACGCGCTGCGGCCCATCTCGCACCTCCCCCTCCGCTCGCTCGCCATCACGCACGACGACGGCCACACCCGCCTCGAGCCCCTCTTCCGCCACCCTTCCTTCCCCTCGGTCGTCCCCTCGACCGTCACCAAGCTCACGATCAAGGCCGCTCTCGAAATCGCCGACCTCGAGCGCTTCTTCGGCGCGTGCTCGGCGCCCATAACGCGCCTCGGCCACGGTACCGCCGAGAACCGCGACTCGGCGTCGGGCGTCGAGCAGTGGCTCGCACAGCGAGGGATCAAGGGCGAGACGGCCATTGGCGAGCTGAGGCTCGGCCTGAGCTTGCGGATAGGGAGGGCCGTGGACGGGCTGATGCGCTCGATGGGCTTGAAACAAAGGACCCGTTCTTGAGCACACGAGGAGCGTCGACAGCGAGCTCTCGTCGAGGAGAGAAGAGAGGGAAGCCAGCAGCGTCTCGTCCGAGTGACGCTCGTGCGCCGAGAGTCCGAGCCCAAGGTGGTGCTCGAGCCCCGTCGAAGCGAGCTTTCCTCGCTCTCTGCGTCGTACGCGCACACTCTCTGCTCGCTCTCTAGCTGTACCCGGGACCGAGGAAAACGAAAGAGCCGCTCTTTCAAGAGGTCCAAGCGAGAGGTCCATGCACGACGACGAGGGAGGGAAAGACACCAAGCAGGGAGAGGAGGAGGGGGAGCTACGAGAAGAGAGGCGAGAGGGTGACTAGCTGACAGGGGTGGGCTGGATCGTCTGGATCGAGAACTGCTGCGCCTGCGACGGCCCGTCCGAAGAGAGGGGAATCGGCGGCTGCGAGGCGACGGCGACGGCGATGGTCGGCCCGCCCGACTTGGCGAGCTCGACGGGCACGAAGCTCGACGGTGACGAGGTACGAGTGGCGGCTGCGGCCGAGGCCAGGCGAGACGGGACGGTGTTGGCTGCGCGCGAGGACGAGAAAGGTCAGGCGGCGGCCACGAGGATTGACGACGACGGTGCGAGGGAGAGGGACGCACTCTTGCGCGAGTCCGAGTGTAGAATCGACTCGTCGATGCTCGACTGGCGGATGTGGAAGCCGGTCGGCTTGTTCTCGGGCCCCGAGGTCGGCCGGGTCGAGTCGTCGCCGCCTCCTGCTCAAAGCTCGGGTCAGTCGACGTCGAGCGGTCCGAGATGGTGAGAGATGGGACGCACCCTGGATGCCACCGCCTCCCCGGCCCTCGCCAAGGTTGCCGAAGGTGGGCCCGCTGCCGCGCTCGCCGTCGAGAAGGCCGCTTTGCCCTGCGAGGGCGTCGCTCGAGCCGCCTTTGCCGATGCCCTGGATCGCGTTGGTCGCGTCGAAGTTGCCGGCAGGCGAGCCACCGTCGATGACGTCGAGAGGAGAAGAGGACAGGGGCGAGGACGAGAAGGGCGAGCCGCCGAGCGGCGAGGTGCCGAAAGACGAGCCGCCGAGAGGCGAGGAGCCGCCGAGACCGCCTGCGCTCAACGACATCGTCAAGAGGTGACGCTCGACTCGAATCCAGAGAGGGAGAAAAAGAGCAGGACGACGTACCGCCGAAGCCGTCGCCGAGAAGCTGCCTCTTGCGCAAGAGGCCGCTCGCTTTTCCTGCCCCGCCTCCTCCTCCAACCAGGCTCTCGAGGATCCCGCCGCTGCCACCGAAGCCAGCTCCCGACTGGATACCGAGGCCCTCGGTGATGTCGGCGAACGGGTTGGTCGTGGTCGTGCTGTCGCCCTTCTTGCCTGCGAGGAGGAAGCGTCAGTCTCGTCGACCGGGCAAAGGGAGGGGAAGGGAGGGCTGAAAGGGGGTAGGACGCACTCTCGGACGTCGAGCCCTTGACGCTGCTCGAGGCGTAGCAGTAGCTAAGGTAGTAGACCTCGCGGCCGGTCGAGTCCTCCTTGTAGCCGTCGTTGAGGAGAACGGTCTTGCCGTCGGCTGCGGATCGGATACGAGGCGACGTCAGGTCCATCGGACAATGGAGAAGGAGGGCACAGGACCGCGACTTGCTGTCCTTGATGAGCTGGTCCTTCGTGAAGCGCGTCGCCGCCGCATCTGCGAGGGGTCGAAGAACGGCGTCAGCGGACCTGGAGGGGCGAGAGGGACGAGATGAGGACGCACCGGCCTCGTACACGAACTCGAGGTAACATCTGCGGACACGAGAACCAACGTCAGCTGCTTTGTTCGAGAAGGGCGAGGCAGGAGAGAGTGGACGCACAGCTCCTTTGCCGACACCTCGGCGAGCGCCGCGCTCGTTGCCGAGTCGACCTTGACGGAAGTTGCGAGTCCTTTGATGTCGCCTGCAGGGCTCCGACAGGTCGGCTTGTTGGTCCGAGAGGGGGAGGGTGAGGAGCGAGACGAGGCGCACCTGGGAGCGGAGCGGCGTGGCCGAGCACGACGAACAAGATGGCGAGAACTGCACACGCGACCATGACGACGTTGCTGACGGGCTGATGGAGGACGAAAGGCTGGAAGGCGAGAGCGCGAGGCGTGAGGGCGAGCCGGACAAGGAGAGCTGCGAAGGGAGGATGTCCGCGCCGCTCCACCGCAGCTGAGCGCGCGCTGCGATGGTGTCGACGGCCGCTCTGGCTGCATTGGAGCTCGCCCAGACTGCTTGCGAGCGTCTCGTAGCTCTGTTGCGACGAGCAAACGCTTGATCAGTGACCCGTGACGACGAGCGGAGGCGGGACGAGAGAGGACTCACAGGTCATGGCGGACGGGCTAGTTCGGTTGCTGGACAGACAGAATGTGCTGCTGGCGGCCTTCATTGCGCTCTGAGGGCGAGGTGGGAGCGGAAAGAGCGCGCGGCGAAGAGCTCTTCGTCGCGATCGGCTGCAGCAAGCGGCGACGAGCACTGGTCGCGCGTGCTGGACGCAGCCGTGTAGCGTGTACTATCTCTTTCAAACCCTGTCATTTGCGGACATGCGCGCAAGGGGCGAGCAGCTCGACCAGTCGCGCGAGGCTCGAGCGAAGCCACCAGCTCTCGTGCTCGTCGCCCTCGCACCAGATGCGGCCGCTCTCGACGAAGCGGTGCTTGAACGCCACTCTCATACTCGAGGAAGCCGGCCGACACGGAAACAAACGCGATCCATGGAGAGGCAACTGACTCTAACGCCTCGTCGACCAACCGCCGCCGCCACCGCCTCTCGTACAGGCCCGACCGCCTCCGAGCCACGCCGGACTTGTCTATGGAGGAAGGACATCGAGGTGCAGGATGGCTCGGGGCGCAGGCGCACCCGAGCACTGCGGGAGGAGAGAGAGAGAGAGAGATGAAGGAGGAGGGGAATACGGGGGCCAAGGGCGCCGAACGACAATAAGGTGTGGGCTGCAGAAGGTGCTGGAGAGTAGGGAGAGACCGACAGGAGAGAGAGAGAGAGAGAGAGAGAGAGCGCAACGAGGAGAGCTCAGTGCTCGACCTCGCGCTTGCTGAACTTGAGGCGGCAGCCGTCCTGCAGGCGGCGACGGGGTCAGAGGACGAGCGACAGAGTGGACGATGAGAGATAGTCGGGGCGCACCTTGGGGAAGAGGGTGGCGATGATCTCAATCTCCTCGCTGAGCGGCGTGACCTCGTGCTCCCAGTTGAGGAAGAGCGCCGCCGAGCCGATGACGGCCGACATGTGCATGTAGACGTAGTTCTGGCCTGCAGGTCGTAAGGGGCAGTCGGGGCGATGTCACAGCGGACGAGTGGGTGGGACGAGGGCGAGAGGGCGGACGAGAGGAGGGGAGGAGAGGGACAGAGAGAGAAGAGGGGGCGAGGCGAGGTCAGTTCTGTCCTTCTGAGGTTCGTGAAGGTTCGAGGGAGAGTCGACGCACCGATGCACTTGTGCGCACCCGCACCGAAGACGAGCCAGTTCTTCGAGTCGGTGCCGTTGGCGTTGACGCCGCCCGGCAGCCACCGCTCGGGCTTGAACTCCTCGGGCTCGGGGTAGACGGCCGGGTCGTGCAGCGACTGTGGAAAGGCGCTCGACATGAGTGGGGGCACTCACGAGAAAGGGAGAGAGAGGGAGGAGGACGCACGTTCCAGAACGAGGGAATGAGCATGGTGCCCTTGGGAACGGTGTACTCGTCGTTGATCGGGAACGGCTTCTTGGTGAGGTACGGCACCATGATGACCGGCGGGCGGTAGCGCAAGACCTCCTTGGTGACGGCATTCGTGTAGGGCATCTGCTCGAGCCAGGCGAGCGACATGGGCGACTCGTGGTCGCCGGCGCGGACGCGAGTCTGCTCCTCGCGGACCTTGGCGAGGATGTCGGGGTTGTCGGCGAGGAGCTGGAAAGCGAACGTGATGGACGACGACATGGCGTCTGTGTGCGTGTGGAGGAGCGAGGTCAGTCTCGAGGAGGAAGGGGCAAGAGGGGGAGGCTGGAAGAAATCGTGGACGCACCCTGCGAGGCAAAGATGAACGAGAGGAGGACGAGCGCCATCTCCTTGTCGGTGTACTCGCGGACCTTCTTGGCGAGGATCTGCTCGACCCACGCGTCGAGGAGGCAGTCGGCCTCCTTGCCCTGCGCCATGGCCTTCTTGGACGCGGCGGCGGCGTTGCTCAGGTGCTTGACGGCGACCTCGCGCGCACGGCACGCGTTCCACACCTTGGTGCCCGGGAACGCGAACGGGAAGTTGACGAGCTCGAGCGCCTTGGTGATTTGCCAGTACTTGCTCGAGATCTCCTCGGCCGCGTCCTCGGCGATGTACTCGCCGCAGAAGACGCGCAGCGACGTGAACATGTTGAGGTTGCGGAACTTCATCATGTAGGGCTCCGGGCTCGGGTTCGGGTTGGCGACCCACGAGTCGAAGAACTTGCGGTAGATCGTGTCCTGCACGCGAAGGTAGATCCTGCGCCGAAACGTGTCAGTCCGTGCTGCTCGCTCGTCGCCTCCTGCGCGCACACACAGAGAGAGGAGAGGGACGCACTCGAGCGCCTTGGGCGTGAACAGGACGTTGAGGCCCTTGCGGTACTCGTTGTGGACCTTGCCGTTCAGGAAGACCCAGTTCTCGGCTGCGCATGGACAGGGAGGGGTCAGGTGCTCGAGTCTGATGGATGCGGTGACCTGCTCGAGGTGAGCGAGAAGGGACGCACGCAAGAGGATCTGCTTGGCCGAACGGACGAGGCACGGCTCGGCGAGGGTCGACGAGTTGAGGATCTTGCGAGCATAGTCGGTGGTCGAGGCGATGACGATGAAGCTGCAGGACGGCAGGCCGGCGTGTCAGAGCCCTACAGTCGGGGTGAAGAGGAGGTGGCGCGTGCGCACATGTTGAACACGCTGTCGCGAGGAGAGGGAGGGCAAGGGCGAGGTCAGCAGTCGCCCGGGCTCGGTCGACGCGTGCGAGATGGACTCACGAGACAGACGCGAGCGGCGTTGCCCAGGCTGGTGGCGCGATCGCGAGGGGTCAGCCATTGTTGACCTCGCGCCCGCGCGCGGCCGAGAGCGAAACAAGGGGGAGAGGGGGAGGGAGCGAGAGGGGGGACGCACAGCGCTTGTAGGCCTCCATGGACGGGTTGAGCGACTCTGCGAACTGCCCAATGACCGGCTGCGACGCGCATGCGAGGTCAGTGGGGGATGCGGCGGCCCGCGGCGAGGAATGGGAAGGAGGGAGGAGCTCGGCACGCACAATCTGCCACGCATGGCCGGGGAGCGCCTGCTTGCGCGAGCGCCACAGGACCTGCTCTGCGAGGAGCAGGGTCACAACGATGGCGAGGACCGAGGTGGCCACCGTCTTGGCCGACCACTCGACGGCGGGAAGCTCGGGGAGGGACGACGACAGCTTGCCGAGCGTCTCGACGAAGTGGGACGGCGCGCTCGCTGGCGCAGACACGTAGGTGGACGACGGCATCGAGCTCGCGAGTGCTCGAACAGCTGGGGCGAGTGAGCGTGGGCGGGCGGAGTTCGAGCAAGAGGAGCGAGCTGGCTGGCTCCGCGCGCGGCTCGTTCGACTCGGCGCAGGCCGACCAACCTTCTGGCCGGAGCGCTGGCTCGCCCGCCGCACCCTCTGTACCGCTGTCCTCTGCGCATCGACGCACTCTCGCAGCCGACCCAGCCCGGTCCCGTGCCACCCGGCGCCCTCTCTCCCTCGACTCGGCCTCGCACGAACCCACGGCTCTCGACTCGGCAGCCGCGTCCCTTGCCCATCTCTCGCTGGTCCCTCGAGAACACGAGAGAGAGACGACATGGAGCTGCAATACATGCGCAGAGAAAGGCTCGCCTCGCTCGGCCGGGAAGAAGTACAACGTCGACAGAGAGAGAGATCGGACGCCGGCGCGCAAGCGAACGAGGGTGCGGCGCGTCTAGAGGCGAGGCGCGGATCGAGAGGGCGTGACAGACTGCGGGAAGAGGGGAACGTCAGGCCGGAGGCCTCGAGAGCCGAAATAGAGAGCGAGCCGGCGACGGACCTGGCTCTACTCGCTGCCGCCTTCCTGCGCAAAAACGAGGTGCTGCTTGATGTCCTCCTGCGACACGGTTGGCTTGGCGCTCTGAACGGCGCGCACAAAGTCGTTGTAGGTCCTGCGCAAGAAGGGCAAAATCGTGAGCTCCCGGCGACAGGTCGACCCCTCAGAGCGCGCGCGAGGACGGCCGACTGGCTCAGGAGAAAAGGCGAACGCGACGCACAAAGGTGGCTCCTGCAGCTCGTTGCTGTCGATGTCGTTCCACGTCATCTCCTTGGCGCCCGCGTCGCCTGGCGAGCACGGTGTCAGCTTCTTGACGGACTTGGGCGGGTCGGCGTCCTCGACGGGCACGTCAATCTGCGGTATGGACGACGTAGGCACGAGAGAGGGTCAGTACGGCCCTCACGAGGGTCCTTCGAGCCGGCGGGAGACAGAGAGGAAGAGGGCGCACCTCCTTGAAGTGCGTCGCGCTCAGGACCTTGCGGACCGGCTGCATGAGGGCGTCGCGCACGACGACGGCCAAGTCCGAGCCCGAGTAGCCCTCGGTGCGCTCGCCGAGCGCGCGGTAGTCGGCCTGCGAGAGCTGGCACGGCGTCGTCCCGATGTTGAGGTGGAACATCTTGACGCGAGCGGCAGGGTCGGGCAGAGGGATGTAGATGCGCTTCTCGAATCTGCGGTCGTTCAGAGGACGTTGTCAGGAGCCTGCTCGACAAAGAAGATAGAGGGAACGAGGAAAAGCGGGGCTGCCGCGACGCACCGGCGCTTGATGGCGACGTCGAGCGCCCACGGAATGTTGGTCGCGCCGAGCACGAGGACACCGCTCTGGTCATTGCCGACGCCATTCATCTGCACGAGGAACTCGGTCTTGATGCGCCTCGACGCCTCGGACTCGCCCTCGCCACGAGTGCCGCACAGAGAGTCGATCTCGTCGATGAAGATGATGGACGGGGCGTGCTCGCGCGCCATCGCGAAAAGCTGCTTGACGAGACTGTCGACAGGTCCCTCGAGTCAGTACGACTTGAGAAAGGGAGGGGCGCGACAGTCGAGAGGTCGAGAAGACCGAGAGAGAGTAGGACGCACCGCTCGCTCTCGCCCATCCACTTGCTGACGAGGTCGGACGAGGACACGCTGAAGAAGGTGCTCTTGGCCTCGGTCGCGACGGCCTTGGCAAGGAAACTCTTGCCGGTACCGGGAGGGCCGTAGAGGAGGATGCCGCGCCAGGGCGTGCGCTTGCCCGTGAAGAGGTGAGGGAACTTGATCGGCAGGATGACGGCCTCCTTGAGCGACTCCTTGGCCTGCTCGAGACCGGCGACGTCCTCCCACCGCACGTTGGGCGTCTCGGACAGGATCGCGCCTGCAGGAAGGGGTACCTGGGTGAGCGCTCCGCCTCCATCAGGCCTGACGAGGGGAGGAAGCGCGAGGACGCACTCGACAACCCGTCCCGCAGCTTCTTCGTGTCGGCATCGTCGTCCTCGCCCTGCCCCTTCTTGGCCTGCGCACCACCGCCACCACCGTTGACCGCCTTGCGCCCGCCGTCGGCGTCGGCCTTGGCTTTCGCCTCGGAAGCCGTGATGTGCTCCTTGAGCTTCTCGGCGCGGTCGAGGTACTCCTCGACCTTGGAGCGGATCAGGTCTTTGAGCTTGGGGTTCTTCTCGTCTGCACGGGTTGGGAGGGACGACGAGGAGGTGAGCCCGAGTGCGGCAGTGGGGCGGGACGAGTATCGCGCCCGTCCAGCTCATTCCAGGGGGGACGTACACTTGTAAGCCATGTTGAAGTAGTCGAGCGAATTCCTGCACGTCGCACGAGCTGGTCAGTGTCCTGCGGCCCCCGAAAGGACGAGTGGACCTGGGCGCACTTGTACAGCTTGAAGGCCTCGCTCCACTCCTGCTTGATGTCGGCGTCGATCGCCTGCTTGACGATCTCACATGCTTTCTGCTCGGCGTGGGCGCAGCCAGATACAGCAGGCGAGGGAGGGAGGTGGGAGCAGAGGGTCAGTGAACCGTCCGAGATGACGAGTCTGGCTCGACAGGGGAGGACAGGGGTGGACCGCACTCGAGAGAGGGTGTACGCACATCGAGAAAGTTGCTGGCGTTGCTCATGGTGTCGCTAGAGCTCCCTGTCGAGGAGGGAGGAGCTGGTGGAGGAGAGAGGGGAGGTGGAGTGGGGGAGAGCGAGGCGGCGACACCCTCCCTCTCGCTTGCTGGACTGGCGGTTGGAGGGCTTCGGCTGTGGCTGAATTGCTCCTCAATTGCAGAGCTCGCAGCCTGAGCAGAGCGGCGAGGGCGGCGGTCGTGGCCGCCCGCCGCTGGAAACATGCGGTGCGACGGCTACCACCCTGCTGCGCGGGCCTGCTACAACCGAGAGCGCGTACGAAGCTTTCAGAAGTTGTTCAGGACCGGCGCGTACCGCCCAGACGCGGTCGTCGAGGTGGACCACTTGCCGACCTCGCGCTTTCGCCTCGTCGCCTGCTTCCTCTCCACCAACCCGCTCTGCACCAGCTGCGGCAGCTTGATTAGCACGAGAAACGCCCCGGTGATGCCCCAGCAGCCGCGCGCCTTCGACCGAGCCGTCCAAACCCCTCCAACGCGACCCACCTTCGCGTCTGCCGTTCGCCCTTCAACTTTCCTCCTCGCCTCGCTCCTCGCCCGCCGGGAGCTGTCGACGCCGCCGCCAGCACTACACTCCAGCTCGAGCACGCCATGCCGCCGCGCAAGAAGGCCGCGTCCAAGGCGGGTCGGTCCGCCGGCAGCGACGACGAGAACGACGGCGCCGTCTCGCGCGAGCACCTCGACCTGGGCCTGCCGCCGATCAGCAACATCCACGACATCTTCGACGACGTGGTCAGGCGCAACGCCGACGCGCTCGCCGACCTGTTTACCGCCCTCGACCGCCCGCTCCGGGTCGCGACCATGTGCTCCGGCACCGAGTCGCCCATCCTCGCGCTCAAGATGATGCTGCGCTCGCTCGAGGCGCAGAAGGGCATCAAGGCGTCGGTCGAGCACGTCTTTTCAGCCGAGATCGAGCCGTTCAAGCAGGCCTACATCGAGCGCAACTTCCACCCGCCGCTCCTGTTCCGCGACGTCCAAGAGCTGCCCAACGACAAGGCGCGCACCGCGTACGGCGCCTTCGCAAAGGTCCCGCAGCACGCCGACATGCTGTGCGTCTCCTCTCGTCGAGGCTCGCTCCTTGCCGAGCCTGCGACCCCTCCCATGTCCTCGCCCACCCCGTCTGACCTTCCCGTCCCGCCCACAGCATCGCCGGAACGTCGTGCGTCGACTTTTCGACCCTCAACAAGCTGCGCAAGGGCCTCGAGGACGATGGAGAGTCCGGTTCGTCCTGCTTCGCTCTCTCGAGATCGAGGACCGGCAGGCCCGTGCACGAGCCGACTTTCTTCTCCTCGGCCTCGTCTCGCAGGTCGCACCTTCTTTGGCATGTTCCGCTGGGTCGAGAAGGCTCGCCCCAAGGTCGTCATCCTCGAGAACGTGCTCAGCGCCGAGTGGAACGAGATGGTCAAGAACTTCAACTCGATCGAGTACACGGCCACGTTCGCCCGCCTCGACACCAAGAAGTACTACGTCCCACACACGCGCACCCGTGGATGTACGTCCCCTCTCGCTGCATGTTAGGGAGCGAGGACCGTCACTCACGGGCCCGCACCCGCAGACCTCGTCGCGTTCCCGCAGGCCAAGAAGAAGGGCGACCTCGGCTCGGTGCTGTCGAGCGGCCGCATGACCGAGCGGTGGGCGTCAAAGCTCCAGGGCCTCGCACGTCCGGCCTCGTCGCCCGCCGAGGCGTTCCTGCTCGACAGCGACGACGTGCGCGTGCACCGGGCTCGCACCGAGCTATCGCAGCGCCGCGCGACCGCCCTCCTCGGCAAGCAGCGCGACGCGACCGACTGGGCGAGGTGTCAGCAGCGCCACTCGATCGCGCGCTCGCTCGAGAAGCTCGGCCCGCAGAAGCCGCTCACGGGCTGGTCGGCGCAGGGCGGCAAGCCGACTATGCCCGACGGCGCGTGGCAGGACTGGGCCGAGGCGCAGACGGAGCGCGTCCTCGACCTGATGGACATCTCGTTCCTGCGGCAGGCCCGCATGGGCGTCGACATCAGTGCGCCCGCTTCCTCCCCAGTCCCTGCCCCTCCTCGTCCCAGCGCGTCGTTCCTGACCCACCCTCTCTCGTTCTCGGTCTCCCTCGCGCAGTGTACAAGTCGGCCATCTGGAACCTGTCGCAGAACGTCGACCGCACCACGTCGTCGAAGCTGTTCGGCATCACGCCGTGCCTCACGCCCAACATGATCGCCTACCTCACCAACCGCGGCGGGCCTGTCGTCGGCATCGAGGCGCTCGCCCTACAGGGTCTCCCGATCGACGAGCTCCTCCTCACGCGCGAGTCGACCGACCAACTCGCCGACCTCGCCGGCAACGCCATGAGCTCGACCGTCGTCGGGACCGCCATCATCTCGGCCCTCCTCGTCGCCGCCAACACGTTCGACGACAAGGCCGTCGTCGAGGAGGCGCTCCAAGGCGCCGACGACGAGGACGTCGACATGGCCGGCGTCGCGCCGGCCGGCTCGCGGTCGGCGGGCGCGACGAGCGAGGACCTCGAGGCGCGCCTTCGCGGCGCCGACCGCCTCACCGAGTACCCTGTCGACCTCGCCTCGTCGCAGCCGGCCCCGTCGGACCTCCTCGACCGCGCCCACCGCTCGGCCCGCCAGTGCCCGTGCGAGGGCCCCCTCGACGTCTCGCAGCACGCCATCTCGACGTGCGCCGGCTGCGGCCACTCGGCGTGCGCGCCGCACCAGGGCAAGCCCAAGCATCGCTACGAGCCCTCGACGGCGATGCGCGAGCCGCCCGTCCAGTTCGAGCGCGACCTCAAGACGCTCCTGCCGATGCGGGTCACGGTCCCGGGCTTTGGTCGCGACGAGATCGGGCTCGTCCTCGAGCGCGCGCTCGACAAGGGCGGCAACGTCGAGCACCAGCTCGTCGACAAGTACCTCGACACGATCGCCGACGCGCTCGCCGACGCCGAGTTCCACTTTGAGCACGTCTCGCGCCGGTCGCACTGGACGGCCATCTACGGCTCGGACAAGGCGCGCCTCGAGCTCTTCTTCGCCGCGACGGGCATGGAGTGGCGCGTGTTTGTCGACCCGCCGCGCGACCTCGGCACGCTCGACCCGTTGCGCGCCGCGTTTGAGCAGCCCATCGCTCGCGCCAAGGTCGCCGAGGGTGCGAGCGACCTCCTCGCCGGCGAGTGGGACCTGTCGATCCCGCTGTCGCGCCTCAAGACGCACCTCGACATGGAGTACGGCGACATGGTCGACTCGTGGCGTGCGCGCCTCGGGCTCGAGGAGTACAAGGACGAGAAGCGGCCGGCCACGATCAAGATGGCGTTCAAGGGCGACGCGACGCTGCTCGACCGCCAGATCGACGGCCTGTACCAGCTCGAGGCCGAGTGCGGCACGGCGACCAACGCCCTGTACCGCCGCGTCGAGCCCGCCGCGGCGACGCCGCTCTTCTTCTTCTTCGACCCGTCGCCGTACCTCGAGGCCGTGCACGACCGCTTCGTGTTCGCCGAGACGTGCGCCCGCACGAGCACGATGCGCCCGCTCATCGCGTCGCTCGAGCCGAGCTGGCGCCTCAACGGCACGGTCGAGGGCGGCGACACGGCCAACCGCGTCTACAAGCCCAAGGACTCGCCTCGGCGCCCCGAGATCTTCGTCACGCACTGCTGGGAGCCTCTGCCTGGCGGCAAGCTCGTCGCAGGCGCGAGCGACGTCAACGAGGCGAGCAAGTTCTCGACCATCGGCGCCGGGTTCGAGGTGTCGGTCGGCGACGACAAGTGCGCGCAGGCCGAGACGCTCCTCGTCGCGCACGTGCCGCTCGCCAAGTCGCCGAGCTCGATCTGGGCCAAGGAGGCCTGGCACGACGTCGACCTGCAGCACGAGGGCGCCGAGGTCTTCACCAAGCTCGGCTGGATGCTCGCCCGCATCCCCGAGTGGGACACGTTGTACGACTGGCAGACCGTCGACGCCGAGGTGCGTCGCACTCGTCTCTCTTTACCTTGTCTCGAGCCCGCCGCCGTCCGGCGCTAACCCCTCCTCGCCGTGTCCCTCCTTCCTCCTCCGTCGCAGAGCCTGCCGACGCACGCGTGCTTCCGCTGCGCGCCCGACGTGCCCGAGATCGAGTGGGTGCGCCGGTGGAAGCTCGGCACGGGCAAGAAGAACCCGTGGACCGTCAACATCACGGCGCGCGAGGACGGCCTGCAGGCTGCCGCCTACGAAACGGTGCGTCGCCGCTCTCTCTTGCGTCTCTGCGAGACCCGCACGTCCTCTCTCGCGTACTCACCTGTCACCTGTTCACCTTCCTGCAGTCGCTCAAGAACCGCCCTGCGCCCATCATCGTCCACACGCGCCAGGTCGGCAACGACTTCCAGTTCAAGGTCGCGCTGAACGCGGCGAGCCTGTCGCACCGCGTCCTCGCCCAGCTCCCGCCGGTGCGCTCGAGCCTCGCCGAGGTCGGCAAACCTGTCCTGTCGTGGCGCCTCCTCACCGAGGCGAGCGCCGACCTCGGCCCGGCCCCGAGCGTCAAGTTCTCGCTCCGGTCGAACCGCCGCGACCCCGAGGCCGCCAACCCCAAGCTCTTCAAGAAGCACGCGCTGCGGCCCGAGCAGCTGCGCTCGCTGCACTGGATGATCGAGCAGGAGGCGTCGCCCGAGCCGTGGGTCGAGGAGGAGGTCGCCGAGGCGCTCCTGCCACAGCTCGGGTGGCAGGCCGAGGCCAAGGCGACGCGCGAGGTCGTCATCCGCGGCGGCGTGCTCGCCGACGCCGTCGGGTACGGCAAGACGTGCATCACGCTCGCCCTCATCGCGGCGCGCCGCAAGCACGACGCCGTCCTTCCCAAGTCGACCGACCGCGTCCCGCTCAAGGCGACCCTCGTCGTCGTCCCCAAGCACCTGTTCGGCCAGTGGGGCACCGAGGTTGACAAGTTCGCCGGCTCGGGCCTCAAGTGCATCGCCATCAGCGACGTCGCCAAGCTCAAGCAGTACTCGGTCGCCGACTTCCAGGACGCCGACGTCGTCATCATCGCGCAGAGCATCCTCAGCTCGCCGCGCTTCTGGCCCTACACGGCTGACTTTGCCGCGTCGCGCGTCGACATCAAGACGGACGACAAGGCCGGTCGCTACTTCCGCCACTGCGTCGCCGAGACGATGGTCGCGCTCGGCGACCAGGTCAAGCGTCTCGTCGGCGAGGGCGCCAAGGCGGCGTACGAGGCGATCCAGTCGGCGCGCAAGAACCGCCGCAGCGTCAGCGCCGACGAGGAGTACATCCCGCTCACGCGCAAGATGAAGGTGCGTCCCCTCGCTCCTCCCTTCCTCCCTCGCCCTCTTCTTCCCTCGTCCCTTGCCCCTCGTTCCTCGTCCCTTCTTCCTCGCTCGTTCCTCGCTCGTCGCCGTCGGTTCTCCCAGTCGTTCGTGCGCCCTGACCTGACCCTCAACATCATCGTCGTCCTCGGCCCGCCTCGCAGAACAAGCAGAGCAAGGTCGTCGACCCCAACTTCAAGGCGCCGCCAAAACCCGACGTCGGCCGCCAGGGCAAGGAGCAGATCGAGGCCGACCCGTGGGGCCTGCGGGACCACTCGGTGCGCCAAGACTGGACCAAGCTGCAGGGCCCGCCGCTCGCCATGTTCCTGTGGGCGCGAGTCGTCCTCGACGAGTTCTCGTACATCGACGGCGCCGACCTCGTCGGGTTCCACACGTGCCAGGGGCGCTCGCGCTGGATCTTGTCGGGCACGCCGCCGCTGTCCGATTTCTCGCAGGTCAAGTCGTACGTCTCGAGCTTCCTCTCTCTCTTTCTCTCTCTCGCAGCCGCCGCCCTGGACCTCGAGACTGACCCGGCTACCCGTCATCGCAGGATCGCCAACCTCCTGCACGTCCACCTCGGCATCAACGACGACTCGGAAGGCGTCGCCGACGCCGTCAAGACGCGCAACAGCGAGGCGACCATGGCCGAGAAGTTCCGCTCGTACTGCGACGTCCGCACGAGGGCGTGGCACGTCCGCCGAGACCAAGTCGCGCAGCGCTGTACGTCCCCCATTTTCCTCCTCCCGGTGCGGCACGATTCCTCTCGCGACGGCTCTCACGCTCGTCCCCTACCGTCGCAGTCCTCGACCAGTACGCTCGCCAGAACGTCGCCGAGATCGACGACATCCCGCTCGAGGTCGAGCTCATCGGCGTTCGCCTCCCGGGCGCCGAGATGGCCATCTACCGCGAGCTCGAGCACCACCTGACGGCCGTCGACCCGTCGCTCGCCAAGATCGCCAAGGTCAAGGTCGACAAGCAGTCGGACCGCGACAAGCGCCTACGCGAGGCGCTCGGCCAGAGCAAGACGCCGGACGAGGCGCTCCTCAAGCGCTGCTCCCACTTCTCGCTCGACCTCGACGAGGACGAGATCGCCGGCGGCGAGGCGCCCGACGTGTGCGACTTTATCCACGACCTGCGCGAGCGTCAGCTCAAGGACTGCAAGAAGCAGGTCAAGCGTCACCTCGTCGCGACGGCGTGGCTGCACCGAGCCGTCGAGAAGAAGGGCCTGTACGACCAGGTTCCCGGCGCCAAGAAGAACTTCAAGATCTGGGTCGAGCGCCTGTTCGGCGAGGGCTTCGGCGACGCGGCGGCCAACGCGTGCCTCAAGGAGCTCGCTGTCGCAGCCGGCGTCGAGGACGGCAAGATCGGCGACAGCGGCAAGGCCGAGCCGGTCGCCAAGGACATCGACGACTTCCACGAGCGTCCCGACAAGTACAGCGACCAGGAGTTCACCGCGCACCGCGTCAACCTCGTCCGCATCGCCGGCGTCACGCTCAACAAGCTCACGACCGAGCTCGTCGGCCGGTACCGCTCGGCGCGCTACTTCGACAAGGTGCGCAACGTGCTGCGCAAGGGCGACGACGTCGTGACCGAGGACGCCATCCTGTCGTGCTGCGGCCACGACGGCAAGCTCGCCGCCGTCGAGGAGGCCGTCGCTCGCGGTCGGTGCGTCGAGCCGTCGTGCGGCGCCGAGGTCGAGCGCCACAACCTCCTCACGGCCGAGTCGCTCGGGACCGACCGCGACTCGGGCCACTTTGGGTACAAGCTCGAGACGCTCGTGACCGTCATCGAGCAGACGCCCGAGGACGACCGCGTCATCGTCTTTGTCCAGTTCGACGACCTGTTCGACAAGGTGCACGAGACGCTCACCGTGTACGGCATCCCGACGGCCGTCGTCAAGGGCACGGCCAACCAGCAGTCGTCGGCCATCACCGCGTTCCAGTCGGCGACCAAGGCCAAGAACCAGAAGGTGCTCCTCCTCCTCGCGACCGACTCGTCCTCGTCCGGCGCCAACCTCACGTCCGCCAACTGGGCCATCTTCGTCTCGCCGCTCTTTACCGACTCGAAGGAGCAGTACAAGGCGTGCGTCCCCCATCTCTCTCTCGCTCTCTCTCTCCCTCGTCGCAGATGCCGTCGATCCTGACCCTTGTCCCCCGCAGGCTCTCGACGCAGGCGATCGGGCGCATCCACCGCTACGGCCAGCTCAAGACGGCGCACGTCGTGCACCTCCTCACGCACGCGACCAAGGACATCGAGGTGTTCGAGGAACGCAACGACCTCGTCGTCGACGCCGTCGTCGAGACACAACAGACGCAGCGCGGCGAGATCGTCAACCCGCCGCGCACGAAGAAGCACCAGTTCGCCAAGAAGGTCAAGGCGGCGGCGGCCAAGGCCAAGGTCAAGGCCAAGGTCAAGTCGGACTCGGACTCGGACGTCGTTGGCGAGAAGAAGCCCGTCAAGAAGGTCGCGTCCGCCGTCGAGCCCAAGGTCTCGCCCGCAAGGCCCAAGAGCAAGGGCAAGGGCAAGATGGCCGTCGTCGAGCTCGCCTCTGACTCGGATATCGAGTTCGACTTGGGCGCCGAGTCGTCGTCGGCCGAGGAGGACGCGTCGGACGACGAGTCGGAGGCGGTCAGTACTGCCGACGAGGCGACCAAGGTCCGTCCGTTGCCGACTCTGCCTCGCATCTGTGCGTGTGCGTCGTCCTGACACGTGTTCTCGCCCCACGCAGAAGCGCAAGGTGCACGCCAAGGACGAGGACGACTTTGAGCTGTCCGACCTCGACGTCGCCGTCTCGTCCTCGAAGCGCGTCAACGCTCGGCCCCGTCGCTCGGCCGCGCCCACTATCATCGCCATCGACGACTCGGAGGACGACGAGAGCGAGGCCGAGCCTGCGTCGCCAAAGTCGGCCCCCGCGACGAGCTCGAGCAAGGTGCGCCCGCTCTCTCTCTATCGAGCCTCGTCACGATCCCGACTCACATCCTGCACTCGTCTCGCAGCGCAAGCGCATCGTCGTCGCCACCTCCGACGACGTCGACGACCGGGCACGGCAGCCGTCGTCCCAGGCGAAGCGCTCCAAGCCGTCTACCTCAACCACGAGCCGACCCGCCGCAAAGAAGCGCAAGATCGACACGCCGTCCGGCGCCATCGTCGTCGAGGTGCCGTCGCCCAAGAGGAGCCAGTCGACGCTCAACAGCTGGTTCAAGCGCAACGAGGTGGCCAAGCGGGCGCCGGCGCCCGCCGGCGGCCACCAGCCCGAGCCCGAGCCGGCGCCGTCCAAGGCGGCCGTCAAGGGCGAGCAGAACGGCGTCGAGGTCGACGAGGACATCGACATGCGCGACGAGACGCCGAGCCCGAGCAAGAAGTCCCCTCAAGCGACGAGCGCTGCATCGCCCGTCGAGGAGCGCACTCGAGCCTCGACACCTCGATCAGCCACGGTCGAGGAGCCTCGCCCGTCGCCCTTGCTCGGCGCCGAGATCGTCGAGGCCGCCGAGGCCGAGGCCGAGGTCGCGGCCGCAGGCTCCGAGTCGGCCTCGAAGCAGTCGACGCCGACAGGCGAGGCCGCCTCGACCGCCGCGACGGACCAGGGCGACGAGCTCGACACGGCGTTGACGACGCCTGCGCTCGAGGTCGTGCATGAGCTCGGCGTCGAGCAGGAGGGAGATGTCGAGATGAGGCGCAAAGAGGACGGAGCGGTGTCGCCTGAGCGGTCGGCGGGCGAGGTTTCCTGAGTCTGTGTGTTCCTCGGTCTAGCGTCATTCTGTAGCATCGCCGGTTGTACTGCTTGACGTGCATCTCGTCGTACCCTGAGCGAGCGGCTGACGGGGCAGCAGAACGAGGCGGCTCTGGAAAGAGGGTCCGAGCGCGCCTTCTCAAGTCGACTCGATTTCTCGCGTTCAGACCTCGCTCTTTCCTGGGCACTCGTAGCTCGATCCACCTATCGAGACGAGTACTCGACGATGGGCCGAAAGCTGCAGACAATTACCGGTACCGCCCGCGCGACTCTGCGCTCAGGAGCAGGTCGAGGAGGAGGAAGTCGAGTTCTCGCTGTGCAACCTCGCACTTCCTCGACGGTGCAAGGCTCGATCGACCGAACGAGGCGAGTATTTCACGATGGGCACGCTTTTGCAGACGTGCACCGGAAAGGCCAGCTCGACTGTGCGTCGAAAGGTCGAGGTGGCGCGGGTCGCTTGTGCGCTCGCGACACTCGAGTGCTTGAACGAGTGCCGCACTCTGAGCACTCTATGACGACGATCGAGCCACGAGTCGAGCCGAGAGAGCAGAACGAGGCGGCTCTGGAGAGAGGGTCCAAACGAGCCTTCTCAAGTGGACCGCTGCCGAGGGAAACTCTCTCCTCCTGCTACCGGTTCGCCTCGGGTACTCAGCAGACCTGTCGACCATCTCTCTGAGCTCGAGCCGAGCAGCTCGGGCGAGCGAAAAAGGAGCGGGAAAGTGCGCCAGGACGAGTGCAGGGCAAAACGCGAAGCGCAGCAAAAGAAGAGGGAGGGCGTGCGGCGCTGCCAGGGTGCGACTGGTAATCCGAGTCGCAGGGCCGGCAGCGTGGCTACGCTCAAGCCTCGTTCTTTACAGCCCGGTATCGTGCCCCAACGTCTCGAGGTAATCCCGTAGCGGATGTTGGGAGGAGAGCCGATGAACCCAAGGGGTTCGACAAAGGAAAGCACTACTTTGCTGGCGCACGCCACACGCATCGGGTTCACCTCCCGACGGTCCTCCCTCTCGCACCTCGACTCGCTTGGACTTGGGAAGGTCGCCATCGTCTCGAGCATTTTCTGTTGCACGTCTGGGTACCTTACATGACCCCCCTTGCGCGAGATGGCGAGCGAGGAGCGAGGAAAAACGTCGGACGAGGAGGACGCGCGCGCTGGCTCGGCTCGCCACTTCCCCACCTTGTCGCTGCTCTGCCCTCTTGTCCTGCTGCCGCAGAGCTCGGGTTGGACTGTGAGGCAGCTCTGGGAGAGTTTTTGCCCAGTAGCGAGGCCTCGCGAGCAGAGAGAGCGCGAAGAGAGGGCCGACTCGAGCTCGAGAGGAGGAGAGGGGAGCTGCTTGCTCGAGCTGTGCTCCCGAGTCTCCTCCTGCACCTTCGAGACTCGCTCAACGGCTCGTCAGAGTGTAGATCGAGAGGCCCGGCGACTGTGCGCTGGCCTTTGCGAGCGGTCCGAGCGTCGAATCGAGGTCAAAGCGCCGCAGCTCGTCGTCCCTCGGCGCTTCCGCTCTTGCTTCACAGCTCTAGAAACGCGTTGTACAGCATCGTGCAGCATCAGTGGACAGAGGCTCGACGTGCGTGACGGGCTCAACGAGCTGCGGGAATGTGCGCGCTCAAGAGCAGGTCGAGGAGGAGGGAGTCGATATCTCGCGCTCAGACCTCGCTCTTTCCTGGGCACTCGTAGCTCGATCCACCTATCGAGACGAGTACTCGACGATGGGCCGAAAGCTGCAGACAATTACCGGTACCGCTCGCACGACTTTGCGCTCGAGAGCAGGTCGAGGAGGAGGAAGTCGATTTCTCGCGCTCAGACCTCGCTCTTTCCTGGGCACTCGTGGCTCGATCGACCTATCGAGACGAGTACTCGACAATGGGCCGAAAGCTGCAGACAATTACCGGTACCGCCCGCGCGACTCTGCGCCGGACCCGGCTCGTTCTCTCCCTCGCGACAGCCTTTCCCACCATCGAGAGCGCGAAGAAACAGAGCTCGCCGTTGCAAGGATAACAAAGAGACGACCCGCTCCTCCCTCCATGTGACAACCCTTAGCGCTTGCGCAGGCTCGGCTTGGCCCAGAAGTACCTCGCCGCCTTGCTCCTTGCGCCTCGGACGCGCTTGACGAACGGCTCGAGCGCGGCGACACGGTCGGCGGAGGGGTCTTGGTCGGGGATGTAGTACCAGTGCGGCGGGATCGGGTGGCCCGAGGCGTCCTGCGTCGCACAGAGAAGCAGTCAGAGAGGCTCGAAGACGGAGGAGCAGAGGGAGGGGGCGCACCTTGAGGCCCGCGTTGTCGATCATGCCGAACATGCTCTCGTGCACGAGCACGTTCTCGACGATCGTACGCCACGCAGCGACGGCGTTGCCCTCGCCCTCGGGCGTCTCCTTGCGCCGCTCGACGACGTCGTCGTCGTCGCTCAAGACGCGCCACATGCCGCCCGACTCCTTGAGGAGCGCCCGGATGACCTCGTCGACTGCGACAGTCGAGCGCGCGTGGAAGACGATGGCCGACGCGACGAGGCCCGCCAGGTCGAGGTTGAGCGAGGTGACAAGGGCGGAAGCGCGCTCGGCGGCGAAGGTGGAAGAGGTAGACGAGGGAGGACGAGGAGGGACGAGGGGGCCAGCGGGCGCGCTCTCGGGTTCGGGGGATAGGCCGTGGTCGTTCGAGTAGTTGTAGGCGGGCGAGGACGCCCGAGAGGGGGAGCGTGCGCGGCGCAGGGCGTCGTCGTCGTCGTCGTCGTCATCGAGGTACGACAGGCCCGCACGACGGGCCGCCGGGAGGCCCTCGTCGTCATCGCGATCGTCGAGACCGAGCTCCGACTCGGCGACGAGGACCTTGGCGTCCCAGCCCCAGAACTTGAGCCGGACCGCCTGCCCAGCCTGCTTCTCGAGGACGACGACGCTGCCGATCTTCTTGACCTTGCCGTCCACCTTCATGCCGTTCTGGCCCGTGACGCGCACCTCGACCTCGAGCGCGCCGTCGAGCTCCTGCTCCACGCGCGACACGATGCGGACCGAGCAGTGGATGCGCGACGCGTTCTTGGCCGACTTGGGGAGGACGACAGGGACGTGGGTGACGGTGGTTGCGCGATCGCGAGGAAGGGCCTTGCGCGCCTTGCGACCGAAGTACAGGACGGTGCCGCGCTCGAGGTGCCACAGACGAGGGGTATCGAGGCCCGAGTCGCGCGAGGTGGGGGTCGCCGAAGAAGGCGAGGCGACTGCGCCCGATGCGGCGGCGACGAGGTCGTCGAGAGCGGCGGTGCTCGGTGTCGGGAGGGCACTCAGGCCGAACGAGGGGGACGAGGGCGGGAGGGAGGCGAGGGACGAGAAGCGCTGGATGGGCGAGGTCGGGACGAGCTGCTTGTCGGTGTCGAAGGCCGAACTTGGCGAGGTCGGCAGGTCGAACGCTTCGAGCCGGTTGCGCTGGAAGAACGGCGACGATGACCTCAGGCCGCCGCGAGGCGAGGAGGACGATGAGGTCGGAGCTGCGAGAGGGGGGCAAACACGGGGGTGAGCTCGCAGGGACGCGGTAGAGATCCAGGTGGCTAGGACGCACCGAGAGTACGCTTGTACGAGAGCTTGAGAGGCGGTGCGGCATCTCCCTCTGAGCTGAGGTCGAGAGGGCGCTTGCTGTTTGCGAGCGACGAGGACGGCTCGCGGGAGGACGGGGCGGGCGCGCGGTTCGAGACGTCGCTGAGCATGGTGGGACGAGGGTGCTGGTGTGTAGTCGGTGGGCTCTAGTCGTGCAGGGCGCCGGTTCGAGGCGCGAGAGCGAGGTGGAAGGAGAAGAGGAGAGCGTCGCCGCCGAGCTGTTGGGCTCGTCGCTCGCACCCTCGCATCTCTCCAGTTGTGCCGCCTGACGAGCTGAACCTCTCGAGCATGCATCTGCAAGTGTATCCAGCTTCGTACAGCCGCAGCACGAGCGCTGTGGGATGCCTCGCTCGCTTGTTTGGCCTCTCCTCCGTCGCGACGCGTCGTCCTCGCCTGTCTCGCTCTTTCTGGGAGCGTTTCGACAGCTCGCAACGGCTCGAACGAGGACAGAGAGAGCTGCGGAAGCATCTGCGTTGAGCGCGCCACTACGGCAATACAAGAAGTACACGCTCCATCCACCTGCAAAGACGCCCGCTCCTCCTCCTCCGTCCTCCTCCTCGAGCAACGACGACGACAGCGAAACAGGTACGGCTTTGGGTTTTGTTGTGATCACGATGACAGGAGAAGGTGGGAGAAAGAGGGAGAGAGCACGGAAGGAGGTGGCCGGAGGCGTCGAGGAGGAAGGGAGAGGAGCGAGAGGAGGGAGGGGAAGAGGCGGACGAGGCGCGCTCAGAAGCCGCCGTACTGCGGCGTCGCCTGCTTCTGCGCCTGCTGCTGCTGCTGCTGCTGCGCCTGAACCTGCGCCGCCATCTGCGCCGCGTACAGGCCCTGCGCCTGCGCCTGCGTCAACGGACTCCCTCGCCCCTGCTGCCCCTGCCCCGGACCCTGGCCCGGCTTGGGCCCGTGCCCGACCATGCCCGGTGGCGGCGTGCCCATGCCGCCTCCTGCACCGCGCATGCTGCCGCCGGGCGAGAGCGAGGGGAGCGACGCGCCGCCGCCCATGTGCGGCGACAGGTGGTGGCTCGACGCCGCGCTCGTCGGGCGAGACGGCGCGCCGTTCGACGACATGGGCCGGCCCTGGAGCTGCCCGGCGGCGGCGGCGGCGGCGAGCTGAGCCTGCTGCTGCTGCTGCTGCTGGATGGCGAACTGGAGCGCCTGCGGGTTGGCGTACGGCATGCCCTGGAGCCGAGCGCCGGGAGGCAGGCTGTTGACGCCCTGTCGAGGGAGGGGCATGCCGTTGGCGCCGAGCGGCGAGGGAGGAAGCTGGCCCGGGTGCTGGGCGGCGGCAAAGTTGGGCGAGAGCATGACCTGGCCCTTGCCGTCCTGGCCGACGACGACGCCGTTCATGCCGACCGCGCCGAGCGGCATGCCGTTGTGCGCGAGCGGCGAGTGCGGCGACCCGCTCGCACCCGACTGCGACGGCGTGCGCCGCATCGAGTCGGGCGTGCCGCCAGCCGCGGCCGGAGCGGCGGCGAGCGCCTGCTGCTTGCGCATCGCCTGCTGCTGCTGAGCGAGCCGCATCGCCTGCTGCTGCGCGAGCTGCGCCTGGGCCTGCGCGTACGCCGCACTCGCGCCCGGCGCCTGCGCTTGGGCCTGGGCCTGCGCCTGGGCCTGCGCTTGGGCCTGCGCCTGCGCTTGAGCTTGCGCCTGGGCGAACGCGGCGCTCGCACCTGCTGCGGCCTGCGTCGGCGCCATCTGGAGCGGCGGACGCTGCGGCGGGCGGCCGACGACGACGGGCGCCGGCGTGTTCTTGTCCGGGTCCTGCGCCGCGTACCGGAACGCCTCGTCGAGGTAGGCCGAGTCGAGCGTGAGCGACTCGATGTCGGCCTGCTTGAGGAGGGCGATGCGCCGCAGGAGGTACGGCAGGTCGTAGTCGTCGACGAGGGTCGGCTCGTCGGCGGCGGGAAAGTCGAGGCCGGCGTCCGTGTCGTACTTGAGCCGCTCTCGCCGCCGGGCCGCGAGCCACTCGTCCTCCTCCTCGCCCTCGGCATCGCTCGCGTCGCCGTCGCCGTCGAGCGAGACCCGCTTGAGCGCCGGCTCGTCGTCGTCGTCGCGCTTGACGGCGCCGATGCGGTCGAGGAGGATGCGCCCGCCGCGGCCGACACGCTTGCGGAAGCTCGTGCGGACGCGCCCGATCGGCGGCTGGTACTGCGTCGCGAAGCCGAGCGCCTCGCGCCGACCTGCCGGCCCGTTGAACGGGACCGAGTTGGGCACGGGCTCGACGGCGCGCCAGAACCGTGCGGGCGTTGGTGGCGGGCGCGCCATGTAGGCCGAGTCGGTCCAGTCGTCCCACTGGGCGTCGGCCTGGCGCTTGCGGGCGAGGTCGCGCTCGACCTGCTTGTGGATGAGGTCGTTGCGCTGCTTGCGCGCCTGGAGCTCCTCGAGCGGGAGGACGAGCGAGGCCGGGGTGAGGACGTTGACGTCGGTCTTGCGGAGCGAGACCCGGACAGCGCTCCTGCAGAGGGAAGAGGAGGGACGGGTCAGTCGGGCGGACGAGGAAAAGAGTGCGAGGAACGACGAGGACGCACCCGGCGACCTGCTCTTCTCGCCTGCGCTTCTTCTCCCGCCGCGAGATGAGGAGCTCCTCGTCGCCGTCGGGCTCGTTCAACCGCCGCTTGAGGTCCCGCATCTCGCACCGCTGGTCGAAGATGGCGCGCTCGAGCTGCAGCGCCTCGAGCTTGATGCGCTCGCGCTCTTGCACCTTGACGAGGAGCGCATGTGCGGCGTACAGGTCGTTGCGCAGTCGGACGAGGCGCTCGAGGTTCTGCTGATCGGACCGGCGCGTCTTGCGGGCCGTCTTGACGTCTCGCCGCCGGAAGCAGACGTACGGGTTCTGCTCGTTCGACTCGTCGTACTGCGTGACATAGAGATGCCCTCGAGTCAGGGACGGGCTCGTGACCGTGGCGCAGGAGGAGGACAGGAGAGGGGACGAGAAGGACGAGAGAGAGCGGGACGCACGTCGAGCTGCGGGATCACCGACTTGCCGCCCCTCGCGATTCTCCTCGCTCGCCAGTGGACGTAGACCTCGCGCGCGTACGGGCGTAGTCGGGCGAGCTCGGGCGTGAGCGGGTCGAGGAGCGCCTCGTCCATGTCGTCGAGCCGAGGGATGAGCGACAGGTTGACGTGCGCCATCGGCGCCTTGCGCTCGGTCGTCTGCTCAAACAGCTCCATGAGCTGCTCAAAGTCGTCCTCGGACAGGGCGGCGGTCGGCGGAGGAAGGGCGTCGAGCGCGGCCGAGGACGAGGCCGAGGAAGGACCGGCGACGGCGCCCGACGGCGACGACACGACGTGCTTGTTGTTCTTGCGACCGCCTCGACCGCTCCCGCCGGGCGTCTCGGGGACGTCGTCGGCGGCGCTCGACGTCGCCGGCCGAGGTTTGGCGCCGGGGAGGAACTGCGCGTTGAAGTCCTCGAGCCAGTCCTCGTCGTCCTCGTCCATCGTGTAGCCGATCGCGCCCTTCTGCGTGTCCTCGACCGTGTCGGAGAACCGGATGTACGAGATCGGGTCGACGTAGCCGGTCGAGTACAGCGCGCGGTACTCGGCCTCGGGGATGGTCTGGCTCGAGCGGGTCGGGATGAAGGCCGCCTCGCGCTTCTTGCCCTTGTCGGCGCGTGACGGGGTGCCACCGACGTAGGCCGCCGCCGACGCGATGACCTGCTGCAGGTGGACCTCGCCCTCCTCGTCCTTGTCGACGCCCGTCTCGACGCCCTTGTGCGCCTTGTCGTCCTCGATGTCGAGATCGGCGTCAAGTGGGTCATCCTCGATGACGACGCCGACCTCGACGTTGATGCGGGTCTTGAACCCGAGCTTGCGGTTGCGGAACCGGCCCGAACCTTTGGCCATGGCGGCGCGCGAGGAACGGCTCGCTCAGCTGACGTGAGGCGACGGCGACGGTCGCGGCTCGCGTCGAGTCGTACAGGTACAGGTACTGGACCGGCTCAGGCAGGCCGTGGCGGACCTTGTTGGCGTGCGGGCGAGAGAGAGGCACGAAGGGGACGGCGGGAGGAGGGGGACCGGCTCTCGGTGACGACGGGTCGTGGCGCGGCGGTTGCGGCGGCAGTGGATGGCTGAAGGACTGCTGGGTCCAGAGCACGAGTCAGCACGCGGTCGCGAGCCCTCGTCGACGAGCAAACACGGTCGGCGATGCTGAGACAAGATGAGGGTCGTGGTCCGATGCACCCGGCCCACATCCTCCCACGCGCCTCCTGGAAGGTCGAGAGGGGTACGAGAGAGGTACCAAGACTCACAGATGCTTGTTGCGCGCCTCCTTGTGGCCTGGCGAGGTCGAGGCGACGAGGTGGGACCGTGTGCCACGTCTTCTCGTGGTCGACGGCGAAGGCGAACGAGTGGCTCCGGCGGTGATCGGCTGGTCGTAGGCGGGTCAATGGACGGTGGCGAGCAAGTGGCGAGGCACAGCTGGCCTCCAAGGAGCGGTGAAGCTGAGCTGGTAGATGCGACCTGCTCGCGGGCCGCCGGGCTCGAGCTGGCCTCGACCAACGGGCGAACGCCGCGAGCTCGCGTCGTACAGAGCTCGAGCCGAGCCAGCGAGGTGCTGCAGCGAGCTCTGCACAGCTTGGAAAGCACAGGCTCGAGGCGCAGAGCCGCCGACGAGGGCCACCTCTCTGTGCGCCACGGCCCCAGAGTGCGGGGGAAGGCGACCCTTGCGCCTCGTCTGACAGCAGGCATGGCAAGCGGGCTAGCGCACTCGGCGCTCGAAAGCTCAAGCCGAGTCGCTACAGCTGGAGTATGGCCCGCCAACTGCCGTGGGCCGACTGGCTGCTCCAGCTCTGGCGACGCTCCGCCGACTCTGGCTGCCTGCACAGGGCTGCTCGGGCCTGATCAGCTTCCCCTGTCTACCGGTGTACTCCAGAGAGGAAGAGAGAGGGCGCACCAGCTGTAGAGAGCTCGAGGGGCGGAGCTGAGTCGGCTCGATCGGGCGGACGGCGAGGGCTGAGGTTGGTGGAAGCTCGACGGGCGAGGCGGGTGGGCGAGGGCAGGGTGCAGGGTGCGATGTAGCGGTAGATTGGCAGTGCTGGCGGCTATGGCGAGGGTGAAAGTGCGGCAGGAAGAGCGAGGTGAGGGCGACGACGGGAACAAGGGAAGCAAGGTCCAGAGCGTCGAGTCCGGCTCTGGACGATGGGCGGGTCGCTGACCGATGGCGGGAGGGCTGCAGGCATGCTGCTGACTAGCATGGCCATGGCCTCGGCGGATATGAGGGAGGGCAGCGAGAAGGAGAGGTCTGAGCAGGCGAGACGCTCTCGGCGCGTCCTGCGGCGCCTCGCTCATCTCGTCGGTCTCTCTCGAGCGGGTTCGGCATTGGGTCGACGGCAGGCAAAGCCAGAAGGCCCGCTCGCATGCAGCAGCGGCGAAAAGGAAGCGCGCAGCACGAGAGAGAGACGCTGCGCCTTCTCCTCTCCTCGACGACGAGCAGAGACGCGAACGAGTGCCACGATACAACGAAAGAGGGAGAGCACACTCTATGCGACAGACTGGTACACGCCGACCGACGTCGACCGCTCAGCGGCTCCACTGCGTGCCGCCGCTCTTGAGCTTCTCCCTCCGCTCGGCCCCCTCGCGGTAAAAGTCCTTCTCCTGCTTCCTCCCGCCCTCGAGCTCGCGCCTCTTGGCGTTGTTGGACCCGCCGCGGCGAGCCATCTTGGCCCGGCGCTCCCTCGTCGTCTCCTCGTCGTCGTCGCTCTCGTCGTCGTCGTCGTCCGAGCCCGACCCGCCCGCACCGCCGGCGTGGTCCTTGCGCTTCTTGCCGCCCTTGACGCTGCGGCCGACGTTGATGTTGACGCTCGGCGGCGTCGAGAAGCCGAACGCGCGCGCCACCTTGGCGAGGTCGAGCGCCGTCACGTCAAAGATCGTCTTGAGCGAGTAAGAGGCGTACGCCTGGATGTAGGCGCGGAACCCGTCGCGCGCCGACTGGTGCAGGTAGTAGTTCTTGGCGATGAGCTTCTCGAGCTGTGGGAGGAGACACCGCGGCGGTCAGTCGACGCTCGTGCCGGACGGGACCGGGCGAGGGAGAGGACAGGAGGACGCACCTGGCCCTGGACGTTGGCAATCTTGTCGTTCGGGAACGAGTACTCGTTGAGCGGGACCTTGGCCGCCTTGAGGAACCGGAGGAAGCCGAGCTCGCTCGGGAGGAGGAACAGGAGGCTCTTGCCCTGCTTGCCGGCGCGGGCGGTACGACCGACGCGGTGGATGTAGTCGCGAGGGTCGTCGGGCGGGTCGAACTGGATGATCCAGTCGACCTTGGGGATGTCGAGGCCACGGGCGGCGACATCGGTGCACAGGAGGATGCCGGTCGGCGCGTTGCAGAACTCGAAGAACGTGTTGGTGCGCTTCTGCTGCTTCTGCTTGCCCTGCAGGACCGTAAGGACGAGGGTCAGTAGCCGCGACTCGAGCGAGAGCCGAAGAGAGAGAGAGAGAGAGAGAGAGAGAGAGAGAGAGAGAGAGAGAGAGAGAGAGAGAGAGAGAGAGAGAGAGAGAGAGAGAGACGAGGACGCACGTGGAGGTCGAGCACCGGGACGTCGATGTAGTTCAGGAGCTCGCCGTGGTACTGGACCGACTTGCAGCTCGAGAAGAAGACGATGACCTTCTTCTTGAGGTTCTTGCGCAGGAACGTGAACAGGAGGAGGAAGCGCTTGTCCGATTCGCACACGACGTAGCCCTGCTCGAGGTTGTTGGCCGTCGACGTCTCGCTCTTCGTGTCGACGTTGATGTACAGCGGGCCCGGCCGCAGCGACATGCGGGCAAGGTCCGTCACCTTGGTCGTCTGCGTCGCCGAGAAGAGCATCGACTGGCGGTTCTCTGCGAGGACGGGGGCAAGACAGGTGAGCTCGACGGCCAAGTCGAGGACAGGAACAGGAGGAACGCCAGCGACGCACCCTTGGGCAGCAGGTTGATGATCTGGCGCATCTCGTCCTCGAACCCGATCTCGAGGATGCGGTCGGCCTCGTCAATGATGAGCGCGCGCAGGTTGTTGAACACGAAGCCCTTGGTGTTCTGGAGGTGGTCAAGAAGGCGACCCGGGGTGGCGATGAGGAGGTTGACGCCCTTGGCGAGCTTCTCGGCCTCGGCCTTGCGGTTGGCGCCGCCCATGACGATGGCGAACGTCTGGTTGTGGTGCTCGCACAGCTCCTTGGCGACACCGAAGATCTGCAGCGCGAGCTCGCGGGTCGGCGAGACGACGATGGCGCCGGTACCTGCGCAAGAGAACCCGAGTCAGTGCTCTGGCCAACTTTCCATCGAGAGGAGCGAGAGGAGGAGACGCACCGTTCCTCGGCTTGAACTTGAGCTTGTTGAGCATCTCGATGGCAGGGATGAGGAACGCGAGCGTCTTGCCCGAGCCCGTCTTGGCCGCTCCGAGCACGTCCTTGCCGGCGAGCAGGGGCGGGATCGTGCGCGCCTGCACCTCGGTCATCTTGGAGAAACCCATGCCGTCGAGCGCCTTGCGCGTGCCGTCCGACAGGTCGAGCGACGCGAAGTCGAGCGTGACAGGCTCGGGCGCCGGCTTGGCCCCGGTCATGAGCGCGAGCGCATCTGCCGCCGCGTCGCCCGTCCTGGCCGCTCCACCGGTCTCCTGCTCGACCTCGAACCCGGCCGGGACGCCGCCCGGCGTGGCCGCCGCGCGCTTCTTCTGCTTCTTGCGGTCGCTGGCGTCCTCCTTGTCCTCGGGCTCGGGCTCGTAGAACGGGTGGATGAGCGGCTCGACGTCGTCGTCTGCTGGCTCGGGGGCGGCAGCGGCGCGCGCAGGTGCCGGGGCGGCGTCGGACGAGGGAGCGGCGGCGGCGGTGTCGGAGGTGGACGAGGGCTTCTTGGCGTGGGTGCGCTTGCGTTTCCGCTTCTTGGCCTCGAGGGCGGCGGCAGAGGTGCTTGCTACAGGCTGCTCAGTAGGCGACATCTCGGCAGCGGTGCGCGAGGGGTGGTGGAGAGAGCAAGGGTCAAGCTCCGTGCTCAGTCTGGTCGACCTCGCCCATCTCGCTCGTGCGCACCCTGCCCTCTTGAGCCCGCCCGATGGTGCCCAGCTCGCTCTGCAGAGCCCCGACATCAGAGCGCGCGGCTCAAGCCCCCGGCAACGTCCACCTCTGGCCCTCTCGCCATCTTCATCAGCCGCGCCGTCTCTCTCTCCCACGACCGCCCCGGCCGAGGTCCTGCTGTGCGCGCTACGCCTATGAGGGTGCTGCGCTACGGCTGCGCCCTTCTCGGGTGCGCTGCGCCCTTCTCGCCCTCCTTCGACTCCGCGCCCTCGCACCACGCATCGCGCTCGTCGTCTCCCGGCGGCACCTCGTCCTTCTGGTCGACCATGAGCAGCTCGTTGAACAGCTCGGCGCACTCGAGCGAATACAGCTCGCCGCCGCTTCCGCGCTTCCTTGCCGAGGGCGCGTACGCGAGCGCCTTCGACGGCTGCTCGCCCGGCGCCGCTGCCGGCCCGCAGCACACGTGCCCGCAGATGCGCTCGCTCCAGCTCGACGAGGCGCTCGGCGACTGCCTCGCGCCCGGGGAGAAGCCTGCGACGCTCGGCGCGCCGTTCTACCTCGCCGACATCCCGGTCGGCTCGGCCGTCGACTACGAGTCCGCGCCGCCGCTCTCGCCCTCGCCCTCGCCGGGACTCTACCCCTTGTGGTACGAGATCGTTCAGCCGGCAGGCTCGCGCTCGTGTTCTGGTTCACTGCCGTTGACGGGCGCGAGCCGACCGAGCCTCTTCTTCGCTCTTTCTCCCTCGGCCCGACCTTTTCCTCGACTTTCTTTCGAGCTGTCGCAGCCGCGAATGCCTCGCCCCTCGTCCTGTTGTAGCTGTCGTCAGCTATGAAACTCTTCCACCACCCTGAGCGACCGCCGCCGCCGTCGTCGTCGTCGAGAGCTAGTATGAAAGGCTCTCGCAGTTCTCGCGCCAATGAGGCCTTGTAGCGAGGCTGTGTGTCGAGAGTTTCGTGCAGAGAAGAACGGCCTGCTCGCAAAAAGCTACGGAAACCGCGGTGTCCGAGAGTCTGGAGGAGACGGCCGCGTCGTCGCTCCCCACCTCCCGACAAGCTTGCGTGGCCTCGCACGCTTACGAGGCTCGCCTGGGACCCCCACACCGTTCTCGCAACAGTGCGTCGCCCCGTCCTCTCTCTCTCTCAGCCCTTCCCGTTCCTCGACCGCCAACGCTTACGATGCGCGCACTCGTCAATTCCAGCTCGCACACCGCATCGCCCGGCGACTCTAGCCCCAGTGAGCCTTCCCTTTCCACTCGTGTGCACGGCGAGGTGTCGCGCACCCCGGCGAGCGGTCGTCGCGGCGTGCACGAGCTCTCATCGCCGCTGCCGTCGAGCACCCGCCCCCCTCCTCGCGGTCTGTGGTCGATCAAGCCGGGCCTGACCTCTGCCGCACCCTGCAGTGGAGGACGACGCCATCCAGATCGACTCGCCCGAGCAGGAGCCCGTCGACGACTTCGACGACGCGTCCGACTTCGAGGAGCTCCACCTCCCCGGCACCCCGTCGCCCTCGGTCGAGCGCGCCAATCCTTTCGATGCAGCCGGCCGGAGCAAGCCCCTGTCGCCGCAGCAGGTGCCCAAGAAGCGCCGCCGCCTGCGCACGCCGAGGGAGAAGCCCCGCGCCGAGCAGCTCGACTACCAGAACTCGCTCCCGTACCCGACCGAGAGCCTCGACGAGATGGACGCCAAGCTCGACGAGATCGTGCGTCGGCTCGTCGACTGTGTGCGCGCCAAGGACTAGTGCGTCCCCTTTCCTCCTCGCCTCGCCTCGTCCCACTCGTCCCGAGCTGACACCTCCCGTTCCCCTCTCCCTCTGCAGCGATGTCGGCTTCGTCCGTACGCCGCATCTTTTCTCCTCGTCATGCCGAAACGAGGGTCCCTGACGTCGTGCCTCGCCCCATCGCAGAGTGGAACCACCGGCTCGAGTGTTGGCTGTCGCTCAAGTACCCGATCAAGCGCGAGTTGCGCGCCAAGCTCGCCCGCCTGTACTTCGAGCTGTCGGTCCTGCCCGGTCTCGACGCCCGCCTCGTCGACATCGCCGTCAACCAGGCGATCGTCCTCCTCGAGCCCAAGAAGAAGATCGACATCAGCGACCTTCAGCTCCCGTGGCGCCCGGTCTACGCCATCCTCGAGAAGGAGCTCTTCCCCAAGCAGCGAAAGACGGGCATCACCAACCTCTCGACCACCCTCCTGTCGCTCGTCGAGTACTCGCAGCGGTTCTTCCCGCCACACGAGATCCCGGCCATGCTCGCCACCTTCCTCCCTCGCCTCTCGCCCAACCTCAACAGCATCGTCGCGACCCAGGCGTTCTGCACCCACTTCCTCCCCGTGTCGCACCCGCAGTACTACCTGCCCGCCGTGTTTCGCCTGTGGGAGGCCTTCTCGTCCGACATCCACGACGAGCAGTGGCTCGACTTTGTCGAGCGCCTCGCCGTCCTCCACATGGACCCGCGCACGTCGCACCCGGACATCGTCGACGAGCTGCGCCAGATGGTCAAGGACGCCGGCGAGTTCGTCGGCGAGTCGGGCGAGGACGAGGACGCGGCGGCGGCGACCCGGGTCGAGGACTTGCTCGAGGAGCACGCCTACTCGCACCGCAAGGCGGGCGTCCCGGCCTACATCTTCGGCATGGAGGAGGGCCTGACGACCCCGGGCGGCGCGCCAGCCGTGCCCAAGTGGCGGGGCATCCGCAAGGACGTCGGCATCTTCACCGAGCAGCAGTTCGCGTTCATCATGACCAAGTGCCTGCGGGCGATGGGTGCGTCCCTCTCTCTCCTTCCTCTTCTGCCGCCGGTCGGCCTGAGCCTGACCCGCTCGATCCCTCGCAGGCGTTCCTGTCGGCGGCGGCACGAAAGCCGGCGCATCCGGCGTCGCCGCGTCCGACTTTGCGACGCAGGACCAGCAGGCGACCGGCGTCGCGCTCGCCATGAAGCGTCCGACCGAGAAGCTCGGCTCGTTCGCCGCCGTCATCGTCTACTCGATGGCGGCGGACGCCGTCCCGCAGGGCGCGACCCCGTTCGGGTCCAAGGCGCCCTCCCGGGCCGCCTCGCCGCCGCCACCCGGCGCCCGTTCGAGCGCGAGCGCCAAGGTCCCGTCCTCGTCGTCCACGTCGGCCGGCGGCAACGGCCTGCTCGGCGCGCCCCTCGGCATCAAGAAGGAGCGCACCTACCTCGCCGGGTCCAAGGCGCTCGACGCGCTCGCCAAGCTCATCCAGGCGACCGAGGGCTACTTCCACCCGTCCAACTACGGCCGGTGGGCGCCGCTCCTCGGGCGCTTCCTGCAGACCCTCACGTGGGAGTTCTTCAAGCGTCACACCGAGGAGCAGCGCGACGACTGCCGCACGCCGCTCGAGTGGCGCCTCACGCCCGACATCCGCCGCGAGTTCGTCAAGACGATGCGCACGGTCGCCCTCCTCAGCATGTTCTCGCGCGACGCCATCACGATCGCCAACGCGCAGGCCGCGCTCAAGACGATGGCCCTCCTCGAGCCCGACCTCGTCCTCCCGTCCATCCTCGAGCGCGCCTACCCGGCCCTCGAGACGCTCACCGAGACGGACCGCACGCGGTCGTGCATCACGGCCCTGTCGACCATCTCGCCCGCCCTCCTGCGCCGCGACAACTACCCTGCCGGCGCCAAGCACCTCGTCCCGCTCCTCGACCTGTGTCTCCCCGGCCTCGACGTCAACGACCCGATCAAGACGATGGCGACGGGCATGTTCGTCCTCCAGGCGTGCTCGCAGGTCGTCCTCGACGACCTCACGGCGCTCGACATGGGCTCGGGCGGCGGCGGCTTCGGCGAGTACGGCATGGAGCTCGACGCGGCGGCGGCGGCGGCGGCGAGCGTTCCGGACATCGAGCTCGGCGAGGACGGCGAGCCCAAGCCCTCGAGGCAGGAGGAGGACGACGCCGTGCGCACGATGACGGCCGGGATCCCGGACTGGGTCTCGAGCTTCTTCCGAGGCGTGCTCGCCGTGTTCGAGGCGCTCCCCGAGCCGGGCAAGGGCAGCCGGAACGGCGGCAAGATGGAGGACCAGATGACGCAGACCCTCATCGTGCGTCGTCCGTCCTCTCGCCCTGTCGCCTGCCCGCTCGACCTTCCCAAATTGACACTCTTTTGCCTCGGCGTCCGCAGGCGACGTGCGACTTTGTCTGCAGCCAGCTCTCGCCCTCGCTGTTCGACCTCGCCCTCGACATCGTCTACCAGGAGGCGACCTCGAGCGTGCGCACCAACTCGGCGCGCGTCACGTCGCAGCTCGTCTCGTGCTTCGCCCGGGCCGACACGGTCAAGACGCTCGACAAGTTCTTCCACCTGTGCGACCGCCGCATCCGTCAAGAGCTCGAGAGCGGCGCCGGCAGCACGAGGAGCACGAGGACCGACCACGCGATCGAGAGCGACACGACCCTCAACTGGTGGATCGGCCTCCTGACGGGCTGCATGGCCAACGCCGGCGAGCAGGTGCGTCCTCGTCCCTCTCCTCTCGCTCTCTCTCCCTTTTCCTCCTCGCGTCATTGCTCATCCGACCCGTGCGGCGCGCGCAGATCCTCGAGTACAAGAAGGAGCTCAAGGCGCTCGTCCAGACCATGATCGAGCACTGCAAGAGCGAGCGCGGCTACACAACGACGGCACGCGTCCTCGCCATCACGCTCATGACGCTCACCAACACGTGGGTGCGCGACTACCGCTCGGTCAACAGCGACGAGTGGTACGACCCGGGTGCGTCCCTCCTTCAGCCTGTTCCCCCTTCCCGCCGACGACCTGACCTGACGCCCCACCTCGATCCCCTCACAGAGTTCCGCAAGCGCTCGCACGAGTCGTGGGGCAAGGTGTACGACGTCAAGGACGTCAAGGTCGAGTGGCACGTCGCGTCGCCGGCCGAGATCGACTTTGTGCTCGAGCTCCTGCGCGACATCGTCGTCCCGCTCCTGGACAAGCTCGATCAGCTCCTCAACGAGCCACTCGTCGACGGCAAGGTCCGAACGTCCGAGTGGATCAACGACTTTTGCCGGGTACGCCCTCGTCCTCCCCGCTCGAGCCGAGACGACCGTCGACTGACCTTCGTCGACCGCGCAGTTCTGCAACGTCGTTCGCTCGGCCCTGTCTGGTATTTCGAGCATCGCCTTCATGCCGCCGCCGTCGACGCCTGGCGAGGTCGCGAGCGACGCCGGGTGCGTCGTCCCTCCTCGCCGTCAACCCTTCTCCTCCTCCCGCCGACCCTGACGGCAACTTCTTCCCGCAGTGACGAGGTTCCCGAGTTCATCGACCACCTGCCGACGTGCAACGCCGGCTTCCCGCTGTCGGACCCTCAAGACGCTCGCCACCAGTTCGTCGCCGACCTGCGCATGCGGGCCGGCCAGTTCCTCCACAAGGCCGTCCAGACGCTCAAGTCGACGCAGCAGCAGGACACGATCGACTGTATCAAGATGGTCATCGCGTCGATCCGGGTCCTCGAGCTCGACTACCCGTGCGACTCGTCCAACCACGGCTCGGTCAAGAAGTCGTACGACTTTGCGCTCAACATCTCGCGCGTGTCGCGCAACCAGAAGCTGTTCCCGCGCTTCGTGTGGGTCCGTCGTGCGGGCCTGTACCACGCGTCGCGCCTGCGCCTCAACAGCCTGTACCGCCGCCGCACCAAGCTCGACGACCTCCTCATCCACGACATGTGCGAGCTGTCGCTCAGCGTCTACCTCCAGGTCCGCCGCTCGGCGCAGAAGGGCCTCGACTCGATCAGTGAGTCACATCGTCTCTCGTCCTCGCCCAGGCCCAGGCCGATCATCGTGCTCACCCTCTTCTCCCTCGCCTCGCCACAGTCCGATACTTTGACGGCACGCGCATGCTCATCTACCCTCGCCTCTTCAACGCCCTCAAGCGTGCGTCGAGCCCACTCTCTCCCTCTCTCTCTCTCCCCTCCTCCCCGAGCAGCCGCTAAACTCGCTTCCTCGTCCGCAGCCGGCACCGACCACGACGTTATGAAGGGCGCGCTCTACGTCCTCGGCAGCAAGGCGACGCAGAACCTCGCTATCCTGTGGTGGACCGTCGGCCCCGACTACCTGCGCGCTCTGCTCGGGTGCCAGCACCAGGAGCGGCCCTCGGTCCAGGCGCTCGTCCGCACCGTCACGCACGACTTCATCATCCGCCTCGGCGAGCCGAGCACGCTCAAGAGCTCGGTCGACTCGCAGGCCCTGCAGCGCGCAGCCGACTCGATCGAGAACCTGATTGCCGTGCCCGAGAACAAGGACCTCGTCGCCCGTGTCGCGGCAAAAGCGCGCGAGCGCACCGACCAGAAGAATGCCGCCTACGACGAGCTCGTGCGCCCACCTCTCCCTCTCTCACTAGTCTTTGCCCCGTCCCTGACCCTCTCTCACCGTCCCGTCGCAGCTGCCCGAGCTCCTTAAGCTCGCCGCCGACCCGTCGACCCACCACCGCTACGTCCTCATCTGCATCCGCCTCGTGCGCGCCATGATCCGCCGCGACCAGCCGCAGCGCGCCAACGTCGCCGGCTACATGGCCAAGCAGCTCATCTCGGAGCTGCCGAACCAGCGCACGCACGCCATGCTCGCCCTCACCAAGCTCCTCCACTTCATCAAGCTCCGGACGACCTGCGGGGCGTCGGGCGAGGACCTCCTCCTCCAGAAGACGTCCAACCCGCTCAAGCACAAGACCGAGCTCCCGCATCCCCTCCCGGCCGACTTCACCGACAAGTTCATCGCCAGCTTCTCCGAGCCGATGACCAAGGACACCAAGTTGAGCGACAAGGCGTCGACCGGGTGGCTCGTCTGGGGCGACTCGGTCGAGCTTTACGACGTGCCGCCCGAGGACGGCTCCGTGTTCACGTGGGACGAGAGCTCGGCCGACACGTTGGCGCTCCTGCGCGACATCATCATCCAGCCGTCGTGGTGGGAGACGTTCATCTCGCACCTCTCGATGGAGAAGACGGTCGACGTGCGTCCCTCTCTCCCTCTCTCCCTCTCTTCCTCTCTCCCTCTCTCCCTCTCTCCCTCTCTCCCTTTCGACGCACACGGCCCGGTCTGACAATCTCGCTCCCTCCCCTTTGCAGTACCTCGCGGCCGACGTGTGCATGGTCATCAAGTCGATCTTCCAGGTGTTCGAGGACGCGGCGTGCGAGTGGGTCCTGCCCGCGATCGACAACCTCGTCGCCGACAAGAGCGACCGGCACAAGCAGCGTGCTGCAGGCGAGCTCATCGCCGGTCCGTCCTCGCTCTCTCCTCTCTCGAGGCTCGAGCGCGCGAGAGCAAAACTGACTTGCGTCGCCCCATACAGGCATCGTTCGCGGCAGCAAGCACTGGTCGCTCAAGAAGCAGCGCGCGCTCTGGGCCTGGCTCACGCCCAAGCTCCCGAGCATCTTCTCCGGCGTCACGCCCGAGACGCAGACCGTCTGGGAGATGTGCGCCGAGTACATCCTGTCGGGTCGCGATCCTCGCCGCAATCAGCCGCTCGTCGACTACCTCACCTCGCTCAAGATCGACGAGGAGTCGACCGAGGCGTTCAACGTCTCGAAGCAGCAGGACCGTGCGTCGTCGCCTCCTCCCTCTCTCCCTCCCTCTTTCCCTCTCTCTATCGGGACGTCGACGAGCAGCCACTCACGCTCTCTCCTCCTCGCACGCAGTCGTCGGTACCGCCATGAAGGCGCTCGGCTGGCACTTCTCGCCCTGGGCGTCGCAGTACCTCGAGATGTACTCGGCCAACATCGCCCACCCGTACCAGGAGGTGCGTGGCGCCGTCGCCGACAACCTGCGCGTCCTGTCCGAGTTGCGCCTGCACCCAAGCTACGGCTCGGTCGACGAGTTCATCCGCGACGCCCAGCACCCGCACGCCCGTCGCAGCCTCGTCAGCGTCGACGCGACGTACGAGGCCCGCATCGACGACTTTGGTCGTCAGCTCGCCCAGTGGCGCCTCGAGCGCAAGCCGGCGAGCGAGGGCACGTCGCAGTACGACAAGGCGAGCATGACGATCCTGACCTGGATCTGGGGCTCGATCAGCGAGGTCCGCACGAGCTCGGCGTTCCCGTTCATCACCAAGCTCCTCCCCGAGTTCCTGCGCATGCAGGAGAGCACCGATAACCAGGTGCGCCCTGCCTCTCCCTCGTCTCCCTTCCCTCCTCGTCGTCAATCCGTTATAGACATTTCTCGGGGCCCGCAGGAACTCTCTCGCATGGCCGGCCGCGTCCTGCTCGCCTGTGCGGCGCTCCAGTTCCCGCAGCACCTCGTCCGCCCCCTCATGCAGCAGTTCATCGGCCTCCTGCGCGACTCGGAGAGCTGGCGCGTCCGGCTCGACGTCCTCCTCCCGCTTCAAGGTGCGTCTCCCTCTCCCTCTTCTCCTCCCGCACCGCTGCCGAGACTGACTCGGCGCCCTGCACACAGTCTTCTTCTACCACCACCTCTTCTACCTCGACGACGCCGTCATCGCCGAGCTCATGGACCAGCTGTGCGACCTCTTGCGCGACCCCAAGATCGAGGTCCGTGAGGCGGCCGCTTCGACCTTGTCGGGCATCGTGCGCTGCTCGCAGCGCAGCGCCATCGTGTCGCTCATCAAGCGCTTCATGGACACGCTGCGTGCGACCAAGATCCCCAAGAGGAGGGACGCCGAGGGCAACGAGGTCGCAGGGTACCAGGAGGCGCTCGTCACGGGCCGTGCGTCCTCTTTTCACTCTTTCCCAGTGCCCGTGCCCCTTCCCTCTAGTCCTCTCACTGAAACCTTTCTCGCCCCCCTATGCACAGACTCTGCCGTCCTCGGCATCTCGTCCCTCGTCAAGGCGTTCCCCTACGAGGTCCCGCCCTTCATCCCCTCGATCCTCATCGAGTGCATGTCCAAGCACGCCGCCTCGCCGCCGCCACTGTCGACGACCGTCAAGGCAACGCTCGCCGACTTCAAGCGCTCGCACCAGGACAGCTGGGAGACGGACCAGAAGGCGTTCACGCCCGAGCAACTCGCCGACCTGCACGACCTCCTCACCGGCTCGAGCTACTGTGCGTCCTCCTCTCCTTCTCCCTCTCTCCTCATGTGCCACACGACTGACTTTCTCTGTCGCCCGCCCGCAGACGCTTGAGCTTCCGCTCGTCGGTTTCCTGCCTCCCTCTCTCCCTCCCGTCCTCGTTCCGCCCTTGTCCATACGCAGCCTTTTGGATACCCCTTGGTCGCCTGATCTGCAACCTCGTGTGCTTCCCTGTTACTCGCCGAGCGATAGAGCACGAGAGCGCGAGAGTGAGTCGCTCGTCGTGCCGCCAAGCGAGTCTCCCTCTCTCTCTCTTCCTCGTCCACCCGCCGCGGTCCTCCCTCGAGGTCACTGCTGGCTGGGCGCCCGAGGGAGACGCGCGAAGGGTCGCTACTCATCGCAGCACCGCACACGGCGAGCTCGCTTCTCGCGGCGCTCGCTTCCCCTGTCGGCTGTGGGAAAAGGTTCGCCCCCTCTTCTCGTCCCCCTCGGCGGCCACCACGAGTGCAGAGACTGACTGTTGCGCGTTGCCCGCAGTCCCCGGACCATCGAGTGCCGCTCCTCCAAGCCCGTCTGCAGCCCCCTTTCGACCGCGCCCTCGTCCTTCCTCCGACCACTCGTCGTCCCCCTCGCGCCCCTCGACAGCACCTCGTTTCCGACCCGCGGGAAAGCCGCCGTCCTTCATCCGGCGGAGCTGGGTCGGCAGGGTTTGCTCGGGAGGCCGGGGTCGGCGGGCGGGCAAGGGGACTCGCACGGGACGAGGGTTTCGCCAGGTCGAGGGCGAGGGTGGGGGCTCACGGGGTGCTGTTCTCGCTCGCCGCCGCCCTCTCAAGGAGGGTCACAGGCCGAGTCGACGAGCTCGCCCTTGTCCCCGGAGCTGGCCAAGGTCGGCCGCGTTGCTCGGGCGCCGTCGCTCAAGGCCGTCTCGCCGGGTCGCGCTTCCTCCTCCTCGTGAGCGGGGCAGCACCTCGGCTCGACTCGTCGTGGGCCGTCGACTGTCGTCCTACCCTCTCGTGCAGCGAAGATACGAGCTGCCGGGAGGAGGCGGCGGTGCGGGCGCGTCTGTCGCACGAGCCGAGTCGGGGAGACCTGGGCTCATCGAGTCGGCCGCGCGAGCGTGTCAGTGCGCCCTCGAGCCGGTCGACGACCCGTTCGTCATGCACGCACAGTTATGCGACCGCCTCCCTCGCCCGTGTCCCTCTCAAGGAGGGTGCACGTGCGCGGAAGGTAACGGAATGGGGCTTGCTCTCGCGTCGTCTCCCTCTCCCCCCCCTCTTTCTCTCTCTTTCTCTCTCTTTCTCTCTTTCCCTCTCTGGCGGGGCATGCGTCGCGTGCGACGAGGGACTGCGGCTCGCCCTAGCACACAACGGCGAAGCCGTGCGTCTCCTCTCGCCGCCTCGCCTCTGGCCTCTCGGCGTCTCGGCGCGGCGGCTGTCGAGGGTCGAGCGAGGAGGACGAGAAGGACGAGGACGAGGGACCACACACTGCCAAGGACGATAAACTACACAACAACAACTTGAATTTCTTCAGCATAGGCGCCTTCGCCGGCGTCGGCGATGAGCTCTTTTTAACCCTGAGGCAGTCCCTGTCGTCCCTCTTTTCCTCGTCCTCGAGCGCAATGCAACCTCTTCTTCTCTCTCTCTCTGTGTGTGTGCTTCGCGAGTCGCCGAGGGAGAGAGCGAGAGCGAGCGCGAGCTGAGAGCTGTGAGGACGAGTTCTCAATCTGGGACGATTCTCTACGAGCGACAGCGTGACGACGTGTTCCTCGCCCTGCTGCGCTCGCTCCGGCGCTCTCTGCTTGACGGCCGCAGCGAGATGGCATGCATTTCACCAGTTGTGGACCTCGAGCGCCCGCACGGCCCTCGCCAGCTCCTCGCCCTTGACCACCTCGTAGTGGCCAGTCCTTAGCGAGTCAAAGTCGCACTCGACGTTGCTCGGCAGTTCCCGCTCGAGCTCGACCTCGTCGCCGACCTTCTCGTCCGCTGCCGCTGCGCTCGGCTCGCCCGGCCCGCGGCCAAAGAGCTCCCTGAGCCGCCGGACGAAGACCCTCGGCTGCCGCAAGGTCAGGAGCTCGTCTGCGCGCGAATGCAGCACGACGACGCGTACTGTGCGCCCTCGCTCATCGTCGTGTGCGCTCCACCGCGCGGGCGACTCGTGCGCGAGGGCGGCCGGGTCCGAGCCGAACGCGTCGTGCACGAACGAGGCGTAAGACGGGTACTCGTCGAGGAGGGATGGGAGGTCGTAGATGCCGTCGACGCAGATGATGCCCGCGATGGCGAGGCGGATGGCGGGCGGGACGGTGAAGGACGGGGAGGGAGGTGGGCGAGGAGGATCGAGGACGAGCGAGGCGGCCATGAAAGCGCCCGCCGAATGGCCGACGATGACAATGCGGTCGCGGCGCCATTTGGCCTCGCCTTGCTCGAGTGGCAGGAGCGGGCCGGCGAGGAGCGACAGGCCCGCGACGACGTCTTGCACCTGGGCCGGATGCGGGTCGGTCGGGGCGAGGCGGTACTCGAGGCAGGCGACGGGGAGGTGGGTGTACCGAACGAGGGTCGGCATCAAGGTGAGGGCAAAGTCATTCTTGGACTCTGTGAGGCGACAAAAGGTCGTCAGCAAGGGAGGTTGAACGACTGGGAGGGAGAGCGACGAGGGGAAGGACGAGGAGCGCACCTGATCGCCACGCGCCGCCTGCAGGGTGCGACGAGTCGGTCAGGGGCCTTGTGCGAGTAGACGCGTGCGTGTGCAAGGTCGAGCCGCACCGTGGACGTAGACGAGGAGGGTCGAGTCGGGGCCGGCCGAGGCTGGGAGGAAGAGGTCGAGCGCTTGACGAGGACCGGCGGCGCCAGGGTAGGGCACGTCGAGGTGTGTGGCAGGATCCATAGCAGTGCTGCAGCTCTGTGGCAGCTTGGGCCCGAGCAGGCTGGTGGTGACGGAGCAGCTCGCCGATACCTTGGCCTCCACCCTCTCTCTCTCTCCTCCGTCCGACCCGTCGCCTCGTGCCGCTCGCTCGGAGCCGCCTGTGCTCCCGAGGGTCTGGGTCGAGCTGCAGGCGCATTCGCCGCCTGCCTGCGTCAGACTCGGCGTCTCAGCCACCCGCCCCCTGGCTTGCTGCCCTCCTGCCGGCGGCGCCTTCCCGTTGCGTCGCCTCGTTGGCGCCACGGTCTTGCCGTTCCCGGGACTGAGCCACGCTCCAGCCTCGCCCTCGCGGCCGCATGCAGCGCAGGCCCCGGTGCTCGCACTCTCGCCATGAAGCTTGTTCGAGAACCGCTCGACCTCCCGCCGCCCGACTTTGGCGCGACGTCGCTCGCTCTCTTCAAGCTTCCGCCTCTCCGACTGCGCCCAGCTCGCCCTACACTCCTTTACGCACACGCCTGCATCCCCCCACACGCTCACACAGCACCCTCCAAGCTCCAGCCGGTCGCCCGCTCGACGTCGCCCTCCTCCGCACCCGCCTCCCGTTCCAGCCCACCTTCCTCGTCCCGAACATGCGCTTCACCCTCGCCGTCGTCGCCCTGGCCGCCATTGCCTCGTTCTCGGGCGTCGAGGCGAGCAAGAAGAAGAAGCAGTCTGTGCAGCGCACGCTGTGCCCGACCGACGAGATCGCGTGCCCCATCCTCGGCTCGACGTGCGTCCCGCTCTCTCCCTCTGTCCCCCTCGCCCGTCGAGCGTCCAGCTGACGAGCGTTCCCGCCAACAGGACCTATGGCGACGCTGTCGCGCACCACTTCTCCAACGGCAAGAAGGACGTGTCGGGCGTCATGGCCGGCTCGGGAGGATGTGCGTCCTCGCCCTCTCTCTCGCTCCCCGCCCTCGCCATTCGGCTGACCTTTTCGACCTCGCAGACGAGTGCGTCAACACGGCCGAGGCCCTCGACTCGTGCGGCGGCTGTGCGTCGACTGGCGAGGGCGTCGACTGCACCAAGATCCGCGGCGCCGCCGGCGTCGGCTGCGAGCAGGGCGCGTGCGTCGTCTTCAGCTGTGCCGCAGGGTGGCGCCCGGCCCTCTCGGGCAACAAGTGCGTGCGAGCGCACGGCGCGAGCCACGACCGGTCCGCAGTCGCGGGCGCGGCGGCGTCGAACGGGACGCAGCAGGTCGCCCGCGTCCGCCGGCACCTGAGCGGCCGACACGCTCGCCACGGCATGCCCATGTCGCACTAGACGATCCCCTCCTTTGCATTCCCCCCCTCGCGCTCGCCTCGATACCCCCTCTACCCTGTGATTTTCCCTCCCCCCCCCCCTCTTCCCGCTGGCGGGCCCTCTCCCTCGTGTCCAACTTCGCTTTCCCCTCCTCTACTTGTCCTCGCCCGAGTGCGACCCTGTGTAGCCATATCACTCAGTTCACTTGCAACCCCTCCCTCGCGCTGCACTGCGCTCGTTCCCAGTCTCTCGTGTCGAGGCTCGAGCGCAAGTAAGAGCGTGGTCGAGACTCGAGAGCGACCGTAGTACGATTTGCAATCGAGCTGATGAGACAGCGTACGTGGGAGAGGGACAGATCTCGGCGCCGGACGCTCAGTCAATGGTCGACCCGCGTCAGCGGGAAGGTGCATGCGAGCGCCAGCGCGAGGAGAGGCGGCGGCTCTCTTCTCTCCCGCCTCACGCGCGCAGCGACGACCTGCACCAGCGCTTCTGCTCTCGCACGGCCCAGCTCTCTCTGGCTCGAGAGAGGTGCTCGGCAGCACGGCCACAACGGGCTCGCCGCGCTGTCTCATCTCCTGGCTTGCCCACAACGAAGCGACTCACCCCTTTGTGGCCGCCGTCTCGTCGTGCATGCAAAGGCGGGGCCGGCCGCCGTGCCCTCGCAATTATGCAGGCCCGCACGGAGCGAGACAAGCGATCCACTTTCTCGCCTGGGCGCCTGCAGAGCGAGGAGCGACTCTTTCGCACCCACCGCTCGCTCGCCTCGTTACCAGCTGTAGCGCACCGCTGCGCCCTGTCAAGGACTCGCACGACTGCCTGCGCGACGTTGCCGAGCCGTCGACCGTCCACCTCGACCACCACGCCCGTTTCCTGGCGCCGTTCCCCCTTCCGACTCTCGTCACTCCTTTGACCGCCCTCGCCTCACCTTCCACGCCCACACGGCCTATTCCCTTCCTTCCTACGACCCTCGACGATGCACGCCTTTGCTCTCCTCGCGACCCTCGCCTCGCTCGCCGTCGCCATGGCGACGACCTCGCCCGCCTTCCTCCCGGTTGGCGCCAACCCCGTCTCGGCGCCGACCGACATCACCCTGGACAAGCGCACGATCTGCTTCCTCGGCATCTGCCTCGGCGAGACGGCCCCGAACTACACGAGCGACGTCAACAACTGGTGCGTGACCTCTCACCCTTCCCTTCCTCCCGACCCTCGCCTTCCCTGCGGCGACCCTCGCCTCGGTCTCAGCATCTCGCGCCCCGAGCACCGACCTGACTCGACCTCTTCTCTCCGCAGCGGCGTCAAGGGCAACCGCTGCGCGTCGGGCTGGCTCTTCGGCGGCGGCTCGCAGTGCATCTCGGGCCAGTGCGCGCCGGCGTACTGCAACAGCCTGTTCGACTTCAACTGGGGCTCTCGACAGTGCCAGGACGTGTCGTCTGACACGCAGAACTGGTGCGTCGACGACGACCTCTATCTGTCCTCCTCTTCGGCCGCCGCTGACCCTCCTTGTTCCCCCACTCGCAGCGGCAAGTGCGGCCAGACGTGCTCGGTCGCCAACGCAAAGAGCTCGCAGTGTGTGTCGGGCTCGTGCTTCGCTCGCGAGTGCCTGCCGGGCTTCTCGCTCGCGTCCGGCACCTGCGTCAAGACGATCGACACGACCTCGGACGTGCGTCCCTCTTTCTCTCCCTCCCCTCGCCAACTGCCGACCAGGATCTGACCCTCTCCTCGAGCAGATGATGAACTGCGGCAGCCTCGGCAACAAGTGCCCGACGTCGTGGGCAAACGGCGTCGGCGCCACGTGCTCGAGCGGCGTGTGTCAGCCGAGCACGTGCGTCAGCGGCTGGGCGTTCGACCTGTCGGCGCGCAAGTGCCAGAACACGGGCAGCGACGTCAACAACTGGTGCGCTCCTCGAGCCTGCTCGTCCTCGCCGAGCCAGTCACTGACTCTCGCACGCGCAGTGGCTCGATCGGCAACCGCTGTTCCTTCCCCGGCGGCTACGGCTCGTGCAAGAGCGGTCAGTGCCAGTACGACGGCTGCAACGACGACTGCTCGTTCCTCGGCGGCATCTGCAAGAAGCTCGACTACAACTCGGACGTCGAGAACTGGTGCGTCCCTCTTTCCTTCCTCCTCCTCGCTCGAGCCCCTTTCCTGACTCTTCCTCCCTCGCAGCGGCGGCAAGGGTCGCAAGTGCGCGTACGACAATGGTATCGCGAGCTGCTCGTCGGGCCAGTGCTCGCTCAGCAGGTGCGCCGACGGCTTCTTGCCGCGGACGAGCGGCCTTCTCTGGTGGGCGACCACGACGTGCGAGAAGATCTCGTGCAGCAACGGCTTCGTGCGTCACCCTTCCCCTCTCTCTTTCCCTCTTCCTCGTCGAGCAAACCTGACTCTTGGCCACTGGCAGGCGTACGACCCGTCGACCAAGGCGTGCCGCAACGTGCAGACGGACGCGAGCAACTGCGGCGCTCTCGGTCGCGTCTGCCCGGCCCAGAACGGTGTCGCCAAGTGCTGGACAGGTCAGTGCTCGGTCGACTGTGCCTCAGACAGCGTCCTCGTGCAGGGCGTCTGCCAAAAGGCCGACCTTCTCAACGACGCGACCAACTGGTGCGTCCCCTCCTCTTGCCCGTCCCCTCCTCCGTACGCCGTCGCCGACTCTTCCTCCTCTCCTACAGTGGCAGGGTCGGCCTCGTTTGCCCGACGACCTACGCCAACGGCGGCAAGGGCACGTGCCGCAACGGCATCTGCTCGGCGATTTGCGACGGGCTCTTCGACTTTGACGTCCTGTTCGGCTTCTGTCGCGATGTCTCGCAAGACAAGTACAACTGGTGCGTCCCAGATTCTCCTCGACGAGTCCTGCGCCCAGCTCTGACTCTCGTCGCGTGCGCTCGCGCCCCTTCCGCAGCGGTCGATGCGGCCAGACGTGCAACCTGCCGGGCGCAACGTCCACCGCATGCAAGAGCGGACAGTGCTACGCGACCCAGTGCTCGAGCGGGTACACGCTCACTAACGGCCGGTGCTCGGCCGCTGACACGACCTCGGACGGTTCGTCGACCTTCTCAAGTTGGCCTTCTCAAGTCGCCTTTGCGGACCTCCTGCTCACGCACTTTGCCTCCTGCAGCGGCCAACTGCGGACGCGTCGGCAATGCGTGTCAGTTCTCGCCGTCGGGCGCGACCGGCGTCTGCAAGAACTCGCAGTGCGTGACGACCGCCTGCCCGGCCGGGTACTCGCTCACCTCGGGTGCGTCAAGCCGCCTCTCGTATCTCACGAGGCATTTACGGGGCATCTTTCCTGACATATACTCTCTGTCTCGCAGGTGTCTGCGTCAAGCAGAACCCGAGCGCGCAGGCTCGTCTCGCCAAGAAGGACAAGATCGAGCAGCCCAGAAAGCTTTGCCCGGCCGCGAACGAGCAGGCGTGCCCAATCCTCGGCTCCTCGTGCGTCCTCTTCCGCAACGACCTCGTTCACGAGTCGGAAACTGACTCGCTCTGCTCGCCTCGCAGCTCGTACGCTCAAGCCGTCGAGCACCACTTTGCGGCCGCCGACGAGTTTTCCGGCGTCATGCTCGGCGCGGGCGGCTACGAGTGTCTCGACACGACGACGGCGCTCGACTCGTGCGGCGGCTGTGCGTCGACCGGCGAGGGCATGGACTGCACCAAGATTCGCGGCGTGCAGGGCGTTGGCTGCGAGGGCGGCGAGTGCCGCGTCTTCTCGTGCGAGGCTGGGTGGAAGCCCTCGCTGCGTGGCGACAAGTGCGTTCGGGCACGCCCGACCCATGCCGGGTCGTCGTCGAACGGGACGCACGCGGCTCGGCATCACCTCGCCGGTCGCCACGCTCGTCACGCCCTCCCTGCGTCGCACTAGATTCTGTCCCCTTTCCCCTCCTTTCACCTCCTCCCTGTCACTTTATCCTGTCCTAGCCCTATAGATACCCTTCCCCCCTTTCCCTGTCTCGACGAGCGGCGCTGGTCGCCCGAGTCGCCTCCCGTCGACGCCGTCGCCCTTCTTCCCCTCCCTTCCTCCGAGCGCGTTCGACGTCGTCGCCGTCACCTCGTGTAGCTTTACATACATCACTCGCTGTTCCTTGTCGGCTTTGCGTTCGCACCCGCAGCTCTGCAACATATTGTTTCGCCCCCTGGCCGTGCTCGTCTTCCTGATGAGACACTCGTCTTTCGAGCGTTTTCCAGCTCGCCCCAGCTCGTGTATGGACTCGTCGCTGGGCACAGCGCGTCCAGAGAGCCGACAGGAAGCCGCTGTGGAGAATGCAGCTCGGCCGGTGCGCGTGCAAGCGGCGGCGAGCGGTCGCTCGACGCAAGCGAGTTCGAATCCTTCGCTAGCGCTGTCTCCGCCCTCACTCCTCCCTGGCAGGGTCGCGCGTCTCCTGTGCGACGTGGCGACTGGTCATTGGCTCACTGCTCCTTGCTCGGGCGTCCTTGTCTTGCTACTCGAGCTCAGTGAACCACCACTTACGTCGCCGGACAGCATCTCGCCGGTGGTGGCCCTTGCTCGCTCTCGCTGCTTCTCTTTCCTCGCTCTGCATCCTACCTGGCTCGCTCCGAGCCTGCCACCCACATTCCTTCCTGCCCGGCCACATTCGTTGAGCTCGTTGCACGCCCGCACGGCCCCCTCCTCTTCCCCCGCCTTTCCCGCTCGACATGCGCGTCCTCGCCCTCGTTACCGCCTTTACGTTCATCGCCGCCGTCGTCTCGACGACGAGCCATGCCAGCGTCGCCTCGCCAGGCGAGGACGCGTCCACCGTGGAGGAAAACCCGGTGTCGACATCTGGCTTCGTCAAGGGCCAGCGCTCCCTCGAGAAGCGGACGCTGTGCGGTACCGACAGCGACTGTCAGCTCGTCGCGTCGCTCCTCCCGATCCTCTACCCGAACGGCGCCCGCTGTGAGCTCGCCAGATCTCGCTGCATCCCTCTCCTCCCGCGAGAATCGCTAGCTGACGATGCGCTCGACCTGCAGGCTCAAAGTGGCTGTGCGTGCCCAAGTGCGGCGACCTGTGGGACTGGGACATCTTCTCCCACAAGTGTCGGGACGTGTCGTCGGACACGGACAACTGGTGCGCTCGAGCCTCTCTTCCTCGACTCGTCGTCTTTTTGCGGCCAGCAGCCGACCCGTCGACTCGAAATACCTGCAGCGGCAAGTGCGGCCAGAAGTGCACTCTTCCTGGCGCGACGCAGACGACGTGCGAGCACGGTCAGTGCAGGGCGACATGCTGCGAGCCGGGCTACACTCTCGGCGACGGTCCGTCTCGACCTTCTCAAATCGACCGCGCGCTCCCTTTTTGACGACCTTGCTCGCGCAGGAGTTTGCTCGTTGAACCCGAGCCAGCATGCACGCATCAAGCGTAGCGTGAGTGCGCCCCGTCGCAAGCTTTGCCCCGCCGTGAACGAGCAGGCCTGCCCCATCCTCGGTTCCTCGTACGTCTTCTCGATCTTCCGAGCGCTGCCCTTGTGTCACCTCGCTTACCAAATCTGCCGCTCGTCCTCGCAGGACGTACGCCGAGGCCGTCAAGCACCATTTCGAGGCGAATGGCGAGCTCTCGGGCGTCATGTCGGGCGTCGGCGGCTTCGAGTGCGTCGACACGACCCAGGCGCTCGACTCTTGCGGGGGCTGTGCTTCGACGGGTGAGGGCACAGACTGCACAAAGATCCGCGGTGCCCGCAGCGTCGGCTGCGAGTCGAGCCGCTGCGTCGTCCTCTCGTGCGACGCAGGTTGGCGCCCGTCGCGTCGCGGCGACAAGTGCGTCCGGGTCCGCTCGTCCTTCTTACCCGCCAAGAACGCGACGACACACGCCTCGCACACGCATCTGCGTGCGGGCATGCGCCACTCGTCCTGAAGAAGCGCGCCTCTCGTTCTTCCTCGCGCACGGTCCTCCTGTTTCCCTCGGCGCCTCGCGTGTCGCCGCCTCGGTTCGGCGCCCTGTTTCCTCGTCATGTAGCCATTCTCTCTCTGTCTGTGCCGTCCTGTAGACCCCTCGCCTCGTTCCAGTCGCTGCCCGCTGGCGGGCTCGCCTCGTATCGAGTACTTTTACGTCTCTCAAAGATGAGCCGGGACCGAGAGAGTGAGAGAAAGACATCATGACATCGAGTCGACTATACAAGAAGGATGGAGGTACAATACGGACGGAACGTCTAACGAGGAAAAGGGAAGGGCAAAAGGAAGGGCGAGGAACGGTCGCGAGGCAACGACGGCGAGCGAGATGGGCGCGAGGGGAACTGGAGGAGCATGGACAGCAGGGCCGGCTCGAGGAGCGCGGCACGCGCTACTGCACGTAGCGTCCGAGTGCTGCAGCCGCAGGAGGGTCGGGCTCGCCGAACGAGTGCGAGCGCTCGTGCGCCGGCTGCACCGGGACGGCCGGCGACGACGACGACTGGGCGTCTGGCGCCGCGAGAGGTCGATCGAGAGGCATTGGCGAGCGCGCTCTGTGCTCCTGGTGGGCGGCAGCTCCGACGGTGGACGAGGAGGAAGAAGGGCGCGAGGTGGGCGCAGGCTCGGCGGACGAGCGAAGGGGGAAGATGTGGGGAGGCGGCGACGTAGAGGCAAGAGGGTGGGCGGGCAGCGAGCCAGGCGTAGTGGCGCGCTCGTAGAGGGCATAGACCGAGTCGGCCGAGCCGAAAGTGCGCATCGCTGTGGAAGATTCGAGGTCAGAGACGGTTTCTCTCGGACTTTGACACGACGAGCGGGACGTACAGGAGGAAGCGAGTTGCCCAGACGGCCTCGACGAGTCGTCCTCGTGCACGCTGAGCCGTTGAGGGCTGTGCGCGCGAGGCGTCGCGATCGTGTCGGTCCCGCCGGGCGGACGACGCGGCAGAGGCGGCGCCGTGGCGCCCTCGCCGGGCGATGAAGCAGGCGCATCGCTCGGATCGCTCCCTTGGCGTGACCTCGGCGCCTGGACGGGATGGGTAGGCAGGTCTCGGAAAAGAGGAGCGCATTGGCGGATGAGGATCTCCATGACGTGGTCCTGCAGGCGAGGCAGACGCGATCGTGAGCGCGCGCTCGTCAGGCCCCATTGCGAGGTTGGCCAGGCGCCCCGTGTGGCACGGACGAGGAGAGAGAGAGAGAGAGAGACGCACCTTGCTGCCGTTCATGGCCGACTCGAGCGTCGCCGACTCGTCCTCGCCGAAGATGACGGTCGAAAAGATGAGGGCGAGGTTGGACGGGCTCATCTTGTTGACGTGCTCGTACTCGCTGATCTTGGCGAGGTGCTGGCACAGGACCTTGAGCGTCGCCTGCTGCGGTGGCGAGAGGCGGCGGATGCGGCGGACGAGCGAGCTGATGGCGCTCTCGGCCGACGACGAGAACTCGGCGGTCCAGGCTCGACGGCTGCAGACAGGGACAACTGTCAATCACCGAGTGCCGCAGCATGTAGAAGGGGAGCGAGAGGACGTACTCGGCCGCAGAGAAGGGAAAGACCGGCGTAGGCAGTTGGCGGAGGTAAAGCTGCGGGCACGGCGGACCGAGTCAGTGAGAGGTCGAGGTGTCGTGCCGAGAACGTACGACGCACCTTGAGCACGCCTGCAACAGCTGCGACCTCGTCCCCTGGCCCAAACTCGAAAGCCTCCTCCTCCTTCTCCATGCGGTGCACGAGCTGCTGGATCTTGGCGAGCTTGCCTGCAGGGTCGGACGTGAGCGAGTCGTCCATATTCAGGCTAAGAGAGAGGAAGGTGGGACGCACCCGGAACACGGTAGATGCCCTCGCTGTCGAGCCCGGTCGACTCGATGTTGGCGACGCTGCAGGTCGCGAGGGCGGTCAGTGCGTGCGCTCGTCGTGGAAGACAAGAGAGGATCAGGACGCACCACCGTTGAACGATGAGCGGGACGAGCAGGTCCGGGTGCTTGGCGTGGTAGTCCTGGAGGCCGACACCGAACAGGAGCGACTTGCACTCGCCGACGAACGCGTTGACGTCTGCGCCGGCTCAAGCGCAAAGTCAGTCACCGCAAGTTCGACAGAGAGGGAGAGAGAGAGACGAGAGGCGCACAGTAGACGGGAGGATCAGGAGGGCTCTGGTCCTGGACCGTGATGAAGTAGGTGCTCGCGTCCTGCTGAGCGTCAATCTTGTCGACCTCGGGCTTGACGTGCTCGGCGATCTGCAGAAGGGGGTTCTGCGTCAGGTAGGGAGGCAGAGGAGGAGAGAACTAAGACGCACAGCGCCTTGCACGTGGCCGAGCACCATCTGCTCGTCGACCCGAGCCGTGAACGCCGCCTTGAGGTTCGACGCGAGGTCGAGGACGAACTCGCGCAGGCTCTCGCGCGCCGAGGTTTGTACGCGCATCTTCTGCAGCCGCAGCGTCTCGAGCTGGAAGATGCTCGACCGATAGTCGCGATCTGGAGGAGGTCGGGCCGTCAGGTTCGGCGAGCTGGGGGAGGTGGGGCGAGGGAGGAGGACAGGGGCGCACCTGCGAGCTCAGCCTCGCGCTTGAGCTTGCTCGTGTACTGGCGGCTGCGCTGACGTGACGGGCCGAGCGCGCCGACAGGATCGTTGCCCTTGGCCAAGCTCCCGACCGCCCGCACGATCGAGTTGACCCGGTGCTTCTCGCCGGCCCAGTCGCGCTTGGTGATCGCCTCGAACACGTTCTGCTTGCCCGTTGGCGCGTCGCGATAGGCGGACGGGGTCGAGGCGGACGATGTGGCGCCCGAGACGAAGAACGGGGACGACAGGCCGGGCGAGGTGACGGTCGGCGGCGGCGACTCGGCGTCGCTGACACCTGCGCCGCCTTTGGACGACGTGGCCGAGTCGCTGCGGCTGCGGCCGGCGACGAACGTGTCCTGCGACCAGTGCTCGGGCGGCCAACCCGCCTCGGTCCTCGGGCCCGGCGCCGACGAGTGCTCCTGGTCCCGCATCGCCTCGGCCTCCTCGTGGTGCTGGAGCTCCTCGACCTTGCGCTCGTACGTCTTGCGGAGGCGGAGGACGACCGCCTTGTAGTCGGCCCACTCGGTGGCGGTCGAGCGCAGGTCTTCTCGGATTCTCCGACGGGTGCGCTCCTGGCGACGACGAGGAAGGTCAGAAGGGTCGCTCGCTGGCCGTACCGGAGGGAGAGGTGGGCGCACTCGGTCGTCTCGGAAGGAAGCGAGCTTGTGCACGACTCGATCGAGCCCATCGGCCGCGCCCCGGTGCGCGAGCACCTCGTCCTCGACGCTCAACCTGACGGCGACCCACGCCTTCCTCCAAGACGTCGGCAGCTGCGCGTGTAGTCTGCGGGGACGTAGGAGAGCTGTCAGTATCTGGGGCGGGAGGTGCTGGATCGAGAGAGGCGGACGCACTCATCGCCGAGCTGAGTGTCGCCCTGGGCCGTCTTGAGCGAGAGCTGCGCGACGACGAGGGGGCTCAGTGAGGGAACGCCGGGAGGTGGGGGCGAGCGCGTGTACCTTCTTGAGCGAGTCGACGTAGTCCTGCTCGATCTCTTGGCTGTGCGAGGCGGTGGAAGGCGGGATCAGCTCGGTCGAGGTGGGGGCGGGAGGGATTCAGAGCGGGTGCTCACCGACGCTTGAAGAAGGACAGGTAGTGGTCGAGCTCTTTGAAGAGTCGGGCTTGGACGTCGTCCATCGCAGGCGGAGAGCGCAGCAGCAGGTGCCGAGGCCCGAGAGGTGAGCGAGAGGGAGGTTGCTGGCTTCGGCTCGCGCGCGCCCAAGTCCTCGCAGCTCTCGCTCTCTCTCTCGCACTCGCACTCTCGCTCGCCGACTCGTGAGGGAGACAGAGAGAGAGAGAGAAGAAGAGGTTGCATTGCGCTCGAGGACGAGGAAAGAAGGGACGACAGGGACTGCCTCAGGGTTAAAAAGAGCTCATCGCCGACGCCGGCGAAGGCGCCTATGCTGAAGAAATTCAAGTTGTTGTTGTGTAGGTTATCGTCCTTGGCAGTGTGTGGTCCCTCGTCCTCGTCCTTCTCGTCCTCCTCGCTCGACCCTCGACAGCCGCCGCGCCGAGACGCCGAGAGGCCAGAGGCGAGGCGGCGAGAGGAGACGCACGGCTTCGCCGTTGTGTGCTAGGGCGAGCCGCAGTCCCTCGTCGCACGCGACGCATGCCCCGCCAGAGAGGGAAAGAGAGAAAGAGAGAGAAAGAGAGAGAAAGAGGGGGGGGAGAGGGAGACGACGCGAGAGCAAGCCCCATTCCGTTACCTTCCGCGCACGTGCACCCTCCTTGAGAGGGACACGGGCGAGGGAGGCGGTCGCATAACTGTGCGTGCATGACGAACGGGTCGTCGACCGGCTCGAGGGCGCACTGACACGCTCGCGCGGCCGACTCGATGAGCCCAGGTCTCCCCGACTCGGCTCGTGCGACAGACGCGCCCGCACCGCCGCCTCCTCCCGGCAGCTCGTATCTTCGCTGCACGAGAGGGTAGGACGACAGTCGACGGCCCACGACGAGTCGAGCCGAGGTGCTGCCCCGCTCACGAGGAGGAGGAAGCGCGACCCGGCGAGACGGCCTTGAGCGACGGCGCCCGAGCAACGCGGCCGACCTTGGCCAGCTCCGGGGACAAGGGCGAGCTCGTCGACTCGGCCTGTGACCCTCCTTGAGAGGGCGGCGGCGAGCGAGAACAGCACCCCGTGAGCCCCCACCCTCGCCCTCGACCTGGCGAAACCCTCGTCCCGTGCGAGTCCCCTTGCCCGCCCGCCGAACCCGGCCTCCCGAGCAAACCCTGCCGACCCAGCTCCGTCGGATGAAGGACGGCGGCTCTCCCGCGGGTCGGAAACGAGGTGCTGTCGAGGGGCGCGAGAAGGGCGACGAGAGGTTGGAGGAAGGACGAGGGCGCGGTCGAAAGGGGGCTGCAGACGGGCTTGGAGGAGCGGCACTCGATGGTCCGGGGACTGCGGGCAACGCGCAACAGTCAGTCTGTGCACTCGTCGTGGCCGCCGAGGGGGACGAGGAGAGGGGAGCGAACCTTTTCCCACAGCCGACAGAGGGGAAGCGAGCGCCGCGAGAAGCGAGCTCGCCGTGTGCGGTGCTGCGATGAGTAGCGACCCTTCGCGCGTCTCCCTCGGGCGCCCAGCCAGCAGTGACCTCGAGGGAGGACCGCGGCGGGTGGACGAGGAAGAGAAGAGGAGAGACTCGGCTTCTCCGCCCCCTCGTCCTCGCGCTCGCTCTCATCATCGACCTCAGCTCGTCACAATGGCCAAGGTCTCTTACCCGCACTACGCCTGGGCCGGTGCGTCCCTCTGTCCCCTACACAGCGCACGCGAGCTCACCCACGCCGTGCAGGTGGCCACTTTGTCGTCCTCCTCGGAACGATCTACTCGCTCCTCGGCCTCGTCACCTTCTCGTCGCGGCCCAACGCCTACAAGCTCGCCTACTCTGGCGCACTGCTGTCGTGGGGCATCGTCGTCGTGCGTTCCCCCCTCTCCCCCTCCCCGCCGTCGTCGCGCTGGACCTCGCTGACGTCGTCTCCTTCCCCCTCCCTCCCCCACCGGCACTGCGGAACCCGCTTCACCGCCTCGACAGTACAAGTCGCTCGGCACCCCGCAGCTCAACCGCGCCTACGTGCAGCGGGCCCTCCTCGACGAGAATGTGCGTCCCCACCCCAGGTCTTTCTCTCGTCGGCGCCGAGGCGAGGCCGGCCCCTGACCTCGAGCGAGATCCACGTCCGCAGGTCCAGTACCTCCTCCTCGCCCTCTACTGGTTCCTCCAGGTGCGCACATGCCTCCTTGCGCCTCTCCACCTCGATTTCCCTCACTGACCCGAGCCGCACACGCGCAGAAACCCATCATCATTACCCTCGTCCCGTTCGCAACCTTCTCCCTCTTCCACTGCTGTGCGCCTGCTCCTCCCACGCCTTCAACCAAGAGTCGACGATTGACCCCTGTCCTACCCGCAGTGACGTTCCTGCGCACCTCGGTCCTGCCCAAGCCGCCTGCGGCGCCGGCAAAGGGTGCGGCGGCGGCGGCGGCGCAGCAGCCTCAGACGGCGGGCATGAAGGCCTCGAAGACGATTCAGGTGCGTCGCAGCTGTCGAAAATGTCGCCAACTCGGAGGAGAACTCGTCGAGCTGTCGTACTGACCCTCTCGTCGCGCTCGCAGAGCTGGGTCAAGGCCAACTACGAGAAGGCCATGCTCTTTGTCGCCTTTGTCGAGGTCGTCATCGTCTTTGGTCGCGTCCTCCTCGGCGCCATCACTTTCCAGAACTCGTGCGTCCCTCTCGTTGTCCTCCTTCTCGTCAGTCTGCGGCGGCCTTAACCTCGCTCTCTTCCTTGCCCGAAACAGGTTCCTGGCCCCGCTCTTCTTCGCCCACTTCCTCCGCCTCCGCTACTACCTCTCGCCGCCCACGCGGACCGCGTTCGGCTGGGTCTCGGGCCAGATCGACCACGCGACCGCGAGCCCCAAGTGCCCGCCCGCCGTCCGCAAGGGCGTCAACGTCGCCAAGGAGCTCGTGCGTCCCTCAATCCTCTTCCTCTCTCCCGGTCGATCGAGCTGTGGCAAAGAGCAGAATCTGACACAGCTCGCCGCCCTCGTCTCGCAGATTGTGCGCTACTCCGAGTCGATCATCTCGGTGCAGCAGCCTGGCGGCGCAGGTGCGGCAGCCGGCGCAGCGGGTGCGCGAGGCGGCAACGCGGCGGCCGAGGCGCGCCGTGCTCGCTGAGCGTAAGCGTCGGCCTCGTGCACTTTGTCGACCGGCGAGGAGAGAGGGCGAAGGAGGAGGGCGGCTCGAGCGTAGGAGGAGGCGATGGAGGAAGATGCAGTAACCTACGCAGTGCCGGAACTCTGTGAGCGTGCAAGTCGAGCGTTTGCCTACGTCTCTCTGCGTCGCTCGCTCGAGCGAGAAAGCGAGCGGTCCGTGCGCGCTCTTCTAGCTCGCCTCGCACCGGCTGTCCTTCCTCGCAGAGCAGAGCGAGCGAGACTTTGCACTGCCGCTGTCCTCTCTCGCCATCGCGAACAGTGAGCGCGACATGGTTCTCGTTGCAGAGCGCTCGTTGCGGTGCGAGAAAAGGCTCGGCGCGCCGCCGGCAGATCGGCCTTCTCAAGTCGCTCCAGGCGTGTCCTCGGTCCCGAGCACCGCCAGCTGCCGCCATTGGCCCGTGTACGTGGCTGTGCGCGCTCGAGGTCGTCAGTATCGGTCCGGGCAGAGAGGATCGAAAGGGAGAGGCGGACGCACGCTTCCACAGCCGGACCCGCCCGTCGTCGCCCCCACTCGTGCTGAGCACCGTCCCTGTCACGTTCCACGCGACCCTCGCGCTCGCGAGCGCTCCTCCTGGCCCACCCGCCGCACCTGCCCCACCTGAACCACCGCCGACCGCGAGCCCTGGTCGCTCAGCCGGCGGCGCCGCATCGAGCTCGACCTCGAGGCGCGCCGCCCACTCGCCCGCCGCACCTGCGCCGCCCTCGTCCTGCGCCGCCGCGCCCGTCGCCGCCGACGATCGCGTGTCGGTCGCCGCCGAGCCGAACGCCGACGAGGGCGCGCCGAGCGGCGGCGGGACGACCTTCCACACGCGCGCTCGGCCGTCCCTCGCGCCGGCGGCCAGGAGGAGGAAGCTCCTGCCCGAGGGCGGGGCCCACGCGAGCGAGGCCGTCGGCGGCGTGTGCGTGTGCGAGCCGGGCCCGTGGTGCGGCGCGTCGGGGTCGTCGCTCGAGGTGGACGAGGTGCCCGTGCCCGGGACCGAGAAGGCCGACGAGGTGGGCGTCGAGGCTGGCTGGGCGGACGAGGTCGACGACGGGGCGCGTGAGGTGATGAAGGGGCGCGAGGGGAGGAGGTTGAGGTAGTTGTGCCAGGGCGCGGACGACGAGGAAGAGGACGAAGACGAGGGGAAGTGGAACAGCTGCAGGCGGGAATACAATGTCAGGGAGGCCGCCTGGAGCGTCCTGAGAGAGGGAGAACAGCTCGACGCACCCGAATGAGCCCGTTGGTGCCGCTGCTGACGGCGATGCGCTCGCCCCACCACGCCTCCTGGCACCAGCTGACGGCCCACGCGCCGTCGCTCTCGACCGTCCCGCCGGCCCTCGCTCCTCCTGCACCGCCCGCTCCACCGGTACCGGTGCCCGTGCCCGACACGCTCGATGCGCTCGAGACCGAGGGGAACGGCGCTGCAGTCGAGCCCGCCGACGAGCTGGCGCCAACGCCGGCCGACGACGCACCGCTGGCGGCGCTCACGCCGCTCGCGAGCCCAAAGCCGTCGCCCGAGCCGACGAGCGCACCGGCCGTGCCCGGTCGCAGCTCGCCGTGTGCGCCATGGAGCGGTGCGGCGCTCGAGGGCGAGAGCGGGAGGGCGGCGAGGTCGACGTCGTCGCGCAGCTGCCAGTCGCGCAAGTTGAGCGGGTCGAGGCACTCCCACACGCGCAGGTGGCTGTCGCTCGACACGGCGGCGAGCTTGAGGCCGGCCTCGGGCGGGGCGAACGAGAGGGAGCGCAGGGTGCCGTGGGCGTCGAGGAGCGAGGCGGTGCAGGTCCAGCCGGGTGGAGGGCGGCCGTGCGAGTGCGAGTGCGAGTGGTCGTGGTGGTGCTGGTCGTGGTGGTCGTCGAGCCAGAGGTGGAGGGCGCCGTCGGAGCCGCCCGAAGCGAGGAGGTTGCCGAACGAGGGGTGGGCCCAGGCGAGTGCGAGGACGGGGCCGTCGTGGGCCTTCCACTCTCGCGGGTTGTGGTCCCAGGTGTGCGAGTCTGGGTGCTGGGTGGTGACGCGCACGTGGTGGTCGGCCGACGCGAGGGCGAGGTGGGTCGCGAGCGGGGAGAAGAGGGCGCAGGTGACGAGGTCGCTCGCGGGAGACGGGTGCGTCGACGTGTGGACCTGCATCAGGGAGCTAGCGTGAGCTCGGAGACCCAACTGAGCGCGTCAGAGAGAGACTCGCCATGGTGCCGCCGTGCCGAGGGTCGACGACGAGCGAGACGAGTCGCGAATCGCTTCCTCTCTGTCGTCCTCGCTCTCCTGCTGCTCGTCCAGGACACGCTCAGCGGCACCCGCAGCCTCACGAGCGACACCGCCACCGCGCCAGGCCATCGCTCCCGACTGGCTCGGCCTCGCTCTTCTCTCTCGCCGCCATCCCCGAGGTTCCCTCCCCCACCTCGCTCCCTCTCGACCCTCTCGACTCGCCGACCGCCAAGATGCCCTCAAACCCGTTACCCGTACACCTCCCAGGCGAGTGCCGCAAGGCCCAAAAGATCCTCGACTCGTTCGCGAACCGTCAGTCCCCGCTCCTCTCGTTCCTCGTCCTGCCGCTCCCCCTGCAGTCCTCGCAGTCTTTCCCCTCGCCTCGACATGAGTCCTAGCACTGACACTCGCCTCGACGTCCACAGCCGTCAACGGCCTCGACAACGTCGTCCCTGCCTCGGTCCTCCGCAAGGCCAAGGGCTTCTGCCTCCTCACGGTCGCCAAGGCCGGCTTCCTCTTCAGCGGCCGCGCCGGCACGGGCGTCGTCATCGCCCGTCTCGACGACGGCACCTGGTCGGCCCCGTCAGCGGTCGGCACTGCCGGCGCCGGCTTTGGCCTCCAGGTCGGCGTCGAACTCGCAGAGTTCCTCATCATCCTCAACTCGCGCGCCGCCGTCAAGAGCTTCATGTCCGCCGGCAGCCTCACCCTCGGCGGCAACATGTCGATCGCCGCCGGCCCGCTCGGCCGCAACCTCGAGGGCACGGGCGCCCTGTCGGCCAAAGGCGGCGTCGCCGCCATGTACTCGTACTCGCGGTCCAAGGGCCTGTTCGGTGGCGCGTCTGTCGAAGGGTCCATCATTGTCGAGCGCTCGGACGCCAACGCCAAGGCGTACGGCCAAAAGTGCGTCCCGCTCTCTCTTCCTCTTTCCTCCTCTCCTAGCCTCCTCAGGCTCACCCATCTTCTCGCGCCCGCAGCGTCACCGCCAAGCAGCTCCTCGCCGGCGCCATCGAGCCCCCGAGCTGGGCCCTCCCGCTCATCGAGACCATCTCGCGCCTCGCGACGCCGGCCCGCTCGCTCCCCGGCGGCGGCTGGTCGACCGACTCGCCCCTCGAGTCGCCCCGCGCGCCCTCGACCCCGGGCGACATTGCCGCCGACGAGGAGGGCTACTTCTCGCGCGCGAGGGCCCAGCGCCGCATCGAGGAGCAGCACGAGCAGGGCCTGACGCCGCGCGAGTACAAGGAGCGCGGGTACGCGTTCGGGAGCGCGTACGCCCAGGGCTCGTCGGCGTCGCCCTCGGCGGCCTCGAGCGGGTTCGCCGGCACCGGCGCCGGCGGGTACTCGAGCCCGGGCGCGACGGGCTCGCCGGTCAAGGACAAGGGCGGCCGGTTCGGCGCCATGCTCGGCAGCGTCGGGCGCAGCAGGAGCGGCAGCGGCAGCGCGAGCGCCCTCGGTGCGTCGTCGGCGTCGATGAGCAAGAAGAGCTCGCTCGGCGCGGGAGCGGGCACCTCGAGGTCGACGTCGGCGGCCCTCGACGACCCGTTCGCCGAGGGCGTCGCCGCCGGACCCGCGCCGCCGAGCGGCACCCGGTTCGAGACGCACTTTGCCGACGAGTTCGACTTTGACTCGGCGGCGGCGTCGGCCTCGCGCTCGGGCGGCCCGTCGCCCCAGGCGCAGACGCCGGCGACGACCGGCTCGGGCAAGCGCTCGCCGTTCGGGTTCGGCACGCTCGCGCGCGACAAGAACAAAGACAAGGGCGGCGACCGCGCCCACGACCAGGACCTCATGGCGTTCGACGGCGACGACGGCGACGACCACGGCGAGCGCGACGAGTACCCGTCGTCGAGTCGGCCGGCCACCTCGTCCCGCAAGGACGGCCCGATCTCGTCGCCCGACAAAGGTCGCTCCCGCGCCAGCTCGTCGGCCTCGAACGGCAACAACGGCGGCTCGTCGTCGTGGTTCTCCAAGTCGGCCTCGTCGTCGTCGTCGCGCCCCAAGTTGACCAAGAACCGCTCGTCGTCGAACGCGGCGGCGACGTCGGCCCTGCGCGAGCGCGCGAGCGCCATGCGGTGGGACGCCCAGCCGGGCGATCACGGCGGCGAGCCCGGCGCGTGGCGCGAGTTCGAGTCGGACCGCGGGCGAGGGCGCGACAGCTTTGACCTCCTCGACGACGACGACCGCGACCGCGACGGCATCGACGACTTTGGGCACCGCTCGTCGTCGCCGCCGTACGTTCACGGCATCGCGGCGAGGGACCGCGCGGCGACGCTCGCCGGCGGCGACACGCGCCGCGCACCGCCCGCCTCGGCGCTCGCAGCTGCAGGGGCCGGCCGAGCCCGCGCCGCGAGCTCAGCGACGCAGGGCCTCGGTGCGTCGGCGTACGTGCTCAAGCCGTGGGACGCGCCGAGTTCGGGTGCGGCGGCAGGGCGTGCGCGGTCGGGCACGGGCGGCAGCGGCGGGCTCGACCTGCGGCCGGTCGAGGCCGACTTTGAGCGCGTCCTGAGCTTGTCGAAGCATGGAGGGGACGGAGAGGTCGGCGCAGCGTCGGGCATTGGTGCGCCGAGCCCGGCGGGAGGGCGGAGCCGCAGTGGGACGGGTGGTGGGCTCGGGACGGCCGTCGCGCTGTTTGACTTTCCCGGCGTCGAGGTGCGCTCCCGCTCTCTCTCTCTCGCCCCTCTCTCTACAAGAGCCCTGACTGATGACGTACGTCACGCCTGTACGCAGTCGACTGACCTCCCGTTCAAGAAGGGCGACGCCATCACGATCCTCGCCATGGACGACGAGGAGTGGTGGAAGGGCCGCCTGCGCCTGCGCGAGGGCATGATCCCGCGCAACTACGTCGAGGCGCACTTTGCGTGACGGGCTCGGTGCGGCGGAACAGGGCAGGCGCAGGAGGACGAGGAGGGCTGGGGTTTGGGAGGGCCGCGAGGGCGGTCGAGAGGTGCGTCCGCTTCCCTTTCTCCCTCTTCCTTGTCAGGGACTGACATGAGCCTCTCCTCTGGCCATGCAGGACCCTACCGGCGAGGTGAACGGGCTAGATGAGGCAGATGGCGAGCGAGAAAGGCGACGAGGTGCGTCGCACTCGTTCCCTTCTCCTTCGGTCCGATTGACATGACCTGACCTCCTTCCTCCCACCGACGCAGTATGACCCACATGTAGCGCGACCATCGAGAAAGACCGAATGATCAAAAGCAGTACCCCGTCTCGGCCACTCGAGCGGCTTGACTTCAGCTTCCTGGAGAGCGAAACGGGCGCGATGACGAGGCAGAGCCGATGACAGAGCGAGAGCGGGAGCGAAAGGTGAAGCCTGGTCTCGATACGTCGTTGGAGCCTTACGGCGTCGAGAAAGAGCAAGGTCTGAGCGCGAGAAATCGACTCCCTCCTCGTCGACCTGCTCCTGAGCGCAGAGTCGTGTGAGCGGTACCGGTAATTGTCTGCAGATTTCGGGCCATCGTCGAGTGCCCGTCTCGACGGGTCGATCGAGCCCCGAGTGCCCAGGAAAGAGTGAGGTCTGAGCGCGAGGAATCGACTCCTCCCTCCTCGACCTGCTCCGAGTTCTTTGGCCGCTCGGGCTTCATCTGCGCCTCGGGACAGCAGCACGTTGCACCTCGTGATCCTCTGAGCTCTTTCGAGCTGAGCAAGATCGAGCGTGCCCTCCGACAGAGCAGCTTCAGGAAGAGGTCTGAGCGGCCTTCCCAAGGCGAGCGCTGCCCAGGAGAAGGTGCTTTCTGACGCCAGGTCCGCCTAGAGCGCCTCTCGCTGTTTGCGTCACGCTCTCACCGTCGTGCACGGATTTGCGTGTGACGACCGCGAGCGGCACAACCGAGAGCCGGCATTATTGCCCGCTCTCAAGCGAGCCTCTCCCTCCTCCTCGGCGCAAGGCTGTGCGGGAGCCAGGCGGGCCCGCAACTTGCTCGCTCGCTCACCGTGTCAGGACCAGAGCACGCAGAGAGCGCGAGAAGCGAGGAGCGAGAGCCCTCGAACGTCAAAGAGTCGCTCGGGCCGTAGCCAACGCAAGGGGGTCGAGTAACTGCATTGCCCCACCGCCCGCTGTACCGCCTCGCCCTCTCAGCCCTCCACCTTCAAGTCCGCGACGTGCTCGTCCGCCGCACCCTCGCCCGCCGGCGCACCAGCGAGCTGTCCCTCGCGGAGCGCGCGGTAGTTGACCTCGTCGAGCGTGCCGGCGTAGGCCGCGTCGCCCGGGCTCGTGCGCGCCGCGAGGAGGAGCGGCGTGAGGGTGCGGAGGGTGGTGCGGGGCGGGAGGAGCGACGGGGTCTTGGACGCCGAGTCGAGGGCGGAGGAGCAAGAGGAGGAGGCGAGGGTGCGGGTCGACGAGTGGGCCGAGAGGAGGGACGTGAGCGACGAGAGGAGCGCGGCAGCTGCGAGAGAGTGCGAGAGGATCAGTATGCGTGCACGAGAGAGGCGCGGCGGCGACAGGATCAGGGGTCTAAGTGGGACAAGAGGGCGAAATCGAGCCGACGCACCGTCCTCCTTTTCCTGCCTGCCCGCCTTGGTCAAGCCCTCCTCCTCGTCCTCCTGCTCCTCCTTCCTCGCCTCTTCTCCCGCATCGGCACGCGCCGCACCGCCCGCCGCCGCCGCCAGTGCCGGCCGCGCCCTCGCCGCCCGCCGCAGCCGCACGACCTGCGCCCGGCCGACCTGCGCAATGAGCTCGGCGTTGCGGCCCAGCCTCGCCTCGACGCCCTCCTCCGCCACCTCCTCTCCCTCCAGGACCCGCACGACCCCGTCGACGTCGATCCCGACCCCGCTGAGCGCGTCGCGCTCGTCGCGCGTGAGGCCGCCCTCGCGGCCCGCCGCGAGGCGCTCCTCGGCCCTGCGGGCGCGGAGCGCGCCGAGTGCGCGCGAGGCCGTGCGCGTGTAGGGCTCGGTGGCGCACGTCGAGTCGTGTGTCGGGGCGAGGGACGAGAGGAAGGGCGAGGGGTACGAGAGGAGGGCGGTCGGCTGGCGAGAGGGGTGGGTGGCTGCGCGGTGCGGCGAGGGGCGCGGAAGTTGAAGAGAAGGGGAGGGAGAGAGCGTCAGGAGGGTGAGGGTGACAGAAAGAGGGACTGGCGCGGACGCACCTGACGTCGGCTCGAGGCGCTCGAGGCGCAGGCCCGGTGCGCGCCCTGCCCGAGCTGCTGGCGGAACGTGCGGCGGGAATGCCGGCGCAGGAGGTGCGGGCGAGGCGTCGCCGAGTGAGGGGATGGGCGGTGCGGAAGAAGGTGAGGGCACGGAAGGGTGTACGGCGACGAGGTCCGTGTCGTCGACTGTTGGACGAGGACGAGGGTTCGCTCGTCAGTACTGACGCACTACCTCGACAGGGTGGGTACAGGAGGATCGAGGGACGCACGTGCTGCAAGGGTTTCGAGTTCTGCGTCCGAGAGGATGGCTGACGAGGTGAAGAGGTCGACGCCCGTCGCGAGGGTGCGGTGCAGCATGTAGCGGCGCGTCTTGGTCGGCGGCTGGGTGTCTGTCCTCGGTCGACATCAGGCTCGTCAGTAACTGCCGCAGAGAAGGGCCGAGGGAGAGGACGAGGCAGAGGGGACGGACCGGCGTCGTCGTCGCGCTTTACGCGCTTGGGCGACGAAGGCGCATCATCGTGGTGGTGGTCGAGCTGGTCCAAGAGGCGCTCGACGGTGCGCTGAAAGTCGTCCGTGTCGTTGAGGAGCCTCGCCGAGTCGAGGTCGTTGTTGGCAAAGTCGAGTGCCGAGGCGAGGAGGGCCGAGGTGGACGCCTCGCTGATGCAGGCGCGCAGGGTCGAGACGGACGCGAGCGGGGCGTCGGGTGCGAGGGCTCGGCGGAGGGTCGGGCCGGGTGCGAGTGGGGTCGACAGGGGCTGGTCGAGGATGAGCGGAGGCGCGAGGCTGTTGGTGGTGGTGGGGAGGAGAGTGAGCGGTGTGGCGGGGTAGTGGGACGAGGCACGAGAGTAGGGACGTACTCGTGGATGACGACGGCGAGCTTGTCGCGGTCCTGGTGCGACAGGCTCGAGTCTGTGTTGACCGGGGAGGGGGAGGAGGAGGAGGACGGGGGGAGGGTCAGCTCGACGGGCACGGCTCGAGGCGGTGTGGCGAGTGGACAGACCTGGTGGTGGACGAGCCTTTGTGCCTGCCATCGTGTCGAGGACTGCACAGCGGGTCGTCGACTTGAGCGAGCTGATCTGACCCTCGCCCTCGTCTTGATCTCCTCGCCGCCCCCGGCTCAACCTCGCACCACTGCCACCACCGCGCACCGACCAGCAGCCATGGTCTCGCGTGTCCTGCGAGCATCTCTCCGCGCCCCTTTGCCCTCGACCGCCCCTTCGTCCTCGGCCGCCTTCACCCGCCCCTGCCACAAGCTCGTCGTCCAGTACTCGGAACACCAAGGCTCCCACAAGGGCATGCGCAGCTTCCTCCAGTCTGGCATGCTCGCCCGCATCGCCCAACAACACCCGACCACCGAGGTCGTCGTCGAGCGCTCAGAGCACCAGGGCCGGCACCCGCTCCTCCGCGGCGTCTACCGTGCGCACACCCTCTCTCTCCTGCGTCCCCTGCCCCTCACTGACTCGCTCCACACTGCCCACAGTCAACGGCCGCACAAAGGAGATCTGCGTCCGCAACCTCCACCCGTCGTCCATCGCCCAAAAGGCCCAGCTCCTCCTCGACTCGTCCGGCGCCAAGATCGTCCCCATCCGTCGCCCGGGCGTCCAGAGCACCACCGACAGCGTCAGGGGCATGTGGAGCGCCTTCCACGACGAGCACCGCGCGTGACCGAGGCGAGCGTGTCGGCAGTTCTCGACGGCGACGAGCGCCGAGGAGCAGGAGCAGGAGACGGGCAGCAGGAGCTTGTTTGTATCGCTAGCCGCATCGTTTTAGTCCCTTCACTCTCTCTCTCTCTGTGCACACCCGACGAGAGCGCGAGCAGGAAAGAGCACCCAAGTTGCACGCCCTCTTCACGCTACCCAAGCTTGACCCTCGTCCTCCTCAGCAGCCACGCGACGGCGCACACGCTCGCCGCATACCCGGTCACGACCGCGACCGCGACCGCGTCCGAGGCGTACAGCGTCGAGAGCGACACGTTGCAGAGGCCCGTCAAGAGGTTGGCCTGCGAGCGGGCGAGGGCGTGAGCGCGCGTGCGACGATTGAGAGAGCGGAAGAGAGAGACGCACGACGAGAAAGACGGCGAGGCCGTTCTTGTTGATGGCGCTGAACAGCCTCGGCGGCGGGAGGACGGCGCCGTCCCTCGGCGGCGATGCAGCTCTCGCTGCCGAGCTCGGGGACAAGGACGATGCCGCAGACGCTCGAGAGGCCGTCGAGCCGCCGAGGTGGTGCACGGCGAGGTACAGCACGAGGAACGACGTGTTGAACGCGGCCGTCCACAGGACGTACGGCGCGTTGGCCTGTCGCACGACGACGAGATTGTCAGTTTCCCAGCTCATCGCTCGCTCGCTCGCCTCATCCTCGAGAGCAAGAGAGAGAAGCCAGACGCACCAGTCTCCTCGACACGCCTCCCGGCGTCGCGAGCCGCACGAGCGCGCACGCGGCCCAGAAGCACACGGCGGCGCTCGCGAGCCACTCTGCGCGCTTGCCCTCGCGCGCCCGGCTCGGGTCGGCCGCCTTGGCGCGCTTGTCGGCGAGGCGGCGCTGCTCGGCGACCGAGGTGGACGACGAGGACGAGAGGGACGAGGCCGAGGGAGGGAGCGCGTGCAGGCGGAAGAAGGAAGGCGAGGGCGGGAGCACGTACAGGCCCGTCGCGAGGCCGACGAGGTAGATGGCGAGGTACCCTGCGCGTTGCCGGTATGTCAGTCTGCGCGCTCGAGAACGCTGGTGGAGCAAAAAGGGGAGAGGGGGCGCACCAGGGAAGGACGTCAGGCCCTCCTTGTTCTGGCTCACGAGGCTCGTGCGCGGCGCCTCGAGCGCCCAGCGCTGCAGGCCCGTCATGCGCAGGAGCACCTCGTGCACTGCGTGCGCCGCATTCGCTGTCAGGAGATACGCACGAGATACTGGAGGAGGAACGAGAGACGCACAAAAGGCGACGCCGAGCCCGGCGGCGTGCACGTCCCACGCTCGAGCGACCGCGACGCGTGCGACGGCCTCGCCAAAGACGGGCAGGAGCGCGAGCGTGAAGAAGAAGTTCCAGTGCACGCCGTACTCGGTGACGTGCTCCTGCGTGTCAGGGAAGTCAATAAAGTACGAGCGCGAGGGGGGGAGGAGGGCATGAGCGCACAGGGTAGTCGACGCCCTTGACCATGACGACGCGGACGAGACCGAGGACGACGAGTGGCGCCGTCTTGCGAGCCGTGCGCGCGAGCGACGCCAAGTAGCTCGCGAGGGTCGAGGTCGAGGCGCTGCGAGGAAGGGCGGCCTCGCGCAGGAACGGCAGGGCGGCGACGAGGCCGAGCGAGAAGACGAAGGACCCGACGCCGAGGTCCATCTGTCGACGCGCGAGTGTGTCAGTCGGCGTAACACAGGCGGCGCAAAGGAGAGACAGAGAGCGGGACGCACGAGCGAGGTCCCCCATGACTCGGCCTTGGCAAACTCGCGCGGGAACGCCGGAAAGTCGACGGCGAGGATGCACAGGACCGTCATGACCATCATGACGGCGCGGTAGCTCGTCACGAACGGTCTCGCGAACGGCTGCGGCGGCGCAGGCCAGCGCCGCTTGTCGTCGTCGCTGGAGCCCTTCTTGGACAGGGTGGGCGACAGCGGCGGCGTGAGGGACTCGCGCTCGGGGAGGCGGGACCACAGGGCGGCGAAGAGGGTGAGGACGAGGTTGACGACGTAAGGGTGCGACGAGAGGACGGTGAGGGACAGGAGGAGGGGGAGGACGAGGATGGTGAACTCGACGAGCGGGACCGTGGGGTCGCTCGACGAGAGGTTGGCGAGCCACCGGCGGTGTGCGACGGTCCACAACGCGTACGAGGTCTGGGTGGCAGCAAGGTAGCCGAAGGAGGGTAAGGAGCTGAGATGCGAGAGCAGGTTCGAAGGAGGGGAGGAGAGGGGGAGCGGACCACTGCGACGAGCGAGACGGCGTTGATGCGCGAGACGGTGCCGCCGGTGGCATGCGACACAAAGGCCTCCTTGTCCTCCTTGTAGCCCATGCGGCAGCAGAGTCGAGCCGAGCGATGGGGAGAGGAGCAACGAGCGATTGGCTCACCTTCGCCGTCGCCGTCTCTCCGTCACCACCTACAGCTAGCCTGCACGCCGAGCTAGCCATGAGCGCACCACGAGCAGTCGCCCGCCTCGCCCAGGCCACCCGCGCAGCTGTGCGCCCTCAGCTCGCCGTCCGCCCCGCCGCCCTCCGCGCCGTCGCCTCGCGCTCCTTCTCGACCTCGCACGCCGCGAGCCAGGCCGGTGAGTCCGACCCGTCTCGCACCTCTGTGCCCGCATGCGCAGCGCACGAGCACCTCGCCCCGGCCCCACGAGCTGACCCGTGCCACCCTCTCCTCCCTCCCTCCCTCCCTCCTCGTCCTCATCGCCCTCGCAACCCCTCGCAGTCCCGACTGGCAAGGAGTCGCCCTTCACCGAGCCGGCCGGCGTCAACCCGGCCGAGGCGTCGCAGCCCTTCTCGGCCCAGCTGCAAGAGTTCGGCGCGTGGATCATGGCCTCGCTGCCCAAATACGTCCAGCAGACGAGCGTCTACAAGGACGAGTTGACCATCTACGTCGCCCCGTCGGCCATCGAGCCCACCATGCTCTTCCTGCGCGACCACACCAACACGCAGTACAAGCAGGTCATGGACATCTGCGGCGCCGACTACCCGACCCGCTCCAAGCGCTTCGAGGTCGTGTACCACCTTCTCTCGGTCCGCCACAACCACCGCCTGCGCGTCAAGACGTACGCCGACGAGACATCGCCCGTCCCGTCCATCTGCCACATCTACCGCGGCGCAGACTGGTGCGTCCCCTTCGTCTTGGTCGTCATCCCGGCAGACCTCGAGCCTGACCCTCTCGGCGCACCTGCAGGTACGAGCGCGAGGCGTGGGACATGTACGGTATCCTGTTCTCGGGCCACCCGGACTTGCGCCGCATCCTCACCGACTACGGCTTCGAGGGCCACCCGCTCCGCAAGGACTTCCCCTTGACGGTGCGCCCGCCTCTCTCCGTCTCTTGGTCCTCCTCCAGGCAGGACATGCGACTTACGGGTTCCCTCCATGCGCACAGGGCTACACCGAGGTGCGCTACGACGAGGAGAAGAAGCGCGTCGTGTCGGAGCCGCTGCAGCTCTCGCAGGCGTTCCGCAACTTCGAGGGCGCGACCTCTGTGCGTCCCCCCTTTTCTCTCTCTCTCTCTCTCTCGCTTCAGGAGCTCCACTGACCTCGTCTCGACGCACACACGCAGCCGTGGGAGGGCACGGGCACGGGCATCGACGCGCGCGCGCCCCAGTTTGTGCTGCAGCCGCCCAAGGAGGACGAGGCCGACAAGGCCAAGCAGGACCAGGCGACCAAGAAGTGAGCGCGCTCGCTCGTGTGCGTCGGCGGTGTCGTCGAGGAGGACAGTGTAGAGAGCGAGGAGAGCGGGTGCAACGGCCTTTCTGTGCTTCTGTCGCCGCGCGCGAGTCGAGCTGTCGAGGAGGAAGCGGTCGTCTCGTTCTCGAGGCGCGTTCTCTGCGCGAGTCCTGCAGTGCCCTTGCGAGTTGTACTCTGGGTGTCCAGGTCCGGCCTGTCTGTGCGAGAGCGAGTGCGCGCTCCGCCATCTGGTCCTCGTCGTTCGCTGCGGTCGCCGTCCTCCGTCTTGGCTCGGCTCCCCTCTCGCTCGCAACTTCCCGACCTCGACAGCCCGACTCAGCACCTCGCGCGGCCTACTCAGCTCGCTCACACGACCCGCCGCCGCCCTCGACCCCACTTTCGCGCTCCTCCTCCGGCACCTCGTCGACCTCGACAGCCCAGCGCACGGCCCGGTCCCGGCACAGCGCTCGCAGGATGGTGCAGACGGTCAAGCTCGTCGTGCTCGGCGATGGCGGCGTCGGCAAGACGGCCCTCACGCTCCGCCTCGCGCTCAACTACTTTGGTGCGTCTCTCGCTCCCTCTCGGTGCGAGGTCGACGCAGCGAAACATACTGACACTCGCCTCTGCACACAGTCGAGGTGCGCACGAGCTTCCCCGCCCCCATCTCGCCTTTGCGTCGCCCTCTCGCTGACCTCGCCCTTGCACCGCCCTGCCGCAGACTTACGACCCTACAATCGGTGCGTGGGCCAGCTCGGAGCACCTCAGCAGGTCCGACAACTGACGAGCGACGGTCTCTTACCCGCAGAGGACTCGTACCGCAAGCACGCGATCATCGACGGCCAGCCCTACATGCTCGAGATCCTCGACACGGCGGGACAGGGTGCGTCCTGCGCTCCTCTTCCTCTCCTGTCGCCTCTCGAGAGCCCGTACTGACACCTGATCCGTCGCGCAGAGGAGTACACGGCGCTGCGAGACCAGTGGATCCGGTGCGTCGACCATCGAGCTGTTCCCGGGTCGCTGTCTCTCTCTCGCCTCGACGAGCGAGTCATTGACCCTGCCACCTCTCGGCCGTGCACAGAGAAGGCGAGGGCTTCCTCATCGTGTACTCGACGACCTCGCGCGCCTCGTTCGACCGGGTCGAGCGCTTCCGGCACCAGGTGGCGCGCGTCAAGGACAGCGACAGCGTGCCCGTCGTCCTCGTCGGCAACAAGATCGACCGCGTCCACGAGCGCGAGGTCGAGACGCGGCACGGCGAGGAGTTGGCCAAGCGGCTCGGGTGCGCCTTTATCGAGACGAGCGCAAAGACGAGGGTCAACCTCGAGGAGGCGTACTTTATGGCCGTGCGCATGAGTGCGTCCCTGATTCTCCTCTCTCTCTCTCCTTTCCTCAAGTGAGTCGAGCCCCTGACACTCGTGTGCGCCCGCAGTCGAGGCTCGGAAAGGTGGCACGGCGGCCAAGCCTGTTCGGCAGAAGACCAAGAAGCAGCGGAAATGCTCGATCCTCTGAGCCTGCCCGCCTCGCTCCAGCCCTTCGACCGACCGTCCCCATGTCCATACACGCACAGCCCGACCCCCTCTCTATCCCTCGTCGCCCCGCCTCTGCATGCCTCGTCCCCTTTCCCCCCCTCTTTGCCTCTCTCTCCTCGCTCCCTCGTCCCGTCCTGGTCCCCCTCGGTAGCTCGTCGTCGTTCAGCAGTCCTATACCATGCACAGCTCGCTCTCTTGCCCTCTCTCTCCCTCCCCATTTCGAGTGCGCGAGAGGCTCTCCACATCCGTCGAGAGGAAGAGAACGGGCGGCCCGTGCACGAGCGAGTCGGCGCTCGAGCGCGCTCGGTTAGGCCTCGTGCGCTCGCTCGACGACGAGCCCAGCGTCAAGCTCGCCCCGTCGAGTCCCGAGTCGAGGCCGGCTGCCTTGCTTCGCCCTCTCGCACGCCGGGAAGAGCGAGAGCGTCCCAGAAGAGCTCTCCCAGACTCGGTCCGACTCGACTCTGTGAGCGACGCGAGGTCGAGACGAGGACGCGAGGACCGAGAGAAAGTACAGGTTGCCTGAGAGGGTCGCACATCTACGGGCAGACGGAGGATGCGACAACGAGGGTGGGAGAAAGAGGGGGAGCGAGGAGGGGCTAGTGCGGGTGCATGAAGGCTTTTCGGGGAGGGGGAGGGGAGTACGAGAGCGCCTTCTGTGGGCACGTTGAGCGCAAAGGGGGACGAGAAAATAGAGAGGAGGGGGCTCTAGACGACGAGGTTGAGCCGGGACGAGAGCTCTGCCTGGGTCTTGATGACGTTGGCGAGGTAGCTCACCTGCGAGGGCACGAGTGCGAGCGTCAGTCTCGTGATCATGCGGAAAAGAGAGAGAGCAAGAGGGACGGACCATGAGGACGTCGGCGAGGTGCGAGTTGAACTCCTCCTCAAAGTCCTTGCGGTCGCCGTCCTTGGCCGCGACGGCGCCCTCCTGCGCCTCGTCGACGGGTGCGGCCCTCGGGACGTGACCGACCGTCTCGAGGAGGGCGCGGCCGACCTTGTCGTCGCCCTCGCGCTCGCCAGACGCGACAGCCCGGACGTACTCGAGGACGAGGTCGAGCATCGACTCGACGCGGGCGAGGAGCTGGGCGAGGCTCGCGAGGGCGGACCCGGGGACGTAGTCTGGCGCGACCGTCTCGGGGGCGAGGGGGTGCTGGAGCTCGGTCGAGAGGGCCGAGAGGTTGCGGGACAAGAGGTCGAGGCCGGGTCGCTCGTGCTCGGGGACCTCGAGGGCGGCGTCGACGGGGAGGAAGGCGAGGTGGGCGCCCGAGCCGGCCGTGCCCTGGGTCTGGGCGTTGCCGCCGAGCGGGGCCGAGACGTAGGCGGCAAAGGCGAGCGATTCCGGGTCGAGGGTGAGGTGGACGGCCGGGTGCGGGTTGGACTCGGAGCCGTAAAAGTTGTGGATCAGGGCCGAGAACGAGTTGAGGTGGCTCGACGAGGCGAACCAGCCGACGACGTGCTCGCGCGGGTGGACCTTGGTGTGCAAGTCGACCATGGCACGGTGGTGGTCCATGTCGATCGTGACCTGGCCCTTGCCGCGCACCTCGTGCGGGACGGCGAACGCCGAGCGGACGTGGACCGAGTTGTCCGTGTCGGAGCGGACGCCGAGTAGGGTACCAAAGACGCGGTCCTGGGACGTGGTGCGACGCAGGTGGGCGTCGAGGATGGTCGCGAGGACGACCGGGTGGGCGTCGACGCGGGCGACGGGGCGCGACGCGGCGAGCGAGGTCGAGGGAAGGTTGAGGGTGAGCGACATGTTGAGCCGAGGTGAGGTCGACGACGAGGGAGAGATGAGGATGGAGGAGGAGGGAGGAGGAGGAGCGAGAGGGGAAGCGAGTCGAGGACGCTGGACGGGGTTGCGGGGCTCGAGTTGGAAGGGGTGGGAGCGAGTGCCAGAGGCGACAACTAGCAGGCTGGCTCAAACGGGAGGGAAGAACCGTGGACGAAACGAAGCGACGACTCCGCCGCGTGAGCTCGAGAGGGGGCGACAAAGGCCCGGAGCTCTCCTCCTCGGTAGCGAGCTCTCTGCCCCCTCGGTGCACCGTACTACCTCACCATGGCCTCGACTGCCTTCACAGACGACTTTACCTCGAACCACGGCGGCCTGTGCTTCTTCGTCGACGTCGACCCCGCCTTCGACCACCAGGCGCGTCCACCCTCCCGCCCTCTCTCTCTCTGGAACCCGCCCAGGGTCCACCCGGTGCTTACTCTCTCCTCCCACCACCTACGCACAGGTCTCCGAGGCCGCCACCGTCCTCGCCCGCTCCCGGCCAGAGGGCGACCGCGCCGCCTTCATCCAGGACCTCGTCGACCAGGCCACCACTGCCCTCCCTCCCGCACCCGAGCCCACCCAGCGCGACCACGACGACGACGACGACGACGACGACGAGCCCGCAAAGGCCCAGGACACGCCCGAGTCGCGCAGCGCAAAGCGCCAGGTCGTCGCCCACCTCGTCCAGGCTCTCGACGGCCACCGCCTCGAGGCCTCGTCCGACAAGGAGTTCGAGGGCCTCGCCAATCTCGTCCTCGCCCTCGTCCTGTCGCACTACACCCCGGCCGACACCGAGTACAACTCGCTCCTCTCGACCCTCGCCGACGCCCTCACCACCACCACCACCACCACCTCGTCCCCCTCTTCGTCCACCCCGGCAAAGGCCTCGGCCGCACCCTCGCTCGCCGCGCGCTACGCGTCCCTCGCCACCCTCTTCAACGCGCTCCCGACCGAGGGCGCCGCCGACCTGCGCCTCTCGCTCCTCCTCAAGCTCGTCGCGTTCGCCGCCGCCAACGACGACCTGAGCGTCGTCGCCCCCGCGCTCGCCAAGCTCGAGCACTGGCTCGCCGAGTGGAACCTCGGCGCCGACAAGAGCGACGCCGCCGTGCGCGACGTCGTCGCCCACCTCGTCGCCCACGGCCACGCCAAGCAGGCGCGTGAGCTCCTCGCGTCGCACCTCGCCGCGTCCAAGGACCACCAGTCGAGCGTCGCGCCCGAGCTCGCAGCGACCCTCGTCGCCCTGTCGCTCGCCGCACCCGACGTGTACGACTTCCACGCCCTGACGCCCGCGCGCGTCCCGGCCCTCGCGTCCCTCCCCTCGTCCCTCTCGACCCTCCTCTCGCGCTTCCAGGCCTCGTCGTCGTCCTCCTCGCCCTCGTACCCGTCCAACATCCCGCAAGACGCCCTCGAGGCCGTTCCCGGCGTCCCGCTCAGCAAGGCCCAGCTCGAGCACAAGCTGCGCCTCGTTCAGCTCGCCGACCTGTGCGCCGAGCGCGTCGGCCAGACCGTGTCGTACGACGAGATTGCCAAGGCGTGCGGCGTCGAGGCGCAGAAGGGCAGCGAGGAGGAGAGCGAGGAGGTCGAGGGCTGGGTCATCGACGGTCCGTCTCTCTCTCTCTCTCCCTCCCTCCCCCTTCTCTCGGCCCCTCTCTCTCTCTCGTGCACCTCTCTGACAACTTCTTGTCCTTCCCGCACGCGCAGCCATCCGCGCCTCGCTCCTCCTCGGCCGCCTCTCGCAGCCCTCGCGCACCCTGTCCGTCTCGCGCGCGTCCCCGGTCCAGGCCTTTACGCCCCAGCACTGGGCCACGGTCCAGCAGCGCCTCGAGGGCTGGAAGGTGAGCCTCGGGCGCGTGCGCGCGAGCGTCGACCGGGCGCTCGGCGTCAGCTCGGGCGCCGGCGCGGCAGAGGTCGTCGGCGACAGGCGTCGTGGCGGCGAGCAGCAGCACGACGACGAGCAGTAGGTGGGTCATCGGCGAGACGACGCGAGAGTGTGCGTGCGTGTAGACGGCTCCCCTCTTCTCCTTTTCCATGTGTTTCCCCTCTTCTTCGACATGTGCAACGCAAAAACGGCTCGATTGCCCCAAAGTCTCGCTTTCCACTCGAGAGCTGCAAAGGAGAAGAGGAGAACATCGTCTGCATTGAGCACGCTCGAGACAAGAAGAGGCTACGACCCGCCGCCCCCGCCGAGCCCGGCAAAGTCCTCCAGGCGGACCTTGGCCCGCTCGATCGGGTGCTGGACAGCGATGCCCGCCCTGACGAGAAAGGCGACGAGCTCGGGCGGGTACGAGCCCGTGCCGTCGTCGCGTGTCGAGCCGCTGTCGGGTCCTGGTGCCGCAGAGAGGGACGGCGAGGTGTCGAGCCAGGGATCCGAGGGGACGAGGACCGAGCGGTTGAGGAGGACCTGCGAGGGCGTGGGCAAGAGCGTGAGCACTCCTACGAGTCGAGCTAAACCTAGCTCGCCGTGCACGATGGCGAGCTAGGCGAGGTCGAGCGAGAACGAGCGACGCACCTCGAGGAGCTTCTTGACCTGGAACGCGCGCGTCTCGGGTTGGCGCTCGGGCTCGTCGGGTGCTGGCGCGCCGTCCGAGGCGCCGGAGGTCACGGCTTTTGCGGTACCGAGGATGCGCATGGCAGGGTCGGCGCGGATCCACTCGCCGAGGTCGAACGACGATGAGGAGGTCGAAGTAGGAATCTGTTCGGGCGAGAGAGGGTGTCAGTGTCGCTCGTCAAAGATAGACGACCTAGAGAACGTGAGGGGCGCACCTTGCTGAGCCGTCGCCGCTTTGTCACTCGACCGCCGACGCTCGGACCCGCTCCCTCCCCCTGTTTCTCCTCCTCCGCACGGACCTCTCCCTCCCTCTCGCTCGAGCTGTCCGCCGCTCCGCCCTCGCCCTCCTCAAGCGCTTCGGCGGCCGGCGCTGCAGGACCACCGAGAGCGAGCTGGTCGACGAACTCGACGAGCGCTCGCTGGAGCGCCTCGGTGCGCCGCGAGAGGTGGCGTACGAGGCCCTGCGTGCGGCTGCGCGCGAGAGGGCGACAAGCAGTCAGCACGGTGAACGTGCTGGCGGAACATCCAGGGAAGGAGGGAGAGAGACGCACAGAACGAGGATGTCGCCAGCTGCCCGAGGCGAAAACGTGTCGTTGGCGGTCGACGCACGAGCTGCGAGGGTGGCGTACAGGGTCGTCGCGTCTTGAAGATAGATCTTGTCCCTGCAAGGGCGGCAAGAAAACGAGTCAATCAATCTTGTGCCCTCGGCGAGACGGGAAGACAAGTTTGAGGTCGCCCACGCACATGTCGAGCGCGTCCACCTCGTCCTCTTTCCGCTGCGTCTCCCAGGCGATCGTCTTCTCGAGCTCATCGACAGTGTTGACGACCTCGAGGCGAGCCTGCTCGTTCATGCGGAGCTCGGACGTTGGCGACGAGGTCTTGGCTGTACGGGCGCGAGAGCAAGGGCGAGCTTGGTGAGCCCCGACTCGGGACGAGGCAAGGAGAACTGGGACGCACACGAGCGTAGGACCGAGAGGGACGCTTCGACGCTTGCAAGCTCGAACTCGAGGGCTGTGACGCGCTGCAGGTTCGAGGAGGTCAGTCGGTTGTGTGGAAAGTAGAGAGGAAACCGCTCTGGCGCACCTTGAGCGCATCGTTCGACTCCTCTGGCTCTTCTGGCAGTCGTTCGAGCTGTTCCTCGACCTGTCGCGCGTAGTGCGAGGTCAGCTGGGGGCACGAGGAGAGGGAGGAAGGGGACGGAGGAACGCACCTGGAGGATCTCGCACCGCAGCAGCTCGTTCTCGGCCTCGCACGCGGCTGCTTCAGCCTTGTACCAGTCGACGGGCTCGACGGGCGAGTCGGCGTCGCCGTGCGAGTTGGTCATGGCGGGTCGAGGGTCGCGTTGGTTGACGCGAGCGATGAGGCGAGGGAACGAGGAGGAGCGGTCGGCGAGCCGTGTGACGCAGCGAGAGTGGTCGGGTGTAGTCTAAAGAGGCTCTGCAGCTGTGCAGCTTGGCCTGCAGGACGCGGCAGCCTTGTCGACGAGGCGGACGACGACCAGCTCCTCCTCTCGCTCTTGTCGCCTCGCACACGCGCACAGCTCGAACGCGACAGCTATCGAGGCCCTTGGAAGCATGCTCTGAGCTCCATGCGCGCAACGACCCGCGGCGCCCTGCATCACCTCCTCCCGCGACGAGCTGTCAAAGCCCACGACCTCCCTCCCCTTCCCCCGCACGCCGTCCTTCATTCGACGACGAGATTCACCGAGAAGAAGAGCGCCTTCGAGGGCCATGCCGTCCGCGTCAAGTCGGTCGACGAGGTGCGCCCCCGTCGGTCTCGCATCGCCGTCTCCTCTCGTGCGGCGGCTCACGCTCTCGCACCTCTGCAGGCGACACTCGCGCTGCAGCACATCCTCACGGGCAAGAAGATGAGCAAGGCTACGTGTGTCCACGTTTTCGCTTCCTCTGCTGCGTGCTGGAGCAGAGCCCGCTCACAGTCGCCTCGCCCTCCTCCTCGCAGGCACCACATCCTGGCCTGGCGCTTCTCATCGGCATCGGCCTCATCAAGCTCGACGTCGGCGGCCGGCAGCGACTGCGACGGCGAGCCGCCGGCGGGCAAGAACCTTCTCGAGCTGCTCCACAAGCTGGTGCGCCCTCCTCCCGCTCTCTCTGCAGCCGGCCGCACGAGTCCCTGACCTGGTTCTGTTCCGCAGAACGTCGAGGACGTCCTTGTCGTCGTCACGAGGTGGTACGGCGGCGTGCCCATGGGTCCTGACCGCTTTCGGGTCATCAACGCCGTCCGTTCCTTTCTCTCTTCGTTCTTCGACCATTTCTGCGTCGAGCCACCCTGACCTCGCCGCCCGTGCAGGTTGGCAAGGACGCTCTCGCTCTCGGCGGGTTCCTGTCGCACGGACGAGGGACGGGCAGCAATACGCAGGGCTGAAAGTGCAAGAGAGGCTCGAGAGCCGGAGGAACGACAAGGGGGCAGGCAAGACGAGGACAGAGTGTCTAGAGGGGTGGCTGGAACAGAGACAGATGCGGGTATCGACAATGAAACGAGAGCACAACAGGTCTGGCACCGCGAGAGAGAGAGGAAGGAGAGGCAGTCCCGCTGCCCGTCGTCGACTCTCACGCCTCGTCCTCCTTCTCACCCTTGAGCGCCGCCATCCTCTTCTCCCTCCTCCTGCCCGCCGTCCGCTCGCTCTGCACGACGAGCACGTACTCTGCCGCCGCGCTCGCCTCGCCGAGCAGGAGCGCCGTCCCGGCCTCGCCGACCGCCCGCCGCACCTCGCTGCTCGCGCACACGCTGCCCCTCGCCGCCCCGCCCTCGAGCAGGGCACGCGACTCGGCACGGTGGCTCGGTGCGTCGACTCGCGAACGCCCGACGAGCACGAGCGTCGGCTCGGTGAGCGCGCCGACCCGCCGCCGCAGCGTCGCGAGCGGGAACGCCGTCTGGACACGCTCGACGCGTAGCGCGCCGCCGGCGGTCGTCGACGCGAGCGCCTCGATGGCCGAGAGCGCGACGTCGTCGGCCGTCTCGCTCGCGAGGCCGTGCGGCGCGTGCAGCGACCCGTAGTGCGTCTCGCCCGCGCGCGTCGTCAGGCCGTACCCGTGCCCATGCCCGTGCGTGACCGTGTGCAGGTGCGACAGCGCCGGCGACGCGAGCGGACCTGCGCTGCTGCTGCCGCCGTCCTCGCCGCCCGACGTCGTGGCCTTGACCTCGAGGCCGGCGACGGCGTCCACGCGGTCCTCGTCGGTCGGCTCGGGAGCTCGCTCGAGGACGAGGACCGTCGCGCTCAGGGCGCCGCCTGCGCGCTGCACGAGCTGCGAGAGGAGCGACAGGCACGCGCGGTCGTCTGCGCCGCCGAAAAAGGGGAGGAAGAGGTGGCGGGGCGCGCCGGCGGGCGAGACGCACGTCGTCGACGAGCGATCGAGGAGCACGCCAACGTCGCACGACGTGTCGAGGAAGACGTCGCGGAGGAAGGCGGCGAAGAGGGGCGCGCCGGCGTTGGCGGCCGAGTTGACGTTGGCGGTCGAGGCGGAAGGAGCGTTGGCGGACGAGTTGCCGAACAGCGCCTCGAATGGGTTCGGGACTGTCGAAGTAGGGTTGTCAGTACTCCGTGACCGAGGCAGACGGTGCGCTCGAGGGGCGCCATGAGGAAGGAAGGGAGAGAGGGAGAGAGAGAGGGACGCACTGAACGACTCAACGACGCCCGGCTGGTCGACCTCGCCCTTGCCCCCGCCGAGCCGCCACGACAGGAGCAGCATGTCCTGCTCGCCCTCCTTTGCGCACCGCGCCACCGTCTCTGCCCAGTTCTCGAGGCCCGTCATGGCAAACTCGCCCCGCTCGAGCGCGACCCTGCCCGCGAACAGCGACGCGAACGTACGCACGAGCGCGACGAGCGGGTCGCGCGCGAGGTGCGTCGCCGCCTCCTCCGAGGCGAGCATGACGCCCGACGTGCGCTCCGTCAACTCGACGAGGCGCAGCGGCGTGAGCGAGAGGGGCGCGCTGGGCGGCGGCCCGGGCGCCGTTGCCGAGGTCGCGCTCGTCGTCGCCGTCGTCGAGTTGGCCGTCAGGCGGGCGTCGTCCGACTTGAGCGTGCTCGCCTCGGCGCCTGCTGGCGCCGCAGCAGCCGCGGCCGGCGGCGGACCGACCATCGAGCTGCCCGCCGCGAGGAGGTGCGTGAGGACCATGGCGCCGCCGAGCGCCTCGAGCTGGTCAAGCACGACGGCGAATCGAGTGCGCTGCTGCGCGACGCCGCCGAAGCCGGGCTTGTCGATCGACGACGACGAGCGGGCGAGGTCCTTCGAGTCGGGGCTCGCGGCGTCTGCTCGGGCTGAGGGGCGAACGTGCGGAGGGTAAAAGGCGAGGGCGAGAGGCGTAGCCGCGAGAGTGAGGACGCTGTGGGCATTCTGGCAAGTCAGTCCCTGCGCTCAAACGAGGGAGAGGGCCGTGCGCGAGGAGGACGAGGGAACGTACACAGCCTCGAGTACCTAGCGGGCGAGAGGCAAGTCAGTTTGACGTCGCACGGTCGAGTACGTCCACAGAGGAAGACGCACAAAGATAGAGAAGACGGTCTGCGTGATGATGCCCGCCGCGAGTCCCTGTCCGAGGACGATGAGCTCGATCTGCGAGCAAGGCAAAGATGTCAGGCTCGACCGTTCTCTTGGACACAGAGGGCAGCGAGTGAGACGCACAAGACCCTTGGCGCTCATGAGTGAGCCGACGGCGCCCGCCTGGCGCCACGAGAAGCCCGTTGCGCGTGACGCGAGCGCGCTGCCGATGAACTTGCCGAGGAAGGCGACGACCATGACGCAGACGGTCCAACCCCTGCGCGCACGTCGGTCGGGTCAGTGAGGCTCGAGGGTGTCGGGAAGAGAACGAGGCGCGTGCGAGAAGGGGCTGGAAAAGAGGGAGAGAGGACGCACCAGATCGTGCCCGTGTTGAGGAGCGTCAAGTCGGTGTTGAGGCCGCTCGTGGCAAAGTACAGCGGCAGGAACAGGCACAGGATGAGGTCCTCGATCTTGGCGGCAAAGTGATGGCCGAGCGACCGCGGGATGATGAGGCCGACAAGGAAGCCTGCGAGGGCGACCGAGGAAAGAGTCAGTGCGGGGCGCAGGAGCCATGCGAGGAAGACGTGGACGCACCGCCAAAGATCTCGCTGGAACCGACGACTTGCGCGAACCATGCCGCGACGAGTACGAGGGCGAGGACGGCGCAGACGTAGCCCTGGGTCGGGCCGTCGGGTCGGCTGAACGAGCCCGTGCTGCGTGCGAGCCACACGAGGGCAGGCCGGCAGACGAAGTACAGGAAGAGCCACCTGCACGTGTGCGGTGTCAACACGGTCGTCGACGGACAGAGAAGGAGAGGAGAGAGGGGACGCACAGGCCGACGAGGCAGCAGAGGACGTATACGACGACGACGCCGCTGCCAGACGAAGCTAAGGCGATGGCGAGCGACAGGAGGCACCATCCGAGAACGTCGTTGACGACGCCCGACGCCAAGACGACGAGGCCGACCGGGTCCTGGAACAGGTGCAGGTCGCCGAGGATGCGCGACAGGACCGGGAACGCCGTGATGCTCATCGACGTCCCGATGAAGACGAGGAAGGTCGACTGCGACACGTCGTCCGGGATGAAGGCGTCGTACAGGCCGAAGCTGACGCCGCACCCGAGGGCGAACGGGACGAGGAGGCCGGCGGTCGACACGGCGATGGTCGGCTTGGCGTTGCGGCGCAAGAGGCTGAAGTCGACGTCGGTCCCAACGCAGAACAGGAACAGGACGAGGCCGAGGTTGCTGATGAGGGTGAGGTAGCTGATCGACTCGGGCGGGAAGATGTTGTCGGTGAAGCCCGGCACGCGGCCGAACGCGGTCGGGCCCAGGAGGATGCCGGCGACGATCTCGCACACGACGCGAGGGACGCGGAACCGCCCAAAGACGAAGGCGAGGCCTCGGCTGAGGGCGAGGATGATGCACAGCTGGACGATGACGAGAAGGAGAGGGCTGCGGGACGAAGGACGAGGTCGCGAAGGAGAGGGAGAAGGGTGGGAGGGGGGGGGATCAGTTCTATCGACTCGCTGAGAAGAAGGCGGGAGGTGGACGCACTTGGAGGAGTTGACGACGATGGGGTTGTCGCCATTGAGGATGTTGATCGAGTGGCCGCCTGCGTGCGTCGGCTCTGCGACGGTAGTCGAGAAGACCTCGCCCACGGTCGCCGTAGCCGTGAAGATGACCGAGCTGGCCATGGCTCAGGGAGCCTCGCCGGGCGTGTGCGGGTGCGTGAGGTCGAGCGAGGTGCCGAGGAGGAGGAGGGGGCGGGGGCGATGTGCGCGAGTCGGAGTGGCGGTGCGCGGTCGGCTGTGAGCCTGTCGCGATGCGTGTGTGGAGCACGTCGAGTTGGCGACTAGCTCGCTTGGACGTGGTGAAGGAGCGAGGACGAGAGCCGCGTCGTCGGCTCGTCGGCTCTTGGCCCTCTCGCCACCTCCAGCTGTCGAGGCTCGTGCTTGGGCGCGTGCGCCGCGTCGTCAGACTCGCATCGTGCGCTCCACGCGCATCAAGCTCGCGCCGCGGCCGGCCTCACACCGAGGTGCGCCTCCTCTCTCATCTTCATCAGTCGTCGCGCCGTGCTCGTCGGTGAGGCCTCGCACAGGAGCTGACGCGCGCCTCTGCCCTCCAGCATTCCCCTCGCAAACGACCCACACACGCCGCTCTCTGCGCTGCACGCCGGCTGGCCCTGCGCCCCTCGCCAACGCTGCCTCGCCGGCACGGCGGGTCGGTCCGCCTCAGCACCTGCTCTCCACGCCTTTCAGCTCGACGAGCGACGTCGCGTCTGCTACCTCTACCGCTGGGCGAGCGCGACGAGCCGAGCCGGCCTCGTCGCAAGCCCTTTAGCGCTTCGCTCCCGCTGTGCTTTCCCTCCCGCCTATCCCTCTCTCGCTGGGGCTTTGGCGAGGCGGACTCTAAGGGCGGGCAATACGCCCTTCGCAGTGCTGCAGCGAGATATGCTGTGTCGCACCTGCTGCGGCCCGATCCGACGGCTCCTTCTTCTGCGTCCGTCGAGGCGTGCTCTCTCTCTCTCTCTTTTCCCTCTCTCTCGCGCTCTCGCTTCGCCGGCAGGGACGGGCACAGAGTGAAATTGCACCGCAGGCAGAGAGGATGCGCAGAAAGAGGGCAAGAAGGCGAACGAGGAATGCGGAGAGTCGAGGCGTGCGAGAGGAGGGCCGGTCGGCGCGAGAGGACGAGCTTGAAGACGACGTCCTGCAGCACAGGCCGTGAGTCAGTCCCGTCTTCCACCTGGACCGCTCGAGAGGGAGAGAGGAACGAGAGACGCACTCAGGGCGAACCCGTGACGATCCGGCGCGTCCACTCTCCGCCCATCCCGTCGGGCCCCTCTTTGCCCATGAAGCCCTTGGCGAACCCAGCGAGTAGGTCAAAGAAGTCGTCGGCGTCGTTCTGGGCGGCCTGGGCGGCGGCGGGAGCTGCGGCGGGCGACGGCAAAGGGAGGTGGGCGAGGAGGAGGGTCAGTTGAAAGGGCTTGAGGACGACGAGGAGGGAGAGCGAGGGCGCACCTTGTTCGGTGGGCTCAGAAGCCTCGTCGGCGTCCGAGCAGGCCCAGTGAGCGCCGTCGTCGTCGGTGTCGTACTTGACCTCGTGCGCTGCGAGGGCGACCGCGGTCAGCTCGCTCGTTGAGAGGGAGAGATAGAGGGGACGCACCCGTGAGCTTGTCGAGCGGAGCCTCGGGATCATTGCTCCATTGGCCAAGGACGAACTGCTCTTGGACCTCGGCGGCGATGGCGACGAGGGCGAGGGTGAGGGCGAGGAAGACGAGGAGGAAGCGGTGCATCTGGGTGGAAGGGCGAGGTCAGCTCGCTCGCCAGAGGCAGACCAGGGAGAGGGGGCGCACCTTGTAGTCGACGAATCGAAGGACGAGGAAGAGGAAGGAGGGAGAGAGGCGACGAGCCGCAGCTGCGCTGGCTCGGACCGAGACGAACCTCGGCGACGCGGGGACGAGCTGCAGAAAGTCGCCCTCGGAGCAGGCTGAGCGAGTCGCGAGGTGCGCTGTGTCTGTGGCTAAAGCAGGCGCACGCAGTCCGACGCGCCCTCTGCGCGTTGCGAGAGAGGGAGAGGGCAGAGACGAGGCGAGCTGGGGGAAGGGCGACGAGGTGCGACGGTGAGCGGCCTGGGCAAGCCAGGCGCGGCACGCAGGGCTAGAGAGCCCGCTTAAAGATGGAGTGCAGCTGTCCCCGCCTGGCCTCTGTCCCCGTGGCGATCGGGAGACGCCGTCGTCTCGGTCGGAGCTGATGAAGAGACACGGGTCGTCTCGTGCGCCGGCGACGTCAGTGAGGGATGCGCCGACCGCCGTGGAGGCGCGCGCGATGCAGCCTGTGCGTGCGAGAGCAGGGCGGACGCCGCAGTGTCGTCGAAGGCAGCCGAGCCTGGTCGCTCCTCCTCCTCCTCCTCGTCGAGCCTCTTCTCGAATCTGACCCTCTCTCGCGTAAGACCGAGCCGAGCTCTCTCAGACGCTGCACAAGGGACAGACAAAGGACCCTCGTTTCGATTCCAAGCCAGTCTAGCACACCTCGAGAGAGAGAGAGAGCCGCCCCTCGCCGCACCCGGCCGTCTAGGCGCCGAGCTTCTTGAGGATCTCGTGCGTGTACTGCTGGGTCGTCGCGTTGCCGCGCAGGTCGCCCGTGATGAACTTGCCCTCCGCAATCGTCTGCGAGGGAGAGGACGAGTCAGAGTCACGTCCGCAAGAGCAAAAGAGACGTGATCTTTTGGAGGCCTCACCTTGAGCGCGGCCGACTCGATCTTCGCGGCGGCGTCAAACTGGCCCATGTGCCTCAGCATCATGCACGACGACAGCAGCAACGCAGTCGGGTTTGCGAGCCTGCAGACGTGAGAGGTCAGGATCGAGTTTTAAGAGGCACGAGACGACCTCGAGTCGCCGCCGCCAGGCCCGCCAACGGCCCGCCGACGCTCCACAGACGCTCGGCCGATGTCGAAGAGAGAGTAGGGACGCACCCCTTGCCAGCAATGTCGGGTGCCGAGCCGTGAACGGCCTCGAAGATGGACGCGTCCTTGCCGATGTTGCCCGAGGGCGTCAAGCTGCGGGTCGCTCGGCATGTCAGTCTCGTGCGGTGCGTGTGGAAGAGAGAGAGAGGGAGAGAGAAAGAGGGACGCACCCGAGGCCGCCGATGAGGCCGGCGCACATGTCGGAAAGGATGTCGCCGTACAGCTGCGAGGCGATGCTCGACTCGTCAGTGCCGCGCTCTGGCCCGCTCCCGGCGCTCACACACAGAAGGGCAAAGAGATCGGACGCACGTTGGGCATGACCATGACGCGCTCGGCGTACGGGCCCGGGTTCTGGACGATGCGGAGGCAGACGCGGTCGAGGAGGTCCTCGTCGTACTTGACGTCCGGGTACTCGGGCGCGAGCTCGCGGCACGCGCGGAGGAACATGCCGTCCGACATCTTCCTGTGAACGCGAGCAGGAGGGGTACTGGGTCAGTGGGAGGTAGAGAGAGAGAGGGAGGGAGGGGTAAAGGAGGACGAGGACGGACATGATGGGCGCCTTGTGGACGGCCGTGACGTGGAGGCGGTTGTTGGCGCGGGCGTACTCAAAAGCGTAGCGGGCGACGCGGTTGGACGCCTCGTGCGTGATGAGCTTGATCGACTGGACGACGCCGTCGACGACCTCGTGCTCGATGCCCGAGTACTCGCCCTCGGTGTTCTCGCGGATGATGACCGTGTCGACGTTGTCGTAGGCCGTCTTGTAGCCCTCGACCGAGCGGCACGGGCGCACGTTGGCGTACAGGTTGAAGGTGCGGCGGAGCGTCAGGTTGAGCGAGACGTGGCCCTTGCCGACTGTGACGAGGTGGGTGCTCGAGGTGAGTTGCCTGCAACAAAGGCCGCGCTTGAGGAAGAGGCAGGGACGCACTCGGGGTGGCGAGGGGACCCTTGAGGGCGATCGTGTTCTTCTTGATGCTCGAGATGGCGTCGGCCGGAATGGTCGACACGCCGTCGACGAGGATGGGCGCGACCGAGACCTCCTCCCACTTGATGGGGACCTTTGCCGTCGTGAAGATCTCCTTGACCGACTCGGCAATCTCGGGGCCGATACCCTGCGGGCGCGAGAGAGAGTGGGTGAGCGCGCGACACGGCGGGCGGGAGCGGGCCGTGGTTCGACGACGAGGCGAGAGGCGAGACGCACGTCACCGGGGATGAGGGTCACGTTGGTGGTGCCTGCAGGAGTGGAGCCGTTTCAGTCGCTGATCGACTCGAGGGAGAGAGACGGAGGAAGAGGCGGACCGTCCGGGTTGGTGTTCGGGACAAAGTTGCCCGTGCCCTTGTTGGCCGGGGTCGCGTAGGCGCGAGTGGCCTGGAGTGTGGTCGATTCGGCGAGAGAGAGGGGCCGGGTGCAAGGTGTCAGTGGCCGTGAGGGAAGGAAGAGCGAGGGGAAGGATGAGAGGAGGAGGGAGGGATGAGGGAGGGGAGGGAGGGACGCACGGGGACGGCGCGGGTGGCCGAGCGGAGGGCAGTGCGAGCGAGCATGGCTGGACTGGACTCGGGTGGGTGGAGAGGTAGGGCTGGACGAGGAGCGAGGCGAGGAGCTCGGCGTGGGAGGGAAGCTCGCGTCCTCCGCGGAGAGGCCGCTCCGAGAAGACGTCCTCCTGCTCTGCCCTCGCACCGCACAGCACAGCCCAGGATGTTCCCCAAGCCCCAGCTCCTCCGCCCCGCTACCTCGGCCCTCGTGCGTCCCCACCCACGCCAGTCCCCCCTCCCCTCTCCCGCTACCTCCCCTCGGGTCCTCCATCCCGCTCGCCGTCGTCATCTCCAGCTCGGGCCTCATCTCCTCAGTGCTAGAGCACTGCCCATGCAGCCTCACCAGGCCGACTAACCCCGACCCCACCGGACATACGCCTTCGAGCAATAGGGGATCGTCAAGCCCGCGATGTACATAGAAAGGAGGGTCACTATAAGATCCGAGGGACAAGGTTCGACAGAAAAAGATTACTTCTCTCAGGCGCTCAGG